ATCGTGTTGACTCTTGAAAATGAAACTAGCTCTATCTTCTGCTCGCCAACTGCCAAAGTTGCGTGCCCAATCCCCGTCACGTATCGTGCGGCTTCTGTTACCTGCGCTAACCCGAGACTTCGCTTACAGCAACAACAATGCATGACGCACTGCAATGTTTCCGACTGTACGCCGTCAACTTTCGTCTCAAAATCATGAGGGTTAGAAGATCTGCGCGTTGCTCTCATGCCCGCTTGCGAAATAACGCGCTGGTTTCGGGTACGTTTCATATTCAAGGTGCTGCAGCGTGTGGGGTCTGTGCAGGGGCCGATGTTCACCATATCAGTCTGCAAATGAGGAAACGGCCTGCAAAGGCCGTCATGCGTAAGATCTCTCAAGAACAGTCAGCGCTTTGTAAACAGGATCATAGTCTAGAAATACTAAACAGATTATTTAGTGTCCACAAATAGGCTTGGGACCTGTCGCCCTTAAATTAAGGATCCGTTTCACCTATTGAATTTATGATAGTCAATCAATACGTGAGCAAGTGAAGTGCGTGTGATATGACGGAGCTAATTATTCATATGCAATTATCTCTGAGTATTCTCATATCAGAATCCTTGTGATACCGCGACGGCGGAACCGTTTGACTTCTTATTATCGAGCTTAGTTATATACGTCGGTCTCGAATACTGCCGTGGGCAGCGATGATCCATATTGAATATATTAGCCCACATAACTAAACAGTATTCGGAAGTCTATATAAGTGTGGGTCATTATAGATATGTATTCGAGATTTAATAAGCAACAGCATGCTATAGGGTGCTCCAACTAGGCATCCTCACGCTTCCCAGGCGCCTTCAACGACGTGGATTTTGGATGATGAGATACTATTTGCAAGCGAGCACATCGTTCGAGATTTTTAGGCACTATTTTCAAGCGGTCATTAAAATATAATGATTAGCATTGTATATATGCAATATGCTCGGCGACCGTCATGTCTTCCAAAGTATTTCAAGCGAAAGTCACGCGTTTCTCAAAGATGAAATATGGTAATATGTAGCTTTCGGTAGCAGCATCGGCTTTCTTCCATTTCCTTTTTCGATTTGCGAAGACCTAGCTCGAATTTTGTATGCATGTCTTTGACTGTGACTGAAACAAGACCTTGTGTATTCATGGAAATATATAATCACGTCTCTATTCGGGGGTGGCGCACCCCCCTCTCAGAGAGTGAGCAGAACGCTAACACTACAACTGTCCTTATGCGTATTACAGAGAAAGGTCAATGGATCTACACCGTTAGCCTGTATTCGACCAAGATGAGCCGATTTTTGATACAATCTAAACGGCGTCGAATATATATGGAGAAGCATAGAGTACACCAGCTTGAATGTCTATGCGACTTTGTAAGTATTTCATAATGAGCCAATCGTTTTAATATACGAATGAATATGCTCACAAGTGCCATTATGAGTACTTGAAGCCTCAACTATTGAGCCAGAGCCTCGCCATAATAATGTAGACTAAACTGGAATTCAAACTTGAAGAGGTAATGACAGGAGCATGGACCAATGACTTGGTCGGCCTTCACAAGTCTTGAGCAATTAATGACCGTGGTGAATATTTATTACCTCTACCCATCTAAAGCTGGAAGTCAAATTTGTGTGTTTACACAACTCCACTGTCCAAACAACGCACAAATTTGCCACAGTTGTTCAATCTCTATCTCCGAAGACGTAGCGTGCAATTGAAGCAGTAATATCACCTATTATCTAAATATTTCTTTTCTTAACCAAATTTGTACTCTAAACTCATTAACATATTTACTCTATGATGGCAATATACAATTTGTCTCCTCTACAGCTTCGGATCCTTCTGGAATAAGCATCTTTGCTCTGCTACTTACCTCGAGCACTAATTTTGAAAAACCTGCCGTACTGAGCAATGCCAACCGCCGTTTCAAAGAGCCAGTGGTTTCCCGGCGACAAGGTTGGTTTCCGACCTACGCAAGCAGAATATTATTGCCTGTGAGACACAAAATGGCCAGCATTGGCGGCTTAATGACTTCGAGAGATTATTCGGTGACGTGGCCGAGCTCAATCTATATGTGCCTCGTCGACCACCAACGGCCTACCATGGTCTAAATACTGGGGATCCGAGGTTCTCGGTGAGACACATGTCACCGCAGGGGGAACAGAAAAGCCAACAGATCGGTACTTATTGTGTGTCAGTTTTCTTTATGGAACTATCAAGTCCAAGGAACGAGATCACGTCAAATAATACTCCTCAACAGGAGAAAGGTAGACGGTGAAAGGACGGCTCCGTGTCGCTCGGTCATAGAAAATAATCGATGAGGAGAAGTGACAAAAAAGATTCTGACCGAGAAAGTGATGGCTAAGAAACTCAACAAAAGCAAGGAAACATCAGTGCACCCTTCCAGACGAGCAGCACGCTTCCTGCTCTCCTCGGATGATAGCGTCAGCGACGAGGACGACTCAAAAGTCTTTCCCCCGGTCAGCAAAATTTCCCCCGCAAACAGTACTGGCCTACAACGTACCCCAGAGCCAGAACTTGAGGCAGGCCCTAGACATAAATCTACGCAAAGCCGTAATGCGAGTAATCAGCGTCAATGGGAACCACGCAAAGTACAGCAGCCGGAAGTGGATCATTTCTTGAATACACTCGAGACACTAGGAGTGGGCACAAAAGCCCAGGCAAGTAGTCCAAGACGCAAGGGATGCCTTCTAGATACACAGGCCTCCGCCCCATGCAACTGAGCCCAGCATACCTCAGCCTATTTTCGACATCAGCCTTGGCAAAGTGTTTAAGCTTCAGGAACAAGAGACACTACAGGCCAAGCACGCGATGAGTAGAATTTCCAGATATGCGTGGACAAGGACAGAAATTCCTGTCTATCGAATTGAAGGACCGAGAGCCATATGGGAGTATGATATACAACCCGAAAAATGCCTATAGTAAGAACGAGTAGGATAGATAACTAACAAGTCTGCGATATCAACATCATTTATTCAAGGCGAGCGGCACCAACGGGTAGTCGGGGCAGTTGGCTCGAAATGGGGCACTCCATTGGACACTCTGGTTATTCTATATGGTCTTATGGGGTGAGTGATCAGCATGTTGGTACAATGAGATGAGGCAAGACGGCCTAGAACTGCAGAGCAAAGTAAAGAGGGTTCGCCTTCGCCAGCTACACGAATCATAACAACTAACCCCCTTAGCTAAACGCTTCAAGGTAATATGGAACGCCGCTTATCATGACTTGCTTAGCTGGCGATATGAAGTATGCAAGACTGTACCGAGATATCGACCATTTTCAATATGAGTCGTAGATAGACAATTCCCGCAGACGAAGATACCATTGGCATTGTAATATAACTTTACGACTAGACTATAACACCTTGCTTCCGGGCATTGTGTGGTATAAAAGCGCAGGCAGTGCGTGGCCCTAGGCTTCTACGCACAGCGATTAATGGGTACTAAGTTGTTGTTATATCATCATGATCATTGCATATTATCAAGCCTCTATCTTGAGAAGATTTCCAAGCATGGTGATCGAGGCCGAAGACCAGCTACATCATCAGCAGTTCAGACTCAATGGACATACGAATCATATTCCGGACCACCAAAAAGTAACTTTGAAAAGTCCGAATTTCGGCTGCGCAGTCCTTGGGTATCAAGCTTCGTATAGGTAGTCTGGCCTGACTGAAACCCAAGCGATACTGTCTCCCTCTTATACCACAAGTGTCAAGATCGCGCTCTTTGGTCCACTTGCCACCAATCGATCAGTCTCTAACAGAGATTATCTGGGCGTATCAGAGCCTGCCGAGTGCATCGTTGGCTGGTTTCAGTATTCCTAGTAAGCGAGCTTTCGTCAAAGCCTGACCCAGGATGATCAATTCCAAAGGCGGACTTTGGCGGCGACAATACGGATCCGTAGCAGCTTTATAAAGGCTTCATCCTTGAATTTTTAGCCTAACTTTTCTTTAGCTCCGCTGCTGCGTAACCCAACGAGAGCAGCCATGCCCTGTCAGACAGGATCCGGGATCCATGTCAGGTCAGCCTCATCGATTCGCTTGGATCCCAGTCAAAGAAAAAAGACACCAACTAGTGGAGCAACGATAAATTCGAAGGCTTTTCCGCGAACGCGGCCACCCGAGATCGTGCAAGATTCGCGCGGCGCAAGGCATGGCCCGGCTGGCCGTTGAGACAGGGGGCCAGACGTCGTCCTTGTTTATGGTTTGGTTGGGTCATGCGGGTGGCCGACAAGCAAAGGACGTCATCCGATCACGCCCCCATTAGCTTTAGCGATGTCTTCTACCCAATCAGCTAGTTGCCCAACTCACCACCAACCTACCAGGGTTATGGCAGTTTGAGTTAAACTCGTATACCTTCAAGTGAGTATTGCGGCCCTTTGCTTTTGATCTGTCTTTGATCTGAGACTCGGGAGCGAGGTGTGCTTGCCCAAAGGTCATGAAGTGCATAGTTTTGTGGGGGCTTTACTAGACACTTGAAGTATAATAGCGGCCTGGTCCCATGCTGGGTGAATGTTTGAACGGCTGGTCGGAACTTGGAAATTGCTACTGTCTACACAGCACACAAATATACAGCTATTCGTAGGGGGTTTTCATTCCCGACTACAGCAAATCTCGGCCTTTTCGAAGCGGTTGGCTCTTGTCACATTTCCGGCACCGTTTTCTTGTTTTCTTGTTTTCTAATCTCGACTCCCAAGACCCCAAGACCCCAAGACCCTGCAGCTTAAGCTCGGGCCATACCCGAAGCGAAGTGACGTAACTGGCAGCTTCCAGGATTCGCTCCCGTTGCCGCTTTCCCACTTACACGAGTCTTATTTCAAGCCGGCTACCCACAAGTGTCGTAGAAATGTGGTGCCTCGTCTCGACAGGTTAGACTTTACCCTTTCACATCTTTGTACCGAGTATTGTATTTCACAACTCAACCGCCCATCTATCTGATCACTGCAAGGAATACACAAATCTAACAATATGTATTCTTCTTATGAAGCCCCGCGCGGTCCGCGATACCACAAGTACAAAAAGAGGACGTATCTTGAGCCGCCTACCAACGGTAGTGTCACTACTCGCACGCGGATCACCACGATCGTCCCCCCGCCGCCGCCTCCCCCGGTCGTGGTATGTCCTCCACCACCACGATTGCCGGAGCCAGAGCCCATCATTGTGGCCCCTCCGCCTCCTCCTCTGCCAGAGCCCATTTTCATTGCTCCTCCTCCTCCGCCTGAGCCAGTCGTCATTGTTGCACCTCCTCATCCGCCACCATCGCCAGTTTTTGACGATACTATTGAGGTCATCGCTGTCGACGTTGACCCCTCAGTCAAGTCTGTCAAATCCCACAAGAGCCACAGAAGCTCGCGCAGCAGTCGGAGCAGGAGCCACAGCCGGGTGGACAGCCGAGAGAGAGAGGTCTACATTGAACGAGAGAAGATCGTTCCTGTTCGTGTGCCCGTACCATACCCTGTCAGGGTTGAGCCAGAATATGAGACGTTCCGCTATGTGGAGGGACCTCGGCGGTTTGAGCCCAGACCACGCAATCATGAAAGGGACCGAGAAATTGTTATCGAGGACCGTCACAGGAGACAATATTTGAGGGATTGAGGGATTTTCCACACACAGACGTTTTTGGATTTGTTCGCCGAGGTTTTGTTGCCTTGATTTTTGATTTATCGGCCTGGCGTCATCTGGGAATCTGCATTTTGCTACTATATAAATGGTTTATCGAGGCTATCGCGATGTGTGGTTCAGGGCGGTGATCTAGCATATTCAGCGTCACGGGTACAAGCGTCGGAGTTAGGATATTTGTACGACATAATGATGGCTGTTACACATAACAAAGCTATAGTTGTACCTAGTAAACCACTATAAACATTCATACCCAATAATCACAGTTCGTATACATGCACAAGTTGAACCAAGAAAATTATTTCCAAGTGGAACTCTGACTTTCGCAATTGCCTTGAGTTTGCTTCCGTGATATTGTTAATAGTAATGTTTATTGTCGTAAGTCCCAAAAAGTCGTAGCTCCAGACATACCTCATGTGCAATAAATATGGTGCATATATGTTGTGGACACGTGGTTTTCCCATCAATCATGACTTCGTTGGCAGAATGCATGCCATGCAACCAAGGCTGCTCTTGCGCAGTGGGCGCCTGAGGAGCTCAGTCTCAAATAAGGACAGATGGCCCGGTGAGCCTCTATCAACAGAGACGAGCCCTTTCTGGTACATATTTTTACCCACTTGTATGATACGTCACTGCGTTGGGCCGAGCTAACTACAGTAGAAGAACTACGTTCTCCACACATTTCTTTGAGCTTTTTGTTGTTGCGGATATATGCAGATTTTTGCACTTCCTCTAGAAGAAAGGGGGGGGAACCTCTTTTGTCCATAATAAATAAGTCTAGGCAAAGCTTATTGACAGGTCGGATACAATTAAAATAGCTCCTTCAAAAAAAAAAAGAATTAGATGATGGCATATTAATCGACCTAGTGATACATCTTGGCGATGGACCTATGTCAGGATTGAAACACATTTGTAAAGCCTGGATGAAGCCAAATTCTATTTTAGATACATCTCGTCATTAGCATACTAATGAGCCTTCGATTGAGCTCACTAATCTTTAGATTCGGTTCTGAACCTTTGATGACTCTAAAATGAAGTATCTGACGTTCGTTTTCACTTAATCTTCTGGTAGCTGGGATAATCTTAGAATCTGGACAACGAAGAATCCTTCCAATTTATAACGAAATCAAAGGAGGTTTGACAAGTCAATTAACTGTGTTAAGTGATATAGCCACCAACACTGCCCCTTGACGCAGCGCTTCCTCAACATGACACTTTCTTTTATGAAGGTTCATACCACAACTTGACAGAAGGCTATAAATCAAGCTCCCCACGGGCGAATGTAACGACGAGTTAAAGTTTACTGAATGCGGAGCAATATCTGTGAAAGGCATCTCAATGATACACATGCAAGTGGGAGCAGAGGAAAAGCCATATGGAATTACGACCATACTGCGAATGGGTCACAGACGTCGTGTTAGAATGTGAGCTTGAAGCTATAAATTAACCTGAGGCCCACCGCAATAAGTCGACAGGGATAAAATAGCAGAAAAATACCATGATATTATTCCAGATCAAACCCCTATAAGGATAACACCTCAAATATTTAAGCTTTACGATCAATGCCTTGGTCAGCTGACATATGAAGTTACCTTGTATATTTGCCAGCAAAGAGCCCAAGTAGGCAGGAAGTACGCGTCGGGGATGAGTCGTTAATCCTGTAGGCAGTCGGTTCTTTAATTATATAAAATTTCTTAGGCAACAGTCAGAGAGTATTGATTTTGTTACTGGGAGAATAACTGACTCTATAAGATCACATATTGGAGGATTGTCTGGGCGTGTGTGTATAAGGTTAATTGTCGTGTCCTTGGCTTGCTTCTCTAGTCGGCTGGCATCAGAGACATATTGCGTGGAATTGGAAACAATTATGTATCATAGTGAAGTGGACTACTAGTTCAAGAGGTACAAATGAACAAATAACGAGGAATATGGTTAATAACATCTTTCTAAGTCTAAAAGACGGGCTATCTAGAACATATTCTTTATGGGATTGCACCTATGCGGGGAATCCAAGTTTCGTAGAGCTTTAGAAGACTTAACAAACCATCTTTTCAAGTTAAAGTTACAAGAGATGACTGGTTGGATAGATGAATATTATCGCTCGTTGGTCATCATGGTCAGCGTATATCTAACCACGAATTTGAACATCCATAACGACATATTAACAATGTCGGCCACGAAAATTTTGTTGTTAACATCCTAACATCAACTAGGATTTAAGAAATCGAAATCCCCCTTTGGGCCTAGGATTGGTTTTAATGCTGGACTCGATGTATGCATCATGGTTGAGAAAAGGCGCGCGGCTTTCAAGTAATCGAGTAAAAACAGCGAACGCGCAATGTTGAAGCTTGACGATTCTATTATCCCAGCACATCTCCTTCTGTCCCTTTGTCCCTTGATTACCTCCCTCTACTTCTTTCAATTTAGACGAATTGGCATAACGTGTTTTTGACGTGCTGCTATCTTTCATTACACAATCTTGTTTCGATACAACAAGGTCTAAGGAAGCATTGGCTAAAGCTCTAGATCATCGCATGATTTGTGAAAGTGACCCCCACATATGTCAGGCCATGCGCCGTAGAAGCAGAACTTCTGGAAGTCTTAAATTCCTTTCTCTCTATATGACCGTTCGGCACTCTCGTATATGTCAACCTTATTTTAACCGTTACCGTAACATGCGGCTACTAGTAGCCATTTTTGTAGAGAGCTCTGTCCTAATTTCCTAAGACAGTATTTCAACGGTCGATTGCTACTCAAGCTTATCACATAGTTGAAAGGACCACTCGTGTCTTGAGTCGAGAGTCAGATGGATAATGAATGAGTGGGTCCATAGGTCTATAGCAGACAGGTCATAAGATCTTAAAATTACGCCAGTGGAGAATATCTTGAACCGAAGGGAGCCGCTATCTGGTCCAGAACAGCAAGTCATTTCTCCGCCTGACGCGGTTCTGTTTTCGTGCTTTTGTGCCTAGATGATCTTCATAATGAGATCACGGACGAGGCGTGGAAACGGCGTTGATACCGACCATCATGCATGCAGTGTACTGCGGAGCATGTTCCGTTATGATTGGAACCTTTTCCGATTCGCAAAAGATGGTGAACCATTCCACATCACTAATTAAGAAGGTGACAGCAGCCCTAAATTGTAAACAGCCATCATCTTTAGTTGAAATGGTTGCACGCGTGCGCTGCTAACCAAGCTGTACCTCTTATACGATGCTATGACCACAGACTTGCTACGACCAAGTATTCCTAGAAAAGTCTTGGTTTCTGCAGATCTTCTCTGTATCGGTACCAAAACGTGATAATCTTATTGCCTCACTCAAGCCCCTGCTTGTAAGTATGAACATAATTACTCGCGAAAGGAAGAATCAAGTACCAACACATAGGTGCCGAAGCATTTCCTTAGTCAGGTACGCATACTAGGGAGTGGAGTTCGTCGTATGTTCCATGGCTCCCCAGGATGCGCGACCATGCCATTGACCCAACTATCTTCTGGTTGGCTGCTTGGACTATTATGGAAGTGCTTCGGACTGCGGATTGACGAGCGAGGACGTTACATTCAATCTGGAAAGGCGGAACATTAATAGAACAACATGAAATCCTCTCTGAGAGCCAACGCAATCTGGTAATCATCACCTGTGCAATTATGCCAAGCGCTCGATGCAGGTCCCCGAACTTTGTTGCCCACGTTTGGCGATACCCGAATTAAAAAACAAAAGCAGGCTGATGAAATCAGAACCATTGGGCTGGCCGATCATGTCACACAGACCTGAGGCCATCGAGCACGATATTGCAATATGCGCGGAGGTTCGGCACCGGACGTCGTGATTCGCTCAACCTGACATTCGAGGTTAATGTATTATTGCTAATCTGATCATCGCATCCCTGTTAGGATCCAAGGCACGATAAATCGGCAGATACTGGCTGACCGTTGTGTATTTACTGCAGCCTACTCGATTGAGATAAAAATGTAACGAGCAGTTAGAACTGTAACGGGAAAGGCATTGTTGGTCAAGGACGAATTCCACAGCATACGCACTGTGCTTATTCAGACTTCCGCCGCGCCTTTGTCGTATAAGTCCCAGTGAAGACAATACCTTCAGTAATCGCCGAGGCCTCAAAGCCACCTCCCAATACCTCAGCGGCGCTGAGAGCGACAGAACAGTCTTGCGCTCTGGCTAGAAGCTTCCCATGGGTTGGATTTGTAAAGCTACGGTGGAGTATTCTGAATTGCTGTGATGCTCTCCACACGGAGTCGATTGTGGCACAGATAGTGGCCCAGGCATAGTTACGTGATCCGCCCTAGTGCATTAGTAAGACGCGGTCATCAGAATGCCGATTTATGACGAGTTGGTAATACACAATGCAGTATACGCTTTCGAAGATCACGGTCAATATTAATATAAACGCAATCAAATGGTATTGAGCACTGAGTTTTGTAGCTCTACACTGCCAATCTTGTACTTTCACCCCAACAAATAGGCGCATAATGACGCAAAGACCCATTCTTATCTCTGGCGCCGGACTGGCATCTCTGTTGCTCGCCCAATCCCTGAAGAGATCAAGTATACCCTTTCAAATCTTTGAGCGCGATGCCTCTCTCCACTTTCGCGGTCAGGGTTACCGTCTACGTCTGTCCAGCGAGGGGCTGGATGCGATAGAAGCAGTCCTTGACGCTGCAGCATTCCAACGCTTTTATGATCGCTGCGGAAAGACCGGCGGAAGCGGCTTCGCAGGCTTTGATGCCATTACGGGCGAGCAGACAGATTCTGCCACCGGTGGTGAGTCGTTGGGGTCGCGAGAGGGAAAGATCGTCGGTATTGCGCGCGGAGATATGAGAAAGCTGTTCCTGGAAGGTATCGAGGATACCGTTCAGTTCAGGAAGCATGTCAAAGGATATGAATTAGTGGATGACGGTGTTCGAGCAATTTTCACCGACGGCACAAAATCTGACCAGGGATCTATGCTCGTTGGAGGCGAAGGGATCAATTCGGCTGTAGCTAAGCAGGTGTCTGGGGGCCGACTCAAGGTCTACGACACCGGCGCTAGAGGTATTCACGGGCAGGCCCCAACGACAGCATTCAAGCGTCTCGGAGAAGGGGTCTTCCGGATCTCGGACGACTCAAACCCTGACGGTCGTCTTGGTATCATTACGAACGTCCGTCCAAACGACATGGACGATCCTAACGTTGAGTTCGGGTGGACGATGGTAGGACCCCCTGGAGTTATCAAGGCACCCAACGACGACTACGCCATCGTAGGCAAAACAGCAGCTGATATCGCCAAATCACTTACTTCGAAATGGAACGAGCGGTTCAAGCCTCTATTCGACGAAATGAACGAGTCTGAAGCTGCTTTCTGGAAAATCACGTGTTCGACGCCCAGCGGCGTCCCTGAATGGCCCAATGAGCCGCGGGTAACTGTCATTGGAGATGCTGCACACTCAATGACACCGGCTGGAGGAATTGGAGCAAACACGGCTGTCAGAGACTCAGCCTTGTTGGGACGCTTGCTCGCTGAGGCCGGTGGGTATCGGGAAGACGTGACGGCTGCGTACGAGAAAGGTATGAGAGTCTATGGTAGTGAAGCAGTTGCCACAAGTTATGGCCTTGCCACAAAAGGCTTTCAAATTAGTATTGACGAATCCTCGACCCCTACTGTCTAGACAGAGATTAGAGAAACCTGGGGCCTATAGTATTGCACGAGCCACCATATGATTATATCGTACGCATTACAACCTAAATATAATTTCGAAAACAACAAATGTTGAGTGGAAACCAGATGTCGACTACTTTTAGCAGGTACAAATGTCGATGTTCAAAGGCAGTGTCGAATGTGAGCTTCTGCAACTCTTGAGCTTACGGCAGTGTGATATGGCAAAATGGCATGCTAGCTTTTACCTAACCTTGGAACATCTTTCGGTTATGCCGTTTACAGTGTTCCAGATAATGACAGTGTAAAGTATCACATGATCAAGGCCAGACCCCTGGGCAGTTGCAAGCACCATCCTAGATCTGACGATCGACCGTCATTGTGTTACATTGCATTCACCTGTCACCTTCATGTTGGCCAGAGGCGATAAGAGGTATGGAAGATGGCGTTATCAGTGCTGGATGGCACAAGAGGTGTCAGCTTTTGAGCGAACTATAAGCGATTGGTCGATTGATAACCTAGCGCAGCTGATCCATTTGGGTTACTCGAGCATGAACTCAACATGTAGCCTCCAAGACTACAGTTTTTGTTGTTGTTGTTCGATTCGCCAGCGGCTTGACGAGCCGCAAAGTCATGTCTTTTTATTTACAATTGTGTGGCGTTATTTTCACAGCTCCTATACCCAACAAGACTATGAGTCAAGTCAACTCGGCCCCTGGCTCATAAATTCAACACCATCGTCGCAAGAAAATGGTTCCTTGATTAGCGATCTACTTGGTTTAGCTTAAGCGAGTGTTCCTGGTCTGATACGCGATTTCTCAACCGACGATATTGTGTGCTACTAGATAAAGCCGCAAGATAACGGAGGTGCAATGAGAATGCAGATGACTCGCAACCATGCTAGATCTAGGGCGTCGTTGCGAGTATGATGTGTGAACAGCCCCGCATACGAGGCGTTAAAGATGGAGGGGTTGCATCGGCGCTTGTTCGCATGTATCTTCCTCCTTGGCAGGGAGATGACATGCATGAGCGTAATTCACGATAGGCTTTGTGTTTAGTTAGTGAGATAGGAAGGATCTGGCATCAGAAAATCGACACTAGAAATAGTCCGAAGTTGTGGAACAGGCGGTGAGTTGCGGACCTAGTCGAGAAGTCGGATAGTCGTTTACAACAACCAACGATAGTTGAGCGCTTCCCCACTTCCAAGAAGACGGTTTCCAGGCTGTCGGGGATCTGCTTGTCAGAATCTTGAAATCAACCACAAGGCATGATGGGCTACCGGCTCATTGGCAAACTTGGCAACATGGGATGGTGTTCTGAAGTCGTCGATAGCGTTTAGTTATAATCTCCTGGTCCTCATCATCTACTACCGTGCTACGGGTGTACTATAATCAAGAGAATTCTTTTCTGGGGGGTTTCTCAGATCAAAGTCGTTCAAGACGACGATGCATACATGTCAGTTCAGGCTCTCAGAGTCAAGTATTCTCAAAGAGCCTAACTGCGGGAATTGTTTCAGTAAAGGGAAGCCATGCGTGTTGTACTGTACGCACAGACACCTTTTGCCTGCCCGTTCCAGGTAGCCGGGGCTTAACTGGCGGCGGCGAGCTAGATGGTGGACATTCGTTGATGACCGGCATTTCTGCAAAATTTGAATTTGACAGTATAACTATTTGCTGCTGAAAATCAAGTCTCACAGTTTCATTGTGTGGCGCATCCGTTTAGAGCCTCCTGCTCAGACGCCGCACAACGATGCCGCCCAATGTGATCGTTGGACGGCTGGAAATGGAATACCGCTATATACTATTGAACGCCCAGATGAAGACGTATTAATTGTTAGCCTTTAGCTAAGTGATTCACCTTGATCATACTTGGTATGTATTGATTGGTATCTGGTTTGTGCACGCGGACCGTCCCATGGTGTGGAAAGAGACTGATCAAATGATCAAGGACATACCCGGTATTTGCGAAGAGCTCAGAGCATGGAAACTAACCCGAGGTTAGCTAACCTACTCAACTTCATCCAAGTGGGTCGAATTTGAGACATTGACCCTCTTAACCAATTATGTCCATCAACTTGCCACGACTCACATTGATGACAACGATATAGAAGTCCCGACTCATGGTCACCGGCTGTATTGGCATAAACTTCAATAGCTGAGCACGGCTTCGCTAGATCGTCAGCGGCGCTCGCATTGTCAATCATGCTAACTTGTAGCAGTGGCAGAAGAGAGATGCATGGTAAGAAATTGGCTGTGTGCCTGACTAGCAATGCAGGTCTTGTTGGCCACGCGGACCAGTAGTCTCTGGCGCGTTTTGCACCGATGGTACCTTGCAGTCATTCAGCTGGTTTCTCAGATTTGACGTTATGAGTGACGGGCTTCTGTGGCACTATTGAAACAAAACGACCCTTCACTTTCTTGATATCGCGGTATCTACGTTATTTCACGCATAGATCAAGTAGCTTACCATCATGCCTTTTTCGGCAGGCACATGCGTTCTCCGGCCAATAAAAGTGAACCACGAGGCGAATTTGCCGTTTCAGTGGTTGCAACGCCTTCGATGCATCATATAAGAAGAGTGAAGCTTATGGGAAGCAAGAATGACCGTTGAAGGATGCTACCGAATACTAGGAGCATCTGAGGATTAGATCTTGGAAAGAACCGGCCATTTTCTTACCTGTAACAGAGCCTAGATATCAGGAACTAGTTAAAATTGTGGCCATCGTCACCGACACTTTATCCGATCTGGAAGCATCCTAAGATGACCTTGCATTAGCTGGCCGGGAATTCGGGTCATGCGATCTGCTCGGAGTTTTGCACTACGGTGTGCACGTTGTAGGCCTTTGCTTATTCTGTAACGTGCGGAATGGTAAAGACGATCGCTTTCTACTACCTGCTGAGCAAGTGGTGTAATGCGCTACAGGGCTTCGTGATAGAAGAGAAGTATCGGCCTATTGTATAACATAGGACTCATATACCATACCAACAAGAAGCACCGCCGGTGGTGTGTGCATCGGAGAGATTATGAGAAGCTACTTGGCCAATATGGACTTTAAGTGGTTGCAGGCAGACACCCATCAGTTCTCAGGGTCGCTTTGGTAGCACAAGCCACTTGCGCTGAGATACCGCACGACCTGAGGTGATCTTGGCCGTATTTGCACACCCACACGCATAATAGTTCTGTTTGAAGAGGGCCGAAGGATTATGTAGAATTACACAACTTGGACGACACACACAAACACTTGCAGCATCTGCCAAGCTGCATACCATTTGACGCTCTTGATTGCGGAATATTTTGGCAAAGGCTGGGCATCACAGAATGCATACCAAGGCCTGGAAAATGCACCAGGGTCATGTTTTAGATACTGAGAGGCGGAATTGACGGTTTAGCACTATCATTGGTAGGACCCCCCTCATCTAGCTGCCAGCATTCAACTTGACCCCACCATGCCAAATACTTGATTACTGGCTCCCATTCGCTTACTGCCCGACTCCCCTTGTGTACCTGATTTTAGTCTGCTGCGGTATTGGAATGTCTCCTTCCAAAGGGGAAAAGCCTCCTGAACACATGGCACCGTTCATGGGCCTGGTCCCGTTCATTGCAAGATAACTGGTCCGCCCAGGAGTTATAGCACCAAGGTTGAGGTCTCGACCGGAACACCGTATGGGATAAGTACGATGTCTCACTGTAACTGTACGGCTCACAATTTCACCATCAACGACTCGTAGGCACAAACTATGGCCACGAGGTGATGGTGGATCCTGGCCGCGTCCCATGCGAAGACGATGCCACCCTACCCATGACGGAGAATTGTCTCTCGCCTGATTGCTGCTTTTTAACGGTCAGAGGTCCGGTCACGCAGCACACCGCAGTGCGGCCTGCAATCCAAGACGAGCCACCGCTGCAACCTCTTAATACCATGCCCAATGGGCGGACACAACAGAGGAGCGTTCGAAACGAGCCGTCCAGCTTCCAAGCAGGGCTTTGGGACTACTGCAGCACTTACATGGTTGCGACATTTTTAGCTCCGCCGTGGATAGGCGCGATCATGGCATGTAGGCCACAATAGCAAGGCACACCCTAGCTTTGGTGGACTTGATCCCCATATGGTGGGTCTATCAACCTCCCGTTCTGATTCTCATCATCTGCGGTTAGATATATCTGCCGAAGCCTCCCACTTTGGCACGATCATCTGCAGCAGCTTTTTCGAGCCCGATTGCAATAGAGGATTGCAGCCTTCTGTAGACGGGGAAGTGCCAGCTTGGTTTCTCAGCTCAGCGCTTTCAACTCATCATTGTGCTTCATCCGAAGTCTGTGACAATATCGCAGCTCGGCACCGACTTGTCTAACCCAGAGCTTCACGATATACAATAGACCAGTCAGTCCCTACGTTTTCTTTCAGTATTCATTGTGGCTCTCTACCTTACCATCTCCGCAAGATGCGCAAGACTTTCCATCGATGTAGACACATGATCTCGACTGGTCTCTTGCCTTTTTGATAGTGACATGATCTGCGTCCACCTCCGTCGAGTTGACCTCGAAGGTGGTCCTTTTGCCATTCTCACTAGTCACGGCGGGTTTGTTGCAGACCTTTTCGATCTCACCCCGTGACGACGATGAGTATGGGTCGTGCACTTCAACACATGTTTTGCTTGGAGATGCAATTCAATCAATGACTGACCTTTCATTGCAGACCTTGGGGAACCTTACGGAGTAGGAGATGGGTTGGTTCCAACAGGCGGTGAACATCCAGATGAAATCCGGACAAAGAACCCAACAAATGCACCGCCTGCCCCCTTGTTAAAGCCAACAACAGGGTCTCCCATACCTATTGTGACCATCAATACGGAAAGCGTAACAACATCAGAATCAATCAGCACAATTGATCTGGGACTTTGAGCCACGCCTATCACGCGCTCGAGCTCTCAAGGCACTCTCGCTGTTTCCACCGTCGTTTCTCTTCCGAACCTTTTCCATTTCAAAGTACACGCAGGCCTCTTCCAGCAAGCCTAGCGCTTCTTCTACGGTCAATATATCATCTTCTTTTCTGGCTTCTCTGTCTTCTGCCACCAACACCATGAGCCAGGAGAACACTCAAGATGTTGGCGGGAATAATCGGACCCTCGTCATCACACTTAGCACGGTCTTATCAGTCGTCGGCGTTGTCGTGATAGCGATAACCCTATATCTATGCCTCCGCAACCGAAGGAGGCGGGCAAAGCTCTTCAACAGAGGAGTGACACCGATAGACGATGACGAGATCGAATCCTGGAAGGTCAACAGAAATGTCAACGAGAAGGGTGGGGGCCGATTTACTTCGCGCAACTCAGCCATGTCGACTCGCGCTCACAGAAAGGCTCCAAGCAACAGTGTGATACAATACCAAAGTCAGATACGATCTTCAATCGATGCCGTGCCTCAGTCACCTCGGTGTTTCATTCACAAGCATAGTTTTGAGATGCCGCAGTCGCCACAGGCCGCGGTACTGGCACGAGCGCCTAATGCCAGGTCGGGTCTTACAGACGAGACTGTTGCAGGCGAAAAACCATTTGTCACCGTCATCTCCCCGAAGCGCCAGTCGTCAAGGTTGCACAAATCGCCACCAGGACCGAACGGTAGCCGCACACGCGGGTCAAGGGGCTCCAGGAGTAGCAGCGTAAGGAGCTTTAGTTTTGGTGATACATATTTTGGCGAAAACATGACAGTCTCGCCACGTACCTCCAACGACTATCACTCGGCCAACCGTGTTCCTTCGAGAGTATACTCGACCTCGACAGCGCCTCCCCGAGTCTCCTTTGGTGAGAATTTGAATGCCGCATTCGCATCACTGAGCGACCATGAGCCGTTAACCACCGTCCTGTCACCCCCACCGTTGCATCGCACAGAGATTGGTCGGGCAATTGGCTGAATCATCCTACCGGGCAAGTCGGAACAGCAAAATTTTTAGTCCCAAGCGATGATCGTTATCGACCATTGCATGGTTTGTCGGACATGTTACCGGATTTTCCAACAATTGTGGAGGGGGGTAATGATGAGGGTGGGTGTTTCAACGTCAGGGCTCCGAACTGCAAGGATCAGGGATATGTCGGAGAGAAACAAGCTTATCCACCCCAGGCCCGGGTACTGCTCCGGGGCTTTGTGCGTCTGAACATACTCGCTCAACGTTGGACATTCAAAGGTCCCAGCACAAACATGAGTTCACCACAAACAATCGCAGAGATTACGGTTTAAACAACGTAATTCGGTTAATCCGCGACTGACGCGGATCGATGAACCGACTATTTTTCAAGAGGCGGCGCAGATCCAGCCTCGATCCACTTGGATCTTTCATGCATCGTTCAGACGGACAAATTCCTTTCCCTTTTCTTTCGTCACATGGCATAACATCACATCATGAAGCGTATGGAGTTGGAGGTAATTACGAGGTAACATATAGGAGGATATACCCAGTTTCTTTGTTTCATTATGGGCGGCGGCATTGGCCAGAATCGCATTTTCGAAGGAACGCGTGATGCATGGACAGGATGCCTCGAGGAGGCGCAATAGCGTCCAAAGTTGAGCATCAGAGGTCATGGAGCGTACTTAGTCGCTTGGCCATACCCCAAACACGCTGCGTGGACGAAGCAGCAGCAGCAACAAAACCCCCCACCAAAGAAGGGCAACGTGTACACGGCCCTTGATGTATGCAGAAATCTCAATAAATCAGAATATAAACACAATCACCTTACTGCCCAATGTGTTCAGTGCTCATAGCTCAGTGCCAAAGTTGACGTGTACGTGGACATTTCACGCTGAAGTTTCACACAAAGTCGAACCCTCGAGATCCCGGCCGGCTGGAACGAATGGCTGCTGACCGCCACGCCGGGGTGACGGTACTTTAGATAGTAGTACTCCATAGCGGGCGGGTAAACTGCCCGGGCAAGCAGCGGGCACAAGACTTGGCGCGGCCGCTTTCAAGTTGCTATTACCGGCACAACCAACATGACCCAGGTCATAATGTACCATGCCAGTATAGTTCCTTTCGGTGGTTTTGCCACACCTACTGAATCCAACGGCTTATTCTCTCCATGTGTTCTAATATATTGTGATGTTGGGTAGCCGACGGCTGCAAGTTCGGGGGGGTGCGCACCACTCATTTGTGTCCCACTGGCTTTGGCCGGGAACAAACTGTTGGAAAATCCTGGTCCTTGAAACACGAGTCCAAAACTCCTGCATGTCAAGAGACCGGGCACAACCACAACCACAGCATCTACGACCCCGCGGATTAGCGGGCTTGCAGGAACGTGGAAAGATCAAGCATTGTAGCAGCGGGTGGAAGTGCCCTATCTGATTCGTCCACATGCACCTTGGTCAAGCCCGGGTGGCCGTCTTGGGCAGGTTGGGCAGGTGTGCGCGAGATCTGACAGGAGGGAATCTGACATGCATGTGAGCCATCCCCCGAGATCTGGCTGGGATCCTTGCTGTAAACGTGTCTGGGTCTGAACGGAGGAAGGGCCCAAGGGTGGGGGGGACTGGATCTGGTCTGATGTTTATTGGATCGTGGCTTTGCACGGTTCTGTGTTGATGAATGGTGCTCCAGAGAACCCCTCCTAGTGAAGCGTATCTGTTACTCCCGTGAGGTGGATCGAGCGCAAGTCAGTAATTAGTTAGACTAGTGGCAAACGTCAAGCACGTCGGTCTCGAAAAGACTCGTTGGTTCCGCATGGTCGGGACCAGGGAGTATAGATATCTGGCAAGGGACTGCTAGCTCCGAACCTCCCAAGCAAGCAGGGCCAGCAGACTGTTTAAAGTTGTTGCGATTGTCTCGAGTTTTGTGTTAATCTGGAAATCTCCGAACAAGGTGTCGTTGTTGCTTGCTTGTACAGGCCTTACCGGATCATCCGTGGTGAAGGGATAGCTCGGGGCGGGTAAGGAACGCTGTGGCGTGGTCTGAGACCCGAAGACACATACATAGTGAACATGGGGGGTTGTTGGACTTGGTATGAAAAATCGATCCGATTTATATGGCACTAACGTGAAAAGACAAGATGCTGTACCTGCCTTGACATTGGAAACGGGTGCCTCCTGGAACATGACTGTACAACGTAGGAGCGAGCCCCTTTGCGTGCTTTTGAAGTGGGTAGTGGTTTGCTCGACTCTTTATGAGAACAGAATGGGTGAGTTTGGAACATGTATTGTCGGCATTCGGCGCCGTTCGATACCATTTAGAAGTGTCGAACGGACCAAAAGTCATGCGAAATGTGGACTCGTATGACTGGCTACTGTAGCACTAATTGATTACAGGTAAATAACTGACCCAAGGATAGGTGGCTGTCATGGTATTGTAGTCGTTGCGGCGTTTGACTGTCGAGACACCCTGGATGCCCGTTCTAGCTCTTCTCAGTCAACGGCAGGAAGATGGGAAGTAATCCGGCGTAGAACAGAGCAAGGAGATGATGGACAGCTCTCGTAGGGGCAGGATGGGAGAGGACCAGAGCGGACGGATCTTGATGTCCAGGTCGGCCAATCTACGCGTCTTCAACGTTACAGGGGACTTGACGCGTCGGGGGGAGGGGCGCTGTGAAGACCAATGCCGCTGTTTTTGACAAGATACATAGGCTAACCTACTAACCTTAGTACTCACTCATGTAGCTTCGCTGTAGGGTATCCGCGCAATTGGCCTGCAATACGGATCCGCAACGTTGGGGACTGCGCAGGGAGAACAATGCGCGACTCTGCTCTGTGTTGTCTCGTTGCATACTGTCTTCATCTTATTTCTGCTTTGCGAAGCGATCACTGATCGTGTCGTTGTACTCGCGTCACAACACAGGCAAAAAAACACCAATCGCCCATGCTCATTGGTTCAATCGTCTCCGCCATTGCCCTATCTGGTCTTTCGCACTCCACCCATACCTTGACACCCCTTCCACGACCCTGACCCTCGCGACTGAAGCTGTAATCCCTTGCCCTTACTGCCTTACCCTTGCCCGTCATGCCGCGCAAGAGCGATACGTCGCGACGCAGTGACGTCTCAATGGCCAGATCTGCCCTCGCAGAAGGCACCGCTGCCAATGCCGACCCACGCCCCGACCCTCCTGCCACACCTGCCGATGCAACAGCCCCCGTCGCCGACACGACAGAACCTCACGATCCTATATCGACAGAACCACAAGAAGCATCCGAGGAAGTGGACATGGAGCGAGCAAGCGAGTCGGCCGCCCCCAGCGACAAGAGGGACCGGGGGGACACGGTTGGCATCGAGGTGTGTTTGTGTGTGTGTGTGTGTGTGCAGCAGCTGGACCAGCCCAGCAGATCAGACTAGACTAGGCTATGCACGAGCGCCCCCTGGAGGAGGAGGAGGAACAAGAGAGAGAGAAGAAGAAGGGAAAGAAGAAGAAAAAAACCACGGTAGTGCTAACAGAGCGAGCGTTACAGGATCTGAATCTGCCAAAGTCCATCATCACGAGACTGGCCAAAGGCGTCCTGCCTCCGAACACCCAGATACAAGCCAATGCCATACTCGCCATGACAAAAGCCGCAACCGTCTTCATAAATCACCTAACAAACGCGTGAGTACTTGCAGCAACCGGGAAAGCCCCCCCAATGCTGATGTTTCGCGTCCCTCAGCGCCAACGAACGAACCTTGAGCTCCAACAAGAAGACTATAATGCCCAACGATGTCTTCGAAGCCCTCGAAGACATAGAATATCCAGAATTCCGCGACATAGTACAGCAGGAATTCAAGAGTACGTGTGGTCGCAGCTCTCTTGAACTTGTTTTGGCCCGTTTGACTGATCTCGCTCTCTGTAGAATTCAACGAGGTCCAGTCCACAAAACGCAACACATACAGGCGCAAAGTCGCTGCCGCTAAAAAGGGCGTCCCCTACGTCGAGACGCCCGGCCTCCTGCGAGAGCCCCGGGTCCCCGAAGCCACCGGCCCCCCTGGCACCACCTTCATCGAGGACCCGGCCGCCGCGGCTGGCATCGACACGTCGAGGTCCATCAAGAAGCAGCGCATGTCCTCCACGCATCCGGCCAACAGCAGCGCTATGTCAGGCGCGGATGCGGACACCACGCAGGAGTACCAGGACGCCGAGTCCGAACCCGACGAGCCCATCGATGAGGAGTCCGAGGATGAGGTCGAGCCCGAGTTATACGACGATGACGAGGAGCCCGAGGACGAGGGCGAGGGCGAGTTATACGACGAGGAGGAGCCCCAGGAGCGGGAGTTGTACGACGAGCAAGAGCCCGAGGACGAGGACGAGGCACTAGACAATGGCGAGGACAGCGACTCGTAGGGCGAGGAAGAGCGCAACCGCCGGCAGCGTGCTGCAAACGCCGTGTTTCTAGACCAGTTCTCGACTCTGGTTCTGCCTGCCGCGGGCAAGCAATCGGCTGGGAAGAGGTCGAGACCGCATGTCCGAACCAAGATCTACGCGGAAAGGATGAGCCTTGTAAAGTGGGCGCAGGGACCGTCAAGTTCTGCCGATGCTACAGATCGCGTCGGCGAGAGAGCTTCGTAGCTCAAGTAGAGTGTAGCCGCGCAATGATTCAGAATCGTCAGGCGCAAGAAGAGAACATATCTTCGTCACCGAATCTCTGAGACGATGACTCGTTTCTGTCATGTCACTCATACGTCCTCGTCGGGTTGTGCCCGGCAGGGGCTGAGAGAAATGACTTGTGCGAGACCTTGTTGGGAAGGGCAGGGGCACTGGTATATTCCTCGGCGGGCATATAAACCGCTATCTAGGTCCATCGCTTTTACCTCTCTCATAACGTTAACCCAGAACTCCTAATGATCTTCTTGTACATCTAAGTCGATTGACCTACCCAAAGCCATCTGTGTTGTTACGTACAAAAGGGTCCATCAAACAACCCTGATCAGCTCCATCTGGGCACCTCTCTTTCCAGTGGCCTCATCCTTCGCGTCGCTTATCTTGACAATGACCTTCTGGAACAGCTCCACCGTCAGCTCACGGCTGCCACTCGTCTTGAGCACGTAGTTCTCGGCGTCGTAGGCGCTCTCCGGTTCCGGCTCAGCCAGGTCTCTCAATCGGATCAAGCTCTCGATGCCGAATCTGGGCACAAGCACGACGAAACCGTTGCTGAAGATCTTCATGACAAACCCTTCTTCCTCGGCCACTCTGCCCTTCAGCGCTTGGCCGACGTAGTAGGCGATGGAAGCACGGCCCGCAAGCTGTGCGTTGCGGTGACGCACGTTGATGTTCTTGCACACTGCCTCGAGCTTACCACGGGAGCGAACGGCGGGGTGCATGGGTTCGTAGTCGATGGCGGCTGCGAGCTGACGATGAGCGACGAGATCGGCATAACGACGGATCGGAGACGTGAAATGCGTATAGATTTCCGAGGCCAGACCGTAGTGGCGGAATTCGGGGTACGACTGTGTTCCTGAACAGAAGTACTCGGCGCTCATCATGCATCGGGTAGCCATGATACGAATGAGGTTGTTGAAAAACGGCTCCTTGGGGTCGATGCAGCCGTCCAGAGAATCGGCGAGCGCGCGCGAGGAGTCGACTCTTAGTTCTAGGCTTCGCTTGACTTTGAGCTGGTTGGCCAGCTCGTCGAAATTCGTTTTGGGTGGTGCCGCATGGCGACGGAGAATGGCGGTTTGCGGGAAAGCATCATAGATCTTGCCAGCAACGCTGATATTGGCGAGCAACATGAATTCCTCCACGAGAGAGTTCGTGTCAAGGAGCTCCTTGGTCTTAACGTCAATAGGATCTGATGTTTCAGACTCCATCTGGACCTTGACTTCGGGCGACGACAGGCTGAGAGCACCAGCATCCATCCGCTTTTGCTTAAATTTTTTTGAAAGCATGAGCAAACGACGCATTCCATTGGTCAAATCATCCTGCTGAGAAGAGTCGTCTATCCGCAGCTGTGCTTGTTCGTAGCTGAACGCCTCCCGAGACTTGATAACCGACTTTGTAAATCTGACATTTACAATGTCTGCGTTCTCGTTAAGCTCCCATAAGACGGAGAAAGCGAAACGCTCAACGTATGGCTTCAAGGAGCACAAGTCTGTTCCCAGAAGCATTGGCAACATATCAATACGCTTGTCTACGAGGTAGACAGTTGTGCCGCGAATGCTAGCCTCCTGATCCATCGCATTGGCAGGTTTCACAAAATGTGAAACATCTGCAATGTGAACACCAACTTCGTAATTGCCATTTGGCAGAGCTCGGGCATGCAATGCATCGTCAATATCTTGGCATCCAACTGGGTCGATGCTACAGATGAGTAAGTCTCGCAGGTCCTCTCGGCCTTTCCAACCAGGATCGTCAGTGCTTGTTGGTACACGCCAATCGTGTCCCTCCTTTGGAAGGCAATCCAAGACTGTCTTCGGGAACGGTCGATACTGTACGTCATATTCTAGCAGTAATGCTTCAGTCTCGGCAGCTTTGGTCTCGAGCTCGCCCAGCGATCTGACAAAATGGCCGACTGGGTGTCGAGATTCCCGATCCCAGGAGTCGATCGTGACCAAGATTCGTTTACCCAGAAGCTCGCCAACCTGTCGCGTTCGAATTTTGATTTTGGGAATCTTTCTGTCCATGGGCACCAAAAACACCGTCTCCTGCTTCCGTCCTTGTTTTGCAGATGAGCTGACAGATGTCTGGTCCACATGACCAACATATTGCCTCCAGTTCCGCTTGATGATGCCGACAACCTTGGCGGTTGGTTGTGCACGACCTTCCGTACTGGCCAGATGGGTCTTTTTGACCTCTTCCTGAAGTGCCTTTCTCTCCTTCTCTGTGACCAGGTCTTCACCTTCATCACCATCGGCGTTCTCGTCCTTTGTAATAGCCTCTTCTTCGATAATCTTGGTTGAGGGTTCCTTCCACTGGTCTTTCGGCAAAACTTCAACCACCACCACATCACCGTCGACGGCACGGTTGATGTTATCTCTGCCAAGGATCAAAAGCGCCTTTGGAAAAGCCGGTACTCTGATCGAACCCTCAAGGTAATTGTACGGAGAGACGTTGAATATGCCCTGGTGAAGCATGCCATTCTTGGTTCCCGTCATCATCTTTGACATGCTGAAATATTCGGGATACAAGAAGTCGGCCGCCTTCTTGTCTCGCGAAATTCCTCGTTCCTGAGACTCTGCAATCATATCTAGCAAACGTTCCCCGTCCTCCAATCCGCCAACGTAGTCGCGCAGTGTAATTGCAGGAACTTTCTCCTTCTTTGCCTTTTCAATGTTTCCTCTGTCGTCGGTAAGCATGACCACTGTCGGTAGGTGTTTGCTCTTGGTCTGCGCGAGATGGGCATTGTACCACTCCACCGCTTTCCGCACGGCCTTGTCATTTCTGTCGTTGATGCTCTCATCCTGCTCCCTCACTACATACGTCTCAAGCCTGAATTCGTTGAAAAACACATAGAAACGCTTGTCCTCGCTCTTGGTCAAGCTGATCAACCGGTTGTAGAGTGGCAGCGATCTATTTCGAAGCTCCTCCAACACGGTCTGAAGAACAATGACATCATAGAAAGCCGAACTCTGCTCAAACAAATCCATTGCATTGAGCAGGGCATTTGTGTCGGGCACTAAGTAATGGCCCTGGGGGAAAGCTCTTGTTCCTGCTGGCTTGTCTGAGAGCACGGGCGGGCTGACTGCATTCATGTTAGAATCCATCGCAAGGACAGGAGCTTAGGTGGCCCACCTTGACCAGACGCGTTCGCCGGTGCTCGACATTTTGAGCATGCTTGTGAAGAGCAGGGGATATCTTGTCTGAGGTAGACCTCACGAACAATCTTCTGCACCTTGCCACTCTTGGTAGAGCGCACATAGACTTTGCTGGAAAGGTTGAGGTGCCCTTTGTCACTGCCCGAAGGCCTCTTCAAGCTCGTCATTTTGGCAGTGCAAACAGGTAATATGCAGCCTCGTTGTTCCGTCGGACTTGAGATGGTTGGCTCATGAAAGTTTTGATACGAATGGGCTTTTTGGGATTGGTGATGTAGGAAAAACGGTCCGGCGCCGCTAGAGCATGAAATCGACCCCCCCACCTTGCTGGTGACAGCCTTATCGTTATCAAGATTCTTAGCGCAAATCTGCTCAAGCAGTACTGTAAATGTATATTTGATAGGCAAGTCCTCAAACGACCTCTCAGCAGAGCATTCTGTCATACCTAGTGTAGTCTGGGGCCGTTTCTAGACTGACTTGAACGATGCTCGAATATTATGTTGATGTCCTGTGTTGCGCTACTAGTCCCCGTCACTATGATGGTTTGTCCTACAATCGTGCGTGGTAAGGTGGTGCAATTAAACTCCTTCCACGGATGATTTATGTAGGACATTGCCAGAGTCAGTGCGCCATCTCCTGGTCTCATGCTTGTCACGATCTTGTCGACGTTAGATGGCGAACCAGGCCACCGGAACGAACTGCAGCTTGCAATCAGACCCTGCATCCTAGATTTGATTCATACTCCAACAACGATGGAGTGTTCATTAGTGCACAGTCTGCCGTGGGGCTCGCAGCTGTAATATAGCGACTCTCGACGGATTGCACAGAGCGAAGTATTACTCATCGTACAGGATTACCAGCCACGCAACAAACGAGATGGACTTATATAATCAGAAAGAACTTGGGAAGGTCTATACATTTGAGATCGGGCAGGCATCAGGCCTTGCTGTCGTTATCCTTCAGCTAAGCTCTGTGAACATTTTCACCTACGACGAAAGATCTGGAATAACTCAAAAGACTGTGACGAAGTGCAGAGCAGGTGAGTGTTGTGCGCTCAGAGAGTATAGATTCCACTAGTTGCACAAAAGACTGGAGCGACTCGATACGATCCAGGTTGAAGATTGCAAGCCTCCTACACCGATATGCAGACCACCGCAGTCCGTGGCTGGAAAACGAAGTCGTTCGGGCGAGACGTGCATCAACACCGAACAGATGACCGATCCCCCACTCGGCCACCCTCTGGAATGTCGTGTTACACTGGCCCCCAGATTGTCCAGGTCCAGGGCTGCAGAGATACGAGTACTCTATCATGCCGAATCTGAGTCATCTGATCGAAGCGACATAGCCGGTGACTTCATCCATATTTGCTTTGCATAGCCACGTCTCGCACTTCGACGTCAAGATGGGTCCCTGATCCGTTGTTCGATTTGAAAATAACAGTACATCTCCGATGGGTTGAAGGTTCAAATCAAGGTCAACTCATAGCCTGTGTTAGCAAGTGGTGAACCAGTAAGTCTGCGCTCCCGCTCCGTGAATTCGCAGTGCTATAATTTGAAATAGCCAGGACTGGCAAACATGTTACACCATGGTATCTCTCATTAGCAACCGACTATTGGAACAACAATAATATAGGCAGAAGTATAACATCTGTGGGCAGTACTGTCGATTACACAATCTTTCGGGTTCAACGAGCAGTGCCAACTCCTACTGGAAGATTGGCCATGAGGATTGCATAGCGTGGTGGAAGAGCAGGAAAAAAGCGTCACGTAACCCTGCTTCAACAGTTCCCGTAAGTTGAGTTTGAAACATATAGCATGCGAGAGCCGAGGTGCGACTCTGTGCAAGATTTTCGGCTGCACGATGACCGTCCAGGTCAAAAGTAGAAAGCCAAGAAGTGTTTGTGACAGGCTGTTCGATATGCAGGAGACCGTGAACATATCATCTGGCAGAATCCCACTGTCCGCGGTCGAATAGCGGGTGCTGCTTTGTATATAATCCCCGGGATGTTTCCCCAATGTTACCCAAATGACTGCGGTTTGGTGTTTGGTACACTAAAAGAGGTCTTCGGACGCAAATTTGAAACAGCAGGGCTATAGTCATCGAAACAAAATGCCATGTTCGAGCCGCTTCAAAAGTCAATCATTGTATCACGCATATGTATGCCAAGAGCTTCACACGAGGGATTCAAGGGATTCGACGACGCCTCGGGCCAAACCACTTGGTGACTTCACCGATCGCATAACTTGTGAATGTTGCCAAGGCTACTGGAAGCAATAGGATTGGGAATCACCCGGTTCGCCAGACTGAGGCATCCCATGGGCATGTTTAATGGCTTCTCTTCATGAATCGTATGTTTTTTTGAATCTTTTCTTGATATACAGCCTCTGATTGGAATGAGACGAGCGGCGGCCGGTCCAGCAAAAGTAAATATAAGCTCGTGGCCGATCAATGTGACTGCCTGCAAGAGCGGGTAACCAGGGGCCTTCCCGCTGTGCTGTATCCATGTTTTGGTAACGGCAAATGAGTGGACGCCCAGGCCAGTGCTCAAAGCCGAGTGGTTATTTGGTCATGGAGTACACTCCTTGGATTGCCAGAAGACAAGGACATGACACTTGAGTGTTGTACTGGTGGGCCACGTTCCGAAATAGAGCTACCACGGCTTGTAGCGCATCCGACGCAGGCTGCAGTATGTCAAGCTATCAGTACGGTGCCGTTCTCCCGAAAAGCTCGATGGGAAGAATTTGAGAATGAAATGTGGCAGTAGCAGGCTGGGACCAAATGCCGTGAGACAGAGTATCGGAAACAAGCCACATCTAGATACACAGACACGGTCTATGCAGTGATGTTACAGTGTCGTGATCTTGGCAGCTGCTCTGGATGCTGATGTTCATACCCCAACTTCACAGGAGCCCACAGAGTCTGATCCATGTTCTCAATGTTGTAGTCGATGCAGCTGGGGCCTCTGCGGATTGATATCAAGGGTGTGTGGAGTCGTCGAGCAATGATTTGCAGATGGTCAATGCAAAGATTGTGTCAGCTGGTTGGTTTAGACGGAGCCACCATGAACGAATACAACCAATGACTGCTGGTTGCGACCCTTCTCTTCAAGTCGCTTCGGCGCGAGAACCCTAGTCCTCCCTCCCTCTTCTTGACCTCTGAAGCTTTGTGAGCTTCACACCACTTTACTGGCATTTCCGTCATGGCTGCTTTGCTTCCCCACAGTCTCGACCTCCATCACGACACCGTTTCTTACGCTTATACGCACTCCCTGCTGAGTCACATGAGAGCTTTAGATATCGAACCTCTGAAGTGTATTCTCACTGTGGTTCGCACTATCGCAGTTCGAGTTGAGGCGAACCTGTTGTCAAGGCATAAAAATGGTAAAAAGGCAAGACATTGAAATGAGGGGTAAGAAGTTGCAAGCACGGAACTTGGCTTACCGGTTGTGCTATCGAAGGCTACTTGGAGCGTTGCAAGACTAAATAATTCTACCCTACCGCGTGGCATTCCACTCCCGACGACGTGCTCCTTTGCAATACTTTGGTAAACCAGGATGAAACACTGCTTATCTGTTTAGCTCGTCCAACGCAAAAGTCGACTTATCGCGGCAACTTCGCTGTAACAGCTCTGTAGTGTCATTGGAAAAGATCAAGGCAGGCTAAATCTTCTGGTTTCCGTCATGAACTCAAATCTACAACTACTGTAAGTAAGCGGCTACCTGAACTGCACTACACATTGGCGCCAGGAGATGCAATAATTCTCAAGCCCGCCCCGATCGCGACGAGGTTTCAGCTGTGGCGCTTCATCGTATATGACTACGACCAGGGATACCGGAGGCCAAGCCAATCATGTGCTATTTCAACATATCTCCGATTTTGAAGGCAGTCATTTGCGCGAAAGGAATGTAGACCCCCTGATTGGCTTTGACGTGGAATGACGTTCCAAGATACAAACCTGCCGTCCTGATTAGGCATTCATTCCGGTTTTGTGAAACATACATACAAGCGAAAGCTCTTCGGTGCGAAAACTGATTGTGATAGGCGATCATAGTTCTTCGAATCATCGAAGCTGCCCCACATATCTCGTACATACTGGCATGGCGCTTTGGTAATCGTTTGGGCATATGTAAATTGCTCATGGCTAGATTATTTACAGATAGGCAGCATACCCGTCCGAGGTGGTCGGTCGCGTCTTTCTTTATCGATGTATGTACCAGTTGCTGATAATGTGTGCTCGTGATGACAGTCAGACAGTCAACATCAAAATGCAACCCGGCGCTGTATCGCGCTTCTGCACCTCGACAAAAGCGTGGCACTAGACGTAGGCTGCAGCATCGTGCATGAAGCCAGTGGACGACATTAGACCTGTACGACCTAACCGGTTTTGTCAGTATTACATGCCTTTTATGGTACTCAAAGCAGATACAGACTAACAATATAACTCGATTATTTTTATTTTTTAAATCTTCGCAGATAACAAAGATGCCCCGGTTCTAGTCTATCTCACTACCGACGGATGTTCCTTGATCCCTCAGACAATGCTTCCGAGCACCTATCGAACGGGCCCACGGTCTATGCTCGACAACATGTCAGGAAGAACGGAAGAAAGAGGTTCTTGGTAGTCCTGCCTTCGGGGAAAGCTCAACGGATACCACCGACCAATCTACACCGGTCGCATAGTAAGGTCATCTGTCCAAGCATAGCCAGTCAAGGCCTCAAGCAGTGTGAGCTACTCCACCGTGCTTGCGCCAAACTGAGCAAGTCTTGGGCATGTGAAAGATTTCGTTATTATCACAATAATGGAATAACCATCGTTCTAGCCCACGGGGCCTTGCGGGAATATGCGATAACTATTGCAAGACGCCCTTGCCCTATATATTCAGTCATGAATGTGCCGGTCAGCGATGGTCGATCACAGATATGCCACTAAGCCTTAACTTGCAACATAACACGGTTATATTTGGGAGAACATAACGAGGTCATTATACAAATTCGTATGCGTGGGAGACCAGCATAAGCCAGTAGAAATTACGCAAAACAGCCACTCCAGTTGAGCAGCAATATTGGGTTTCTAAATCAATTAGCGCTTCGTGTTTCTCTGTTCGGACACATGGGATGAGATAAGACCAATGTTCTGGCCAAAGTCAATATCAGTATCTTGTTGCAATCTGTTTTGCATAACATCATATGGTTAGTGATCACTTGCTATTAATATCCCAAGCATTGACTTGAATTTTCCGGCTTGCGAACTATCAGACTCTATTATGTTTTTCTTGTATGGGGGTACATTTTTTAGGGGATGTCTGTGACCATCTAGCCAGCTAGTCATCATTGAATCAGGAATACACATATAGAGGCATGTGGAGGGGCGTGTTTATTTCTGCTTGCAGATGGCCGCCACAAATAACTACTATCCAGCATTCATTGAAGCAGCGCCAGAACAGAACTCGAATTCATACTCTTTAGTGCTTACAACACAGATAGACTTTGTTAAATTGATTCTCTTTGACATGTGTTGTGAAACCATGATGTTTTCCCGTACGCCAAGCGAGTTTACGACTCGAAAATTCACTGGGCCATTCGCTGTCGAGAACGCATTAAGAGGATAATGCAATGTGGACTAATAGCAAGCCAAAATAATTTATAAAGAGCTGACCGCTTATAGCTCAAAATCAAGAAGCAATTATGCTGGAGCCAAGATGTTACTAGTTTAAGCTCTCCCAATGGTTGTCCAGATTACTTACTTCATGACGAACAATACATTCATTGGGAACTGGGTCGTCAAGAAGCAGATCTATTTATCTTTGTCTCGTGATGTATAGTGGCGACACTTTCCTTCTAAATCTCGAACCTTATGTGATTGTTCCGTTTTCTGAATGTCTTGGTCGTGAGCGGCTCCTCCGTCTGCAAACGGACAATTGTGCGCTTGTCTATCAAAAACCGCAGTTTGTATAGTTGAATATTGAGAACATCAGGGCTCAACCTGACACAAAGATCAATGGTCTTACCGCAGCCCCATCTACCGAACCGAACCGAACGCAAAGACCATAACCTTACAATGCACGCGTCGGTCAGAAATTTCTGTTCTCAGCTTGACAATGTTGTGGCACTGTAAATATTTCCATGCTTGGAGAGTCAAGACCGTCAGGCAGCAGGACCCAAGCGCGTCGTGCATACACACGGTTTCGTGAGCACTCCTACCGCGGCGCAGTGATCAGTCATTTCCTTAAGCTTTCGGCTGCATCGTCTGACCAGTCTCCTACCCCTTATAGACTAGCGTGGTATGCTATTTTCAGCCGATACACTACATAACTACATAGTACCGACTTGAATACTCGGCAAGCTCGGGCTACCGTTACAACACCTGGCGTGTATCTGGATCGTGTGTAGCCGTGGCCAATACTTCAGCTGGGATATGCCTTTTTCAACGCGCATCATTGCCACGGAGTACCGTTGCATCCGCTAATACTTTCGTGTCTTTCCTGACTAATGGTATTCAATGATACCCTCGATCACTTCAAGTGAATCTCAAGAAATCCTGCCAGGCTGGCGGGGGATCCATGATCAGGCCAGGCGTCAGCGCACCAGTCATCATCATCATCATCATTATCATCATCACCATCACCATCAATACTTTTTCAGCCTGACGCCAAAGAAAGGGGCTTGCGATTTCGATATTATGTAGGTAGTTGCGAGTGAGAAAAGCATCCTAGTACTGTTCGTCGATCATGGATTCTGAATCTGAATCTGTCATTGTTGGAGTCCAGTAATCAATAGTTTTCTCTTTTCGCCACTACTGTCGCAATGACCGGTTCCCCGTACGGCAACAACCGCAATTCGTCCACAAGACAAGACGTTTAACCTTTTCCAGTGCTCGTCTCGCAGTATTTCACCTGGACTCGTCGACTCTTACTTAGAAGGAGTGCTGATTGTTACTGTTGTAGTTGCAGCTGACGCTTCCGAACCCTTGCACTTCATGACTCTTTCTCACGGTCTTAACCCCTGCCGTTCAAGTACCTCAGATTGCGTTTTGGGCGCTCGACCCTTGTCAAGATCCCTTGGCTTTGTAGGTAGGCGGCCTGCTCGGCGGCGGCGGTGATTTCCTTCGTCGCATGGCTCTACGCTCTACGCTCTACGCTCCGCGCTCCACGGTCCTCAATTCACCCACTCAGCGCGTTTTCCGACTTGTCCCTCTTCTCACTCAAACCATACTATCACCATCATAAATCATTTAGCATCTCTGGTTGCGGGGCTCTTCATGCGAAGATAACAGCTACACCTCATTCTTGATAATTTTGCTCTTCTGCGGTATTTGCTCCGTTCCTCACATGCTGCAGTGCATGTTATAAGTCAGAGTGCTATTGCTTGATACAAGCGGGACGCAGAAGAAACCCACCGTGCAGAACTTCTCAGAGATACACTTGCATTTGCATACGTTTCAATGTCTCCATAGCAGCTTTTCGTCCGCCAGCATATATCACAGCCGATACAGCCTTGACGATTCGTGGAGCAGCCATTCCTAAAAGGAACTACCTCGTCCCAAGAATCAAGGAAGCTCATGAGCTTGCAAATCTACTGGATACCTTGACTAGTCATTAGTCGAGCGAACCCACGCAACTACCCATCGGTCCGGCTGCAGTACTATCCAACTAAGAATTACAGACTTGGTACTATCCATTCTTAACGAACACCAGCGGATCACTAAAATAGCTGGAGGTGGCATAGCTTTTCGGCAGGCCTCTCCATCACCTTGGTCTACCCGTCGATCCATCCACACACCCACTACAGACGTGCCGTCGCACATCCCCCATCCCTCACATCCCATCAACTTTCTGGGCTTCTATCCAGTCAACGGCTACTCTTCTATTTGTCTGCTGCCATCGCTGCCGGCTCTTCCTGGCACACCCCAGATCTAACGTGCAGCTTGGCCCTGTTTATTTAGTGCACTTCATGCAGAACTGTATTCCTTTGGTTATTACACAACTGAGTTGCCTGCCACGCTCCTCCGTCTGCACCAGTCAATTTGGACGTGTATTCGACTTTATTTATCTACTCGACCAAGCCGGGGCGAATCCCACCAATCCTTGGTCCCGCCCCTTGTCGGCGCGCATTGTCTCAGAAGAACGAGGGACTCACTCATCCCACTGACAGGCTCAGGCTCAAGCTCAGGCTCAGGCTCAGGATTGTGCCTTACTATTATTTGCCTCGGGACAGACTATATGTGCGAGGGACCGACAGCCAAATTTAACTGACAAGAAAGACAAATCGGCCATCTGATTTGATACCTACATACCTGCCTGCCTACCTACCAACCTACTAAAAGACCAGAGCGGCGACAGGACGTCCTTGTAACGCTTAAGACCTACCCCGGATCCCACAAGCGCAGCGCACTGAAGAGGACAAAGTGACTCCCGTCCGTACCTAACACCTGGTCGCCCGAAGTGGGCTACCTATCGCAAAGGATCGATTAGGTCGATTTGCCTACTAGTAACTAGTACATAGTACAGATTTCCGGGTCTAGCTTTCCCTATTACTATTCGACCCCTCCCCTCCATCCACGAAGTCAAACTCAGCCTTGGGACTTACGCCATCTTAACCAACCATATGCAGACACAATCCTGCAGTTCCTCCCTTCAAGTTCGGCAAGATCAACCTCGCCTCTGTATCGGCAGCGCGTCATTCATCTGAGCGACAACTTTCTAGTCCAACTATAACAAGACACGTCGTTCTGCAGGCACCATCACAGTTCTCCACGCTCGCAACTACAGGACAGGACAGGAGTTCACGCAGGCCATCGTCGCCTCGCCTCCGCCCGGATGTATCATTCCACCCAGCCAAACGGCGCAGAGGGTGCGACCATCAATCCCGCGACAATCAACCCTGCCGCGCTCAATCATGGTAAGTCGGCGCCTCGACTTCTTTTTGTATTCTTTTATCTCGGTGGCCTTCCCTGCGACCCAAGGGTGAGTTAGTTCCGTGGTTCTCAGTGGAACCCGTACTCAATGCGCTGCACTGCAAAGCAAAGCAAAGCAAAGCAAAGCAAAGCAAAGCAAAGCAAAGCAGTGCGATGCGATGCGCCGCGCCGCCCTGCACATGCCGCTGTACCCTACCGCGATGCCCGTCGTTATTATCTTCAGCGGCGTCAGCGCTGCAAGCACGAATGAGACTCACTTGATCGCGTGTTGAAAGTCGTTGATGAGCACAACAACAATAACGGACACTGCCACTTGGTCTTTCTCGCAGCGCGCCGTCGCCATGCCTTTTGTTTTGCGATATGCGCTCTGCTGATGCGCTTACAACATGAACATTGTTGATGGTACTGATGTCGCGTTTCGTCACACAGAACTTTTGAACGCAAACCGAGGGCTAAAACGCAGTCGCTCACCTGATTATCAAGAAATACACTCATCTGGAACACCAGGAGACGATGGTAAGTCTCATTTGAGCCTCTCTCTCTACGTGTACATGTGTAGCGTGCAGCCGCATGTTAGCTCGATCGCGTCGCGTTGCGTTGCGCGACTCTGCCACATGATGGTTAAGCTTCAGGTTGTACGACCTTGAACCTCGCCGCACAGCGTTTTCTGTCGCGCACGCGCGCAGGCACAGAAGCCAACATCAGCAACGCTATAGACCAGTACATTGACTTTTACTTGCGACACAGGTGACAACCCCAGGAAGCGTGGGAGGCCGACGATGAAACCTCGACCGACGGGAGGCTTAGCAGATCAATCGCAGCAACCCCCTCACATAAGCTCCAACTTGCCCACCATGGTGCCGCCGCCACAAACTCCGCAGACACAGAGCGTGCCTCTCCCAGCCCAGGCAACATACATCCCCGCCCATGCGCCTCAGACCTCGCCACCACCAAAGACGACACCTACGAAGACGACCCTGAAGGCATTGCCTACTGTGCGTGATCACACCACGGATCAACTCGGACCCGGGGGCGATGAGTACTTGCCGCGTGAAACCGACGAAGCTGGCGAGAAGAAGGTCATGCCCAATGGTCAGCTTACTGGCAACCGTGAATACAGATGTCGAACATTTCTGGTTCCCAATAGAGGCGACAAGCTCTTCATGCTGGCCACGGAGTGCGCCAGGGTTCTGGGCTACAGGGACTCGTATCTGTTGTTTAACAAGAACAGGTCGCTCTTCAAAATTATCGCCAACCAAGTGGAAAAGGATGACCTAGTGGCACAGGAGATATTGCCGTTTTCGTACAGATCGCGGCAAATCGCCATAGTGACCGCTCGGTCCATGTTTCGACAATTCGGTAGCAGAGTCATTGTGAACGGACGACGAGTACGGGATGATTATTGGGAGGGCAAGGCCCGCAAGCAGGGCTTCACCGAGGCAGATTTGGCTGGTGAGAAGAGACCTGGTGCATCCAAAGCTCGCGAAGAAGCCGCTGCAGCCGCTGCAGCCAACAATCCTCCTCCTCTTGTGGGCGGCCCTCATGGCGAAATTGTTTACACGAATACTCCAGGCCAATTTGGTGCTCCGCCGCAGCCGCAGCTAGTTCAACCAGGTATGATTGGAGCGCCACCCGGAAGCTCGATGAGAATGCCCATGATAACCGCTCCATCCACAGATTTGAACGATCGCCGCCCAGACTACAACTTCATCAAAGGTGGCCCCCGCCAGGAAATCACAGGCCCTGCTTACCAGGACAGAACTCAGTCAAGCCCCTTGTCTGAGATCCATGCGCAGGCCCATCATGCTGCTGAATTCAACCGCTCACTCAATTCAGGCCGCGAGGTACGGAACGACTATATGCAGAACATGTGGCGGAGACCTCACGAACAACCATCTACTCCGACAGTTGGTGGTGCCGATTCGTCGCTTCCAACAACTAGACCGGGGCAGTCGCCACACGCCGCTGCTGCGAACCTACAGCAGCCATCCTTGGTGCCGAATCAGAGTCCTCAAATGATGATGACTGCTGCCCCTTACTCTCAGTCGATTCATACCCAGCAGCCCATCAGCCAGGCACCCATGCGAGGCATGCCTCAAGCTCCATCCCAGAAGCAACCACGACCGCCTAGCTTGTCGGGTCCCTCAGGTAACATTGCTCCAAGTCCCCAGGCATACAACTATGGTCAGAATGCCATGTGGAGTCATCCTCAGACTCCTCAGACCCCTCAGCATTATTCTGGGTATACTACTCAGCCTCAGCAATCACCCCATCCCCAACAGTCACCAGCGCCCCAGCTCCGCCACCCTCCGGGCAATCCGCAGATGCAGCCGACGGCGATGCAATACCCTGGAATGCCTGGCATGAGCAACTACGGCAACCCAGGTCAGGGCATGTATCCACCGGAGCAAACCCCAAGACAGTTCATGCCTCAAAACCCGGCACCAGCACCAGCGGTGACTCAAGGGTGGTCAAACCAGCAGAGCCCAGCTGGTGGTAATTGGTGGGCTAATCAACCTCAATGATCTAGTCACCCCTCGATTGACTTGTCTAAATTTTTCACCAAAGTCGAGCTGCGGACGCTCATAATAGCGCTTCATCCATGCTTCATGGGTACATATGGTGCGTACGTATGAGTTGAGTTGAGTACGCACCAGCAGACGCAAATCTGCCTTTTAGGGAAGCGAGTGACCACCCACATTGGCGGCATCAGCCCGGAGACCATAGAGGAGTTTGGAGATTGGCTTTCCTACCTGTGCAATTGATTCCAAACGACCTATCCCTCAAACATCGATTTTGGGCGAACCGCACTCAGGGGGTTATGACAAAGCCACACAAACTCTCCTTGCACATCTTATGGAAATGATTGGATTTATCGGCATTGCATATACACTTGATACCACTGTTGATTTTCTTTCCTCTTTTTCTTTTCATTTCTTTTCTTTCTCTTTATTTCTTCTCCTTATTTCTTCTCCTTATTTCTTCTCCTTATTTCTTCTCGGTGGGCGGCCCGTTTGCGGCTTTCTCCGCATTATTCGTCAGCATGAGCAGGACGATAATTTCGATGATCGGGACTGGAAAGGTTTCATGGTCAAAGGTGCTTGGCCACAGTTATACGATTAATTCATAATTGCTCGACCTGTCAACACTTCTCGATGTGGCATGCGTGTGATGGATCATAACGGCCACAACTTCCCTGCGCATGATTTCGAGGCTCAGCACTTTCTTCTGTGTCTACGATAACAGTTTGCGGATCAGAGTTGTGAAATATTGGAGTCCGGAGGGGGGGGGGAGTAGCTGGTAGGGTTGCATGGTGGGATGAAATGATGCTGAGCTTTGTTGCGCGACTGCATGATCCTTTGCTCTTGATATACTTTATCCTGCATCCTGTGTTGACATGAGCTGAATGAAGAGACTGCAGTGTGCATTCTGGGAGCATCAGTGGAGTTTCTTTTCTTTGGTTTATATCTTTGCGGTGGTATCTTGTCATTTTCAGGCGTGTTCTCGTTTACATATGCATGAGTGGACGGTTAGGGGGTCAGGTCACTTCTCATGTTCTTATTGACTGAGCTAACTGGAAAGCAAGCCTGTTGCTCTGGGCTGTCCTATCAGGTAATTCGCGAGTAGGATCATTGAACTTTTCACATATGGATGAGGGAATTTGCATATTTGTGGTTCAGGACAAACATCGTCGATGGGATATCCTACTGCCCATCTGTTTACTTTGGAAGCCATAAATTACCGGTACTGTTGTTTGAATTGGGTTGGACCGTTGATATTTAATTGGAATTGAAACCTTCTCCTCCTAGCGATGTATCTCACTTCTATGACCTGGTGCCCGCCTAGATGATCGTGAGTCTTACTCTTAAGCTTCCTTTACCATATACTGCCGACGAAGAATGCTATTGATTCTTGACGACGCGGACTAAGACAGTCTGATAGACACGTCACGTATGGTGATTAATAGTAGTCTATTGATATGGATTGTGATGTAATGGTAAGTAGCAGAGTTAAACTCTGTTCTACTGAAGGCTACCTAAAGTGGTTGCCGTAGGTTTGTACCTGAGGCACCAGGTGGAGACCTGAGGCATCTATTATAGTCCATACTGCAGGAACGGCATTACCCTTATTAATAATAACATCATAGCTTGCATGGTCGACTCGGATGTTCATATGTTCGATCTACAGCTGGGTCCCACTTCCTTGCAACTTGCAAGTTGTAGTGATCACTATCTCAATATTCTGCTCCCAATTCAGCCGCAGCCAGCAGCATCACGGTCACCCACTGACATTCTGGTAACCCAGACGCCACTCACAGGCGACACATCGCAGAAGTATGTTTCATTTCTTTATATGGGTGAGACAACTGACAGCAAGACTGAACGTTTGTTGGCTGCATTAGTCTCTTTAGTAGAGTTTTCCCAAACATCTCAGACTTTCTTCTAGACTAGCCCACAGTCGGTCGTCCGTAACAACTGATTGGAAAGGGAAGAAGAAGAAAAAAAGAAAATAGAAAACGAGTTTCCGTGACCCGTACGCAAAGCTATCACCGGGACAAACAGTACCTTTGTGACGCAGAAACACTGATCATCCAAAAAGTTAGTTTTCCTCGCCCGGCTATCGCTCTGCCCTCTTACTTTTCTTTCCTTTTCCTCTTCTTCACACTGGCATAAGCAAATCAATTGCGCCCACCACGGTTCGCTCGCATACCCCTGACATCATGTGATTCCCTGCATATGCTCTTCGTACTTATGTCTTCCATGCAAAGGAAATACCGGCAAGACTTCGTATACCCCAACGGAGCACGTGTAGCCGGGAGAACAATGGGAGCGGTGGCCCAGGCCCCCCTGTGATGCTGAGTCAGATGCGGCAAGATGGACTGCCGGGTGTGGCGTTATGTCTCTATTCTGCTTTAGCGTCCAGTGCAGGAAAAGCCGACGTGGTGATTAGCAGAGACGAATCAAGTAGTTAGGGCTGACGCGTACCAAACTCCTGGTAGGTATGGTCGGTTGGGTTGGCCTGTTTGCGTGCAGTGGGCGTAAGCAGGATTTGGAGAAAACATTCATCAAGGTGACTTGCCTTGTTAGGTAATTTTGATAGTCCGGCGGTTAACGGAATGGCCAAGGGCCACTTGCACCGGTTGCTCGTAAAATAAAATAAAACATGAATGGTTGGTTGAAGTATGTTGGTCCCCTCCCCATTAACCCGTATGTAGTTGTGGAAATACCATTTGGACTGACGAGTGCTATAAGAGCGTACTGCCAACTGATTAAACCGATTAAACACTGGTTGTTCCTTCCTAATTGGGCTATTTAATTGTCGTTTAAGTTAATTGGGTCAGTCTGAATATTTATATATTCTCTAAACTGTAGTCTTTGCCAATTGACTTATAGAGGTCTAGATACAGACCACTATGAGAAGTATATGACTACCTCACATATGATATCTTCGCTTCCCACCAAAAGAATACCAACCCCGAGATTATAGAGGTTCAGCGTATTCGAACTAACCTTAGAATGCCATTGTAAGTCTGTGGCAAACATGATCTATAGGAATTCGTGTTCCTTCCCATCCCTAATTGACAGTCTCCTCAAGACGAGAGTGCGCAGGATACTGACACATACAAAGGTTCCTAGAGGCCACATTTAATTTCCAAGAAGGACGCCCACGAATATAAGGTGATATAACGAGGAAAGTCATTGAATTAACGGGTAATTGGAATACGAACCTATTAGTGTAGTATGGAGCGCAGTAGGGTAGGTTAATGGATGTTTGAGATGTTATGAAACGGAAGATTCTTTTTTTTGTTGGGGGAGGGGGGGTACACGCTTCTCATTGGACAAAATTTTGATATAGTTAGTCCCGAATAACCCGTAAGTAAAGAACATACACGAGTGTCGTATCTTTTGATATGACCACGATATCATCTTCGTCCCCAGCTAATCCTAGTAACCGGAATATTTCTTCTCTAGAATCTGAAAGCTGGTGATGTCGATATGTCGTCGGAAGGGTAGAAGTGAGTGAATGTATAGACTTCATTGTATGAGAAGTTTAAGAGACTTCTCATTCTAATCTGCTGGGTTCCATACTGTGGAGGGTGTTAGTGAGGGTCCTATGCCTCCTTACAAACACGATCCTGTTGAACTTCGAAACCTGGCGGGTTGGAGATAGGAAGGGCTGTGTTGAGTAAGTCTAAATCTTTTTGGTTGCAGGAACCTGCTTCTATTTATATCTTCCTCATATACTACTTTTTATAATATCCAAGTCTGCATTCATCAGGATCACTTCGTAAAGAACCTTTCAATTATATGCTACTCGACGTGATTTTCTTAATATATCGCTAGAACAGTTCTTGTTAAAACCAAGACAAAGAAATTCTGGATTGTCAACAAACCCTAACATATCAATTTCCTGACGGTGCATGGGGAATTTGCCATAGGCATACGATAGTAAAGGTTCACACTTAACATCAGATCCTTAAATATGTGAGAAAAATCTCACTACTGGGGATTGAAGTCAAGCACTGAAGCAGGATACAGCCTTGCCATTTGACAGCATGTTGATATAGTGCAAGATGTAGCGGAAGCTCATGGTAAACACCTGGTTAAGAGAGCTATTTGCTACTTACAAGGAGAACTTTGTGGTTTCGACTTCTGAGCGCCATCGAAAATAATGGGGCAAAAAGATTATCAAAATGACAAGTCACCCATTGGAAATACTGGCGAATTTAGATTTGAACAAAGACTTGCGTCTGTTAAGGTAAGTCAAACACCACCGCTCTCGGATGAAATTTGCTACAGGATGCTCTCTGAAAATCTGTAGGCTGAGCCACAGATTTAGTATTTCGTAAGCGATGTCATCGAAAATAATCAATACTGTGCTCATAATATCTCAGAATGTAATATACTCAAATGCTTTAAGAACTATACTTTGTGTTCCTCAGCTCTATCCCATGAATAGACTCGCCTTCTCTGCCTTCTTCCTATTCTTCAGAAATTCCCCTGCTGTGTAATTCCGCGGCCACTCATCGTCAAGAGCTTCTATCTCCTCTTTCAGCCCTTCCATCTCAACCTCGTCCTCATCCTTAGCACCGCTGGCATCAATACCCGCATCACCCAATAAGGCTCTACATCTCTCATCGGCACGGACCAACGTCTTTTTGCTTTCAGTAATTATGTCTTTCGCCTTTTGCAGCTTCTCGTCGACGGTCTGATGTGCACCCTCACATTGTGGGCACTTCTTCTGAACTTTAACAGTAGCGAGGGGATGCCCTCTGGCCTGCTTGCACGGCTCGGGAGTCTGGCCTGCGTTGTGTGATTCCTGATGCTTACAGAGTCGGAATGGCTGTGAGGACCATTGTGAATGATAGCAGACTGTGAAGATGGTGCGTTTGAATATGCACATTTTATCTGAGATAGAACTTCCTACGAATACCGATCAAGTCTTACCGATCAAGTCTTTTCTTTTCGTAGCTGGTTTTTCAAATAGATTTCTAGGAAATGATCTGCCTATGACAGCCGAACTGATATGGGTTGCTGGTGACCCTTTGAGAGGAGCATATGAAGAATAACAACATCTCCTGGCCGTGGTAATTTCCCAGGTTATAAATAATGTTGACGTCTTTGGTTCAACATTGAATCTTGAGATGTCTTTGTTGCGATTTGAGTTTTTTTTTTGTTTTTCGAATGCATTGCTGGCCTTTGTTTAGCGTTAGGCATGCGTATTTATTTGCGACGAGCCTCGTCCATTGCAGATAGAAAATATCAATTCTAGTCACCGAAATACGATATAGCCAAAGATGACCGGGGATTATAGATGCAGCCAAAGATGACCGGGGATTATAGATGCGGTGCTACTTATGGCTTATGACGCAGCCAAGCTGAAGCCGATAGACTTATCTACTTCCTCGAAGTCTTCCGCCCATGTGAGGCTGTGAACTAACGCTTGTGTTTCCCTAGTCCTTGGAACATCCTTCCCAATCCTACGCAGGGTCTGTAACAACTTGGAGTCTTCGCCTTCCCCATCAGCTATCACACAACCATACATTGCATTGAGCAGACACTCAAGGTCTGTAATTGAATCACCAAAGTAGAAGCTTGGCGCCTTGTCCACACCGTCTCGCTGCAGCACAGCTTTCATGACATCCAGTTTATCGCAGGAGTTTGTCAAGTTGCGAATCCCACCGGCACCAGTATTGTTGATAATCTCAGGACCGACGACAGTTCCATCCTGCCGGATGTGGTTGGCGATGACATGTATATCACCGCAATCCAACACGCCCTCGATGAAAGCCGTTGACCAGTTGACGCTGATGACCCATATCCTCCAGCCTTCCTTGATTCTTTTCTGAACAAACTTCCCGAAGCCCGGCCGTACCCTCACCGTGCCGTCCCTGACATACTGCTTCCCGGCACGCCAGAGATCCTCCTCGCTGACATTCTCGAACACCTTGCAGCCATTGATCCTGTCGAGGGACTCTAGTTCCACGTTCTTCATTTCGCGCAAAAACTCGACCTCCTGCTCCGGCTGGCAACGCTCCTGCTCCTTGATGTGGAACTCGTCAACATGCCTGTCGTAATCTCGCATGTACGCCTTGACGACACCATCCCATTCTTTGTCAAGGTCAAGCCCGCGGTCTGATTGGATGCGCAGCGCCGCCTTCGCGAGCTCGCCAATTGTGTCGCGCACCGTTATCGTACCGTCAAAGTCGAGGAATATTGACATTTTAGCGTTATGTGATCCAAGTACCAATCATGCTCTGTGGCCGCCAAGGTCTCTGCGATGATGGTGATGAGTTACCATTATAAGGTGGTATTGGGATATGACGTAGTTTTAGAGAAACGGATGACCGAAGCCATTGGAGGTGACCCCGAATGGAGTCAAATGGGGATTGCGGGGCTTCACGATGGCAGTAAGTTGTCGACACAGAACCAATACGAACTCGAACAATAATTAGTCCCAATGTGATAAACGGTTTCAGGCTATGTTTAACTGCCGGCTTTCCTACCAGCTATCTACCAGATCTTGTAGTTTTGATGTTATCTGAAATTATATCACTGGAAGAATACTAAGAATTATTTGTACCCTCCGTGAACTTTTGTATGCGCCACTTTGGGTGGGTTGCCGGAAACGGAAGGAAGGTCATTGACGAATGAAATCACCGAAGTCCTTTTAGCAAGCTTTAATATGTTTGACAAGAAGGGTATCCAGGTTACTTCAAGAAGGGCCAATAAATAAATAAATAAAAATTCGCACAGCCTGACGGAATTTCGAGTTGATCCTCGATACAGCTCAGCTACTCTGGCCTAGAAGCTGCATGGCTAGATGCTTGAATGCAGCATGCATCGAATAGTCTGCTCATGCTGCCAAGGGTATCATATTATCATACACAGACCTATTTCCCCAGTGTCTTCAGCCTCATGCTACCAAACGCCATTTGACCCCCTTATGCACGGAGAGCGCCACAGATTGGCAATGAAAATTTATAGAAAACTTCCCTATGCTACATCCACCATTTCGACGTTATCGTCGTCATCTTCATCGTCACCGCCACTTGCGTCAGCACCAGGCTCATCACCATAGTTGGCAACTTTGTCGTTAGGAGCAGTGTTGGTAGCCGGTTTGTACTCTTGCTTGAGTTCCCAGAAGTTGGCAAATCTGCCAGTCTTGTGCAAAACCGCGATTTGTTCCATGTTTTCTCGTAGCCATGCTTCTGGTTGCTTCAATTCGTACTTCAAGGATTTCATAGACCAGTATGCAAAGCCTCGGCTGGTGTAAAGATTGAAGATTGCATCGAGAAGGGCAGATTGTTCCATGCGAGCAGCCTTTTCTTCCTTTTTGGCCTTGGTCTTGGCCCTTGGATCGACAGTCCGCTAGAATACAAGGATCAATAAAACAATGGACTGGGTTAAATGCACTGAAGTAAAGACTCACGACGAAACCGCTCATCTTCTGGTTGCCGATAGCAGTACCAGCGTGAATGATACCCACTGGGTTCCTTGTTCCAGACATGATGCTGGTGGTGGCCTTGGGCTTGAGGGCATCACTTGCTCTCAAAGCCAATATGTGTTTAGCCTCGGGAGTCATGACGGGTTGCGCATTCATCTCCTTGCGAAACCGAGCAGACAAAACGGTCTTCTTGGGAATTGCTTTGCGATAATACGGTTCTCTTTTCCGCGGTCGTCCAGCTCCTGGCTCAGGCTTTCCGTTCTCCTTGGGCTGGGCTGGCTTAGGTCGCAGGTGAGGCGGAATATCATTGTTGGGACCAGCCTGAGTCTTGTTCTTGAATCCAGGCAAGTCTTGTTCCGTGAACATGAAGGTATTCAGAAGATTGTCATCTCTCATTTCCATTGTGTATTCCTTGGGAACGTTTTGATGGATTGGATTGCTGGAATCAACGAGAATGGCGAACTTTTGTATTTGTTGACCGTTCCGATCGGCTTCGACCCAGGTCCGCACCTTCCCTATCACGAGTTCTTCATCGTCGCCTAACTGGGCCCATTGGTCATAGAGATATTTAGGCAGATGTGCCAGAAACGCGTTGTCTTGAGACTCATTCGGATCGTAGAATTCTAGGTCGCCGGCGTCCTCGTACAACTCGTCATCCTCGAAGGCGTCTGGTGATGGCTTCACATCATCTGGATCGGGCTTGATGGAGGGTTCCAGCTTGACACCAGGCTCGCTCTTGACTGTAGCCATGGTGGCGGTCGGGTTATCGCGTCCTTGTCCTTGGCTCTTGAATCTGTGCTGCAAACCGATCTGATCCCTAGGCAGCATGGAGATATCTCTGAGGCGCAAGCGGCTATCCCCGTTCGGCGCCAGGACAAAGGACCAGTTAAAAGAATTGTGTCACAATGTCGCTGCATCCGTCACAATAAAGCCGACGTCACGGTGCCTTACGTAAGGTAAATGTTAAGTTGGGTTCGAGGGAAAGGTCACGTGTTTACTACTGATATCCAAAGGCTTTGCGGGTCATGGAGCACGGAATATCAGTACAAGGATAAATCTAGTACTACACAGACTAGTGCTAGTACTCAAGATCAATGAACGGACAATTGAATGGCTCGATTGGAAGTTAACTGGCAATCTTGAGCTTTGAGTTGCGCAGCTTGAGGCTCAAGCTCCGTCAGCCCATCGAGGCTGCTCTTATCAATCCAATCCAGCTGACGCGCAGCTGTCGGAACTTTTTTCGACATCCCACCTTATCGGTCGTTATCATAGACAAAATTTCCAAAGGCTCAACCATTATTTGACAAACAGACAACGAGCAAGCGCATCATTGCGCCAGTCAAAATGCCAGCAAAAGTAGCAGACGCTCCTCTAAAGAGGAAGAGATCGGACGGCGCCTCGAAACCAAAGAAACGCGCCAAGTCGGAGAGTAGCAGCAGCAACAGCAGCGGCGACGATGAGGATCCCCAGGTCGACATTCTATTACTCGAGTCGGAGATCTTGCAATCTAAGAAGAACTACAATAACATTTCAAAGTTGTTGGAGCTAGCTTCAGGCGAAGACGATGAGTTCTCGATGCTCGCAAATGTTTCGCTCTGTCGAACATTCATACGCCTGCTATCGAATGGCAGCCTCACCCGTCGCCCCGACCAGTCTGAGAAGACAATTTTGGTTATCCAATGGCTGAAAGGACGCTTGACCGACTACAAGCAGGTGGTTCTCAGTGCCCTAGGCGACGAGGCAACAGGCCCAACTGCACTGACACTGGCGATGCGCATCCTGAAAGCTGAGGGGCAGCATCTCAGTAGTAAAGAAGAGTACAACTTTCCCAGAGATTTTTTGAAAGATATTGTCTCTGTCCTGGTCAAGAAAAGCTCCGAAGACGTTAGACAAGACTATTGCGAGCAGTTTCTCGGCGAATTTTGCGATGTTCGCTTCTACACCTTCAAGGCCCTCAAAACTATCCTCTCCGAGGACACGACTGGGATCCCAACCGAAGAGCTGTTCCGTAACGCTTTTGACATACTGTCTTTCTTTGAGGATGTACCCGAGTCGGCAGATGACCTCGGCGAGTTTTACACGGCACCACCAAAGAAGAAGAACCATCCCGTTACATCCATCACACAGCAAAAGAAGCAAGGACAAGAAGCATGGCTTTCCTTGTTACGATTGGGCCCGAATCGGGAACAGAGAAAACAGGTCTTGAGTATTATGACACAAAGTATTGTTGCGTGGTTCACCCAGCCCGAAGCACTTGCAGATTTCTTGACAGATTCCTACAATGCAGGCGGCTCCATCTCGCTTCTCGCCCTATCAGGCGTATTCTACCTCATTCAAAATAGGAACTTGGACTATCCCTCATTTTTCCGGAAGCTATACTCGCTGCTGGATGCCGATATCCTGCACTCGAAACACCGATCTAGATTTCTGAGACTACTCGACACATTCCTCGGTTCCACGCATTTGCCAGCAGCCTTGGTGGCGAGCTTTATCAAAAGACTTTCACGGTTATGCCTTCACGCGCCACCGGCCGCCATAGTGGCTATTGTCCCTTGGGTCTACAACCTGTTCAAGAAGCATCCGCTCACTACCTTCATGATGCACCGTGAAGCACAATTGGAGGAGATGATAGAGAATCAGGGGCTTGAGGACCCCTACGATGCTGATGAGCAAGATCCATCGAATACTGGGGCAATAGACTCCTGTGTTTGGGAATTTGTGCAGCTACAGACGTAAGCAATTTCCGGACTCATTTTCCGTTCTTTCAAATGTGTACCCGGTGCGCACGTGGCTTGAAATTGTTCTGCGCTCTTCTCAGCACGTGTTGCTCTAGCAATTCAGCCAAATTAACCACAAAGAGTAATGGCTGACTCCAGATGTTGCAGGCACTACCATCCAAACGTTGCAACTATTGCCAAGATCCTGGCAGAGCAGTTCACTAAACAGACGTACAACATTGAGGACTTTTTAGATCACAGTTACAGCAGTGTAAGCCAAACTCACCTATCCTGGGGCAGAGACTGTTGTGTCACTAACATCTGTTCAGTTATTGGACGCCGAGCTGTCGAAACAGATCAAGAAGGCGCCCGTTGTGGAATTCATGATTCCTAAACGAGTATTCCTTCCCAACGATCCGGCATCAGGAACGGAGGACAATCTTCTCACAAAACTGTGGGACTTCCAGTAGCCCTTTGGTAGAAGGACATACTGCTCAGCGAGTACCGTACGGTACAAATATCATAGCCATCCATGATACCCGAATGATTTGCAATCGTACACCATACTGTCATCGCCAATCAAGGAACTCTTGCTCCGAATATCGCTGAATCGCATGACTCGATCTGTCCTGCGTGCAAATAATCCTCGTGACCGTCGATAATGACGGGTCTGCTCACTCTTCAAAGCCGATCTACACGCGATGAGCCGTGAAAGGTGACTCACTCCATGGTCGTTAATCACATGCGTAGTGCAAATGTCAGTCTAGACTTATGCTGTGAGCTGTCCAGATACTATGGGTGCTTTGCATAGTCGTAACGGATTCCCTAGCCGAATGAACGAAGCACAACTGTTCTAAGTTCCACCTTTCAGGGTCGAGGAATGCACTTCGACTGCTCGGGTCCAACGACTGTACGGAACCACTCAGCGCCCCGTCATATCAATCGGATGTCGACATGAGCACAATAGCGTAAGGCACAGCTCCTGAATGATGATGAATTCGATGCCGTTTCGTCCCTGTGGGAAACCACGTCTGCGCTACGTAACACGAGAAGGGTCTTAGTTGCTTCTGGGGTTTGACGTTGGGCAAGAATGTTCGTTTCAGATGTCCAAGGTCTTGTGGTGACTATTGGCTGAAATGCAATCAGGAGATTGAGCAAAGGATTGGATCTGCAGGATTCAAGAACGAGTCTTGTTCCATTGCGCATTTCTTATGGAGTCCCAAGCTGCCGGTTCTACACCGCCATGTCATCTGAGGCTTAGATATCTTTCAGCCATCAAAAGCAAATACCAATTGCGGCTAGCTTGACAAGCAAATGCCTTTGAGGGCCAGTATCACGGTCGAGAACAAGCCATGAAATCAACTACGCTACTCCAACTATACACACATCTGACAAAAATAGCTTCTGCAGTGCTGATGTCACCAGCAACCAGTGAAGATACCCTAGGACCTTACGTACACAGACATTAGACTCTACGGGCGGCCGCAAAGGAGTACGGATTTTGGAGGATGCTGGGAATCATGTGGCTGGGCTTCATAGCTGCGATAAGATCACATCATTGTGTGACATGGCACTTCAATCGCAAGAGGGCGACGCCAGCTCACCTTGGAAAACGTTCGGCCAGCCGGCATTGTTCAGTCCACAAAATGCCAACGTTTGACGCTGATTAGGCACCATGGGGAGTAACAAACCAGGAATCCTATTTCGTATAATTCAATGCACTGTAAAGCCGAGGCATCAATATACCTAATGCAGCGTTCCATCATTCCTGTTCACGGCGTGTAATTGCGTGGGCTTTCGGAGCATGTAGGATACGTAGTGCAGCACTGTTTCCTGACTCGGATGGGATCGTAAATTGTCAAGGATTGTTAGAGGATCCGGAATCTGCACGCTCACCGCCCATTGCATTTGTACCTCGCTCGCTACCTCTCTCTAACACGCACCTATTAGGGGATTTGACTTAAATACTAAACCGTAAACCAGTTCCACTCTCAGGCTCTCCTTCTTTCATTCCGGATCTCACTCACTGTGCTCCCATTTGTGCTTTTAAATCCACCTGCCACAATGGGGTACTCTACGTCCCAGGCACACACTATTGCCTGGGCCGGACACAGTATAATGCCCGTGGTTGGTCTTGTGGTGATACCGGCCGCATAAACGGCCGGTCCGCTTTCTCTCATCACATTGCATCCGAACCACTCAATTGGCCGCAACCCTTTGTTTCATTGTTTGTGCCCGACGCCGTGGAGTAAAATACGGCTTCCACTAATTCTTAAATTGTGTTTGGATCTGTTTCTTCGTCTTGATTCATACGGACGGTCGAGATAACCACAAAGGATATAAGAGAATCCTAGCTTCTCGTTTCGGCACCTCGGAATTACACTTGCAATGTCGGTGTGCGTCGTCCGCGTTTTTGAAAATTTCGAGCTTTAAAAATTTTATTTTTCTTGGAAGCGATGCCCACTTGGGAGCTAAGTACCGGAAACTGAGAGCCCACATCTCGGATCCCGTTTGAGAATCTGCAGTTGATCTTTGCGGTCTGGCGTCATGAAACGATGTCATAATAGTATCTTGATCTTGAGATTTCTTGCGCCTGTTTCGATTGTCCTGCTTGATGCGCACTCACTCCTTCAAATGCTCTAAGAATAGTTTACTAATCAAATCTCCGACGCGCTCAGCTACTGTGTTGATCAATGCTTTCATCCAGGCTTGTCCGAGCTTGAGGCCTATTCCAGAAAAGGCCGCATGGAGCTTGAGGACCAACCAATACGTCGAGGCGAGCTATGCCTCTTCACGGATAGAAGTCCTGTCCTCACTCGCTAGTGATTATGAAATTCTTACTGTGCGAGTAATGTGCTGAGCCATCCCACAAGTTTGCTGGCCGTCTAGACCGTTCATACAGTGTTTGGGCTGAAAAAGCTGCGAACTAGAAACTGGACCTTTCCGATTTGTCGTCAAGAGAGGTGTGTGGATGAGATTCTGCCCAACCTGCCCGCCAACTATGCTAGATATGTATCTTCCTGCCGCGGTGTCGCGTGGAAAGTGCAGCACATGTTTCTCCGATTGGCAAGATAAATGAGTCAATGGAGTATAGAGAGTGATGTTGCTGATTACGTTATTGACACGCAAATCTAGTCGGCAGGCATCTGTAGCAGGATCGATATCGTGATGCAACTTGCTTGGCCATTGGCACGTAGTAGTGCCGACTTACACGCGCGGGTGGCCCAGAATTGGCCGGCCTGGCGTTTTGATGATCGCGCATGCGTAGCCTATCCTCACAAGATCACGAATATCCGAGAACCTCCGTGTCCGTAATTCGCACGTTGGATCCTCGTTGTCGTGAGTTCTGTTTTCTTCTTCTTCTTCGGAGAGTTTTTTCTCCCCCATACTGTTCTCAGAGATAGGCGGGCGCGTGTTTGACTCGATCTCTGATTCAATTCGCCGTCATCGGTTCCGGGCAATTCAGCATAGTTTAGCAAAATTTTATGGCACTTGAATAAATGCGTCATAATTCATCTCTCATCATTCTTAGCACCAGCCGACCATCATGCGACACGGTTGTGTGGCTGGGCTCTGCCTGGATTCTTCGGTCAAGCCTCTGGTCTTTGCGGTCTAGGAGGTCACGATGTTGGGATTTACCTTGATGCCCAAATTTTTAAATCATCCCATATGTCGCAAGATTCCGATGCGTTGAGGTACCTCAGGTCCTTCTCTGGCCATGTTCCGCGTTGTAAAAGCACCACCCTGGTTCCCCGTGGCCTGCCCTGCCAGGATGGGCTTGCCAGAGCTGTCAGAAGAGATCTATCCCGGGCTCCGCTGTCTGTGCACGTCTTCTTTATCCCCTTCTAGCGGTGATCTCTTGCTGCAGTTAGTGGAGTGCGTCGCCGTAATAACTTTGATAGAGTAAAGCCGGTTCAGCGTCTCTGTCTCTGGTGCCGTTTTAGATACGGGCGGGATCAATGGTACGGGGACTACGAGAATTGGACGCGTGCGCAAACGCGACGAAACACGCTTTAGGCCCCATTTTTGCATTCTTGATAGCTTCTCAAAGATCTGGCGGTGGAGGAATATTTGTCGTTGAGAGGACGGGAAAGAATGGAGCTTACGCAGGGTTGCGAAGATCCCTCGACAGGCTCCTGGTTTCATTGTAACTGTGACAGAGTGATGTACCCGTCCGTCCCGAGATGTTAGATCAAGGAATACGTTTAGGGGCCCTCGTGGGCAGTAGATCTCCCAGGAATGTATCATATTGATACAAGCAACACACAACGATGTCTGAATGGCAGACCTCTCAAACAAAACAATTGCGCCCAGACCTCGGATCTTGCGCAGTTCATTTAGTATACCTAAGTTGGAAGGGCTGAAGTCTACTCAAAATAGAGTTGCGTCAAGCGGATACCTTTGGTCGGGCGCTGTGTGTAAGCTTTGACTGACAACGGGACAAAACGGTTTCCGACACCGACTGACGCTATTGAACTTTCATTCTTCTACACAATTGCAGCGTCATGAGAACAGAGTTCCAACTCTGACAAGGCCAACGTATTTCAGACCAGATCGAGTGATCACCACCGAACAATCTCTACCACTCAGCCCAATTTTTGTAATCTGCTGAGGCATGTCTGCCAGGGTGTTTGAGTTGCGGTTATCCACAACATCCGGCAACCGCTTTTGCAGGCTTCTCACACTGTTCTCAGTTCCCATAGACTTGGGGGCATAGGCAGCTAATGTTACTATCAATATCTTGTCTTCAGCCAAAAATACGCCCGTGCACAGTGCGCATCATTCCGGCCCGGTCACATCTCGACCTGAAATCACCAATGATGTGCCCGAAAGCCTGTTGAGTGACCACTGCAAAGATCGGGCAGATCGCTGTCGACCGCTATCAACCGATTGCGTTCCAGCATCAGAATGGGTTTGCGAGGGCTCACAGCCAGTGCCTGGCACTTATCTATGCCACCCCACCACCAGCTGAGCAATAGGAATTCCAAGATGCCTCCCAGTGGCTTTCAGTGGGTGCCGGAGAAGTGCTCGTGGGCGCTTTAGGTGCATGGTCCCGAAGACTTTCAGGTATCAATTTGACACTCCAAGGACGTTGATGCCCAACGTCGGGCTGCCGGCTTCTCTGACTGCCCTTCCCTACCAACCGTTAAAAGTTGGACCCTGCTTTATTGGGAAAACATGACCTATGTGAAGGCTGGCCCGTTACAGTACCCTATGTAGTGCCAGATCCGTTTTCACTCAGTCCAGTACTGTATGGGGTTCTATCCACCAGTAATATTCATGCGCGGGAAGAGCGTGCAAGCCGAAGGGGCTGTTTGACCATCTAACTATCCATACTTACCGTAGCAGGCCCATATCGGTTGCAAGTTTGACGAGATCCAATAGCGTATGCTCTCGCTCGCTGCTTACCGCACCCTGCCAAGCTCGTACGGCCTCAGTAGCATACAGTAGTATACGGGACCGTCAAGTCCATGGGAGCTCTATGTACAGTCCCACAACACGGCTTTTGGACGACTACAATGAGAGCAGCAGTCCGTGACGCTTGGCTTGGCTTGCACTCTGTAAACCGGTAATTCTGGGCCCTTTCATCACACCCCAATACGGCGAATACCCACGTCCCTCCCACACCCTCTCTACCCACTCGCTAAATCAGAGAAAAACTTCCTGTTCGCCAGTCCATGGTCTCGCGGGCTTTTGCTCCCCACTAATGAGTGACTTGATGCTTGTACTCCCCGTCTCCGTAATCTCACCCAGGGAAGACCATTCTGGGAGTCACAGCCAGAGACCAACCTGACCAAGGCGCATCCAGTTTAAGTACAAGACTGCTCCTCCTGCCGTCTAAGCATCGCCCCCATCTTGAAGATAGAGAACATCGCATATCATTGTTATCATTTCGTCAGTCTCACAGTCTGACAGTATCGACGCGCTCTGTATAACAGCACTCTGTTGAAAGTTACAGAGTGAAATCCGCAGACAAGAAGCCAGAGATCTGAAGAGTAGTGTGAGTCGACCGACTATTTCCCACCTTCTGTTTAAAACCTTTCCCGCTTCCCGCTCTCCCTCTCCCCACTAAAGTCACCAACCTCTTATCACCGCACCTTATCCTGCATTTTGAGACTTTCCCCTCCCGTTGTCTCGCAATACTACTATTATTCAATCCACATTCACGCATAATTCATTACTGTTATTACGATTTACGATCACTTCACGACCAAAGAGCTTGTATCCGAGAAGAAGCAAGTTCTTTTGAGTTTTAAATCCTCCACACGGTCATTGCACATCCAACATCAGGTCGCTTTGGCTCTCACCGCTTCGGCTCACTAATACGACGACTATTCTATTAGATTGATTACAGCTCTTCAGCATCGTGTAGACTTACACCACTCCGGCCTCACCACCCTTCCACTTCAAACACAGAATTGCAATGGTCTCGGCATTTCAGATGCAGGCTTACTACAGGCCCAACCCATTGACAGTCGACACAACACAGGCTCAGAAGTACTTCGACGAAGAGGATAGCAGCCACTTCGACGAAAGTATTTTGGACCACAACGGCCTGGACTCGGGACTTGAGATGTCACCGCCCATGGCCGATAGCCGCAGGGACTCCTTTGCTATCTCATCCACATTATTTTCACCCAAGACAGAGGACTGGCAATCAGTTGACATGCAATCCGTACCGTCAAATAACCCCTTCCTGGAGCCACAGAACAACAACCCTTTCATGCGCATGGATCAATCGCAAGGTTATGCACCTCAAGGGCAATGGAACATGAGCCATGGATCAGGCACTTGCACACCTTTACAACAGTATGATGGCCTCGCTGCTGAGTATGACGGCGGCGCATCCGTCTTTCAACAGTCCATGCCCACCCAGACACCCTTTACAAACCCCACTGGTCAGGTTCCGTTGTTCCAGAACATTGGACCCAGCAGCCATTCGATACCAACATCGCCAATGAAGGCGTGGGCCGGCCCGAATCACCAGTCAATGGCCAAGCGAATGCGCCCTGATAGTCCACCCATCAGATCGCATAATGACTTGCGTCGCGGCGATGGCATCAGGAAAAAGAACGCAAGGTTCGACATTCCTGCCGAGCGTAACCTCAACAACATTGATCAATTGATTGCTCAGTCGTCAGATGATCAAGAGATCAAAGAGTTGAAGCAGCAGAAGCGTCTTTTGCGCAACCGTCAAGCAGCTCTTGACTCGAGGCAAAGGAAGAAGCAGCACACGGAGCGACTCGAGGATGAGAAGAAACAGTACACCGCCGTCATCACTGATCAGGAAGAGGTCATTACGGAACTAAACATGAAACTAAACCAGCTCATGCGTGATAAGGAGTACTTTCAGAACCGTACAGAAGTTCTCATGATGGAGAAGGAAGAACTCATTGCGAGTCATACCAATGAGACTGGTGAGCTCCGCAAGAAGGTCAGCGTTCTCAGCGATCATGTCAAGAGCCTCGAAAATGCCAGCATGCCCAGCAACGCCGGCTATTCTAACGCCTTCAACGACATGGAAATGACCATGGATCATTCTTGGGAGAATATGGGATTCTTGGGAGAATTTCAGCCTATGGAACAGGACGTCAAACAAGAACTCCAGGTTGTGCCAACCAAGAGAACTGAAATTGCACTACCTGCGGAAGTGGAGAAGTCTTCCCAAGGTGGCATCCTCTTTATGCTCTTCCTCGTCGGTGCATTCGTCCTGTCCAACCGTTCAGCACCCAGCATCCCACGTGTCTCCGAGGACCTCCGTGAGGCTTCCGCCACCCTTCTTGAGAACATCTTCAAGGACGCTGGTGTTCATGGACCAGATGCCGCCATGGCCGCCTCCGCTCCTCAGCCTTCAGGAAACAGCTGGGCCATGGCTACACCTACTCCAATGCACACCGCGAACATGAACGGGATTGCCCCATCACAACTGGGCGATCTCAGCGACTCTCTTACCCAGCCTACTCAACAGCAAACCAAGGAACAACTCTTCTCCATGACACCTGCCCAGTACAATGGTGTTACCTCCCAGGACTTTCTTCAGAATGCACCACCCCCAGCTACCAGTCAAGGCCGGCGCAATCTCGCAGAATCACTTGCGGCTATGCGAAACAACGACAAGCAATCAGCCGCCGAAATCTACACTAGATCTCTCCTGTGGGACCAAATCCCCCGCGATGTTGTTAGGAATTTTGCGAAAATGGTGGCCGAGGCTAATGTCCACAACGAGCATCAGTCCGGCAATGAAGCAATTTCATGATATCACGACTACGATTAATGACAATGACAATCCCGATTCGACATGACCACGAATCGATACGAAAGCGTGCCTTGTTCATTTTCGATTTTCCCCATGTCTCTTGTTCATACACTTTCTGCCGCCCACCGCGCAATTACATCCAATGCTGCTCACGCGCACCTGTGCACCGAAAGCACCTTGTTTACTTTGTCTAGCGGATTTTCAATCCTTTACCATGATATGTTGAGATTAGCAAGCGAGCCAGCATCTGAAATTGTTTTTATTTTTTATTAAACTTGTTTTCTTTTTTTTTCCTCCGGATTTTTCTTTACTTTATTTTTCTGCCTGTCGATATGTCGTGTCGACATGGCCTTTTGGAAACATGCATGGCGAAAATGGTGGTAGTAGTTGGGAATTGCTTTTCGATGGTGCCGGTTGATTCCGCACATACTTCTTCTTGTAAAACTCTTTATATGGGTTCTGAAGGTTGGAGACACCAGGCGCAGGAGAGTTCGGTCTCACGACAGCTCTCAGCTCTATTTGGGTCTTTTCCTTACGTACTTGCTTCGGAGATCGTACAATGCATCTATGAGCAGCAGGTAGCGGTGAAATTTTCAGGGTTTTCATGGAGGGGAATATGGTGGATATTGTCTCACGACAGGTTTTATGGGTCGGTACAGAAGATGGGACGACCCGACGACGCAATGGGAGCAATGGGAGAAGGAACACGACAACACAACAGTTCAAAGAGGACAGATTTCGACACAGTGGCTTGTTTTCTATTGTCGTTTGGACACACAAGAATTATGAAGTATCTCCTACAAACCAACTCAACAGAACAACAGTATGCAGCGCAGTCAGCAGCAGTCAAATAGGTGGGAGGCATGGCTCCGGTTTCACGTTGTCGAAATCCATCCCATCGCATCTCATAGCTAGCAAAGCCAACTGACCGTCAATGAACGATCAATTCTCTGTTCTCCGTTTTTCAATACCATCCAAATAATGCCTCATGACTGCCAATTCCTCGGTTATGTTTTCCATAGACTGTCTCGGAAGGTCTACATCAACATAACCTTTTCCATTTACAGTCATGACATGCCCTCCGGAGAACCAGACTTTGACTTTACCTCAGTCTAGCCTGCATAATGTTGTGATCTAGCATAAACGTTGCGATGTAGCATACCGCCCTCCAATACATCAAGTGTTCACGTCATGCTCGCTAATGGCAGATCCCTTAGGCATCAGCTTCACAAAGCACGAACCTTACAAAACTCGGAGAAATCACCACGAGCACCATTCGGTGCACTAGATGTTGTCTCGGGTACGCCAGATTGTACCAAGTGAGAACCTTGGCGAGCATGCGACTAGAGTACAGCGATTGCCTACACACACTCACTTCAAAGATGGTGGTCGTATGTAACCACCAGATGGCAAGGCACAGAAGAAATGTAGGGTGCTGATGCGACCGCGTGGGTGAGACTAGAAGCTGAGTTGCGGGGTCGTGCTTCGCTCATCACAGCATTAGCAAATAACCTGGAAATACAGAACACACCTGCTCTGCTAGGTATGTAACAGCTGACGCTTGAGGGTGTGCAACGGATTTCCGGATACTGCTTAACACGCTTTTGATAATTCGATGCCAAGGGGTCAGCCTCCAGGCAAAGTACATATGTGCTAAATAAATAATAAAAACACCTTCTAAGATGGAGTGCAGCGAAGTGCGAATTTCCTGCTTCGGGTATGCCTAGGGGGCTCCCATGATCTCAAACGAGAAGATCGGGAGTACATCGACGATTATCCAGATAGCTGGGAATGCGCGAGTCCTTAGTGTGGGAACCAAGGGAGCGCTTCCGTACATGTCCAGATCATCAACCTATAGACTAGAAGCTGGACTCGTCCGAATTATCACAGGAAACTCAGGGCTCAACCTCTTGTGAGATGGACGTCATACACAGCCTACACGGCCTCGCGTCAAGCCGTCTAGAAATCCTGCATATCCTCGGTCCCATCCAGGGCTCTGATCCCCTCAATTGCTGGTATCTTGCATAACTCGGCTCCTTAGTCTCAAAGCCGCGCCGTTGGAACACAGCCAATTCAGGTCACTTGACAGCTCGCGAACGAATGACAATTTGACTTTACATAACTGCCTGTACGACTTGAAACGAAACTTGCTCTCCTGCTGACAACTTGCTGGGCTGTCATGACCAAGATGGAGTTATATTACTGCCATTGCGCATCCTCCTTGCAAAGGCTATGCGCCTCAATGGCGATCAACATCCATGACGCCCAAAAATAAACGAACTCTGCCAAACAGTCTACTTATCTCCAGTCCTCACGCGCTTGCCGTATCCACTATCCCCGTGCTCCTTCGGCCGCTGTGGAACCATCTTGCGACCGATCCTTCAGTACCGCAACAGCCAGAACACGGCATCCCGACTCCAGCCCCAGTGCTGCGAGGCACTTCCAGTCATGCACTGGTTAGGATTGTCTGCTCCGACAATACACAGCCGATTACATCCCCCCTCCCTCTCGATTGTTCTTTGGTCGCACTCGCACAGCCTTACCCCCTCTACTTCCTGTATTACCAAGTTAAACCCGGAAGCATTCATCAGGCCATCCCATCGTCCCGGGAAATATACTGTTCGTAATCTTGAACGACATGGAAACCTACTCGTCGCTTACCGAGGTCGGTTGTGTATCCGAAAAGTAGCGATTGCATGCCCAACCTTCCCGTCCCCATCGCCCAAGTACTATGGGGGTTTCGTTCAACTGTATAACGGCTGATCCGGAAGAGCCCGGCCTTATCTATCGCTTGGCCTTTGTGATGGTGCAAAGTGATGACTGCCTTTTTATTATGTTAGTACTATGTTTCTAATCTCACGATACGGGCCGACCGGACGGCGCCCGTATCACTTTTTGCAGTGCGAGTCAAATTGTGGGTTCCCCTCCCATCGTGGCCCTCAGTAACGCCCGCCATATAATTTCTTTGATCTCGCTAGGTAAGCAGATGTTGGTTTAAACACATTCCTACGTACTGTAAGGTCGTAGACTGCGAGGCATGTCACGGAGTCACCTCCTGTGCCATGTCATCATTATCGCGGGCACTGATGCACCGAGACTCGAAACTCGATTTCTGTCAGCCAGGGTGGTAATCACCCTCTCACATTTTGTAATCAAGCTATACGATCGGCGATTATCGTGGTCGAGGGAGATTCCGCAAGAAGAACTACCAGCCCATCCGCAGGAGACTTCTCGTATCTAACGACACAGCCGGTAAACATCAAACACCCTTGCATATATGCTGTGGCGAAGAAAGAGTCTAGAATCACCCAGCCCACGGTCTGCAACTTGCTTTGAAACGGGGCCATAAATTACACGTGCTTGACAGCCCAATTGTTTTCGGATTAGTAAAGAAAAGAAAAGAAAAAGGCCCCAAAGAGATCTTGAAAAAAATTCGTTGGACCAAAATGCATCCACCAATTTTCCGTTGAAAGGTTGTCTTGGTCGGTAATTCAAGTAACCTGCTGATGCTCGTCCCATCTTTGCTACCGTCATTGTTGAGCTTATTCTGGCCAGACCTACTCGAAGGCCCTGTAAGCTCTATGTAATGCAAGTAAGCCCAGTGCCTTAATCCGATAGCATCAACATGCAACCCTTTCCAATCAGTACTACCCAACCAATGCTTTGGTTCTGCGACCGCAATATTCCCCCCCCCCACAGAATGGAGATACTCCGCATATGCAGAGTAACTGCTGCACGACACTTTGTATGCGCTTTTAACCTCGATCTTCAATACCCCGCAGGGAAGAACGCCGCTCCCATCGCTGGTTCTGAGTCAATGCAGCCGTATGAGGATTTCCAACAGAAAAGCTTCGGTTGTTTATTTTTACCTCACTGAATATGGGCTATGAACATAACCAAAGTAGCACGGGTATCAGAGCCCTGGGCAGGTATCATAACGGGTACTATAGCCATTCGTAACCTGCAGATAATAATGGAGAACTAAGGTATTGGCCTGGTGCACTCTGTCAGAACTCGCCAGTATTTTGAGACTACCATGGCATGACTAGATAGCCGGAAAAGAACTCTTATTTTTTGCCCTGCTTATCCGGGTCATACTTCTCCTTCCAAATCCTGTGCACATCCATTAGTCAGTTCTTTGCCTCAGAAGATCCGGACACGAAATCACCGGTGCAGACATTGCGTCAGCGTTTTGAACAAAGGAAACATTGGCTGGGTGTGATGGTGGTACGACGGCTGATTCAAGATGCCGCCCGTCTTATTTGGCCCCCAAGCAACCACCGTTCCGGTTACCGCTGGACTCCGTTTTGTGACCTGAATTATGGCTTCCAAAGGCCAGGAATCTAGACCCTCAAAAACGAGGCGAAAGTGCAACGGTTGAGCCAGGAGTGACGATAGCCTATGAAATCATTTGCCCGACACCAGTCTGTGACGACCGTCCTGCATCATTCCCGAATCAGGCGTGCGGCTGGCAAGGAGAGAAAGGATCTAAGAAGGACGCATGATTGCAAAAGTAGGCTTACCAGGTATTGCCCAAAGTCTTGTTTCCGGCCTTTTCAGCCAGCCGATAGTACTTCGCCGAAAGGAACTAAGAGAAGCCCGGAGTCAGCCTCATGTGGTCCATACTGAGCTTGAGGATGATGGCTCAATTGAGCGGTCTCATTCGCTTGTTGCCCCTGAGTCTTGTTGTGCCTCGTTGCTGCCCAATGTGATCACAGCGTGATAACTTAGCTATTAGGAGATACGAGGTCCTGAACAGGCCGCACAACGAAGCAAGGGGCTCATGACCACCACGATGACCCTACTAGAGCATAGCGAGTGCTGGATAGAGTAGGGCATGGCCTGGGGGTTGAGCCCTAATGGGGTGATATATGACGGCATGGGAACATCTCTGCCTAACATACCTTGTCCTTTTTGCATCCGAAACCTTGGAGATAGCACCAAGCAGCTTCGTTCATGGCATCTAAGGAGAATGAGCATGCCGTCACCAGTATCATGCAGGGCGAAAGAGCACAGCTCAGCTAAGCCACTCACCCGAATCACCAAGATTGGCAGCAGTCTCGTAATACTGTAGGGTATTAGTCAAGAACCAACCAAATATAAACACCATGGCAGCTGCCAGGGACATGATGAGTGAAACATGCAGAACTTACGTTCTTTGCGGCAACCGCATCTTTCGGCACTCCCCAGCCATGACGGAAGCAATTCGCAAGTTCGAAGATGGCCAAAACCAATTCTCCCTTCGCGGCGCCTCCTTTCTTGAGTCCCGCTTTGAGAGCAAGGTTCTCAACTTCAGCTGCATTCGATGCCGCGGCCGACAGATACGTAACGGCCTGTGCTAGATTTGGTTCACATCCCCAGCCGTGTCTGTAAACCAACATCAGCCTCTTCTTCGTGCCTGACGGCACTGGACATGACCTTGCAACGCTCCATTTAGACCAGAGATGGCTGTAGGAATGCAAAGTATGTTGCATGATACCCAGCCTCCAAAACAAATTACCAACAGAAATGTTGTCCGACTCACCTCAAGGCAAGCCCATAGAGGACTTGGCTCAGTGGGTTATTGGCGCCATTTGGATCTGCCAATCTCCCAAACATGCTTGTTGATTGTTCCAAAAGCCCCTCCTCGTGCAACCTGATGGCCTCTTGGATATTGTCGTCTATAGCCTTACTAGACACCACCGCCTCCGCGTTCCTCTGGTGCTCTAAGCTCCTTCTGACCGCATGCATGTCGAAGGGGTCTGTTCTCCTCTCATTAGGCGAAGGTGTAATGGAGGCAGACCGGGTACGAGCCTGTGAGTTTTGCTGTGCGAGGATTGTGGCTCTCTTTTCCCAATCTCTTTCCTTCGCGTCATTGTCCACGCTGTCGTCGCCAATCTTGATTTGTGGCAGATTCTCGGGCACATACTCTGACGTGCTCGGTTTTCTGGTCAGATGTAGGCGATGACTCAAGCGTCTCTGTGTGCCCTCCCTCTTTGGAGCGTCGCTCTCCTTAGAGGAGAGGCTATTCCCCCTAGACCTCCGCCCTTTGAAAACATCGAGGCTGCGGCGCGGCTTCTGGCTGCTGTCCTTGGCGGTCAGGTAGGCATCGCGCTCGTCATTTGCGACGTCCGGGCTAGGCGGAGGATAGATGACCTCTTGCGAGTGCGTGTCAGAGCGGATGAAGGTGAATTCTGGAGCGGCGAGCTGGTTGACGGTTGCGTGTTGATCGGCTGAATACTCGTGGTTCAGCCGGTCTTTCTTCTTAAGCATGTCGCGGAGACCCATCTTCGCTGGTGGAAGGGTTGTACAAAAAGTACTAGGAATGGAAGCTGTCCACTATGCGCTTTAGGTCTGGTACCGTAGGTGTTATACTTTAGGACGCTAATCTGGAGTATCGTAGAATCTGCATCTATGCAAACAAAAGGCAACACTGCCGGGGCCCAGGAATTTGGAGCGCCATTCCTTTGTCATCTTATGCAGAGGCTGATGATAATAATCCTTCCGGCTTGAAATCACTTCAGCTTGTACTTCCCGTGCCGTCATCCAAACAAACTTCTTGAGTTTGGAGGGGTCGTCGTGGCTCAGCCCCCCAGCCTTGACCTGGAGCCATTGCAGCGCTAGAAATTGCCGCCGTGTTGCCTACATGGTCATGCAACCCCTGTTGCTGGTATGTAATCACTGTAATTCAAACTTACAACACGAGGCAAGAATTGCTTGCTATCGGCTGTTACGGCACAGGACGGACGGCTGACAGATGGACGAGTAATGAGTTAAGTCAGACTTGAGCTTTTGCGACTTTGAAGCATTTCGCGGGCGGGTTTCAGCATGACAAGGTATTATATGAGCTTTTACAGTATGTATCAACTCTTGTCTCCTCGAGGGTAAACTACTCGTAAGCCGGTTCTGAGACACTGTATGTGTTCCGCTCTACCGAATACAATAAGCTAGAGAATCCAGGATAGTTGTTTTGTGCCGCGTACATGAACAATATCATTGTAAATGTATCCCGCATTCAGGGCTGTAAACGACGAATCGACTCACTGTAGGTATGTAGTATCCACAAAAGGCATTCTGCAAAGGACGACAAGACGACCGTCGAGCCGGTGACTATAGTCGGTTGCCCGGGATCATGTGGGCAGTTGCTTGTTGCAAAAGGCGGCCCAAGTTGCTAGCGATGAACTTAAGTAGACTGATTTTTAGACGGGATCGCATGAATAATGCTGAACAGTCATGTCGTTCTGCTGGTTGCCAGTAGTCAAACAAAGACGGCTTTCATGCGCTTATTCCAGCACGAATTTGCCCCCCTGCCCCCCCACTAACGTAAGTATGTTACCTTTGTCTTGCGCAATCAAGATCAGTCGTCCACCATCCGTCCCGTCCAGGCGGTGAATTTTAACCATTCCGCAACCTCAACCTCAACCTCAAACATCAAGGACAAATAACACAAGTATTCTCTGTTGCCTTTTCAACACCCGCACTTGCGCATCACTACCATCCCCTCGACAGCCTCACGAATACCAATATGTCAACGGCAGAGGAACAAGAGCTTCTTGCTCAGATCAACCGCTTGGAGAGTCGCATCCATCGACACAAAAACCAACACAGCCAGCGTATGTTTTTCAATCAACTTAATCCCGACCGCCGCTAAGATCTGCAGCTCCTGCCTACTCGAGAGGCATCTACCGAACTGCTCCATACTCTCGTGGTTATCGTGGTGCCCGCAGCCATGCGCCAACCTACCGCAACAAGACACTGGTGCTGAATGGACAAGCGCGTCCCGATGCGACGGCTACGCATACGGATGCTAATAGCAGCGGTGCCGCCTGGGTCAGCCGTACTGACCGTCACCTCCAACTCATCAACAGCTCTGTCTTCGAGAAGGACTCTCAGGCTCGAGCTTCCGCCATGGAGGAGACGCAGCGCCTGAAGCACCTGAAGAAGGAGCAGATGGAGAAGAACCGCTTCCTGCACTACGTCCGCCAGAATGCTAGCAGCATCCCGTCAGCTGTTGCTGCTCCAAACGCCGCAGCTTCAAAATACGAGATAACCGTCGAGGGCATACGTTTCCAGATCACTAAGCAAGGCAGCAAGCTCGTCCGCGCACCAGATAACCCATCCTCCGCAACGCCCCGGTTAGCTACCATCGGTGGCGTCAGGTTCTATCGAACGAAAAATGGGAACCTAGTTCGGCACGGTATCGCCAAAGCACAACGGTAGGTATGCCTCTTGATCTCGGGCATGCAACCAATACTAACGTGCGACTGCCCCCCCGCAGAATGGCAGGCGGAATCAAAAAGGTCAACGTGCCATGCAAGACCTTCTCATGGACCGGTATTGTCTTCTCCAAACATCATGACTTCATTACAAGACCGCCAAAGCGCAACGTTCTGGCGCGGTAAGGACGCCCCCCCGGACATGCACTAACTTGTAACACAGGTTCCTGTCTTAAAGGACCCAACTGCCGGTTCATCCACGATCCCTCAAAGGTGGCTATCTGCCGCGACTGGCTTTTCAAGAGCGACTGCCCCAACGGCGATGCTTGTGACCTTTCGCACGAGACAACGGAGGAGAGAACGCCTCTTTGCGTGCACTTTGCCAACGGCAAATGTAATAATGACTCTTGTCCGTACGTTCATGCTGAACATTCACAGACTGATCCAGTGTGCCGAGATTTTGGCTTGAGTGGCTACTGCGAGCGAGGAGCCAAGTGCCCCGATCGCCACGTCTTTGAGTGTCCTGATTTCAGCAACAGCGGTGCTTGTAAGAACAAGGGTTGTAAGCTGCTCCACCGGGAGAGGGCCAGCGTGCTCCGCCACCGAGCAACAACTGCTGGAGACAATGACGAAGACATGCCTGATCTTTCCAGCGATGACGAGGGAGATGGCCCTGCTCCCGATGATATTGATTCCGATGAAATGGAGGAGTTCATAGGACACGACGACCAAGTCGACGAACTGGATTTCTCCAAGGACTACATCGGGTTTTAAGCCAGCTAACTATATAGGTTTGTACATCATGAGTCGTATTCTAGTCTTTCAGGTGGATAGTGGTGGAACAAGCTCGATACCCAACGGCGTTTCGGAGTTTCTTTTTGTTCCCAGTTTCTGGGGTCTTTGATACCCAGTAGAATAAGCGTGCAAAGACCGTAGCAAGAAACTAAATAAAGAAAATTGCGAAGAAGAAATAGCCGTGGTTCACTTGACGTGTTGTGTTGTATTCTAGACTAGACTAGCAAGAAACATGTTCTAGCCTAGACTATCCCCTGGAATTGACTCTTTTGTGCGATGCTGGCATCACGAAACTTTGCTGATCCTCTGTACGTTTATTTCACTGGTGGCAGATGCCCTCAAGTCCCAAGAGCCAATAGCCGAAGAACCAAAGATCAATTGTATCAAAGCTTATTCATATGGAACTGTTGGCTTTCGTGCCCTTTTTCAGCTCTCAACACCAACCAGGTTAACCTAGAGCAGTCTAGTCTGGAGACCGGAGAGAGCGCCGCAGCTGGTCGGCACCTGACAGGAGCTCTATATGCGGTTTTAAGTCGTCTAGGTTAGGCTAGTCTTGAAGTTGGATTTGGGTTGATTTGATTTCCCGGGAGAAGACGGGAAAATTGGTAGCGCCGAGCAGCCGAACTCCCAAAGGCTTGGATTTGGACGGCCATCGGACCCGCAACGAAAATAACCTCAGTTGCGAGCTACGACATTCCTGCAATTCGCAAATCCCCATCACTCACTCATCTCACAATGGCCTCCCGCTTGGCAAGAACTGCTGCCGGTAAGTAGGCGCATGTCCGTCGGCGCGATGGTCGCCCAATTGGTCCCGTCCTGAGCTCACAATTTAATCCAATCCAGGGGCTGCCCGCCTCCGACCGGCTCTCTCCCAGCGATCTGTCCCGGCCATCGCCTCCATCAGCGGCCAGCGCCATGCCTCCAACGTCCCCGAGAAGGTCGACCCCAAGTCCAAGGCCCAGAGCATCGTCGACTCTCTGCCCGGCAACAACGTCATCTCCAAGACCGCCATCCTGTCCTCGGCCGCCGGTCTGTCCGCCTACGCCATCAGCAACGAGTACTACATCGTCAACGAGGAGTCCGTCGTCGCTTTCTGTCTGCTGTCCGTCTGGGGCGCTCTGATCAAGTACGGAGGTCCCATGTACCGCGAGTGGGCCGAGGCCCAGAACAACAAGATCAAGGGCATCTTGAACGCCGCCCGCGCCGACCACACTCAGGCCGTCAAGGACCGCATCGACAACGTCCAGCAGATGGGTGGCGTCGTTGAGACCACCAAGGCCCTCTTCGCCGTCTCCAAGGAGACCGCCGAGCTCGAGGCCAAGGCTTACCAGCTCGAGCAGAGCACCGCCCTGGCCGCCGAGGCCAAGGCCGTCCTCGACAGCTGGGTCCGATACGAGTCCCAGGTCAAGCAGCGCCAGCAGAGGGAGCTGTCTGAGAGCATCATCGCCAAGGTCACCAAGGAGCTAGAGAACCCCAAGGTTCTGCAGCAGATCCTGCAGCAGAGCATTGCTGATGTTGAGAGTAAGTATACTCGTTTCGTTGCTACGAATCTTTTCCTCCCTTTCCCCGAGGGGGATGCCATCGTGCTGACTTGTTACAACAGGGATCGTCTCTTCCAAGGCTCAATAAGCGACTCATTCTATACCGCGAACTCGATAGACGGTGGAAGTAGTGGTTACAGAGATACTCCCGCGAAGCGAAGCAGAGAACGGGTTTCCCTTTGTCAACCAAACCCGTGTTTAACACCTTGTGCATTAGTCAAAAGAAAGCTTGATAAAAACAAACACCTGCTGCGCTTCCTGTGCTAAGTGAGACACGGACGGACGCCGTTTGTATGAAATTTCTTAGAACCGGTTCGTTGGGATAATCCTAATACCACGAGCCTCGGATGTCCCTTATCGACCATTCCATTTTTCCAGCAAACCAACAGTCCAATCCCTAAACCGTCGATCTCCCTCGGGCAACCACCCTTGACTTCTTCCCAGCAGCTGCTTTAGGTCATCTATTGCCATACCCGGCAGGGAGACGTCTTGTACATTCGATACCAGTGACTCGCTCATCCGCTCTGCTTCCTCCTTCGTGACATATTGGTACAGGACCTTGACACCGCCGACTGAACGTTCGCTATCCAGGGCGGATGAGGTAAAAGTAATATCTCCGTTGAAGAGCCAGATTAGCAACAGACGATCTGGGGATGACGCATAGGAGCTGCCCAGGGGTAGTATGACAGACTTGGAGCACCCCGACCGCGAAAGCGTCGAGGCGAGCATCGCGGCCACGCAGATCGAGAGACTGGGTTGTGCTTGTGGGTCGGCAGCCGGCGACGAGATGGCCAGTTGCCATTTATAAAGAGTAACCGAGGCCGTTTCTTCGTGAAGCACGCCAATCTCGGTGTGGCAATTGGCGCAGCTCGCCGGAGTGCCTTGCTTCACCGAGCCGGGAACGCCAACCGTAGTACTTGCACCAGTAGTTGTTGTCTGCGTGAACGACCGTTGGTTAGCTACTCAGTTGTACTAGGAGAGAAGGAATTTGGCAGACATGTTCTGTAGGAGAGAGCAAGCATGGAGGAGATATGATATATATATTGACCAGTGGATATCTAACAACACAAAACACAAGCACCGTCATCTATAGACCAAAAAAGTATGAAAAATGTGTTTCTGCAAGATTTCTTGAAAAACTTCCACGTCCAAGGAAAGTCTCAGCGAAATGCGGAAAGCCGAGTCTCCAACCAGGTCGTCCGGAAGCTGAAACCCGTGGCCCAAAAGCCCGGTTTCTGCAAACGAACTCCCATCGAGAGAAAAACACTATATGTGTTGAGGTTTCTTCTAGGGTATGAGTATCGGTGACCACACCACTGAGTGCATGCGCGAAGCCGCTGGTTTGGCCACCTTCTATATACCCATGGAGCGGCAACCGACATGGTGTGATGCCTTTTTAAAACAGGCAAAGGGTGATGATGATGATGATCGGTGTGATTGCTTACCTTCAGATTTGTGCAGTCTTCTTCAAAAAACAGGAAAGACGTCAAGTCGACGAAGCCTGTCCCCGCCTGTCCCGAGAGACGTGAGTTGGCACCGTAGCCTCTGCCAGCAAGGTGCTCTTCGTTTCCGGAATGGCCGTGATCATGATCGTGGTCGTCGGGTTTATGGCAATGCCAGAACTCCATCATCTCTGCCCAGTTCTCACTTGGGAGATCCTTCCATACCTTGAGCTTCCCGTCGTCGACGACGATGGTTTGACAATTCCTGCACTTTACCGCAGAGGCTGGTTGGAGATCAAAAGCTGACCATGGCACTATCTGGGAATCTAGATGTGAAGAAACCGTTTCCTTGGAAGATATCGGCGATATGGGAAGCCGCCATGAGAGACTTTTGGAACTCTGCTTCTGAATTGGTAATGTTTGCGTTACTGCCACTTCCTTTGGCAGCTGGATAGTGCAATCTTCACCTTGATGCCGAATGGTGAGCCGGCGCCCATCTGTCGAGACACTTGCCTCAGTGCTTGCGGAGCACGGCGAGGGAAGTGAGCAACCGACAGACACTTGACGGATGTTGGAAAGCAGCTCAGCATACAGTAATATCCTTGGAGGTTCTGCCATGTTGACAGCGTAATCTTTCGCGATTTGTATGCGAGGAAGACCAGGTTGTTACATCGGCCGGCACGCCAGTTCCACGGATTTGACAGGTAAAAACAAAAGCTGCCAGTCAAGCTAGGCCTGGGCAGTATTAGCTCTCCCGCATTTGCATCATAATTGCCCCACTGTCATATGTCCCAAGCTTTGGGGGGTCTCAATAATTCAACAGTATCGATCCGCTCAGGACGTCGTTGGAAAAAAGGCAAACTCGTCAATCCTACTGTTCCGGAACCCAGTCTAGAAATGGCCTCGGTATTCTCTTACATTCCTATTGTCAACCGCTTCGTCGGTGCGAGCGAATCGAGCTCCATCAACATCCCACCCATTGAGGTGCATCATGTGGAGACAGCTCCAGAGAAGCGCCCCAGGACGCTGAAGCACCTTCTGAGAGCAAACCACGTGAACCATTCCATCATCTATCATAACCTCCAGTTTGATAACCACTTGCCTCATATACTCTGTTCTGCTTACCACCTGGGAGCCAATGACAAGCAGCTGCACACGATCTATGATGCGGAAATCAAGGAGCTGGAGCCATGGAAGCCGTCGCCACAAGAGGTTGTCATGTCGGATTGGAGGGACTTCCTCGGCGACAAGAGATATCAACGGGCCTATGTCGACTTCTTCGAAGACTCCATGGCCATGACGCACAACTATGAATGGAAGAAAGTCGTGGAGCAGTTCATGTTTGAAGGAGATGAGCCTCTGGTGAATGGTCTCATCGGTGGTCTCGGCCATCCCCTGATACACCTGGGCTATGCATACGAATTCAACAGTCGGGAAGTGGCCATGGAGGCACTCGGCCTAGCAGCGACACAGTACAACTTCCTCCACAAGTACTTGGACAACCCTGTTTACACAAGGACTTCTTCCTTTAAGTCGACGTCGCCTCTCGAGCTTTTCCACAGAATCGCCAGTGACAGTCGATTTGATGGTTTATTCAGTGAGCCGACACTAGGAAACCTCGATGTGTTATTTGAGAAGCACGAGGATCTGGTGATGGAGTATTGGAACGCGTGGTCTCTGGAAAACCCAGTCAAGCAATTTCAAGACTCTCAAGAAGCCGCGGTAGCTTTCCTAGTGGCATCGGTGCCGCCAGGGACTCACTCTTATAATTTCTTCATCTGTCATGTGCTTACGACGAGTCATGCTGTGAGGGTACTCCTACCGATTATACCAAAGAAGTTCCACATCAACCTTGTGCGAGAATGGTGGCTGTTGGCCGTCGCTGTTTACATCTCTGAGTTGAGGCCAAAGATCGACCCTGACTATATTCCCTCTGGGGATGGTGGAGCGAAGCGGTGGAATTATGTCGAGGACAAGGCTTTGAATGGTCCGTTCAGTACGGATGCTCATTTCGTGAAGGGTAAGTTTTCTAGAGCAGGAGCCAGCGTCAAAACGACTAACAAGACTTAGCGGTGCGCACGATGAAAGAGGCAGCGCGAACATGGGGTGACGTGCACGAGAGATATCTCGCTTCGGCGGTGAGGTTTGTTGATGATTTTCAAGGATGGTCGTTTTGAGATGCTTTACGGGTAGAGGCTCAAAGCACGTAATCTCTGAATAGTTTCGAATGGCCAGGCCGAAAAAGTTGATATGTTAGGTATGTGATATGTCAAATTGTCAGTTAGCAACTAGCAAAAAAACCATCGTTTGATGATTGGATTTGGTATGTGAAATCTAATGTAACCTGGCTCGGGACAGGTCTCACATGTGGCCAGTCTAAGTACAAGAGGTATGTTCGAAATATGTTCTGAGTTCTGGGGTACTCCAAAATGTATATACTATATGCTGCATGAAATATGTCAAGATTCTGTTCAGATTGCCTTGACTATACGATAACTGTAGTAGGCGGGGGAGGTTGTTTGTTCGGTTGTAATCCAGGTACCGTATCCGTATTCACTAATTGTAAATGGCTAATCACCTGATAACGCACCTCCAAAAGCTCAAGCCGCAGCCGCGACAGACGCGTACCAATGCAAATGCGGCGGCGCAAGCAAACAGACAGACAAGTAGTATTTCGATTCTTACCACTTCCACAGGTCGAGCTTGTCTCGAGCTGCGAAAGCTCAATGCAGCCTAAAAGCAAAGCCCTACAGTTCTTCAAACCTCAGAAGTCCATGTTCTCATAGACTCTATTGGCGCCCTTTGTCGATTCCGCTCCTCCTCAGTGCCATTACATCATTGACAGATGCAGCCGTCCCGCTGTCTACAGCTCAGCGATGGCTCCTCCAGCCAAGCGTCGCAAACGCAATCTTGTGCACTCCGACGACGAAGGAGAAGCCAAGCCGAAGCAAAACACACTGGCTAACTATCTGTTCTCATCACCCGAACGCCCGAGCAACTCTGCCCCGGCTGCGACCCGGTTGGCTTCGGACTCGCCCAGCCCAATCGCTAGGAAGCCTGCCAGACCGCCTGCACCAACCACGCAAACATCCAAGCCTGCCGTGAAGGCTCTGCAGCTGAGGAGCAATGGGCCGAACAGAGCTGCAACCAGGAGTGTTAGCACAAGTACAAGCGCAAGCCCCGAGAAGCCAAACACACGCCCATCACGGACCAAGCTCGACGACAGAGGCAAAACAGCGGATATCAAGACTCTATTCTCGAGGCAAGCTGAGCGAACACCGGCTGATGTACCGACCAAGCTGGACGACATCCTCAGCGACCCTATTTCGGACGATGACGGTGTGAAGGAGCACAAAGCTTCCATGGGAAGCCATATCGGCAAGAATGCATTGAAGCGCTTCAAAGATTCCACACCGAGCTCGGGGAGCGCACTCACCGTGAGCCAAAGATTCTTGAGGCCTCCGAAACCTGCTCGGGAACCAGCGCCTGAGATTGACCAGAGGCCATGGTCAGAACGCTTCGGGCCTGTCAACTTGGACGAGCTTGCAGTACACAAGAGAAAGGTGGCTGATGTGCGCAAGTGGCTCGAGGATGTAACAGCCGGAAGGCTGCGCCAGCGTCTTCTAATACTGAAGGGAGCTGCGGGGACTGGCAAAACCACGACGGTAAAGCTTCTTGCGAGAGACATGCGTTGCGAGCTGCTCGAGTGGAAGAACCCTACATCGGCAGGCGGCCTCGGTTTCCAGTCGGCATCTGTCCAGTTCGAGGAATTCCTGGGCAGAAGTGGGAAATTCAGCCAGCTGGATCTTGATACCGACACCGACAGCGCTGCAACCACGACCAGCACCGCCACAGGTCGAAAAGTCATCCTGATCGAGGAGTTCCCAAACACATTTACAAGGTCCTCTACAGCTCTGCAATCCTTCCGAGGTGCAATAATGTCCTATCTTGTGTCGAACACGCCATCACTTGCAGCATTCACACATTCTGGATCTAAGAATCCTATTACACCTGTAGTCATGGTGATTTCGGAGACTTTATTAACCACAACATCGGCTTCTGCAGACAGCTTCACTGTGCATCGATTATTGGGCCCTGAAATCACAAGGCATCCTGGAGCAGCCATGATCGAGTTTAATGCCATCGCGCCAACACTTCTGTCAGCAGCTCTTGAACTCATTGTACAGAAGGAAGCCAGAAAGTCCGGCCGCAAACGTACTCCCGGTCCGACAGTTCTGAAGCGGCTGGGCGAGATTGGTGACATCCGGAGCGCGGCCTCATCACTTGAGTTTCTGTGTCTCAAGGGGGACAGCGATACAGATTGGGGCTCCAAGGTCACATTCACCAAACCGAAAAGGAGTATAAAGAGTAACATTGCCTTAACAAAAGGCGAAGAGGAAAGCTTGCAGTTGATTTCACAAAGGGAAGCCAGCCTCGGCATTTTTCATGCCGTTGGCAAGGTCATGTACAACAAAAGAGACGAAGTGCCTCTATCTGATCAGACAGACGAGGGTCAGGCTGAGCGGTTACCAGGTTTCATGGCCCATCGCTCACGACCTAGGCGCTCGGAAGTATCTGTTGACAGTCTTGTTGATGAGACTGGCACCGATACGCACACATTCATATCAGCACTTCATGAGAACTATGTGCTTTCTTGCTCCTCTACTGGGCCTGGCGATCTTTCGTCGTCAGTCGACTACATGAATGAATGTCTCGAATACCTGTCAGATAGTGACCTGCTGTGTCCATCGTCTGACATTTTTTTTGGCGGGCGGGGCTTTGGTGGATTTGGCGGAAGGGATTCCGCTAGTCACGTTCTGAAACAGGAAGAAATCACATTTCAAGTTGCAACACGTGGTATGTTATTCTCATTGCCTTATCCGGTGAAAAGGATAGGTACAACTGCTCACAGGGGCGGCGGAGATGCGCACAAGATGTTCTACCCTACCAGTCTCAAGCTCTGGCGGGAAAAGGAAGAACTAGAAAGCGTGGTAGATCTTTGGTCTACCAGACTACTGACGGGAGAGGAGGAGACTGTCACGTACGATGTTACAGAGGGTGCGACGGTGTTTAGAAAGCCAAAACCCAACGACTCTGGTAGTTGGATGGACAAACAGGGCCCGAAGAAATCAGGTGTCCAGAGCCACACCTCAGCCAAACCACAAGGAGATTCGGCGCCTCCTTTACTTTCTTTGGGGAATTCTGCGCGTAATGAACTTTTGCTGGAACGTCTTCCGTACCTGGCCCACATCGCGAGACGCAAGAAGGGTACTGTCAGCAACTTCAGGCTCAAGGAATTGGAGAAGGTAGTATCTTTTTCCGGTGTCAATGGGGGTGGTGATGAGGACGCTGCCGTAGAAGGAGATGAAGTGTACCCAGCTGATGGAGACGCATGGGCCACAGACAAGGCAGCCGATGAGCAATCGCCATTAAAAAAAAGTATGGGGGTACGGCAGAAGGGCAAAGACGTTTCGGTGGCGGACTTACCAGTACAGTCACTAGTGATAAGTTATGACGACATAGAAGACGACTGATGAAAAGAGTGTGAGGCGACATTGTGCTTTTAGGAACGAGCCGCTCGCTTCAGATGATCTGGCTTCAACACAAGGGTAGCACATTCCAATGACCCGACCCCTTTGAATGTAGTCTGGGATCTGCATATGCAAAGGGTGATAAGTTCTTGGAAATGATTCAGTTATTTTGCTGCACCGAGAATGCTTTTTGATATGCGAATGATGACCAGTTGGTAATCGTGCTTGCCTACTAGCTACTACTGTCACAAAAATCACACAAGGATGATAGTAGAGCACTCTTCATTCTACGGGCCAACAACTGCAAGAGCAAAGTCACGATATCTTCTCATCTCTGATTCCCTTTCGAGCTTGCACATTCAATGACAATCACGGCCACGTCGTTTGTCTATATAAGAAAGCCACTCCAGCTTGTCCACCATGCCTCACTCACCCAACCAGCCAGCCATCCATTGATGACACACACGCCCATCGCCGACAAGGTGACCACTACACACCATACCGACCCATACTCTCCTGGTTACTGCTGCAACTGCCTCGATGGTGAGTGTAAGTCAATGCCAGAGTCGTTGAAATGCCCTTGACCAATGACTATTCATAGAAAACCCTGGTCTTCATAACCCTTTTTGTGGTCTGGGCAGCTGCCATCCCGAAAGAACAGCCTAGCAACAAACGCTTTTCTGGTCGTATGACGTGGAACAGCCGTGGGCGATTCCCTTGGGACGATGTCTACTCATATGATAGGGATAACCCTAACAACCAAATTCCTTACGGGGTTTATGTACAAGTACGCCTAGCCCAAACAAAGATATTATGAGAATATGAAACGGTATACTGCGCAGAGGCATGACAGTACCGTGATCATGCGATGCCTGTGGTATTTTCGATTAGTTCTGAACTAACGTATCTCACAAACAGGATCCACAACAACAGGGAACGACAGAGGTGGCAAATGAGAATCAAGTCACGTACTACAACAGGAACACGATATTTGCTGCCTTGTCGCAAGGGGCTCAAATGGCGGAGGAGGCCACCAAGATGGAAGTTAATGGCAAAATTTGGCCATCGCGACTTCCCAATTACTCTGCCCCACCGAGGGGAGTTGTTCATCAACGACCAAACATTGGTGACGCTAACTGGGATGCTCATAGTTGTGGGCAATCCCAATTGCTTCTGTTTCCCCTACATGGTCGTTACAATCCCCGAAGGACGGTACCATATGTGATGCCAAGAGTGACTTTCGACACTGTTGTATTCCAACGTAACGGCCGATCAGAACAAGGTGCCTGGCGTTACGTTGGCGTGCTTACCAACCGTTTTTGGTCTATCAATGATGCTTCACGGGCTATCACCCCGGTAATAGCACACTGGAAGTCAGTGCAAGGTCCCCTTATTTCGATGGCTCACGCAAAGGTGTAACAGCATGCTGACGGAGAGAGTATAGTTGGGGCTGGCTGGGGGACCCACGCCAGCTAGGTACAATCGATAGGAGAGTCCATGATTCAGTGGATGATGTAAATTCGGTTCTTCAATATCCCGGACTGGACCGATTGGCTTCAGTAATCGTGACGCCAGGCATGGGTGCTGACGTTGGCAAAGACAGTGCCAGCAGCTCCAGCAATAGCAACTTTGGTGTCGGCGGCATGCCAGGTTGGCCTGGAGGTCATGGCACCGGCGATGAAGCAGGGCTCCCGAGCTTGGCGTCATTACAGCTTCCCAGTTCTAACCACGGTAATATCGGTAATACTCCGAGCGGGAGCAGGGGCCATGCCGTCAGTTATGGAACAGGACATACAGACCTAGCTACGTCCCAAAAATCTTACCCTGCTTACGGTAATATCAATACTACTTCGAGTGGGAGCAGGACTTATAACGTCAATTCTGGACAAAGACTCCCGAGCTTGGCCTCGCTACAGCTTCCTGGCTCTAATTACGGAAATAGCGGTAATACTCCAAGGGGGAGTGGGAGTGGGGGTTATACCGTCAAACATGGAACAGGATATGCGGACTTGACTAAGTCTCAGGACTCTTACGCTGCATATGGTATTACCACCAGTTCCCGGGGTGAAAATTACTGGGACTCAAACAAAGGAAAAGGTCCTCAACCGCCACCTCCGCCTGGAGCTGGGGGCGGGATTAGCAGATGAATGGTTAAGCACTAATTGACCTCATTACATTCTCAAGTTTAAAAGCATGTATGGCCTTGGCGAAGAATGCCTAACCTCGTACCCGCTATTACAACAAAACGGATACTCAAGTATATACTACCTAAATATCACTAAGGAAGCGAAACTCTGAATTGTAGTAACTTGACACATGAATATTAAGATATTCTTAAATTTACATCTATAATTGATTGATTATGAAGGAATGAATCTTAAGCTTTATCATAATGCTTTAATAAGAACGACCTTAGCATCCGCATTAATATAATGGGCACAAGCTAGCCTTGAACCTGTAAGGAGCAATGTCGTAATAAACTGTGAGCACAGCTTTTGTATACATTTCTCTTCTTGTTACCCTTCGCAGCTTTCGTTTCTCGCATTAATTTATATTCTAGTGCTTATAATTGTGTAATTATGTTGTCGTTAGTTAGTAGCGACAGCCGCTCACCTGATTCTCGAGTTGATCTTGTATAACACTAATACCAAACAGTTTATAATCAACATAAATCTCTCACCATTGGTTCCATTAGTAAGGGAGAGCGATCCCATCGCATAATGCCCGGTATTTTATCCTATGCACTTGCAATCAATGGAAAATTTTCTTTAATGGACGGAAATACCATGCCTTACGATGGTGGTTGTAGAAGGTGGCATTTGTTCTAGGAGCTCCGGTAGCAGGCGATTTTCAACGAGGCCAAATGAACAGAAAAAATTTGGCAGGACACGCAATATGAATCGATTGCAGATCAGACACGAGTTATCACATATTTAGAGACAACGCTCGGGATGGAATAGAGCCGCGAACAACACAGCGGCATAGAACCGACTATGATGAACAAGACATGCCTAACTTCCTACTAAAGATATAACCTACCGGGACTTGTATTAGGTTTCTGAGACATTTGCTGCGTAAGAAGAATCTCTGCACTATTTTGGGACACAAGGCGGTGGTTAAAGAGCAGCGGCAGCAATGTAAGGTTGTCAGGTCGGGTATATCTCGCATGCCTTTCCTGTTCGAATAGGATATAATTAGTTGAAGCCTAATGTGGCCTTACTATGGAGGAAATCTCTTAACCCCAACACAGCACTATTTATTCGAGATGACGTATGCTACGGAGTGACCTCTGAATCAGAACCCACCTGCCCCCGGCTTATGGTTTTATCTAATCCAGCTACGTATACAAGAGGTGATATCCTGGGCGTAGGCAGCAGTGAATGATTTATTTTCTGTTCTCACTCTTTCGGACCTGGCAGCACAAGGCATCACTGGAGGCGGCGCCACATGTGGCTCTACAGATCATTGCGGCCAACTACTGGGAGGGAAAATTGTAACATCTATACATCCTGACTGTCATGTCTGATTTCTCAAGGAAAAGGGTTGGCTCGGCTTCAAATCAGCGTGTTCGAATCATGACTACAGTTAATGTTGATTTAGCTGTTTCTCGTCTTGCACCAACTAGCTTCCTTGCGGTTAAGATAGCGGTGGCAGTAGAGATTCGGCGAACGAATACTGTAGACGAAATATGGCGCCTGATTACAGCTAGAACTTGTGTGCTTGGCTGATCTGAAATTACATAGGCCAGTGTGAACTTGGACGTGATGGTCTACGGAATCTGCAGCCAAGGCTCGTCTCTCATGTCTGCAAAGCGAACAGCCTCGGGCAGTCCAGATCTATGGTACGCAATGCTACGAGAGCCTAGACTGAGCTGGATAGCAGTGTCTCGCCCAACCTAACCACCGGCGTTTCTCCCAAGGCAAGTTAACTGACCTAAGCATTGGATGCCTTGATGTGGGCGGACTGGCAAGCGAAATCGAGTTGCCGTATAGCATTATTGCAAGAGTGCATCGCATGACCCTTTCGTCCAACTAAAGCCTCAAGGCGAACACCTCTTTCGACCTCTGAAGCCACGCAGTCTTGAAGCCGCACAATCTCGTGTGAAGTCGAACCTGATGGGGTTTCCTAACTGGCCATTTGTATTTCCCCCACGACGATGACAGAAAACGGATGCTGCGAGACTGGCGCTGCGTGCATGTATTATACGGACTATAACTACTGGTTTATGGTGGGTTGCGACCCTGACCCTTGCCTGGTCGGTTGTCCAACTAACCTTAGCCTACCACAGTAGACTACTCGAGACTAGACTAACCTAAACACGTGCACAGATCACTCTGCGGCGGAGACCTCCTCACCTTTCAAGGAGCGCCTGTGGGAGCTCGACGACGCGTGAGACCAGCTGCCTTGAGCTTGAGCTTGAGCCGTAGCAGCTCTGTCCCAAGTTAGCAGCGGCGGCCACTGCAGCAGTAGCAAGCAGTAGCAGCAGCAGCAAGCGCAAGGCAAGCCTTGTCAACGTCAACGCCGGCCTCAAACGTCAACCATCACCTCAAACCCACGCCCGTATCCTCCTTCTCCTTCTCCTTCTTCTTGTCCATCGCCCCGTGTATCACCACCGTCTAGAGCCCCCAACACACCACACCTTGATTCTGGAAACCGACCGACATTTCTTTGTCGTCTCTCGATCTCTACCCACAACCGCAATATGGATACCCTTGTCGCCCGATACAGTCGCCCGGCTGCCTTCTTAGCAGAGACCCATGTCGACGACCAGCACGATGAGCTCCACGATGATAGCACCGCCACCCTGTCTCTGAAGTTTGCCATGCCCCCCATAGCACAAGTAAGCCTCTGTCCTCCTGCAGTGCATTGCAGCCGCCAGCAACCGCGCTCCGAACGCCCAAGCTGACCATTCACTCGTCTCGCAGCCCTCGGCTTGGCTCCGCGCCGCAACGGATGACCATTCCAACCCGCAATGTCCCATCAAGATCGCTCACGGTACCACAACTCTAGCCTTCCGCTTCCAGGGCGGTATCATCGTCGCCACGGATTCCCGAGCCACAGCCGGCAACTGGATCGCCTCGCAGACCGTCAAGAAGGTCATCGAAATCAACGACAAGATGCTGGGCACCATGGCCGGAGGCGCCGCCGACTGTCAATACTGGCTCGCATGGCTGGGCATGCAGTGCCGTCTGCACGAGCTCCGACACAAGCGCCGCATCTCGGTCGCCGCCGCCTCCAAGATCCTCGCCAACCTCGTCTACCAGTACAAGGGCCAGGGCCTGTCCATGGGCACCATGTGCGCCGGTGTCACCAAGGAGGAGGGCCCCGCCTTGTACTACATCGACAGCGACGGCACAAGGCTCGCTGGCAACCTGTTCTGTGTCGGTTCCGGTCAGACCTTCGCCTACGGTGTGCTCGACGCCGAGTACAGGTACGATCTTACCGACGAGGAGGCTCTGGCTCTGGGCAGCAGAAGTATCCTGGCCGCCACCCACCGAGATGCTTACTCCGGTGGTTTCATCAACTTGTATCACGTCAAGGAGGCAGGCTGGGAGAAGCACGGTTTCAGCGACACCAACCCCATATTCTGGAAGACGAAGCTGGAGAGCGGCGAGTTCTCCAACGTCACAGCCGACTTCGTGGGTGACCGAGTGTAGGATGCTGACTAGGTCACTTGGAAGGACACCTTGACACTCAGATGTAGACAAGGCATGCCCTACACCCAGGAAGGACTGCAGGCTATCTGGAATGTTTTGATGCGTATTCCGTGGTCTCCCCGAGGCCCATTCAACTCGCCCGTGATAGAACACTTGGAAGCTCTGGGATAGATGGATCCTAGACCTAGACATAATTCTCTACACCAAACTCAAGCACAGCCTGGCTCCGACTCCGATTCAGAGGGGGCTTTACACTCCGAACATGCATTGGAATCAGAAAAGGCGTCACAGTCGGGCAGGCCATCACATTCGGGCGATCCGGGGGAAAGAGTAAGACCATGTAAATGTACAACCAAGGTATTGAGTGCTTCTAGATTTTCCCCCCACGAATTCTATGCTATTATGATACACATGTCCATACCCGCATCTTGTGAAACGGTGCCTTCACAATGTTTCTTCGTAAACGGACAAGCAGCCTTTTACACTTTCTTGACGTTGACCCAGCCTGGAGCGCCCAAGATACCGCCTCCCTCGGCTGTCGGGTCAACTGGCCATTTCCTCATGACCAGAATATCCATCTTACTCCGCCAGCCTGCCTCATACATCTCCATGCCGGTCCATGCGATCATGGCAGCATTGTCAGTACACAAAGCCGGCGGAGGCGCGCTGACTGCCAGATGCCCGTGACCCCTGACCTCTAGCATTCGCTTCAGAATATGCATAAGATACTTGTTGCTGGCGACCCCCCCGGCCACCACTACAGTCTTGATGTCGGCATACTGGGGGTTGTCCTTCAGCACGAACAGCAGCCGGGATACCAGATGCTCGAAGGCCAGCCGCATCGCGTGCTTGGCCACGAGCCGCCGGTCCTCCAGCGACATGTCCGGGTGGGCCTCGACCGTGCGCTGCACCTGGCTGTTGAAGCCCGCAAAGTCGTAGGCCATGGCCGTCGTGCCGCTCAGAGGCGGCGTCAGCGTCCAGCCCCGGCCCGAGTCGAAGACCTTGATCTCGTCGGCGCGGCGCGGTGGCGGGGTGTAGTCGTAGGCATCCTCGGAGTCGACCCCTCCTCCCGCTGCTGCTGCTGCTCCTGTGGTGGGAAAGGCGAATCTCTCGAGCAGGGGACCGTACATGACGTCTTCCAGACCCGCGAGGTGCGAGGGCGGGATGACGGTTCGCGCGCACTTGTCGATCATGTCTCCGATCGCGATGTTCATGGCCTGGGCGAGGATGCGGTGGTCGGTCAGGGAGCGCGAGTGCACGAGCAGCGTGTGGCCGCCCGAGACCAGGAGCGAGAGGAAAGGGAAGTCTGGGGAGTGGGGCTCTTCTGGTGGCGGTGGTGGCCGCTGGCCGCCCTTGTACGCCGGCGTGATCACCGGGGAGGGCTCAGGTTTTGGTGGTGGTGATGGCTCTCCTCCTGCTTGGCCGTTGCCTCCTCCCTCCAGCGCCGACACGAGACGAGGCGTCAGGGCGTGCGCCTGCATGTGGTTCACGCCCAGTAGCGGGACGTCCCACGCGGCCGCCAGCCCCTTCGCCGTGTTCAGGCCCGTCGCCAGGTTGGACGTCATGCCCGGGCCCCGCGTCACCGTCACGAAGTCAGGCTTCACCCGCACCTCGCCGTCGACCCACAGCAGCTTCCTCCACGCATTGTAGTCGCCGATGGTGACGGGCGGCGCCACGGGCAGCGAGCGCAGCGCCTCTTGGATCAGGGGGCCGAGCGACGCCGTGTGCGACACCACGGAGGTGAGCGGGTGGACGCCCTGGAAGGCGCGGTTGTCCGAGGTGATCTTCTTGTTGAAGAGCAGGCGGGCCGAGGCGGCTCGGGGGGTCTTGTCGAGCAGGGCGACGCAGCTGTCGTCGCAGGAGGACTCGATGGCAAGGGTCAGAAGGGATCGCCGGGTCCCGGGGCCATTGCGCCGTTGCGATGGGCGCAGATGCCGCGATAGCAGGCTAGGCGGCGTCCCTAGGCGTGGCCGGATTGAGTACCATGCTACGCTCATCAAGGGAGATTTTGACGAGGTTGTGCTTCGAGGTGCAACATTGTTTGTTGTTCCATGGGAGATCGGATCAAGCCAAAAAGAAAGCTGCGGACGTCTAGACCCCTGGGCTTTTGCCGGCTTTGTCTTATCTTATCAGTGGAAGTACATATGTATGTACGGAGCATACATACATACTGCAGTGTAGTATAGTACATGTAGCCTTCATAAACCTGGCCGAGCCGCAAGTCTTGCTAGAGGGACCAGACAAACGAGCCTATGGAACCCAAGAATTCTAGCACAAATACTGCAACGTAAAATGTGAGACCAGGACTCATAAAAAGCTTATAATTCATGCTAATTTGGCATTGGGACAAAAGACACGTTGGATATCGAGTACAGTCACGCCCCACTGTATGCTAATGTGCTGTGAACGCTGTCCCAAAGTATCAACCTGTGTGCATCAAAGTAAGGTGGAAATAGACTTATTACTGTACTATTCTTCTGTCAGGTGACTATCTTGTGAGTCTTGGTCATCACCATGAGACCTGGTGCGCTGGGTCACTCACTGCCGTATGTATTAAAAAGTATGTATGAACAAGCCTGGGATACATAGTACAAGGTCCCAATGCAAATGGGGCCTACTGTGATTAGCGGCCCCTACCACATGCCACAGAATATATTTCCCGACGTCATGGCCCTCTCTCTAACCTTGGGATGCTAAACGTTAGTGAAGCTCGTGAAGCTCTTGAAGCTCTCTCAGCGGGTCCCGTCTGCACATGCATTTACCATTGCGTTTTAGAAGCTTCATCTTTGCCGAGCGTTCCACCAACTGCCCATAATCTGCACCGTCCGGCCGACAGAATGCAGCCAAACTAGTCTTCTCTCCTTTGTATTTTACACACCACCGCTCTCAATTCCACACAGCTTCTCAGCGAGCCAACAAGATCAGAATGCCGTCGTCTGCGCTCGGTTAACGGAAACACAGACCATCTCCCTCTTGAATCTCGAGGTATCACGCTGACCCCCCAGCCACCACGCAAGGCGACCACCATAGCATGGAAACACCTGAACGCAGCGACCGCCAAACTCCCAACCGCCAAGCACGTAATACCGAGCCGCAATCGCCAACCGGCCCACCAAGAAAATTCTATCTTACCAAAAGCAGACGCAATTCCAGTGCCGACAAGGCAATGACCATGCCGGAGGGACCGAAGGAGGAATCCTTCGTCCATGTCAGCGAAGCTCCAACCCAGCAGCCCAAAGAGCCCGAGGTCAATGGTTTCATCAGCGATGAGAAGCCCAATGGGCATGGGGACTCGACCCACGACCCAGACTCAGCCGATCCGTCGGCTGAGCCGCCTACTTCCGAAGTTCAGAAAGGGGTCAGCTTTGCCCAAGTATTGAAAGACGGCCCTGGACCCGGGGATGATGCTTCAACCAGCAACCGGCTTGACGGCAATACGGACCAGCCTGATGTCCCTTCTCTTGAGAAGCCGTCGACAGAGAAGCCGGCTTCCGAGGTTCAGGACGGTGTCAGCTTCACCGAAGCCCTGAAGGAAAGCAAAGCTTTGCAAAAAGGCTCCAGTGACGAAAAGGCCCCAAAGCATGGAATATATGGCTCTGATGAACAGGGACATCAGAAACGCCAGAAAGAGGATTCCGAGAGCGAAAACGGGCATGCTGGCCAAGGCCAAGAGAAAAGGCAGGAACGGGATGACAGTGATATCCGCAGCGACGATTCATACCCGGAATTGGACGAGATGACTATCAAAGAGGTTCATACTCACCAGCCGCCAAAGCAACATGAGCCCTACACCAAGATCAGATGGGCGCCCTTCAACGTTCCGGCTAAACGCCGCTGGCAAACTCTTGTTGTCTTGCTGCACTGTCTCTGCATCGGGCTATCCGTATCCATCTTCTTCGCTTTCTGCGCCAACCCTTTCGCCTGGCCTCTCATACTCGTGTATCTGATGCACTTGCTCACATCAAGCGCGGCAACCGACGGCTCACTCAGGTACCGGTCGGAGTGGTTCCGGAGCAGCTACGTCTGGGATCTCTTTGCCGGATACTTCCCCGCACGACTTCACAAAACCCATGATCTGCCGCCCACAAGGAAGTATATCTTTGGCTACCACCCCCATGGTATCATTTCTCATGGCGCCTGGGCCGCATTCGCGACTGAGGCTCTGGGGTTCGCCGAAAAGTTTCCTGGCATCACCAACAGCTTGCTCACCTTGGACAGCAACTTCCGCATCCCGATTTATCGCGACTATGTCATGGCAATGGGTCTTCGCTCTGTGTCCAAGGACTCCATCGCCAACATTCTGACGAGGGGAGGCCCAAACAACGAGGGCATGGGCAGGGCCGTGACCATTGTCATAGGTGGGGCTCGTGAGTCCCTCGAAGCGCAGCCCGGACAGCTGCGTCTTATCCTGAAAGAGCGCAAGGGCTTTATCAAACTCGCAGTTCGCACAGGTGCTGATCTCGTCCCTGTTCTGGCATTTGGCGAGAACGATCTGTACGACCAGCTCCGCCCCAAGGAGCATCCTGTAGTGCACAAGATCCAGATGTTCATCTTAAAGGTATGGAAGTTTACGCTGCCTTTCTTACACGGCCGAGGCATCTTCAACTATGATGTCGGGCTTATGCCGTACCGTCACTCCTTGAATATTGTCGTCGGCGCACCAATCAAGGTGCAACAGTACAAACGGATTGATGACCAAGAGATCGATCGCCTACATGAACTGTACGTGGAGGAGTTATTGAAGCTTTGGGACCGGTACAAGGACGAGTTTGCAGGGGATAGGCAGGAGGAATTGGAAATTCTGTAATGGTGTCAGGTGCACACATGTATCGGGCATACATACACCTTACCAACATGGTGGAATTCCGCGCAGGTCGTTTTACTAATATCATAGAGACCGTTGGCGCTATCGTTTATAGCTATAGAATAACACGTATCACTACATCGTCGACTCGAATCTCCTTTGAAATACAAGATGAAAATTACACAACCATCCAGTGACAGAGTGAGAAGCAACCACATCCGCAGCATGCATTAATTCAGCACAATTCTTCCCAATCCTAGCTCCAAATCACTTCATTATTTAGACCACCCGGGCGTCAATATGCGCTGGGAAGTCGACGGCCTCGGAATGCAGCAAGTAGGAGAGACCCCTATTGCAATTTCGGGTAACTGGGCATAGAGTAGTGCATCTGTTTACATGGTGTTGATGTCATTGGCTCATGCACCGCGCCTCGGTTTGCTTTCAGCTGAAGATGGATAACATGGGGAGGGTCCAAGCCCATTATATGTGGACAAGTAGGCATGCAGTAGGATCGAGGGCCGACTTGAGTAATCGTCGATTGCGAAAACTTGGGGTTTGGCCTAGTCTAGGTATGCACATAGATGCGTGGGGAATATAGCACACAAACACGCTCGTGGGCATCATTCCCATGTGGTCATAATTAAAAGCAGCAACGCGCCGCTCCTAGTATTGGGGCGGGTGCCGGAGCTTAAAGGCCCCAGTAGCGCGTCGTGCTATTGATAGCTTAAGTTCCTCACCGTCAAAGTGTGTGTCTGTCAGTGGTGCCTTGACTATGATTGCAAGTTCGTGTTGCTTACACAGTTTAAATTGCCTCGTTAGCTGTCGAACATGGGGAGGCGACGGAACAGCCAGACGGGATTCACATGTGGCGGGGCGTGCGGATAATTGTTTTCCTTCGTTTCTCATCATGATCGCTCCGTTGTCTGCAGTGGTGGCCCTTGAGTTAGGTGAAATACATACACAGCAGACCATAGCTTACACATGGCACGCGCGTGTCAGGTAGCCCGTTCTAGACCGACCCTGGGAGCTGCAGGTGATGACACCGCTGAGAGAACGAGCATACATTGCAGTACATCATAGTCGGGGAGGGGGAAGAGTGACCTCAGATGTGTGGGCCAGTTGATGATAGCCAACAACAAGTACTGTGTAACGTGTAACCTATAGTAGCCAAGTAAGAAGCTGCGGGCTCCACTGCCCCAGGTTTTTTTGTTTTGTTCCGTGTTCTTTTTGGATGGTTTCGCGAGGTCAAGAATTCGGGGGATTCGGGTTCGGGTTCGCGGCCGACCAGCGAAAAAGTCCGCCTTTCCCGCCAAGGACTAATCAATTCCAGATCCGCGGCTGTTGCTCACGCGCTCAGTTTGCAAAAACCCCCTGAGCGGGAAGGTTCTTGTGCCATGCGCACCCCTCCCGGCTTTGATATTTCCCGGGCTGGCCTGGGTTGGGCTCCCTAGAGTTTGGTTTGTTTACATAGTTACAACTTGCGGCACTGTCAATTGATTGTCAGAGGATTGATGCAATCTAGAACCAGCTCCAAGGCCCATTGTTTTTTTTTTCCAATCCGTTTCTCCAACAAAATGATGTGCGGCGATTTCCTATGGCGGTAAAGGATCTGCTTGTGTTCCTCCTGCGAGCTTGTGCGAGCCACAATGCAAGGAGCGGGTGCCAAGACCCTGCATTTAAATCAAATTCAAATTCAAATGGCTGCGGATTTTTGTTGGTTTGACTTCAGGGGCTCTGAAGTACCATCAAGGGCAGGTACCAAAGTGCACAGTAAGAGTAATCGACCAAGGTTAGGACAGGACAGGTTAGGACAGGACTAGTTGGCCAAGTTCGCTACATGCCATGGACTATGTAGTTAGTAGTAGCAGGTGGCAGGCTGTCCGCTCGAATCCGTTTCCTGTCCAGAACCCGAGCTAAAAAAGGTGACCAGCAAATGAATGGATCGCCAGGGCTTGCTGCAGAGCGTCATGCGCTGCTCAGTAGGTGAAATTACATGGGCATGATTACATACCCGCATACTTGGTAGAGAGGCAGACAAGCAGAAAGCAGAGAAGCCCCAACTTTCCCATGGATCACATCCGTTTAGTCCACTTTCGGCAGCAGCAGCAGCAGCAGCAGCATTAGCAGCGTCAGCAGCATCAGCAGCAAGCAGCAAGCAGCAAGGTCCCCCAAGGGCTCAAGGTCCACGGTCCACGGTCCACGGCCCCTGTGCCATGTGCCGTTATCCCATCATTGCCTACTACTGATACCTTGAAATTTACATTGCATACACTCCCTTATTCCCACTTATCATGCCTTCCCCTTTGTCCAGCCAAACCCACATTCAGTCTCTACCACTACCACTACCACTGCCACTGCCACAACAACCACATACCGCCAGTCAGACGACATCAGTGCCGAGCAGAAGCACAAGCAACGGCTACAGCCTCACACCACCACCATCTGGGCCACCTTCGACCAAGAAATCCTCAAGGAGGACCCGAGCCGTCTCACTCGTCCTGCCCCCCGCCAACGGAGCCGGAAACATCGACTACTCGAGCCCGTCCTCGGCCTCCTCCGCGACTACGAGCTTTCAGCAGTCGGCCAATTGGAAACCACGACCTGCGGATGGTGCCACGGGAGTCAGTGGACGTGGTACGGAAGTTATAGAGATGGATCAGATCAAGACGCCCGCAGCCGGCCATCGCCGGCGGAGGAGCACCCTGACGTCCAGCGCAGGCGGCGCAGGCGGTCCTCTCCCAGGAGGTAGGGCAAGAGCCCCGAGCATACGAAAATCCATGGACCCCGGCTTGGACGGCAAGATCTCAGAGGAGACCTTCAGCGGCCGCGGTGGAGAAGGCGCCGGCTTGAGATCCGAGGAGTCAGACGCCGACAAGAGTTTCAGTGACGAGGATCTACAGGATGACGAGGAGACTGGGCTCACAAAAAAGGACCGGAAGAGGAGGCGCGCAAAGAAGAGGAGGAATCAGAGGCTGGATAACAGGATCGCCAGAAAGAACATCTCGGATGAGGAGAGGAGAGAAGCAGACCAGAACGTCGCACGGAAAATCGCCATAAATTGCCTGCTCATTGGACTATGGTATATATTTTCATTATCTATATCTCTGGTAAGCTCTCGCCCGTCTCGGTCCTTCCTCTTGCCATTGTGGCCCCTCCCTCCGCCAAATATTTTTAACACAAGATCCATTGCTGACACGTTGTTGATATGCAGTATAACAAATGGATGTTTGACGCAAAGAACCTCAACTTTGCCTTCCCCCTATTTACAACATCAGCGCACATGTTGGTACAGTTTTCCCTTGCGGCTCTAGTGCTGTACTTCATGCCCTCCTTACGACCGGGAGCCGGGCAGAACCTGAGGCATGATTCCGATCCCGATCGGCCGCTCATGACAAAATTATTCTACTTGACACGGATAGGACCTTGTGGCGCCGCCACGGGCTTGGATATTGGATTGGGAAATGCGTCGCTGAAGTTCATCACGCTCACATTTTACAGTTTGTAGCCCCCTGCCCCTCACGGTATCGCCTGAATTGTTACTGACAAGACCACAGCCATGTGCAAATCCTCTTCTTTGGCTTTCGTCCTTTTGTTCGCCTTTCTTTTCCGCCTCGAGACACCAACCTGGAAACTTGTAGCCATTATCGGTACAATGACGCTGGGCGTTGTTATGATGGTTGCTGGCGAGGTCGAGTTCAAGCTCAACGGCTTTTTCCTTGTCATCTCAGCCGCCTTCTTTTCCGGTTTTCGCTGGGGTCTTACGCAGATCCTGCTTCTGCGGAACCCCGCGACCTCGAACCCCTTTTCTAGCATTTTCTTCTTGGCGCCAATCATGTTCCTCACCTTGATCGTCATCGCCATTCCCGTGGAGGGCTTTCCGCAGCTCATCGAAGGCCTGAAGGCATTGAGCGAGGCTTGGGGACCCGTTCGCGCGCCACTGATCTTGATCTTCCCCGGAACTATCGCTTTTCTAATGACAGCGTCCGAGTTTGCACTACTCAAGCGCAGCAGCGTCGTTACGCTGTCTATTGCAGGTATCTTCAAAGAGGTTGTCACCATCAGCGCTGCGGCTCTGGTTTTTAACGACAAACTGACGGCCATTAACATCTCTGGCCTGTTTGTGACGATAGCGGCCATCGGCTGCTACAACTGGATCAAATTCACAAAGATGAGGAATGACGCTCAGGTAGAAGCGCATAACAAGCATGGATATCAACAAGCAGAGAGCGGCTCAAGCAGCGACTTGAGTGACGGCGAGGAGGAAGAGAGCGGGTTGCTGGCGCATAGCGAAGGGGAGGACATGCTCACGACGGACGGTGATAGTATTCCGAAGCCGCACGCTGAGGACGGTAGGTCGCCAAAGGTCGGTGAGAATGTCCATTGAGGGGTGGCATCGAATGGACCGTTGGGTGGTTTAGATGTTTTCAACCCACATATATACTCGAAGCTATTGAGATGTGCTATCGGACCGTACTCGGCTACAATGTCCTGGCTAGCAATTCGCCCAGGAGGGATCAAGACGATGTTTCAGGGAGTTAACGAGAGGGTGCCGCTGGCCTTCATCTCTTACGGGTGCGGCCGATGCTAGAGAAAGTTTGACGAGGTCTAGAATTATACCCACTAGCTATATAGGCATGAGCGAAGCAGCCCGGTCTAGTAGGGGCCCTGGGCTCATGTTCGGCTAGAATGTAACATAATATAAGCAACATATGGCTAAATCACTGCAAACATCAACTGGTGGCCCTCCCTTGTCCTCTGTGGATATTCAAATGCTCAAAGCACATGCATGGGGGGCAGATGATTGGCCCTCACCAGACCGGAGACGGCCTTTGCTACGACAAGTTCACGCTTTGTCTAGGAGTCGGCAGCTACTGACTCCCTGTTTGTTATTACACCAATTTAGTTGATCTTTACATCCATCTTAGCTAGCATATGCGGCAAATCGACTGGCCTGCGTGATTGCGCTTTTCCGGTCTTTTGCTCTTGCCTAGGTAACAGGCAAAACCAGCGGGTGAAAGTTACCACCGTATGTGTCAACTTCCAGGGGGTGACGAACCGAGGTTGGCATGAGAGCCTCCTGCCCGACCTCGCCGGTAGGGGATCGGCATCTCGGGGAGGGCATCTACAGCCGTGAACACCCCGAAAGTTCGCGCGTTGCCAGCCGGACGAGGGCAAGGTGAGGCCATATCGAGCCTCGTTTCGCAGTGTCAAGACCAACCACCATGGCCCGGCTCTCAGCGGTATGATACCGCTCCAAGAAGAGATGAGAATAATAACATTAATGTTCAAAACTGTAAACGCTTTGAGCCTGACGTGAAAGGACCAGCCTGTATCTCATTCATCAGTGGAGACCCTCGCCAGCCCGCTTTTGTCTTCCCTCGTCTCCCTTTCCGCTTCCCCGAGGCCTGATGAGCACATAATGTAAAGACAATCTCGGTGGGGAGGTTACAATATCCATCCCGTTGTCTTTTGCTCCTCCTGTGTTTTCTCCTTTCCTCCCTGCACCCTCTTTGGCCATTAAGCGTTAATCTCTCCTGTATATCGCTAGGGTTGTTTGCAAAACGCCTACCAGTGAAGCCGGGACGCATCTCATGGTAGGATAGCCAATACCTGAGAAGCGACATAGATGGGAGCGGCCTTTGAGAGCCTATAGAATGCTCTGCTGTAGTCCAGGAACACACGTTTTGTAATCACGTGGCCGGCACCGAGGACCATCGACGCATTGGCGGCAGTAATCGCCAGGGCCTCGACGCATCTTGTCTTGTACCCGAGATCTTTGCATATCAACACCACCATCGTGGCTTCTCGTAGCAGCTCCCAGGAAGGCCCCAGGAGTCGGTGCGCTTCGAGCTTGGCCGTGTGATATTCTAGCTTCTCCTCGCGCGATGATATGCCAGGTGCATTGCCTTCTTTTGCTTGCAATTCTCGGAATGCCTCCTCGTAGCGTGCGCGAAGTGTTTGGTTCATGGTCATGTCGTTCGTGTTGCACTACACCATTTGGGGTCAGTAATGACTTCTTCGTAATGGGGCCAGTAAGCATCTTCGGGAGTAATGTGAAAAGGGGACAAAAGGCTTCAATGCTTTGAATGGGCGGGCAGATATACACTCCGCACAGGCCCCCGAGAAGAATAGGAGATGAGTTTCAAAGTTGCTTACCAGCGGGCATTGGCACTCAAAGCCATAGAGGTTGTGTAGTACGGATTTGTGATCTTCTGCCCATACTTTTATGAAAGAGGCGGTGATCTCCTCGCCTTTCCGAACACGGCGCCTAGCTCTGATGACCTCGGAACCAGTAACGTGGTTCATGTTTGTCAGAGCATTGGGTGCACACGAGTGGTTGAGCTGGGAGCCTGCGAGGAACAAAAACACCATGTTTGAATTGATACCCAGACGTGCGTGGTTCAGCATGATGGAAAACAGCTTGATGTACTTCTCACGCATGCATAGCTGGCGACCCGAACCCTCTATGAGGCGGTCCACGGCCCTGGTCAGATGAGTCCTCTGTTCATGTGAACAGTGTTCCCGGAGACTTAAAATACGTCTTTTCTGCTTTCGTGCCAATACATCGAAAGAAGCCACCAACGGACCACATTGTCTTCCCCATTCTGCCCATGCGAAGGCTTGGCATTCGATGATCGGCTGCTCTTCGTTGATGATTGTACCAGCTTCGATGTCTTGCGTCGCATACACCGCAATGCCGCCATTAGGCGACTTGCCGACTCTCGAGAGGACAACCGTGGACATCGCGTGTTCAGCCCCCGCTTGGCGAAAAGAAGAATGGTGCACCGCTATCAAGCGTTGCCGTAGTTGACGTCGGAAAGAAGTTACCCACCTAGCATCCGCGAGTCCCCTTAAAATAAAGATGTTTGGTAGACGAGAGTTTCCTTCAAGAACAGATGCTTGGATTTCGCGTGATATTCTTTTTGCGCGGGTCTATAAACCGAAAGCAGTGCCGTCTCTGTTTGAAAATATCTTTGTGATGAAGAATAGATGTTCAGGTCCAGACATGACAGAAGGGTAGCTGTCTTAGGTAGCTACAATGCCAAGAATATTTGTTTCTAGAGATGACGAGTAGCGTAATGTTTGAACGATGTCCAGCTCAAAGTTTCGTGCCTGAGGGTTCGCGAAATGCTGCAGAGCGTTTTGGTGATTGTATGCCGTTACGCCGGATGCAGCAACTTTGCTTTCCAGACTAGTTGAACGAAACCCTAGCATAAAGCCATGCGACTCTAGTAATTGACACGACCACCACCCGGTGCCCGCAGAAGTTATGAGGTGTTCTAACTTTTTCTATTAATTACCCTGTTGTCGTCATTGTCGTCGTCGTTTCCACCTGATCTGACCAAAATACGATCGCAACTAGCTTTATGTGTGATTAGACTTTTGGCAGGTGCTACACTGCCACAATCCTAACCGTAGTCCTACTTAGTAGCACAGTATCAGGAACTTGTATTTATTCGGATTTGTTTCATGCTGTCAACACAAAGCAGTGGTTGGACCACAAATGCTTGAAAAATCTGGCAGTCCAGTTCCTCAACGCCTTTAAATGTTGCTTTGACGGCTAATTAATTCTTTGTCATCAAACAAGAAAGCTTTTTGGTAAATAAGTATTTAATCCTCTTATACGAAAAACGGGAGAGTGAATTAACCTAGTCGGGAATGAAAAGTGGGAGGTTATGATCTCGGAGCCGCAAACCAACTACGCCTTAATCAGTATCATGGAATCACAAGAAGAGTTTGATCGATTTCTGGCAGCACTGAAAAAGAGACGTGAATTTTGGAAGTCCAACTGGAAGCTGTATAGGGGAGATTTCTGGACATATCCCTTTGACTCTCCATGCACTTCTAAAGACTTCGTGTGCGAGCCGTCACAACTTGGTCTAAACTCGGCGAAAATGAGATTGAGGCCGAGGCAAAACACGCTGTCAAAAGGCGTGGTCTCGGCATATTTTCACGGAGATTTCGACTTGACATGTGTTCGAACATACAGGCTTTAAGTGACGATGATGCCCAGGAGCTATTGACGTCTTACATGGCCGCCATAGATGGGCTTTTCCTCTGGGGTCTTCTAAGCAAAACAAGCGTTGTTGTTGGTAAATTCGGGGCCCAGTGCCGCCCGACAGATCCTATACTCGAGTCTGTTTTTGTGCGTCGTGGGGAGAATGCCTTACGCTACCCCCGTGAAGCTGGGATAGTCGGGGGCGACTGGAGCCCAGGATACAATACAATGAGGATCTTTGAATGGGCCCCGCACATTCGCCGCCCTTTTTCGCTTCCGGTGATAGTTGCTACTATAGTACACGAGCTCTGTCATGCTTCCCTTGGTATACTGACCTGCGATGATTCTTATGTGGGCTGTCTCTTAGACGTTGCAACAAACGGCGGCCACGGAGAAATGTTTTGGAAACTAAATCAGTTCATAATGGAAACATTTTGCATGGTCTTCCCCGAAGTCGAATTTTTCCAGAAAGAACTGAAAATAATCAAGCTGTCCCTTGGGAGAGTGCAGCGATCAAACTAAGAACGGTTGAAGGGAAGGGTTAGCATCGACGCAATCGCATCGATCTGGACAGCCAGAGCCCGATTGCTCACACGCTATGCTATAAATTTTGTGAGGTCGTTTGTTCCTACAAACCCATAGGGCATTTCGTAAGATACTATTATGCTGTAAATTACAACTATGTAGTCAATGGCTAGGAATTCAGCAGATCTAGAATTTGACCCGTGCGTCGTCAGAATAAGCGAAGCTGATTGGGCAAACAAGACGTTAAAAACAACATACTCTACCTCTTTTGTTGCTAATATTTGTGTTTTTATGTGCTGGGTTTCCTCCTGTCGGACTCGTTACATTGGCAAGTAATGGCACTCAGGTCTTTGGCATGAATGCGATATTTCTGTGCTGCCTATATATAATGGCCTTACTCAAAATAAGAACAAAGAGGTGTCACGCCCAGTATGGAAGTAATCAATCAGCATTTCAATTTAATTTGTAGTATGGGCTCGCACATCCAACCAAACTGATAAACAGTTCTAAACTCTGAGTATGCTATGTACTTGTATAATATCAATCCCGTCCCCGTACCCGTCATTTCTCATATAACTTTGTTCCGTAACATTCCTTGCATCGTAACCTGTCAATTAATCTACAGAGCCATGGCCACAACAAGCACCGCGGCCGGCAGACCGACGAATACGCCATTGACAGCGACTGCAGCAGAACCAGACTTGGTGACAGTAGCACCAGCGGACGAAGTCGTGCCACTAGCCTTCGAAGCAGAAGAAGAAGCAGCCGCCGCAGCCGAAGATGAAGCCTTGGATACTGCGGCGGAAACAGAGCTGCTGGCTTTGGAGGCACTTGCCGCGGCTGAGCTTATGGCGGCGTGAGTTGAGCTGGCACTAGAGGCATGGCTGGAGGACGAGCTGTGAGCAGTCGAGCTGGCAATGCTTGTAGAACCCGAGTGCGAAGTGGTAATAGTGGTCGTTGCAGCCTGGCGGACATCGTACTGGTTTCCCTGTTTGTTGAATTAGATCGTGTCCTATGAACACAAGTGTTCTCTCTGACGTACGTTATTCAGCACGTGTGCGCTGGCGGATAGGCAAAGGGCTGCCAGGGTCAGAAGGTTCTTGCCCAACATTTTGTCTGATGTAGATGCGTTTGAAGTAATGGTAGGATGAGATGCAATATGAATGTGCTGATGGCTAGTATCGAGTGAGCCCTGTTCGAAGAGCCATTGGGCTTTATTTATGTTCAATACGTTCTGATCCAGACTCGTTCCTTCATCGCTGTTTGCACCACCCCTTACATCATATCATGGTTGCTAGACCGCATTCTTCATCGTGGCCAGTCTGGACCATAAGCTGGGCGGCTGTGGCTTGTCAAGCGGTCGTGATGCCGCAGTTCTTCTTGGGCTAAATGAAAACCGACTATACTATCATTGGCGTGTCCGTAAGGAGTACGGTCATGTAAATGGCTTAGCCTTGCGCGATTTACCAATTTGAGTCTGTTCTGGCGCCTTCAATAGGTCAAGCCACAATGTCCTATAGCGTCTATCGCATCATTGAGGTTTCCTTTCAGCCCAATCACGCCATCAGCCCTTCCCCCACGTTTTCACTATTCGGATTATACTTGGGGCCATAGTGTACAGGTCCCGTCAATCTGGACCGACCCATTCTTTTGACTATGACAGAAAAGCTTAACCCGAAATAACTCGGCCAATCGGTATTGACGAACATGTGCGCACATGCCTTTCCGAGTACAATTCAGGTCAAGCCGTGCTTGTATCATTGTGCTTTAAGATTTAAGCGTGTTCCCAAACTAAGTAGACATGCATAGCAATAGTGTCCATATTTGAAGTTCCTCGGCGCGCTACCTGTTTATGAGGTGACAATGATGAGCGAGTGCCGACGACCAATCTTGGATCTGTCCAGTGACTCCTCATGTCGCCGATCCAGTGAAAACGCCATCGAATAGTACGAGGCTAGCCTTCTATTCTATGACATGTCGGAGAAGCAACTCACATGGCGATATGTTGGCTGGTCAGAATTCTATCGACAGCGATAGGATGCCCCATTGAATATAGTGCCTTTACCCATATTAACGGCAGCGCCATGTCTTGCCCATTGTTCCCCTTCCCAGCCTCCGGGATGGTTTAACAGACTGCATGTGGTCACGACCTCCGTGTCTCTAATCTTAGTCAATTTACACTACGACACTAAATCTTTTGGGCCATCGAGTACCATAGTAGTGCTTCAGTTCCATAGCTGGCGCTTTCAGCGGCCAAATATACACAGCAACGGCGCTGTGGATCCTTGCCGCCACGAACAGCTGATTTACTAGAGCAGGAAGGAGAGTTGGGAAAGTCCAGGAGACGAGAAGAACCTCGTGTTCTCGGAGCTCTCACTTGGGCTAACTCTTGTCAAGAAAATTCTAGACAGAAACAAGAAACCCTATTGAAGGCCACTCGGAATTTTTTGCTTCTTTATTTCTTCTATTAAGATACAATCATCACCTAGAGGGCCTATAATACTGGGTGAACAACTGATTCAAAATTGCAGAGCCAATCTGTCAAGAACAGAGCGAGGCCCAATATTGAGCTCGGAGTTATTGTCGCTGTGTACCATGTCTGTTGCCACCACACTTCCAACTGGTTGATCCGGCTCAATACCACATTGGGATAGGTCCGAATCGCTGCATGTTCCAGTTGCCACAGACAAATCTGGTCCACTTCTTCAGACTCGATCCGGTTTACTAGTCAAGCCGTGGCCCTATGAAGCGTGGCATTTACATATATTCCATTGTGTAGTTCTTCACACCAACTGGAACTTGGTTGCTGAGGCGTTACCCGATGTTATACAGGGGTGTTTGCCATCTATGCTTGGCAAGTCGATCTGCGACTCCTCGGAGAGGTTCAGACCCGGATGCTCTAAGAACATTCAGGACAAGACCATCTCTTCACCAAAAATATATCTTATTTTGTCGCCGGAAGGTCTAAGCAGAGCCGTAGTTATTCTGCCCACTCGGTGGAGTTAGGTCAGCGCCTCCGGCAGCCCAGAGGAAACTCGGTGTGGTATATGCAATTCGCTCCGCCAACCAATTTGAGCCTTCATCAAGCTGGATATGATACACTGCTTCTTGGAGCAGTGCGTACAAGGCACGCTTCTGAAAGCGCTAGGACTCAAATCCTTCGACCTCCACCAATGTAGCGGCTGTTATTCTTCCTATTGTTGCTATCCGCGGAGATAGCTTTTCACTCAGATTATGCATTTTATCCAGTACATTATCGACCCGGGCCTCCTTCCGAAGCTGTGAAACCGCCTCACATTTAGAATTCTGTGAGTTGGAAACATCTCTGTCCTACTATGTTCGCCCATGAAGAGAAATGCAACTATCTCCTTTACTCGTTAGATCACAGCAGGATATATGGTATGATACCCCTCATTCCTGACCACTACGCTCTGGAACAAGGCACGGTATAAACCGTCAGGTTGCACATTTATCGGCGCCAGACCGACCGTTATAGCACATTTAGAAAGACCCTTCGAACGGAGCAACCAATATGAAGGAGATATCCAAAAAAAAAAATGTGCCAAGTACGATCGCTATCGTGGCCCGCGATACGCACGCGTCTTGTTTCCAGACCGCGGACAATGTTATCCTGTCTGAACAGTGTTGTTAGCTCCGCCATTCATGCCTCCTCTAGCTCCATGAGTTTAGCTTTTGCCATTTCAGGATGGCCCTGTGGGTATGAGATTCATGTATCTATCCAATTCTGCAACAGCTCTGTTTACCTTGTTAACAATACCTACGCTACCCGTGTCACGATAGTCTATATAGACGATACACTCAAGGGCGTCGTTATGATGCCTGTGATTCCCCGGGTACCCGATTGTGGGGATTCTCGTCACCAGGTCCGCCGCAAAAGTAGACTCTGGTGCGTGTCTTACTGTGCATGACCATAACCTATCACGAAAAGTCGTAGCCTGGTCATATTGAGGCTGACTCAAACTCTTGCTAAAATCACCTAGTAATCTGGATCCTTATTACCGTTGTCGGCAGCCCAAACTGGAAGCGGGTGCATGAGCCGCGCGGCTCTCAATTACAAGGTGGAGTTGTTTGAGTACATAGTGAATGGCTGTCAACTGTATTGCTTGGGTATCTTGCAAGGTCTTTTGAAATTATAGAAATGAAGGAACATGAAGACAATTCGACTCCATATTCTAAGGACTATTTTATACATTAACTAGGGCAAATAACTGTGTACAATATATTCGTTTGGATAAAGCAACGCAAATTGTCAAGAGCTGCACCGTGCTGAAGTTACCCGGAGCCTGCACATGATACCATTACGGATAGAGGAACGGTTCTGTACATATATTCTAGTTTTATTCTTACCCTCTTATAGATATTAGTGCTGTGATTAAGTCTTCATCTATACCTGAACTAAAGTCCACGAGGTGACAGAATGTGGACTCCGTCATTTTATACGTGTGCCGTACCAGCGACGTTACCTTTGTTGACCTTAGTCCCGAGGAAACAATTCCAAGAACAAACCTGTGAGGGATGCCCACACTGAAGCATCTTCGAATGATATTACCAAATGTACTTGGCCCTGGTTGTTCATATCAAAGAAAGGACGACCAGAACGTTAAGAATCAATGTAAATTGTCAATTGTGACAAAGCTTGAGTCGGCAAAGATGCAAGTCTTCGGACGGACATGTGGTGCAGCTTCCCAATCACTGCCAGCTCAGAATAACATGACCGGGCTGTCTGTATTTGGAACACCGAATGTGTGACTGCGCAGGCATTTACCCTTCTTTGTTCCATTGTTGGTAGAAAAATATCTGTGGTGGCGCTCAGCTTTGCTCACTCCCATATGCTGGGGAAGTGAGTATGGCATTACTTAATACAGCAGCAACAAGTCACAGTAACACTATTGAATCATGTACTAATCAGTATGATTTGTAGGAGGCATTGCTGCACAAGATTTACGGAGTAACTGAAAGGAGAGTGTCGTTATGCTCCGAACAACAGCAACGAACAACTCGTATTGCCAATTTCTCTGTACTTGTTTATGAATAGATGCCAAAAGCTGTCCAAAAATAATAACGAGAACGAAATCATGTGCAAAATCAAGTATTATTGATCTGTGAGGATCGTATCGCCTATCATATCTGCCTGCCTCAGGTGAACCCTGGTTGCAGAACAACTCTTAGCCGATCCCACCCACACCACCAATCGTTTCGCTCTTGATGCCATTCCGCAGTACCCCTTTGGGACCTCTGGGAATCATCGCAGCATTGTTCAACTTAAAGATCTTTCTTCTCAACGGAGACTTCATTTGTGCAGATGCCGCAGAAAGGGGCACCGCAACAGTAAGGGTTGCTGGTGGGACAGCACTGACGAGCCCCGAGTTTGGGAGTGGACATTTGCAGAAAAGGGCATGGTCAGTCATGATTGTGAAAAAGTGGAAGGTACATTAGCATAGGCAAACGGGGACTTACTGAGGCTAGACTGCCAGTCACAAGCAGGGCAACCACGAGGGAGGCAATGACAGCAGAGCTGTTAATGAGAGTGGTGAATTTCATGGCAGTCAAATGATTGGTCAATAGATATATATTTTGGAGCACAGGAATATTACTTGATGTTGGTATTCGTCAGGAGTGTTGATGCTCTTAGGGTCAAGTGTGTTGAGTAGTTGGTGTGTTCCGAGATGGTGTTTTGCCTCAAACTCGAGGTTGGGCACTGGCGCATTTATCCTCTTTCCAAAATGTACGGTGTTCTAGCCATCTACTCCTCCTTAACAACTTCACAGCCATGTGACACATTCGAACGGACTAGAACTAGCTATTCACTAGCTATTCCATACCATGATTCTCTCATCCAATGTGCTTGAGATACTAGGAAGCATGCGTGGCATCACCTTACGATCAAAGCTCTCCCCAAGACAAGTGTCGTTAGCAGTCCCAATATTTTACATATTGGCTCTTGTTTAACTGAACACAAGCGTGATGGTCATATTGTGCCTTGGTTGCACGCCAGCCGTGTCACGTTCTGGGGGATGATAATGATGCTCATGAGCGGTGATACACAATCCGTCCAGTGTCATGTTTTTACGCCTTATTTGTGAACTTGCCCCTTCATGGAAACCTCACTTGGTATGAATATTGTGCGCCTATTTGTGACGGTTGCTTTTTAAAAACTTGATCTTATCCTGCTTTTTGTGCTTAACAATTCTGCAATATGTGCCTACAACCAATACGGTTGACCTAGGTATATTCTTTCAAATTAGGTTGCTCAAGCGTTACAACCGTCCAAAAATTGGCAAGTTAGACGGCCTAGAAGATTATTAAATGGGAAAGGTAACTCATATTGTTTTAATTTGAGGCTGATTGTTACCATCATGTAAAGGTGACTTGCTATTCAATGCTCTCATTAGTTGTGATTTAACCCTTGGGGTGCCCATCCATCCGAGTCGATTCTTCTCAGTGACTGTGTGCCCTTCGAAAACCAACGCCACAGTCGCCTACAAGGTGCAGTCTCCACCTGTAAGTCGACTGGTAAATTCGTGTGAGCAATGATTGCTGTTCTGGCAGACTAGGAGGGAACTAACCAGTTCTTGGCAATTATCGAATATCAACGATCTCTCCGAGCGTCTACCGAATTCTATCGAATATGACAAAAAAATTCGGCAGCTCAGTTTCGAGCTCTCATGGTTGGCTCCGCTTCTGATACTGCTCCAAAATTATAAAATTAACGACTTATTAACCAAGAAGCTTGAGACCATTCTTGGTCTTTTGGCCCGGCTTTACGACCCCTCCACTAGCAGGACCAAGGCCAGGTTCGAAGTTGCCCTCGCTGCCACCGTTTCCGTTGCCACTGCGATTTTTGTTCTTGTTCTTGTTGTTCCATTTCCCGTTGTTACGCTTGTCCTTGACAGTGTGAGGTCTGTTGTGGCAGTTGTCAGTAAACGATCTAGTCAGACCATGTGATTTGGCAGATACATACTTGATTTCGGTTGTGCTTTTGCGGACCACGACTGGATGACTCTGGATATATTTGCCATTCATTTCCTTGGCAGCCTGAAAGAAGTCATCTGGGTCGCTGAAGCTAACGAAACCAAATCCTTTACTCTTGCTCGTGACTTTGTCGCGAACAACACGCGCCTTCTGAAACGATCTCCAACGTGAGAAGGCCTTGGCCAAAGATTCATCTGTTGTCTCGCCAGCTAGGTTACCCACAAACAATCGCAAGTGGGCAGGATCCCATTCTAACAAGGAGTCATCGGTCCACTTCTTGCCTCCACCTTCTCTCACGACCGTCTTTTTCTTCTCTCCCTCTGCTGGCACTGTAGCGTTGGGAGTGGCGGTGGGATTTGCTGAATATGTCGTTGCTGGCGCCCCCGGCCTAGCTGTTGCTGCTGCTGCTGCTGCGGCTGCTGCCGCGCCTGCGTCCTTGGGGTCCTTGACGTATGCGCTTTGCCATTGGGCAATTTGCGCGGCCATGTCGGGGTCATAGTCGCTGTTCTGCGCCTGGACGCTCGGTGCCGGAAATGGGTTGCGAATCTGGGGAGCTGCGGCATATGTGCTGCTGTCTGCGGGTGCTGCTGTAGCGTAGTAGCCTTGGCCTTGCGGGTAACCTGACTGTTGGTAGCCCTGGCTGTAGTTCATGGCTCCTTGTTGAGGATATGATTGGTAGGGTGTGCCACGACCAGCGCCATACTGAGTAGCTGGTGCGCCGGGATAGCTCGGGGCGCTCGAGTAGGTGGGAGGGGTATAGGGACTGGCAGAGACGCCAGGACTGGATGTATGTGTTGGTGCTGCTGATGAAAAGGCAGGCTTGAAGCCGGAGACTTTGGAGGGCGGCGGACGCGGAGGGAGCGACGAGTTGGTGGCACCTGGAGCAGGAGGATAGGCCATGATGAATTTGCTTGTACGCGTAGAACTTGTTCGGTTCAAGAACGTACCTATGAGCCCAGCCCTAGCAATGAGACTTTGCTCAGTTTCTTATTTAGCGGCGCAGGCGCAATAACGTGTAGGGCGAATGGGTGTATACGTATGTGTGTATATATAACTGTATGTGTGTTGTGTTCGGTTTGATTGCTTGCCGCCCGTGTGGTTTAGTCTCGAGTGACGTGATGCTTGATGGAGTTTTTGGTTTCCGAACCTCGAAGAATGCATCGAATGCCACCCAAAAGCCAGGCGCCAGTATCAGTCTTATCGGCTCTTATCACTTGTGGCGTCCCCAATACTGTCTGTGGCGGTGCGTAGACTGGGAGAGCACACGGATAATTACAGGCAGTCTACGGATTATGGATCCGTAAGGTAGCATTACAAGCATTATGCACCATGAAATACAAAGCAAACCATTTCCGCCTGGCTGCGATTGAGTTTACATGCACGCACTAAAACCAGGTGCGTCCCAATCCAACTGGTCAAGCAATGCGCAAGTGGCCAAGAAAAGAGTATAACAAAACAAAACAGTCTATACTTTCCATCGTCAGTATAACAATGCCATTGCTACGTACCATGACTAAACATGAAGGCCAACGGAGATGAATCCCACGAAACCCCCGATGGCCGGCCCCTGAGCGTCGTGGGCGGGCGCCAAGCTTGGCCATTGCGTGAATTTCCTCGTTTGAACGCAACGGGAAACAGTTCACGATAACCAGTGCATGATATGGCCGCCTCGCGGCTAATGGGGATGAATAGGAAGCATGGCGGCAAATGACTCTCGCCTCTTTCTGGATGGCGTGGAGCGGGAAGCTTTGCGGCAAATGTATTCATATTGACCATGGCGACTGCAGCCTCGCAGCAACCTGCGTCAATTACATGCGCCAGCGCCAGTCCGTTTACGGAGAGCCTTCCTGTGTCGCAACTTCGCATGGGGCACGTTTTGGCGGGGCCCTCATGCGACATTTTCGGGGCAACATGCCTCGAAGCGCTCCCAATGACGTTTTAACGTTGAGCTAGGAAGTATGGATACCCTTTCATGGATACCTTTATCGCAAGCTGATTACAAACAGGATGGAAGACTCGGACAACAAATATTTGGAACAACCTTGTGGAGCAATACAGTCCGTCTCGACTCTGGTCGACCATGTACATGTAGACATGCTCACATATGCACATGACTACTGTGTATACTGTAGTCAAGCGTCTATAGTCTCGTGGCTGCGGATGCCGTCCACAACTACAGTATCAGCCTTACCATGAAGCGGAAATACTCAAGCTACTATGTACAGTGCCGTTTTAGCTTGAAGCTTACATATGCACTATTAGTATGAAACATCCATGCGCCCCCAACAAGTCCGGACTTCACACAATATTTGTCCGTTGGGTTACTATTATGCCGAGCGCAGAGCTGGCACCGAGGACATCAATACCCCCTACAAATATGATGCGGTAACTAGCAATATGGGTTCCCATTAGTAAAATATGAGGCTGATGGACAAACCGGAGCCAGAACGAGCAGCTAGTGAGTTTGTCCTTTGGTAACGTTAAGCTGCTCATTCCCAGAGCTTCCACCACTCGAGGCCTAAAGTACAGGGTACCAGGCTTGTTGCATTGCAGCCCCATGCCGTTCGGTTCCGCAGGATCCAAACGTGGCATTGCGAAACGTCTGGACGTGTGACCGTCGAAGGAGTTTGCTTCTCGAAATTCCCTCTAGAGATTGTCCGGACAGGGGTCTATGTGCTCCTGCTGCGATTGCTGGGTTATCATCCTCATGTCAACGGGGACAGAAGGGTGTACGCCCGCTTGAAACCAGAATAGTCTATAGAATCCCGGAGACGTGTAGCAGCGCGAGCGAGGCATGCAAAGCCAAACACAGCAAAGCAAAGCAGCAATGCAAAGCGAAGCAAAGCAACAAGATGCCTCAAGTCAAGGTCAAGCCGCGGAAACCTGAGTCAGCCCTTCGTCAAACATGCATATGGCCGACAGCAATACGGCCATCTGAAGGAGGGGGAGTGAGTCTGGTAGCACCGTCGCACCCTCTCAAGCTATTGGTGCTACTGCTACGGATTCGCGTGTAAATAAGTACCTTGGACTAGTAGTAGCAGTAGCATTCCCAGCATGTTAATAAGCCGGACCGGATCGACGCTACCTTTTTCTCAGGCTTACCCCTCCAGCCCACTTTGACCCGTTTCTACATCATTGAAAAGTACGAGACTTCCGCCGTCGCGTCCGGTCTCTATTAATCTTTCTTCTACAAACATCCGCTTTTTGACAGAGCTCAATACTGGTCAGCTGTTCATCGCCGCTTGATCTCAGACTACTATATACCCCATTGGACATCATCATCAATCGCAATCATGTCTGGAGCTGTGTAAGTCTTTAAACCCCTCAGCGTTGCTTACATGCTTTACCCCACCACCCCGCCTGTCGATGCCCTCAACTCTTTCTGAGAGTTGGCTGGCTCTCCGCCCAAGACGAGAGCAATCCTGCTGTTATTTCCTTTTTCTTTTTCTTTTTTCCTTAATCACAATTTCTGACTAAACTGCGGCTTGCCGGGTCTTAGGGCTCGACTTGCTAGCATTACTGGGCATTATGGGGGAGGAGTGTGAGCTTTCTACTTCCTGATTTCTACTGCTCCCCACAAGCTTTACCACGCCAACTTGTATGTAAAGCGATGCTAACTATCATGGAAGCGCTGATCTGGGCCTCATCGGTCTGGCCGTCATGTGAGTCAATAACCCCCGATTTTCCCCGCGCGATATGTTGTATACTCATTCCAGATTAGGGGCCAGAACCTGATTCTGAACATGGCCGACCACGGCTTCACCGTCTGCGCCTACAACCGAACAGTCTCCAAGGTCGACCGATTCTTGGAAAACGAGGCCAAGGGCAAGTCCATTGTCGGTGCTCACTCAAACGAGGAGTTCGTCTCCAAGCTCAAGAAGCCTCGCCGAGTCATGCTCCTCGTCCAGGCCGGTAAGGCTGTCGACGACTGGATCGAGACCCTCCTTCCCCTGTTGGAGAAGGGTGATATCATCATCGATGGTGGTAACTCTCACTTCCCCGACTCCAACCGCCGAACAAAGTACCTGGCTGAGAAGGGTCTGGAATTCGTCGGTTCCGGTGTTTCCGGTGGTGAGGAGGGTGCCCGCTACGGCCCTTCCATCATGCCCGGTGGTAGCGAGGCTGCATGGCCCCACATTAAGGACATCTTCCAGAGCATCTCTGCCAAGAGCGACGGCGAGGCCTGCTGTGAGTGGGTTGGTGACGAGGGTGCCGGTCACTACGTCAAGATGGTCCACAACGGTATCGAGTACGGTGACATGCAGCTCATTTGCGAGGTACGTATTTCCTGCAAAGTTTTGAATCTTCCTATTCATAATAGCAAGGTGCTAACAAAACACCAAAGGCCTACGACATCCTGAAGCGTGGTCTCGGCCTCAAGAACAAGGAAATTGGTGACATCTTCTCCAAGTGGAACACGGGTGTCTTGGACTCCTTCCTGATCGAGATTACCCGCGACATCATGTACTTCAATGACGATGATGGCACTCCTTTGGTCGAGAAGATTCTCGACCAGGCTGGTCAGAAGGGCACCGGCAAGTGGACTGCCGTTAACGCTTTGGACCTCGGCATGCCCGTCACACTCATTGCTGAGTCTGTCTTGGCCCGTTGCTTGTCTGCCCTCAAGCAGGAGCGAACCAAGGCCTCTACCATCCTTCAATATGTCGGTCGTACTACCAAGTTCGAGGGTGACAAGCAGGAGTTCCTCGATGACCTTGAGCAGGCTCTGTACGCCTCCAAGATCATCTCGTACGCCCAAGGTTTCATGCTGATGCAGGATGTACGTGCTATTCACACCCAAACTTCTGCGCTCTTGATGACTAACATGATAATAGGCTGCCAAGGAGTACGGCTGGAAGCTCAACAAGCCCTCCATTGCTCTCATGTGGAGAGGAGGTTGCATTATCCGATCCGTCTTCTTGAAGGACATCACTGCCGCCTACCGCAACAACCCCGAGCTCGAGAACCTGTTGTTCGATGACTTCTTCAACAAGGCTATCCACAAGGCCCAGCCCGGCTGGAGAAACGTTATTTCCAAGACCGCCCTTCTCGGAATACCCACCCCTTGCTTCTCCACTGCCCTGTCGTGGTTCGACGGTTACCGCACCAAGGACCTTCCCGCCAACCTTCTCCAGGCCCAGCGTGACTACTTCGGTGCCCACACCTTCCAGATCAAGCCCGAGTTCGCCAGCGAGAAGTACCCCGAGGGCGCATACACTCACGTCAACTGGACCGGCCGTGGCGGTAACGTCTCTGCCTCTACTTACCAGGCATAAATGTGTACGCCTTGATGCGAACATGATTGGGATAATGACTTAGTATAAATTTAGGGAACCAAATATCTTGGTGGGATAACCATAAAGAGTTGGGAGGAGTTTCTACCCGCTTTTCACATGTCACATAGATGGACAAAATGCAGATTGTTTTGAGATGAAATGGTCATGAAGAGCACAAAGAATTTGTGTGCATGTTTAATGAGTGAGATCGTAACACCAGCCGGCAACTAACACCGACAAATACCACGTATGGTACTGGGTAAGAACTCCAAGTAGAGGGAGTCTATTCGCATAATGGAGCATTCACCACCTACAGAGCAATGCCGTAGCAGTCTTATCAGCTAAAATTGCACCGTTTCGATAGTTCATGGTCGACGAGGCGACAGATAACATTCTTTGTTCTTACCAGTGAACGCTGCTAGTATACAGCTCAAATACTGAATTCAATAACATATTTTTTTACACCCAAAGTCGGCCGATAGCGAACCGAAAACATCTACCTAGCTCCTCAAGGGCTAACAACCCCCAAAACGCCTTGAGAACCACTCTCCTGTTTCGTTCAACTATGCGACAAGTCTAGCGTAGTCGGCGAGGTCGCCTTACATGTTCGCCTCAGCAGCTGGGGTGTTCCCGTTGTCATCTGCGCCGCCGCTCTCGTCGACGCCATGGAAAGCATCGCCAAAGGCCGAGTCTTCCATGAAGTCACCGCTGAGATCTGCGGGAGTGTCGGAGAAGCTGGCCAGAGCATCGCCAGCCGTGTCTAGATCGCCCAGGGAGCCGAAGTCATTTGCATCGTAGCCCATGGAAGCGACTGTCGGCGTCCCAGCAGCCGAGGCCTGCTTACTTGCGGGCTGTGAGGGTGGTCTGGGCGGCGCGGCAGTCTGGTCGTTCCCGGGCATGGGAGGCGCTGCGCTTGGCGATACACCGCCCTTGGGGACAACTACCCAATCGCCGCTGCCGGTGTCTTGGTCCGGTGCAGTATTAGAGGCACCGGCCTCAGTGCCGCTCATGTCAACGTCTTGCTGCTTGGGAGGCGACGGCTGAGCAGCTGTGGCAGGAGGGGGAGGAGTAGGTACGCTTGCATTTGCAGGCGTTTCCGAGCCGGACGGGACAGCAGAGAACCCCTGGGGAGTTGTGAAGTTGTTGCCCGGCGTCGAGGTGGAGGATAAGCCGGTTTGCATTTGGTCGAGCAATCCGCCCGCCGTACCGCCCATGTCAACATCCTCGGAGTCGGCACCAGCTGAAGGCTCGGGAACGGGCTCAGGAGCAGGCTCTTGGTAGCCGCCATCTTGGATCCTCCTAAGATCATAGATGACCTCTGCGCGGCGCCCTAGCTGAGCTTCGACCTGCGACACAATATCGTCGACCTTCTTGCTATGCTTGGCGGTCCAGCGAGGAGAACCATCCTCGTTCTCTTCAGGTTTGCGTTCCAGGCTGAGGGGTCCGGTGGCGACATCATCAACAGCGGCACGGAGATCCTTCTCTGCTGTGGTCAGAAGAGAGTTCTTCTTGAGCTTGGCCATCTTTTTCTCGTGCTCTGCTTTCATCTTTGCGATCTCAGCATTAGTGGAGTCGATCTGCGCATTGACGCGCTTCCTGAATTCCTCGGCCTTGTCTTTCTCCAAGTGGCTCTCGCCCTTCTCTACCGGCTTGCTGATAGCATCAACACCCTGCCCTTCGAATATGCCATCAGTCAAGCCGGCCAGCTCCCCCTTAAGCCCGAGCCCTAGGTTTGCGAAACCAATCTGGCCCATCCGATATGGCGATGACAGAATCTCTTCCATCCACTCATGGTTCTGTTGATAGCGGTGCAGACTGATCTCGCGGGGAGTGAGGTGGTCAAAGAGGTCTCCGCGCGAGTAATCCTCGTCATCATCAGCATATGCGGCCTCTGGAGTCACACCCATGGGGCCTTGGTTCCCGGCTTGCCCGGTTCTAGCACGCTTCGATGGCGGGGCGCCCGCCTGGGGATGCGCAGGGTATGCCATGGCTTGCGGCACGCCTCTGTTGGCGGGATACATGGCCTGCCGGGGCATCTCCTTGGGCCATCCGATCTGCGGCCAGTTCACGCGGTCCGACAAAATAAATTCTTTCCGCTGGATTTGGCCATTTCTCTGCAGGTAGGCTCTTGCCTCGAGGATGTTCTGTGTACGTGGGTCGCGCGGGATCATCTGAACCGGAATACGCTCGTTGTTGTCGATGGGCCCATAGTGGACAACCCACAGGCTTGGGTCAACCTGGGGCGCGTTGGGGTTGTGTGCATTGCTGGGGCACAGGCGGAAACGACGACGCGAATGCGTGGCTATCGGCTCGCCGTAGATGTAGCCAGTCTTGTGGTAATACATCTCGAGTATCTACATGTCAAGAGTAGTCAGCAGCGGTGCACGAGTGCGCCTGGGCCGTTGCGAAACGTACAATGCCATTTCCAATGTCCTGTGTGAAGTACTGCTCCGTCGGCGGCCAGATGTAGCCGTCGCTGGCGAAGTGAGTACCCTGCAGTTGCAGCGGCTGCCATGTAAGCATGGTGGTGCCATTCTCGGGTCTGTCGAGGTACGTCCAGAAGAAAGGGGCCTTGTCGCGTGCGATGGACGGCGCGTTCATCAACATGTGTGTTACCTCGGGGATCTCGACTCGGGGTTTCTGCGTGTACCTGAAGGTCGAGAGCAGGTGCACATGGGGCAGCTGAGATTCGCCAAGTCAGTACATACTGGGGGGGTTTTACTTGGGTAAACGACGACTTGGAAATGGCGTCCTTACCAGATCGCGATTGATTCCATGGCTAGGGTCTCCCATGGTGGACATTGTGAAGAAACAAGAGGTTGCTGTATTAAGCAGATATGGATATCATCAAGTCCAATTCTTTCCGTATCTCTCAATGCTTGTTTGAAGTAGAGTGCAGCGATCAGTGTCAGGCTTGGCGCAAATAGCTCTGTCTGATGCGACAGCAAGGCTGATGATGGCTTAACTTCCAATTGCTAACTTTGAATTGGGAGCCGCGTCTGGGTCTGAGTCCGGGTCTGCGTCGCGAAAAAGTTGTGGCTGGAGGCGGTCTTGTGTGCTGTTGTGGCTGTGCACATCGCTCCAAAGCTTTCCAAGGGCGCTGTACTGTCGTGCTGTGCTGTACGAATTAGGTCCCCAAGCCTCCAATGAGGTCTCTGGGCAGCTGACAGGTGCTGAGCCTCAGGGGGATACCCAGACACTTGCATCCAACAAGGCGTTACTCCAACCTTTGCTTAGGCTAGACCAGACTAACCTAAGATTAACTAGTCCAAGGTTAGTACACACTGAGGTTGGCCATTTCAGATCTCCCAAATGTGAAAGTCTACGACATCAGGGCTACAAGATACGTTTCAATAGCGCTTAAAGATGCCGTGCTCTCTACTGTGGGCATGCTCCCATGACGCAAACTGAATCGACTTGTTTGTGCCCTCAATTCCAAGGATTTACTACGGCCTGGAATTCAGATGCAAACCGTATGTGCACAGCCGCACGTTCTTCAGTGCACAGCGCTTGTGCTGTCCAGAGAATTGCTCCTCTCATAAGGATGGTGGGTGGTTAACATAGGCCATGAATTCTTCGTCATCTTTGCCGTCTTCGGATCATTTTTGTACCAACACGCAATGAAGGGGAGGTCACTCTCGGCATCTTCCACAATATTGGTGTGTCCAGCTCCACGGATGAGGCAGGTTTCACATCCTTTGGGGGGGCGGGCCTCCTGTAAGAGCCTCAACAGGGATATTGTCATGGAATCTTACAGCCAGGAACTGCGTTGTGTCTGCGGCTCGACGGGTCTCCGCATTTCCGCAAGGACGATCGAACTACTCGGAACCTGCACAATGCTTTATGATTTAAGCTTAAGCTCGAGCTTACTCTCGGTCTAGACTAACCGTAGGCGACGGTTAGACAATTGTACACCAGCCCGCAGGCCCGTACTGCGATCAACAAGTCAAGACAGAACATGGCACAAATTTTATCGTCACATGGTAACAAGGTCTATCCCCTTGATGTGGTACTGCCTACCGCAGCATCAACTCGCTCTATACTGCAATTGCAAGCGCGCATTTATGTTCCGACCGTACTCCGTGCACCGTTGATGATTTAGACTTCACGAGCTGCAACCCCTGTAAAACCATGAGCGGAACAACCTCCTCGTCTGATCCAAGTTGACAGGGCTGTCACTTGTCGAGGAGATGAGGATTAGTCTAAACTAGACTAACCTAGATCAAAACATGAGATGGCCCTGGACTAATGCTTACTGCCTCTGCCGCAGATCAATCAGGCAAAACTCTAGTATTATACATCATGACCCTTGATACACAATCACGGTAAATTTACCTAATATCGCGCGCCATCTTTTTTCTGTCCTTTTCTTTTTTCCCCCTCCCTCCTTTCCTCTGGTACTCTCGTTACCCTATTCCCGGTCTTTCTCTTTACCATTTCATTCTTTCTGCAGGTCAGCTACTCTGGATAGTAGATTCTTTCGTTTCATTATAACTTATCCTATCCGTTCATTTTAATTTTCCAGTCAACTCGAAAGTCTGAAGTTTGAAACCGTTCTGTTAGTAAACATAATGAAGTCATTTTATTTTTCAGCAGGTCTGGCGGTTATTGGTGTAGAGCTGGTCTCGGCAAAACACTTGCCACGAGCAGATGCCATCCAGGGGCTCAGACAGTTACCAGGTGCTCAGGGTGTCGTTATCAACGGCGAAGAGGCCAATACAGCTTCTGAATTGAAATCGATCCCCGGAAGCGCCGTCGAGGTCGCGAGTCTGCAACCTTTGGTATCTGTGTCAAGCTCAGCAGCCGCAGAGACTGGAGCATTGCAGGCCACTGCAACCAGCACTTCAAGCACTATTCAAGTAGTCGAGACTGGAGCATCGCAGGCCACTGCAACCAGCACTTCAAGCACTGTTCAGGTAGTCGAGACCAGACTCACTTCAACTTCGGTAAGTATTTCATCAATCGTTGGAGGATTCACCTTATTGATCAGTAACAGGCTGTTGGTACTATCGTTAGCACTGCGTCTTCTGCTGCGCTCCAAGGCTTCTTAACAATTACCCCCAGCGCCAGCAGCGCCTCTCAAGCTACGTCCGTGTCTGAAGTTGCCCAAATATCAAGCTCTAGTGTCGCCATCACTGGGCTCTCCAGCTCTACTTCAGCCTCTGCTCAAGGTTTCCAGACCATAATTGAAACAGCGAGCGCCGCGATCGGCGCACCTTTGAACGAAACCATTACATCAGCCGTCTTGACATCAGGTTCCTTGGCAGCGTTGGAGAGCTTGACAGCAGCTCCTAATGCTACTGCGGTGCTCACCTCCCTTGGTGGCGGCGAAGCTGTGACAGCAACGGCCACAGCAGTGGATGCAGTCGGATCAGGCGGTGCCCTAGCAGCGCTTCCCGGATCACCAGTCACGACTGGTTCCCTACAACCGTTGGGTGGTGCTGAGGGCGCATCGGCCACTGGTTTCAATTCCTTCAACGGTACTGGAAGTGCTGCCGCAACGTCTAGTGCTGGTACCACAGAAGTCACGGGACCAGGCGGTTCTACAAGCAATGGTTCGAGCAATGGTTCGAGCAATGGTGGCTCGAGCGATGGCGGCTCGAGCAATGGCGGCTCGAGCAATAGTGGTTCGAGCAATAGTGGTTCGAATAGTAGTGGTTCAGAAAGTAGTGTTTCATCTGGCAATGAATCCGACGGCAGTGGTTCAGGAAGCGAGAACACCACATCCTTGAAGCCTCTGGGTGGTACCGAAACGGCTACTTCGCTGCAGGCGTTGAGCAGTGCCACGGGTCTTGTCGAAGCAACAGGGACGCTGGCGACTGCAGTGCGGACTGGCAGAAATTCTACCGCTGGAGTCGCTTCTGCAACGAATGCTTTCAGCTCGACCACGAGCGTCGCGACCATTTCGCCCAACGCAGCTGATGGTCCGGTGATGCCGTTAACATTTGTTGGAGGTCTTACTGGATTCATTGCATTTTTGCTACTGTAACCTGACCGAAAGCCGCAGCAGGAATGCGTAGGGTAACAGATCCATAAGAACAGTTCGGACCCTTGAGTATGTAGCTCCCGCTAAAGAATTCCTCGATGCGAGATTATCCGACCAGACCAGCTCCTGGTGGGAGCAGAGTATACGTGGTGATAGCTAGCGTTGTAGCATCGGAATTAACACAACAAGAACTTACTAGATGCTTGTGTACCAGCCCTCCTTTTCCTGCTCTTATTCCATGTCTTCTGTACCTCTGGTTTTCCTTGTTTTACTATCTCTTCAAAGTAATCCTTTGGGATTATCCACGACCCTCTTGAGGGTTTTGAATGACGGAAGCTGAGATTATGATAGACAGGATTGTGAATCGATGAGCTCACTGCAAGGCAATTTCCTCCAGCGTATCTTTGCCGTCGTGGGAAGCATTTAGCCCTGGCAGCCGAACTCCTAGGCCGCGCTCTCGTGAAAATAGGCTCACCGCCGAGTCCCCAAAATATCGGCTACCTCACACCACCTGTAGCCCGACCAATCCATCAGAACTCATCTGGTAGAGGTGCGCGGGCCAGTAGCAAAACCTCTTTGTGATATCAGAAATCACTCCGGTTCCGCAGCGAACGAAGGTGCCCTAGTGACGGAGGCGGTAAGCCGATCACTCACTCGAAGTTCAGTAAACACAACACCTCCCCCTCCCCTTTTCATAAAGGTTAAGTAATTGTAGTAAAACAGAACTCTCATCATATTACCCAGAACAGAGCGGGGTGGAACGTCAAAATGCTTTACTCTGGTGCGCAAGAATCGTGTACTTCGCCACAACCAATCAACCGAGTCTCTTGCGCTGCCAGCTAACCAGCGCTGTTGAGGCTGGCCTTTCGTGAGATCTTTCCAGTTGCGTAAGAAACATTAAGTGATATTTGCGAAACAGGAAGACGAAAGCTGTGCCCACATCGCCATTGGTGTGCTGAAACCCCTGAAGTCTTGGAGGGCATCTCGCTCTGGGTTGAGCGATAGAAATAGTATTCCAAGCAAATAGACAAGGTTGGATAGGTCGTGGGCTATATAAAAATACAAAAGTTGTAATAACAGTGTAAAGTTGTAAAGTTCTATGACAATCAAGATATTGTGAAGCCATGTGGCAGAGGTGGTGTTGATTTGTTTACGGTATTCAGTCTAGAGTACTAGGAAAAGGCATCGACAGCCAATCATAAAAAAATTTGCTTTATTATCCAGCAGTGTATCTCTTCTTTCTAGAATAAGTTATCTAATTGTATCATGTCCAAGATATTCTTTAAAACCCATACTGCCTGACCTATGCAGCCATGGCCCCAAAAACAACGGCGAGTTGTAATACCGTCTACTTGAGATTGAAACGCGGCCCTTTAACGATAGTCTTCTAAGCCAACCCTCGACTTCTTAACTTATTTTCCCGCAACTCCATGTCCGAGTACTCTCTCCAATGATCTAGTTTGGATTTCTTGCAGTTCTATTGCTTGAGCTGTAGCCTGGCATTCCACCCTACGATGCAGCGTATCAGGTCCCAGTCGCCGCCCTGTCCAACCCAATCCGTGACCACGATGCCAGTACACCCGTCTCCTACGCCCAAGTTATCGGGTCCCTTGCCTGGCTCTGCGTGTGCTGTACACAGATGCTCGACGATGGCCGGGTTGACTTTGGCCGCTATCCTCTCAGGCCAGCAGTTAGCATTAAAGAAATTGCTGGCGGAAAGGAAGTTGACGAAGAAAGGAATATGCTCCGGTCTGTCCTCGTGGTGAACAGGACATGTGGGCTCGCCAGCACGCTCCAAGTGCGCCCGCACCAGGTCGATCTTTTTGCCGATATTGTGACTCTGGTCCATCTCATAGAAATCTTGCACACGGGCGATGCCGGGACCGCCCGTCACGGCATCGGCGCAGTTGTCTGGCCACACACTGGCGTCAAGACCAAAGCCACCTCCATTGTGCTCCCCGTCCAGAGACTCGTCGTTTACGTAGCGTCGCAGCAGCACAATCTTGCCTCGGCCTTCGCCTAGTTTTGGTATGCGTGGCTCGGTGAACCAGCGGTTGCCATCATTACAGTAGCGCTCTCTCAAATATTTTGAGAGTTGTTGGTCGGTGCCTTTGCCGGTGCCCTCGCGCTTGATGCTCATGATGAGTGTCTCGGAGCGGTTGACGTCCAAGAATGCGTATATGTCGTCTATCATATCGTGGAAGTACTTGCTACCCGTCAAGGAGATGGGAAACGCGCTATGGACCAGCACCAGATCTGAATGATCTGGGCTGGTCTGTACTCGGACGTCGAAGAAACGCACACCATTGTCGAGCTGCTCCCGCATGTTCACAGCCTGGCAACGCACCGATGGCAAAGCGACATGGCACGTCGGGCTGTTGTGTGTGCCCGGGATCGAGAGGGCAGCGAGTGGCCAGTCATCGTGCAGCTCGCGCATCCAAGATGCGAGGTTGGCAGAGCTGAAGATAGCAAGGCACGCCGCGGCGACGATGTACACCGCTGTGTACTCACGTGGGCCATCGTCTAGCTTCTTCAGGACCATGCTACGCCGCGAGTGACTCGGTACATCGACCTGGTAACGATGCCCTTCAGACTCGAAAGTCAAACGAAGCAGCTGGCGTTCGTTTTCTGGCGGCTTCACCTTCGATGTTTTGCAGGTCTCGAAGCATGCGATCGGGACAGAGACGTCCTGAGGCTCTTTGGCGTCGCACAGAGCCTCAACATCGGGCGCAACTGAAGATGAGTTGAAGATGCCCGTGATCCTCCTCTTGATACCTCCTTGCTTCGGTGAATCGCCGCCAATTCGTTCCACAACTTTTAGCTCAAGTGGGGTGGCGGTGAGATTACGGATGGTAAAATCCCCCATCTTGCGCCGGGCCTTCTTCAACTTCCTGCCGTGCCTCTGAGAATGCCAGATGTTAGGCTTTGGCGGATTTGGATCTGCAAAATGTTTGCTCGATCCTCTGTTCTCGACTCTGGGCGGATGCGAACAACAATAAAATTGCGGCGCCTCCCCCAGCCATGGCAGCAACAACAGCTTTTAGCCCGTGGGGCTATGCCGTCAGTAAAGCTTGCGTGGTACTGGACCTTTCCTTGACAAGATCATCAACGTAATCATAGGTATACTTGTAAAGTAATAGTGGTAAATAGCAATCTAGGTATTGGATGTATCTACGAAGTCGTATTCTTGAAAGATGGCGCTATGTTGAAAATGTCCCTTATGATCACGTTCTGCGATTGGCAGCCACTCCTTAGTGGTCAGACTGAAAGTGTGAGTTTCAGGGTTCCAGATTGACATTCCTTCCTATACACATCTGAAAACTAATCGATGTAGAACTGCTTGACCATAGTTGCATCATGTCGGGTAATTTCGATGCGATGACCCTCGCGCGTGACTTTCTTGAGAGCTTGTTGATTCTTCAATAACTTTAGTCTCTCTTGTCAATGTCGCATATTTCATTACATGATCACGACCTAGACAGACAGGTTCTACTGGTTGTCTGAAAATGATAGCTGGGAAACTTTCAAACATCATATGATAATAGTCCTCCCTCCGCATGGCCGATGAGCAGTCATCACTGCAGGATATACGGACGGCGGTTGTAAGTCCAGTGGCCTTCCGCATTGGCAAGAAGAAGTCGCATAGCCGCTATATCCGGCGCACCGGGACCATGCTCGAGGAGTCCCTGTTCTATAGAGAGATTCGCATATTTCTTCGCCGTGTCAGACATTCCAAAAATGTTATAATTGAGCGCAGCAATGGTATAAGCATCTGCAATCTTAAACTCCAATCTTTCTTCTTTATAAAGATTGATCAGTTGTTCGACCATGTCTGGGGTGACATTCCTGTTGCCTAGGTCTGCGAGCTGGTTCTCAATCCTGTATATTGAGTAGAGTCGTGCATCAGATACATCAGCTTCTTCCTTTGGCAAGCTGCATTGCGCGCATGTGCAAGCAAAGCCCCAAGATGAATGTGCTCTCGTCTGACGAACTTGTCGTGCCTTGAAAGAGTCCAAGTAGGATATTGTGAGCTCCTCTCCTGCCTCTATGTCCCTGATGGCATGGGTGTGATGAATCAGATTTTCATCGATATAAAAGGCGACACTGTCCAAAGGTTAGACCTGAAAATAGACGTGTGTTTGTTGAGTCCAGTTATCTTACTTCGGCCTGCAATCGTGATTGAAGCGGGATACTTCTGGAAAGTTCCCAAAGTGGTGTCCGTTCTGTCCTCCCAAGTTGATCTGAAAGGAATTTGTGAACATGGTGTCATTGATCCTGTGCCCACCGAATTCACCAGCCTGAGCTAAGAATTGTTGTTGTCTTGTCTGTGGCAGTAGAGCGACCGCCGTTTCCAGAAGCTGGTATTGCTCTTCTGTCCCCAGGTCTTCAACGAGATCGGTGTGTACCAAGATGGCAGGCTTCGCCTCTAATATTTGCTCGCCTCTCCGGATAGTCTTGTCAGCAACCATTCCGATTCCCTTCCCAGGTACGCGAATAGTGCGGAAAGTTTGTGATCGGTGCAAGTCAAGTGACGATGCACTCAGACCTTGCAACCTCTGACTATTCGCATGTATTGTGACAACAGAAAGAGCCTCGCCCGGTGCCACAGCGGTTGACCATACGCAGTATTTGCTTATGCAAACATGTGGACCCTCCCACTCGTTCTGACTGACCTGATGCCCATTCTGACCAATTTGCTGACGGCCAGGACACTGCTGTGAAGTTCCAGTCAACGATCCTAAGCTTTCAAGATTGTTGAAGCGCTGAGGTAAAGGAAGTTGTGGTGGTATCCTAGGGCAGGTATCCGTGCGTAGAGATGTAGAAATCCCAGCAAAAGCATTGGAGGAAATAAGAAGGTGAGATGCTCTCATCGTGTGCTATATGGTGATCATTAAGTATGCAAGAGTTTGTCAAGTCTGAAAATGAAGGAAGACAGAAAAAACAAGTGGTTTCCTCACCATAGATGAAGACGGGCGTCATCTTCTTAATGTCAAAGCTGCTGGCATGGTGTTTCATCTCATGTCACTCTTAGTTATGATCTGGTACCCCATGGCGTTGTTTCGCTTGAAACGTGGAGTCTTTACAAAAGTCGAGTTCAGGTCCATTTGGCTTCCCAGATCCCTGTGGTTGCTTGCGCAAGCTTTTTGGTGGGCAGCTCGAATTCTTTTTTAATGTTATTATTATAATATTGTTATTAAAATCTTTAAAAAAAAAAATTTAAAAAAAAATTAAAATTTTTTAATTTATTCCATGAGCTCAAGATCTCAGTCGCATCTTGGGCGGGACTAAGGGAGTTCCTGGTGCAACCGATGGCTGCCTGAGTAAATGTCTAATGAGAAAGTCGAGCCACGTCAAAGGCATGGTTGGAATTGAAGTAGACCGCCTTGAAGAGGATATGACTATAAGGCAGTGTGTTGTCGGGGGTTTTTTTAACCACTGCATTTGCTCGAGGTTTGACAATGTCCACAAAACGAAAGCCTGCAGGTTGACCTCGAACGATCTACGAACAGGCGGTCACCAGGGAGTCTTTGAGTCTTGGAACCGGCAACAGAGAGTGGGGCGCGCACTGGACCCAGACCGCCAGAGCTTATAAGTACGGGGCCTTTAGTACAGTTTTTAACACATGTCACCGCTGCTTGCGCTTGCAGAGCCCTGGACAATGGCCCCCCCTGGCAACCCTCCTGGCAACCCTGGATCCTGGGGACCATGAAGCGCGACTTTGCTTGGGCTGCCACGAGAGGGTAACGCACTCCTTGAATACTGAAGAGCGAGCACGCAAACCCCTGATCAACTTTTTCGGACCCTCTGCAAATTCGACAACCCATCGCTTTCCTCACGACTAACATCAAGCCTTCGGAAAGACGTTCTGCCCAAAGTCTCGACTGGCCCAAACACGACCCAACTTACCTCTCTCAACGACGCAGCCCATCGCTTCCACTTACCAGGCCTCCCATCGCGGAACTGGGAGCAGCTACATGTTCAAGGGCACGCGCCGCGTGACACCACGACTCTCCACGCTTCAAAACTAGCCCTTGCCAAGATGGCAGAAGAACACCAATGGATACTCGGGGCCTTGGATGGTAAGCCCTTCCTCGCGAGCTTCGCAATTTGATACGTCACCTCCGCTTCTAACACAGCACCCCATGTAAAAGGCATCCTCCCCGAACAAGCTCTCCATTTCCTCTCCGACCACGTCCTGGCGCGCGAGACACCCTTTCAGAACATCCTGCGCACGCTGCAGGCGTTGTTCAGGAACGTCGTCGCGATCCTGTACCCCATCCTGCAACCGATCCTCGTGCGCGTGGGCACCATGCTGTCCGACAGCCCGGACGTCGTGTTCGTGTTCTCGCTCGTGGCCATCTTCTTCGCCGTGCTGCAGACGCTGCTATGGGTGCACCGCGTCATGATGTTCTGGACGCGGCTCGTGGGCCGGCTGATGCTCTGGGCGTGCGTCGCCGCCGTGCTGGCCATGGCGTGGCAGAGGGGGCCCGAGGCTGTGATCAGGGACGCCGTGGTCTTTGTTAGCAAGGTCGCAGGCTATGCGAGCTTGGTGAAGGACATCTGGTTGGCCGAGTACAACAAATACGACGCGCAGACCAAGAACAGCGGGAGGAAGGTTGGCGGTACCGGAAGCCGGAGAAGAGGCGGACGATGAGAGAAGTGTTGGCTGGTCGCGAATAATAATATGCCATGTTGAGAAAGCCACGGTTAATGAGATATGAGATATGCAATCAAATTCTACTGGTCGAAAATTGGTTCAATTTCTTGGTATCATTTGGGTCTAAATCATGAACGCCTTCGCTATGCAACAAAATAACCTCCCAGAAGTACGGCCCGCCCCCCTTTTTGGGCCAAAACCTGCAACCTCTTGTAGAATGACGGCAGAGACATTCGTTTTGCAAAAGCCTCGGAACTAGAATTCCATCTCTGGCTCGTCAAACTCGTTGTCCTTCAGCTCCTTGGGCTCCTGTGCCTCGTGGAACTGGATGCAATCGTCGATATAACTCAGAATTGCACCAACGCTGTCCTCGTCCCGCACGTTCAGCTTCAGATAGCTGACCATGCTAAAATTCTCGATCAATCCCGCCACGGCTCGATTTAATCTTCGGAAACTAGCACCCCTCATGACCGAGTCCTTATCCTGCGGGTCCACAAGAGCATCATCCTCGGCGGATGTCCCTTCTTCCCTCCGGCGTGCAATCTCTGCCGGGTCGTCGTCAAGCAGGAGCGGGTCCGGCGTGATAAATCTCTTCATATCCTTCTTCCTGACTTGGTCTTTGACCAGGTCCATCTTGGACAGGATGTTAATGTGCGGGACTTCGAGCATGATCATGGCAGACATGGCGCTAAGCGTCCCGGAGAAGAACTTGGCCCTGTCCACCACAAAGGTTGCCTCGAGAAGATATGCGGCACACAGGCGGATGTCTAGATTGCCCGTCTTGGTGAGGAATCGGACGAGGGCTGGGAGGATCGGCACGTGAGTGTAAAGTTCGATTTGGCCGGGCATGTCGATGATGATCATATATTCTTCCGTCAGGGAATCGAGACCCTCTGTCAGGAAATCGAGGTTCTCCATGAGAAATTCGAAACAGTATATGAGGCCGCCGTTGGGTCCCAGGCCCATCTCCTCCATTACATCTTCTAGCGAGATCAAGTCCTTGATGTCTAGGTCCGGTTGATGTTCGAAGGACTCGGCGGCCGGATCCAGGTTGACGTAGAAGCAGGACCGGCGGTTCAGTTGCAAATGCGTTATCAGCGACGCACAGAAGGTTGACTGCAACGACAGCCGTCAGCCAGTACTCAGAATCATGTCGCTGCGCACATATACGCGGTCATGAAGCTGCTGGCGCATGCAGTCATGGATTTTTAATAAACGCAATGTTACACACCTTGCCTGCCCCGGCGGGGCCCATCACCATGACACCGAACTTGCTCATTGTGAAATGTGTTTTCTACCTAAAAGGTCGAGCCTCGGAAGATAGAGACGTGATATTAGGGTCGCGAAAGAGAATTTCTGTTTCGGGTTGCGACTCAAAGTTGTTCAGCCTTGCGATGCTGTGTAGCCGGGACATGCGCTGCCTCGTCTCAAGCCTGAGGGAGAGAGAAAAAATCACCATGGAGGGGTTTGGCGGGGCACATAAGCTGCGAGCGATGAGCTGACAGGGGTCCCAATACCGTCCCGCCGTCCGTCCAAGAGGTCTAACCTACGAAGCGTGTACATGAAGACACGGTAAAGTAGTGCCATGCACGGCGTGGGGTAGGTATGCATTGTCAACGAGCCCACAACTTCCTTCCTTCGGCTCGACTCCATATTCGACCATCGAGAGCTGGCTCTGACTTACATATATACATACAGAACACCACTGAGTGTATGTAATGGAGTGATTGATAATTAGTGCTTCATGAGCTAGCACATGCAGTCAGATTCACCATGAGATCCTCCTTCCGCCCATTCGGGGACTCTTTGCTCGCAACAAGCACGTAATTTGGTTACAGGCAGATCTGTGCACAAGTAGAAACCTTGCTAGACAGACAGACTTCTTGCAGCTTGTTTGCATGATCCTGAGAGAGGGGTAGTACACAGAACAGAGTATCTCGTAAGCTGAGGTCGATATGATCCTTCTCCTCTTTACCACTGTCCAATCAGTGTATTGCCCGAGTCCTGTCTGATGGGCTGAATATCTATGGACACACAAACTCCAGAGGAACTCCGGTGCCCCATGACACACGCCAGACAGCTAAGTTATCAAGTCCATCAACGACTGCCCTTCCCTCGCGCACGTTGTTTGGTCTGAGTGCCCCACCTCTAAAGCGCTGAGCTCGTTGCCCATAGTGGAGAGCGGTGAAAAAAAAAGATGAAAAAAACTAGGTAAAAAAAACTGACTGTGCAGTCGATGGTGTATTGGCAAATAATGGCCTATGCCAATATGGCGCAATTGGATCCATAAATTTTTGCATTGGGAAGGCACGGCCAGCCGCGGGTTTTTGAGCTAGATCAGCATGTAGTGCTACATAATCAGACGTGCAGATTGGGTGGATAAAAAGGTATTAGTGGGCGTCTTCTACTTGTATTTTCTCAAAACTGCCCCTCCCCTTGCAGCGAAGCGAACAGAATCCGACACTCGGCAACAGCGTCCCTCATCCATTGAAGACCCTTCCCAAAAGACATCTTCTCTCACTGCTAGTTCTGCTCTTAACCTCCCCTTCTACACACTCTCGTACTCCTTTGTCCTTTCGCATTTCTCTTTCAGCTAGCCAGTTGATCTTTCCTCGTGCGTCTAAGATTAGACAGTAGAGTAACACCCTTAGACCAACATCTCCTCGAAACCTCTCAATCCTCCCTCTACCCTCTACCCTCTACCCTCTACCCTTTGTCAAGATGCCTGCCACCAACGGACTCAGCGGCGATGCCTTCCGCATTCACAATGAGGGCGCTTTCCTTTTCACCGTAGGTGTTAATTCCTGATCACTCCCATCGCATTGTCGAGAGACAGCGCAAAGGGGTCATCTGTCCTGGCTCTCGGGAATATTGTGCTGACCATGCCACTCAGTCCGAATCCGTCGGTGAGGGTCACCCTGATAAGATTGCCGACCAGGTCTCCGATTCCATTCTCGATGCCTGCCTTGCTGAGGACCCCCTCTCCAAGGTCGCTTGCGAGACTGCCACCAAGACTGGTATGATCATGGTTTTCGGTGAGATCACCACCAAGGCCAAGCTCGACTACCAAAAGGTCGTGCGTAACGCTATCAAGGACATTGGCTACGACTCTTCCGACAAGGGCTTCGACTACAAGACCTGCAACCTGCTCGTCGCCATCGAGCAGCAATCCCCCGATATCGCACAGGGTCTTCACTACGAGCAGGCTCTCGAGCAGCTCGGTGCTGGTGACCAGGGTCTCATGTTCGGTTATGCTACCGATGAGACCCCCGAGATGCACCCCCTCAGCCACTTGTTGGCCCACAAGCTCAACAAGGCCATGTCAGATGCTCGCCGGGACGGTTCCCTGCCCTGGTTGCGCCCTGACACCAAGACCCAGGTCACCATGGAGTACAAGAACGATGGCGGTGCCGTTGTCCCCCTCCGTGTCCACACCATTGTTGTTTCTGCTCAGCACAGCGAGGACATCACCACAGAGCAGCTCCGCAAGGAGATCACCGAGAAGATCTGCAAGAAGGTCATCCCCGCACAATACCTCGACAACGAGACCGTCTACCACGTAAGTTGAAACCTGTAATTCTTTCCCGTTACGAACTGACCTCGCTAACCAATTTTGTGCAGATCCAACCTTCTGGCCTTTTCATTATTGGTGGCCCCCAGGGTGATGCCGGTCTGACCGGCCGTAAGATCATCGTCGACACCTACGGTGGCTGGGGTGCCCACGGTGGTGGTGCTTTCTCCGGAAAGGACTTCTCCAAGGTCGACCGATCTGCTGCTTACCTTGCTCGATGGATCGCCAAGTCCCTCGTTCACGCCAAACTTGCCCGCCGTGTCCTGGTTCAGCTGTCCTACGCCATTGGTATTGCTGAGCCTTGCTCCGTTCACGTCGACAGCTACGGCACCTCTGACAAGAGTGCTCAGGAGCTCGTCGAGATCGTCCGTGCTAACTTCGACATGAGACCTGGTGTCATTGTCAAGCAGCTCGACCTTGCCAAGCCCATCTACTACCAGACTGCCAAGTTTGGTCACTTTGGTACCAACCAGGAGTTCAGCTGGGAGAAGCCCAAGGAGCTGAAGTTCTAGATTTTTGATGTTGTAGTATAATATTTGTCCGTTCCGGTGATGGGAATTGGAATATATCCGCGCAGGAGAATCAACTTCTTCAGCATAGAATGGCGTTATTTTTGGGTTTTAGATATGTTCATGATTCCCTCATCGGGCCATACAGGCAAAGCATGGCGTACGGTATTCAACAAAACCGTCTCGGCAAGGCAGGAAAAGCCTTGGGAAGACAGTCGGTTCGTTTGCTACTGGGCCTCCAATTTGGAGGCCGGATATAAACATGAATGAAATGATATCGAATTCGTTGTGGTATAATCAAGCCACAACCGATCACCTCAACAAAAGCTTGCCTCTCCCAAGTGTGATATCAAACCCAATTTCTGACGTTGACTCCTTTCTACGCCTCAATACGGCCCCCCCCCTCCCCCCAAAAAAAAACGTCGAAGCAGTAGGCCTCGATGCAACAACCAGCCGCAGAAGCCGGCCCCGCTATCGGATGCCCAATAGTGTTTGAGCGACCTGAAAGGCATGAGCCCGCAAGCTGCGCCTAACATTTATATCAAGGTGCAAAGATGCCATCTTTTCAGATACTTACTTTGACCGAGACAGATGCGCTCGGCTACACAACTTTCGCCAAGCAATCCATCAATTCCGGATATGGGCGAGCGACTCATAGAGCGGCTGCAGGATGCGTTGGGTTCTTTGGTCGAAGCAGCCTTTCCAACCAACAGTAACGCACGAACCCCAAGCTTTTCAAACCCACATACCTGTAGGCACTGTTGTAACATCACTGTTCAAGCGAAAACACTCGAAGGGGCAGAGTCTTGGCTGCGCTCGAATGCTGTCGAATCAGGAGGTCTGCTTGCTCTCGATCACGATTTTGACGGAGCTCTAAAAGCAACACGGGACGGATGTGGGTTGTACCGGTGGTTGCTTGACCAGTTGTTGCGAGGAACAAAGAGTAACCCAGACGTGATGGCCGGATTATTGCAGTCCAACCACATTCGATTCAGCTTGGTATTCTCAAAAGATGAGCCTATATATTCAAGAGAAGTACGAATGCGATGCGACCCCCTAATCGAATCAAACAAGGGCAACATGGCAGAATCGCCTTGGGAAATCCTTCTTTCGGATGCTCAAGGTATTGACGTATGTGCACGTGAAGGTGAGCACTTGCTCGATTCTATGTAAACATGTGCCCAGGTACAGATTGTCTGAAGCTCATTCATCACTACCAGGAGATCCTGGCGCTAGCTTTGTTTCGTTTCGTGCACCTCAAGAAGATATATTTTCTTCCAGCAGCATTCGGTTTGCCAGGGATTGCATGAATACCTGCATCAACTTCCATGAGCTGTGTCGAGATGACTGGATTCGCAGAGACAGAAGCAGCTCAGCGTACAGCGTTGAATATGCTATAGGAGAACAACTACCCTCCGAAAGTCTAGCCATTGATGCTCTGCCCACGCGGCTGCTTGAAACAGAGGAACGCGATGGTCTTGTTGTTCGCTTGATTGAATTAGCGGACCTGAGCGCAGCGAACAAGTCGCAGATTGCTGCAGATGGATTTGCCACGCTTTCATATTGTTGGGGTCAAGGGAATCCAGTTCAGCTCACGGCCAACAGTTATGAAACATTGAGGCGAGGCATAGAAATCTCGGCTTTACCAGCGACTATCGAACAGTCAATTCGTTTTGTGTTTTTGTTAGGACTCAAGTATATCTGGGTTGATGCTCTATGTATCTTTCAAGACGACATCACGGACAAGGAAATTGAGATATCGAGGATGGGATCTTACTACAGTGCTAATACTTTGACCGTCTGTGCAGCCTCTCCGAGCGGCGCCGCCGTTGGCTTTCTCGACCCAGAGTCTAAAGCTGTGTGCCAATATGGCCCAATCAACCTGTCTTGTAACATTGATGGAATGATGGGAAATTTACTCCTGCACTCCGATCCTAGTATGAAAGAGCCAGTGGCCGAGCGAGGATGGACGCTACAGGAGTCTTTACTGTCTCGAAGAATCTTGATCTTTTCCCACCAGCTGTATTGGTGCTGTTCAACAGCTAATGCCGGATGTGAGGGCTCTCTTAGTGTGCTTCCTCGAGACACCAATCGAAACATGGGATGGCCCCATTCACTTGTTCCCGGGATCTTTCCCATGTCGGTGTTACGAGTTTACCCGCCGGAGTACCAATGGTTTACAGGGCTGAGTAGCTTTACTGAGAGGCGCTTGGGTTTCGAAGCGGATAAGCTTCTTGCGATTTCCGCCCTGGCGGAGAGAATCCACCTCATTTTCCAAGCGCGAGGTCAATCCTCTATCGAGTCACGGAGCTATCGAGAGTTCCTCGCCGACCTGGCCTATGTCGCTGGGATCTTCTTATCGAGGTCACATAAAGAGCTAGTTGCGTCGCAGCTTCTCTGGACTTCGACCACGGCCTCCAAAACAAAGCGTGTCGAAACTTATAGAGCACCAAGTTGGTCGTGGGCGTGTGTTGACGGCTCTCTGCAATCATGTCTGACAGATGCTGTACAGGAAGCGGGGAGATTCTCAGTGCTCGACTGGGACGTCACCCTCACAAACAATGTAGCTCCCTATGGCAGCGTCAGATATGCTGCCATCCATATGAGGTGTCATCTGCGTTCGCTGCCTTTCAATGACACCAACCTGCCTGTGAAAGTCATAGATTGGATTGAGGAACCTTTGCAAGCGGGCATCAGAATCATGCCTGACACAGCAGCTGACCGCGACTGCATTTTGAGTACAGACCGAGAAAACCAGGCACTGCGGTTATTGCAGTTGACAGATGTCTACTCCCGGACACCTTTCTCTGGAATCAGAGGTTTGGTGGTAATTCTAGTTGCAGAGCTGCTGCCAGCAACCTATAAGCGGGTGGGAACATTTACAGCTCTGCAGGAACAAAAGAGCGCAAAGGCCGGGGACCAGGGTCTGTCTTCGTTCTTTGATGTGCCGGAGCAGGACGTCGTCTTGATATGAATAAGCAGGTGGTCGATGGGTAACTGTGGTAATTTCTACAAATTTGGTCGCTTTGTTTGTGCATTCACGAGAAAGAGTTTCAGGTTTGGTATTATATACCATGTTTATGGGTTCGAGTATGGCATTACTCTCGAGAACCTGCCCCTTCATCCACTTTCAATCACCTTGGACCCCTTGTATATGTGCCAGCACCGCTTGTATCACATCCAATTGGATGCTGCCAAACAAACTCAACAGACTTGTTTCAGACTCGACTTTTCTTTCATATCATTTACTGCACTAAGACATGTTATAAGACCGCTTTAATGAGGAGCGGGGAGCCTCAGATTCGTACTACAGCCCTGATAGTGGATATGCAGTAACATCATAGATTGACATGTCACGACCGACTTAAAGCAGTTGCTTACGTTGGGACTAATATTAATCGCTGCGTTTAGTATCTGAGAAAATAAACAGTTGCCTGCTCTGGTTAAGATCATACCTATTGATATGGCTCAACTAAGAAAGAAACGATGATATCAAAACCATGGAGCAGCATTATGCACATTCCCCCCACTTATCTCACTATCACTCGAGTGTGGAGAGGCAGCTTGCCCGTCTTTGCGTCGGAGCTGCTCCAAATCGATATTGATAATTCAGCCTTGATCACAACCTTGACCAATGTCGACATACTGTGCTCTATGATGCAATCCACTTTGTTCCATTTTGGTATTCTGTACCTCGTTACCTGGTTTGGATGATCCTGTGGCAATGGAAAGTACTTTTTGTGTGCGCCTTACACGGGTCGATCTGGCCATGACCCATACATAGCTTGGTGCCACGGCATAATAATTGGGGGGCCTCAGACATAAATGTACGACTGTGAGTTGCAACCTCCATGACGGCAATACATGCAAAAACCCAATTCTTTTATATTCAATTACAGGAACGAAATGATACCATTGGTAGCTACAAGCTGCATTGTTGCCTTACATCGTGCCAGTCAGTTCTCAGATATTTGCCTTCCGCAGACAGGCAGGACCCGGCTCCGACGGGAAAATGATGGTCGGGTTTCTTTTATATCAGCACCTTTTCCAAACTCGCCAACTTCATTTTCATCGATAATCTACACGGTATTTCGACATTATATCAAATCCATTACTTGCTACCCTCAACTGTCAAGTTCCAACCATGTATCGCGACTTCAGCTCCCAGAAAAGCGGTAGTAGAGGAAGCAACAACAATTTCGGACAAAGGTCCCAGTTTACGAAAACCACGTCTGGTCTTAATTGGAGAGGGAGCCACCGGTGGGACAAGAGTGCTCAGGGAGGCCTGCCTGTCGCAGACGAGGCCCCGATCGGGCCCCTTGTTACTGAGATGAAAGTGGAAGACCTCAAACTTCCTCCAGTTTCAGCTTCTGGTGCAAAGATAACTGATGTCGAAGTTGTGGCTTCATACTCTCTGGTTGGACCAAAGTCCCCAACAATCATTGTGCCAGGTAATCTACACCGGTGCCCTCTATACGCGTTCATTGCATTGACCTATAATCCAGGAGAACCAGCTCTATGGACCCCACCAGCGCTCCCGGTCCAGCTCAAACAAGATCAAGGAGAGTTTTTACGTGACATGAATGGGGCATACTTTCCTGACTTCCCCATGTTACCCACGGTGCAGTCAGTATTCGCCTTGAATAAATCGTTCGAGCCTTCTAGTGTGAACGTCGTAGGATGTGCGAGTTCTCTGGGAAACCTTCTCCGTGCCGCTCGCTCGGCAGAAGCTTCGTTTCGCTTCGACGTTGAGCTCGTCGGGGATACGCTCTTCATCGTTAGAAATGCCAAGGACGAGAAAATTCCAGACGTTCGAGGTTACGGTCATTCGTTTCTTGAGAACTTTACAACTTACGCAGACGTATTCAACAAGACTAAGTCCCACCAGCGTATCATCAAGTATCACTTCGCTGGGCTCGACTATCTTGTGAGGTTTGAGTCTGACGGCTGTGAGAGCAGGAATGATGAGAAAGCACTTTCCCAAGACCAGAGGGCAGCCATGCTTGGGCCGGCCGTAAAAGGTGCAGTTAAGATGGACATTAATGGTACCATCATTCCTCAAGAGTCGGTTCTCGAGGTCAAGACGCGTTCTCGGCTAAGAGGCAGTATTGATCTCTCAGAGCATCTTCCACGACTTTGGGTACGTCAGATACGCAAACTAGTCACCGGTTACCACGAGCGTGGCGTCTTTGCAGATGTCCAGAAGATCGACGTAGGTGAAAGAGTCCAAGATTGGGAGAAGGGGAGCCAAGCAGAGCTGCGAAAGTTTGCCGCAATCGTGAACTGGTTGGTGGAAGAGGTCAAGAGGGCTAAGCATGCGAGTCTTGAGGTCTATCGTCGTGATACTGGTCCTTTGCAGCTGCGGGAGCATGTGGGAAAGCAACGACGAGCTCTACCGGATCAATGGTGTGATAATTGGGCAGGTTTATCCCTGCATCAATCCAGTGGCGAAGAGTCAAGCGACTCAGAAAACGATCAAGGATACCCTACAGTGCGTAATTTAAAGGCACCTGGGGATTCGAGTGATGAGGCTGATGCAGGCGTTGACTATACGGCGTGCGATCTTGACTGTGGATACTGTGGCCTCTGTGCCTAATAATGTCAGGCTGGGAACACAGCATTGCAATTTTGTGTCTGCCTTGCTTCAGAGCTCACCCCTCTTCTACTTGCAGGTTACACAAAAGTGGGAACATGGAAAGTCACAATGGTGTAGGGTACTTCTCTCATATCATGATATGGAATAATATGGCATAACGTGGAACACTTATCAAGGTGACCTCCTTTAACTACATGCATCATCTGTCTACACATTTTACCACTAAATCAAGGTTGGGCAGTAATTATGCATGGATTGCTTTATGGCAACGTCTTTCGTCAAATGAAAAACCGAGGCTGGTGGTTTTGGAAGTGTAAATATACAGCCTGCATTCGTTGCGTTGGCTACTGCGTTTGTGACAATGCGGGAGGCCCATCACTTGAGTGCATTCGAGGCTGGCTGGCCACCGCCCACTCGCGCCCAAGATTGGGGCTTGATCTTGACCTATGTATAACTGCCTCAAAAGTATTACCTTTCACAATTTTGTATTTCCTGACTATTAGTTTCTACCAATATCCATCAGTGATGTCATACAGAGCATATCGTCGAGGTGGCCGCGGTGGCAGAGGTGGCAGAGGTGGCAGAGGTGGCAGAGGAAGAGGCAGTGGCCCAAGGACCGAACCCATACCACAACAGCACGGGACCGAACCCAGACCACTACAGTACAGGACCGAACCCAGAACACAACAAGACGTTAACCAAGAAGGCCAAGAAAGATCACGGCAGCTGGATAGTTTCTTCTACAAAGTTCTTGAAGGAACTTGGCAGTTGCACTCAGCGTCGGACTCTCACCGCTTCATAGAGTCTATTTGTAATAGGACTGACAAGTCCGATTGTATTGAGCGGCTAGCTTCATCTCATAGCGGCCAAAGAGCTCTTCATGAAGCTGTGACGCTAGACACCTCCGTCAGTTTCATCAACACTTGGGTATCGAAACTTCTGGACCTGCTATCCGAACCAGAGCTCAAGAGATTATGCAACGGTGAACTTCTGAAACAAGTGCTCTGGAATATAGTCGATCCACCACTGTTCTGGGACGCCTTGATAGCACACATCGAAGCCAAAGCTCTGGATGTCAAAGCAAGTGAAGGCTTCGCCTGGCTACTCTTGCAGATCGTACTCCTGCCAGTCGACCAATCCGATCCGTTCCGCAAAGTAGCACGATCGTTGCTCACGGATACTTTTCTTGAAACGTCACAGTCACCCGTTTGCAAAAGCTTGCTTCAGAAGGTGCAATTTCTTGTGACTCAACCATCATCACCTTCGAACAGTGCAGAAATGGTCGAACACGGCCCTGGTGGTCGGCATGATAACGATTTTATCAATTACCATGATATCAGTATCCTGCCTACAAAGGCTGAGCTTGAGTCTCCAGAGAAGCCGTTCATCCGCAATGCATCTGCACTGATGAATGAGGATATGGGAAGGCGAGCAAATCTCCACCTTGACAATCAATTTCGGCTTCTCAGGGAGGACATGCTGGAGGAGGTGCGAGATGACCTCAAATACACGAAGGGCGACAAGCCAAGTAAGGCTAAGAGAACTTTATTAATCAATGGTCTACACTTAAGAGACATCGATCAAGGTTCTTTGGAGAACGAACGGCCTTGTAGCCTCATTCTCAGCTGCTCGACAGATTTCCTGAACATGCCCGGTGCGAGTGTTGAGAAGAGGAAAAAAATACTGAAAGACACGCCGGCATTTCTCAAGCACCAAAGTTTTGGGTGCATCATGGTCAACAAAACACCTTTGGGATTCGCGACAGTGATTAGAAACGAAGATCTACTGGCATGCATCATGCCGTGCCTCTGTCTTCTTGTTCTCGACCAAGAATCTCTCCACAATATCCTCTATGCTCTCCATAATGGCCCAGTTGACTTTCTTCAAGTACCAACTCCTTTATTCGCCTACGAACCTATCCTGGAGCGACTGCAGAAAAAAGTCGACATTGAACTAGAACACGACGTCTTGGGATATTCTGACGTGCTACGACGCTCACCATTTATTCCAGAAGCAATTGTGGCGGGTCTGGAGGAAATTGACGCTGGGACGGATGTCGAAAAGATTCTGTGTACTTCGAAGCAGGTCTGTCTTGACAAGTCACAAGTCAAAGCTTTGAAAACGGCCCTTACTTACCAAGTAGCATGTATCCAAGGGCCACCAGGTATGTTCCGTACCTGCGCATAGCGTCCATTAACACAGCTGACACGATTGACCAGGTACTGGCAAATCTTTTGTAGGAGCCTTGTTGGCACATGTTTTGCTTCAAAATACAAAGGAGAGAATCATGATTCTAGCCTATACAAACCATGCACTAGATCAATTTCTCGAGGATCTCATGGACATTGGCATTCCATCAGACTACATTGTCAGGTTGGGGTCGAAATCCACAACTCGTACAATGCCTCTACTTCTACGGAATCAGGTTCTCAGCACCCAACACAAGTCGCGAACTCGTTGGGAATTGATCAACTACGAGAGGGATGAATTAAAGATCGTAGTAGAGAAAGTTCAACAGTCTTTCGAGATTTACTTGAACGGCCGCACAAATCTCAAACAGGTATTGTTACATATTGAATTTCACGACCGAGATAGGCATTATTATGATGCATTTCTCGTCCCTGAGGCTGAGGTGGGCCACACGATCGTTGGAAAAGGTGGTAAGCAAGTTAGCGATACTGCCCTTTTACAGCGATGGGTCAAGGGCAAAAGTGCCGGCGCTCTTGCCCATCAGCTGTCACAAAGCGTGCTCGAAGGCATCTGGCAAATGGATCGCACGTCGCGTAAAGCCAAAGAGACGCAGTGGAGAGAAGAGATACACCACAAAAGAGTTGCAGCGCTGACCAAGAACTTGAACAAGTACAACAAACTTCAGAAGAAACTCCAGGGTCTTCACAGGCAAAAAGACGAGCATATTCTGCGCTCCAAGCGCGTAATAGGCTGTACCACTACGGCAGCGTCGATGTACGCACAGGAGATACAAGCTGCTGGTCCCGGCATCATCATCGTCGAAGAAGCTGGCGAGATACTAGAAAGTCACATTCTTGCCGCCATGGGTCCAAGCACCAAGCAACTAATTCAGATCGGTGATCACAAACAGTTGAGGCCAAAGGTAAAGAACTACAAACTCACCGTTGAATCTGGTAGAGGTTTCGACTTAAACAGGTCAATGTTCGAGAGACTAGTTCTCCAAGGTCGTGCTCATTGCACTTTACTAAACCAGCATAGAATGAGACCAGAGATATCTGAGCTTATCCGGCGTACGTATAGAGAACTGCCCGTTCCTTGATTCTTCGTTGTTTCTTGACAACACACTAGTAGTGTGACCTCGTTTCGAGAAGTGAGACCGGTGATTATGAACAAGACAAAGCCGCAAAAGTTCCCGTATTCATGGAGAAGATAACTAATTTGTATGCTTGCAACACGCAGACAATTACCCTGATCTGCAGGACGCAAAGGGAACTATGAACCGTCCTCACCTACGTGGCTTTCAGGGAGACGTCGTCTTCGTGAATCACAGTTACCATGAGGCAAAGCACAACCTTCTTGCCGACAAACTCGACGAGAACGCCAAGTCTAGTAAACAAAATAGATTTGAAGCAGAAATGGTTTTGAAGTGCGTTCGATATCTGGGCCAGCAGGGTTATCGAACGACTGATCTGGTCATCTTGACCCCTTACTTGGTATGATTCCTCTCCCCGCTTCAGTAATTCCTTAGATTGACTGTCGTAAGGGACAACTCTCACTTCTCAAGGACTATCTCAACAAAGATCATGATCCAGTCTTGAGCGACTTGGACTCTCATGACTTGGTCCAAGCTGGCTTAGTCCCAGCTGCCAGCGCGAAGGTGAATAGGATGCCGATACGGTTGTCTACCATCGATAACTATCAAGGCGAAGAGCGCGATATTGTTGTGGTGTCCTTGACCCGCAGCAATGATGATGGCGAGATTGGGTTTATGCGAGCCCCAGAGCGTCTCAATGTCCTCTTATCTCGCGCAAGGAACGCCCTCGTCATGATTGGAAACGCCGAGACGTTTATGAACGCCAAGAACGGTCGCGAAGAGTGGACACGTTTGTTCGACAATTTGAAGAAGAGAGCGGAAATTTTCGATGGGTTTCCTCTTTGTTGTCAAAAGCATCCCAACACTGCGATCGTTGCAAAAACTCCCACCGACTTCGATCTGCACTGCCCCGATGGCGGTTGCGCATTGCCATGGTAAGTCTCTAGAACCACGATGTTCAACGACTAATCCTAACCGAATGTTGGCAGCTCTGAAATGCTCTCCTGTGGACAGCATCAATGCCCACAGCGGTGTCATATTTTGGTAGATCATTCCAGTATGCCGTGTACAGCCATCATCACCGACTTTTGCCAACAGAAACACAACATCACCTGGAATTGTTGCCAGCAAAAGCCTGCGTGCCAAGAATGCCGCATCATAGATGAGCAGCGTCGTGAGAAAGCGCAGAGAAACAAAGCCCTTGAGGATAGAAGACAAGCAAATCAATTTGCTTACGCTAGAAAACTCAAAGAACTACAAGAAAAGATTACTCAGCAAAGGCAAGTAGCCAAAGATCGCCAAGACGAAGCCAACAGGGAATCAATTTTAGAGCAGCAGCGTAAGGAGCTGGCAACGCTGACCGAGGAGAACCACGTGCCGAAGAGGAACTTGTCCTCGAAGGCCAATGGCAATGAGTCCAAATCAGAGCGCCAGTCCACTACAGAAGACTCAAAAGGTTCTTGCGAGCCTTCGCCTGTAATCCCTCTCAAGCCGGTGTCTCCACGGGAAAGCTATGAATCCTCCAAGTCGGGCTCTGACCTCTCGGAAGAAAATGACCAAGACATGATCCCGGAAGGCGCTCCATTCCTGAGGAAGCAATCAGCTGCTGAGCAAGACTGGCAATATCAGAAGGACTATCAGAATGTTTCGAATGAAGCTCTGGACTCGCTGATGTCTATGATCGGGCTCGAAAGTGTGAAAAAGGAATTTCTCAGGATCAAGGCGAAGGTGGACACGGTCGTCCGTCAGGGCGCCGATCTCAAAGATGAGCGATTCTCCTCTGCCTTGCTGGGGAATCCAGGAACTGGTATGGTCCCCTCCCCCTATGAGGTATTTTGAGCTATGCTAAAGCCTTCCTAAAGGCAAAACAACCGTGGCAAGGCTTTATGCCAAGTTCCTCTCTTCTGTTGGCGCCATTCCCGGAGACCACTTCGAGGAGACTACAGGTTCGCGCTTAGCTAACGACGGCATTCAAGGTTGCCAAGCTCTGATCGATGAGATCCTCAAGAACGGGGGTGGCGTCTTCTTCCTCGACGAGGCCTACCAGATCGTCTCTGGGAGTTCTATGGGTGGCAGACAGGTTCTTGATTTCCTGCTGGCCGAAATTGAGAACCTCGCCGGACAAGTCGTGTTTATCTTCGCCGGGTACCGCAAGCAGATGGAAGATTTCTTCACACACAACCCCGGTATCCCGAGCCGTGTCCCAATCAGCCTCGATTTCCAGGATTATGAGGACGAAGAGTTGCTGAGAATCTTCAATTATTCATTGGATAAAAGGTACAATGGTCGCATGCAGGTTGAGAAGGGGCCACAAGGTCGCTTCATGCGCATTGTTGCTCGTCGAATCGGTCGTGGCCGAGGCCGAGAAGGCTTTGGCAATGCTCGGGAAGTACAAAATGTGCTGTCAGGGCTTCTAGGCCGACAGGCGGAACGACTGCAACGAGAAAGACGTGCTGGACAAACCCCTGACGACATGCTGCTCACGCAAGTCGACCTCATAGGCCCTCCACCCAACAAAGCACTGCAATCACACAAAGATTGGAAAGAGCTCCAGAAGATGATTGGCTTGAAGTCTGTTAAGCAATCTGTCCAAGTTCTCGTTGATCGTCTACAGACCAACTACGACAGAGAACTCAGGGAACAACCGCCGATTGAATGCTCTCTCAACAAATGCTTCCTCGGTAATCCGGGAACGGGCAAGACGACCGTAGCCAAGCTCTACGGTGGCATACTAAAAGCTGTGGGTCTTCTGAGCAACGGTGAGGTTGTGATCAAGAATCCCGCAGACTTTGTGGGCGGCGCTCTGGGTCAATCGGAGAAGAACGCCAAAGCGATCCTTGACAGCACCAAAGGCAAGGTGCTGATCATCGACGAAGCATATATGCTTGCCGGCGGAGGTGTTGCGGACCCCTACAAGACAGCTGTCATCGACACCATCGTTGCCGAAGTTCAGAGTACTGCTAATGAGGATCGATGTGTGCTCTTGTTGGGTTACAAAGAGCAGATGGAAGACATGTTCCGAAAAGTGAACCCAGGCCTCAGCAGACGTTTTCCAATCGCATCGGGTTTTCATTTTGACGATTACGATGATGAAGAGCTCGGCCAGATCCTAGACCTCAAGCTAAGGAAACAGGGCCTGCGTGCAGGGGAGCGCGCCAAAAAGGTGGTACTCGAGGTTCTAGAGCGCGAGAGACACAAACCCAACTTTGGCAATGCTGGTGCTGTCGATATCGTTCTCAACGACGCCAAGGATCGCCAGCAGAGGCGCCTGTCAGAAAAACAAGGGACCAAGGGCGCCGATGTGCTCATTGCGGAGGACATCGACCCAGACTATGACAGGGGTGAGCGTGGCACCACAAATATCCCGCTGCTCTTCCAGGGTGTTTTCGGGTGCGAGGATATCGTCAAGCAACTTCATGGTTATCAGCAAGTGGCCGCGAATATGAAGGCCAATGATATGGATCCTCGTGAAGTTATACCCTTCAGCTTCCTTTTCCGTGGACCGCCAGGTATGTTAAGAAATAAAAGCCAATTTTTGATATGTTGAGATCGAATGCTGATGTTGGTTCACAGGAACTGGTAAGACGTCGACCGCTCGGAAGATGGGCAAGATCTACTACGACATGGGCTTCCTCGGTGACGCGACTGTAATCGAGTGTTCCGCGACCGACATCATCGGTGAATACGTGGGGCAAACCGGACCTAAGGTTCAGAAGAAGTTCGACGAGGCTCTTGGAAAGGTCCTGTTCATCGACGAGGCCTACCGTCTGGCGGAGGGCCACTTCGCCAAAGAGGCCATGGATGAGATTGTGGACTGTCTCACAAAAGAGCGTTACCAGCACAAGTTGATCGTCATCCTTGCGGGATACGACAATGACATCAACCGTCTGATGACGCAGAACCCCGGACTGACGAGGCGTTTCCCCGACGCGATCACGTTTTCGAATCTATCGCCTCAACATTGCCGCGATCTGCTGGTGCAATGCTTGAGGCAGAAGAAACTCGATGTCAGCCAGCTCGAAGCATCCCCCGGCTTCGATATGAGTACCTCGAGTAGGTTCAAAGCCCTTTGCAAAACGCCATCTTGGGGCAACGCGGGCGATGTGGAGACACTTGCCAAGAACATATTTTCTTCCATCATGAAATCCAAAGGTGCCTCGAAGCTTGTACATGAGCATCTAGTCATTGATGCTATGGATATCATGATCAAAGAACGGGTCGCCAGGGGTGCGGGCATGGCAGAATTCGTGACACCAGTGACTTCTTGGCCCTTGATGGAGCAAGAGTCGTCAAAGTATAGGCCATCACCTAACTCCTTCTCGACGAAAATCGAAACCATCACGGAACAAGAAGACGAGCCTTCCTGCCCGGACGACAAGTCCGATTCCCCTGACAAGCCACCTCCAGGCCTCCCAAGCCTACGCGACGCAGGTGTCTCGGACGATGTCTGGGCTCAGCTCGAGCTTGACAAAGCGGCCGAGCAGCAGCGGCATCATAATCTTCAGGCCGCGCGCAAGAAATCCGCAGACGCAGAGAAGAAGATGCGAGACAAAAGCGAGCAGATCAAATCCCAGTCTGAGGCAGACCCGTCGCGTCTTGAAGCCCTCCGTGCCCTCGAGGCAATGCGGTTGGAATTAAACGAGGCCCTTATCGAGCAAAAGAGACAGGAAGAACGGTTGAAAAGGATGATGGCGGTCAAGATGAAGATCAAGAAAATGGGATGCTGTCCAATGGGCTTTGAATGGATTGAACAAGCGAGTGGCTTCAGGTGTGCTGGTGGAAGTCATTTCATGAGCAACAAAGAACTGGGCCTCGAGGACTAAGGGCGTTCTCAACCATCATGATCTCCTTTCGTTCGCCAGTGTACTCTTGATATTAATGAACTCCCCACTTAGTTGTCCTCAACCCAGTCGTATGCCAAATGTGTCTATAGTCCGGCTATGCCAACAAGTAGCAAAAGACGCCCTGCCGACTGCGCAGGCTATTGGCTACGAGTACTGTCCTATGCATGGAGGTAACGTTATCAGGTAGTGGTTGCATTGCTGTCTGACTCTCTTATTGATGCGTCCGTAACTCTTTAAGCACTTAGTACGGCTATGAGACCTAGCCAAGACTGGAAAGAGCCACCATAAATTGCATGCCTGATTTTGGCCGAGTGGCTATCATTGAAGACCACTTCAATTCTGCTTGGAGGGATTTGCGGACAGGTACAGCCCCATATCGGTAACGGTCCAGATATTTGCCATCCTTTATTCAATACGGTCGAGCCACGCTGTTTGAAGACGCTGGATCGAGCGGAGAGCAACTCGGTAGGGAATTATTCCTGATAAAAGAGAGCGTTGGTTGCTTTCTGCGTCGTTGGGACGCTTGTGGCCGAAAAAAAACCTAAGTTCAGATTCTTCCATAGCGGGGGACAATTTCGAAGGGGGAGATTCAAATGTCTCGACGCAAGTCATTCGCGTACATGGACTACATGCAGGGTAGAACCGTATTTCATCATGGATCGTAGCTGCCAGGGAGCAATCGTTTGCAGCCATAATCGGATGTGTTCTCTCTCACATTCGGGCTCTGGGCCAGCGTTTAGATCATCACGGCACGGTCTTGACATGAGCGGGTGAGGTTAACGTGGTTTGGAGCCTTATCTCATTCTTTCGAGATTGCCGATCTTGTGGTGGGCAAAATCGTCTCGGGTACCAAGGCTAAGTAAGTAGCCCGCGGCGGAGGCGGCGCGAATTAAACATTTCCCATCCTTCCCACTTTTGACTATATAGTGGTTCGCTTCGAAAGATCTCTCTCGGGAAGACCCTGAGAAAGAAACAAAGAGCACAGTCCAGCACATCGCGGGGATCGCGAGTAGAGTAGCGACTTTGCCCCCAAAGACATCCGTCCAATCCATCCCTTAGGCGCGGCGCAAGACCGGTCTAGGACTACTTAGTTGTCTTGTCCATTGTTTTAGTCCGGCCGAGACTTCATTTGCGGAGTATTTGCGGCGTTTCGAGCCTTTCCCTCTCCTCCCTTTCCCGCTGCTATCCTAGTCACTGGTTCCTGGTCCCGTTTCCCTGGTCCGGGTTCCCCCTTGCGGCTTTTTCGCGTTTGCTTTTGCGGCTCTTTGCGAAAGTGCAATTGTTTGCGCGCGCCAGTGCGCATGCAACGGGCTTCGCATAAAAGAAATTTGAATAAAAAAATTTAAGAAGGGAAAAAGCATTAAATCTGGGGTAGAAAAGCTGCGATCTTGAGACAAGACGCAGGCGATCACCCATGGTGTACATTGCATAATCTGATCTGCATACAGATTAGCGGGAGGTCGGTAGAGAGTTCGCAGATCAAGAGGGCGCATCGTACAACACAGCACGTGGATGAGGGAAAAGGCAGTGGTAAAGTTGATAACAGCTCAATTCAGATATAGATGGCGCAAGTCAACTCGACAAGAAAAAGTAGGTGGTCGACGCAAGTGTGCGCATACCTAGGATATCATAGTAGTTCTCTCGTCTAAATCGAGGGTAATTCATTCCATAACGCCGGTTTCCTTTCCTCTCTAATCAGGTATAATGTTCTGTAGACCTCTGATGCAAAGTACCCTCAAGGGCCGACAAACACGGGCAGTGGAGTTGATACTAAAAGAAAGAAAGAAATATAAAGAAAGGGCCAAATCGAGCAGAACGTGGCCGTCACCGCCGTGTTCCGTTGGCTCTTCAACGCCAGGTGCCGTGAAGCTTGCCTCGCCTAGTCCTCGACTTGAGACCGACATCCCCATTTACCATGAGGCTCTTCCATCGCCTACCAACCGAACTGCGATCCTTGCCTAGACTCCTGGCGCAGTCTTGCCAGTCGTTCTTGGTCAACTTCAGCTTCTCCAGGATGAGTTCCACCAGTATGCGGTCCTCCTCTGTGCTCCATTGTTCGCCATCTGCTTCCACCTCGACCTCCTCTCCAACCTTGCCGTGCTCTGCTGACTCTGGGCTGGCACGGTGCAGATCGTGGAAGTCTGAACGGTCCAGGCCAAGAGGCACGAACTCGGGTGCAATGCGCGCGCGCTTTGGTGTCCGTGGGCGCGAGGATTGGGCTTCTTCCGACGACTCGGTCGCGTCGATGTCCAAGTCGCTGTCGATATCGTCGTCGCGACCCATTTCATCTTCGGCGGCCCTGCACCTCTTGTTTGCTCCACGAGGGGGGGCCGTGCGCTTGACAATCTTCTTGCGTCCGATGACCTCGGGGTTGGTCTCTGCCCTGCGTGTTCGCAGGCGCAACTTCATAGGCGAGGGGATGGTGGCGTGAGCCAGTGGCGGTGTTGGTAGTTGAGATGCACGCCGAGGAATATCATCGTCGTTGGACGAAGTGATGATGGGAGCGGGCGCAAGCATGGAATGCAGCGCGCGGCATGAGTTCATGATGTTGTTGATGCCGCTGAAGGCATTTGTAGGAGGACTAGCGGGTGGCGAAGAGAATAGCGAGGGCGCGAGCCTCGAGACGGGACGCTGCGCCGGCTCGCAGGAGAGCGCAGATGGCAGGAGCATCTTTGTTCGGTTCTGGTATGTATGAGAGAGGCGATCTTGATTGCAGCGAGATGGGCGTTTGCGTTGCGATGTCGCGCGGGTACCAGCGAAGTGGCAGCGGCGGTAGCAGCAGTAGCAGCAGTAGCAGCAGTAGCAATAGTAATAGTAATGGTAATAGCAGTAGCAATAGTCGGTAGGGATGGCAGTATCGCGACAAGCGCGTGCGACACGATGCTTTTTGAGTTCGGGGTTGCGACACGGCACAACTGTCACTGAACAGAGTTCAAGACGTTCCGAAAGTGACTTACGGCCAAGATTCGCGACAAGAAGACGAGCGCAGGCTTTGTCGCAAACGAGTGCAGAGGCTGTTGGCAAAGATGAGAAAGAGAGAGTGCTCGTTTCGTTCGTTCGTGTGTGTCTATATGTGTGTGTGTGTGTATGTATGGGTGTGCCGGTATGGGTTGTAGGTGGGAGAGGAGGGAAAAAAAAAGAGCTTCAGCGGCAGAAGTTGGGGGTGACAGAGGACTTAATGCGCCTAATAAGAGACCCCAGCGACCCCCGAACATGGCACTCGAGGCACTCGGGGGCTCTCCAGGCAAACGGCAAAAGGCAAGAGGCATTCGAAGAGCTAGGTTAGGTTAGTTAGAGACCAGACTAACCTAGGGCACGCATCCGGTCTGCCATCCCAACACCACTGGCACTTACTTGCACATCCCTACGGCTACACCACCGACAGCCACGAACAGGGTGCGGGTGCTTGTGCTTAGCGAGACCCCTAGGTTAGCACATTTGGGGCCCGCATCGCAACTGCTCCAAGCCTAGCTGGCGGTAGGTCTACATATCAACCCTGTAAGTCAGCGGATAAGCCCTGATCGCTCTCCATAATCGGTACGTGGAAAGCAAGGGGCTGAAGCAGAGCGATACAACGCTCTCTTCCTCCACACCTTTCTCACCTTGGATTGGGGGGACCTTGTCTATTAGATTTTGCTGGTCAAGTCTCTAGGTTAAGATGAGTTAGTCGCAACAGTTCTGGAGCATCCATGTCCACATTCTGTCTCTCTTTCTCTCTTTCTGTCTTTCTTTCTTCCCCCCCTCTCCCTTTCCCTCTGTCCATCCGTCGTGAATCAGTCATCTATGTATGTAAATACATACTGTAGTAACTTTGATAGCCCTATGGCGGCAAAGCTTCCAGGCACCGCCTAGTCGCAAGTGTTCCCTCCACCGTGGACGATCCAGCCAGTATAGATCACCGGGAGCTGCCCACGCGTAGCGACCATGGTCTCTTGAGCGGATGTCCTTACTTGCCCGTCTTGTCATCTGAACCTAATCATTCCCGCTGGGCTGACAGCGGCAAACGCTCCATCGTAAGTTCTTGCTAGTTTGAAAGGAAACTTTCTAAATTGCTGCCGCTTTGAGCGCCCTTGGGCCAAATACGCTTCGACAGACCCCCTCCTATGCTATCGTAGCGTCTTGGTGTATGTTCATGTCACGACTGAAAAATGCGAGACAAACGGGCTTGACGGCTTCCAAGTCTGGTATACCTTGTGCCGCATGTGTTCCAAATGCGTACATGGGTAACAGGGTAGGCACCTTGCGCTGCACAGACTGACCGAGATCTCCCTCGGGTGTCATCCGTGCCCCAGTCGTCCCCTATGGCTGATGGCCGCTTGGTTCCTGAAAGCTAAAATTGTTCTTGGGTCTCTCGTCGTCATAAGGATTGAAAAGGTGGCCTTGCATTTGATTTCTATAATCTACTTCAGACCTTAAAACTGGATTCTGATGGGGACCATCTCGATTACACCAGGCCGTTGCACACCACCAATTTTTCATCTAGCCCGGTGCACAATGACGAACGTCAGCTTGTGATGCCAACGCTTGCTTTGTGCAACCACTGCATGATGAGCTACAAAGAGGCTCCTGTCAGTTCCAGTCATATGTTTCAGCCTAGCATCTCGGACGTCCAAAATCATCGAGATGGCGGGGTTGTAAGACAAAACACTCGCCTTCGCACCACCATGAGCAAACCTGAAGATTAGCCCCGGAAGAATATTTGTCACTTGGTGTGGACGACTATTTGATCACACGATTCACGATGGTGGGGCCACAGAGCCTAATGTGCGTGGCATTGTTCGTTTTCCTGCGTTGGAACAGAAAATGTGTACTGCAAGGTCAAGTGTGTGTCTCTACTGCCCATGCATGTGCTGCACATAACACATGTTCTGCTTCTTTGCAGAAAGAAATAACTTGCATCGTTTCTGCGAACTCTCTTTAATCCCACCTGCAGTCTCAGATCTACTTTCCATGCCCAAGAAGAAGGAGAAGAAGCAGGAGAAGAAGAAAAGCGGATGGCGTAACGTAATCACCCACCACGAAAAGTCTCGGAGTGGACGGGGGAACTTCATGATGACGAGACGTCGATGTTGGACGCGTCGAACCGCGCCGAGTTCGCGTCTGGGTTTCACGCGTTTAATTACGTGCATATGCCATTGACCTATTAAAGCACTTACGTGATTAACCTCTGCGGAGTCTCAGAAGTCATTGGCCGGCTACGTATGGAGACCGTTTCTCTTGATCCACCACTCCCCACTTGAGTCCTCTTCAATGTTTGACCCCAGAATTGATTGCAGTGAAATTGTTACCTGTCCATCAGGAATCTGCAACCCGTGCGGTCACCCGGCCACCCGGTCACCCCCTCCCTCCCTCCCTCTCTCGCTGCTGCGTGCTGAATTCCACGAATACTGCTTTGTTCCTTCTGAAGGTGTTCCCAAAAGAGTTTTCACAACGCATTCGTGCACTGCAGGACGCACGCGTTTCAGAGCAGATGCAAAGACTGTGCCCGTGCTCTAACATGAGCTGCCTTTCTTGTCACGTTCTGGCCGCAGGTTGCTAATGTAAGAACGTCCGAAATATCCGTGAAACGCATTTCGCTAGTGGCACAACTGCCAAAATGCACGCTCGGAGCTCGGACAGGTTTCATCTTCGCGAAGCGACTTGAAAAAAAAAGTCTCCGATCAGCGACATGGTTGCAGATTGAGCCTCATCTCTAAGTTTGACGACACGATGGTTTGGGAAACTCCCCCGTACGCGAACATTGGCTTTAATGAGTCCGGACAACACAGACACGAGAAACTCAGAATATGGTGGCATTTCTCATGCTCTTATGGCTTGTGCAGGAACGAAAGCCTATCGCCCAAGTAAAACCTTTCTTTCGAAGTGGCATGCTTGACCAGAACGCAGCTTTAGTCCTTGTGGCGTCTTAATGAATTTCTAATCTTGATGTGTCCATATTTGAACAAGTTATATTCGTGTCTCGATCTCGTTGTGCGCCCCGATTTTAGAAGTCCACCTGAAGAAACTACAAAGAAATCTTCAAGGGGTTCTGAAGTAATCTTAAAGCATTATCCGAATCTATATAATATGCTATAAGAACGGTTCATGAGTGTCGAGACTGGCCCGGACTGCATTTAAGCAGCCACCGAATCAACGACACACTTGCCAAGATAATTCCAGGCACATACAATCACTCAAGAAAGAAACCTCATGGATTAAAGAGAAGCAAGGTGGCGAGAGCGGTTAGATACGCGCAAGGGAGGCGTCACAGCTGTTGTGGGCGAGGATTGTAAACGAGAAGCAGAGATATAAAGGAGTGCATCCTCTTGTAAACTTCCGGTATCCGACACCGGTTATTATTTGTTAAATACCTAAGGCTATGATAGACTGTAATAAAGGTTCGTCTCGTCTTAATCTGGGCACGGTATATCGAAGAGTACTTGTAAGAACAAGCATTGCTCCGCCAGCCTGAAGCGGATGGCTTCCGTGATGGCGACAAGAACATATTTGGGCGAAACTACAGCTATTTAACGACTACTTGGCAACGACTTGGCTTCATATTGTAATTGTAATCTCGAGCACAGCTCATTGCTTGTCAGTAGCTTTCTACTTCGGCAGGAAGTTGACAGCAATTTGTTTGGCCACAGTCAACCCTTGAAGCTTACCGTTGCCTTTTCCCGTTCGCGAATGAAGGCGTTGTCTTAGAAGATGGGTACAACATATTCTCCCAAAGCACGATGTTGGCGACAAAGTCCTCGGGCGCTATCCGAACAGTCAAACTGTTCTGTCCAGGTGATGAAAGTATAGACAGGAATAGATTGCCATTGTTCACCAGGAAGCAGTGCCACCAGCGAAAAATAATCACAACAACTTACGCTGGTCATAGAGATGATCATCATCAACAACTGGGACGACTTGGTCAGAAATATGGACAACACGATCGCTTCTCTCTTCAGATCACCAAAGCCTCTCCAGAACAACTTGACTTGTAAATTTGAGTTTTCTCATTTACTGCATAAGTTGCCGCTTGTTCCATTTATTTGTACTGGCTATCCGCTCAGGTGCAAGCTGTGCAGGTTTGGAATGGCGTACATTGGGCGAACCAAATCATGCCAGGCGCTAAGCTTGAGGACACTCCTGTTTATAGGAGAAAGAGAGGCAGAAAAATGTAAAGGAGCAATCTGAAAGTCCCCCATTTTGCGGATGGATTAACACATACGTGTGAGTTCCACGGCAAAATTACACGTACAAACAAGTCATACGATTGTGCACACCTCACGGTAACCCCCAGCGTAAATACCACGACAACAACGTTTAGCTATGAGAACTGATATTGGGCGTTTAACAGTAAATTTCTATTGAGGCGCGAAAAGCATAAGGTCTTAGTTTACATAAAATCCTACAATACACTTAAACAGGTCCATGTCCTATGGCGTGTCCTGCATATCTAATGACCTTTATAGCCCTAATCTATGTAACCTGTTTCAGGAATGTCCAATACCGTGCTATTAGCACGAACCAGACGGTTCCCAGTCCGCCATCCCAAACCACTACGCTGCCTGTCCAGCCAAGCTCTTGCCTCATCACTCCATCCTGGCTTTTGGGAGATGCTCACCAGTGTGACTGAGGCCTCGAAGATTGTAAGAGCCGCCTCGTGACCGTCTGTGATGCGAGCATCTCTTAGGTGTCGGTTCGTATACCACACGTCCTGGAGGGCTAATCGGAGGCTGGATCTGTCGGCCGGTGCCCAGTCATTGTTGCTTCTCGAAGAGGATGCTGTTTGGCCTGGAATTCGCTGAGTCGCTGAGCTCGGGGAAGGTGTGGGCTGTCCACTAGAGCGGTATGTTTTTGCGGAGTATCTAGGTTCTCTACGCATCCTACGGATTCTCTGGAGCGGTTGTACATCCCAGAGAGACAATGCGTTTCGCTGACCTGTCTGTGAAGGGTCATGAGGTACGCTATGAAGAACGCTGCCAGGACTAGTGCTATCTGGCAAGGCACCGCTCATGTCGAGGCCGCCTTGATCGAAGAGTCTAGTGTGAGACAATGCATGATTATAGAGGCGAATATCGTTAACAGAAACTTGGCTTTGCAGAGGGGCAATTTTTCTTAACTGCCCACTTGCAGGAGAGCCAGGGCATGCTCGGTTATGTCTGGGTGATGCAATAAGTTGTGAGGAGATGATCTGAGGCCGTTGATCATTGCTACCACGTTTTGTAGATCCAGCGGGCGCGTTGGCATGACTGTGGCCCCAGTCAAGATCCCTTCGGTGGGCAAGTACGTGATTATGGTCATATGCGTGTCGCTGGTGACAATCGCGACAGGTACAAAGACCACATCCTGTGCATTTTTGTATAACTGTACAGCCATAGTCAGCGAACTGTATTGATATTATTTGTGGTTCCTTTGAGAGGCTGTATTATCTACCATTGACAGAATCAGGAACATGATGGCTTACCTGAAGTGTTACGTTCGCCACAGATGTCACATTTGATACCTCTTCGGACCACCTTGTCAAAGTGCCAATGAGACCTCATCTTCATCAACACAGTAAAGTCGAGTTAGATCTTGGGACGATTGATTGGGTATTATCATGAGTGCTGAAAACATGGGTGGTAGAATATGAGACAGGGGAAGATTATGACAGTTGATAAAAAAGTTTGGTGGAAGAAGATTGAGAGGAGTATTTGTAGGGCATATGCTGCGTAGTTAGGAACTGTAGCTTCAAGTGAGTCACTTAAGCACAACAGATAAAGTCAGTGAATGACCCATCTTGTGATGGCATTGGTCAGATTGAACAGCGAATGGCCTTGCCAATCACGCAACCGCAAATAGTAAACATTGTGCAGCTAAATATATATATGTATCTCATGTATGAATTAAAGTTAAAACTTCGCGTATCACGCCGATGAGGTTTCGTCACAAATGTACAGCAAGCCGTGTGAAGTCGGCAATAGAGACTCGGCAATGTGTGGGCAAAAATGATCGTTAATGTATGATTGATGATTTGTAATGCAATGAAGTAAAGGCACATTGAGAAAAGAAAGAAAAAGTAGTGTAGATAGAAAATAAATGAGGTTGTGAGCCCTCCAATATCAGTTTTGTTTTCCAGATGTCGATTTAGGTTTCCTGATAATCAAATGCTGTGCGAGATCAGGACTTTTTCAATGTAGGGAATTAATGGCTCAGAGTCATAAAGTAATCATCCGATCCTTTGACGGTCGCTGAATCGTATCAAGGGCTCAACACGACTTTTGGCAAGTAGACAGGCGTCCCCTAAGAGTCCTGACGTATATTAAAATCCTTGACTGTTTACCAAGTAATTATAAGTGATCGTGAGTATTCCATACCTGTTTCGTCAGTAACGAAGTGACACTTCGATTAAATAAGTCCTCCTAATATCACGCAGGAATGTTGAGACTTAGCCTTGCCCTTGGAACGAATATGGGGCTTATACCTAAGCCACTGGCTTCAAGTCCAAGCGTGTATTCCACTCCCATTCCATATATGTAACAGTGGCAGCTCCTAGAGTCCTTAATCCGAATGGGAAATAGAATATGTAGTGCAGGAATAATATCAAAAATAGTAATATTGACGCAGTTGAACCACCTCAGTTAGTGACAATACTTACCCCAAAGACTGATCAAAGCCGTCTTAAGATACCTTTTGATTAAGCATACAGCTACATCCCTTAGCACGGCCGCTCTCTGATGCAATGGTGGCTACTGTATCGACGAAAAACGATACACTCATGTTTTAATCCAAATTACTTGTTTGTCGGCGACTGATTGTCATCTGTGTCAGTGGATGTACATTCAAGGTATAACTTCAACAGTGATCTTTGAGATTTTTTGCATTAATTCTTTTACTAAGTCATGAGTCCCACCTATTCGTATGATGTAATAGTACACGTGGAAGACCTTTCCCTGTACCATAAGTCATGATTCATTACAAGCGCACCGAGAGTCTGTTATATCCGGGCCACTCGTTTAGCCGTTGACAATTGTACCACCATTGCAGTGGATCGTCTGTCCACTAATAGCTGAGCTGTCCGCAGAGGCGAGGAAGACAACGCAGGTCGCGATCTCCGATGGCTGAGCAGGTCGGCCCATCGGCGATGTGAACTGCTTTTGTGCCTCCTCGTTCATGGTCGCTGGAATCAAGGGGGTCCAGACTGGGCCGGGAGCAATTGCATTAACACGAATGCCCTTGTCGACACGCTGATTGCTAAGGCCACGAGTGAATGCAACGATAGCTCCCTTAGTAGAAGTGTAGTCAAGGAGGTCGGGGCGGCCAACATAGGCGTTGATGCTGGCGTTGTTGATGATTGTAGACCCTGGCTTCATGTGGGGCAAAGAGTACTTTGCCAAGTAGAAGTAGGGGTGGATGTTTGTGTTGAAGGTATGAATCCATTGGTCCCTGCCATGTGTTAACATGAAAACAGACACACCCGGTCAGTTTACGAATGCGCAACTTACTCAGAAAGTTCAGAAATATCCTCCTTCATCATCTGATAGGCAGCGTTGTTGAAAAGAATGTCGATGCCACCCATTGCCTTCAAAGCCTCAGCCACAAGCTGCTCGCAATTCTGGCGACTGGTCAAGTCAGTCGCAAAAAGGTGGCACTTTGCTCCGCGCTCTTGTACAAGCTTCTTGGTCGCCTCTGCGTCCTTCTCCTCATCTGGAAGATAAGCGATGAACGAGTCTGCGCCTTCAAGGGCGAAAAGCAATGCAGTTGCGCGACCAATGCCGGAGTCACCACCAGTGATAATAGCTTTCTTGCCCTTGAGCTTGCCAGCAGCCTTGTAATCCTGAGCACCACCTTTGTAGTCAGGAAGCTGGTCATAGATAGCCTCGACTGGCAGCTTGCCCTCCTTTCCAGGGAATGATTGCTCTGTAGGTTTCGGCAGAAAGCCTTTTAAGAGGCTTGTTAGTAATTGCCAGAATCGAGAGACAAGTGGAAGATGATCTCGTACCTGATTCGAATGGGTGCTTGTCGGCCATTATTGCGGTTCTCTCTGTGTTGTGGTGGGTTGTAACGTTGCTGTGTAACGATAAATGATACTTTGACGGAGATATGTAAAGAATATCGAACCGACAAAATGAGATTCTTAAGTCTGGAATGACGAACACATTTTGATATATATCGATGCTGAAAATTACAGCATCGCGATGATGGGTCGTGTCGTAACTGATGACATCATACTACTGCAAGAGCCGCTTTTTTCATTGCTGTGTCGCTCCATTAAAAAAATGCAGAAGGAAGTTTTGCTCCGACTATGCAGGAGTTGACAAACAAAATTATCTTGTAGAACTTTCTAATGCCTACAGTAGTCGCTTAACTCTATCTACCGTCTGCCATTTCTGATTTTCACATGTATTCCAGGTACATGCAACTTCGAACATAAAATTAGGTGCGGGGATGCCACAGACCACATACAAATGTCCCAGACGCTCTCAAAGGTAATTGAGCTCAACAATACGAAAACACTGAAAATAGTTACTTGCTAATAAAGTAATTCCGACTGATTTTGTGTCTTTAGAATCAAATTCGAAAGCAGTAAGGCTCGGTAGTAGGCTAGACAGAACACCGACTTTTGGTGAAGAGAGGCTGAGATGTAAATATGTTTCATGTCCTATACTGGCGTCCTTACTAACTGAGGGGCTGCAAACGAGTGCCTCCCTCACGCTTGTGTAATGGGCGTGTCTAGGCCAGAGGCAACACTCAAGGGTCTTGCAATCTCGCATGAGATGACGGGAACGCTCGTCTTAACTCAGTGAAGATTAAGTCATGCCTAGGTACAATTTTTTCATAGCTCCTTGGCCAAGTAATAAATAGACAGCAGTTCGTAGCTTCAAGACCTAACCTACATGTCTGTGAACTCACGTCATTGTAGATAGAACAATATGGAAAATTACAAGAGTTTAGTTGATAATTTTGATTAATAAGATAAAACCCCCTCTGGTATGGTATAGAAAATGTGTGAAACGATATCGCCATACTAGCATTGGTGATCAAGGTCCATGACTATGCCTTGCTACGCGAACATAGTATTGAGAAAGCGACACCGTCCACGTCACGCCCTGCCAAGAGTGGAAACCGAAAGTTTTAGCTATCACGGCCAAGACTTATAGAGGGGCCGCTTTTGGCCTATCTTTCGCCATGAGAGACGCATCGCAAGACTTCGTCATCTAATCTTCCCTGAGGGCTCATACTTGATTGTTCATCAGACATTCGGTATTCCATAGTCCACGCACATAATATAGATCTTCAGCTGCACGGCTAGTACCGTAAACACAATGATTCAATCATTCTTGCACATTGAGCACGGATAAAGCATCAACCCGTACCACGATTGGAGATGCTCTAATCAGCCATCACTTTCAACTAAAGCCAAACACACAAGCTAAGTGTGGTGAATTCGTTTGGCCGATGATATGTAATGTCACGAGGTCGTCGGAGAGAAAAATGCGTTTGGAACACTATATTTCCTATTTGTTTGTGCGGCTTAGGCGCTGGTTCTTGCTCGTCTATCCGTATCGCTATACGGTATAAAAGATTACTAGGCAAACATGGAAAACATCATGTTATCTCGCCAATTATGGATTAACGTGAAGTGCTGAGTTTGAAATGAAATTGCACGACAGGTGCAGGACATGAAATTTTGCAACAATGACTCAAAGAACGAGCGATGCGCTGCAAACCGTTATTCACCCCACGTATGTATACAACTACTAGCTCAGTCGATCCATTGGCTCACCAGGCGCATTGATCTGGTAGCCTGTTCTGCTGATCGACCTGCATACATTATCTCCGAGAGATGCGGTAATGCCAATGGCTTGGCGGATGGTGTAATTGCTTTTTGGGGTCTTTTGTTTTTGCCTCTTTGTTTTTATATAGTTTATGTGTAGTACGGATGAAACCGTGGAGCTTGTCAGAATGTCAGTAAGTTAATCTAAGCGTCTTTGGAATGGTGTCAGCTACCCTGCAGTAAATGATGCATCAGACTGTTATTAATGGTGCCTCTCCAGCAAAATTGTCTCTTCATGCGTCAAATCATTTCGAGTCTTGTCCCTTGCGTGACCGCAGTCGTTCCGGCTTACTCGTCATAAATGCCACCAGGTGGCCACTCACACTCTGCGTATCTAGTGGCATGTTATCATCCAGTTATTCGATGCGATACACTTCATCGGCCATATATATTTGGCCATGCCAGTTATACACACAGGCCACAATGGACAGTAACCTTGGTTTTAGTGTCAACACAGATGGCACGCGTTTTGTAATGGTTTATACTATATCCCCGTCTTCAAAATGGGTAATATTTTTTACTTCGAGGTCCTGTCATGTCGTTTATTATTATAAGAAAAGATTTATTAGAATACTAGTCTATGCTGTATTACATTCTAAACATAAACCCGAGCGATCAGAATATTTGAAGAGGCTCGTGTACACTAGGCACGGTATTATAGCTCTTAATAGTGTCTTCACCGGAGGTACTGGTAGACACACATCCACATAAGAGCTTACAACTGGTAGTATTCAGTTAACATATCCTAGTATGTTAGCGAAAATTTCTACACACCCTTTTCAGCTTTTCTCCAAATGTTCATTGCGCTCTTTTCACCTCTGACTCGCAATGAAGTCGTGACACATCTCGATTATCTCGATTATCAGGGTCGACCAAACAGTCACCTGGCTAGTCTCCAGTGTGAACCTTTTTCTTATGGCATTCCAATTCTCGCCATGCGATTATCTCTGGTTGGCTCTCATCGAAGCTAAATTTTTCAATGGCTCATGTATGGACCATAACTGCTGCACCTATTTCAACTGTAATGTAAATGAAGCATTGTATTAACATTTAATCATGTCTGCGGCATCTGGGAGGTTCAAAAATCCTTGTACTTTTTCATCAAGCATCACTCAGTAGGCATCGCTCACGAAATATCAAATATAAGCTAACCTACTCTTCTCATTAGACATAGCATCAAATGATGCTTTGTTAGACTGGGTGTCTGACCTACTACCGGCTGAGATAACTTGCAGCTTTAACACCAACCGCCGTACAAAGTTGGTACGGCCAACCTCATTGTCACGGGTGACTCGCGTAAGTTCCACGTTCATCTGATATTCCGGCCAGTATCAACGAAGCTATCCGTGTCGGTGTGATCCTAATGGTACATATTCCTCATACCGACAAATCTGTCGTCGTCTCGGCCGAGTTCCTCTTCACACTGATTGCACTTGGGATCTGGTCTGGTTGTGAGCCCTCACTAAATATCCTGGTCAGTCATATTGCAGCGACCGGGCCATTCTTCAAATACCGGGGCTTTGTGTTCAGCTATTATCGGCTACGGATGAAGACAGCAGCAGGCTTACGAGATTGAGGTGCGATCCAAAAATGGTATTGCCCGCGGAGTTGAGGTAACTTTCGGGGAGTGGCTCGCATCATGGCGCTGACAACCGTAGTTTTGTACAACGGGAAAGAACCATGCACTTTCTGTGTGTCGTACATGGTGCCTGGGACCGCTAACACAGTCTCGGACCGGGCACCGGCGAAGGACCGAACAGAACGTCCTCAAATTTTGAATGTGGTACTTCGGGTGATGGCAAGTATTGTGGATTTGATAACGGGATCAAGTATGGAGATCTCTGTTGATTCAAGATGTTTGTGTGATCTATACAGATACACAAGAGCGTCACGTACTTGCGCTGCATCATCGCGGAAGACAGACATGGGCTCAACATTGTTAGCCGGCTTGATCGGACAGATTACTGGTAGTGATTCAAGCTGGCGTGGGTGGAAAGGTAGCACCTCGAAAGCTAGACCAGAGTCAACTGAATTCTTGTGCTCCTTGGAAGATTTCTGCGAGAAACGGGCACACGATTGTCAACTGCATTACGAATCGTGTTTGGCCGAGCTCACGCGTTAGGAGGACCCCCTAAGGTCGATGCGACATCGTTCAAAGCGAAGTTTGGCAACAAATTCCCAAAGAGACGGCTTTTCGGAAGCGGAGACGAGTACTTGGAGCGAGGGGGGTACTCATAGCTGTATGGTTGATATTACTGTACAGTTATGCCTGATCTTGATGTCCGCCAGCACATGGCAAAATATCTCGGAGGCAGATGAAACAAGGCTGCGAGGAGAGTGGAATCTGTAATGTATGCAAGACAGGTCGTTGGGTAAATCAAAGGAGGCACTATGAGTTCTACTAGGTTCAATATGACCAACATGGACCTACCATCTTATGTAAGGGTTTATTGCTTTGTTTTGTTTTGCTTGTAAAACAACTGCGCAAGCCGAGTTGCCAACTTTGTAAGTCATCGACGCATCATAGTCGTGCCTGCACTGGCCAGATAGCATGATGTTGAGTGGTCGCGCAAAAATGTAAGCTTGTCAACACTTGGGCAGGCCACGTAACCTCGAAACTGCCTTATTCTTACATAACAACTAACTCGAGTACAATGCACTTGGTTGACCGGAGTCGGCTGAATATCAGCTTGTTCGACTCGCACGGCTCCACGGCATAGTAAACCCTGTGTCCTGGCCATGTTTGAGCGCGTCTGTAGCTGAGTGATGATCCGCTGGCCAGACGTGCGGGTTTTGTACAAAGGAGTGGCTCCACGCATTGCGGAAGGGTTGCAAGAGCCTGCTAGACTCCCGAAGTTGGAGCAAACGATGAACATCAATATTCCCCAAACGCCAGTGAACAACTCAATATACCGCTTTCTATATGCCGAATCTTCCCATCATTCTGCAGCCTCATAGGGCAATCGCGCCTCTCCTAGATTCCTTCACGTGGAGCATGCCTTGCAAACCACAGAAGACCAAAAAGCCCTTGACGTGCGTTAGTTGAGATCTGACCAGATGGACATTGAAGCGTGTTGAGCATACCGCATAAACGATGACAGCAATGAAGATGGTGCTCGCGACCGCGGGTAGGTCTTTCGGATCGGGATTCTTCTCGTCGCCAGCGAACTCGTGGTGCCCACTTCTAACCAAGCCACCAATGACCGAGAGGATGACAATCGCAAAGCCTGAGATGACCACGCTATGTAGAACGTGAATAGATTAGCGATCGTTGAGGAAGAACCCGAGATGGAAGCGGCTGCCTGTAGCTGGGATTTGCTTACCAAGACCATGCTTGCATAGAGCTTACGACTGGCTTCATCGTCGCGGCTGTTACAGTAGAGAGCAGGTGTAATTTGTGGGTTGTGATGGCGTAGCTTCTTGCAGCTTCTGCTTATGCGATTTCAATCTGGCTTGCTTCAATCCGGGTTCTGAGGCGAATTGGATGTTGTCGGCGATGAAGTCAGAGGTTCCCGACCTACTGTCTGATGGCCAAAGCTTCTTGTGGGTCTCAACTATGTTACCCGAGTCGAGTTCCTGCTTGGAGCCTCAGGGAGTCTCTCTTATTGCATCTGCTATTGCTATGTGCTGCTCTTAATACTATCGACCACGGCACATTTCAGAAGCACGACGCTTTTCAGGTTGAGGATCGCATAGTTCTACGCCTTGCCACTGGGGACTGCTAGGGTAGAGTGATTTGACATGCTCTCAGAGTTCATTTTCGTGATATAATTATGGCACCGTTTTGAATCAGCGGCACGATTGTACCACCGTGGCACCCACCACCGTCAGTGTGCATGGAGTTTGGCATGCGGCATCGCAACGGCGCTTCAAGTGCCAGGCTGCCATGAAGATGGCAAGGTAGACGTTGCGCATTTTGCGCATTTGATCTCATATTGGACTAGGTTAGGGTATCTCGATGGTCCATGAGCATAAGGCTGATAAGGCCCTTCCGATCATGAACATCAGTGCAACAGCGCCAGCCTTGATATCGAATAGATGTGCCGGTCCGATGTTTTCGAAACAGGCAAGGTTCTTAGATCGACGTAAGGGGTCAACGTGCATAATTGACTGCTTGGGAACGCTCGGCATGCGTCTTATCAGATTGCTAGGTGGGTGGTTTTAGTGAGATTCATCTAACCAAACCAAAGTCAATGTTCATGTACACTTCTGATCTCTCGACATATGCTGTGATAACGTTGTTGTTGAAGGCGACGACAAATAAGCAACTATCGACTAGTCTAGACTAAGGTTAGACTAGGTAGAGAACAATTGAACAATTGAGCTTTGGGTCATGAGGCAACAGCCGAAATGGGATATAGCCCCTGCGTCTTTTAGCCTGAGTCTCTGCTGTCACCTTACGGGTTTATTCCAGCGCGCCAAATAGAGGGATCACATTGGCGAGAGGTAAATGCTGTGGACACCAAAAACGGCTTGGCCGGCATCTGTGCTGGCACAGCCCTGACTGGAGATGGTCCACATTGTTTGAAGTCTTGGCATGAAATACTCGTTGTTGAAACATTTTAAATGCAGAGAACGCCAATCGAGCGCCGAGTTGTCGTGAAGTCAGGTAATTTAAGCGAGAGACTGGTGGCTATGGGCGCCAGACAGCTGGGGCTTATACACAAGCCTAGCGCCAAGTCAGTATGTTCGAGCGCGAGCAGGTCAATGGTAACCAAGTAATGTAACTGGCAGGTACTTGTAGAGAAATCAGGGGAGTACTAAGCTTTGCACCTAACCTAAAACCCTCAGTTTTTCTTTCTCAACTTCAAATTACAGATTCAGATGCACACAGCCGATCGTCATTATAACTACAAGCCTTGCATCAGAGGTATTGAAATGTTTGATCAATTCCCCTGTTTGCGAAGCGCAAACGTCGCCAGTTGTTTAGCGACCTATTTTCTTGTCGGACTTGAATGACAGGCAAAGTTAAAATAGGTACTCTACTGGGATCTTACATACGAAAGGTACAGCCAAATACCTGGAGGCTGAATGGCGGTGCAGACACTAATTTCGGAAGTTTGTCTTTTGGCTGTCACCAGCTAAGTATGGATACACTAGCACTAACGTCAGTTTTAGAAACATGCAGTAAGCAGTGCATGTTTCCTAGCTCTTTGAGCTCCTATCGATCTTGTGTCTTGTCTCCAAGCCCTTAATGTTAGGTAGGGTCGAAGGCCTCAAAGCCTAAAGTCTCAGGTCACGGTGGAACGCTTAGACCTACGGTGAGCTCTACAATTCCCAATCTGCAAGTCCACAGGCTCAATTCTCTGCTTGTCAAGCTTGTCAAACAAGTCGTCTCAGGAATGCCGTCAAGAAGCCAAACATATCCTAACGTTGATTGAGTTCGGACTTTGCCCACATTTCGGATGATGGCAGGGGCATAGCCTTGGCTTTCTTGGTCCTCCGTGCCCCCATTCACACATAGATGGCTGCGCGCTCGACCTGTGATTCGTTGAGGGCTGAACACTGTTGGCTATTCTTTGTCCTCCGCAAATTAAGCTACCATCCTTCATAGTCTATCCATACTGTTTTCGCCACTGCGCCTTGATCGTGCAGCTATGGCCAATTTCCCCGGCCTTTGCCCTATGGAACAAAGCAATCCGAGACCAGGGGATTCAGGTTGGTTGTCCCTTGATATCAAATAGGCCTATGCATAGTTGTGTGAATATACATAAGCCATGTTTGCCCCTCTGATCAATGTTATCCGTTCTTTCTTGTTCCATTGGTTACGCATGTCGTCCCTTCTCAATAACTAGTGCAACTCAGATACATCAAAACATTCACTTCTTCACCAAATTTCGATCTTGATAGTCAAAAAATTTCACAAAGTCATCTCATTCTTACGACCTTGTGCAACCATCGGCCTGTCGTTCAGTTGAAAAGTGAACACTGAAATTTTCGACTCACTTTTTTCTCTTTCCCTTTCCTTTTTTTTTTCCTCGCCCCCAATACAGCAACTCTTCCAAGACTTCTGCAGATCTCAGTAGCAAAGAAACAAGCTGCCATAATTCTCAAAATCAACCACAATGCGATCAACCACTGCCCTGATTCTTTCCGCGTTGGCAGGCAATGTCCTCGCCCAGGTATCTGCAACTGGTGTATGTGGCTCTCTGAACTAATTGGTGAGCGCGATACTAATGGTCCAATTCTAGCAACTTGGTGATGCTACTGTCGTTACCAACAACCCCCTCGGCAAGTCCTATGTTGGCGTCCTTCCCAAGGAGCCCTTCTGGAAGAGTGGCAGTATTGATGGCAACGTCAAGGGTTCTATCACTGTCAAGTCCAGCCCAGATGGCGTTGGTGTCGAGTACACTGTCAAGTTTTCCAACCTGCCAAAGGAGGGTGGCCCGTTCCCTTACCACATCCACGATGCAGCTGTTCCTTCGAACGGCAACTGTACCGCAACCAAGGCTCATCTCGACCCGTTCGTCCGTGGAGAAGATCCGGTCTGTGACAATAAGCTCCCTCAGACCTGCCAAGTTGGTGATCTTAGCGGCAAGTTTGGCAAGATCACATCAGACCCTTACGAGATCACCTTCCATGACGTCTACTCTTCGCTGAACGTCGGCTCTAACGCTTCTATCCCGGATCGTAGCTTTGTTGTTCACTTTTCCAACAAGACAAGGATTACATGCGCCAACTTCGGGGTATCGGGTTATGGTAACAGCACCCCGACTTATCCTACGGGAACAGGAGGCCTATCGCCTTCCACCAGCGCGACAGCAACTTCGTCACCGACAAGCACTCCCGTAATTGCTGGCGCCAGCGCCCTCAATATTGGTGCCAGCTTTGCTATTCTAGCCGTTGCAACAATATTTTCTCTAATTTAACCGTGTCACAGCCACAAAGGCTTGCTGGCCAGATTTTAGTTCGACAAGATACTGGTTCATGATTTTATTTTTCAGGCGTTGTGGTAGACTGGAGTGGTACACCTAGGTTGGCCAAGTTAAAATTTGTTGTCCAAAAACATGGACGATCATTGAGGGAATGTTTTACAGCATAAGAGACTGGGTACAGTCTCCCGTTAGCCGGAGCTCGGTTTAATATTCGTTGTACCAGATTGTTGATACGCAATCGAGATACCATTTGATTGAGCAAAGCTATCATTCCACTTTACTTCGTGACGGGGTGATTATGCTTCGTTAACATGTCCATCGAAGGGTTCCTGTGTTCGTCAAAATAGACTATGTTCGGAGTTCGAAACAAGCTCAGACGGATCTGTGAACGGTCCCCGCGCCAAGGCGAATTGTTTCAAGTGAAATGAACTAACCTAGCATTACGGTTTACCATTATCCCAACGACATCTTGTCTAAGTACCAACCTCCTCGTCCCCCCCATATCGCGTCGCGCTCCATCCTCCAAAGAATCTTGCGACACCTCTGCCACATCCATCGTGACTCTATTGAATTGCGGCCACGATCTTCATATGCTGTTTTGGAAGAATAGCCAACGAGCCACAGGCTGTGATATTTTGCCATTGTTTTTGGTACGTCTACCGTTGAGTGTCGTCATAGACAATAGTTACCAAGGCACAACATATTATCGAGTGACTGTATCAAGGTCATACTAACCACGGTCTTTTCGGTTACTAATTATCAAGACCAATTCGGGGGTCCACCATCGTCAGCGCAAATCGACAATCTTGACCGGTATATGTATGATTCAACCCGACAGGGCCACGTCTGACGCACATAAACAGAGTGGTGTCCACTCATGCTATTTGATCAACTGCGGATCAAGTTTCTGCAGTGGGCACCATAGGTCGTATTGGGCAATCGCATGATTTATCAAGTCCCAAAACGTACAGGATTTGGCGATCAAAGTGCTTGACATATGCAGCTATCCACCGCAGTCTGGGGAACTAATGGTGTGTAGGGCCACTATCAAGGCACTATTGGTTCTGGGCTCGACGAATAAGGACGACTCCGCAAATCCGTGACGATGATACCGGTCGTTACATTCATCAAGTTCACACGGGGATCTAGATCCACGAATCGGATCGGGATGCACGCTGTTGTTGCTATTGTCGAAGGGGGTTTATCGATTTTGAACGCCACGGCGCCTTTTCTCGCACATCCCTGTCACCTATCAGAGAATAGCGGCCCGGCGCAACATGCGTGTCGGTAAACGAATTGCATGCACCTTGTACCAGTTTACACGAGGTTGCATCGAACTTCAGGTACGTCCGGCTGGGGCTTTAGTACAGTGCGTGCCCGATGAGCCATGCCAAGAAATACATGTTTGCTGACCACCTTTGCACCGGGATGACCATAGCCCCTGGATGCAGATACTGCGGTCAGAACTATGCTGCATCCGGATCTTCTTGCACAGCATTGGGAGTCTAGAGAAGGCTTCAAAGAGAAAAAGAGTGTGCCAAAATTAATGCTCCCTGTGACAATGTGGTTCATTGAGGGAAACCGCGCTACATTTCTGCGCAATCTCGCCTTTGTAATCAATGAGCTGAAGTTGCACAGGATCCCAGCGATTTTATACAATTGATCATATGATGATGGCCTCCACTGCAGTGGTACCAAATAGGCCCACACTTTACTGCCTATCTTTGGACACCCTTGTGTGCCACATCACTGGTCCTCGTTCAATTACGCTTCGCCGCGTGTAGTTGGAAAGTATTGTTACGGCCAGCAATTGGATTGTCAAGTATCCTCTCCTTTGACCACACCGGTATCGCTAAGCCGATTCCGTCATAATCGGACCCATGGTGCACATTGCTTTGAGTCATGGGCAGCTATTCAGCATTTCGATACGCAGATTACACCGTAGGAAACAGACTCATTGTTGTATGGTCTTCATTTTGGAAGAAGTTTATGAGAAAAGAAGTTGCATTGCGGCTCGAGAAGCCTTGGGCATGCCGGGTACGCCGTCATCACCACGTGGAAATCTTGTAGTGCTGACGGAGGCATGAAGTCTTGCTTGACACCGTCACTGTACGGGCTCAGCCACGGAAATCATTCGGTCTGTGATAGCTGTGCCGTAGCTATTAGTGCGAGTGGGTGTCCTCAGGTACCAGTTCATGATCTGGCTTCTTGACTAGGGAATCTGTGACATCTTCGCCCGATGAACCAGTCACGGCTGAGAGTACGCCTGCGATGCAGATTTACACGTGCCCGTGGCCAATAAAACGATGAAGCACATTTACCTGCCAAACTGCAGCTCATGGGCAATGTGAGGCAATTCCGGACCGAGTATTGGTCCACGGATTCATATCATTAGTTCAAATCATCCAGTATAAATGTTGGGAACTATGTACAAGACGCTCTGGTACTTACGACTAGTGTCAACTATTTGCCATAGAAATCCTGCTTACATTCACCACCACGACGAAGGATTTGTAATAGTGGGAATCAGCGACGGTTAATATCGACCTACGAAACTTACCTAGCTAGTTTGTTATTTGATCACAACCAACATCGAAATCTGGTCCAGGACGATTTATAATATGGAAGACGGGTATAATCCCAAAGTGGAGGCTATTCGCATGAACGAGTATCCTCACATGAACAATGGTAAGAACATCATCCCGGTATAGGAGATTATCCACCGACTAAAGCAATGACAGGAGTATACCTCGATCGTAAGCCAATCTCACCAATAACGGAATAGAAGATGTTGCCCAAAGATCTGCCTACCAAATACATCAAACGAATCTTCGCAATGGCCAGAAATACTTGGGTTCAGACAATTACTGACACTTGCTAACAGATAGCGGGGCCACCATCTACGCCAAATCTGCCATCGAATCATTCTCCAGAAAGATGATCACAAACCTTTACGGTGTACGTCGGCCCGAGCTCTCCCTGAGATTGAGCGATCCGTGTGCTAGGATCCTATCCCTGGGTAGAGCTCACTCAACCCATCCCTTGCTTCATGCGGTGTGCCTTCAAAGCCTTCTAACACGAGCGACAGAACCCACATTCAGAAAATTTACCCGCCCAGGCATCTGGAAATGTTGTTGATGAGGTCAGAGAGAAAACATTGCGGTTTCTTGGCGCAGATCCAGTACATTTCGACCTAGTCTTCGTAACGAATGCCACGGCTGGAATCAAGCTTGTCGCCGAATCATTCCGAGATCTGGCAGAGAAATCGCGAGCACGTCGATTCTGGTACGGATACCATAAAGATGCCCATACAAGTCTCGTAGGAATAAGGGAGTACACACATGGCCAGCACTATTGCTTCGAGGATGATTCCGAGGTCGAGGCATGGATCGATTCGCCAACTTCGATGTTCGTCAACCGCAATGATCTCTCTGGACTAGGGCTTTTCGCATATCCCGGGCAGTCCAATATGTCGGGACGTAGACTGCCTTTATCATGGTCCGGTGGTTTACGAAGGTCAGAACACCTCCACAACACATGTGAGTTGTTCCACAAGCTCTTGTCCTTGAAGTTAGCTAATAGAGAACTACCAGACACACTTCTCGACGCAGCGGCATTGGCTATGACGAGTCCGATGGAGTCTGTCTTTCATGACTTGGACGATGCACCCGATTTCACGTGTCTATCATTGTACAAAATATTTGGATTTCCTGACCTGGGTGCCCTCGTAGTACGAAAGGCATCAGGCCACATTTTGGCTCTAAGAAAGTATTTCGGGGGCGGTAAGAGACCTTCTTGTCATCAACTTGAACTATATCTCATTCTGACTCGTGGATAGGTACGGTGTCGATGGTAAGTACGATGGGTGGCGAAAGTTGGCATCGGTCAAAAGCCCTACAGGCTCCGACGTACAGACTTCACGAGGGACTTGAAGATGGCACGTTGCCATTTCATAGCATATTAGCCCTTGGAGAGGCTATAGATGTGCATCAGAGGCTTTACGGATCTATGGACAGCATTTCGGCGCACACGTCATGCCTTATAAGTCGCCTATTTCGTGGCCTTGTGTCGCTTCGTCACGACAATGGCCGTGCTGTCTGTCGAGTATACACCGAGAACGGGAACGCATTCGGGGACTCTACAAAGCAAGGATCCGTCGTTGCTTTTAACGTGAGGAAAGCTGATGGGCAGTATCTACCATACTCAGACGTCGAGCGGTTGGCAAATGCTGCTGGAATATACATCAGATCGGGTGGTATGTTGTTTGGCATGCTCCCTTACCTGAACCGCTATCCTAAACATGTTATCAGGTGTCTGCAACCCGGGTGGCATCTTCTCGGCCTTGGGTTATGAGCCCTGGATGACAGAGCGTGCTATGTCCGCCGGGCATCACTGCGGCTCGCACGGCATCGCTGTTATCCACAGACTACCGACTGGGTAAGTGTTTGCAAGCAACAGATCTGACCCCTCTTACCGAAGGTCCATATTACTCATTATCTCGCCACTTAGGATCGTGCGGGCCAGCGTTGGAGCCATGACAACAAAGCGGGAAGTCGACATGTTCTTGGGGTTTATGCGAACCACATTTGTCGAGCGCGACGAGCTTTCTTGGGCAGACTCGCCGCAGGATACTCTGTGCTCAGTCGTCAGCGAGAGCACGGCCCTCTTCGACCTACCTGACCATTATACACATATCCCGTTTCCAGACGTCCGCGAGCTGCCTAGACCTCGTCCAACATTCTCTGACCCAACAGTCCCACGATCACGATCATCTCCGTTCCCGAAATTATGTCGCAGCCTGGAGATCGCATGATGGACGATTGACGCTGAGATAGGGGTCGGCGAGGTTTCGGCGTATCCACTGATGAAGGCGTATCAGTGTTGTCTGTGTAAGGTTCATATATCGACCTGGACCATTGAAGGCAATGGTTGACCGGAGCAAAGCTAGATTGCGTGGAGGTTCTTGCTTTTCGATGATCTGCATAAAGGGGCTGCTTTAAGGGGTTGCGTTAGATCTGGGGTGCAGGAAGTTTGTCTTCACCACCCGTAATGTGTAGAGATTAAATGTCTTCCATTTGATCGCGGATGGTATCGTGAGGCAGTGTTTCTTTTCCGATGTCTTACTAGATTCGTGATTCTCTGTGGAGACTTGCCGTGTTTTCTGGAATTTGTGTTGATGTTCTAAAGTAATCGAGACGCGACGAGCCTCTGACGAGAAGATGTTGAAGAAGAAAATTCCGGCCCGTCGCGACTGCTAAAGCGCGGGAATCACTATGATTTCCCGAAGCGATCCACTGTATAATGACGGTGTTCGCTAGACCCTATGATCTCGGAGAAATTTGGTTATGCTTGGCTCCTGAAAGAGCTGAAAGTCTAGTTATAATCTGTTATCCAAAAACATAGCTATTTGGAATAGTGGAGAACGAACAGAATAGAAACAGGCTCCAGGCACGCGGGGTACTATAGCTAGAGCGCTACTAATTTTCTGTATCCCGCGGTCGACGTGATGTTCTCGTGACTCGGGATGGTCCCAAACATGACTAACGGGGCTGTTTGGCATGGCGATTCCCTCACGCAAAGCCACCTCGAGGTTATATTTTGGGGAACTTAGACGAGCCCGATTGGACGGTTCATGCAATCTGGCAGGTACAGTGTCTCAGATTCGGCCGGTAGTGGCCGCCATGCCTTTCTGCGGAAGTGTATACAAGCTTAAGACCATAACAAAAGGCAGCAAAGTATAAACTTTAGAAGAGCCCGTGGTGGTGGGGCCCTGAGAGCCCCTATCTCACCAAGAAGCTCAAGGTTCTGTCGCTAGGCTAGTCAATCGTGTGCCTCCGTATGTACTAAAGTTGGTTGATTATGTGATTATGTCGTTCAAACGGACGTTGTGTATTTACTGCAAACGCTAAGCATGACTGTCTATAGGCGGTTGTTGCATATTATGATTTGGATACATATTCATGCTACCGGTTGTTCGACTCCAGTATCTTCATTTACATCAACCACTGTTCCAGTTGGTCGGCATATGATGGGAAATATCTTTGAGGCCTTTATCCAGGCAACACATAACTAATGATTATAGCGTAATACTAAGAGAAGAAAAAAAAAGGTATAAGCATCAGACACATTGGACGCCCCTAATAAAACAATCCGCCTCGAGTTAGTCTGCAAAAGAAAGCAGACATTGCTCGACTTTTTTTCTCTTTCAAGTGGGTGCAGTGGGAGCCGCTACTTCGGGAACGATGCCGGTAGTCCCCATCAACAGCCGCCTTATTGCTCATGAGCATCGCGATAGGGGAGGCCACCTTCGTAGAGGAGGGCTTTGGCGCCATTCGTCTTGCCTCAACCAGCAACTTGTGTCAATGCCAATTTCAGATCATGGAAGGTTGGCCACAACGTTGCCGGCCGATGTAGATCATCTAGTCCTAGGAGTGCCCTTTGTGTCATCTGCGGCTTGGCCCTGGTCGACGCTGACCATATTCAGCAACCATCACTTGTTGAAGTGTAGTGAGGCACAAGCATTCCGACGCCGCTGAGTGTGCATACCTCATAGAAGCGGTTTGGCCATGCAACTCCTAGTTCTAACGTACAAAAGCGACTTTGCAAGTTACTTCTACGCAGGTTCAACTTGCTTCTTCCCGATTAAGCTCCAGCGCTAAGTTGTGGCAGTCGAAAAAGCTGTCAATTGGGCATATTACGGAGTATCGTATCTGTCACGTAGCGTGGTGGGTCTTACCCAGCTTGGGAAGTAAAGCGCGAAGGGCTGCACCTAAGGTTAGACCGTCTAGGAGAAGAAGTGCCAAAGTAAATGCGAGATCCATCCGTGACCGGCCCGTTCACCAATTCTCCAGATTTTGCTGTTAGAGATTAATGACAAGCTGCCTAGTCTAGGGCAAGCATATAACTAGACAAAGCAGCTTGTAATATGGCTAAAGAAGATCAAACCCGCCCCAGAGCACAAGGGTGCGATCTTCCGGGACCTGGAAAAACTTGGCACTTGATTTTCTCTGACCAGCCCAACACTGAGCCCTGACCAGATCTATGGAGATGCGCATCTTCACTGTTCCGTACGTATGCATTGCCTTGGCAAAGGTGGACGCCACGCATGAGTGCAGACCCATGCGCTGATCTGCCGCACTGGCACCAAAGGAGTCCTTCCGATGAACCGAAGCCGTCCCATCAAGGATTGCTGTGGCAGCAAGGGATGAACTGTTATGCACTTATATCGGACATTGAAGAGTTGTTGCCATTGTTGTCTTAGATGGAATGTGCTGAACTATTGCCATGCTGCCGAATGCTAGCGTCGTAACTACATTACTGGAAGAGTAGTTGCACTGCGATTTTATGGGCCCCTAGTCTATTGTACAGTATGCCTATTGTGAAGTAGATTTGACGTACAAGTAAGGAGAAGCATGCGAGTTATTCGAGCCCACACCGCAAGTGTATGGACTATTTGTTCCACTACTCCATAGTAGTGGGGCATGCAAGCTACGGTAGTTCTTCCGCCGACACTTAACGTGACAGATAGTGGCTTGGACCAAACTGACTGCTAAAACTCAATAATTACTATGCATGTACATGCTCAGTATGTCAGCTGTCATTCCTCGCATGATGACCTCAACAAGCACAAACCTTGCACTGCATACTTCTTCTACTAATTCTTCTTCACTAATAAGTCAGCCGGACGATTCCCCTTCAAACTCTTCAAATGGTCAAATATTGAGGAGCAGTGGTTGTATGGCGTCTCAATCACTACAGAGACATCCTCGACCACTTACCTGCTGCACTCTTGCAACCCGCAGGTGTGAAGCAAAGGAAGAAGCAAGTCTCGACCCCCAGCAGGCCACATGGCCCGAGCTCAGCAGTCGCATGAATGACTTGAACCCAACATCTCGTATGTCTCGTTCGAGTTGAGTCTGTTACAAATTCCGCCAGCGTGTTCCACTCTACCGACAGGATAGGCCCTCCGAGCCTCGTCCGGTCGCTATGCCACAAGCCGAGTGAACAACTTGAGAACCCAGGAGACTTCAGTCTCCGAGTTTGGACTGTCAGCCTCATCAGCCACATTTGGTTGGTGCGCAGTTCTACTAGGATGCTAGACTATGTACAGATATCCCTTGCTATGCTTTTTGATCGACGGCTAGGATGCAGTCAAGCGTATGCCTGCCTGACAGATCGGGGTTCATCCTATCTTGCAATGTATGTGAATTGCTTCTAGACGCACGTCGATGTTCTGCAGAGACCTGCAGATCATACAGGTACTTGTAACAATTACGATACCGAATCCACAGGACCATATGCAACTTGTCGTCATCCATGGCGATGCTGAATCGTTGCTGACATGTTATGCAACCGTTCGTGCAATAGAGTGCTAGGATTATTGGGCTTGTAAGCCACCAGACCTTGGCTATTGCTTTCTCAGGGTCGCGGCCCAAAACTATAATTCAGTGTAACAGAAGAAAGCAGCGAAACAGCTATGCAAGTCATAACGAGGACATCCTGGCTTCAATCCTATGGGTGGCCTGACAGCAAGCCATGCATGCCATTACAATCGCAAAATTACACGACTAGGAGACCCAGCGAGTCCTTGCGCTTCATTTGAAGTCCTCAAGGTCAAGCTGTTATTCAGACTGCAAAGAAAAAAAAAAGAAAGAAAAAAAAGAAGCACCCCCCGCCCCGCCCCCCTGTCTGCAAAGGAATCTTTGTGTTATATGTTCACCTTGGTGCTTAGTCAGAAGCGTGTCTTCAAAATTTTACGCGCAATTGAAGGTTGCCGGCCATATTTGGAACTCTAGTGTGACCGATGACTACACCCGCACTTACTGTAGCGGATAAATCTACTCCAGTCGCACATGACAGCAAGTCTGTTGGTGGGTCGCAAGACATTCCGTCACAGAGCACAGGCAGGGCGTTGTAATGCCGGAGTAGATTACAACAAACACTGGTTCTGATTATCATTGGACATGCCATCTGGCCAGAGCTTGTGTAGAGTTCATTGTCTTTGCCAGGCCTAGAGCAGTGGCTGAACAGGGGGCCCTTCATTTAGTTGACAGCAGGGGTCTTCGGCATAGGGGATCTCCATCCGATGTGGGTGCAGGTGCTTGCAAGTACAAGTATTTCTGCCTCCGGGATCAGCAAGGCGTGACAAGCTCCGAGCAAGGATGTTGTACAGAGATGAAAAAAAAAATCAGCATGATTCAGGTCCAAAAACGCCATTGGAAAATACTGGTAGACTTTTGAAAAGAAATCAACGAAACGACCACTCATGCAGTGACATGATACCAGATGATGCATGTGGTCCTTAGCTTGCCTGAATGCTTCATTGATAGGCTCTTTGGGAGTGTCCCAGGTCCCTCGCCGTCACATCGTTACAATGCTACCAAAAGGCCCGTACCATACCATGTATGTCACACCCCGGATACCAGATCCATTATCTGGGGTGATCTGAGGTGCATCGATCTCAAACCCGCGAGATGGGATGATGTTCGGACGCAAGACCAGTCCATCTTCCAAGTGAATGCCTATGTGATCGACTGCTGGGCATACACTAGATACTATTGGTACGCATAATGAGATGCTGCGCGGGAGCCTCTCTGGGGAGCCGTCTTATTGTCATGACAATGGTCGAGGCCTTGGAGGGGATGTCCGAGCGATCATGTTGAGTGGTTCCCTGGTCTGGAGGAACAGTTTCGCTCGTCTCAAGTCGGTTAAATCCCTCGGCCCTTACATTAATTCGACATCAAGGGTCTTTCGAGTATAGAGTATCAAAGTTCATTAGTCCGCGAAGCAAAGCATTGATCTGTAGGCACGCTGGTTTCAGCCCTAGAGATTGAGGCAAAAGGATAATGGGAAATTGCTAATTCATGACCCAAACAACTCCATCTTTTTTGCCAGAATAGCATGTGTATCGAATTTTAACTTTAACAGGAACTATGAGAAATTGGAATGGTCTGCAATTTTGATTGTTCCGTAATAACAGAAATGGTCGTGCCATTCCCGGATACAGCAAAGAGCTGGCCCTGAACAGCATTTCTGAAGCTTTGGCCTCGCCTTTTTCTCAGCGCATACTCCTTCAAGCTGACCATATCCATTTCGAGCCTCTTGACATATATATATATATCATTACCAAATAACGTATGACTGCAGGTGATCACCCGCCGCACAGGAGCCCCTGTTCCTGGATTGACGCCGTCACTTTTGCCGCGAAGCTTACGGGGCTACCCGTACTCCAGAAAAAAGCAATTACGGGGAACTCTTTCTTCCTGTTTTCGACCTAGCAACACCACGCCGTCGTGTGTACGGTATCTCAACAAGGTTACTGGGCTGTCCTTAGTTTGATCGTAGCTTCAAGAGTGGAGTGGAGCTATAACCGTCGCCGCTTAGCCATTCGTTATTCGTTATCGAGTCTTGGATGGATCATCACCGCCAGCCAACTACCCCAACCTGCAGCAGAAGCAGCTAATAGGACGAAAGCAATACTTACAGAGCCTTATTAGTCCATGTCTGCCCTTCCGCTGTCATGAACAGAACCGCTGTGCTTCCGATTCAAGACCGATACCATAGATATTGCTGAACATCACCACCCTTGCCGAGCCGCCTTGCATTCTCCCTCCCAGTACAGATTTCGACGATATTGCTTGCACCAGATTTGGGAGTCTCCCAGGAACCGAATTTCTACAAGTGTGGAAACTTGCATGCGCTGTCGTATCATACGTCCAGGTCGTGCCGTGTCAAGCAGGAATCCTTGTCACTTGCTTGGTAGAGTAAGAGCCTGGATATTCTTGCAGTCGCTTGAAAGTTTGGTTCACGCACCACAGTTGCTCTGACGGATTCAATTGGCCCATTCCCTTGACGCTCCGCTGCTGTCGCCTCTGGTCAAAGACGTCTCTCTGGGTCTCTTATTCGTACAGCAAATCACCAGTTCCATCTCGAAAGAGCGACCCTGGACTACGGCGTTCCAGCTTCAAACCCCGGGGAGCCATCAATACAAGGCATCATCTTTGGTTCCGGGGAAAATTGCCATTCCTTGGCTCAGCATAATCCAACACGGAATATCTTTCTCGGTGGCCTCGGGACCCTCGAGCATAACAATATCTTTCATGGCCATCGCTGTTCAGCAATCATCGCATACTCAATCAAACCCATCCGGAATTGTCAATAGACACCACAATCATCCTCGGGAGTCACTCCAGCTGATGACCGATATGATGTCGTATCAGTATCCTCCGCCGCCCCAGAGCGGCGCCGATTTGGACCTTACACACTCTGGTTACTTGTCCAACTATCCAACATCGGCCACTTCCTCTTTGGAGGTAAGAAACCAGCACGCCCCGAGTGTACATCCCGCGCAGCCTGTTCTCCCAGGTCAGGGCAACGTCATGTCCCTCGTTCAGCGCCGAGAAACTCTTTCCAAAGCTCTCAAGTTCAAAAGATCCCAATCATCAACTCCTAACGTGAGGCAACAGGGGACCGAGTCCACTCACGGTCAATTTGGTTCCGCCGGTGAAAAGAAGCGCAACAAGCTTGGTTACCACCGCACCTCCGTTGCTTGCAGTATGTTACTCCCTTAGCCTCCTCTTCCCTAAGCTCACGACTGAAAATCATGTTGCAGCGCATTGCCGCCGAAGGAAGATCAGATGTATCCCATATGTGAATGACCCACAAGGCCGGTGCCAGAACTGCATTCGACTGAAGAAGGAATGCACCTTCCACAGCGTTGGCCAAGAACTACCTCCCAGTTCGATACAGAGACCAGGAGTGCGAACTGGAGTTGGACCAAAGATTGCGTCGGCCTCGACTTCGCCAACAGCCCCAAACCATCCATCTGACATCTCTCCAAGCCAGCCGTATCCTCAGATAGCTACCGTGGCTTCGCTACAGAATATGGGGCCGCCAATTAAGCCAGACCCTTACTCCCGGGATGTCAAATGTAGGTTTTACGCATATGGCCCTCTTGCCCTGTCGTGAATACTAAGAGAGCAAAAGTGCCATCAAACGCGACGACGAACAGGGGCTTTCAATACGGTAACAGTGGAAACAATTGGGTTGCGACGGATGCAGGAACCGCTGCCTCGAAGACCCCTGAGATGAACACATCCTGGCGGTCTTATACGCAAGATTCTCCCGTCACGCCGTCATTTGCGCCTTACACACCCCATCCACACTCGGCATCGACATGGTCAACGGCACCGTTGGGCACTCCAGCCAGCAACGACTCGACGTCGCGACCCGACGAGATTGCTTGGTCACCGTATACCGCAGCCCCCGGAAGATCGTTGTCCTACGGCGGCGACACCTCTCAACCATACACCCCGGTGCCACATGTAGTCGGCTCTGCGCCCAGTAGCGTTTATGACAGAAGATCCTCTATCGCCACCGAGATGTACCCACCGTCGATTTCCACGACCATGGCTCACGTAGACAGTATCCCGGGCACGTCCATGGATCCAAATGGGCCTTTGTCCGCTGGTGCTGGAAACTACGGCACATGGCAGTACCCATACTCGAAGACAGGAGATGGGTACGAGAGCTGGGGTAACCAAATCCCACCAAACACTGACCACTCATCTCAAAATGTCTACTACGCAAGCAGGTAAACAAATCTTTGCTACAGTTTGCCAGATGGAGAGCCTAGTTCGTGAGTGCACGACGACGACTCAAGAGCACGAACGTACTGTGATAACCTACCATGCACACTGGTTTGTGTACTTTGTTTTTATGAAGCCTGATATTGTATGGTTTGAATTTAGTTGTTATTACGATATGCTGAGCAAGATAGGACGCATTAATGTATTGAGATGATGAGAACGATGGGAGATTTCGATTGGCGTCCGAGCACAAGGGGGGATTTGCGACGCATCACGACACGAAACGCGATCTCTGACACGCAAGACTTTGAACAATGTCCTGGCGGAAAAAGATATCAAGGAAACTTCACAATTGTGAAAGAAGAAAAAGGAGAAAGTGGAAAAAAAAAAAAAAAAAACTCCCCCCTTCCCCTCACCCCCATATTTTGGTCGATGGGATGAGGTGGAGAAAAAGGCTTTTTCAAGAGAGTTTACGCTATCCGGACCCAGCTTTGGGACAATCCGACGGCGAAGTACGTCAGTCGTTCTTCGAGGCTTTGGGGAATAATAACGATCAACTCATGCTGGAAACCCAGTCTCTGGAAAATGCATTGGCACGGCGTACATTGGACAAGGGTCACGCATCGCAGGCCACCAAAGCTGTACAGATGCCAACTTGGTGGGTGGAAAGTGTGATACATCATGCAGAATGCACAAAAGAACGGTGGCAGGTCATTCCAAGCAGCACGGATGGAGGAAATGAATTTTCATGCGGTTTCTTTTTTGTATATCATGATAAGGGCATACAGGTTGACTCAAAAATGGGAGGTTCTGGTTCTTTGGACAATTGGTCCCCTTTACAGATAAACATTATAATTCATAAGGGCACATAGACGGTGATGTAAAGGTTTGGTTTTGTATGTAGAAAATTGTTCATTGTTTGTTTCCACATAGCCTCCAGCCCCCGATGTCCACTGCCGGCTTGCAATTTTCTGTAGCTCTAAAGGTATCTTCGAAACCGAACAAACATTATTTGGGTCCATGAACGTGACATGCTTGAGGATTTGCAGCATGTGTGAAGTGGAAATATGGTCCTGGGTAGATTCGTATCAAGCCTCTAGTTGCCATGTGAGCACGATGAGAGCTACATATGCGCAGAGACTGATTAGGGACAAGAGTAAAACACTGTTTCCACTTGTTCGGAACTTTTTCTGTAGTTCGCCTTCATCATCAGTCGTGGTGAAGAACTGTCGATTCCCCTGGTACCGGCGATATGTAGCTACAAGCATTATCGCGGCCCCGTAGAGAGAAAATAGAGCACCTATGGCGTAGAACTCCGAAGTGAAGATTTTCAGAATTATGAGCGCAAAGCTGAACTGAGATAGGGCAGTTCGAATATAGGCGCCCTCAAATGTTCGTTGTGCTGCTCGGATCTCTACAAGCCTAGCAGATAATAGGGATGTTAGCCTGATGTCCCTATCCAACTTGACCACGTCTTATCGAACTGATCACATATTCTCTCTCTCAATTCCGTCACAACGAGTACTGGCAGTCATTGAATTGTTTGTGTCAAGTACGCCCGTCTAGAACTGGGTAGGTACTTACTCATCGGATGTCAGTACCACGGACCTCGCGCGGTGAGTTCTAAGATGGAGATGACTGTATAATTCTGTTAAATGCTACCCAGAAAATTTTCAGGTTATAGTGATCTTGACGTGTCGCAGCATGATGTAAATGCGCGCGCAGGTGCTGTCACCATTGGTCAGATGACCTACTCTTCAGGATGTGGCTATATTCAATTAGCAAGCCACAGTAGCTCGATTGGTGCGATTTGAACGTGTCCGTTCTCGCACGAGCATAGAGTCAATTACCTGAAACATTATTGCAATGAAACTCTTGTCGCTAACGACGGATGGTCCGGGTTGTTGGCTGTAAATGCCGAGTTATAGCGACAGAGTATGCAAATGAGTTCAAAATCCCTCCATCGCTGACTTCGAGGAGTGGAGAACGCTGCTAATTGCGCAATCGCCTTAGCTCCGCGTAGGGATCAACCTTATATTTACTGTAGCGGTTCAATAATCCTTTGTCGCCTCTGACCACTGCGGATACGTTGGTAGCTGTAGGCTTTAATCCGGGATCTTTTAGTTTTACTTTACTAAAGCGTATAATAGCGTGTACACTCTCATCGCAACCTACTCGCTGATAGTATCTACTTGTACGCGAGGGTCTGTGACAGCTCTCCGTGTGGGTAGCCCTTGCTAATTAGCTCTTCGGCAGGGGCTGCATCTAAGTGCGGGTATCTCACGGTGCTAAAAATTGTCGTCTGCAGGGCCGATCACTAACTAACCTGAGAGCGAGGATCCGGAACCCAAAGCAATAACGACAGGCGTGCTTGGGTTGTCATTTTTTGGGCCGTTAACATATGAAATTCAGTTAGCGCTTTGGCGTAGGTAATGTGCTGCGACTTTGGAAATCACAAACGTCTAGCTAATGGCAACTGTAAACTAATCTTCCAGTGCTAGATAGATGCTGGTTGATGTGAGACTCTGATTAGTCCTTCAGCTTCCTTTGTCCCAAGCAATAGTGTGCTCAGCAATTTTCAGCATCAGTATCCAGCTGCCTCGGCCTCCCAAGATATTCGGATAACCTAGCGCATGTTCCCTGCGATGTGAGATTCCATCGATGTGTGACACATAGCGTGGCTGTGTCCATGACCATACCTTGGACCAATAGCGCCTCTCACGCAAGTTATATCATCATCACAACGCAGCCTGAAGGCTGTATCAAAAGATTTCCTCAAAAGCGATTGCAAGTTGTTTGACGTTGTTGGCACCGATCCCAGAAGATGGGCCGTTGCTTGATCAGTTTTAGTCTACTGTTCACAGGAAATCAGTTGTCTCAATCTTCATTCCACGGAAGCACTTCCTGGCCAACCCGCGTAGGGTTGGGAAGACCGTCTACCGACCTACTTCTCAGTTGGTCAATTTACTGTTCTGTTGAGATGTACAGAGATCAGTCCATCCTTCTCGTCCCGAGTTCGTTCGGTCACCCTTTGCTGCTGTACAGCCACACTATAAATGTTGAACATGCTTTAGTGCTGCATTCCAGTAATCCAAGCAGGCCAAGTTCAGGATCCAGTCAACACGTGAACACAGCCTGTGCAACGGCGGGACTCTAGCGAGAGAAATGGGGACCCTGGCGCCTGGGGCTGAGAAGAACGCCTAGCTGATCCCTGCTGGACGGGTGGGAAACGCCTTGATGGGTTAGTTTTGCCCGAATGGGATGGCGAATCATCCAATGAGTTGAGAGTCAAGTCCGGTCAAGTCACTTCAGATTGAGCCGCAGTGTACAAGAGTCTGCCCAAAGAGTCTGCCCGTGAGGACACCTCGTCAAGCCGCTGTGCCTCTTTCCAGTCGCCTCTGCCACAATTCTCTCACGGCCTCAAGTCGATCGAGTTGAGCCAAGTTGGCTTCTTGCGATTCACGGAAGGATGCAACCTCCCCTGAAGCCCTACCGGCATATCTCAATCCAGCTTTGGTAAGCTCAAAGCATTGTACTCTGTGCTCTGCAACCCGCGACTAGTTAGTCTAGTCTGGAGTATTTCCACCTTGCTCACTGCGAAACCAACCTACTACACTCCACATGCCCGCATTGCCTGAAGCGCTCGCTTGAGGTAAGGAAGGACATTTCCATCTTCGACCTCTTCCTCCTCCAACTTGACATTGCTACGTCTCATCTGTTTCTCCCTACTGTGCTTTGTCGTGAAATGCGAATCGCTGAGATTGATGGGGTTTTGTCCAGATTGAATGCGACAAGCGCAATCCTGTTTATTTCGAATCGGCGCACCTCTTCGAGTATCGCAAGGCTGCGGCTCGATTACTGTGCGCTTGCTCCCACAAGGAATACGGATGTGACAACTTACCTTGCCTTCGGAACTGAACGGTTCTAGTCCCTCATATTCGATATATACAAGCCACCCTCCATCCACCAACCCACAAACACCTGAATATGTCTTCGATGTACTATGACACGGTCTCCCCGTCGTCTCTTCACGACCGTCTCGACGATCGTGAACACGAACCCCACTATACCGACAGCAGTTATACTCATCACAACCACACTGCCGGTATAGATCCGCAACAGTTGCTGTCGCCGTACTCGTCTCATATCCGAAGTAATTCGGCATCACCTTCCAACAACGTTATCACCCCGGCCGAGTCTACATCGGCTCACAGTGTCATTCAGAGCGACTTCAGCAGCGACTTTGGAGACCCTTTCTTTGGTGTAAACTTTAACGACATTGAAGGCTCAACGCCATCCTTCCTCGACGAACAAACATCTTTCAATTCAGATACACAGTCGAGTTGGAGGCCACCACCCACGAGCGACCCTTTTTACGGGCAGTCAGACCCGTCATCGCCCCATGATCCTGTATCAGAAGAGTCAAATACAACAGCATCTCATTTGACACCTGATACTAATACGGGTAAGTGCCTAATCATAATCTCTTCTTTCTTTCCTTCTTTCCTTCCTTCTTTCCTTCTCCAAGGGGTTGATAAGCTCCGGAGGCGACTCAGCGTTTGCACTTTGAAAAGAAGTGCGAGCTCTGCATTAGCTCATACTTTCTTGGTGCCAATAACGCTTGTACGAATGTCGCACCCTCTTCCCGCCAGAATATGCTATTACTCTCTGACACTGTATTAGGAAGCTGGTCAAGCGCCGACCACCCTGCCCCTTTGGCCCTTGCTATGGCCAGTCCTCGTTTCACCGTTTCGGTATGGGGCAAGGACGGCGAGCAACCCGAGCATACAGCTGCTAGACCTTTCAATACAGGGTCTGAGGGATTCCATAATATTCGAGGGGGGCATGAAGATGCTCTTTCCGTAGAAACCCTTCATGGATCAATACCAAGTGCATCTCGAGATGCACAAGGTAGCTGGATTCCGGACACTGCAACGGGCCAGCGAGGACTCGCTCCTGACAGTCGCCTTTCCGGAGACACAATCAGCATCAATCAACTAGCTACATCGCGGAAATCAGACGAGGTAAAACAGAACGTCGCCTCTTGGGTTTCAGACACCGTCAACCAGACAAGCAGTTTCTCTCACGGACCTTCATCGGAGGAACATATAACTCGCCCCGTTGACGAATATGACAACATTCCGGCGGCTGAAATCCCGCTTGGCCACACGACTGTCAATAGACACATACCAAACCAGGTCTATTACCGTGATGAACTCAATGCGGACCTGGTCGCTGAAGGGCATGCCAGACGCTTCAATCGGACCGACCTCGACTTACTGCCTACGCGCAATTGGGACAATGCACCAATGATTCATCACATATCTCAGATTGACGAAAGGCGGAACCAACCCGAGAGTTCACAAGCCGCGATTGAGAAGTTCGAAAGCATGTGCTACGACAATGCCTCAGTGGTGTCTCGTGCAGCTACGTGGGGCACGAGACGCAGAAGCATGCCTAGTATCATTGATACAGAAGGCGTCATCAGTGGAGGTCTTTTCAAGAAACTGTCGCTCAAAGCAAGCTCATCTCGTCGACCGAGCCTGATAAAGAATATCTCCAATCTTGTGAGAAGACCTAGTCACAATCAGCTGCGGAAGCGTAAAGGAAGCAATGGCGAAGCACCAACGCCTGACGACTTTATTTCGAATGTTCGACGGGAATCTCGCGATAGTTTGGCTCCACCATCCCGTAGCCCAAGCTGGGGCATACGACAGAAACCGATGCCGAGTTTAAACACTGCAATCGTTGGCATGGCTACCGGTGCTGCATCGATTGGAGCTTCACATGCTCGGACCAGCTCAATCAGCGCATCGGCTTCGCCGAAAACTTCATTCGGTCTCGCTCCAGTTAAAAACACTCTCAGGAGGCCAAGAAGCAAAACCGACATACCAAAGTCAGAGTCTGCTCCCCCAAACATCGTGGGCATGCTCAGGAAATCAGGCGGCCCACCCGTTGCACAGCTGGCCAAATCACAATCTCTCCTAGATCAAGATGACGACGAGGATGAAGATGACGACAATTATGACGACCCTGATATGAAAATTGAGGCCAGCAAGGCAGAAGACATTGTTCCGACCTTTGATGGATTCAAACAACACATCCTCAAACTTAACCCATCTCTCGCAAATGCAAATCAGTATCTCGTCGATCGCATCGCCCATCAAATGGTCGTGCGCTTCAAGAATCTTCAAACCCAGAAAATCAAACATCTGAAAGCAGCCCGCTCGAGACACTGTCAATCGGGTACTTTTTGTATTGAGGCTGGTGGCCAAGCTGTTCCTCTGGACACTAGAGCGGACATCCGCGGCACTAATCCCTTGTCTGTTCGACCAGACTCATCTGATGGAGATCTGACACCTCTTGAAGGTGGCATCAATGTAGAAACATTCCCTGCTGGCATTCCTATGCCACCCACTGGTGTTCTACCTGCTGTAAGTCTATTTAGGGAAGCCCTTTCGATCCATGAAATTCGACATGCTGCGCGCATGAGTTACTCCCTGCAGATTGAGATGCTCTATATGGTACACGCGCTGACTTGTTCACAGGAATTTGAATGCCAAATATGCTTTGCGTCAAGGAGATTTATCAAGCCGTCAGACTGGACCAAACATGTTCATGAAGATGTTCAACCTTTCACTTGTACCTGGGATCGTTGCCGAGATCCCAAAATGTTCAAGAGGAAAGCTGACTGGGTTCGTCATGAAAATGAAGGTCACCGTCATCTGGAATGGTGGACTTGTGATGTTGAGGAATGCAAGCATACCTGCTATAGGCGCGACAACTTTCTACAACATCTTGTCCGTGAACATAAATTCACTGAACCTAAAGTAAAAACCAAAGCTGCCATTAAAAAGGCTGGTGGCACTGATCCTACTTGGCAAAAGGTTGAGAGGTGCCATATCGAGACACAAGCACGACCACAAGAGGAGCCTTGCAGATTTTGTGGCAAAACATTTCCTACATGGAAAAAATTGACCGTTCATCTGGCTAAGCATATGGAACATATCAGTCTTCCCGTGCTGCGTCTTGTGTCCGCGAAAGATTTGAACGAGGACACCATCATTAGCCCAGTGCAGGATCTCCCCCCACGAAACTTTGGGTTGCAGACACCCGTGAAAACAGAAGCTCCTGTATTTAGTCCCCAGCGACCTCACGCATTTTCGAACCCTATCGACTATAGTCCACACGGCGCCCTCGAATTCCAGGCGACTAACCCTGCTCAGATGCCACCACAATTTTACAACCAACATCAGACCGTCTCACACTTTGACAGCATGGGTCAGAATCCGTCGGGTGTCTTGATGATGCCCCAAGTCACCACCGGATTTGCGCCTCAACAATATCAGACGATGCCGGGGCCGGTGACCACGGGGCCTTCTTATGGGAGTTCGTTCATATCCATACAGCAGAACCAATTGGAGCCGTTTCCTGCCTTCAATAATCCTCTCGGTCTTCATGACACAAACGGAGGTCAACTTTCCTATGAGACAATGGTAACCCCGGCGATATCTAGCGTCGACCAACACAGTAACCCTGGCTCGGTATCGCCGTATTCCCGCTCTCCGTACCTAGCCAACAGCGGCTTCTACCCTTCGTGATGGACTCATGTCGATGACAACCCAATCTTGAATAGATTTTGGACATAGGCGCTATTGTAAGCGCTACTTCTTTTTATGTCTTTCGTTTTGCTACGTAATTTACGATATCCACTCGGCGTGCTCTGGAAGGTTTATGTATTTCCTCAGATATCCTTACTGTTTCAATTGGCTGCATTGAATTTATGTTCTGCAACTACGGATGGATGGAGTACGGAAAAGGTTATTCTTATCAAGTGTTGGGATTTTGTCTGCTAGCCAAATTAGGGCTGGGAAATGTGTAGCGACGGTCGAAGATTAATGCTAGGAAACGATTATACGGGCGCGACTTGGCGATGAAGACCTGTCTGTCTGAAGCGTTGTCTTTGGCGGGAGTTGATTAGATATCGCGGTGTGCATCTTGTATGGGGGGGGGGGCATGCTTTCTGCACTTACTTTTTGGTATAAGCCGACCAACAAGCGCATTTGGATACCCAGCCTTACTTTGATTTCGTGCCGCGGTCTAGACTTGTTGTTTTTGCAGTGATCTTTTCACATGGAGCAAGACATGACACGGACTAGCCTACTCTTTTTGCTGCGTGGCTCCGTCACGTTGTCCCAGCTCAGTCTTTCTACAATATACGAAAGACCCACCCTTTATAAACTTGAGACGAACCTATTGTCAAGGCACTGCCTTAAATCAACTCCAGAGAGCGGGCACGACTCAGCAGAACGGCAAGCTTTGCACCGACTCATTTACTACTGTATGTACGCGAACACCAATTTAGTATGATAGCCCAGGCCTAATTCACAGGCAAAATTGGGGCATGAGCGTGATTCTCTCACTCACACAGACAGGGAGCACTCGACATAGATCTGCAGGCACGTAAAGGGAGGTGAGGACTGAGTGGAGCACTCAGCGTAGTGAAATGCCAACAATGAGTTGCATCCTTTCAAGTAGTTATGATCGATCGCGTTGGAAAATGCCGCCTACGCGTAATCGTCGAAAAGCATCGACAAGTTGAAAACCTACTTAGGGTCTGGCACGTCGCCGGTTTCCAGGTTACCTGTGCTGTGCTACAGCGAGGTTGTTCGTCTGTCTCGGAAGTGACGTCTTCTTCAATGTAAGCTTGTGCTGTCGCCTCTTTGCATTAAGCTTGCCGTCAAGTTGGAAGACACCACGAGGAACGAAACGGAAATGTCTTCCTCGAATCAGCTGCTGCTCCTCGTAACCATATCACCTTCCAAGTTACATAGTACTATGTAACGCTGGACTGGCGCAAACTCTCTCTGCGCCACGCTCGGCGGGTAGCATCACTGACGACGGGTTGGCTTCTAGCGAGTTTCTGCCAACTCTTTCCCTGACGCCGGGTCTGCTAGCTTCGAGGATAGGCTTGACAAGCAACCCTTTTGTGGAATTAGACTAATGATGATAAACATTCTCAATTGTGGCTTAGCTACCTGCTGTCAAGTCTTGGACGACGGAGGCCCAATATCACACGAATATGACACGATCGGGGTAATCTTATTATCTATCCAGGTCATTTCCATATGATTGAATTGGCAACCAAGAATTGACGTTAGATGGCATTGAGTTCGTAATGGTTAATGGCTCCCTCATTTGAGTGCCACCAGGCTTCCGGCGGGTCAGACTAGTGGTTTGTTTCAAAAATAGCCGGGGTTCCATATACTAACACATCTCGGCAGGCCCCTTCGAGGCCCCGCCGTGACTTTTGCAGCCAATGAATCCCCAGAGGCAGAGCAGAGCGACCCCTGGCTAGTATTTAGCAGTTTCGTGTGAGCTTGGATCGTCCAGCCATTATCCTTGACTTTTCTCCATCAAGCAGGGCAAGCGCCATTTTCGGCTCCTGGGGTTAGGACGGAGCCCAGACGGGGGCCACAAGTAGACCGGCGCCCATTTGCCCATCACCAAGGGTCCAATCTTTTCCAACTCTCGAGCCAGTCATCTTGATCAGGGGTGCATGGCACTCTGAGATCAGGGCAGTTTTGTCTACGCAGTAGGCCAGGGGTCAAACGGCGCATCTTTCTGTCTGGATTTCTCGACGACTTTGCTTCTTCACCAACCAAACCACCGAGCGGAGGGTCCTAACCGCATTATTTCTCTTTGGCCTCCGTCCAAGATCTCGTTGCCCTCCTCCCTCGTTTATGGAGAGCTAACCAAGCCCTATCAACCATCCACTCGTTTCATATATGCGCCCGTCGTCCTCTTGCCCCCCCAGACCATACTCGAATATCGTCAACCTTCTTGTCAGTCTATATGACGCCTGGTCACAAGACATAGGCGGCTACGACACCACAATCCTTCGCTTTCCTAGATTGCTTCAACTATACCGTCTTTCGAGAGGCCATTTTTGGCCCCAGCTCATTCTCTTTCGTTCCAGGTTGACCCTCGGCCTCTTTGAACCCACGTGAACACCACCTTTCTTGGATTTCTCTTTGGCCATTGTTCTTTGTTAGCTCTGGAAGCTCCAATCCTTTGTATTCTGCAACATATCAATCGCACAAACAAGTTACCGACGACAGCCATCCAGCACGTGTTTCTGTCAAATTTCGAACCATAAAAGGAAGAGAGAAAAAAAAAACATTCATATCACGGAGGAAAGACGGACATCTCGACACTGAAGGTTTAACGACGAAACTACGATCAACGTTTTCTTTGGAAACCCGGTAACACCTAGAAGCATAGCGGTCCCTTCCCATTTTCTCGCATCATAGACTCAATTCTTTACAAAATGGCGCGAACGAGTACGAAATGGAGTAACAGGCGGGCGGCCGTATTGGCAACAATGTTCGCGGTCGGCGTTTTAGGTGACAACATTTTGACCACCAGCAGTTTCAGCAACTGTGACACGAACACAAGCATTTCAGTAAACAACGTGGAGATTTCATACAACCAAAACAACCAGACCGTGACATTCGACGTATCGGGAACCAGCAGCAAAGTACAGAATGTCTCAGCAACGATGAAGGTCACTGCTTATGGCCAAGATGTGTACACGAACAGCTTCAACCCCTGTGAAACCTCAACATATGTTGAGCAATTATGTCCCGTCCCCGCAGGAACCTTTGGTGCGAGAGGCAGTCAAGCCATTCCCTCCGAGTACGCAGACAAGATTCCTGCCATCGCCTTTTCCGTCCCGGATATTGCAGCCGCAGCTAAGTTGACGCTTACGTCCCTGGACGACGGGTCAGAAGTTGGTTGTGTCACTTCCCAGGTCACCAATGGCAAAACAGCAAGCGTCGCCGCAGTTTCCTACATCATGGCCGGAGTGGCAGGTGTAGCACTGATCGCATCGGGTGTCGCAGCCCTGGGTTCGGCAGTCGGTGCAGGTGCAGGCGCCGGAGCTGGAGGCGCTGCGCCGAGTCCCAGCTTTGGGGAGGTAATCGGCGTTTTCCAAGGATTCGCCATCAACTCAATGCACTCGGTCAATTATCCTCAGGTCTACAGGTCATTTGCAAAGAACTTCGCATTCTCCACAGGTATCATCCCTTGGGCATCCTTGGAGAGGTCGATTGATTCCTTCCGAAACGTGACGGGTGGAAACTTGACCGAGGCCAGCTTCGATTACCTACAGAATGCCACTTTGGTCTACAGTGATGGCAGCACGTCTACTCCTGACAAAACACTCTTTAAGCGCACGATGGACGAGTTTGCGCTTACCATTCGAGAGCTCGAGACTTCCATCGACACATCTGCCACGACTACCGACAATTCTACAAGTACCGAGTCTACTCTTCGAACTGCCGTCTCCGGTATTGAGGGCTATGTGGAGCAATTGGCCGTCCCTCAAGCCAACACCTACATGACGGTTCTTCTCATTGTCGCGATTCTCATTGCTGTGATAATTGTTGGTATCCTGCTTGTCAAGGTCATTCTCGAGACCTGGGCCCTCTTTGGAAGTTTCCCTAAGTCTTGGACTGGTTTTCGCAAGCACTATTGGGGTTCCATTACCCGCGCAATCACACATTTGATCCTCATACTCTACGGAGTCTGGGTGCTGATCAGCTTGTATCAATTCACAAAGGGCGATTCATGGGCTGCAAAGACTTTGGCTGGTGTGACGCTCGGTCTTTTCACTGCTCTTTTGGCATTCTTCGCCTACAAGATTTGGAGTACTGCCCGAAAATTGAAGAATGCGGAGGGTGATGCTCACGGTCTGTACGATGACAAGAGCATCTGGGTCAAGTACAGCTTGTTCTACGAGTCATACAAGAAGGATTATTGGTGGATATTTGTGCCCGTCATCCTGTACTTGTTCGCCAAAGGTTGTGCCCTCGCCATCCTCGATGGTAAAGGCATGGCACAGACAATTGCTCAGATCGTCATTGAGACCCTCATGCTGGGTCTCCTACTTTGGGCCCGCCCCTTTGAGCGCAAGTCCTCCAACTGGGTCAACATCTCTATACAGGTCGTGCGCGTGCTTTCTGTAGTTTGTGTCTTGATCTTTGTGGAGGAGCTTGGTATTTCGCAGACCACTCAGACCGTTGCTGGCGTTGTCTTGATCGCCATCCAAGCTGCTTTGGCGGGCATATTGGCGATTCTCATCGCCTGGAACGCCATCTCGTCTTGCATCAAGGTGAACCCACATCGCAAGCGCAGAAAGGAAATGGGTAAGTCTGAGCAAGAAGCGCTCCAGCGTTCCCATGAAGCGATACTAGCTTACTGACATAATTTGCAGAGAAAATGCAGCGTGACATGGATACTCTGACCCCACTGGACGCGCGCAACTCCCTGCTATTGGATCATGTTAAGACCAAGGAGGGCGCCAGCAGTACTACTTTCTCACTTGCTGATAACATTCAGGAGAGCAAGCAGCCGCTTACGCGGGGCCAGTCGCCAGAGAGATACCCGGGATCGACTTTGGAACCTTCGAACCCCTACTCCATGGCCACGTACAACCGACCACTGACACCCAGTCAGCCATTCGGCGCTGATCAGAGTGGCGACCGGCTTCTAGGCGGTGCTGCGCCCATGGCCAGGCAGCCAACCGTGCCAAGTGTAACTGGCTACGGTTATAATGGTTACCGACAGCCCGGCGGTTACTGATTGGGTCATGGATGAAGAGGAGATACGGAAGAACTATACCATATCAGGGAACAACAAAAACACAACCCGGCTAAGGTCTGTACATAAGCTGGCTGAAATACAGATACGGATATGACTATCTTACAGTATATGGAGATTTGGTGTTATAGATAGGCATGGTGTAATATCAATATGAGAACATATCATTTACAAATTATGTGCTTGATTCTGTCCTGTGGTGGAATGTGGGAAATGCCTATGGGTAAACCATCTCAAGACTTTTGTAGTCAGGTCCATCATCCTGTCGAATTGGAATGACTGCTATCACCAAAATCAGTGCGTCGTCGTGAAAAATGCTTTTGTCGTGATATTATTCCTTGGTAAGTTGCATCAGAAGACGGTAGATTCGGCCCCACACAGTGCTGCGGCGTTCACTCAGCCCGGTCGCTGGTTTCGAGCTTGTGTTGCTGCAAATTTCGAACTGACGTCCGTGATCTCTGCATTTAAACCGCCACATGTATTTAAATTAATCATTTCAGCGAATCCCGACATTTAAAATCTTTGATCCTTTGAGTTATGCGGTTTCATCATCTGGGGCCTCTGAGGTCCATTCGCCGCTACAGTCGGGTTGCTGACAGTCAAGCCAAACGATGGGAGTACTTTAGTTTGGTGATCAAAGGCAATAAGGGCTATCAGGTACGTTTCCAGGCTTACACCGTTGTTGGCGACTAGGTCGGCATACTATTGCGTCGCCCGCTTGCGTCCTCAACCCGTTTTCTAACAGGCTGCAGGCTTTGGTCATTGACAAGCTGCGTGAATACGTCAAGACGCGACAGGAGACACAGCAATGGGCAGCTGATCCGAAAGCATCAAATAGCTCTCTGGTTCTGTTAGCTTCGCGTGATATTGCATCGTGGCTCGAAGACAAGCAATTCATGTCAGACTTCCTGGGAACCCTTCAGATATCGAGGAGGGCCGAGGGGACGGCCACAATTGATGTCTTGTCGGGCGTGACGGAGGGCCTAAACTCTCACAGACTCATGGGACAACCACGGTCAGGGCTATCAGTTCTGTACGGGACACAGAACATGCTGCCCCGTCTGTGGGATCAGACGGACACGGAAACACGCATCGACCCGGATCGGGCGGCGTCTGTGTCACTCTCCACAGCCATCGCCGGGAAGCCTTTCAACTCCAGCATCACAATTCCACTCGCGAACACACTATTCCAGAACGGACGGCGCTCTACACTGTTCGCAACCCGATATGAGACAGACTCGTCTGGCCGTATCGAGCCTATATTAACGCAGGACAAAAGCCACCAGGATATTGAGTTCGTGACCGAGTTAGGCCCAATGTTCAAGCCTCAGTTGCCGCTGCTACCCCTTACGCCTCCAAGGAAGATTGTTGCAGGGTTAGGAAACATTGTACGACAAATTGAGATTGACGGTGTGCCCTCGCCGGCGTCGAAGGAGTTGGAAGTACTCATTCCTCAACTTCTCGAGAAGCGAACCTCTCAAAGCGCCGTGGGCATATGGGCCGTTGTGATTCCAGCGCATGTGATGGAAGCGGGGGCATTTGCTAAACTGCGACCCTTCAACGAGCATGTGAATGACGGGAGGATGAAGGAACGACAGCTGGTGGAGAAAAACAGTCGGATATTCTGGGGCTTCAATCATTATGGTTTCCGCATCCACAAGATATGTAAGTGCAGCACGTCTCCTGAGAACCGATGCTCCGGTCGGTACTAATTAGTGGTTGCGCAGTAAGCGGAGGCGGTGGATGGGGGGCCAAAGCCGGGCTACTCTCGTTGGACCCAGACACGAGCTACACCAGACCAGACCAGGAAAACATCGACGACTTCATCAAGGCGTTCGAAGCCAGGAACAGCGAGGACTCGTCACAAGGGATTGTAGCACCAGGATCATACATATTGTTCTGCGCGCAGCCAGACCTGCCTCGGAATGCGAACCAGGGCGCGCCTACCAATCGCGGGTGGTACTTTGGTGTCTCTGAGAAGAAGGAGCTGGAGGCCCCGCAACCGGAGAAGGAAGTTGAGAACGATGCCTGGGTGGTCCCTCGGCTGTTCTCTGCCATGTCGTCGGAAGGCCTTTACCTGAAGCTGGACTCTCCGGGGCACGAGGGGGCGATCAAGGAATATCCCTTTACGACGAAGATCGATGTGCCTCACGCATATCTCAGACATGCGGGTTTCTAGGACCGAGACCCAGAGCAAGGAAGAAAAGTTCTGTGTAAACTTGTGTATTTATAGTAGAGCTGTGTAAAAGCTGATTTGGGCGTGGAAACTGTACATGGTATGAAATAAAAAGTAAAAAGTAAAAAGGTACTGGTGTGCTGCAGGTTGGTACAAGACCAAGGAAATGAAAAAGGACGTCATGGCTTGCACTTATTCAAATGATGCCTCGACAGTGTGGAGGGAGCGGCTCTACACGAACATAGTGTGCAGCTAATGTAGGTTGCCTTTCTTGATGGTGGTGTTCTTGGGCTGCGTACAGAACAATGCGTGGTATCTACGGATCCGTACCTACTACCTGACTGCTCCCTCTAACATTGCCTACCCCACGTGGCCCCCTGCCATGGGCCCCACCTTCCGCAATCAACTTGTGCAGTACATAATACAGCATCACCGGAGCTTTTCGTCAAAGACCCTCCCGGGGTCAAGACTCGCAGAATCCCGTCAGACCACAGGCCTCAGACCTCGCAAAGATTCCCGCGATTTGAGGCTAAGGCTAAGGCTGGTCTAGGCTAAGGCTAACTTACGTTAAAAGCTGAGGTAAGGCTAAGCAAGTCAAGCAAGTCAAGCCACCAAGCAAGACCCCCAAAGATCCAGTCCAATTGTGTCAGCCGTGTCTGAGATTCCAACTTTCTACCATTTGCTTACTGCATTAAATTTATTTCCTTGAGAGATATTTTCTTTCGCAAAATATTTCCCACCTGACAAGATAACGCTATGGATCGTAGCTTAGACGAGATCGTCGCTGAGAATCAGGTAAGCATTGACCCAAAGCCACCCGCCCGAGTCTGGCCATCAAAGAGAGATCCTACGCCGCCCAGATTCACTGACGCGATCATTCATCAGCAAGACAAGCGCGGCCAGCGAGGTCCACGACGTGCCCGCGGCAACCATGGAGGCGGTGGAAGAGGAGGTGGCCGTGATGGCTCACGAACCCGAGAGCGAGACTCGTACCCGCGAGACTCGTACCCGCGAGACGGCGTAAGAAAGGCAAGCCAAAGCATTCTCCCATCTGGTTACCCATGCCCCCCCATACGGCACGGCCTCTAACACGGCTGCCTGCAGGTTGCTCACCCTCCTCCTTGACATCTAGATCCAGACCAAACCATCCCCCTCTGTCCAACTTTCGAGGCGCTGCCAGACAATTCTTCCTCAAAATAAGCGATTTCGATGGCTCTAGGGGGGGAGACCCTTGGTCACCCAACAGTAGAGGAACGTCACGGCTAACAACCCATCTCGTTCTGCGAGACAGTCCACTAGAGATGATTCGAGGAATATGGATTCGTATGTTTCAACCTTCTGCACCACGTCCAGACCCGCAAGCCATGGGACACTCGACTGATGTATTCTATTCTGCTTATCTAGGGAATGGGTCCACGATAGGTTCGAAGAAAGCCATTCCAACAACCGGCCTCGAAACCCCCGCCGCCGCTCCCCGGGTCCCTCATCACGGTTCGTCTTACCTCGTCGGCATGCACTCGCATACCATGCTTCAGCCAGGACTAAACATGAGAATAGTGACGATGTCCGTGGCGCCAAGATCAAGGTCGAGAACCTGCACTGGGATCTTAGCAAGACAGACCTGGAGGTGAGCTTTCGATGCTAGATCTCCGTCACCCACGTCATTCTCCTGTTGCTAACAATTGAACAATTCAGGGTCTCTTCGGCCGGATCGGACCTCTCGTCAAGGTCGAACTCATCTACGACCGTGCTGGACGCTCGGAAGGGCTTGCCTACATCACCTACGAAGAATACCAGGATGCCAAGGAGGCCGTCCGGGAATTTGACGGTGCGAATGCCAAGGGTCAGCCCATTCGATTGAGCATTATGCCATCCGGCCCTCGACGCAACCCCTTTGATACGGCCCAGTTGCCCGGACGCTCTCTAGCTGACAGAATCACTGCTCCTGGTGGCCGGTCTCGTTCGTACTCGCCAGAGGTTGATCGCGGCATCGATCGTTATGTGCCTGCTGGTGGGAGAAGATCGCGCAGTCCCATCTCTCGAGGGCGCAGGGGTGGAAGACGACCAGGCCAACGACGTGAAGGAGGTCCCCAGAACCCGAGAGAAGGCGGCGATGGCGGCGAGCGAAAGGGACGTCAAGGGAAGCCAAGGAAGACTCAGGAAGAACTTGATGCTGAAATGGCCGACTACTTTGGCACTGGAAACGATGCCCCTGCGGCACAGGCTTCCGAAACCCCGGCCGGCGGCGACGACGTGGACATGATCGAGTAGATATTGTAGGGCACATTCCGATGAGATACATGGGCGGCACGGTGGATCACATGGTGGACAAATCGCTTCAGATCGCAGGAGTGGCTCAAAAACGAGAAAAGAGTGCAGAACATAGAATGACAGACCTCTTTTGCGCCGACCACATATTCAAGACCGCGCGTTCACCCATGGTTACGTCAAACCTCTGAAAAGGGTCCGTTATCTGGGGCTTGGGTCGGCAACAACCATGAAACTCGACGTCTTGATCTATGCCCACACGGACTAGACTTCCCGCGACTACAAACCATGAACTCCGATTCGCAGGAAATTTTCATCCTCGTCAATCCTCTTTCGAATATCGCCGTTCTTCAGCTCGTCCAAGTCCCACTCTGACCATACATATCTGCCATGCAAGAATCTAGCCTCCTCTGAAGCGGCCCAGACAGCGAACTGGCCAGCGAGATTCGCTGCGTAGCAACAGACATTTGTCAGTTTCTGCATATCCGTGTACAGCACCAGGCACCAGGGCGGTCAAACTTACGGTCGTGCCAATCGAGGTCCGCCTCTTTCCAGCCCGCAGTCTTCGCGTTCTGGGTGAAGACCGCGCCCGGATGAAAGCTGACGATCTGCATGGCCTCTGGTGAGATCTCCCTGGCAATCACTTGCATGAGCAGAGTCCCTGCATTCTTGGTCAGGCCATATCCTGGGTAAGGGGCGTTGATGTCGAAGTCGTGTATGGCCACCGTAGATAACATTACGAGGGACTAAATTTCCAGAGCAACCGACTTGTTAACCCAACTTCTGAACTGAGGAAGGCGGGGCGGAAATCAGCCGAGACAAGATTTACACACCTTTTGAGGACTGTCGGCAGCAGACGGGCCCGTTTCTTGCTTGTAAAAGCGCTCCGTCGTCTGAAGCTGTGCGCGGACATTGACATTATAGTCGGTCCAGATCCCATCCGTTCCGCGCTCGAAGATGCTTTGCCTCGCCGAGATGCCCGCCGCGTTCAGGACCAAGACGTCAACGTACACCCCGTCGGCCTTTAGGTCGGCCCAAAGGCGCTCTACCTCTTCGGGCTTGGAGATGTCGCATGTCACGCCGACGAACTCGGTGTTGCTGCTGATGCCGCCGCTGTTGCCGTCTATTATTAGCTGCTTTTCGAGAGCCTTTGCGGCGGCCGCGGTTGCGTCTGCGCGGCGGCCAGTGATGATGACCCGCGGTGCGCCGGCTTGTCCAAACGCAAACGCTGCTGCGTAGCCTATACCACCGTTGCCGCCGGTTATGAGGACGGTGCGCCCGGCCTGGGAGACCTCGCGGTGCAGTGGGGACAGGGCCGCGTAGGGCTTCGTGTGGGAGACTTTGGTCAGCATTGTGATGGTGTCAGGAGTTATTTCAATCATGTATGCATGAACTGTGCCTGACTGATTTGATCCGCATCCTCAAAACAAGAAGGCAAAGAGACTGGTGTGTATATATATAAGTTTTTTTTCTTGTTCATTTGATATGATGCTCCACCGTTCTACAGGTTCTAATCCCCGAATGCAACGTAGCTGTCCATGTCTGCGAGCGGGGACCACCACTGCTGTTGTTTCACGATTTCGAGATTTGTATGCGGAGCAGTCAAGTATACTGTTGCAACCTGCGGAAACCCATTTCGGAAGAAATCCGCATTCCTGATTGGTGGTCAACTCTCAGCTCCACAATTATCCGCCCAGGCGGCCCGCAGGTTGCTGACATATGTTGACCGTAAGCTGACGGTGATGTGCTTGTATGTCGTTGATCACCACCAAGTTTCCAACTAACTCAAGCTTATTTAGGCTGTCAGCGGGGAAGTGAAACAACAAATATGCCCGCGTCTCTGGGGCTCCAACTGATGACCAACAAAGACGGGTCCGCTGAGTTAACCAAGTATCATGTCATCAGAGCGGCGGCGAGCATGTATCCCTTGCACAAGAGCCAAGCGCCAATGCACAAAGCAAACACCATCATGCCGGCGCTGTGTACTACGCGGCGGACTTGTTTGTGAGTATCCGCCAGCCCGCCGTCCTGCGGCCGCACTTGTGTCAATTTCACCATGCGCGGAAGCCGCAGGTTCATCCGCGGCGCAAGCCCCCCAGACCTTGGAGCAAAGCGAATATGTGGAATCCCTCCTGGAGGAAGAGGACATCGACTTCAACAGTAGACTCTTAGAACTCAACCAGTTCGGCCCAAGTGAGACCGATCCTGCCTACCAGAACATACCAGATACGCCAGCTGAGAATAATTCAGCCTCAACAGCAGCACCATGGTTCCTGCTCCCTTCAAGCTGGAAGCATGAACACTCGCCCCCACGCCCGCAAGAAGATGTCTCTACGGCTAGCATACAGAGCTACGTCAGCACCATTAGGGGCTGGTTCTACTCATGGGCATCCGGCTCGTCGCCGAACCCGCTATTCCACCCCGAGCTGTACCGCCGCGACATGCCGCGCTGCGCGCAGGATGCCTACACGGCCATCTCCGCCTACCAGCACAGAACGGCCGCCAACTCGGCGACCGTGCTGCGGATCGTGGGGGCCAGGGCGGAGCAGCTAGTCCAGGAACAGGCGCTGCGGGAGACCCTGGGCGGCGAGCTGAGCATGCTCGAGCACCTGGCCCGGGTGCACGCCCTGCTGGCGTACCAGACCATCGGGCTGTTCGACGGCGACATACGGGCCCGCGCCCGGGCGGACGAGATGGTCGATACGCTGTTCGGGTGGTGCGAGGCCATGTGGTGGAGTGCCAGGGAGGCCCAGAGGAAGAGACAGGACAACAGCAGTCCGCTACAGCCGCCCGACGACGACGCGCCGCCTCTTCCCGCCGCTGCCGGGGTCGTTCAGGGAAGCACAGCAGCAGCAGCAGCAGCAACGGATGGAGCCGGTGGTGGTATCCGCGGCGACGACACTACGAGTCTATGGCACACGTTTGTCCAACTCGAGTCCGTCCGCCGGGTCTTTCTCACGACCAATATCCTCCAGCATGTCTATCTGACTCTCAACCGCGGCTGGTCTGTTTGCCCGGGCGGCGTGACCATCTCGATACGCCGTGGTGTCTGGGAGGCGAGGAGCGCGTACGCCTGGGAGAAACTCGTAGGCGGCGGGGACGGCGGCGAAGATCCGTTGTTGGGTCTACAGACCATGCGTCTGGGTGAGGTGCTCGGGGTGGTCAGACCTGTGGACGTGGACGATTTCGGCTTGGCGGTGATGGGTTTACATTTTGCTGAGAACAAACTGGAACGGTGGTTCGATGGGAAGGGGGGGATGGTTGAGAGGGAGAGCATGGATATACTGGTAGGGCTTGGTATAGTAGGGGCTAACTGAAATAGTGGGAATCATTATCCTGGGAATATTATACAACAGCTTACGGGAGAGTTTGCTTGCAGAGAAGGTTTTCCACCGCAAGCGGACACTAATCACAAATATCCACGTGCAAGCGTGCGTCTCACGAGCTGCTCTCTGTAGAGGGATCTTTGCCTCCTGGACATAGGGTTATCAATGCAAGCAAGGCCTCCTGAGGTCGTTTGAGATGTTACTTCTCAAGCTGGACATAGAATAAAACAGCGGCCCACTTTTCAATGGGCCTCATACCATTCTGGCAAATAAATGCTGAGTATTGCGCCGTCCGTCAGTGCTAAAAGGCGTGGGGTCATTGTGAAATAGACTTGCCAGCATGATAGAAGAGAGCAGACTCTTTGTTTGCGTCTGTCTCTCTTTTTGTCTTTCTTCTTTCTTCTAACCTGGTGGTTTGAGTCGACATGAAAGGAAATCGGCCACTAGCGTTCACATGCTCGATTGGATGACTGTGACTGGCGTACGCACCCCCCCTTCCTAGCATGGCTGCCCCCTGGTTGGGCTGTCTTTTATTAATAAGGCAGAACCTTCTCTGTCCACTGAAGGGTTGGTCCCGATTGACTTGAAACCCAAGAAGGCAATTGATCTCGTGTGTGTACTCGTGAAACTACATACCGAGTCCTGGTCCACGGTTGCTGGTATCATGATCCAACATCTCGGGCATTGTCCGCAGAGATGCCGCCAGCGCCCGTGATCCCCAAGGTGCCCTCTATCGAATTGTTGGAACGCGCCTCCACTTTCCCAAGGTTAGTCTAGTTAGGTCAATTGTGTGCGAGGAAACCCCTGGATTTCAGCCCCAATTCTCCAAAAGTAACCTGCGTCGACTGCGTTGGTCCCTTGATTCCAACAATTCCGGCCCCTCGCAGCAATGACGTTCACTGCGTTTCACGAGCTCATGTTGCACTGCCATCACTGACGTTGAGGGAATCGAAGAACATTGCCTCTGCAGTTCTGCTCGTTGTAGCCGTCTTTCTACTAGATTACTAGATTGCTAGTTTCTTGGATTTCCTCCTTCTACAACTTCTTTACCTTTGTTTTCTCAACACGCCCTGATCCAGCATTTCGGCCAACGGACCCCCCTATCTGATTCGCCCAGGAATCGTCGAGACTCCCAGAAGCACATCACACCGCGCATCACCTACCCACGATGTCGCCCGGAAGACACAGCGGTGACACCGACGGCGTCGTGGGCCACGTTCACTTCATCTCTCTCGAGTACGACCCCAACAACTCGGACGCAAGCGCCCTGCAGCTTGTCACCGAGTTGCGACCCGAGTGGAAGGAACCCGGCTCTAAGATCGAGTTCATAAGATTCACCGAGGGAATTACAAACACGTTGCTGAAGGCGATCAACAGGAGAGATGGCGTATCGAAAGAGGACCTAGACAAGGAGTCGATACTACTACGAGCCTACGGAAACGGCACCCAAGTCCTGATTGATCGCCAACGGGAAGCACAGAACCACGAGCTGTTGATGCAGTACGGTCTCGCGCCGGCACTACTGGCGAGATTCAAGAACGGCATGATGTACAAGTACATAAGCGGGAAGGCTACGTCGCCTGAAGACTTGCGCAAGCCCTCCATATACTTGGCAGTTTCAAGACGTCTGGCTGAATGGCACGCGACGGTGCCCTGCATCTCCGCTGCGCCTGTCAAGTCAAATGGCCTCAACGGAGCCGCCAATGGCTTCTCTCTTACACCGATCGACGACATTGCCCCCGGAAAGCCGCCGCCGAATGTCTGGACGGTCATGCAGAAGTGGCTACGGGCTTTACCTACCGAGACAGAAGCACAAAGGGAGAGGCAAGCCAAGCTTCAAAAAGAGTTGGCCAGGATGGTCAAAGAACTGAGTCAACGGCCCGGCTTAGGCAAGAATGGCGTAAGTTATTTGGGCACAAGTTATGCACATACTCTACTCGCATTACCTTGCTGGCATGGCTGGTCGGCCCTGTCTCGAAGTTTAGGTTTCAATGCTGACACTGAATAGCTTGTATTCGCCCATTGTGACCTGCTGAGCGGCAACGTTATAGTGGCCCCCAAGGAGGCCGCGTGCAGCCACAAGACCGAGGAGACGGTCAACTTTATCGACTACGAGTACGCAACTCCTTCGCCAGCGGCTTTCGACTTGGCCAACCATTTTGCTGAATGGGGGGGTTTCGATTGTGACTTCTCTGTGTTGCCAACGCGCGCCCAGAGACTGGAGTTTATTGAGGAATATATACACACTTACTTCAAGCTGCTACCTGCAGCTGACCGCCCGGCAGACTTGAACCAAGATACAGAGGTCTCCAAGCTATGCGTGGAGGTTGACGAGTTCAGAGGGCTGCCTGGATTCTACTGGGGCATATGGGCGCTGATCCAGGCAGAGATCTCCCAGATCGATTTTGACTACGCCGATTATGCGGAGATTCGATTAGGTGAGTACTGGGCTTGGCGCGACGAGGTTACTGGTACACGAGCTTCTGAAGGCAGGGAACTACCTCTGCGCGAGAGGAGATGGGCGCAAACCGAATAGAAAGGGCACAAATCTGCGTGCCTCTGCCATATAAACATAGCATGTCGCATGAAGCATGTTTATCGTCGCATAATACCATTCTCTACAAATCTCTACGGTCAAAACCATGGAAGAAAAAAAAAGGGGGGGGGCCTCGGATTGTAGTCATCAATTCAGCATAGGCACAATGTTTCAACAGCAAGTGTCCCGGCGTTGTGGTGTATATAGATTTACTTAACGTATAACTAATAAGTAGTGACCAGCCACTGCGGCTTTCGTATTCATCGCAAAATTAAAGCACAATAAACAGAAATTTAAACCCTTCCCCCCTTTTGTTTTCCTCCCTTTTTTTTTCCCTCCTCGTTCGCATGATATGGCAAGCGAGCTGTGACAGACCCAAAATGTTCGTGGTCCTCATCACAGTGTAAGACCTGGGTCAACTAAGCCTCGAGAGTGTTTTATGGCACGCTCTTGGTTATGGCTCTGAACAGGACTCTCTGGGTACGTCATCTGTGGGCAGCCATCTCTTCGTTGATGTTGTTTGTAATTAATGTTAGATACGAGCTCATCTCGCATCTCGTGAAAATCGTGTTCACTCTGCTTGCTTGACGGATTCATATTACGAATAATCATCAAGTCGCGGGAAAGTAATTTGAATCGTTCCGGGAATGGACCAAGGGAAAAAATAAAAATAAAAAGGAAAATAAATAAATTAAAAGAAATTCTGCCCAGTCGTGGCGGACTGGTTTCATCATGATGTTGATGCTCGGACAGCGCCCGAGCGCGACCACGATCATCGGAATCATGTCCATTCGGGGTTTGATGAAGATCGTAAGCAGAATAAGTTTTGTCTACGTATCCATAATTGTTAATTATGCTGCAGGACTTTGACTTCCTTCAGTAAACCAACAACATAGTCCTATAATACGTCATGGTAGACGAACAGCACACGACAATACTATCACACGCGGTTAGCGAGCAGGCATGCACTATGTTCTCCTGGGTTTTTATGACTTATGCAGATAGTTGCCGATCAAAGGAAGGTCAGTTTGTACGGGAACGGCCCCATCGATCTTAATACGGAACGAAATAAATCGGGCAGCCTGGAAGCAGATGACTTGGGCTCTAAGGAGGGCAAGGTTCGATGATGCTCCGACTAGATGAAGTTTCGATCCAGTAGAATACGGGTACAGAATTCTCCGGATCATGCAACATCGCCGTCACTACCAAATGAAGCAATCTGCGATCCCCGTGTCTGCAGTGTTTACAAGGCGCAGTCTCAGCGTTGAAGGCACAGCTGATATATAGTGAGGCGACGCGAACTATGCCATATGTGGAGATTTAGCGAAGTTGCCCTGTTTCGAAGCCTCAGCTGGGGTAGCTGATCAGGACCTTGGTGCTCGGTCGGCAGGCGACATGCGAAAGGGTGGCTTTGCTTTGCCTTGAAAGTTCCAGGCTCTCTCCTGGCCTTCTGCAACCCAGAGTTCACACGACCTTGGTCAGCGAGGCATGTGGGGCGATAAGTGAAGCAAAAAACCGCGGCCATGACCTCGCTGTCCAATGATGAAGCAAAAATGGTGCCCAGAGATGGAGGGGCTGGCATGCAAGGCGCTCTTGGCGCCGCGCAATCACTTTCAAAAGACCGTTAGATCTGGAGGCCGCATCTTCGAACGAGCATCTGAGAATGGCCAAAGGGGTATTGAGCGTTATTTTTCCGTTTCCATGCTGTAATGGACCAGGAGGGCCTGCCATCGGCAAGCTGAATATCTCCACCAATTTGGTTCTGGCTTGCCGATATACCGCCAAAATACATTAAAAAAATTTGGCAGGCTTCTTCTTGCAGCAGGCTGGTCACTGCAGCTCAAACAAACAGTATGTTCGAATGTTGATATAAGCGAACGGAGTTGATGCCATTCGCGACTTGACCATAGTATGCAGTCGGTGTGAGACGCCTTTGCTCCATATGCAGATCAAGATGACTCCCAAGATCATACAACATCCGGCGCCTGCAAGATGCAGCAGATTTGCTTGTGGGCCGCGGTTTGATGTCGCGCACGCAATAATGTTGCAGGCGAGGTAAGGCAATGTCGGCTTTTCATTAACGCTGACCTATATGAGATTGTGCTAAGGCGTAAGGATTAGCTGCAAGAGGAAGTGATCGGCAAGGTTTATAAGTGGCCTGGTCGGATGTTATCGCTGCGTCGCCCGGTGATCCGCCGGGGTTAACTTCTCAACGGTCTGCGAAGTTAGCGGTCTGCGGTGCTCGCGACAGGGGTGCTTTCGGCCCAGGACTGCAAGAAGGGACTGCGCCTTGTTCGCCTAGGAGTTTGAGAAGTTGGTGGGCAGGCTGACCTGACCCAGCTGTGCCAGCTGCAAAAGAACTTACATCGCACAACGGCACGATGCTACCTATCATGACAAAGTACGCGATAGGGCAGCCGAGTGAGGGGGTCGCCAGGGCGAATAGGACAAGGAGCTTGGCTGATATTGCCGTGAAGAGTGTGGGTGAGTAGTAACATGAGTGTACTCCGACGATCGCGATGAGGAAGCTCAATGGGTTTTTTTTCTCGACTCCACGGACAACTACGTCCAATCAGCCACTCAGCTCGACTGCAAACCGTGAACGTCAGCCTGTGAGACCAGGGATCGTCGCGGTCTAGAGCACCTGGGAAGCAAGACGAAGCGACCCGCGCTATGCTTTAGTGCCAGTTGGAGGATACTGAGCCTATCAGCCGCTTGCAGAGTTCCTGGGTGTGGCATGTCGTACTGTGGTTTCGTCGAGATACGTCCCGAGTATTACTCGCCTGATTATTATGTCTCATGCAGCTGGTAGTGTTGCGACGGTATGCTGATAGATAGACACAATGAGGGACACAACGGGGATTTCGACCAAAGTCGTCACCTATCTGGACGGCTGTTCACCTAAACGCAGTGTCGTGGAGTCTTGAGTATGGAGTCTGGAGTAATACCTTGTTGTACGTGATGCAGCATTCAACCTGAGTGCTGGAGGAGCATGGAGTCTGGGGTAGAGAATCACGGTCTTGATGGAATTCGATCAGCTTTTATTTACCGTATTTTATTTGTTTATTTTCCACCAAACGTGTACAGTTCTTCCCCGTCTCATCATGGCATTGCATGGTCGCTGCATGGTCGCTGTTCTCTGCAGCTGAACTGGCTGCCGCGTTGTGCTCATCCATGAACCTGAACAGGCTAGCTCCAAAGCTTCGATGTGGCTGATCACACCTCGACTCTTCGGAATATCCTGGAGAAAATCTATCCCCAATGAGCTGATATCGCAATCCAATCTTCAAATACCGGTAATAACGAGCAAACCCCGAACATTGAGAGTTGCTGCCTGCGAGAATATCATACGCACATCTCGCTGGGCTGAAAGATTGCTGAGAGAGCTGAAATAAAACAAATGCAGTCTAGTCAGTTAAGGTTCCGTGGTCCCACGCCTCCACGAGCCCTGCCGACCTTGGCTCACGGGGTATGCTTAAAGACATTAGCGATAGATGTGTAAACCGCCATGTAATCTGTCATGCCTCCTAAACACATAAAGCCGACGATGATGCACCACTGTCAGTGGGCTTCGTCTGTCTCCATACGATGATCTCATTGACCTAATGAAATCCTCCTTCGTCCAGAGCAAAATTGTGCTTGGAAGAAGTGGCATGGTCTCCCCGACCCCCCGTAGAGTCCCTTGTAAACGCTTGTGAATACCTGTAAGCCTGGCCAATGCCCTTGCAACTATGCTAATCTGCCGTAGGCTGCCATTCGCCCCACCTGATGGCTACTACGGAGTACTTTCGCTTTGGCGACAAACTATTAGCCAATTTGCTTTGGACTGCGGGAAGATTGCACAAAAAAAAAAGTTCCCCTTCCCCCACTGGAGAAGTCAGATGTTCTAGCTCTTCCGCACCTCTGACCATGCAGCCACAGCTTTGTCATTATGATATGAGGCAGTGCGATTAAGGACCTTACCGCTTCACTAATATCTTACATGTGGTGTCAATCATGTCTTTGAAGACTCCTCAGGCCATAATTTGCAGTTGATGATTGTCCAAATCCGCCGCATTCTTGCTAGTTGAGGCGCGCATATGAGTGCAAGTGGGTGGACCGAAGTGTAGGAGGCACGGCACTGCAAGCTTTGGCTTTGGCTTTGGCTTTGGCTGTGCGCAGCCGGGCAGCGCAGCAAGGAGTGAGCATGGCCGCCGAATTATCACCATTCGAGTCTCGACATGACCGTCGTGACCCTCGAGCTCTGGACGATGCAGTTGCTTCTACTTTTGACCCTTCTTTGGATCCAACAATTAGACAATTGTTCCAACAGCAAGCTGAGATTCAGGCAAAATTAGCCGCATTACTCCCAAACAGATATGTTCCCAATTCGAAGCTCGAGCTTGCTATGTTACGGCTCAAGCTCAAGGCACTTGAGACATACGCAGAAAGTCATGGTCAGTCTTATCCGCTTTCCTTTTTAAAAGCATCTCGGAGAAAAAAGAAGAAGAAAAAAAGGGAAAAGCAAAAAGGCCTGACCCTTTCTCAAGATTTCCCTAATGCTCCGCCAATACTATCAGAAGTGGAAGAGGCTCGCGCCTTGCAATACAAATGCGAATGTATTGAGAGCCTACTTATAGATCAAGGTGAGGACCATCGAGATTTTGCACGATGAGCCAGTTGCTTAATGGAGACTTTCACTTTTTAGGCGTGGATATTCTTGATCAAAAGTTTTTAAATGCGCTCAAGCTATATTTCCAAGATGATGCCCCCTTTGAGTATAGCGCGTGGGTCGACAAGAACGTCTCTCACTACGATCCTATATTTCGCAGCTGGAGGATGAGAGAATCGTTGCCGTTAATCTCACGAAATCAAGCGTCTTTCAAATGTTGGGACGACAGGTGTAATCACTACATTTACGGCTTTTCGAACCCAGACGATCGGGATCGACATCTCAAAGAACACAGGTCTCCTGTGCGAGGAGATTCCGGCATTTCTGTCGGCAGTGTTGTTCCTGTTCATTTTCCGGATCCCAATATGGCACGATCCTTTGGTATAGAACAAATCCATAAGAGTCCGCCAGTGGCTCTGCCTCGGTTAACCGTGCCGTCGACTCTACCACCCCTAGTCACGGTCAAGCAGCCTAGAGAGCGCCGTGACTTGGCCGGTTATTCTTTCGCAAATGAGATGCCTCCGCGGTCAAGGGGCTCAATAGACTCGGAAGTCGACCCGTTACTCCCGCCCCTGAAACGGAGTCGAGTTGGTCACGGAAGATTGGAGTCCATAGGCGAGCTTAGACTACCCAGAGATTCGGGGCCATGCTTGCAATGCAAAGTCAAAGCAAAGCCTTGTGATTCTTCGGATAGTTGCCACTACTGTTCTGAACCATCAACATCACCCGATGATGACTTTTGGCATCTCTTGGGATGTCAAAGAACGTCACTAGCTTCGCTAGCCGATTACATGCTGCCAGAAGTGCTTTCGTCAAAACAAGTATCAACTCCAGTGACGTCACCCATGGCACGCAGGCGAAACATGAATGAGTATCTGGAAAGGACTTACATTGTCAGCCATGAGATGGCGGAACTAGTTCAAGCTCATCTGGATTATGATGATGGTTTTTGGTGGACCGAGGACTTGGCTTCGTTGCCAACATTGAACCCTACCTCGGCCAAATACGCTAATGACCCATTCGATACTCCACCGCCTGTTCTCAAAGTCCTGGCAGCGAGCTGGAATGCAGAGGGCATTCCTTTCCATCTGTGGAGCCTTTTCAAACTGAGTGGCTATATGTCACGGAACCGCGAAGCAGAGAAGCAGGAGTTTCCAGTATTGTATCGGGCCAAACTGCTTCTGAGAGAAATTCTTTTTTACGACTTGCAGCAACCCGAGCCATCCATACGGACCGACGTTAATGTGTCGAATGCTCAACTTCTGCCAGACGATGTGGACCACGACGGCCGTAATCGAGTTATATATAATTGCATGACGCAATTTCTACAGTCATTTGAGAGCAGCACAATGCGCAGAGTCCTTTCTGAGCCGAAGAGCTGGCTGGCAGTTTTCTTCTCTTTGTGTATATTCAGCATCATTCGGACCATACTGGCAGACCTTGTCTCGGCGTCGGACCGTAATGCGGCAGAGTCTACGCACGTTGGACCAATATCGTCGTCGGGAGCCCTCGCCATGCACAGCGTTCACAAGGCCCTGGTTAACGTTTTTGCTTGGTCAACTCCTATGGTCTTGGACGATCCTCCTTCAGACCTGGATGAGAATGACAGGTTCTTACTTGCAAGCACCGCTGACGCCCTCCGAAGGGATGCATGGGGAGCTTGGGGTATTCGATCCACTAAGGATTTCTTACTAGGCCTTGGCAGTGGTTATCTCCCCGACAGTATAGGTTTCAACGGTTTCTTCAGACAACGGACGCCCATTTATAAGCCAGTCTCGTACCAACCAGCTGTTGTACCAAGTCAACGACTGGAGCCTCGGGGAACGGCACCAGAACTACGTCCTGTCGAAGCCTGGGGACCGAGAAACGAGATGGAATTTAGTGCGCCAGCTTACGGTATGGAACAATCAAGAAGGCACACCGTAGGTGAAAGCCCCGCCTTTACACGAGCCATATCGAGAGGATTGGCCTCTCCCAGTAAGCTGCGTACGTCTTACCAGCGACCCCCATTACGACGCGTTTTCTGCGGCAAGTGTAATGAATATCCAGAAGGATTTCGCGGTGAGCACGAGTTACGACGACATAATGATGCTAAGCACGCTGCCTTGGTGAAGAGATGGGTGTGTACAGAGCCTCAGAACAACACCCTTAGTACACCGCAGCCCATCATACCCCTGGCGAAATGCAAAGCCTGCGTCACACAAAAGCGTTATGGCGCCTATTACAATGCAGCAGCACATTTGCGACGCGCCCATTTCAACCCTCACCGAGGTGGCAAAGCTAGTGGCGATTGGCCTCCAATGACGATCTTAAAAGATTGGATGCGGGAAGTGCGGCAGTCGATCGATGTAAATGAGAACGACGAGTCTAGCGGTGAAGAAGACAACGATATCCGAATGGTTGAAGAGTATTCATTACCGCGACAATCATCTTTCTCTGAAGCGCCACGGCTTGCGCCAGCGCCACTTCCTCAAGGTCCAGGGCAGCTAATTGCTCCGTCCTTGCCGTCCTCGATAGCTCCTTCTTCTTTGGAGAGTACTGTTCATAGCAGCCCTATTACTCCAAAGATTGAAGACAATAGGAACAGGTGTCCTCATCCTGATTGCGGACGCGTATTCAAAGACCTGGCCGCTCATATGCTGACACACCAAGAAGAGCGCCCTGAAAAGTGTCCCATAGAGAGCTGTGAATACCATGTCAAAGGATTTGCAAGGAAATACGATAAAAATCGTCATGCCTTGACACATTACAAGGGGACCATGGTCTGTCCCTTCTGTCCTGGTCCCGGCACAGCATATGAGAAGGCCTTCAACCGAGCTGATGTTTTCAAGCGACACCTGACTGCTGTTCACAATGTAGAACAAACACCGCCTAATAGCCGAAAATTGATCGTTGCAGGTAACAGCTCGCGCAGCGGTAATGCCAGGTGCTCCATATGCCAAGCTCGCTTCTCCACTGCACAGGAGTTCTATGAGCATCTCGACGATTGTGTTCTCAACGTGATTGTGCCGACTACGCCTAAGCCATCGCGAGACCCAACTTCGACATCTCCTCAGAAGGGTGATGAACCTGGCCCTGATTCGGTAGAAGAGAACACCGATATAAAAACGAAAGATCACGACAGTAATGAAGAAAAGGATGTTACTGTTCAAGCATCGCAAGCGGAAGACGAAGGGAATGAGGGGGAAATGGATCTGGACTCTCTCGAGTAGTGCGGACCACCGGGACAGCCAGACAGTCGGTGTTCATTTGTTATCTTGCATGAGCGTGCATATACGGTTGCCACGTTTGCTGTAGAGATGCATATTTTTTTCCTTCATATTTCCCTACCAGATCGGCGATGATCGATTGTAAATTTTGATAGGCAGGCCATATGCTGCAAGCATTGATTCGTACCTCATATCCATAATAACTAAGAATCTAAATTTCTTCGTATGCTAACTGCTCGCATTCCCATGCCAAAAAGTAACCTTACCCGCTATTGATTAGACACATCTGCTCAAAACAAAACTTCACAATAGTGACCTGAAGGTCCGATTGGTATCATCCCGCACGCTCAATCACTACTCTCCACAGCCAGGTTTGTACTGATCATTCCTCGTCATCATCCATCTTGAATCCCGTTATTACCCGGAAAACTTTTCTGAACCCATCCGAAATCTTGTCGGCCCAGTCATCCAGCGCGTCACTCAAGGCCGTGAGCAGTCTTCCAAAGAAGAAAAGGCTCAAGAACGAGACGGAAATTGTCACTGCGAACGTGTAATAGTAATCGCCTGCGGTCCAGCCAGTGTAAATATCCTCAACCTGAATGGAGAAGTACGCGGTGATGAAGCTGATAGGCAGGAAGAAGACGCTCAGTTTCGCGAGAAGAGTGGCGCTGCGAGTTAAGCGCGCGGTGGCTGCCGAATCCTTCTGCTGGGTAAGATTGAAGTACTACGCAATCTCGCGTCAGTCGCCGGCTTTATGAGGCCTATGCTGGTTAGCTTACCGTATCTTGCAGTGCGTTGATCTCCTCGAAATGACCCTCGATGGTGCTAAGCATGATGCTTCTCAGCCGGTCCCGCAGGCGGTCAAACCGCTGCAAGGCCGACGAGGTGAGGAACACCTTGCGTTGGGGATCACTGCTCATGATGAGCGATTCGGATAGATTGGATGATTCAGAGCGCAATGCGAACGAGAAGCGTGGGTCGGGCTGTGGAGGACCCGGTCGTTTTGTGGCAGTTAATATCTTGTTGATCAAGATCATATAAGTCTCGAACAAGTGCTTCAGAGTACGCAAGTCTTTACTCAGGATATGCAATGGTTGAATGATTTCTCGACTTTTGACCCGGCTCTTGCGCTCCTGTGCAAAATATCAGTAGGTGGAATCGTAAGTAGCCTTGAATTGTGTGAGCTTACTGCGCTGTGAAGAACCTTGGGCGTCTATGTGTAGTGGTCAATATGAGAAGCGAGCATTACACAGTTTCAAGCGAACTTACCAGCTCCTCCAAAATCTTGCCAGCTGCCTTCAGTGGACCAGTGGCAGAATAGTCCTCAAAGAGGTAGTAGAAGAGGCTACTAGTTCCTTCATCCTCGAGAGTGGTATTTGGGGCTGTCTCAATCGGTGCAACATCCGAATGGACCCTGCTCATTCCAGGTTTGCTCGAGCTCTGGCGGTCAAGCGACTTCTTCAATGCTTGACGAATGGAATTCTGAGACAGAGGTCGTTGCTCGTACAAGCTCATTCCCCGTTGAGACTGTTGCAAGAGCACATCGAGCGAGTTGGCCCTCATGCTTTTATATTGTGCTCTGTCCCACTCCTCTTTTTTCCAACCCTCCGGTACCGCCTCTAATACAGGCCCTTCATGAAGTGTGATTACCGTATCTATGTGACAAGTCAGTATTGGCAGCCGAACTAATAAATAGCACCCTACGATCGTCGCACAACACAAGCCACAGCCAATGTTTGGGTGGCATAAAGTCATTTTCGTCTACCTCGATTTCCTGCCCAGGACGTTCAGGACGTTTGTGGAGCCAATGAGCACCAACACAGAGAGCTTCGAATGTCAATGATTGCCTCGAGTTTTCAGCGGGCTGCATACCTTTATCTGTGTGATCGATAGATGAGTAGTTGACAGTGTCTTTCATGAGGAGGTATATCTCGATTTCTTCGCCCTCCAAAGGTGGTAGCGATCCTCTCGGCTCGGGAGCAGGACTAGTTCCGGACGACATGTCGGTTAACCCCTTCTCTGCATCGCCTTGTGTTCTCGTAGCCCTGCCCACATTTTTAGATGCGGTCTTTTTGGTTGCAACCGAGCCCTTCTTCTTTCTAGCTTGGGTAGCATGTTGCTGCATTTCCGCCGCATATATCATCAAAGATATAAGTCTTTGGGAAAAGGCATATTTCTGCCCAATCAGCTTGACAACATCCTTATGCTTACTCGTGTTCCAAATATTGCTGAAAGACTAGTATCAGGCATAGATAACTTAAGAGTGCAATGCGTTTGCACTCACATCCATCGGATAGGAAATCCGGTATCTCTTTTCTCCTGCTTCATGAGGAACTGAAACTGGCCATTATCCAAGTCCTGCACTATACGCGCACTGTTCGGGCCAAACTCGAGAACGAAACTATCACACGTGGCGGCGGCTGCGGTTTCCTTTGCTGCCTCGAATACTTTCTCGTTGTCGAAATCTTGCCACCTCATCTCCTCACCCTGCAGATACGCCGACTCTTGCGATGAGGCCATTGTGCAACCACAAATATCAAAACAAGCCGCTCATTTCACATCAACAAGGAAGCGCAATAGAACAATGTTGTCAAGACCCGGGGAAGTAGGGCAGCATGTGCAAAAAGGAACGAGGCTACGACACGAGCCTTGCGTGTGTTGTGATCAGCTTTCCAACAGCTGATCTTGTCCATGTGCAAGGTTACCGATCCCATGCCACGCTACTGTAGGCGCCCAAATGGACCGAATGGAAAGGACTGGGGGGAGGCGTGCCACATCACTGTGCGGCGCACTGTGATAAGTTCATAGCACACCCAGTCACACCAGCCCCCAAATTATCTAAGGTTACTCTGTAGCTAGAACTTCACAGCCCCTACCCAGACGCATCGCCGTACGAACCGGTGACTGTTCGCTTTGAGCCGCATAGACTGATGACTCGGAGGACTACCGTGTTCGGACATTTCATTGACTCAGAAAGTTGAATTAAAGAAAGTGGAACAGCCGAAGAGATACGCTCTGGAAATTATGATAAAACAAATTCGCAAAGAGTGTCAGATTGCGGTATGCTTGCAAGGATCTAGACTAACCTTAAGTCTGAGTTTATCTTAACGGCAAGTGCTTGTTTGTACCTTGAAGAGACATGCCATCTCTTGGACCGGGTCCAGATTGGGCTATCGAACGCATCCCACCAGACGACCGAGGCCTCGACTTCTACTTGAAGGAATACAAGCCCTTCAGATTGACAGCTTTACAGCAAGACCCTGACGGTATGCAATGCTACGGCTCACATGTCTGAAGCCATGGTGAACTTCTCATTAATCGCACATGCGCAGCTTTCGGCTCAACATATGCAAGAGAGGTTGCCTTCACAGATGAGGATTGGCGCAAACGTCTCAGCAACCCTATTGGAAAAACATTTGTTGTCGTGCAATTACCCGACCGACGGATCCTGGCTGCTACTTCGCTGTGGGGGCCTATGCCAAACTCAGAGCCCTTGTCGAACCCGAATGTAGCCACTGCAGTAACTAACCCTCAAACCTTAGAAAACACTGAAACGCCATTAACATACCACCTCACTGGAGTCTATACCAGGGCAGAGGCTCGCGGCCGAGGATTTGGTCAAGCCGTTGTCAAAATAGCTGTTGATAGCGCGCACAACGAGGCGCGCCGCCTGGGGAGGGAGTGCAGGCTCGGAGTTGAGGTCTATGCGACAAATACCGTCGCGATCTCTTTCTACGAGAAGTGCGGTTTTGTAACAACCGGACCGCGACCAGCGGACGAAGATACGGAGGCCGCCAGGCAGGAATTGCTTATGCATTACCGCGACGCCACTCGAACAGCTTGAAATGAATCCGGCGAGCCTGCAATTAGCATGGTGGCTAAGTGTGGCACTTAAAGAAGATTGCCACTCTACAGCTTGATTTTGTCTTTCCCGGTCTTTTCGCGTTGCATGCGAAGCCAAGGGCTTGCCAATCAAGTCGATTGTTAATGTCAACTCTGACGACATATTTGGGGATGAGGTTCTGTGGTCGGAATGCATATCATAGCAGGCGGCTTGTCATTGGCTTACTTTCGTGATGTAGGCGCTCTAGACCTGAAAGCTGCGTTTCGCGTTTCTTGGATTCGGAGAGGCTCTATACCCGTCATTTCTCAGCCACAACTGAAGCTCTCACAAATACATGTAATTAATATATAGCTACGTAGGAATAACACCAGAAGTTCGCTATTCTTCCAGTATATCGTCAGCTTGGTGCTATATGCGTTGGATCCTGTCATATGGCACGCGCATCATTCAGCGGCCTGTTCGCGGTTGACACAGCCTGTGTTAGTGCACCGTCGGGTTAACATTGCCATAATATATCATAATGGCATCAAAATACCGTTATTTATCAAATCTTTTGCTTCTTTGTCTCCTGGCGGTATTCTCTCAGGGCGGAGGATCCCATTGCCATGAGCACCCAAGAGCTCTCAACCTTCCCAGCTGTGCCTCAGACTGCATTGAGAACTCAGGATGCGATACCAGCGACATCAAGTGCATGTGTTGGGCATCAAGGGGCAGCTTTCTGCCAGATGTCGTGGCTTGCATGTATAGGGAATGCTCACAAGATATATCGGTGGATACTTGGCTGACTCCTTTGGAACTGGCTTGCGAGGTGCTCGGTCAGCCAATTCCTGTCTCTGCGATCTCAAGCGCGGAAGCAGCGCAAGGCAGCATTACCAACACGAAGCCAACTACGGCAACCACCACAACAGTTACCTCTGAGACAAAGACTGTCCAGCCAGCATCGACAAGCAGGAGCACTTACATAATTACGTCAAAGGCGACGGCCACTATCCCAAGGACCCCCTTGACGTCTACATCTACCTCCACGTCCACGCCTGCAGCGATGACATCAGTGACCTCATCGGTGACTTCACCTGTGACAACTGACGAACAACTATCATCTACTACCAGCTCAAGCTCCCAAGCTCCGCCCGAAGTCGCGACGACCACGACAAGTGCCTATTCAGGCGATCCGACGGACTCAAGCCCCTTCGCGTCTCCAATAAATTCCAGCGCCCACCACAGTGGGAAAGCTTCGCTGCTCGGCGCTACAGTTATCGGCCTGGCTGCCGTTATAGCCTTTGGGCTATGAAGAGCGGTGCTTATCCGATTGCACTTCTCTGTTATGGTATAACGATGCATTACGGTACATGACGGAATGAGTCATTCCATGAGGACACACGATATCGACGAAATGACTCAAGTTACGAATGTCGAGCTTGAGACCTGACATCCAACCCATCATGACCATAATCTGACTAGATAAGAGGGTCCTAGCACTATGGAAGGTCTCTGGAATGCACAGCTTCATAACGAAGAATATGCATGACAAGTTAGGCCAAAAGCTTTTTTTGATATTAAAATGAAAATGAAAATAAAGACCTATGCTTCTATCTTGAAACCATTGCAATTCGAACACCAGTTTGCGTAAAACCCAGCATCAGCGAAAGTGACTTGCATGGAATTCATGCCCTTCAGTGAGCCGCTCAAACGCCTTTCACGCCCTTCTATAACCTTACTCACACCATCCCTTCTTGCGACCCCTAAGCGAATAGTGCAAACGCAATGCCAACACCCGCGATCGTGACGAGACCCCCGGCATTGCTTATGATCTCGATACTCTGGGCCCCGGCTCGGACCGGGGTGCTCGTAGCTGTAGCCGAGCCCCCTGTAGCCGTAGCTGTACCGTTCTTGGACCCCGACCCCGAACCCGACCCCTTACCACCACTACCACCTGTGGTCGAGTTTTTTGATGAGCCGCCAGAAGCATTGCCGGCCCCGGTAGTTGAGTTCTTCGATGAGCCGGATCCAGAGCCACCTTTGCTGGTCCCCGAGCCTTCAGATCCATCAGAAGCAGTAGAATTTTTGCTGGATCCGGAGCCGCCGTTGTTCTTTCCGCCCTTACCACTGCCGGTGTTCCCGTCGTCGCTCCCACTGCCGTCTGTTGCTGTTGCGTTCTCTTTGCTGCCATCTCCATTCCCGTGGTCTTTGCGAGGAAAAACATCATTGCGCTGGGCTAGGAGAGCACCGGGAGGCTGATAGTGCTTCTGTGGAGTTAGCCGGCTGTCTTTTGGCGCATTGAAGAGAGTAATTACCTGTGCTGAGACCGTTATGGCAGCCATGGTGATCAGAGCTAAGCTTGAGATATGCATCTTAATGTGGATATACAACTGTAGCTAGTTGCTATGGTTCGACGATGTAATCGTGTGTTCTCAGTGAAGTCACGATCAACTAAGAATGGTGGGGTATACTTGTAAAAACAGGGAATAGTATAGGGATGTTTTGTTCGTATTTCGCAAGTCGTGTTTGACAAGAAAAAAAGTCATTTGAGACTGCGGTGGAAGGTTCGCATCGATTATTATATACTCGCATAATCACGATACGGAAGCAGCTCCAGTGCTCACAGTCAGTGATGAACTGTCAAACTCCTGGCTGAGCGCTTCTCATACACTGGTGGGTCTCCAGGTCTGCCTGATTGACGTCTGGTCGTTCGTTTGGCGTCGACAGAAATAGACCATATGTGCAACATGTTGCAGAATATCAGATGACTACACTTGCGATGTAGTCGAGTCATGTCAACAATCAGAAAAAGTCCGGGGTCATCCAGTGTCTGATACTTCCGAGGCTTGGCAACTCAATGTTCTAGGACTCTCAAAAAGACAATTTCGTGGCCTAGACGAGACTGCTTTTAGACGTAATCCGCCACGAGGCAAAGTGCGCAAGCAACCATGATTGTGTTACAAATGAAGACGTAGTGTCATTGAAGAGCTCATGCAGTTCGGCGTCGTTGAACCCGAATGGTCTTGGACTAGATGACTAGACTAGTGTCAGAAATCCGGTAAATATAGACCATGGAGAGCCTGACCATCCTTGTGTGCAGAATGCAGCTCTGTCGAGAGTAAGTAGAAATTGTCAAAATGTCGAGGTTCTTTTGTGGTGCCAAGCTTGAAACATCTTAAGTTGCGGGTCTTTTTCTGATGCAAGTCGGAGAGAAGGCATCATGAAACATGCACACAAGGATCTCGCGTCTTCAGCTGGATCATGCATTATCTTAGCGCCAAAGGAACTGGAAGTCATCATTTCTATGAAAGCTCAGGCCAGTCGAAGAATTTATGCATGTCTGTTCCGCGCCATGTGCTACGAAAAAGTTGCGCATGTAGATTAATTTGTCGTGTTCTGAAGCGTAAATTCGTCAGCAATGCCGATTTGTTGTTGAGCAATGCATATATGCTAATGTGTCGATGTGACATGGTAATATATCCCATCAAGAGAACTTTTGCATTTGAAAGGATATCACAAGTTCGGAGGCCCCGTTGTTGCCAGTCCTGATGCGGGATTTGACGCCGACAGCTCTTCACAAGAAGCAAGAATACGCCGAAGAATGGAACGATAGCACCCTTCGCTCTTCTTCCTACTTGGCCCTGGAGGCTCAATATCCTGTTCCAAGAAAGCCCGCGCCACTACTTCTGCTTTCTGAAGCTTGAACTCTTCTTCCTCCGAGAGTTTCGAACAGGCTGCTTCCAAATCCTCGCCACGAACGAGCAGCAGCATAATAGCTTCAGCCCTACCAACAATGGCCTCGTCAATGCCATTCATGGCAGCGCATCTGCTTCCAAAACTTGATACGCTTCGTCCTGGTTGTAGTTTGAAGAGATATGTTACCTGGTCCTCGACTGTTGATGTATCGAAATCCACATAAACGTCCATATGAGCAAATGCCAACTCTTTGCTTTCAGTGAGGAAACCAGCTTCGAAAATCTCATGGAAATGGGTGGCAGCAAGTAACTTTGGTCGTTCTGATCCAAGAGTAGAAAAATAATGCAACAAGGCTGTCATTAATCCGGCACCATCCACAGTATTCGTCCCCTTCCCAAATTCATCAATGAGGATGAGGCTCCGGCGCGTCGCAAAGTTTATGGCAAAGGCGGCTTGTCGTAAGTCGATGGCGAACGCGCTCTCGTTTCCCGAAACACTTTCGCGAGTTGCAATCCGTGTAAGGATTCGATCTGTGATGCCAATTGTAGCTCGTTCGGCTGGCACATAGCATCCAATATGCGCCAGGTAGACAATCAAAGCAACCTCCTTCAGGTATACACTCTTACCTGAATGGTTGGGACCCGTGATGATGAGTGTGCTCGGGGATCTGGCGGCAACTGACGCAACCGATGAGGTTTCCGGGCGTGGTACCTCATTTTCATCACCTTCCCCACCATGTAGATAGCAATCATTCTCCACGAAAGACGACACTACCATCTCCTGCAGAGGGTGTCGACCACCTTCGATGTGCAGGATATTCTCATGGGTCATGACCGGCGCGACCCAGTTATACTTCCGAGAACCAATTGCTAATGCAAGGAGGCTATCAAGCTCCCCCAAGACATCTGATGCCGCTAGTATAGCATCCTCATACTCAAGCACCCGAGCTGCGAGCTCATAGAGAATCTCAATCTCACGATCTGCCTATTATCAGCATCGTTCAGTCATTGCACCTGAGACGACTCTATAATAGAGAAATGACTGCTTACCAATTATCATGCAGTATGCATCTCCGTAGAGTTCATCAATCTCTTTCATCCGCGCATTTTTGCAGTATACAGCACCATTGTCGGCAAAAATGCGTTCCCAATTATCTGTCAGTCCTTCTCCTTGGTAGTTCGCGTTCCCAGTTTCCGTATTATGCGAGACAACGGTGAGAAATCCCAGCTGAGGGTAAAATACGCAACCTTGGACGTAGTGTTGAGCCCACTCAGGAATGTCAGCCCGAAGTTTGACATTGACCTCAGTCAAGAAATCTTCCATGCCGTGATACCTTCGCTTCAGCTCGTCCAATTCTGCGTCCACACCTTGCCTGACAGCAGTCCTTTGCCGCTCTCTGGATTGCTCAAAATCGACCGTTTGAGTGATGAGCTCTCCGATAAGATGAAATGGGCCGTGTTCGACAACTTCCATGACCTTCCGCACTACCTGGATCTTTTCCGAGTTTACTATTTGTGCTAGTGTTTCGCGAATATTCAAGGCGTTGTGCGCAAAACGCTGGAGACAAAGCCAAACGTTGCTCGTCATAGAAGATTTATTGCCTGGAGAGTCCACACCTTTTTGAAGGAATGCAACAGTAGTTCGCATGTTTCTAATCTTTCGCAAATCCTTGGTAAGTTTACCTGTGTTATCCGAGTGATCTGGCCGAAGAAAGAAGCATATGGTCTGCTGGCGACTTTTTATGGTACAGAGGTCGGTGCTTGGTCGCAAGAAGATCTGCCGAAGTTTAGACTTCCCTTGAGGCGTGCAAGCTAGGTATTGAAACAATCCATAAACAGAGAGACTTTCTTTGGCACCGAAACTCGATTTATCTGGTCCTCGCATATGGCTGTTCGGATGAGATTCAGACTGCAGGATTTGTAAAGAAGCCAGTGTATCGGCATTTACAAACATTGAGTCGAACAGCTTGAACATCTCGAGTGACTTGATCTTGAAAGCAACCAGTGCGTCAGGATCTCCTGGTAGATACTCCGCAGTTCTTCTACGGTTGACGTCACATAGTACTGCACCGGCACAACCAATCTAGGAGGTCAGGTTTTTGTACACAAAGAAAGGTGATATGAGAGACTTACAGTGAGGCGGCTATCGAGATTGATTAATGTACCCAACCTCATCAAAGAACCTTGCATCGAACCGTACGCATCGTCATAATTTTCCATAGGCTCGTCGGCGACAGAGGTAAACAGCATCGTTTGCTGGCCTTGAGCTTCGACTCTCAAATGAAGAAGCTTTTCTCTGGCACATTCGTATCGGTATTCGGCCCTAGCGAGTGTACGCAAAACATAAGCGCCATGCCAGTCTCCTTTTCGCAGTTAGCGGTTTGTTTCATGAGGTAGGGCCATCATGACCTACTATGATGATCGTCTCGATTTTCGCCATCAGCACCTTTGTTTAACACATCAAGCAATACTTGCGAGGTTCGTGAAGGTGTAAGCACTGTAGTGGGCTTCGCGTGAAGTAGAAGAGTTTCGATAATCTCAATACCTGCCATAGGAACATCTTCGAGAAGGAGTAATTTTTCTTCGGCAGCAATATAGTATGCACAACCGAGATTCCCATGATTGTTCATGTCAATGGCCATGATTACCTCACTCAGTGCATCGGCGTTTATTGAGTTGCCCTCTAGATCATTGTGCTCATCGTCATCGTCATACCCGCCCAGTTGACTCTGACTCGGTGCGCCAGATGTGGCTCTGAGAGAAGACGGCCGTAGTGACAGTCGTTGGCGCAGAGGATGAACTGGTAGTTGAGGAGAATAGGTTGCAGACAGAGAAGAGGCATTGGCGTCGGACTGACGAGCACTTCTCGGTGTAGGCACGGCGGGAGATGTTGAGTAACCTCGAGGCTGCGGGATAGGGGTTGACAGCACCTGTCTTGAAACAATCCCCTGGGGAATTGGCGGGGAGCTAGCTATAATACGATCGCGAGGTGTAGAGTACTGCAGTCGCCGGCGCGATGGCCCTGACTGGCTGTGGGAAGCCATGTTCTCAGTCGATGCTTGAGGTATAGTGTTTCTTTTTCACGGTATTGACTTGCGAGTGCGATCTGATGTCGAGGCAGGCCTCCCGGCAAGACTCACGCAAGCGTTCAGAAATTTCTTGCTGGTCTTTGGCTTTCAAATCTCCAGGGTATATTAATAAGAGAATTCCGACGGCAGTTTGTGAATTTTATTGAATGGTGTCCTCGTGACGTAAATATAAACGTCCAATCGGGCAGGCACAACCTATGACCAAACTCGGCCCAATTTTGGCAGGTACGTCTCCCCAGAAGCCAGTATGAACTCCCCTGATAGTATGCATGGTATTGACAAGCCTCAAACTGTCTCGTACCACTTTGATGCGGATGTTCTTAGTTGTAACTCATGTGAATTTCTTGGATTCGTTCACCGTGCTTTTGAATGTTTGGGTGGTCGATACCGAAACCTCACGCGCCCAGCCTGCAAAATTTGGCCTGCTGTACAAGACCCTTTCACTGACCCTGAGTCTTCACCCATTCCGCAAATTCCTTCCGTTGCTTCCTGATATCCACAAAGCCTGGTCTCGTCTCCAGCAACTTGAATGGGTTTCCGACAAATTCTTTAGCCACATCACCGTTCGCATCTTTGAAAGCCTCCTCGCCTTCTCGTTCGATCTGGCCCGCCCAGACGCGCCATCGAATTGGTCTCAGTGGAGCGGTATTGAGGACCAACCCTAATACCACAACAATGGTTGCGACAACAGTCTCGATTGCGATATCGATGGGCAAGGCTGTCGAAGCTCCAGCTTGTGACGCAGTCAGCGAAGCGAGGGAGGCGGCGCGGTGTGCCTGTAGTGCCGAATGTTCGTGTGCCGAGTAGCAGCTGTGTGGACGATGACATTAGTAGTGATTGCTACGAGGATGGCAGCTACCATTTTGGTGGCTTGAGGGATAGCTTACGCATGCGCCAGCAATATCAGGCCGAAAGCCGTTGTTGTTTTCGAGATCCAAGTCATGATCGCTATTTTACTGTCTGCGCTTCGTTGCAGGTTTAGTCAATGGGCTTCTTGAAGACAGCCTGTGAACCATTCACCATTATGTCGACGACGAAGCGTGGAGCTCAAGCAACGCATCGTACATAAGGGAAGCCGCCAGCCGGCACTGCCCATACCAGCTGATGACGTCCGCCCAGCCAATTCTCCCCGCAATGCGCACTTTGCCTTTTTGGACAAGCTGGAAGACTCCGTGTCGTTCAGCAAGAACGAATGACACGGAATAAATCAATTCAAGATTGATGTGTATGTACTGTACCATATTCCCGGACAGGCTAGGCTTGCACGAGCAACTTTCATATTGGGAGCAGCTCAAGCTCATATAAAACCAAAAGACCCAAAATGATTGGGATAAGGACTATACTACTCGTTTCTGATGCTCATGTATCTGACGCTCAGCAAGCTGTATGACCACCCAGCAAGAACCACATTCGGTAACACGGAACCAATGTGTTGTCGGTATGAGGCTTGGTATGGCCGCTGGAAATGATAGATACACCTAATATTGGCAGCGATCCAGGAGCAGTTAGTAACAACGAGCATCAGAAACCGACACCCGTACGAAGATGGCGTCTGTGAAATGGAATAAACTTAACGTGTAATCACCTCCCATCCCCGTGAGCATCCCAGTAAACCTACGAGTGGAGGATTACATAGTTCAAGTCTACATCATGATTCCCCTGCCAATCAGCTTTGGCTCTAGATATATGCTTAGACTCTCTGCTCTATTATCATAAGCAAATTTAAATATCGACCGACACAGCTCCTTGCCCCAGGCCTCCCATCTTTCAGCTGATTTACGCGATGAAATTTCTGCCGTAAATTTCCGCCCGCTCCATAGTCCGGTCTGCTAACCTTCGCCAATATGCCTATAGGCGGACTCTTACCGATTCTTCGTAGAGGTGAAGTCGCGAAGTACGTCGAGTCTTCGCTCAATCTACCAAAACCCGGCGTTTCTGTGTTTGCCCTTACAAGGCTCAGGTTGTAAGGTTAGGGTGAAGCAGAACCGGAGCCTGTAGGAGAATCATGTCTTTGGAATTTTTTCGTGCTTCAATCTTGCGACTCGAGCTGTTTATATGCTTTCCGACGATGTCCTGCCGCTGATTGTCTTCGGCCTTCCAAAAGCCCTCCATCAGTTCCAAGTACGTCGCTTCCTTTGCCTCCGAACCATACAGGTCGCCCTTAGTAAATGTTACAACCACCTGATTCTTCCCAGGCAGAAACGTCATCCAGGTGTCATAGCCCATCACTAGGACCCCGTGTGTGAGATCAGCTTCTTACCATGGTAATTCGACTCTTCCCAGCCTATTACAAAGAGTAGCCGATGCGCATGAACAAAACGGCTGAGGCATATTCTCGTGAGCACACGTTGTTCCGTTGGTAATTAGGGTAATCCTTTGCCGCCTTCTATGACCGAGTGGGCCTATCTGATCACACCCAAACACTACTCATCAAGTCGTACCGCGGACAAGCTGTCTGTCCAAAGTTGCAGGTCTAGTCGTTCTGTGAAGACAGTGAAGGGATTCCATGAGGGTTATTGGGTCGAATTTCGCCTTGCCCTTTTTATCTACTTTGAGGGTGATGGTAAGACTAGGCTTCACGGTAGACATCACCAAAGTCACTTTGACCATCAGTATGGAATATCAGATAGTCATCACCATATCGCACAGCGCAGCCACTCGAGAGTACATTGTAGGACTTTCTCCGCTTTGACGATCTAGAAATTGCACTGCCTCGAGCTGAACTCTAGTCTAGTACCAGCCAGCGGGCCGACACCCGGGGATTTAACCCGGGCTCGACAACAATGGCAGCATACATATGGAAATATTTCGCAAATAGCTAAGCCTCTGAGCATTTCTACATCAGCGCTAGGTAATACAGTATTGTCACGGGGGAGGGTACGGTACGAAGACTTTGGGCTGTGGTGGAGTGGTGTACAAGGAATGGTGGCCAGACGTTCGGGCAGCACGTCTCGTATTCGCTGCAAGCGGTTTTCACAACGGGCCCTGCTGACGGGGCCGAGTGTGGCAAATACGGATAGTTGCAGGCACCTGTGCATCAATGCTGTTTAGAAACTTCGAAGATCAAGATGCTGAATACAATAGTTAGTGAGTTTGCCAAAGTGTGTTCCCTCATGACTGAAGGCCACAATAATACAAGTTTTCAGCGGCTTTCCTCATATGTGGATAGAAATCAATGGATTGGAGGAAATCTACCCTTCCGGTTATGAATGGTGTATGGCCAATTATGAGGACTGAGGATCATTGTTTCATACATCTTGTAGGGTCATCACTTTCATATGAGCTGACCGTGAGATATTATGTCTGACGACGGACATGCGAGTCGCGTGTGTAGTTTGGACAGCGGGATGAGCTAGGGAAGCCCCTAAAGTTTTGAGATCACTAGTCGATCTTTAAGCATCTTGTAGCTTCCCCACATGCACACGGAATAGCGCCTCTTTTAAACGTTGTTTTTTTCCTCCTAGTTAGACTAAGATCAGAGAAAGTTGAAATTACATTCATCAGGCACGGCTTTCCACTCTACTCAGACCTCCTGAACTTGGGACGTCCACAAAATCTTTTATGTAGAGTTATGTATTCCATTAGATTTGGTCAGTTAATGCCTAGGATAGAACGACGATCAGGCGCCAAGTGAACAGTGAAAGGGAAAAGCTCGTATATAATTTTAATCGGAGCCGTGGGTCGACTAATAATCATTAGGGGAATCTCGGCAGGTTCCAAAGGCGGTGCGTATGCAGGGATTGTATCGCGGGTGCATTGAAAGCGCTGAGCCGAAATGTGGGGAGACACAAGGAGTCTGGCCTGCTGAGACCTTGGCATCATTCTAGTCTGTCCAGCTTGACCAGCCAAAGGTAGGACTCTGTTTTATATTTCATAATTTTTTCCTTTTCTCCTGCAGCCTAACGCTGCGAATCCTGGCTAAAATGACGAAGGCAGAGACAGGGCTTCCCCAGGGGCACGCCGCCGTTAGTGGGCAGCTTGGTATGCAGACCCGAATAGAGACTCTTCCGTCTCTGGTAATCCTATTTAATCGAAACCTTCTCCTGTTGCTAGGCTTTGTGATTTCCTTGGACATTCTATTACTTCCGTCTCTTTTCCCTGAAACCTGACTGAAATACCCTCGTTACAAGTCAATACTCATCTTTCGACACTTTCGTTGTTCATCTTCACTATCATAAAATAGATTATTATAATATTTACTCCAAAATGCGTTTTACTTCGTTCATCGTCACCGGCGTTCTCGCCCTCGCCGCCAGCGCGCAGACCACCACCGACTCTACCACCACTACTGAAGCCAGCACAACGGTTGCGAGCACCGGTACCTCCACTGCCTCCAGCGTGCAAGCTACCGACTCAGCACAGGCCGCTGTCCTTGCTTGCCTTGGCAAGTGTGAGTGACTTCCCAATCTGCTATCTAGCCCAACTTGACGGAATCACACGAGCTCACATACTATTACAGGCGAGGCCGGTGATGTCGACTGTCAAGCTCAATGCATCAATGTTCCCAGCCCTGACGAGAGCGCGGTGAACAAGACGAATGAGTGCAGCAATGCCTGCGTTCAGGGCAACGGAACACAGGCCGAAACGGAAGCTTACGCTGCTTGTTTGCAGGACTGCGTCAACAAATACTACTTCCCCAGCTCTGTTGGCACCACTACTGGAACTGGTGCCACTGGCTCCGGAAGCAGTGGTAGTGTCAGCACCACTTCTGTGGCGACAACTATTACCAGCGGTGGCTCCACATTCGCGACGACTGTGGCAAGCACCATTACTCATGGGTCATCCTCTGGCTCAGCTACTGGAACCGCTGCCCCCTCGTCGTCATCTGGAAGTGCCGGCGACGTTGTCTTCCGACCTGGGAGCTCGGTTGTCGGTCTCCTTGGTGCTTTTGCCGCCGTCCTTGCTCTATAGTGTTGGACTAGTATTACTCGGGCAAGGAATATAATGGGAATAATGTATGAAAAGCATATTGCATGGTATGACTTGAGCATCTACGCGGCGCAGAAGAATACTCTCGGGCATATTAGACACCTGGTTGTATCGGTAATGACATGTGGAAGAAGTAATTGATACCAAATTTCTCATTTATTCCTGATCGTTACCTTCCGGAAGATGTGATTACTTTCTCGACGTTGCTGATCCAGGGCAGACCGAGCTGTTTCATCTCCACTGCTAATTGGAACAGGTAGTCAAGACTAAATTTGTCAACATCGTATCTTGCTATTGCAATTGGGCCGATTGGGGATATCCTACCTCTCACACATGGTCTTGGCTTTGCGAACATTGTCTCCCCAAACGTAAACACCGTGTCTGCGAACGAGTACCGCATATGTATCTGGGTACTTTTCCATTGCCGCCTCGAGGAACTCGGTGAGATCCTCTTCGTGAGAAGTGTTCTCGATGACTGGTATGCGCAAAGTATCATGGTAGTCCAAGTTTCCGGACTTCTGGAAACCCCGCCCAAAACCCTTGATCTGCTCGATGTTGTTAATCTCGAACATCTTGTCTTGACCCGGGCCTCGAGTCTCGAGGATCAGAGTCACCAAGACTGCCCAGTGCGAGTGTGTGTGAATGCAGCATCCGGCGTTGCGTTTGGTGAAAGCGGCCAGGAAGAGCGGAGTGCACTGAGATGGCTTGCCGCCAGGCGGGGAGCGCAGGTAAACCCGGTTCTTGAGATCCGTCTGCTTGGATAACTCCAAAACGTATAGATCCCGGGGCTTCAGGAGCTCCTTTTGCACTCCAGATGGGGCGATGTATACCAGATCACTAGACATGGTGTAAGTATTTCGTGGCGCAGTTTGTTATCAAACAATATAGACATGTATAAAATGGGGGTTCAAAAGAAAACAAATGCGCCCCCGGCATATTATTGGTAGAGAGTCAGGAAAATGTCGAGTCCTTACTCATCACGAATCGATGCACCTCCCCCAGTGCCTGTGACCCAGCCCAATGTCCAGAACTTGGCACATAGAGAAGGGATGAGGTTGGCTGGATGATTCTGATCCTCGGATATGACGAGTTGGTCATTGGTGTTGACCTCCTCTTCGTTTGTCTCGTTCGAAGCCATGGTTAGTAGTTGGCAGAGGGCGGCACAAAGCTGAGTGGCTAGCGTAACCAGGGTGTCGGGGCGCAAGAGAGTCTCTCGATTTTCCAGGACTTGGCAATGGCGCGGGGAGCAACAGTACGGTTGTGGATGAGACAGGTGGTCTTTGGCGGTAAGACTCCCGGTGGGAGGTGGATAAGCTTGCTGACTCCCGAAGAGATGAATGAGGAAGGAAAGGTCTAAAGGAGCTGATGAGGCTAAATGCAAGTAACTCGGCATGAGCTGCGATTCGCTTGCGGTTGATCTTTGGAATCAGGTTGCAATTAAATTTTTGTTTTGCGATTTGGGATCCACATGATGTGCATATGGCGTCTCCTGCAAGAGCCACTTATCTGCTTGATATAGTGAGCATCAGAGGCCACAGTTTATCACATCTTGCTATGTACGTGCTTATCCGTGTTGACGATGACTCGAAACGGCGTGACCCAGCGTTTGATAGTAAATCGAACACTGACTTGGTTATATCCATCTGGCCAAAACTGCCAACCACGGATGTCTGTTAACTCAGCACATTACCAAGCGAGAGGGATAGAAATGACCATCAGTTTTGTCTTGGTTCTTGATATCCATGGGGAGGGACACTTCTGAGTGAATTTGGGCGCGATCCTTCTGCATAAATATCTCTTGAAAGTGAACAGTAATGGGTCAATTGAAGCTTACAGCCGGTATGCTTGCAGATGCTCGAGGTTCGCATAAACTCTATGGGCGTTCCGCGCTTGACACTTGAATGATCCGTCCTGGCAGCGTTCTGAATTACATTACGCTCACCAACTTTTCTGAGTAATCCTCTAGACTAGCAGTACACTTGGATGTTGCTCGGCGACTTTTATGCTCCTCAGGTATGGAATAAATCTTGGACAGCTCAAAATCGCTTCTGTGTTCCATACCGACATGAGGACCATCACACGAGACGAGACGATCACCTAACCCAGGCAAGGTAAGCCATTCAAGTTTGCTTGGTGAACAAACAAACAAACATGCCAACTGTACCGCACAGCACAGCACAGCGAAGCACTCGGGCACTTGCCTTTGAAGTGGACACCGAACTGTTTTAGCGGACGAGCTGCCCCCCATGAGAAGGCCCCGCACCAGCTTCAAAGCCCAGATTGTCCAGGGTCCCAGCCAATTCAGCCAATCAGGCGTTGCCGAAGCTCGTCGAAGCAACTGCGGCAGGTGTCTCCGACAATGGCAGCTTCCATGTCCGTGGGAAAAAAAGGACACGTTTTAACGCAGCTCCATGTTCACTTTACGCTCACATAAGTTACCTGCTAAAAGATAAATTCATGCACCTTACTCACATATCTGATTCACTTCCCCCCAGACTTCTCCGGGAATTTTACTTTCCCTCACTCAAGCTCTGGGAGCACTCATACCTTCTCAACATCACTCATCCATCATCACCTCATCGACTCGATAGCTAATCATCGGCGATCACGTACCTCCAGTCCATCCTGCAGGCTAGCTATCTTTCATTAGCATACAGCTTCCTGCTTCCGTCGCCGACTGTCATCTCGTCGCACATCGGTTTTCCCCATTCGCCGTCCTCCATTCACAATGAAGTTTACCCAGGCCACCATCGCATGGGCTGCTGCTGCCTTGGCCAGCGGTGCCTGGGCTGCAGATGAGAGCTCCAGCTCTTCCGCTGCCGAGTCCGCGACGTCTGTCGCGGCGAACCTGCCTACTTTCACCGTAAGTCTCGGCTGGGAACCCCGCCCTAGACTCTTGTGTAACATTTGTGGCACATTGTCTGTAATGTCTGCCTTGCAAAGAATTAACAAGCTGACCCTTTTCCTCTCCATTAGCCTACCACCCTCAAGGCCCCCTTCCTCGAGCAGTTCACCGACGACTGGGAGACTCGATGGAAGCCTTCCCACGCCAAGAAGGACTCCAACAACGATGAGGAATGGGCATACGTCGGCGAGTGGGCTGTTGAGGAGCCCACTGTCTACAAGGGTATTGAGGGCGACAAAGGTCTCGTCGTCAAGAACCCTGCCGCTCACCACGCCATTTCCGCCAAGTTCCCCAAGGCCATCAACCCCAAGGGCAAGGACTTGGTTGTTCAATACGAGGTCAAGCTTCAGAGTAAGTACAAATCTTGTCTTGCCACAAAGCATACCAGCAGCTAATCTAATTCCGCCATAGACGGTCTCGAGTGCGGTGGTGCTTACATGAAGCTCCTTCGCGACAACAAGGCCCTCCACGCAGAGGAGTTCTCCAACAGCTCTCCCTACGTCATCATGTTCGGCCCTGACAAGTGTGGACACACAAACAAGGTTCACTTCATTTTCAACCACAAGAACCCCAAGACGGGCGAGTACGAGGAGAAGCACCTCAGCAGCCCTCCCACCGCTAGAATCGTCAAGACTACTGAGCTCTACACTCTCATTGTCCACCCCAACAACACCTATGTTATCAAGCAGAACAACGAGCAGGTCAAGACCGGCTCCCTTCTCGAGGACTTCCTGCCCTCGGTCAACCCCGAAAAGGAAATCGACGACCCCAAGGACTCCAAGCCTGAGGACTGGGTGGACGAGTCCCGCATCGCTGACCCTGAGGCCAAGAAGCCCGAGGACTGGGACGAGGATGCTGCTTTCGAGATTGTCGATGAGGAGGCTACCAAGCCCGAGGACTGGCTCGAGGATGAGCCTCTTACTGTCCCCGACCCTGAGGCTCAGAAGCCTGAGGACTGGGATGATGAGGAGGATGGTGACTGGATCCCCCCCACCGTTCCCAACCCCAAGTGCTCTGATGCCTCTGGCTGTGGACTCTGGACAAAGCCCCTGAAGAAGAACCCCGACTACAAGGGCAAGTGGACCGCACCTTACATTGATAACCCCGCCTACAAGGGAGTCTGGGCCCCCCGCAAGATCAAGAACCCCGACTACTTTGAGGACAAGACCCCTGCCAACTTTGAGCCTATCGGTGCCATTGGTTTCGAACTCTGGACGATGCAGAACAACATCCTCTTCGACAACATCTACATTGGTCACTCAGTCGAGGATGCCAACAAGCTTGCCGAGGAGACTTTCGCCGAGAAGCATCCCCAGGAGCAACTTCTTGAGCTTGCCGATAAGCCCAAGGCTGAGGACAAGCCCAAGTCTCCTTCCGACCTCGTCTTCACTGAAGACCCTGTCACCTACGTCAAGGAGAAGCTCGACCTCTTCCTCACCATTGCCAAGTCCGACCCCATCCAGGCTATCAAATTCGTTCCCGAGGTTCCCACTGCTATCGGCGGTCTCATCGTCACCATTGCTGCTCTTGTCGGTGTCTTTGCCCTGGGCGGCTCTGCTCCCCCGGCCGTCAAGAAGGCTGTCAGTGACTCCAAGGAGAAGGCCAAGGATGCCAAGGACAAGGCTGCTGAGGCCGTTGCCACTGGTGCTGAGAATATCAAGGCCGATGTCAACAAGCGTACTACTCGCAGCCAGTCATAGATGAAATCACACGGTGGAAAAAGTAAGACTATAGCGTGGCATTGCAGTTACCAGTCCTGCACAGTATCGGTGGCTTGGTATAAACGCGAACGCAAATGCTATTAATATGACGTTTTGATTTCCTTTCAGGCAGTTATGTATTGTTTGCATGGCACTGGTGTACTCTAGGCAGAACCAAATAAAATTGTCAAGATCAGAATAATTTCAACAAGCTCTGTGAAGTTTTAAATCTAGTAGTCTTCTCAGTGCTGGAAGCTCGTTTGATCTATCTGTCTGCTTTGTGCTTGCCCATTACTTTCTATCTTATTATTGCCATAGTCAGCTGTATCGACCAAGCCATTATGGTGCCCTAATAATAGCTAGTTGTATGTAAGCTCCTCGGTAGTCCCTCATGATATCCAACGGTGATTCACTGCCAACGTTAAATTGCTTATTTGTTTGCCATTCCAAGCAGCCTGTTAAGTGTTGTAATTGCATACAAGGGGCCGTCTCAACTAAAGGCCATCTAAATTTCGAGTATTAGATATACTCATGTTTAAAAATTTGGTATGTTCGCGTGTTTTGATCATGTTTGTTAACTCAGTTAACTGAAAATTTGTGTCGTAGCTTCTGGATAGTCATTTACGCAGGTAGACTTTTACTATTATAAATATGCTGGTTCAGGTACCTAGTGTAAATGGTACTTTAAAGTTAGAAGAATCGATTTGTTTTTGACGAACGGATCTGAACCACCTTGGTTCAGTGGTAAGGGCTCGTCCTTGTTGTCCTGTAAAAGTTCTAATGCGGTGAGGTTTTGGGAAAGACAATTTTCGCAGACGTGTATAGTTCTTGGGACTGGCCCCTCAAGAATTTAGCCCCTGGTGCGAACCTTGCGGGTATTGCCTGAGCTTTTGGCGAAAACATAGATTGCCTTTGTTTTCTTTTGCTTCAAGGTCTTTAGCGGTGGTACGTCTTTAGACCTTTCTTCCACATTCATCTCTTCGGGAGGCAGCAAGCTTGTGCTAAGTTGCGGCATTCTACGTCAGTTCAACTAGACCTGGTCATCGTCTTCCAGCTTCACTGCCTATCTACAATTACAGTTATGTGCTAGACATTAGATCTTGAAATATCCTATATTATATAATACAATTCATGGCTAATTAAATACAACATTCATCAGCCAATATCTTGTATCGGGGCTAAGGCTTTAGTCGGCACTGTTGTACCTCCCAATAACATTCCAGCAGCCCTTGTGGTCAGCAAATTTTGTCCACGCTGGTCTGAGCTAAAACTCATCACACGTCCTTCTTCTTTCGCTTGTCCATGCCTTCAGCCATCGCCGCTGCCATATCTTCGACTGTTGTACCTCGTTTCCTCTTGCCAATTTTCTCCTTGCCCAACTCTGATTCCTCGGCGACCGCCCTGTACACTTTGGCCGCGCCTCTAAAAGTGTCCTGGCTGAAGCCCCCGTCTTCTTCAAAAGTGAGTGCAATCTCCTCCATCTCCCTAACCCATCGGTATGCCTTGGGTGCCATGCCAACGACGCCTTTTTCGGCCGTTTTGAGTGAGGCGGGTGACACACGTTCCAGTTCCTGTCTCAACTCATCTAGGACCCCTAAACGATGTGCCGTGGTAAATGACTGGATCGCGATGGAGGTAAAACCTTTTGTTGTGCTAGCGAAACACATCTTGAGGCCGCTCGCCGCACCGATGTCATCAGAAATATGACGCATGTTGAGAGTCGAAAACAGCTTCTGTCCAAAATCTGGAATATCCGACAACTTGTGTGGTCCCGAGGTTGGGACACTAGGCCTGCTCCATTCCGCATCACCGTTCTCTGCCTCTAATCGCTCCTTCAAAGAAGGCGGACTGCCGATGATAGCTCCGTCCACGAACCGGATCGGCGCGCGCGACTTCTCGATTAGCGCGGCGATGGTGCGGCTCGTGGATGGTGCGACCGCGTTGAGGTCCGCGAAGTAGAGAGGCTCTTGGACCCTAGACGTAGCGCCGACCAGCGCATCGATGATGCGCTCTGCGGTCGCGGTCGCGTCACGTGGTGGGACCACCGAGAGGATGACGGCGCAGGCGTCCGTCAGCTCGACGTCGGACTTGAGCACCTCGACATTTGCGCCCTTTGCGCGCTCGATCGTATCGTTGCTGGACACGCGGAGAAACCAAGCGTGAATACATGTAGTTCACGTGAAGCGAGACGTACGGAAACTCACCTCCGGCCTTTGCCGCTTGTTGCTACCGAGAAGCCGTGCGCGCTGAGCAGCTTCGCAATTCCCATTCCCATGTCACCAATTGACAGAATGCCGATCTTAGTTGCTGCGATCGACATGTTGTGTTTGACCTGTCAACAGCACTGAGCTTGACAAATTTGCGATAAAATATAATGCCCTAGTGCCTCTTGACAAGGCCGGATTCCTGGTGAGTTTATAGTCCAGAGTGTAAGTTGTTGAAGTTGCGGACAACCCTGGTCTAGACTAACCTAGATCCATTCCTGGTGGTCAGCGAATTGCCTCATAATCGGAGCCAATGGGGCGATGCGACGAGGCCAAGAAATGCATACTCCAGATCAATCCGAAATCTGACTTCTATATAATGTACGATGTTTATGAGTTAGACTAGTATTAGTTTTATAAGATCCGTTATGTTATTTATAACTGAACAACCTGCTACCTCTGACTTACTCTGAGGTACGGACTTACGTGAAGTAATTCATTCCAACTACTTTAACTACTATTTTCATCTTGATTATGTACTGCGCGGAAGGAGCTGCTTCATGTCAAGAATGACGAAATGAGTAGTTCTGGAAACGTGACAAAGTAGACAAAGCAGTCTGTTGGTACAAGATCGACATTATAAGTGATTGCATGCATGCCCTGTGATGCTTGTGCAACATAAATTACCTCTGAAAGAGTATACACACCAAGTGGTTGTGGAAACATGCGGTTTGTTTGCCGTGAATACCCCATCGTGTTTGGACTCGATGAGACGATTGCCTCTGGAACAGGCCACTCAAAAGTCCAGCCGAACTCCTGCTGTGGCCCTCTCGAATCTCCTGAGCATCAAAAAAAGTATGTTTCCGAACGTTGCATCTAATATAGCGGCATGCACTACCCTCAGCCTGCGGGATGATTCAGTGCGCCGCAACCCGATTCTACATATTATGTGTCTGGTATTCGATCAAAATGTCGAGAAACCAAGGGCACAAGTGCGTAGATGATGGGGCACTGCAAAACTCCAATCGCATAGTGCTCTCGCTGATACTGAGAATAAGAGACACCAGCTCGCATGACTTTGCGTTGCTATACCATAGTAATCTGTGTTTGGTGACTGAAACCCCTCAAACTCGGCTTCTCTGAGGCAATATGGAACCGCACATAGTAGTCGGAGCCACGCCAGATTTGGCACTGGTCTCGTTAGTGCCTATGTATATTTCCGCTTGATGGTGCACCCCCTGCACGGAGTTCTTTAGCAACCCCCGACTCCACCGGGCTGGGACAACTAGAATGCCCTCATCGATCTTGCTTACAGCGTCATAACGTAGGCTTGGATGGATTGTCCACTACGGACATGTCGTCCTTGAGTATAACCATGCAAAAAAGCTAGTTGAGATTTGAAATCACACTCGGGCTCGCATGGCGTTACTCAAAGTGATGATGCGCGCGAGATTCGGATTTCGGGTTTCGCCTGAATTTTGCAAACTAATGTGTTTTAAGAACAAACGGCGCCGCTGGAGCATAAGTGCCAAAAAAGAAAAACGGCTGTGTAATAGGAGCATCATCAACGGGCAGTTCCCTAGGTTAGAATCTCCGTCAGCTGCATGTGAGATCCACCAGACCAACCAACTCTTTCTCTGTATTGATGGAGTGAAGACGAAGCAAAACGGGAGCCTGGAAACAAAGCGAGTGTCTGTGCCGTGATAGCCACAGGGAAACCTCAATACTTACTGAATGAGCCCCCTTGTACACCGGAACGATTTCTGAAACTGTCCGACTCAGACCGTCGCATGTTGCTGTTCAGCCCCGAACCGCTGAAGAGAACAACCTTTCGCAAACTATCCGGACTGCACCTTCAAATACTCGAGTAGACTTGAGGTCAACTTCCACACACGTCTATTTCCACTTCAAACATTCAGAGCTTTCGAGTGATTTTCATACTAGAGATGGCAATATTCTCGTGGCGAGCTGCCGTGCTCGCGTCGTTCGTTACGACATATCTAATTGTGTCGCGTCAGGATTCGTGGACGATTTTCAAATTTATTGGCATCCTTTTCGGTCTGTGGTCATTGCAAGGCATTGCGTTCGTAGCATGGAAGGTCTTGCTGTATCCCAAGTTCTTCTCCCCCTTCGCGGGCAGTTCCCAGAGCCGGAAGGCGGTTCCATGTTCATGGGCCAGTTCAAAAAGATTCGCGATATGCCAACAGGATATCCGATGCGGGAGTGGTAAGTTTCTTACCTTTTTTTTTTTTCGGAGGGGGGGGGGGGGGGGCCGAGGGTTCGCAAGAATGAAAGAAGACAAAGAAGAAGAAAAAAATGCGAAGATCTGACATGTCTCTAGGATTCGTACTTTACCCAATGACGGCGTCATACGCTATCTCGGAGCCTTTAACGGCGAGCGCCTACTGATTGTTGGAGCAAAGGCGCTCGCTGAAGTCCTGGTCCATCGCAACTACGACTTCGAGAAGCCCGCGGAGGTCAAGAGTTTTCTCGGCCGAATCTTGGGGGTTGGTGTTCTCGTCGCAGAAGGTGACGAGCACAAAGTACAGCGCCGCAATCTGCTGCCTGCTTTTGCTTTTAGACATGTCAAGGATCTGTATCCGGTATTCTGGCAGCTCAGTCGGAAAGCAGTCCAGGCGATGACCGCAGACATCTTGGCAGACGCCCGCAAACAAACTGGCGCCCAGGACACCGAGAAGGCTCTTGTTGACCGTAAGAACACCAGTGTTATCGAGGTCGGAAATTGGGCGTCCCGGGCAACCCTGGACATCATCGGAATTGCTGGAATGGGCAATGATTTCAAGGCAATCGAAGACCCGAACAATGAGGTCAACGAGACCTATCGAACAGTATTCCAGCCGACTAAGCAGGCTCAGCTTTTGGGACTATTGGGTCAGTTCTTACCAACATGGTTTGTGAGGAGCCTGCCAGTGAAGCGCAACAATGACATCGGCCAAGCGGCGAAGGTGATCAAAACTGTCTGCAGGGATCTCATCGTGCAGAAGAGGCAAAGGCTTGCTAGGAAAGAGCCTACCGAGGTCGACATCCTCTCCGTCGCCATCGAGTCCGGCGGTTTCACGGATGAGGACCTCGTGAACCAGATGATGACCTTCCTCGCTGCCGGGCACGAGACGACAGCATCGGCGATGACATGGGCAGTGTACATGCTTTCCAGATACCCAGACGTGCAGACGCGACTGCGTCAGGAGATTAGGGAGAATCTTCCATCACCGGACACAGATCAAGATGTTACTAGCGTGCAGATCGATCACCTGCCTTATCTCAACGCGGTTTGCAACGAAGTCCTGCGCTACTACCCTCCGGTGCCCATGACACTCCGCGAGACTGCCGTGGACACGAGTATCATGGGACACCGCGTACCCAAGGGCACCCGTATCATTCTCGCCGCTGCTGCGATCAACTTTGACCAGGACCTCTGGGGACCTGATGCAGGGGAGTTCAACCCGGACCGGTGGATGGCGAAGGACGCGGCCGACAAATCGGCGGCTAGCGGTGGAGCCTCGAGCAACTACGCCTACATGACCTTTCTCCACGGACCAAGAAGCTGTATTGGACAGGCCTTTGCCAAAGCAGAGTTCGCGTGTCTGTTGGCGTCTTGGGTCGGGAGGCTCGAATTCGAGCTATACAACAAAGAGGAGCACGACGAACGGAATGTTCAGATCAAAGGAGGCGTGACTGCGAGACCCGCCAAGGGAATGTACGTGTACGCAAAGGTTGTCGAGGGATGGTAGTAATCTGGCCACGGCCAAGTTTACAGCTTAGAAAATTATTTGTTGATTCTTTCTATACAGAAACGAACCGTTGATGAACTTCAACATATGTATTCAAGCAGTAGCTGCAGATGAACGTGTTCACTCAATTCATATTATATGTATATATATATATATGTGTGTGTATCTTCCCACGGCCAATCTATTAGTATTCCCCGTCTATTAAGACACGAAATCAAAATATACAATTCGTAGGGCTTTTGAATTGAAAACCTCACAAGATAATAGTTACCAAAAATGAAAACGAAAGCTTAACAGGGTTGAATATGTGTACGTCTAATTGGCCGGTATCTATCCAAATCCAAAACGCCGTGACGCCGGTACCAAAAGCCATTCTATGCTCGAGCCTCCACCGCTTTCCCCCAAAGACCGCCTTTTTATTGTTTCTAAATCGCTATGAATATATACAGCAGAATTCGTTCTATGTGTCCAAATCTTCGTGCCCACATAGGCGTGAAAGGTTCCATTTAGAGAAGATGACTGTGATGTTGGCCAGCCAAGAAGAGATCGGCCGTCTCAAGATAAAGCTCCTTGTTGCTCGTGGTAGCTTGAATATGCGGGTTCGTTTCAATAGCCTGAACCCATTGATCCCAACGCGTATGCATCAGAGGCTGACTCCAGCCGCGAAGGTCTGTCAGCATACGTGACAGACGAAGCACGAATGGTGCAAAGTGGATGTCCACTAGGCACAAGTCTGCACCAAGAAAATATGGTCCTCGCTCGTCAGCTGCCTGCACTAGAGCTAAGATGTCGGTTTGCAGTTTACTTTGATACTCGACTTGCGGTGCTAAATCCGCAGCTCGGAGTAGTCCGAAAAATGAGTTCACAATTTTTGAGTTGATCTGAACGAGTCAGTATAACCTCACGGAAACACAACCATGTACTTACATGGTCTATCCACAACCTGCAATTTGCTTTTAGGCGTGGATCAGTAGGCAACAGTGGCACCCCTTTATCGTGGTCCTCAAGCTACAAAGAAGTTAGTGATTGAAATGACGTAAGGTGAAATGGAAACTGAACCCACGTATTCAAGAATGATCGAGCTTTCACCGCAAGCCCATTCTCCTTCCCGTATGGCTGGAACTGTCCCACGAGGGTTCGCTTCGAGTAGCTGAGTCGGCCGCTTATATGGGTCCGTTTCGCAGTACTGATACTGCATTTGCTTAACTTCCAGAGCGATCCATACGCGTTGAGAAAAGGGACAGAAACAGGCGCCATATAGCTTCAGTTCGTGATCTTTGGCATGTTTCCGGGCCGTATTTAGGGCGTTACCCGAGGCCTTCCTCTGCAGAGGCTTCACAGTCTTCTTAGCCTCTCTCTTCTGCATATTGACGTATCTCTGCACAGTGGACTTCTTTATTTCATCACTCTTGGCTAGGGTGTGCTTGTGAGGACCGGCAACCCCGTCTCCTTTTCCATTACCGCCATTCCCATTGACACGCTGGATGGTCCAGAACTTGTCGCCGTTGGCGCCCGGCTGCATCCCATTGGAATCAAAGAACTGTTGCGGAGTGGAGAAGGCGCCTGAGTTATCGTCAAGCTGTAAAGTGGCGCCAGGGAAATATTCGGTAATCTTGATCTTAACGTCGCACAAGTCTCGCTCTCTTGCGTTCCGCTTCCGCTTCTTCTTCAATGGATCATTGGACTTGGGTGTCCCAGGCGGACGGCCTTTCATGCGGCAGTCCCAATAGTGTGAGACGAAAGGCTTCCGTTTGTATTTCTGGGTTGAACGATGGGAGTAGACGTTGTCGATATGGGGGAAGTAGATCTCGAACTCGTCATTGGTCAACAGGATCATATCATTGACATCGAACAGCTTGTCGCGCCAGGCGTCTAGATTGGGTGGATCGACGACTATCCTGTTCACTAGTTGGCCATGCGGCCTGTTCTCAGCAGGTTCTGCTGCGAGCGAGGAAGAGTCATTCGTAGATGGAGCTACGAAGTCGTCTTCCTGTTGCAGCTGAGCTAACGTGGGGGTGATCGGAGTGACAGGACTGGGGGGCACCATGCCGTACGGCGGTGCGCGAGTGCCTGGGGCTCCATGAGTTGGCGGTGCAGAGTGCGGCGGCGGCGGGGGAGGAGGAGCAGGAGGAACAGGATGAGGGGGCGGAAGAGAAGGGTTGGTAATGATTGGAGGCGGCGCATCCAGTGAGTGTCGTTGATGAGGAGTCGGTTGTAGTATTGGCACAGTTGGTCCGGTCGATAAATGTTGCAACTCGGGCAGTGAGTGAGTATGGGGAAGCGGGCGCGTATGAGAATGAGAATGAGAATACGAATGCGAATGCGAATGTGAATGTGTATGTGAGTGGGAATGGGAGTGTGGATGTGGGTGCGGATAGACGACGGACGAGTTGGTCGGGCCCAGCACGCCGAGGTTCACGTCGCCATGGGACGGAAGAGTCGGTAGGGGAAAGTGGTGCGGAGGAGGGGCCGAGACCGAGACTGGGCCTGGGACTGAGACATTGTGATGGAGAGTAAGATGAGGGTTCTGATTGTCGGGCTGAGTTGGGGCCGGATGGAGGCCGTGAACCAGGAATCCGGGAGATTGGAATTGCGTCGCTGTCGGATCCATGTCTCTTTCTCATCTGGGTTCGCAATTCTGCTGCTGCTAATGCTAATGCTGCTTATGCTGCTGCTCACGCGCTCACTGCGGGCCCAAGAGCGGTATGCAGCGCCCATCCATTCTTCTCGCCCCGTCTGCCTTGACAGATTCACAAACCAGCGGCCCGCGCGAGCAAATCACGGGTAGAATATGGGCGGGGTGAAGTTGTAAATCTGTCGGACGGGAAAGATGTGTCAAAATTATGATGATCAGAGCAGGCACTGGGGAACTCAAGAGGTTGAATGGCGGGGCTCTTCCGGGACCGACCTCAGGGCTGACAGTTGATCCCGCTAATCCTAGCCTATAACGGTAACTGTCAATGGCTACTCCGTTCGTGCCTGGCGTCTAGACGTGTGACCCGCTGCCGAGCCCGCAGTTCCAGTTCCAGCGGGCTCCGTAACCTTTGGGTACCTTGCCTGCTTACCTTGCTGCTTACCATGGCCGACGACCGTCCGGCTAACGTTAGACCCCTTCGAACCCCCTTTGGTCCCACCGCTTCGGGATATGCAGGGTCAAGGTTTTTACCTCTCGACATGTGGGGGTGGGCATGCCAAACTGAAGTGTCGTGTCTGTGGCATTCGAGGGTACATACTATATCCTGCTTGGAATTAACCTCATCTATATAGTGGTCACTTAAGCTATCTTAACTAATCCAGTACTCGAGGAGCTACACAAGTCGTCGCATGATGAATTCATTCTTGAGCAGGACGTGGTACCATGTACATCGGTATTGATAGTTAACAGGCCTTTTAAGAGCAAGGTTCATCATCCCCATCCACTCGGAGAGACGCTCTCATTCCCTGCTTGTCGCATGAAACGGGGAGAGTAATCACTGACATCACCTCACCCCCGTGTGTAACCCGACACATCAAGTGCGATTAAGATGAGACGCAGTCTCGAATATTCTTGATAGCGGCAACGCAGCCAAAACACATCTATCCCGGCTGGTTCAGCAAGGAGCACACGGGCTTTCGCGGTGGTTACCACAATGCCCTTATTATTATTCTAGACAGCTAATGTTGCAAAAGCCTATCACATCGTATCCTCCTCCGTCAAATAGCAAAGCATACGATTATACCCAACCGCCATATAATAGCAGGGTGGTTGGATAGAGCCTGGCTTCATTGGCTCACTCTGACGCATCCTGACTCTGGTATCATGGAGAAACGGTAGATAGCCGGCTTCAAGGACTTGTAACCCACGAATTATGAATTAAGTAATGGCCGGATTGACCAGTGACTGGAGGAACCAGCAAAGTGTCCGGGGTGGTGTAAGGGGTGGGAGGTATTGACAGTCCATCAAACAGGTTGATATATGGGAACGGTAAATCAAATCCGCCAAAATATCCTATTCATGTAAGGTTAGTAGCCGTCTCGCAAAGGGGATACCGAAAACCTACCGGGGAGATATGAGCTTTCCCAGCCGCCTGGAGCAGGGTCAAGACCTGGAACTGGCGATTCTTGATACGGCAACGATATATCAGGACCTCCGAGGTCATCGAGAGCAATGCGCAAGGCTTCTGCAGCTTTCATGGCTTCTGTCGATGACCTGCTAGCACGGATCCAGATGCCCTGGGATTTGCGACAGAGCTCCTTCAGGGTTTCGAGATTCTCATGACTCAAGTCTGATTTGTTGTGCTCGAGAAAAAAACAAGCCGCAATGCTGGCAAGTAGAAAGTTTTGATGAACTGCAATCAGATAGCGCCATCGCACTGAGAAAAGCTGACCAGACGGTTGAGTTTCTTCGTCGCAAATGTGATGGAGCTCGAGCAGCCGAGTGATCGCTTCGAAAATCGTACTGCGTGAATACGCGTGTTGATTCGGGTTCTTCGACTGTACAACGTACTTCAAGTGCAGGACCATTCGAGCTTTAAGGTACACAATTTCGAGGTACATTCTACGACAGATAATCTGTGCAGAGTCGGTGATGGAATGTGATAAAGGCTTCCACTTGTAGCACACCGGTACCTCCGAACACGCTTTGGCAAGGATTGAGTCAACACTCATGACCTCGGTGTAAGGACATAATCGGCTAGCAGTAACCAGGTCGGTCACCTGCCCAAACACCGCCAATGCTCTTCCTTTGGCCAGACAGTAAAGCATTGGTGTGGGTTCTGTGTCAGGACGCGCAGGAGGTAGTACAGTTGTGTTGGAATCGAAATCAGAGTCTAGTAAGTTCCGCGGCTCTGCAACATCGTTAACATTCCTCATCAAGCGCTGCACACCCACTGACTCAGATATGGCACTGTCAAGAACCGCAATTGATCTCCAGAGCCGCCGTCGCATTTCAGCCTCGTAAGGAGATATGTTAGGGAAACAGGCCGGGTCACGGTGATAGCTCATCTTCATAGCCACATTGACCAGGATGCCCACGAGCACCCAGACTCCAGTATCAGCGTCTTTCATTACGAAGAGCTCCACAATGGCGTAGTGCATCAAAGCCTGTATCGCGTACGGGCCTCCGTTGGTATAGCCGCCAAACATGAGACATTGAACTACTTTCACCTTGTATTGATCGAAGGAAGGGCCTAAGACCTCTTCGGTGAGTACGGGGTTTTCTGGATTGGCTATTTGGAATTGAATGGATGTGCATAGCATCGCATACAGTAACGCAAGCCAGAACGGGGCGACGGCGGTCGGGTTGTCCCAAAAGTTCTCATACTAATGACTTATGAGTCGACAGAGGCCTCGAATGTTAAGGAAAAATCGGAACACCCTACCTCCTTGAGGAATTCGGGACCATGTACGATAGCTGGTTGCAAAAACAATCAGCGAGATTGCACGTCAGTATTCGTGGTAATAACGTACCAGAGGACAAGTCTAGCCCATTGAAATAATTGGATATCAGTCGGTTCACTAGGTGTCTTGGCGGGAGGCATTCCAATAATTCTTCTATACTTGTGGCTGGCGGGCAGCCGTATAACAGCAAAGGCCCGGAACACCGTTGCTCGACACGAGCTGCATTTCCGAGCCTTGAGCCTGAGCTGTTGCGTAGCCATTGGAGGATAGAAGACCAATTCGAGCAATCTGGAGTCGTACCAGTGTGCTCTCGCATTGGTTCGTCGTCTGTTGTGATGCCATTGCTTGCACTAGAGCCGGGAGTGAGTAGCGCATTCGATTCAAGCACATGCTCCGAAGGCCCATGCCTCTGCATCATGTTCACGACATTCTCTTCCAGCTGGCGGAGTCTTTCGAGCGTATTGGCCGTTGTGGGGAGAGCTTCCACTTGTCTTCCCGACTCCAACGTGCTATGAGCAGGAAAGATGCATTGTGATTCCACCCTGCGCCTGACGCAATTTCCACATGATGGACGGACACGGTCGCATTTCAGCCTGCGTAATGTAAGTTATGATCGCGAACCATTCGGGTGTAGTACTGCCATACTTTCTTCGTCGGCACAGGTTACAACTCAATTGGGCTTTGTCACGTCGGCGATTAGGTGGAGGTCGAGGCCGCGCTGCTTGGCCGGCCTCAGCATTTCGTCTCTCATCCTCCGACATCATGTTTGACAACGTGCCACAGAAGGATAGTCGGAGGACAGTGATAAACAAGCAGAAGAGAATGGACGGATAATGATAATGATGATCCGGTTTGTATCCTTGCTTGCAAGATTGGACCGTCCGTTGAAGTGAGGCGTAGTGCTCATCTTGAAAGTATTCGTTTTGGAGCTGGTGCTTACAATTTAGCACTTACGTCCGCTAAATATTCCCACCCTCCGATCATCCGTCCCACCCTCCGATCTGACGGTAGGTCCTTGTTTCAAAGCATCCTCGCAGACCACCCGGTTAAATAAAAGTTTGGACACGAGCAGCATTGCATACGAGAATGGTACTTCATAATCAGTGAAATATATGTGTGACCATTAGTATTAAAAAAATATGCTGGCTGGAAATATGCTCGATGACCATCCGTCTCGAATAAAGGCTCAGACAACCAAGATGATGCAGTACAAGCCACAACCGGTCTATTGGTTAACTGATTGATACTGTGTAACGTCGAGGTGGCCGCAACACGGCTACAATTTCTTTTAAGGGATATGGGAAGTGAGAAGGTCTTGTGGTCGCTTCATTCCGATCCCCTCAGACGTTCCTTCGCAACATGTAGTACAAACAAACCAACAAACAAACAAACAATCACTGCGTATGGTTTTTCGAATCTTATCCTTCGACGCCCCCTTGAACCTTCCGTCCTTGTTCCCCACGGCCAGTCGAATATCGCAGATTGGTTCATTTAAACTCAAACACTAATATTGATGCTGATGTTTAAATGATTTGCGGGAGCATCGTCCATCGTCCATCGTCCGTACGTCCGATCCCCAGTCCCCGATGATCCGATAACATATTGCGCTTTCTACGAGGTACGGCATGGGATTTTGCATCAAAGTACACAAATCTCAGTTCTTACAAGGCAAAATTGGCATGTCAAATGAACCGCTCTCATAGTTCAGTTCTATAAGAGAAGTTATCTGGAGTTGACAGACAAATCACGTTAGAGACAGCGCCATCATTCCTGGGCATCGACTACGATATTCTTGATAGGCTATTCGCGTTTGTATCCACGAGTTTGCACAAAACCATCATCGCCATGGCTGACGTGGTCAATTCTGAGCCAAGCTCAGAAAATGGCAACGTACTCAATGAGAAGGTTCACGATGACACTGTTGTTGACTGGGACGGACCGGACGATATCAACAACCCACTAAACTGGTCGAGTCTTAAGAGGAACGCTCATGTTGTGCTCATCAGCATCTTCACATTATACGGGTCAGTACCACCTGGAACGACTGTACATTGGGTGAACACGCCTTGTGTTCTGTAACAACACTGCGTTCTAACTTGCGATTCAGTAACCTAGCGTCGACCATGTTCGCTCCTGGAGCTGCGGCACTCGTACACGAATTTGGCATCACGAGCGACGTCCTCGCCGCATTCACTGTCAGCATATATCTCGTAGGATTCGCACTCGGCCCTATCTTGATTAGCCCGCTCTCTGAGGTGTGTAACTTCCTGAGATCCCTAGCCCACATCTTCCTCGGCTTAGATGGAGACCAGAACCCCTGTATGCCTTGTTTGAACAGAATGACTGACTTCTTGCTGTTTCTCAGGTATATGGACGACTTATCATAAACCAAGTTTGTAACGTGATATTCCTTGCTTTCACAATCGGTTGCGCCGTGAGTACGAGCAGCGCAATGTTCTTCGTATTTCGATTCCTTGCCGGGTGTGCCTGTTCGGCACCAATGACGGTTGGTGGAGCTGTTATAGCAGACATAACAACACCCGAGCAAAGAGGAAAGGCTATGGCTTTATGGGCGCTAGGTCCTCTGTTGGGCCCGGTTTGTAAAACTACCACTGGCCTTCTGATCAGGAAACTAAGGTCTTGCAGGTGGTGGGTCCCATAATCGGTGGTTTCGTTGCCCAGCGCTTGTCATGGCGTTGGGCATTTTGGATAATTTCTATCCTGGTATGATGAAACCTGCATCTTATGTGGATCCATATATCGAACCATAGCTAACACATCATAAGGCGGGAGTGGTGTTCATCGTATCGATATTTGTCATGAAGGAGACAAACGCTACAATTCTCCTGCAGCGCAAAGCCGCCAAGCTAAGACGGGCCTCTGGTAAAACATACCTCGTAGCTAAGGGCCAAATCAACCAGACTACGAAACAGATTCTCTTGCGAGCCATCTTACGACCAACACGGCTACTCCTCTTCTCGCCAGTGGTCACGTTGCTTTCGCTGTTTAGTGCTCTTGTTTTCAGTCTTATCTACATATTGTTCACGACATTTCCCATGGTCTTCGAAACTCAATGTGAGTAGTCAAACTTCCTGTGGCTCCTATCTTCCAGTTCGATTTAGGTATCTCTCAGCAAAATACGTCGCAAACCGGCACTTTCGGACTGCTTCGATGTTCATATGTGCCAAGAAAAGACACTGACTAGTTCTTGTTTTTAGATGGATTCAGTGTTCAAATTTCAGGGCTTGCTTACCTTGGTCTCGGAATAGGTGAGCCATCAAATATGACTTGTTGCATCGATATGCTGACCTGTGTTGCAAAGGATTGGGTATTGGCATTGTTGGCTTTGGCGCCACAAGTGACAGAGTATACAAGCGACTGAAGGGTGACGGTGAGGGCACGCCCGAAATGCGATTGCCGCCAATGATGTGGGTTTCTCCCATAACTGGATTGGGCTTCTTTTGGTTAGTTCTCCACGAAAACTATGAGACGTAGTTGGTTTGAGTAACATTCTAGCAGGTATGGTTGGTCTGCCCAGTACCAGGTCCACTGGATAGTCCCTATCATCGGATCATCTGTCATTGGCATAGGGGCACTCTTCGTGATGATGCCTGCTCAGATCTATATCGTCGACGCCTTCGGTCCACAAACAGCGGCATCAGCACTGGCAGCAAGCGCGGTGCTAAGGACGCTATCCGGCGCATTCCTTACCTTAGCCGGTCCGCCGATGTATGCGTCACTGGGACTGGGATGGGGTAATTCACTTCTCGGGTTCTTATGCTTAGCTTTTGTTCCGGTCCCCTGGCTTTTCTATCGGTACGGCAGAAAGCTTCGGGAAAAATTTGTTTTTGAGCCTTGACAGAGTTAACCTTGTTCAAGTAGAGAGAAGCCTATCTATACTGGTAGTAGGAGTTTGGCAAAGTCCCAGAAGTCAGTCAGCCAGTATGAAGTTAACATGAATAATCGCAACTTTCTTGCTGTTTCTTCATTTCGTTTCTCGTTCATCTTGACACATCTAATGTAGGTTCGAACTAGCCAACATGCGACTTCCTTCTTCAGACCTGTCGCAGGATTTCATTCAGCATGCACAAACATACTCAATACTGTGGAAAACATAATTCTACTCGCCGATACCCAGTAATAATTATTCGACACCACTATGGGAAATTTTTCATGTGGGACAAATTTGTAGGCCAGGCACTCTCGCTTTATTCCGCTCAAACACATTCCATCCACTCGCTTGCTGGGTTCATCATGCCTGCTAATAATCCCATGGAGCTTGAGGGAGACCTCTATATGTTCGAGACCGAGCTGTGTAGCTGGTCATATAATCTCTTGGGGATGAAGAAATTCTTGTTTGCAGCCGTTCTAACTTCGGTGCGAACATGTTTCTACAGATCTGGGTATGCCCGCAAATTTGTCGATGCTAAGAACACTGGCAGTTCGCCCAATGTGATCAAGGCCCCCTTTGCTACTAGTTCCAACTTACCACGTTAATACGTTGACAAATGAATACTAGATGGTTCGTTTCTCCTGCTCATTGAGCAAGAGAGTTGAGAGTTTCTATGAACTGAGTGAACCTATCTAGGGTCATTAGAAGGCTCTATGATTTCATGCCGACCGTTCTCGACTTGATTAGGACCCCTTGGCTGCTTCGACAGGTGGTGAACTGGTCGTGGGTCGGCTTGCTTTCCTTTGGGAAGTGGTTCGCGATATTGGTTGATAAGAGAAAGCTGTCGAGTCCGAGAAGACAAGTTAACAAGATAGCGACATAAGTGCCCTGGTATCAATGCAGCAACCAGACTGCAGTGGGTCTCTTGTGAATCTTGAGCGAACGGTAGCATCATTCATAGCTGATCGCAAAGCGTTTAACAAATGACGAACAGATTTGACACTCTCTTCAACAACCCATGCCTCCTTGACACACGTACCAAGCTGGAACGTAAACAGCTTTTTGCATACATGGGCTATGGTGCAATGAGTTCACACATTTGGTTGTTTCCATCGGTAACGAAGTTGAGTTTGTTTGTACGAAAATAACTAATATGAGTGGTGTAAATACAGTTTACAACGTTTTCCACATTAGGGGTTATTCACTCTGGAACACCATTTTGGTGTATTCAATGAGTGATGCTTTATGTGCCTTGCGGGTACGTCCAATCCATACTCGTCCAATCGAAATGGGGTACACCGGTATGTGTTGTTCCATGCCCAGATATATTAGGATAACCCCAGGATGCTGAACTCATCATGCCAAATGTTCCATTGCCGTATGGCATGCCTGCGTCCGTATCCATTTGTGGTGGAAAGTCGTCTATATTCAGACCTCCGAGGCTCTCATGAGTTTGGCTTTGCTCGCCTTGCTCTTGAAACGGCTCGGCTGGCTTTTGTCTGGATCTAAGATCCGTCACAATCCGTGGGGTTTCGGACTGCTTGCCTTGCTGTCGAAATAGTACCTCACGTGCCTCCCACGCTTGGAGCACTATTGCGGAAAAGATAACAATCAAAGAACCTTTGTCCCGCTTTTCGTTCATGATACGTGCTTCGTAATTCTCACTCATTGCTCTCCAAGCCTCATCAGCGTAATCTGCATCCGGTCTCGCCTTGAGACGCTGGATGACGTGCATGTAGGCTGGAAACGGAAAGTGGAACTCGATGAACCAGCGATATCCTCTACTGAGGGGCGAGGTCATTAGCTTGGTATCGTATTGAAGCATTCTCAACGCGCAGACCGTGATTCGTGTACCCTGGGCAATCGGGGCCTTCTCCGTTGATCTCGAATAATACTCCATCAGATGACACTTTGCGATATAGCTGCGCGCCCACCAAATCGTCATAAAATGAAGCGGGTTTTCAGGATTACAGTGTGCGAGATAAGTGGCTTCTATCCTTTTCTCCAAAGCGTCCAAGTCTTTCACGCCCTTAACCATGGCCCTTAATAATGGATTGATAAAGTCAAGGTGGTAGAGGCTGTGGCGGACACAATCACCCAGCTCGCTTCGCACAACGGCAAAGATTGCCTCGGTTGGATTTCCATGAATTGTGGGCGTAGTCTTCATCTCGGCTCGAAACTCAAAATCATTGACGTTCAGCAAAATTTTGCAATTCCATGTTGGTGATAGTGTCGAGTTTTGATGATCGAACATTTCGCAGATACGATTGTCGAAGTTAACTATCGACCACCACAAGCGTCGGCGCATCTCAGCTTCTAGCGGAGCACACTTGGTATAAGAAGATTCATCGTGAATACTCATACGTTTCGCGGTACGAATAACAATGCCAAACATTGAAGACATTGACCGAGGATCTGTTTCGCTCCGGACCGAGATCTGCACGCGTCAGGCATGACCCCTTGAGTTAGATATGATCAAGCCTACTAGATATAAGAACAACGCTGTCAAGCAGTCTCTATCGCTGGTCCTTAAGAAGTGGCAATTTTGTAACGCTTGCCGACACGCGAACTGATAGCTCGACAGAAGGTCATTCCGTGGCAGGCCGAACAGGGAACGGCACTCGTTTTCGTCGAGAGTCAAAATAGACACACAGTATATACTAAACATGAGGGCCTCCAACGCAGAATCAATAGCTGTGATATCGCCGAGTGCGTCAATAATACGTGCTTGTAAGGTTGGAGAATGTGTGACCTTGAGTATTGGGTCGACATTATCAAGATAGATCTGCCACAGTTTGAAGACTTTAGCCTGCTCAGGGTGCAGTGTCGCAAGATCCACATTGCTCGGAGATGAGCCGAGTAAGAGGTGCTCACTATCTTTGTTACTGAAAGTACGGTTCCACGCCTTTCTAATCCCGGCCCTGTGCAGATAGCCTTTGGCATTTGACAGCCCTCTGTTCTCACCAAGGATATCGTTGTCGCTTTCGCCACTGTCATCATCGACCTCGAGACCCAAATTCTGACCAAGAACTGTCAGCACATGCCATACGTATGCGGTAGACCCAAATTTTTACCTTCTTACTCAGAGCTCGCCAAAAGTTCCTGAATACGGTTAACTACTTGAAATATCTTTACAGTACCAAGAAGGCTATAAACTAGCTTACACGGGCTCCGATTTAATCGTCGTTTTCTGGCTCGAGGAACGATCGATTTCCGAGGCTGGATTGGCAGGCTGACCATCGTCTTCTATTATCTGCCCAGAGCTGAGTCCCTCGTCTGGACGTGAAGATCCGGCTGTAGATCCATGCAGAGGCTCAAACTGAATGTTGTTTTGTCGAAGCAGTTCTTCGTAATACCTCAAGCGATCCAACAACTCCCGCTCGGGGAATCTGCGCCGACGTTGGCCAGGACCGGTCGCAGTCGCTGGGATGCACTGCGCATTACCTTTGACGCAGTTTTCGCATGGAAATTTCCTCAAATGAACGTTAGCTCTCGTGTGTACCAATCGCACGAAAGTGCGAGGAGCATAGGTTTCGAGATTACTTGTCACACTTGACCTTGCGTTGTTGGCACAACACGCATGCGAGAACACGCCGCGGCCTGACGTTATCTTGCTGTTCCGGCAGTGGAAGCGCCGACGACATTGCTGCTTGGCATTGGTTATGATCATGGTATTCTCAAATTCGCAAACAAAGCAAGCCACACATATGAGACCAAGCCCATCTCAGAATGGCCTCGGACAATTGAAATGTCCACTAGCGTATTTCGCTAAACTTGGTAGCGGCTAAATGCGGTTATCATCATTGCAAGAGCTTTCGTATATGGCGGGAGAGGATAAGAAGCTGTGCTTAAATATGTTGACGTCCTGAAAATGAGTTGGTCGAAATCGTCTTCTCTCATACAGCAGTTATGACATAGCTTGCGATGCAATGCAGACCATGTCCATGGAGTTGGTGCATGTTTCACAAGCAAACCAATGACGAACTGCGATATCAGGGCGGGTTGTTTTTGATTTCGCAACCTATTTCACATAAAACCATGGCAATTATCTGTCATGCTGCTTTGTAAGGAGGCTTACTGCTTCCGTTTGTACGAAGCTAAACACTGATATCGTGTCGTTATTCTTTCTGGCTCCTGGAAATGACTGCCCAAGTTTCCAACCCCTACAGCTGTGACCAATGTGGATTTGGAAATTTGATTGTCTTACTGATCATTGCCACTAATAAGAGTACCAAGAGTCTGCATTGGATCAGATCTCAAACCGGCCTGTCTAGTGCAGAGTGTAGCCTGACTTCTTGACAGCACGCTTGAAGGAATCTGTCGCCATGCAGCGATCCAACCACTTCTTGGTTTCTGGCCATCGCCCATCCCCGCCCTCTTCGCCTGCTTCCTGAGCGTTGAGACCCAGTTTCCTCGCGTAGATGATCTCGATGCTGAACTGCATCATGATATCGGCTACGGAGACAGTGTTGCCCATGAGGAACCGAGTCCCCTGCTGCTTGAGATGCCCCTCAATCCAACCAAGGTCGTTGCGTACATTTCTCGACAGTTTCTCCTCCATCTCTGGCAAGGCAGCTCTGGAGTCCTCTGGAAGCATCCAACGTGCATACAGGATTGCAATACCGTGGAGCGCAAACATGCCCTCAGCTGCATGCACCCATTCTCGGGTCTTTGCACGTATTTTGGGGTCACTTGATTGCACTTTGCCCTTACTGTCGTACTTCTCGATGATATAACTTATGGACGTAAGTCAGTCGAATATGAATTTTGGGAACTTTTCAACTCACTCCATGATCGCTCCGCTTTCCTGTACCACGATGTCGCCATCTTTGATGGTGGGAGACTTTTTAAGAAGTGCTGGGATTTTCTCTTTAAACTCAGGAGGTGCAAGACCGTCTGGTGCTCGGTTCGAGTATACTAGATTGTATGGCAACTCAAGCTCTTCGAGGAGCCATGTCGCACGAATGGCGCGGGAAGCGCCCAGAAAGTATACAGTGATATCAGGCTGGGACATTTTGTTCCACTAACACAGATTGTCTCGCTATCGAAGTGGTAGAGTAGTAGACTGGTTTCTTAGATGATATCAAGTGCGACATTAATGGCCTATTTCTATTCCTGTCATTGCCGGGGCTACGGAACACACATCATTGCCGTGACTTTAGTTTATGGGGATGACGTTTCTACTGCCAATAATGCCATGTTTGGATGGACGCCAATGGTTTAGTGTGCAGCAGCCACGGGATCTAGTGTTAAGATGAACGCACCCAAGGCTTGATTTGGGTTGATTTGCGTGCCATACCAGCTAGTCTATAATACCGAAATTGGCGCAACTTTGTCACGATATGCTGAACAGCATAATACATGAGAGAACTACCCTCCATGCTGCGGACTTTGATTGAACTTTGGAAACGTTGAGGAGGAAACTGAGGAGGGTAAGGTAGACAAAATACTGGTATGACAATATTGGAAAAAACAATATAATGTTCGCATATGTAGATCAGATCTAATACTAGAAGATGAACTGCTATGGAGACTAGCTCGTTATTTTGGACACGGCGCCAATTGTTGTGTCCGCCGCTTCATTCGTCAAGGTTGGTCGACGAGCTAGTTGCTGAGGCCAAAATTGTGTGACCGATGCGAAGCATCCATACCTTTCTGCAGTCAGATGGAATTCATGTCCCATTATCAGCAACGTCACAGCTCTGACAATATACGAGACGTTGAGATGTCCTATTGAACTGATGTACATTGAAAAATGAATTGGCTGCGGTTGAAATTGTGGAATAGGCAATTAGGAGCGCTAGGAGGCGGGGCCTGCGGTACACTCACCCATCTGAATGATAGTATTGCCTCTGAACTGATATAGCGGTCATGAGCAGTCAAAGTATCGCCCAAAATACAGCCGTTCCGACCTTCTCGTCAGTTTTCGAATCCTTCAAAATCCTTTACCACCAACAAACTACTCAGGTATCGTTTCATATATTGGGCTGCCGGAGCTGGAACATGAAAATCAAGAGTATAGTCGAGTAAGCTCTAGGACGCATGAGGAGGAATCGGGGATATCTTCGTCTCCCATCATATTACGACGGCGCACCAGGGCCAACAACCATTTGCGAGCTTGTGGGGCCGACAAACCATTCTGCGACTTGAAGAGTTCGACCAGCTCACTGGTTCTCTCTTTGAAACTCGACTACCACTGGCATCATTGTGGTGAAAAGAGTAGCTTACCACTTATCGGACTTTCAACTGTCGATATATCACCACATTCGAAAGGAGTTTTGATCAAGTATTTAGACCTCATGCGGCCGCTACGTAATTGGGTACAATTTGACTTTATGAGTTGACGGAATGCCAGGGGCTTTTGTTTTGACAGTACGGTATCTACCAAGGTTACCTCAACATAAAAGGACGGTGCGCCAGGGCATTAAGTCATCATTTCATCGATGTAATAGCTCATCATTGAGAAGCGCTTCCGAAAGTGAAATTAACTGCACAAATGATTCCCTATTTTTAAGCGAGGCGGCATATCTGCACAGATAAGAGCTCCGTACGGTATCTTATGTATCAACTGCGCGTCCGCAAACGGCAATCCTGTCATATACGTTTCTGATGCACCATCGTCCGTTACATAATGCATTCTTGTTGTTTGTGTCGGGTGCCCCGGCTTTGGGAGCCCAGCGAATGCTATTCTCTACAGGGTTCTGGAGTAGGTGCCAGTGTTACAGAGAGATGATAATATATTCAAGGAAATTGTTCCTCTCAGGTACTGTGCGTGCGTAAATACGGGGCAAAGCGATTCAACAAATTATATGGCAAGTCAATGCTTAACCAATGCCGCATGGGACTGGGCTAGCGGCCGTTCGGCAAATCTAGGCCATCCACTGTTTTTAAAATGGACTGCAGTCACCCACTGTCTTTAAAAACCGGGGCCACGGTAGTATCGACTCGATGAACACGAGAGTTTTTGAGTGCCCCCGGTGCCGATCATCTCGTGTAATATCCCGTGCCAGTCCCGGAGGATTCCACCGTTCGACGCAAGGCATGATCGTACGCCTTACAACTCCCCTCCGTCACCACTACGCCCGTATAGCCGCGAAATAGGTGGTCATGCCCAGATTGAGATGAAGTCAAACACGATGGACATCCCAGCTGGTCTAGAGACGCCTCATATATAAATGATTGTAATTCCGCTCAGATTTCCCAATCCTATTTATCACAATCAGGACATCTTTCTACCACAAAGAACCCAAGTAAACCATTCTTTAAAAAATTAATACCTTAATTCAACACAACCAACGCAACAGCCTTCAACATTCACAATGCAATTCTCTACCGCCATCACTGCTCTCTTCGCCTCCGTGGCCCTCGCCGCCCCTTCTGTGGCACGCGCCGAGGTCAAGTCCATGATGGCAGCTGCCGAGTGGACCATCGAGTCCCTCAAGCGCACCGTCAACGCAGACGACTCTGTTGCTACATGGGAGTTCGGCATTGACACCCAATCCGGCGCCGCTACTGCTTGCAAGTTCGACGTTTCCGGACATCCGGCAAGCCAGACTGGCCTGGCCGCCCCGGCGACCTGCGGAGATTTTCAGGTCACCACCGGCTGGAGCGACCAGTTTGGCGCTGACAACGGCTTCACAACGCTTTCCGTTGTCAACACTGCTACCAAGTTGATTGTCTGGCCCTCTTACACTGATGCACAGCTGGCCAACGGCGCTGTTGTAACCCCCGATCAGAGCTACACCCCCGCCAACTTGTCTTAAGAAAAAAGTTGTTGGAATATTGGAGGTACGATGATAAAATCCATGGAGGAGAAAATTGCATGGCTTGGATGCGCATAGCTAGTGCGATGATTCGAGAAAGGCGACATGAGCATATGCATAACCTGGCGTTAAAATTACGGCAACATTCCTTCAGGTACTTCGAACTGCATGAATATGTGCAGCACATGGTGTAGATATACCCGAGGCAATATCAATGCAATTTATACAACACATCATATCGCGAACTCTGAGACCGCGCATGAAACTATGCAAGCGATCGATGTGGCGTACGTAGGATTTAAATAATGCTTTAGTTTACAATTGATTAAGCTGCGTTAGTACTGCGCCAATGAGTAGACCCTTGGGTACTTTACATCGGTGCTTGGCTTTCATAAGAATAGCTATCTGATATTCTGCACCAAGGGCGAATACACTTACATGGCAAATACATTTGCCCTGTCTTTACACTCATCTCTGATCATGAGTCCCTCTTGGCAGAATGACTAGCGGGTGGCTTCCAAGCGGCACGGGCGGCAAGGACGGTCACGGGAAGATCCGAAAGATAAGATTGATAATCATCTGACGCCCCCACCAAGCGACGTCGGTCGGCGGGGACTGACGGTTTCAATCTGATAAGCGAAGAGTCCCAACCTGATGGTTTAGGTTTTGTGCACCTTTCCCTGAACCTGCCGTGGAACCGTGGATATGGATAACTCTACAGCAGGATGGGCGAACGAACTTCTCAGATCTATTCTGCAATACAACAATATTGATCGTTACAAATTGCTGTCGCCGGTCGATGATGATACGATTTCTACCAACGAACGCCAAATACCCGATGACCCAGAGTCTCGCGAATACCTGGAGAGACTTATCTACTACATACTTCATGGCCGCGTGGTCGCTTCGTGGTTCAACTATGTCATTTTAGCCACTATAGTGGTATTTTCAGTCATTCACTGGCGCCAGAAGTTTCGTGATGCGCAGCGAAGGCGGATATTGGCAAAGCCAACAGGAAACGCACCTGGTGTAAATATCTGCCGCTCCAGCAAGCATAGGAAGTTATTGAGCGACGATGGCTCCGGAGACGACATCCCGTCTTCTTCTTCCAGTAGCACTCTAGTCGGAAAGACAGACGATACCGATGTCGAACGCCAGCCATTACTGGGCCACCGAACAGCAACGAACCCGGCATCAAGAATTTATTGGAGCAGGCTGAGCCGGAAACTCCGTGCGTGGCTAATGTATCAGCCACGACCGCTACCCATAGTAAATCGTCATCTACCAGCGAACGGAATAACTCTTTTCGTCCTCGGCTATATCAGCGTCAACATATTCCTCCATCTCTATGACGGCTCGTTGCTGCCCAAATATGCATTTCCATTTGCGGACAGGGCTGGCTATATATTCATCGTCAACCTACCACTGCTGTACCTGTTGGCAGCCAAGAATCAGCCGATCAAGTTTCTGACGGGCTACTCATACGAGGCGCTGAACATTTTCCACCGCCGCGTCGGCGAGTGGATGTGCTTCGAGGCGGTGGTGCACTCGGTAGGCATGGTTCTCGACAATATTTTCTTCGAGGTTGAGTGGCTCAGAGTCGGCAACTTCTGGGATTTCTTCTTTCATCCCTTGGTGCTGCTCGGTATCGGCGCCTTCGTATCTTATGAGCTTCTCTTCTTAACGTCGCTAGGCAGTTTCCGCCAGCGATGGTATGAGCTCTTCTTGGCTTCACATGTGACGCTACAGATTGCTGCGTTGGTGTTCTGTTACCTGCATTTCTGGACGGCAAGACCATATGTCCTGGCGTCACTGGTGATATTCGTCGCGGATCGGCTGGTGTGGAGGCTTGTGCTCAAGTCCGCCACTATTCAGGCAGATTTGCAGATTCTGGAAGACGGGAAGACGTTTTTGCTGTCGGCAGACTGGAATGTGCCTCAAGTTCGGAGGCGTTGGTATCAGCAGTTGTTCGGTCAAAGCATCGTTCACGGCTGGAGGCCGATGGACCATGTATTCATCACTGTGCCCAGCCTCGGGCGCACGCACGCACTGCAGGCCCATCCATTCACCATTGCCTCTGCGGCTCCGGGATCGGGCTCGCAGGAGCAAACGACTCATGCATGGCTCAGTCTCTTAATTCGAGCCCATGATGGTTTCACTGGCGACTTATTACGGCATGCACGTCTCAACTCGACAGTCACTGTGCGTGTAGATGGTCCTTATGGATCAGCTGATGCTCTTGAGATGCTGCTGGCGTCGGACACGGCCGTTTTGGTGGCCGGTGGATCTGGCATTGCAGTTGTGTTCCCGATGGTCTGGGACCTGGTGCATACACACGGGCACATATCCAAAGGCCGCCATATCCACCTCCTCTGGGTGATCCATTCGCGGTCTCATCGCAGCTGGATGCCGCAAGAGAGACTCGACGAGCTGTCTAGCGCTGGCGTGCACGTTACGATACCCGAGCCAACGGTTGAAGTCGGTCGGCCGGACGTTGGCGGCTACGTTGGAGAGCTCAGCTGCAGCGCGTTGCAGGCCGACACAGAAATAGGTGTGGTTGTGTCCGGCCCGGATGCGCTGAACAGAGCAGCGAGAAATGCATGCGCATCTGCTGTGGGGCAGGGTGCGAAGGTCAACTTGCGGGTTGAGAAGTTTGGATGGTAGTCCAGTGAGGCGCATCCATACTGGCTAAGTCATGGAAAGAAAAAGAAAAAAAGAAGAAAAAAGAGCGGACGTGGGTCGACGACAAGCCGCATCTGATGGGCAACTGGTAACTGGAAGTGGCCTTCTTGGCGATGCTACGAGGGGTGAGCAAGAAGCACTTTCGGTCAAGCACTGGACGGTACGACAAGACTGGTTGCATACGCGCCACGTTGACGAATGAAAGCAGCCGGATATCTATCAGCAGGCGATGTGGCTATGGACAACGTTAGAAATTCATACAACCTTAGACGACTATAGATGACGATGATGATGGGCGCAAGCCGGAATTCCAAGATGACAAAGAAGACAAGCACATGCGAGAGCCCTTGAACGTTAGATGATCCATACACAAGCTTGTGCTTGTTGCCCCACATTCAGCACCCGAAACCTTCAGTCTTGGCGCTGCTAGGTGCTGTAGGCCACTAACCTTTTAGTGCATGTAGAGAGGTGAATGTGAACAACACCCCCACCATCGCCAACATTCCCTCCGACCCCCAGGCTCCAACAAACCTCAGTACCTTCATTCCAGTTCCGGGGCTTTCAGGAAGACCAGAACGATCACCATGGCTTCCGCAGACCCTTTCGATTCGGCATTGTAAGCGCTCGTGAATTCCCCCCGACTGAGCTGTGCCGAAGCTAGGCCAAGCTAACCCCCTCATCTCTCAGGGATCTACTCCGCCGCCTGAACCCCAAACACACGACACAACATCTCCAGTCGCTCATCTCTCTTGCCCCCGATCTGACCGAAGACCTACTCTCCTCCGTCGACCAGCCCCTCACCGTCCGCCGCTGCAAACAGACCGGTCGCGACTACCTTCTTTGCGACTACAACCGAGACGGCGACAGCTACCGATCGCCATGGTCTAACGAGTTCGACCCGCCCCTCGACGGCGGTCTTGGTGACGGAGGTGCTGGAGATGGTGCCGGCGCCGCAGGCGTGCCCAGCGACAAGGTCAGAAGAATGGAGGTCAAGGCCAATGAGGCCTTTGACGTCTACCGGGAGCTCTATTACGAGGGCGGTGTGAGCAGTGTATACTTCTGGAACCTGGACGACGGCTTTGCCGGCGTTGTGCTATTGAAGAAAGGTGAGTCTATACCTTTATCGCGAGGGCGCTGGAGAGATATCCTTGGGTACACCCCCAGCAATGATATCAATTGGACGTCTCGATATATTAGACCCGGGATATCAGAGATGGACAGGCACACAAGCGTCTGCCATTCATTTCTTCAACATGCCGCTTCGGACCTCAAGCTGACGGTTGCAAATAGAAGCAAAGCCCGGCAGCGCCGGTGAAGGATCGTGGGACTCAATCCACGTTTTCGAAGCCATCGATCGCGCGCGAGTCACACAATACAATCTCACTTCGACGGTGATCCTGTCTCTTTCAGCGAGCGGATCAGGGCTGGGTGATCTGGACTTGAGTGGCAACATGACACGTCAGATTGAGACTGAGCTGCCGGCCGAGAACGACGAGCAACAGATTGCCAATATCGGCAAGCTTGTCGAGGACATGGAGCTGAAGATGCGCAACCTGTTGCAAGAAGTTTACTTTGGCAAGGCAAAGGATGTTGTCGGTGACCTCAGAAGCGTGGGTACCTTGAGCGATGCCGGCAGAGACCGACAAGCCCAAAGAGAGCTCATCGGAAGCATGAACAGGTTCTCGCGGGATTAGTCTGTGCAATAGTGCATGCCTTGAGCCAACGCAACCAATAAGTGGAAATGCCAGATATACCAAATATACCGAATATACCAAATACATCCTCCATCCAAGGCAAGTACTTGTAACCGTTGCAGTTGAATCAGTAAGAATCCCGGCAGGGCCTCCATTAGGACGACTTGACTGGGTTTGCGCTATGTATGTGGTTTTGAGCCATTGTGCAGAAGCCAAGACTTCACGGTGCAGCTATCAAAGGCTGTTTGAATTATTCAGCTAGGGTTTCCTGGCCTTGGAAGAAATTGCTGACATTGTTGGGAGTCGCCTGGTGGACAGTTTTGTAGTCCATCATGCATATGCTATCGAACAGAATTCATCAAATGTTGTTCGTACTTTCATGCGATGAGGGCAGCTGTCTCGAGGAAATTGGCATGTGATATAAGCCAGCTGTTTGTAACAAATATTTCTGGTCATTTACTCCAAACTAGTGAGAGATCAATGATCCAGCCTTTTCGGCTAAAGCTTGACTCTGAGGGCGCCTTGATATACGCTGGATATAAGGACTTCCATCAATGGATGGCTCACACACACAACCACCGGCCCGTACAGGTTGTTGTGCTATTTGAACGTAAAATAGTCACGTTATACTCCTACCCTCAAAGCCTCGGACAATTTTACTGATAAAATATTGTACGTGTTGTAGACGTAACTTCAACTGAGGTTGTGTCAAGAGGTAACAAATCGGCAAAGAGTGGAGTTGACGAGAGCATGATCGGTCAACAATGGCAATCACAAACTGGCTCAATATACATTGTAGCCTCATCATATTTGATTGCATACTGTCACATACAGTGATAACAACCTCGGGAGGATGAAGAAAACTCCGGTTGGTCGGAATACCGTACTATAAGGTCTCCACCACCTAATGTATGAGCCACTGAAAGTTTGTCTGCCCGGAAAAGCCGGCCGCTTCATTGCATTGATGGTTGCGGTACCCCACGCACTGCCATGAGAACCCCGCACAATTAAGATAATGCGGGGAGGATTGACCCCAGGCTTGGACTAATTATGTCTGTATACTCCAAAGGACCGTGTCGAAAGGTCCCGCCGCAGGACTCTACAATGTCCCGCAAGCCAGCTTCGCCGAATGCCATGGTGCTCAGCGTTGAGTGAGCTGATACACGTTAGTCAATGCTTATAAAGCCCCCCCAATCAAAGCACATCCCTCACATGTCACCACAATGATGGTTCAGGCTGAACGGCAGATGATGGCGACCGCAACAGAGACCTTTGTTGGGATAATGTGACCTCGAACTGGGGCAAGCCCGGGGTAGTACGTTTATATCTAGTACTTACGGAGCCATTGGAGATCCGACCGCATCCACTTCGAGCTTCGTCGTGTAAATCGGAAATCTACCAAGAAACAAAACTGCCTACACTTGATATTAGTAGCTGCATCAAAAGTTTTGAAAGACACAGAAATGCCGTCGCTTGGCACGGAAACTTCGGCGGATGTAAGAGGACACCGAGATGAGGATATCTATGTGACAAAGGCACTGGCCCCTCGAACTGACATGTGGTGTTCCAGGTCGCAAGCTCCGATGTGACGCCCAACAAAGGGGCGTCCGTCGCCGATGTCGAGGCAATCGGCAAGGACCGAGACACCATCGAGGAATGGCGGAAGCAGAACAACATCGATGTTGAGAAGCAGGTCAGGCTTGTGAAGCTGGTTCATATGCGCTACCAGCACCCGGACCTAGACGAGATCACCACCTTCATGAGGGACTTCGGCATGCATGTCGTCAAGTCGACAGGCGACAAGATATGGTTCAGGGGCTACGGCCCGGATCAGTACGTCTACTATGCGCAGAAGGGACCGAAGGAGTATCTCGGCGGCACGTTCGAGGTGGAGACATACAAGGACCTGGAAAAGGTTGCCGGACTGCCAGGTGCTGGGGATATTCGGAGGCTCGACGACTCTCCCGGTGGTGGTTCCATCGTCACGGTACATGATCCTGAAGGATTTCCAATCAATTTCATTCATGGTCAAGAACCCGCCGAAGTGGGCCAGCTGCCCCAAAAGCTCGTTGTCAACTACGAGACAGAGAAGCCACGGGTCAGAGAGTTCCAGCGATTTGAAGTCGGCCCGGCCGCTGTACACAAGGTATGGGGCGCCCCTCGATCATGAGGATATGTAGAGTATGTACCACTGACCTGATACTATAGCTGGGTCATTTTGGACTGTGTGTACAAGAGTTTGACAGGCAACTCAAATGGTACACGCAGAACTTCAATATAGTCCCCACCGATTTTCTTTATGTACCCACCGAGACTGGTCAAAGGAAGATCGTCGCAGTATTTGCACATATCGACAGAGGACAAGACTATGTCGACCACCACAGTTTCTTTATGTCGACGAACGCCACCTCACATGTACACCATTGCTCATTCGAAGTACATGACTTTGACACGCAACAGCTCGGTCACCAGTGGCTAGCGACCAAGGGGTACAAAAGCGTATGGGGTGTTGGACGTCATATTTTGGGCAGCCAGATATTCGATTACTGGTGGGACACGACGGGAAACATGGTTGAGCACTATGCGGATGGTGACCTGATCAACATTGATACCCCGATTGGATACGGTCCAGCGGGCGACGAAAGTCTTGCTGTTTGGGGACCTGAAGTGCCCAAAACATTCTTGCAATAAAGTAATTGGTGAAAGTGTCGTTATTTACTAAGAATGTTTCGCGTTAAAAAAAGATAAAGAGAGAGAAAAAAACAACCCCCCGAATTGCGAGCTCTCTAGTACCGGATGGAGCATTTTGTCTTCAAAATCGAGTTTGTTTACATTAATGTGTTGACTGCACGATATCCTCCAACAGGATTTCTAGTATTGAAGCATATTTCTGTGATATGCCCCAATGACCTATTCTCCGCAGCAGGTCAATACAGCTGCAGAGGAGGCTGCTGTCTATAGCTGAAAGCATAGCTGGTAAAATTCTGCCCTTCACGTGAATTAGTTGTTCGCCTGGCAATGATGTCCTGAAAACCTCAACGCTGCTGTCGTCTAGTAAGGACGCTCCTCCATTGCCTGTGTACCTGAATTTTAAATAGCAGTATGTAATTATTCCCGAATAGAACAGGGACTTGGGGATATGAATTGTGGGCTCGATCCCATACGCCAAGGCTTCTAAATGTCTTCTGACAAAAAGCGCATGTAGAATACCTAGCATGCCATGGAAGCTATTGGCCCATGCTGTAACTGCATCCAAGGTTTGGTCTTTAGCATGATCTCCATCGCGTCCGATTGAGCGCTCCAGGAGGTCGAAATCGGCATAGAGCATAAGAAAAGCTGTATGCCAGAGCCCCATCAAGCTGTGATAGTTGTGCATCTGATCTTGAATATGACGTGAATGATCTTTGTGCCATTGCAGTAAGGAGCGTCGATAATCGTGTATCGATGTACTCGAAAGGTTGGACAACCTCGTTTCCTGAATGCACGCCAACGTTCCAGCTAGAAGTGCATTTGAATATGTATGTGACCAAGTGTTAGATCGATGTAGGGTGGTACTGCCTCCGAGCTGGCCAGGGCCCGCAGGCAATCGAGTTTTCTTGAGAACATCATACCATTCAGAAGCAGATGGGGCGGAAAAGAGATCTTCGGTGCAGCTCACTGGAAGCCTTCTGGCGGTATGTCGTAGTAGTGGTTCGTGGTGGAATGTTGTTGAGAATTCCGAATCGTGGACATACAATCCGAGTACTAACCGTACAGCTTCTTCGTGACGTGCCCATGCTTTCCACGTGACCTCCAAGTTTTCATCATTTTCTACGAGCTCTGGTGTCGATGCGTGGACGTTGAAGGAACCAGACTGCCTTGCCCAAGCAATTGCAGTGCCATGAAAACTTTCAGTCATACATAAATCCTGTGAGTGGCCTGACATCATACCAAAGCTCTGTCCAAGGAGAGCAGTCTGGGCCAGCGCCAGCATCTCTCGTGGATCCCGACTCAGATAGTTCTCCCACTAAGGTAAGGCTTGAGTAATCATGAGTAGAGAAGGGATTAAGAAAAACTCACAGATGCTAGACAGGCTTTATTCAAAGTCTGAAATATTTTGCGCCCTTGGGCTGTGGCACTTGCTGAACCTACAAGAAGAGCACCCATTGAGCATACTGATAGAAGCAACAATCCGTTTTCAGTTGATGGACTGAATGTGGCTTCGTGAATAAGGGGAAACACAGGTCTGTATTTGGCGAAGTAAAGTTTAATGCACAGATTCTTACGAAGGTTAGCATAGTTTTACAATTGAACTTGATTGTCGAGTAGATCATGGTTGTCAGAACCGTATCACTTACCAAAAAGTCCGCTGATGGTAGGGCCGCGTTGCTTATACGAGGCTGTAGTCGGTGGGACAGTCCTTCTCTATACGCCTCGTCTACCTTGCCACGATGATATGACAACTCAGCAGGTCTTTGACCCACGTCATCTCGAGGAATACGAGTAAACCATCGATGGTGAACAGCAGAGCTCAATCTCGATGCTGACTGAGCGTCAGGTGTGTCGCTCATGACATTTGCATCGTTGAGGATATGGGAATGATCAAACGAGCCTACAGAATTGCTGCGGCCCCATTCTGAGAGACTCATCGGAAGATTCAGACTGTGAAAATTGAAATCACTTCCGAGCAGCCAAGGCGGTTCCTGGAAAGTTTGACCAACGCCAAGATAGCCGCAGTCGGTATACATATTCTGAAAATTGGCAGAGAAATCCGGCAACGTGTTATGAGACAACATTTCAGAATTATTTGCAGCATATTGAGGCCATTGCGCAGATTGCAGCCGCACTGGAGCACCAGGACTCTCAAAAGCGCCTCCGAGCAGTTGATCGACTTCGTGCTGAGGGGTGTGAAATGTGCCGATACTCTCCGGTGGCTGCCAGTTGGCAGAGCCATCTACCCCAACCTCGGAGGCATCCATTTGGCTGACCCTCTTACCCTGCAGTTCTGGCAGAGGACTGTCTTCAGTTCTTGATACAGATGGAGATGGCCCTATGGTTAGGTGCGAGCCATCTGCATGCTGGCTCTCAGCTCCGTCTGTGTGCGACCTTGAGTGTCGTAGTAACGAATCGCTACTGGAGTCAGTCCTGGGGATACGAAGGCAAATACTCGTCACGAGTTAGATGACTGACTGGCGACTGTAGGCTTTTCCACACAGCGAACATTGGAACGGCCTCTCCTTTGTATGCGACCGTATGTGGCGCGCTAAATGTTCCGCCTTGGAGAAGACTTGGCCGCATTCTTCACATTTTCGCTGTTGCTTCTGCCGTCGTCTTCTCCTGATAGGGGCCTCCGGGAGTGTTGGGTCCTCCGGGAGTGCTGGGTCAACACCTGACATGTCTTTTTCGATCCCTCAGTAACATATCTGCCGGGTAGATTGTTCCATTTCCAGCCCCAAGTCCAAGTTAGATTAGCAAGACCATAAGAGTAAGCGGTGACAGGGTTGTGTGAGTGCTTGATTGAAGCAGCCTGGCATCAGGCGTCTTTGAAGCGTCTGTAGGCTGGGGCTTTGCGCAAGTTTGCAGGGCTACTTACCCCGCAGATCCACTTGCAAGGGACCGTGCACATATTTTTTTGAGTACTTCACTGAATCTGGGTGGGAAATAACTATGGTCGATTGGAGCTTGGGCTTCATTCAGCTTGTCGAGACAGCTCTACTATGTAGACGAGCAAAAAGAAAGACTTCAAAGGCGGATGGAACTAGTGAGGTTGTTCCAAGCGGAGTGATTCCGTTCCTATAGAGGCCCCATCCTCTTGATAATATATGCATTAGCTGTTCATTGAAAGTCGATTGCAGTTGCTATCTAGTTAGTCTAGAACTGTTCATATCGAACCTTGTTTACCAAAGTACCGATTTTCTCAATCTCAACCCTCACGTCGCCGCCATCTTGCAGGAACACACGAGGCTTTCGGAAGAAGCCAATGCCAGCGGGGGTACCTGTCAGGATAATACTGCCTGCCTCTAAAGTCGTACCTTGAGACAGATATGAGATTTGCTTCTTGATATTGAAGATCATATCTCCGGTGTGTCCATCTTGTACTGTATCTCCATTATAAATGGTCTTGATCTTCAGCGTTTGCGGGTCGGGAATCACAGCTGGGGATACTAGAACAGGGCCTGCATACAGCTGTTAGTGTCTGGGTCGATAAATTCAGTCCTCTGTACTTACCTATCGGGCAACTGTTATCAAGCCCTTTGGAGAAGGACCATTGCGTAGTGATCATTTGCAAGTTCCTTGCAGAGACGTCGTTCGAGGACGTATACCCCAGCACATAGTTCAAGGCGTCTTCTTCGGGTATATCTCGACCACTTCGCCCAATGATGACGCACAACTCGGCTTCATAATCGCTCGTTTCATCTTGCGCACACTTCGGTACAGTGATAGCGGCCGGGAACGGGTCTGTAAGAGCCGTGCGCGGTTTAGTGAACAAGATAGGAGCTGCTGGCAGTTGAAGGTTTGCCTCCTACGCAGGATCAGTATTGGGGAACACTCTAAAGATGGGGCGGATTCGATTACCTTGGCATGATCTAAATAGTTTAAACCAAGACAACGAATGTAACTGCACTGCTCTTTAGAAACCGGCGAGAGCAACTATAGTTGGGTTAATTTCGATACTCTATGCCTATGAGAAGTATCCTGGTAAAACACTTACCTTCTTTACCGTGTATACATGCTTGGTCACCTTGCCATTGAAGATGTCCCCGTTGATCAAATATGCCTTGATCTCGGTGCCGTCAACACTGTCTAAACCAGCATCGCGTGTTGTGTCCACCAACTGACCTAAGTGGACTTGGTCGTCCTCGACAGCGAGGAACCTGATTAGATGCGTCCACTCTGGCATGATGGTGATGTTTTCGCGCACTTCGTTAGTGATTACGATGACGGAGGGCAAAGTCGACTGGGCGGTGCGGTATCTACTTAAGATGGCGCAAGAAGGTCTCCAATGCCAGGTCCGAAGTCCGCAGGACATGCATCCACATTACCCGTGGACACTCCATTCGTGCAAGATCCAGCCGATAGGGGAATACTGCACCAACTATGCGTCCTTGTCCCACATACAGGAAAACCTTAGCAGTGAGCATCTTATTCTGGGCGACCCCTGGGTGATTGATCTGTATGGTATAGCATCGTGTCCCACTACCCGCGTCAGGGTCCCGCCATTCAATGTCCCGCAGGAACAACCCTCGTTCTCCCTTACTTTCAGCTTCACAGTTGAAACCCCAGATTACCCCACCTCCCGTGCGCCCGCTATATGCCCAAGCGGCAGTCCCCATTGTCGGTTTCCACCTCTACAGTTGCAACGTGCTATGTATTGGGTTTTTTCAACATGCGGACAACAGAGCGCCAACCTGACTCGCGCGTGACCTCACGGCAAACTAATCAACCGTGGGAACGACAGATATTATTTGGTTAGCTGGTAAGAGACAGCAAGTCATGTTTTGTGTTGTGCGTTCTGAATCGATTTAGTGCTACTTATGTGAGTCCTATCATATCAGAGCACGCCGTCACTCTGTTTCTATGTAAAGACTCAGTGTTGACCATTTTTGCTGGTCATGGCTTTACGTATGGCCAGGTCAAAGCCATGCTCTACCCAAGCTAGACTAGCGTACTCAAAATAGTTGTCTAAGGTTAGTCTAGATCATCAAAACGGTCAAGATTGAGTTCATCATCAATCTCTGTCTGCATGGTCATGGAAGAAGGCTTTCCAGTCATCTCACACAAGGGCCCTTGAAGCTGGTTTTTCGAATTTGCAAGCAGCATCGGCAGCACAATGCGTTGCACTGCAGGTTCGTTCTGAACATCCCGGAGATCCTGAGTTAGCATACCAAAGTTTGTTAAACAAAAAAAAAAATACTTTCCGATGACATATTTCGTTATTGTTTCCAAAGTCGTGTGGCACTAACATAGCTCCTGCTAAAAAAAAAAAAAAGGTTCAGACAGTCTAACAGACGTCAGCTGGAAAGGAGAGCCGGGAACATCGTTATGAAGCCTATGGTAATCGTAAGACGTAGTGATGTACTGATGGTGGTTGTGTAGATAATCAGTGGGCTCACCACCGCCATGATGATGACACAGAGCCATCGATCTGATGAGTAACGCTATTGATGTGTTTGAGAATATGGGAACCTCAAAATCCCTATAACGTAAGGTTTCTGGTTATAAGAGTGTCACCCCATATCATGTTAGATGGGGTTCTAACAAAGCAAGATGAGGGGCGCAATATCTCGTAGTATCCTGAACACTTAGATAAGGATGTTTTCCAGAACTTGGTCGACAGGCGCTGATACGTGGCCGTCTCCAGGGTAGAAGCCGCTAATTTTCCAAGTTAGTTGAGGATTATGGACCGAGATATCCTGTGGATGGTTCATTCCATATATTTGGAGGGTTTTGACCGTTCGCGCGCGCTTAATTCTTCTCAATCAATACAAGGAAAAGTGATGCGGAAGAGCAAGCTGCTCTGTTCTTGAGATGCGGCCGCCCAGATGAAACCCCGACTATAAGGGATATTTTCGATAAAATAAAAGGGGAACTAAATATTTGACAAAATGCAACGACCTCAGCATTTCCTTAGTCAAGTATAAACTCACCTTGCTTATTTTGACACTCTTGACTACACCCGCGGTGAATCGGGTACAAAATGCTGGTTGCAAATGTTATGAAAGCTGCGTGCAGCTGCACAAACATACTCCTGGTGCCGGCTATGCTTGTCAAGAATCCCGACCTCGCCATGTCTGCGAGGTACTTCGACCAGGTTTCCAGTTACTTGCTGCACTTTCTGAGGTCAGTCATGTTCCTCAAATAGCCTCGAGGAGAGCTTTCTGGCAGCGTTCGCAGGCTAAGGACTATTTTCGCACTGCGTAGTAATGAGATTAGGGTAAGATGGTGGTGGAACGAGTCCAAATATAGCGGATCAGGAAATGCCATGGTAATTCCGCATGGATCGCTCATCATGTGAAAGTCGTGTGTAATAGGGCAGCAAACAATTAGATCATGGCCTACCGTCGGCATCTCGTCTCTTCTCATGCACGACCGGCTCCGCCAAACTGCACATTCCATTGACTGATACACGCAAACAGCCTCTTTTCTTCGTCCACTACAGATTTGGGCGGGATTCTAGCTATATTCATCAAACACATAAGTTGTTCAGTCTCTGATGAGTGCGGATAGATCTGGTATGCAAATTCTACACGAAAGTTAGGTGAACGCAACACGAATTAGCTGCCCACCAACGATGACAGACAAGAATCCTCCGAAGCAAAAACGGTGGGACTGCAGGGCCTATCTGATATGCGGCGAGCTTAAAATCTGCGAACAGGTCTGGAAGCCCGAGAATCGACATCTGAGACGATGAGGGAAGACAATTGATTACGTCTAAGAGAGTTGTGGGTAGAACCTCCATGCTTCCGAAAACCTCGATGTACCACTGGCACTACCAATGCATATATTTACAAGTTTCTTCCTGGAGAAACTGTATACCTCAAAGTGCATGGGTCAACCCAACTTGAAAACCCTTATATGGGAGAAACCGTGAGCGAGCTAGGCCGGTACACTCTTTATCACATTAGTAGCCAAACAACTCATGGCGGTCAACGGATTCAATAAATTGACTTAACAAGTTCATGATGAAGTTGAATCAATAATAATTTCAATTCTATACAAGCTGAACTTCCTTAGCTCCAGCGGCTGGGTGATAAGAATGGTAAGGTACCTGTGCTGACTACGATATGTGGTCCATATCAAACTCCAAAATGAATATAGGGGACCCAAGGCAGAGACTCTATTCCCTCTTCAACGCTCTCCTCACCTTGAATATCTCTCACTGGACGATATTGCTTCAGCTGGTCCTCGTCGACGCTCTGAGCCGCCGTGCTACTCACTTCCGCCGTAACTGAAACACCGTTGGTCTTAGTGGCTCTATCTTCTGATGTTTGCCCGTTCAGCCAGCGACTTCGCAGTTCGCGCGTCGCATTGTGAAGGCCACGGCATACTGACTCGTCCGTCAGACCCCCATCCCTCATCCCCTCGTACGTGATTCTCGCCATATCCACGCAAAGTTCATCATTGACATCCCACAGGGTCCCGACGACGTGACGAAACCCTGCCAGCTGGTAGGCGCTGATGAGATGGATACTCTCGTCAATAAATCTGGCGTCCTTTATTTGTGAAGTCCCACAGGCGGAAAGGTAAGCGAGAAATGGTGCGTGTTTGCGCAGGTTCATCTGCGAAAGCAGACCTACTGAGAGTGGATCGCTACTCCAATCCTCAAGAAGCAAACAGCTCTTCGATGGATCGCCGTTGTATGTGTATCCGTGGCCAGCGAAGTGAAAAAGCCTGCAGTTTGGCATATGAGACATGATTTCTTGCTTTCGCGGTGTTGGCTGAATTGGCCGTAGAGGCATAGACTGGCAAAGTTCATGTAGCATTTCTACCTCTTTGGTCGCAAACGGTAATATGGCGGCCTCTGGTAGCCCTGGTGTCTTCTCCATCGCGACAAGAAGGAGCTGTGTCGGAGCTGTTGGCAGAATTTTTGGGTTCGCGTGTCGGCGACCATGTATCACTGCCCTGACGGACGAGCTGTAAGAAGACATGGCCCTGTCGAGTACTGTCTCAAAAGTGTCGCCATAATGGTATCCGGCGGCATGTAAGGGCATCTTGCTCAAGGCACCCGTGGGAATCCACCAAATATGCGGCCAGTGGCCGTCTCTTGCTGGCTCAGTAAAACCCAGAGCACTCAATACAGGAGAAGCAACAGCTCTCCATAACCATTCAAGAGTTTCACGACTGCTTAGATCGGAACTTCTTGCTCTCTCATTGACTTCATCTTGACGGAGATGTGTCAACGGCAGGGACAGGATCTGATCCTGTTCAATCAGAATTGCGTCGCAACGGTATTCACTAACGTTGACTACAACAAGAGGGCCGTTTACTGCCGCATCCAACAGTTTTTCTTTGTTTGGGGTAGTGAGAAAGTCAGAAAAGCCTGGTTGGCTACGAATTTCCGTCAGTAAATCATCCGCCTCACTATTCATGTCATAAAACGATCTAGTCTGAGGCTGTCTCAAAGTCTCAGGCAGGCCGCTATCGCGCAAAAGAGCCAACTCTAGCTCTTTGCGAAGATCAATGAATCTTTGGGCTAGTTCTGGGTGTGTCTCCTGAAAGTCTAAAACATCTGTCCGCATTTCTTCTAGTGTTGCAGCGACCACGCCGCGACCTTGCTCCAGCAAGTCAAGTGCAGTAAGCGGATCTTGGGTTAATTTCAGGGCCATCGCTGCCCCATCAGAAGCTAGCCCAACAAGCTGACTCAACAGAAATTGTTTATCAGCGTTTTGAAGTGATCTTGATGTAAGCTTTGGAACCAGGGACATCGATGTCTTTGCGGCTTCATAAGCTCCTTGCCAGTCTGACATGGCTGCACACCACTCCAGGAGGAATTTGCCAGCCTTGATGCGGATAGGTATTGGCGATCCTGAGTGGTGCAGGGCCTCTCTCAGCCAATAGATGACTTCGCTAAGTTCATCCTCGTCCAGAGTCTTAGTGAACATATCTCCGAGGCTAGCGCCAAGATTATACGCATACATTGCCCAGTTTGAATCATCTTCGAGGACTACAGCCAAAACACATTTTGCAGCATAGACAGCGCCATCGATGTCATGCATTGCTCTAGTATTGTAGAACCTTTCTCTGGAGAGCACCCCAAGGCTATTGAGATATATCGGCCAGCTCGGTTTATCTTCATCTGTTGCTTCGACCGCTTCAGTCGTGTAACGGATAGCTTGATCTAAATCATCAACACTCTTCAAGCGCTCATATCGATTCAAATATCGGTGCCCAAGGTCTTGTAGATGCATAGCAAGGTCGATGTGGTTTGGAGGCGTCGCATCGACCACTATTTTGGCTATGTGGATAGCTTCGTTGAGGTCACTCATAGCTTCTGTGCGTTGGTAGCGGAGCCCGATACGATTAGAAAGATTGTTCGCATATGTTATCCAATTGGCATCTTTCTCAGCTGTTCCATTTACTGCCTCTCGGGCAAACGAAACGGCTCTGTCGAGATCAGATATCGCTCCTACCTTTGTATATCGGCTACCAAACAATAAACCTAGGCCATTAAGATACGCCGGTTTCTGTGGATGATCTTGTGGGGTTGTGTCTACAGCCTCCTGTTCCAACCTGATGGCTTCTTCAAGATCAGACATAGAGCCAGATTTTCCAAACCGGTCCCAAAGGCGAATTCCAATGTTATGTAAGCGTGCTGGCCGTGCTGCGCTATCCTTGGGAGTTCTTTCCAGAGCAGTTCTTGCGGCTTGAATGGACTCTTCTAGTAAAGAAACATTTCCCGTGAGCCTGAACTTTGCCCCAAGTCGATCACCAAGATTCTGTAGATAACTGGTTATATCAGAATGGTCTGAAGGAGTGATCCTTATAGCTTCTCTGATTGCATCCAGGGATCTGTCGAGGTCTTTGACAGCTCCAGATTCGTTAAATCTAGTGCCTAGATGGAACCCAAGGTTATTGAGATAATTTGCTCGGCTTGGGTGATCTTGGGGAGCCTCCTCAAGGGCTTCTTGTGTCACTTGGATGGCTTTGTCGAGATCGTTGATCGCCTTCGTATACACGAACTTCTCCGCAAGACGATTACCAAAGCTGTTTAATATGAAATGTCTAGTCGGATTGCTTTTCGCCATTACATTTGTAGCTTCCTGTAGTGTTTCGGTTGCTTTTAGTACGTCAGACACGGATCCTGTTCTTTGCGATCTGAATGCGAGAAGGTCTCCAAGATTTTGCAGAAGTGTGGCATAAATTGGAGTGTTCCTGGGCGACAGATCCATGGTTGTTTGCGATACTTGAATAGCTTTTTCAAGATCTGCCAAGTCCCCTGTTAAATGGAACTTATATCCAAGAACAGTCGCCAGTTGGTTAGAATATTCAGGCCAGTATTTGTTACCTTGAGGCGTCGCGCCAACGGCTGCCTCCGATATCCGAATAGCATCATCAAGATCCTCACGTTTGCCAGTTCTCTTATGTCTTCTTCCATACTGGACTCCAAGATTATGTGCGTGCATTGGCCACCGCCGATTGTTCTCAGGCGTTGCGTTGACAGCAGCATCTAGCCGTCGTATCGCTTCGTCGATGTCGGACCGGTCATCTGTCATCTCGGCCCTATTTCCGAGAAGTATCCCAAGCAAGCCCACATATATTGGCCAGCCCATATCGTCTTCGTGGCTTTCATCGACAAGGTCTTGTGCTAGTTGAAGCGCCTCCTTCAGGTCGTTCGCGTCACCGGATTCGTGGTACTGCCGGAGGAATTGATGCGAGAGATTATGTACATGCATACCCCAAAGTTTATCCCCTCGGTGGGTTGCGTTAACAGCTGCTTGGGCAGCCCGGATCGCTTCGTTAACCTCGGTCATGATTATTTCGACACGTCAAAGGCTATTTGGGCGTTCCAGCAAAAGCTACTGGTGATTTTGAGACGCTCGAGTGGTAGGAAAATCAGTCGGAGCTATTTACATGGAGAACACCAATGAGATAGCTGGTGGAGAGGTAGTCAAAGCCCCGCAGCCAAACGCAGCCTCACATGCATCACGGTCCTTGTAGAACCAAACATTGCAGTAGAAATTTTATCACGTATTTCCGAAGCTAGTACTGTCGCGCTAGTTGCTTGATGTTCTATGTGTTTGATGTAGCGTGAAGCAATTTTACGTCACCTTCTATTCCGCGAGCCACCACTGCCGTATATATTTCGATACCCGTTCTTTGATATTGATGGACCTTATGTTAAAAGACGGAAGGAGGGCGAAAGGCCGCAACTCGACAGGACATCTAGAATTTTGTCACGGTGATTGAATTTTTTTTTAAATTTTGTTTCCTATGTTGTGCAAACCTCCAGGTAACATTAGACCACTTACTCAAACAAGAACCCGGAGGCTACCAATAAATCAACCAACGTTTCAGCGGAACTACCCACTAATTAGCACTAATACTCATCGCATTAATGAGTGCATAATTTGAGTAGTTATACCATATCCAACTCGACTTCCCTAGGTTACTCTGGTTCGCAAATGGAAACAGAGCTGATGCCGTCAGGGTTGTAAGGTGCCACAGATTTGAATCCGAGGCCCCATGTTTCGCACTGATCATATAACTCGCAGAAACAATGAATAACCATGTTACGAGAAAAGCTTGTGGGGCGTTAGTAGGTGGATATGAATGGAACGGCGGCATGCGTAGCGGCCTTTATAGGGAGATTAGTTAGCTGAATCTTGTCATTTAATCTAGTCCAGACTAGAACATGAACTTCATCTACACGGCGCATAAGGCGATTGCCTATCTGCCTTACCCGAATGTTCCTCCCATATCCAATCGCCGTTTCCGCCTCTTAGTGTACCCAAGCATAATGTATGGCAATGAATACATACATGATCCGCCCCATAATGGCAACAATACCACAATTGCCACAAACGGCACACCACAATTTACATTGCCTGCACAAGTTGCCGAAAGAGATAAAAGTGTTCTTAACTATTCAGTGCGTCAACATCGGTTACAGTGCTGTTTGTCGTCCAAATTGATATCGGCTCTGTTGCTTCTATTGCAATGGCCGTACAGGTCAATCCTATGCGCACTATATCGTGAGGGGCCGAGGATACAATTGCCGTGAAAACCATCGAGTCAAACTCCGATGATGGGGCTCGGTAGCCAAGCCTGAGGTGATTTGCATTTGGCACTCAAAGCCACCTATAACAAGTGAACCCTGGCATATGCTCAAAGACTTACGCAGGCTGTTTGAGGATGATCGATTCCTCTGGATTGATGCGATATGCAGTGACCAGGAAAATGACCATATACGTAATCACCAAGTCGGGCAGATGGGAATTATCTACAATCGTGTCGAGCGCAATAACTTCTACCTCGGGCCTTCAACGGATTGGACAAAAGAGTTGATGCACGTTTTCGTTATACTACGGAAAATATCCAAAGACGAATTCTAGAAGCCTAAAGATCGACGATGGAAGAAAGCTAGTAGTCCACATGAACTTGATAATTAGGACACTCAATGTCGACAAGAAAGATATAGCAGATCCGCTACGTCAGGACGTAGCAGAGTTCTCACAAGGTCCTAGTTCCGACGAGTGTGGATCCTGCAAGAGGTTGCAAATGTTGGGGGCGCATCTCATAGAAATCCTCCGATTTTGGGAACCTAAGTCTCACACTTCTGCGATTTTCCGTGTTAAACCTCGATATAAATTGCCTGGATGCCAGGTGTGACTGTTGACTATGACTCGTCAGCCAATCCAAGCGACGATGGCACATCATTTGTAAGTTCTTCTGAGAGACACGCGATGTGGTTCGTCACGATTGGGCTGCCAATTATCATCCTCATATTGGTGGCAAGGCGCCTGACTGTGTGTTGTCGTCGGCCGGGAAGGCATAGAGTGGACAGTTGTCGGACCAGAGTGGGGGCTTCTGATGAACTGGATGATATACCAAGTTTAAAAGCCGTCGATATCATGAGGAGGCCAGGCGCATGTGAAATTCACACCGGCTTGTTTCTGCTTTTGAAACCATGTCCGCATCTGGGTAATTCTTCTGGCTAAGGCTAAACGGTGTGCGATTGTTGCCGCCACGAGAAAAGAAAAAGGAAAAGGTGCGGAGGCTGAGAGATGCCGGTGCAGGTCACGTTGTCCTCGATCAAGACCTCGAGACTCACGTGGCATAATTATTCCCCGAGGGTGCTGATGTGGTTCTCGAGCTTGTAGGCCCTGGTATTAGTACAGCGAGCACTGTCTGTCACTGGCAGATATGGCAGCGTGGTCTGTACGAGCGTTCTTACCAAGCAATGAGGCATCAAAAGTCATCAGCCAGCAATGATACCCGCATATCGAAATCTTACGATTTACACCAAAACTAACGAGGGGGGTTTGTGTTATGAGGACGGAGAGCTGGAAGAGGTCGAGCCAGTGCTGTAGCACGTAATCAGCGAAGTTTAAGATGGCGTATTTACACAGAAGATATTACTTGGCAAGGTCCTTGAATATATCGAGATTTGAAGCGAGCAGGAATGTATGGATAATAACAAGTCAGTCCAGAAAGTGGTAACCATGATTCTCTAGCTGTCGTCTGGATAATAAAAGGAGGCGAGCTTTGTCTCTACCAAAGCTACTTTGTTATATTATAGCCAACCTAACCCTCCACATGAACAGTGGCTATTAGCAACCAGAAAGCTCGTTATTAGTATTCATTAGGATATTTAATGGTCGGTGTTGATCAATATAGATAAACTTTTCGTTTTATTGTCTTGTGAAGTTTGACTCGGATAAATGCTTGCCATTTCCCACTATTGCTCAACGCTATTCTTAGTGACGCCAGCGCTACATTAAGCACATCTATTGTTTACAGTATACTATCGATATTTGCGCTTATTTTCGAAGTAAATGGAGCTTCCATGCATCGAAGCGTCGCATACACTTAATAATACACTCGTAAGTTCATTCAAATTTGTTGAAGATCTTGCCCCCTCGGTGCTTTTTCTCCCAACTCTTTAAATGATGATTTTGACATGGACCAATTTTGCACCTACCAAAAGTTAACCTCCATGTCTTATTCGACATGACTGTATCATAAACCATTATCCCATACCCAACATGAAGGAACCGGCAAAATCTCACTAGGCTCTAATCTTTTTATTGAGATAGCAAAGAAATTTCGAGCATTGCAATCCGCAATGATCTAAGACTGGACAAATCGGCCATATTTCATTAAGGCTTCCTTTGACATACACTCTCGGATCACGCTTCTGCCGTGCAATGTTGTTCCGTTCCTTGTTATAAACTGAAGAAGCTAAGGTCGTGCTCCTGAGTCCATGACATTGAGGTCAACTTCTACGCCATCCTATCTCATTATATACTAAAATTCCCCAATGTAATAACTTCATGAATACTAGATAAAATTATCATGAGATAAATGAATTGTTGAGAATTTTCTATTTTTGATCGAAGTCTTGTTGCGGTTCAAGAGGTGGTGCAGCGTCTTCACGCTGGACAACAGGGCCGTGCATACTGGGACGACCCACACAGAGTGATGAACAATAGTTATTGGAAAAGTGGGAGAGGTCAATGAAATCACTCATCCTTTCCGAGGTAGGCGGCAGCTCTGACTGCAGTACGTGTAGGGCTTCGATATGTGACTACGTACAGTGGTCATGACGGAGCTCTGATACGAGGTGAAAAAGAGACATGGAAATCTGTCGCAAATCGCACATTGTATCTAGTCTCTAAGAGGCTACCAGGCTACCAAGCGAGGCATCCATTACATGGCACTACTTGGGTGAGGATCTGGTCTAAGAACTGTGGTCATAACGACTTCTGATGCAGTGGCCACCAACCTCTTGGTGGGTGACACGACCACTAGGAGGTCTCAGCGCTCTGAAACTGCACACAGTCATGAAAGCAGGTAGTCCCCCTGACCTCTCCTCCTAAGAATTGGAATGGCGGAGTTGCTACTCTTACAGCAAATGTTGTGTGGAAGGATATCATATTACTTTGATACACCCGCTTGGATCCGATTAGATGGCACGTTTTGAGTAATGGAGGACTGATTCAAGAGCTAGGCCGGGCGCAGATTTACTTTGTGCAAGGAATGCCGTTCGGATTATCACAATAAGAATTGCGCACCCTAGTCAAATGTGTCGGATGCGTTTCCGGACGTATTGGCTATACTTGACCTTGCTACGATCCGTGGACAGTGGCGGACGGGCTGGCCGATATTATATGCAAAATTGTTTCAAAAGCTGCATGAGTTGTCCTAAGACTGCAGATACGGGAGTGGCCTGCATTTTTGAGCCAGGATTAATATTCACCTTCAAGGAGCGTTTGCGGCTCATTGTGGAAATTCACCAACGCCCATGTCCGAGTGCCAAGGCTACATAACCACTGGACCACATCTCCGTGCAGCACGTCCTTGAAGATCGCTACTTGTTCCTATGTATCGCGAGTGATCAGAAGGTGGAGCCTTGGTGATTCTATCCTACCCTTGAGAATTAAAGAGAAGGATTTCCTGATCTGGGTCCGGGGGACATTTGAGTTTGTTCCGAACAACACAGTCGTGAGTCGAGCATTCCATAAGGAATATATATCCAATTCTCAGGGAATGTCAGAATGAGGCTGTAGTTTGTGTCATCATCCATTGTAGCTATCAATACATTACCAATGTCGATTCAAAATATTCAAGACATGATGGGTGATCGCTCGTGACAAACCCTATAGCTGTAAGACAACGTCGTAAATCCAAAATTGTTCACGCATAGTTTCATACTTGCCGGGACAGGTGAAAATAGGTGAAGATCGTGCTGAAGATTCCCAGTGAATTTGCCATTGTCAGATGTGGCGCGGCTAACACTTCTCCTGCATATTAAATGCATGATGTAATGTGAATGGAATTGGCGATGAACACGTACAACCCAGCGAGCGATTTCCACTGGCGGGGCTTATCTCCGGCGCACTCGATTCTCGGAAGCCCTGGTCTTGGGGCGCCTCTATAGATTTATCCCCTCGGCAGATGATGGACTTTGAAGATCCCTATTACCACTTTGCAGAACCGAAAACTCTAACGGAAATTAATGCGACGTCTTTGTTTTGCTGTTTGACAGCGGCATCCGACATTTGTTCATTACGCAAGTCAAGTTCGAAATGCAGAATCGGTGCAGCGATGTTGCAGGGGTCACTGTATCCACCAATGCAACACGTTCGTGATAGCAAACATTTTTGGTCATGGGTTCTGGGTTCTGGGGTCTGTTGAACTCAAGGTTGCTCCGGTGGATTCGTTCATGCAGGGTTAATGATGTAACGGGCAGGATGCATGCTGCGCAGAATCTTTCTAGAAACATTTTGTTCCCCTTAACCCAGGGAAGCTGGGGCAAGGTCTTGACCACGCCGATGTCTGCCCCCTTTTCAGGCATCGCGAAATAGCATGGCGGATTCCAATTAGTATGCGAGCAGACGCCCAGCAGCAGCACGATGGACGGATGTTGGCCATCAAGGACCTCCCTGCGTCCGCGCGTAACAATATCAATTGGATGTACGTGTAATGAGAGCAACCATCAACTAACTACAGGAACGACCTCGGACTAAGCCCTTAATTCAAATGACATTATCAAAACTGGTGTGGTTCGGTGCTGCGAAGGAGATTCTTGTTTGATGGGAGACAAACATTGGGTGTAAGGCTGCATATCATCAGGCTCTGTCTCAATGATTTCGGTAGGACAGAATCTGCGACACAGTGAGATAACATAGCACAGCAGGTGGTTTCGGTGTTTCCTAGAGTTAGAATTTGACTGCAGTCTTGGACATTGCGAACCGTGGAAATGGGATTCAGCCATTGGTATTGGCTTACCGCTTTGTGCTCGTGTGCACCCCACGCAGCGTTTGGAGCAGGTATTGGTACCTTGCATCTGTCAAGCATTCGTCTGAGAACCTTAAAACCTCCGGAGAACGCTTGCTAAAATGACTGCCGATTTGATTGAGGGGGGCACAGCTGCATATCCCTCGCCATCTCTCACAGTAATGGGCAGGAACACAGTGTCTGTTAAAAACAAAATGGGATGTCTTGAATGAGGGGGTATTCCAGACTCGTTGGGGATGTCGAGATGCCCGGCGAGCAGGATGCATGGCAGAGTTATTCTTTCTCGAGGATATAAACCGGATGTATGATGCCAGTTATATTTCAGCGGATTTAGTTCCGTGGCTGCTGAATAGGTATCGATGCCTGAGTCGCTGACCTTTTGCACTGGCTTCGGCTAGCTGTTAGCCCACGCGTCAGACAATCGAGATTAATACTCAGGTTAGACGAGGTTAGTCTACTGTAAAGTATTCTCACTCATATATTCCATCAGCCTCGAGTGCTGATCGGATGGATTTCGCAGGAGACTCAGGCGGCCATGCATTCGCTGCTTCTTTTCTGAATCACAGGAACTGTCGGATCCCCATCTCAAGTAGCGCTTGTCTACCTCAAAGTCATAGAGAAGGGATTCCCTGTTGTTATCTGTGGAGGGATACCTAGTACTATCAACGACCATGGGCGGCACGGGTCCTGCAAGCCTTGCATTACGCCCGTCTAGGACTAACAGTGAAAGGCTCAACCCGCTAGGTTCTTCGACTCCACCTCATGCTCAGTTCCAAAAGGGCGCCGGCTCAGTCGTGGCGGCCTCTCCATTAGTATGGTTTCGTTGGTTCCATGGTCCTTGTCCGCACCCGTCGCAATTGACTTCCTCTTCCTGGAGCAGCTGCTGGGCTTGCGACTCCCATCCTCTGTCCTTTCCCTCTTTTGTCCTGTTCTAGGTTACTTGGTACGGATCCGTAGGGCCCCCCATAGTCCAGTTGGCAGTTTGTGTTTAGAAGAGGCCTTGCCGGTTTCTCTGCGCCCCGACTCGCATCGCACATGTACATCAATGAGCACACACACCACGCACACATACCTTAATGTCGTCCTCTGACCCTATGGCTGTACGTGCAATCTACTGTACAGACATCAGCCTGGCCCTGACACCGTATCTCCTTGCTCAATATCCAGGGTCAATTTTAGCTCCAGTCTGTCTATATAGGGCTGTGGGCTTCCCGCATGGGACTTGTCGGGCTGGTTCCTCCTACAGAGTGAAATGAGCAATATTAGTGTCTGGGATCCGCTTGTCCATGTTTGATATCTAACCTCACCAACATATTTCGATTTCATGCGCTAAACTTCCCCTACTTTGTACACTTACACTTGGCCTTTCCAGACGGACTGACTGAGCCAAATCTGCCGCCGGTGCTCCCAACGAAGAAGAACATTTTCCAAACATAGACTCCATCTTCACCCTTCCCGAGCCGGCTGAATCTCCTGAATCCGTCGTGCCGCTAGTGGACCCAACGTCACAACCTCAGAACTTTCCGGCGTCCCAAGTCCCAAGGGGGCCCTTCAATCCCAAGTCTTCCCAAACCCCGCGCGGTAGCCCAACCCACCCCTCTAGCAATTTAACAGCAACCTACACCAGCCTGTCTTCGGCTTCTATCAAAGGCTTGGGACGAAACATGGCGGGCGACAAACCGTCGGTGCTCATCATCGGCGGCTTGGGATATATTGGTCGCTTCCTCGCTTTGCATATCCAGAAGAATGCTCTTGCATCCGAAGTAAGGGTAGTTGACAAGGTGCTGCCGCAGCTCGCATGGCTAGCGCCAGAATTCGAAGAAGCATGTTCAGGAGATAGATTCATGCAGGCGGACGCGACGAGAGAGCGTATGTCTCATTCCATCTCCCCCATGCACTGCATACTACCGCTCGTGACACCCATCCGTCCCGCCCTCACCAGAACTTGCTAACACCAGTGTCCGCGTCGCAGAAGCTTTAGCCAAGATATTCGACCGAGCCGATGGCAAGCAATGGGATTACGTCTTCAACTGTGGCGGGGAGACGAGATACTCTCAAGAGGACGAGGTATACAAGTTGAGGTCGCTTAACTTGTCGTTGGCAGTAGGCAAAGAAGCCGCGAAGCGCAAAGTGAGGTGCTTCGTGGAATTGAGCACAGGAATGGTTTACAAGTCGGATTCCGCGCCCAGCAAGGAGGGCGACAAGTTGAAGCCGTGGAGCAAGATCGCTGTCTTCAAGCTAGAGGCTGAGCAGCAACTGGCCAAGATTGAGGGGTACGTACGCTCAAGTATGCCTTTGCTATTCTGCCACCGACTAACTTGCCCGTCTATTCTAGGCTCAACCTTGTAATCGTGAGGCTGGCGCACGTGTATGGTCCCTTTGCTTCCCAGTGGGTCGCTACAGCTCTCTGCATGGCACGTGTATATCAGCACTTGGAGGATGAGATGAAATGGCTGTGGACGAAGGACCTACGTACGAATACAGCACATATCGATGACGTTACAAGGGCTCTTTGGGACGTTGCCAAGTGGTACGATGACGGAAAGGCAAATTGGGATGCCAAAGAGATGGGTGCCACTCCGACATTCAACGTGGTTGATGAGGGTGTTACGACGCAAGGTACCATGGCCAACCTCATCGGCGAGATTTTCAGTATCGAAACTGGCTTCCAGGGTACACTCATCAGTTCTTTTGCAAGGTTGAACATGGACAGCGTCGTGGACGACGTCAACGACCAAGTCCTAGGGCCATGGGCAGATCTGCAAACAGATGCCGGCATCACGAGGACGGGGCCGCTGACACCTTTCATGGAAAAGGAACTGCTCAAGGACACTGATCTCAGCATGGACGGCTCGCGGCTGAAGAAGATTGTTGGCTTTCAATACCAGAAGCCCAAGATCACCAAGGAACTGCTGGAAGAGGTCATCGAAAGCTACAAGAAGATGAAGTGGTGGCCATGATTGAAGAGTTCGTTAGTTAGTGGATAGGCATGGGACAATGATCGGAGGCCTTCGAAGCGTTCGGCTGCTCTGAGATTGTGACTGACAATGCCTGCATCTCGGGAGCAACCATCCGATTGGAGGGGATAGGGCATTCCTGCTTGAACGCATTGCATCTTACGAAAGCAACGACAGCCATACCATGATGTGGCACTGTACGATTAGGATATCCTTTTCATTTTCTTTGTGAGCTTACTCACACGGCAGAAGTAGTAACCTATCTATGTGCGGCCTGAAAAGAAAAAAAAATTTACCGAAGGAGAAAACAAAAAAAAAAAAAGGAAGCAAAAAGAAATAGAGGGAGACAAACCATCAACGCTTAATGACATAAAATAGCCAAGAAAAGCTGTAGACTGTGGCAGACCTAGCAATTCTAGACACCCAACGACCCAGCTCTGCCAAACCAGCGTGCAACATTCCTTTCAGTGTAGTTTTCCCAAGTTGCCACGCAGGGTCGTAATTACTCGGAACGATTCAGGAAGATATTTATGTCTGATTGGGCTCGGAAGGCGGTTATTATTCGACCTAGCTATATTGGCCCCTAATTGGATACGAACTCCTTCCCACGATGGGATTGGTCTGTCATGGCTGTCGGAATCTACGCAGACTCGACCCAAAGACGTTCTGTTAATCTTTCTTGACCTTTGAGCTGCTGCTTGATTGTCGACGTCGCCATGATTGATACCATGGTCCACGGGTAGGGTTGATATTCTTGGCCTTGATCCGCTCTACTAGACTAGGAAGAACACAGGCGACGCAGATACTCAGGGCACAATCCTTGCCTTGCCTTAAAGTGGTCTTCTTTTTGTGCGTCCCAGTGTATTGGATCACAGTATACCATGTAGCAAGAGCCGTTCAGCATGCAAGCAGGAAGGGGATTATGCCGAATCTAACTCTTTCTCGGTATCGTATGCATCCTACGAGTTCTGCTCATTGCTAAAAGCGTAAGGACTAACTACATACCTAACCTAGGTACCTCCAGGGAATGACGATAAAAAAGGCTGGCCTGTGATGCTGAAGGGCAGCAGGGGAGCACCCCGCAGTCTAGCACCCACATGTCCGCCAAAACGCGATGCCATGACATGCCCCTCACCCTGGACTGGACCAGGATGGAGCTTCTTTTTGGACGATGACATGATGCCTCGGTTTCGTAAACGTCGCAAACGAAGGCATATGATCGTTAGCCACTAGGGCAGGTAGATGACAAAGTTGCATAATAAGAAATCGCCCAGTCTGCATACCCTCGCTCGGAAACAACATCAGTTGCTTCAATGGTTCTCTAAGATCCTAGAATCAGACCACTTTGAAACTAGGAGGTGCCCTACCACAATTCTTCTGCTTGTTATCTCTTTGCTTCGGCGCCAATTCCCCGTATTTATCCTTCATTACGCTGTTTCTTGACCGTCATCTTTTAAAAGATCTCCATATACATCTCACGATGGCAGCACCGGCTAACAAGACAATCGGCGACCTTGGAGGCAAATGGGTTATGGTAAGATCTCCTCGGTCTGTCCGAACTACGACAGTCACTCCCTCCCTCCCTCCCTCTCTCTCTCTCTCTCTCTCTCTCTCTCTCTCTCCCCTCCAACTTCACAGCCAACTACGTTCTTATCCGCCCGAACATGTGCCTTTCTAACGGACCCTTTCTTCAATGCAGAACAAGACCCTCTCCGACGACGTCGAGCCGGGCCTGGCCCTGCAGGGCATCGGCTGGATGACGCGCAAGGCCATCGGGCTGGCGACAGTGACGCTGCAGGTCAAGCAGTACACGGACGCGGCGGACGGCAAGCCGCACCTGGACATCGAGCAGACAGCCACGGGCGGGATCAAGGGCACGTCGGAGCACCGGACGCTCGACGACACGCCGCGCGAGCACGCGGACTGGCTCTTCGGCAAGGTCAAGGGGCGCTCCCTCTACATCGCGGCGGACGCCCTGCCCGCCAAGGTCAAGGAGCAGCTCCTGGGCGACGACTTCCTGACCGAGGGCTGGCTCCAGAGCGACGAGGAGAAGACGGGCCCCGGCGGCGCGCTGCACGTCGTGAACTGGGTCGAGGCCGAGGCCGGCTGGACGGTGGCGCAGGTCTGGGGCTTCCAGACTGTCGGCGGAGAGAGGCGGTATGCCAGGAACATCGTGATTACGAACAAGGACAAGAAGGTCGAGCTGAGATTGGTCTATGACTTCATATCGGAGTAGGGCTCCCGCACAAGGCAGCTCAAAGTGGCGCTGGTATCGCCGAGGCGACGAGTCGCATACATGAAGCCAACCCCCATGTATGGGTGTCTGTATAGACGACATGGTTCATATCGGATCACCATGAGAATATAGGTAGCCGAGGTATCCTCGCGGCGGAGGCATGTCAGTAAAATTTAGATTGTAGTCTTGATCTCTAGAGAACACCGCCCATATGCGGGTCTCTCCAGACGAGGGTTTCTATATACGTGCATGTGACTGTCATTTCTTTTTTTCTTTCTTTTTTTACTTCTTTTTCTTCTTCTCCTTTCTCCACGCACGCAAGCGGTTCGTCGCCTTCCAAGCTGAGACTAACTAATCGTTGAGCCGGCGATCGGACATGATTCGTCCCGCCAATAGTCCCTAAACGGCAAACCGAGTGTTGAATTGTCCCAAATGTCCTCGACCAGAACTCCAAGACGCCGGTAGTATGCCTTTCTATCCTCCTCAGGTGCCGTGGCACGCTCAACATGTCCACCCGTTATCGGCGGCCATCATGCCACATGTCCTCTCTCCCCTTCATGGTATGGCTCGCTTAGGCAGGTCTCCGCTTGACAAACTCCTCCAGATCCTCTCTCGTCGCAACACCAAGCACGAACCGTCTTGCCTCGTCTGTCACGACGGCGAAATCCTGCTTCTGCAGCCCGCCGTCGAAGAACTCCTCGAGCTCCTCCAGGGGCGTGGCCATGGTGATGACCTTGTACTTGCGGCCCTTGCGCTGGAACCGCGTCATGGCGGCCGAGATGGGGTCCTCCTGGCGGACCTTGCCGCTGTCGAGCTGCGCCTGGAGATGGGGGATCGAGACGTAGCCCAGGAGCGACTTGGAGGACGAGTCGATGATGGTGAGGTGGGTATACTCGCGCTCGAAGGCAGAGATCAGCGCGAGCGAGATGGGGTCCGAGGGCGTCAGGGAGAGTGCGGCGTTGGGCTCGAGGTCCTGGATGATGGCCTGTGATGAAAACTGTCAGGTTTTCGTACGGGGACGGAGAAGGGGAAACACATACGCCGCGATAACGATTCGACCATTTGGATACAAAGGGCTTGCTGCCGATGCCCAGAGGCGAAGGCCCAATGTGAGGGGCCTTCATGGAAAGTGCTTGTGCCATGGTTCGGTGGGGGGGTTTTTCCTTTTGGTGTTTGCACAGGGTGGCTCTGAGGAGGGGTCAGGGTCAGGGTCTGGCTCGGCCAGGTTGTGTGTGATCTTCTGGAAGCGCTGACGACCTGTTGATCCTTGGACTGTCGCGTTTTGCAAGAGATTGGGGACCGAAACGGCCTTGCAGGTTGGTGAGTACTTTGATTGACGCGAGCTTCCAGTATGATGTCGCAAGCGCAAGCGGTCAGAATGTTGAAGAATCAATCGATTGCTGATCTGGTGCTAGACTAGACTAACCTAACCTTAGACTTGAAGTGGGGGTGGAATTGGTCGCTTCTGCCAGAAAATGGACGCCCGCCAGCAATAATTAACCTACCGTAGCAACCTATGTACAGACCTAGGGGTAGCCTACTGTATAATACGGTAAGGTTAGGTACATGAACTAACCTAGGTCAGGGAAGCCCTCAAGGTCTACAGAATTGGGGAGATTCGGCCGGGAAGCCCTCAGGAATGGAAAGCAAAAGCACAGCACCTTATATAGAGTACGCACTGTAGCCACTTTTACGACGGGGGGCATGAAATGCATAGTCCAGTCCAAATTCATGATCACTTCGAATTCATGATTGTCGAAGTGTTAGACAGGTGGTCAAACGAAACCCCGGTTATTTGATCCCCAGATCCGACAATCCCGTTCTGCTGTTGGAAGCATGGGCATCATAAGGATGTATTGTAGTCCTAGACGCCATCCGTTTATCCTTATCGCAGCTTGGCAATCCATCGCCTTATTTATGATTAACTCCATACAGAACTGTACTTTGTATGATCCCCCGAAGGACCGTTGACCGGCAGCAGCGGCAGAGTGGATTCAGCTCGGAAAGTATGTGCTGTGATTGGCTTAACACAGCGCACTAAACTGCGAATCGACGCTGCTGCAACGCAGTCTGGAGCTGTAAGGCGGGAACAGTGGACCCGGATGTTAGCTACGGGGCTATTTACCAGTGTCGCTTCAGCTATTCCTGTCGAAAACAAATCAAGGTACACTTAGCAGTCAGAAAATGGGAGATTTGGCATTCTTGCATCCAATTGCATGTGCTGTGCGGAGTAAACAAAACAAGGGTGTAGGGGAAGCTTTGCGCGACTAAGCCCGATGTCGACCCCGCCGACGTCACAGGTGAGGCCGTATTCCAATCAACTGAACACCCACGTTTATCTCCGGCCCTGCTTGGTGTTGGAGTCTCATCTTGCCGGTCTCGTCACACCCACCTGAGTTCTAATCTCTCAACTCTTCTTCATCTTCAACTTGTTGTTGACATCTCCCTTCTCGCTGCAGGCTCAATTCCTCGAGATGTCTTCGCTGTTTCCTGCCCGGGACACCATCCAAAAGAGCTTCGGCTCTCCCTACACCCCACAATCTAAACCCTCCCCATACCAGGCACGCCCAGAGCTCTATGGAGCTTGGTCGGTTGTCGACGATGCAAAGAGCAAAGCTCAGCAGTTGAGCAAAGAAGCTCAAGCTGAGCTCGACAAGGCGAGCTCAAAGGTCAAGGCCAAGGCTGGAAACATTGAGCTATACTCTGGGAGATATTATGCTGCGTGCACCATTGGTGGTCTCATGGCGTGTGTATGTCACTGTCCTCACTTCTCAAACTAATGACACATTCTTTTGGCCGTTCCGATTTCTAACCGCAGACACAGGGCCTTACCCACACAGCCGTCACTCCCCTGGATTTGGTCAAGTGTCGTCGTCAAGTTGACTCCAAGTTGTACAAGAGCAACTTCCAGGCATGGGGATTGATTTCGCGTGCCGAGGGTCTTCGAGGCATCTTCACCGGTTGGAGTCCAACTTTCTTCGGCTACTCAGCTCAGGGTGCCTTCAAGTACGGGTGGTACGAGTACTTCAAGAAGACCTACGCCGATCTGGCTGGTCCAGAGGCTGCCTACAAGTACAAGACCGGTCTCTACCTTGCCGCATCTGCCTCTGCCGAGTTCCTCGCCGATATCGCGCTTTGTCCCTTTGAAGCTGTCAAGGTCCGCATGCAGACGACCATTCCCGCGGCTTACACTGGCACTCTCGACGGTATCCGCAAAATCACGGCAGCTGAGGGCTACGGCGGTCTATACAAGGGCCTATATCCTCTCTGGGGCCGTCAGATTCCTTACACCATGATGAAGTTTGCTTCCTTTGAAACCATCGTTGAAAACATCTACGCCCGCATGCCCGGAAAGAAGAGCGACTACGGCAAGGCTACTCAGACTGGTGTTTCTTTTGCTGGTGGTTATGCTGCCGGTATCCTCTGCGCCATTGTTTCACACCCCGCTGATGTCCTGGTATCCAAGCTCAACGCAAACCGTGGGAAGGGTGAGGGCTTTGGTGCAGCCGTCGCCCGTAACTATCGCGAGATCGGCTTTGGTGGCCTTTGGAATGGTCTCCCGGTCCGAATTGTCATGATTGGAACTCTTACCGGCCTGCAGTGGATGATATATGACTCCTTCAAGATCTCCATTGGCCTTCCTACCACTGGTGGAGCTCCGCCCCCAGACAACTTAAAATAGACAGCGTGACCAGACAAAAAGGAGTGCTAGGACAAGACAAGAGAATATATGGCGTGTATGAGAATCGGTGTGTCTATACTATTGGAGTTCTTTCAGTTTCTCATAGTTGTCCTCTGATAACAACACAGCATGACTGCAATTTCTATATCCTGGACACTGTTCAATTTCTCGGCGATCGTAATGTGGTCCAAGGAGAATCTATTGCAAAATGATTAGGTGCATGACCTAGAATCCATCTCTCCGATTTCGTACCCTGTTCAGTCTAGGCAGGTAACTTATATCACATCGGCATTTCTGTCAGCTGACAGGCCGGTCAAATATGTCTCTTAAGCCACACAGTTGACTGGCAGAGACCGGAGAGTGCAAGTGGGGGTCCAGTACCATGGAACTCGTCGTGTTTTAGCCCCCTATGAGGTGACAGCATATCGGTCGTGTCATATGATACACAAAGAGTCGCCAAGGGCGGGATCCATGTATGGAATAAGAAGTATCCGTCCCAAGAAACCTCCGAGTTCTCATGATCAACACGCCTTCTTGTGCAACGTCATAAATAATTACCAAGTTTCGTAACAACCAGCCAATTCAGCATTTCGTGCAACAGCATTACTATGGGAATTATACTGCTAAGTTTAGGCCATTTTGTGCCAGCTGCAGCTGTTCTCTTGGCACTTTTTTTCTTTGGTTTAACTATACATCGTCTCTGGTTTCATCCCCTATCGGGGTTGCCCGGTCCCAGACTAGCAGCCTGTAGTTATTGGTATGAGTTCTACTTCGACATATTCCAGCCGGTCCAATATTTTTTCAAGATCCAGGATCTACATAATGAGTAGGGTGTGTTGTCTCTGGCAAGGTCGCTAAAAGAGCATAGATGTGGCTGACCTTGATCTCAGGGCCTGTTGTGCGCATTACACCGGCAGACGTATCGATCTCGGACCCAGAATTCGAAGACACTATATACGCCCCTGGTCCGGCCCGTAAGCGTGATAAGGACCATGAAAAGGTCACGGCCCTAGGGGTCAGTACATCCGTCGGCGGTGCTATAAGCCATGATCTTCACCGAAGGCGACGTGAAGCACTCAACCCCTTCTTTTCTCATTGAAAGGCCATGGGGTTCGCTTCTGAACTGGAACGTAAAGTTGTTGAACTCGAGTCTCACTTCCACCGAGCGAAATAAAGTGGCAAGGCCTTGAATTTGTCTGATCTCTGCTTTGGCTTTGCAAACGAGTGAGCCTCCCTCTGTATCCCTATAATGAGTCCCGCATGCTTATTTTCCGCTAGCACCGTTAATGAGTATCGTTTTGGACAAAGGCAAGATCTCATGAGCGAATCAAGGCTGGCTCATTATAGACGTCAGAATTTCGACAGCGTCCTTAGAGCCGTGAAATTCAATCTCTACTTTTCCTGGATCAGGGACGTGATGCGCCACTTGATGCACCGCCTTCCGTTGGCAATTGCAAAGTTCATGACGCCGCCTGGCATCCGTGATATGATTGAGGCTCGCATCCATGTTCGACAGAAGATTAGTGTCATTCCTAGACCCAAAGCAGAGCTCGGCACGGCAAAAGACGGCAAATCGACCTCGGAGTCTAATTTCCACGAGTTGCGGAATAAGCCTAATCTCCCCGAACCCGAGAAATCAGCCCAGAGACCTGAGGACGAAGCCGTCTTGCTGATAATAGCGAGAACACAGTCGACACAACTTGCACTGACCTCGGGCCATTACCAGGAGGCACCAGATGGCCTTCTCGAGAGGCCCGCGCATGTGCGTTGGCATGTATCTCGCCAATGCGGAGTTGGTGGCCTCTATCGCAGCCATGGCCCTGTGGGACATGGAGCTTTTTGAGACGAGTGGTATAGACGTGGAGTTTCTTCGCGAATATCATATTGCTACCCCCGAGCTGACATCGGATGGGGTCAAAGTGCTTGTCCGGAGGGCCGTCTGATCAAGTTGGCACTTTAATCTGGTTCGATCGGATACATCAGGATATTGATCTGCTAGACAGACTCTGTCTCCTGTTTATCAGTAATTGTTTTGACTCTAGTTTCATTGGCTGGATTTATATGGTCGTAGTGGCGAGAGTTTCGACCGTATACTTCTCCTCCAAGGCACCCTGCTTGGACTACACAGTACTGTCAGGGCAAAGTCTAGAGAAACTCTAACTTATTGTTCTCAGGGTATCATGCTCTTCTTTTCGATACTCAGTTTGAATAAGCAATCATTCTAGACTACTACCGACTCACTAAAAGAACTTGGACAACGACGCCACCGAAAGGGGCCAGAATGACATTTTCTTGTTCGTGACTCTCCTAAATAGTTAGGGCCACGAGGCATCGGATAGCAATTCAGATGAAGAACGTCTGGAAGAATAAAAGGCACTGCAAGCATTTCTCTGGCTTGTATTGAAGGGAATATAGTCTAGGCAAGTCAACATTGGGTTTATGCCACCTCGTCGAACTTACCGGGACATGGGGACCAGTGGAAAATGCTTTAATGGATAGATACTATATAGCATATTTGATTTTCTATTATAGGAACTGCACACGTAAGTCTGAGCCATGTTGTCCTCAGAAACCATCAGTGAACATGGAGTTGGGGATGCCAAGATTTCTCCGAAATCTGTGCTCCACTGTCTCCCGAGATCACCGAACAATACTGATGTTCGGCATTCGGTATCGAAGTAACGCGAAAATTCAATGGGTTTCAAGACACTAACATGTTGTTCTTGTGATAGACTATGTGAGCTGTAGAACTGACTAACCTGAGGTAGCTCATCAGCGGTGTGACACACCCGAGATGCCATCTACGGTGTGTCGTTCTCAAGTCTTGTCGGTTCTTCGTAAATTGGGGAGGGGGGTTCCACGAACGTACATCTGATAGTGACAGCTGCATGGTAGAAGTCAATCGCTCTGAATCGGCCAATTAAATGGACCCTTTCGGCAGTTGGCTTCCTAGAGAAAGCTGGATCACGAACATTGGTGGGCACAAAACACAAATGCATCATGCGTGATTGGTTGCTTTCGAGAGCTGTAGTACAGATAGGCTATCCTGAAAGCTTGGCACAAAGCTTCACGATACCAGCGGGTCCGCTTTTGCTCCGGGCAGCAACACAGATAGTGCAAGCGAGACGAGGCCTCAAGCAGGTCGCTTACAAGCAACTCGCATGCATGGGGGCGCAAAGTTGCAATATTGTTGTCGCGACGCATACATATGTACGTCATGACTCCTCTTGAGTGGGTATACGAACACGGTGACGACCATGTAGACAGGGGTCTGTGGTCCATTTATAACAAATCCGCAGTCTGGATTACAAGCTAAAATATCTGCCATGTACGTTGTATACTGAGCAACTGAGGTCCTTAAAACAAAAACAGAATGGCACCGGCAGAGCCTTTCGCGATTCCCTTCAGGCAGAAGGGCGAGGAGCCGTACTTTGAGGAGGAGCGCAAAGGCTGGAAGGGTTATGTCGAATGGGAGAAATACCCCGAGAGAAAAAAGAAGGCTGCTCAGATTCTGAGCAGCTATGACTTCCCTGCGGTAAGCGCAATATGAACATATCACACTCCTGTGCCGTATCTAGATTGGCTGACTCCCCCCAGGCCCCCGAGTTCCAGCTGAAACCGCTGCCAGACACAAATCCAGTTCTCACCGGAGAGCGCTTCAAGCAGTATCACTATGCATTAGGATCAACTATAAAGGACCTTCCGGATATTAGTTGGAAGTATGTGCTGGAAGAGAAATCCGAGGACATGATCCACGTGCTCCAGTTCCCGTACAACGGCGAACCCCCAAGGGTGAGTCTGTGTGAAATTTGCAAGAAGAGCAAACCAAACTAATTCCATCGCAGAAACGATTGGTGGAAACCGAGATCACCTCGAACAAGGACCATTTTGTGCGAAACCATGGTGGAATTCCAGAGATAGACCCGGCAGAGTACTTCCTTGACATTGGCGGCCTGGTCAACGACCCTAAGCGGCTGACTCTGGCGGACCTACAAAACGAAGAGCTCTTCCCTCGGCAGTCGAATGTCGTTTCGCTTCAGTGCTCGGGAACCCGTCGTATCGAGCAGATTCACCAGTACCCGGGTGACGGTGATGAGCTGATCAACGCACCCTGGGGCGAGGGTGCAATCGGCACGGCCCGTTGGACTGGTGTCAGCCTCAAGAAGGTCATCAAGTACTGCGGTGGGCTGAAGGATGATGCCGACAACATCGAGTTCTTTGGTGCAGACACCTACGTGAAGAAGGGCCAAGTGTACAACTATGCCGTCAGTGTACCGTGGAGGAAGGTCAAGCTGAACGAGGTGTTGCTTGCTTGGGAGATGAACGGGGAGCCTCTTCCAAAGATCCATGGCTTCCCGCTTCGTACCGTGGTTTTCGGCTATATCGGTGCCAGAAGCTGCAAATGGCTCTACGAAATCCGCGCCATCAAGGGGCCGAGTGAGGCGCCCGTACAGAAGAAGGAGTACCTGTACTACACTCCCCAGATCGGCAAGCAAAACGCTCAGTACAGCAACGGCTTCAGCATACAGGACATGCCAGTTTCGTCGGCCATTATGGAGCCAAAGGATATGGATCAGATCATCCATGACGGTGTGATTAAGCTTCGCGGATGGGCCTACAGCGGTGGTGGTCACTGGCCCATCAGAGTTGAAGTGTCTGGAGATGGTGGTTCGATTTGGTACGAGGTACCATACGAGAAGATGAGCACGAAGTATTTCCATGCTTGGAGGCTTTGGGAGATAGACATGCCCGTCGATGCCGAAGGTTGGCTTGAATTTTGTGTCAGGACATGGGACAACGCCCTAAACACCCAGCCAACATTCGTAAGATCTGCTTGGTGAGTTATTATGATAAGAAAACGAAGCCAAACACTTTCACTAATCGTTGCTAACTACAGGAACTGGGATCTTCATGTTACCTCGTCATGCCATCGTATCAACATTTACAGTATGAACCGCTCGCGGAAGTTGACCAGGAAACGCTTGGATATGCTTGAGCAAAAAGGCCTGCCGATCGTGCCGATCACGCACCCACTTGAGATCGACTTGGAGTCGGACGAGGACTATGCGAAAGGCATGGAAGCTAGAGGCGGCAGAGACCCCAAGGAATAGCTTTAAGGGGTTCGTCCTGCAAAGTGCTATGGAGATGGTTGGCCTGCGAAACAATTCTAACTTGACCGAGACAAGGCGTCGCCTGCGATAAAACCGTCGGCGAAAGCGGTTTACCTCGGAAAGATTTCCTTATTAACGTTGCACCTGGTGCTGTCATGTCTGTAACCAGTGTAGTACCAACGTCCCGGTTCCAGTTCACACCTAGTATACAAGGCGAGCCCACCGTAGTGGATAGTAACGTGAAACTGCCGACTAAGCTCTGCTCCTAGAATTGCGCCAAGCTACAGGCAAAATTGGACTCGAATAAATACTGCAGAAAAACTTGGTATAGCACCCCTCTTGCCCTAAACGCCGTATTCATACATCCCGCTAGATCGATGTCTTCTTCGTTCCCGAAGTACTCAGCTGCTTCTTTTACAACGGTCGATGATCCATAAAGTGCAACTTATGAGTCCACCGTGGCAGCTTCTTGTTCTTTTCGTAAAGAAGACCACAGTTGGCACAGAGTGACTGTCCTGTAATTAGCCTCAAAGTTCGCAGGGGTTAAAACAGAGGAAGGGAGGAGGGAAAAATAAAATAAAAATTAGATGGCATTGCGCATAGTGACTTACTCTAGGTCCGCTCGGGCCATCACGAACTGCCCATACGCTTGTGCCCCAGATGCAGCAATGTGTGCAACGCCAGTGCAACCTCTCTTGATCTGCTAGCGAGCCAGCGCCTCCACCACCATAGCCGACATCAGGCGTTCCCCATCCGCCTGGGGTTCCGCCTCTGGCAAGCGGGCTCAGACTCCTGAACCTCCGCTTCTTCTTTGATCTTTCACCTCGTCCCATGCGCTCCTCCTCCTCTTGCGCACCAAAGATGGCACCCATCGGTGTACCACCAATCATACCAGCAACGCTACTGAAACGGGCAGTCTCACGACGAAGGCGGCGTATCTGCCGTTCACGATCACCCTCACGCTTTTCGATTTCATCTTTGGAGAGAATCTCAATCTTGGGCTCCCACTCATCTGCAAGATGCTCAGGGTCATACCGCCACCCGGCCTCCTGACCATGGGCTGCGTCGTTGGGAAACTCGGACCCTGTGGCACCCCAACCTGTAACGAGCCCACCTGCCTCACAAGCCTCTTTCTTTAATCGCAGAACCGCTTCGTAGATGGCGTGCGTCAAGGCGGGCACCCACTCTCCAGCAAGGCCAAGATCCATGCATGTAACCTTGGCAAAGGCTTCGGCGGTTCCAGGCGGGTGCAGCAGAGACCACTCGAACTTGTCAGTATACAAGTTTGAGCCGAGGTTGAGGTTCAGGGTAACGAGACACCGATACGTATCGTCTGGACTGAAGTCGTCGGTGTCGTCGGCCGTTATAGGGGTGGCTACGGCCTTCACCTGCGGCGCATGAGACGTCGGTGCCTTGGCTGGCGTTTCAGCTCCATTCGTAATCGGTGTGTCGGATCCGCCGATATTACCACCGGGAATCTGAAGTGGCGTTGCAGGAATAGCAGGACTGTCGCGGGCAACTGCTTGGAGGGCGGCGGATACGGCCGTGGGATTGCCCGTAGGAGCAGTAGACGCCGCTTCTGAGTGGAATAGAGGATGCAAAGCCACACCTGCATACTCCTCGAGCTGGGTACGTATTTGTTTGCTGATCTCGTTGGCAATAGCGACCTGGTTGGGGAGATCGAGGTCCTGAACCAAGGTTGTCGCAAACTGATCGGTAGTGATGACAGTCTCATGCAGATTCCACAAGAATATGTCCCTCAACTTGTACGGGATTACCATCTCGCCTGACCTGTATAGTGATGCATCCATCTGAGGCGTGACCTGGGTGATTCCCCTGGGCAGAGGGAATGGAGCGGCGGGCATGAAGGCGGGAATGTCGACATCGATGCGAATGGGGATGAGGGTAAGGGGCATCTGGGCCTGGGATTGGTTATTGAGATCAGAACGCTGTTTGGCCTTGAGCATCCATTCCCTCCAGATGCCCTGGACGTTCACTGGCGCCCTGGCCTCCTTGCCAACTTTACCGGCTGCGGTGGCATTTGTACTGCTGTCCTCGCGCCGCAAGCTTCGCAAACCAGTCGGACGCCTCCTGTCATCGTCATCGTCATCGTCGTAATCGTTGTAACCATCTTCAGCGTAGTTGATGAGTATTGTGCCACGTTTTGTCGTCCGCGACTGAGGGCCGGCCACGGTGGAGGTGACGGGTGTAAGGACCGAGTTGTTGTAGGCGCGCAGTCGCGGCGCATAGCTGGACAGAAAGGCCTGAGGAGAAGTTTGGCTGTCCATTTTGAATCAATGTGTGCTGCAAGCTGCACACATGCTGTTGTCGCGATCTCAGGGAGAGGAATGCGATTATATGCAGCGTGGATGGGGAATGAATGCCCGGGGGAAAATCTGCCAAACAGAGCGCGGCAAGTACAGTGATATCAATTGATTGATGGGAGATCTGCGTCGGTTCGGCACGATGGATGCGCTTCGAAGTCGGAAATGTGACCAAGCTTAGGTTACTGTATTGTATGCTTTGTTTGGTTGTTATCACACGTCAACGTCGTGTCGCGTCATGCAGGGCGTGGAACGAACTCGTTGCGATCAGCCTCGAGATGAATTCAAAGCGCGGCTGCCAATAATTCCTCCCAGCTGACAGGGACGACTAACTTACGACCAACAAGAGCGAGCAAACAACATTGCAGCAGAGAGGGGGGAGAGCGAGAGAGAGCCAAGCAACAGCTTTGGAAACGGAAAATTGTGGCTGTGCGGTTTCTGTGGCGCCCCGTTAAACGTTCACTGAGTCCACTAACTTAACTCGGCAACCTAGTGGACATGATTTGGACAGGATCTCCATTCAGACTAAACGGCCAGACTAGACTGTCTATCCCTTTCATTTCCATGGTGCTGATCCCCTTCGTACTTTAGCAAGGCCACCTCAAGAACCTGCCTACATACAGTCACTCTCGCCTGGCTCTACCCACACAAACGGGCATTCGTCCGCACGCAAAAGATCATCTGCAAATCATCACTGGTACACACATTATACATGCAACTGAGTCTCTTGAGAATTGATATTGCTCTGATAAAACCAGCCGTCGTGCTTTAGCCAAGGCAGTATGTATGTACGGATTTGGGGTTCCCCCGAGGTAGAAATATCCAATCTCTTGCATCAAACAGTCTTCCCCATCCAAATATGCCGTGGCTCTTCTATGCGACTGATTCAAGAGAATGCAGTAATGGCCGCAGCGAAGTCGGCGTCAAGCTTGTCCAGCACAGCCTTGGCAGCTGCCTGCTGGTCCGCCGCCGTGATGCCGTAGAGGGTAGTGCCGTAGGCATCGGTCTTGCTCTTGAGTGAGTTGAGGGTGCTGAGCACAACTGAAGCCACGCCAGCCGTCTCAAAATCAGCCTCGCGTGCGACAAGCGCGTTTAGAGAGGCTGCGATATCCGGCTCGCCAGTGTTGACGATGTAGGCGATGATAGTGGCAGAGTCTGCGCTCGAGGTTACAGCCTCATCTGAGGCGTTGTCATTGGCAGCATCGATCTGAGACCCGACATTGTTGGCAGCAGTCGCGATGCCGATGGCACCGACCGTCGAACCATCCCAGGCGGTGATGGTCGAGGTCAATGACTTCGTGGAGTCGTCGATGGCTTGAAGGTCGGCCAAAATCTCCGCCGTGTCACGACGAATGACGGCGCCGAAAACGGCGGTAGCGTAAAGGGCAAGTGTTGCGAATTTGACCATTTTAGCGGCGATGTTCCACTCGAGATTTGAGAGATGGCGATATGATCTGTATTGAGTTGAATCTGATAAGCTATGTTGATGAACTGAAGTAAACCCCAGCCTCGACTTTGTGGGATGCTCCGCCTCTATATAACCCAGGGGCCTTCGCATTCTAGCGATACTCAAAGCCTACCTGCCTCTTCCATCCTCGGTAGATTTGCCCGCTGGCTTGTGATGTTCTCACCAATTCTCAATGGACTTCATCTGACCGACAGTCACATGCTGGCGAGGCACAATGCTCGTCAGTAATCACGGCATATCGTACTTTCTTCAAGCTTGGTGGTACGCGTCTACGTAAGCGAGATGCCAGGAACGCATCCCCAAGCATGCAAGAGAAGCACAAATGACCATACTCTACTTGTCTTCTCAGCCGTATCTTCAGACCTGCTATAGAGGCTAAGACTTTTGGGTTGTTTTACATTCCTGGTCAGATCATGGAGAATCCTACCGGTAGTATTAGTTATGTAAGTGCTTTACAATTCTCCTCCATTAGGGTTGCCGCATTCAGCAGTCCAGTGTTTCTACAGCATTCAACCTTGCCTTATTGGCTTGCTCGGCCTTGTTATATTACACTCCTTGAAGCGAAGATCGGCAGTCCGTCCAACGTTGTACTAGCTGCATCTCTCGCCAGGTTCAAGCTAGTAGACGAGTTATGACCGCTGTTATAGCAATGGGTCTTCTCCGCGTCTAACCTGATACATTGTAGGACCGATGCGGGGAACATGGCATTGATTCACGATTGCCGAGAAGGTCAAAACCAAGACTTGCGGGAGTTTGGCTCTCCATCGAAGGATGTTCCTTTTCACATGCGTTCAATATTCTGGTTCGTCATTTTCATTCTGGGGACTTCGGGCCGTACCTGATTTCGTGAGACCGCCGAGACCTGCGAAAGCGCCTATACCCAAAGGGTTTTTGTTGCCCTCACTTTGCTTATACCTAAGTGTGCGGTCACGCGCGTCTCGTGCACTCCTTGCGATAATGGCGAACATTGTTATTCAAAGCATCTGCCGAGACCTTGTTTGCGTAGGCAACTCTGGCGATGCACATCTTAGGAAGTGGCCAAGGTAGGTTTTTTTTTTTTTTGTTTTTTTTTGTCTATGTGGCGACCTCTGTCGCTGCGCATGGCATTGACGCCCTAATGGACGCACTGCTATATCAGAATGAGTAACCGTGCCTCGGTGAATATTTCATAGTCCTGTCGTCAATGTTGAAAGGCCATATCAGCCTCGTCCATGAGTGCTCGCATCTAGGTAACCAGCAGCGTTCGGATTCAACGGTGACGTAGTTCGTGCTGGGTTCTGCACTGTTCTCTATTCACACCACCGATGCAGTTTCCTTGCTTCTCAGCTTGTTGCACTGCTGCCGGCGCCGGTTCCTTTTCTCCAAGACGGTGTTGCCCTCTTGTTTGTCTTGTGCCAGACTTTGACAGAGCCTGGAAGCCAGGCACGGAATTCCCACTGGAAAACATGACTATTTCAATTTCTACTGTGGTACTTGTATCGATTGACCAGCTCGGATGAGGAGAGCTGGCTCGATTGATTGTTGAGGGTGATACAACAAATTGAAAGCAGTAGACTAGATAGCCAATTACATACCCACCACTCAACCAAAATTGTGGTCGTACTCAGTAACGCTAAGTTCTAAAAAGCCATCCTATTCATTAGTATATCCATATAACCGCTCAACAGCCGACTCTTGTTAAAGCAGTGTATGGCCGTGCAAGAGTAGCAGTTTTCGTAACAACCTCTTTAACCTGGCGATCGTGGAAAACCCAAAGGAGCCCATAGGGCTCTTCATTGTGATAACTGACCCTCGTCAAGTATGATTAGATCGTCAATTGGGGGGGCGATGTCTTGCATTGCTTTTTTACATGACTGTGTAGACTGTTTCCTATATTGATGGACCGCGATTACTAGGATATTTCTGCCATGTGTCTCTAAATAATACTTAATCGTTACAACCAGAACATGCTTGGTTATCAACTTGCATCGGTCAGTTATTCAAATGGTGCATGTTACGATGCGAAAGATACTTACCAGCTTGGTGTTTTTCGACGGCATACAGCACTTATGGCCATGAGCGATTGATTATACGCTTCAGCCCAGACGATCCGGACTTGGCGACTTTCCCTACACTACTGTGGATCCCGGCAAGGGTTTGCAAGTTAAGCCTATGATCTTGACGTTGATGACATGACTGGTATTAGCAGTGAACGCCCTATCATACGCTCTCCAAGATACTGGTGTGCCGCGCATCGGGAAAATTCGCAGTGCGTAGCTCCTTCCGCACCACCAAACGAATACAGTATAACAAATATCTGAGACCATCTACGTGGCGCCTAAAAGTGCACTCTGGTTATACATAGAAGCATACTGGTGTCGAACAGAGAAACTTTTGGGCCTTTCTCAGTAAGTACATGTAGATATTGGCGAGGAAGGCTCGCATGATCTCGTACTCAGATGTGGACTCTACTTTCAGCTCTCAACTTACCGCCGCAGGGAGGAACTAAATGCGGCGCACAACTCAGACAAGTTGGCGACCTAGAAGAACGCCTCGTCCAAGTTGTATCACAAATGCCACTGGGAGTGCGAAGGATGTTTGAGTACAACACTAGATGCTTGGAGGTAAATGACCTCTGACATGCGGCTGGTCAAAGAAATTTACCGTATCTTGTTAAAGAGTCTTGATCGCAACGTGGCATTTATGTTGCTTGGAGACGCGTTGCATTCCTCGACAGCCGATAGCTACCGCACGACAAGATGTAGTTTTGTGGCCCCTATATTGTAGCTGACCAGATTGCCCAAAAGATGATGGCAGCACAAAATTTACCAAGAGACGCGACGTCCCGCAGCAACCGCAGATCATGGCGGCAGCCAGGTTCAAGAGTGGCCGGTGTGGACGACAAGTTTATCGACTTGGCAATTACCAGACTGTTGAAGCTGGCAAGAGCTTGACTTACGAGAGTTGTAATATTCAGTTCGCCATCGAAAGTTTATAAATCATGTCTAGTGTTTTAAACAGAATAGATTACCTTTGCAGATTATGAATCGCAGCTGTTTAACACGAACTGTTACTAGCCCCGCTATGCAAAGCACTAACTTATGTAACCTAGTCTAGTACTAAGGTTAGACGCAACTGAAGCCACACGAGCGAGTGAGTATGCTTTACTTTCAGACGTCACTTGTCCCATAATTTGTTGAAAAGAAAAATCGGAGGTATCTTCTCCTAAAATGGCTTTGGAAGAACAGAGAAGAGAAGGCCTGACGCACTGACGTTAATTTCTTGAATTACGTTACTTATGTTGCTAAAGTTTGTGCAGATACACGAAATCTCGTGTGCATTCCAACATAGGTATAATGGCTACCAACGTCATAAGCTACCTCACTCACTGCCTTTTGTACCCCAATATCTCAGCAATCCTAAATCAGCAACGTAATCGAATCTGGCACCACATCGGAGGTACAACAGGACGTCCAAGATGACATCTAAGCCATATCAGAAAGAGCTGGACCTTGCTCTCAAAGCTGTGCATCGAGCTAGCATTTTAACGAAAAAGGTCCAACGGCAGGGGAAGGATAAAGGCGTGTCCGATAAAAGTGATGCCTCCCCCGTCACCATGGCCGACTTTGGAGCGCAAGCACTACTCATTGGAGCCTTGCACGACGCATTCCCTGATGATGTGTTTGTCGCTGAAGAATCCTCGGACATCCTGCGAGCAAACAGCGAATTGCTAGACCGCGTCTGGGAGCTTGTCACATCTGTTAACGATCTAGATGGCCTACCACTCCCTAGCAGTAAGCAGGACATGGTCGAATTAATCGACTTGGGCAGTAGTGGCAGCAAAGCAGCAGAGAGCGGGAGTGAGCGAATATGGATTTTAGATCCTGTCGACGGCACCAAGACCTTTATGACCGGTAATCAATATGCTGTCTGTCTTGTGAGTCAAAAACCAGGATCATGTAACTTGAGCCGTTGCAGCAGAACATTAATTTGCTTTAGTGCTTGATGGAAGACGGCAAACAGAAAGTAGGTGTGTTAGGATGTCCGAATCTTCTCTACGACACAGCAACGCCAATCGTGGCTGAAGATATCGTCGATGTCGACGGCAATGGACTCATCGTAGCTGCTGTTGCCGGCCAAGGTACCTTTTGTGCGCCACTCGATAGTTTCGCAGATGAGAACGCTCGCACTGCACTCAAGCTAAACACAGTGCCGCCTTATCCTGGAACCATGCGGTTCATCGACTCGATGGCGTCAGAACACATTTCGAAGCTGCACCATGAACGTCTCTACCAACGTGGATTCCCCGACGCTCCTCATCGCATGGGTGCAATCAACGATATCTTGTGGCCCGAGGATATCTCGGCAATGCAGATGAAATACATTGCCATCGCGTTAAATGCCGCCGATGCCACATTTTGGATTCCTGCTGACAAGGAATTCTATGGCTCTGTATGGGATCATGCCGGAGGTCAGCTCATCCTCGAGGAGGCCGGTGGAGTGGTCACCGATAGCGCTGGAAACCGATTTGTTTTCTCCAAGGGACGGCGAACTTTCGCAGGCGGCAATTGGGGTTTTGTGGTGGCCAGAAGCCCTGAAATCCACAAGTTTGTTTTGACTGAAGTTCAGAATTTGATCAAGCAGGGCATTTGACAAACCGTGGCTGACGGTAGGGCTCTCTGAGGGGGGCAGTAACACTTGAACAAAATACCAATACTATACACCTATCAAGTCCAAGTCAATCTCAACTTGACGAACGTCTTTGCAATTTCTATCTCGTTTCAAAGCTCTGTTCTATTTATCCATCGGTTGAATACATTCCGTTATGACTCCTTCATGGCAAGTAACCAAAGAAAAAAAGCCATGAAGGTGAGGTGTATTCGACAGTTGATTGATTCTCACCGATGAGGGAAACCGCATCCTCGACATTGACAACTGGAACATTCCTCTCCATCGACAAAAAAGGCTGCCGGGGACTTTATAACACGGCGCAGTTCCTATAACATAAAAATCTCACCTGTTATCGGGGTTTTGGGGGGGGGGGGGGGGGGTTAATTATTGCGAAATAATCAGTAAGATCTCGATTGTCTTAAATGTCGACACACGATCGATAGACTTGCTAAAAAAAAAGAAAGAAAAAAAGGTGAAAAGCGATCTCGAGAACTACTTACTATTACTGACGCTGGGAAGTATGGCCCTCGAAGCTGAAATTCTCTGCAAAGACTTCAGAACCTCCTCCCTCGACTCTCCCAAGATATCAGGTGCAAAAGATACGTTGATGAAGCTGATGGATGACTGCCCGATCACAGATGCCCTCTCAATGCCCAAAACTGCATATCCACCAACGTCGATGAGAAGGACCTTTTCGTCTTTGTCGAGGCGATGCTTACAATATCTCGAGTAGGGATCGGCTAGTGCTGACAGCTTCATGTATGATCATTTACCCTCTAAAAAGATCTTTCGACTTGTTGCTAGCTGCCTCGGTGATTCCTTTGACCTTGAATGCCCCCTGTCGGTTCTGGACCTCATGTACAAATGTCAGCCCAGCTGTCGAGCCAGGCGCTAGAACTTCAACCGTCGTATCCTTCAGATCTGCCTGCTCCGTGCTCCAGCCGCCTTCAGATCTCGAACCAGGATGTACGCTCTGCTGAGTGACTCCGCGAAGGTGAGCCTATTTATCAGGTGAGAGGTCTCGGACATGACCTTGAAAATTCGCATCACGAGCTACTTCATCATTTCTACCCTCGATCTCACTTTTTAAGCTCGGCGGTTAAGCGTCGTAGCGGTTGTAGAACGGCAATATTCCCTATTGTCTGTAATCATTCGTACGCCCGAACTCCTCGGGGTCGTCGTACGGAGCTGGTGTACTAGCAGGGAGGAGGTGCACGTCCCATCATTTGAGCATGAAATCAAGTTTTGCGTATGCCAGATTGTTTGCGGTAAGGTTCGTAACTCTCGTATGAACAGGAAGTGACGAGGCTTCTGTTGAAGGTTGGTAAGGGACATAATCTGGTAGATAAACAAGACGCTGATTGGCGTATCTCTCTTTCTCAGGAATTTTGATCACGGGTACCTCTGTCATCTTGACACATTGGCAGTCTGATTTGATTTGGGAGAAGGGGGTTGTTGCTGGAGATTGATATAAGACCAAATACGAAACACGACAAAGAAAAAGATTAGGTATAAATATTGCAATTATCGTTTCAGATAAAAGTTCATGATTCTATATAGATAACACCAGAACTCTTGGCCTTTGCAAAGGTTTGAGGCTATATATCTAGTAGATTTCGGGTTCCGGCTCAATCAACATACGAATAATAAGCGGCTGCAGTGGTTGACGAAAGCTGTCATGCATCGCAGGACCTGCATAAGTTACCAAATATTTTAGTTCTCCTGCCCGTCTGACTGATATTCTTTTGACCATGTACCATTTGTGTGAGCACCAAATTACAAAAGAAAAACAAAAAAAAAAAAACAAAAAAAAAACTTTACCCTTGCACGGGATCCAAGACCCCTAAATCATTCTGGTACCGATAACGATGGATATTGTTGGAACAGATCCAAAGACGTCGTGGTAATGCCACTTGAAATTCTACATCACAAAGTCTGGATCGATCGCCAACTTCGTTCTTTGGACGACGTCTTTGGAACATAGTAAATCTAAAAAGAAAAGGAAAAGGCGTTTTCTGAGCCAGTGAAACAGGTAATCCGGTGATTCAACTCCTGGCACAGCCAAGGTTCGAACTGGATACTTGAAATATATGAGAATTTCGAAAAGAAAACCATGGAATAAGATACTAAGTAAGCTGAAAATACAGTTTGTAAAGTCTGAGGCGTTAAGAATTGAGCCACCTGTATCTCCTTCATCTTAAATACATCGCGACCCAGCTAGTCTTCAGTATGGGTGACGCGACTTTTCACGAACACCAATAACACCTTCAACTTCAGTATCTGGGCCCAGACGTGAAGCCTTAGGAGAGGTTATCGGAACCGTGGTACGTCTGTGTGCTGATTGTTTTCGGATATATCGAGACTTTCTCTTGCTTGCGGACTGGGGCGCAAGATGCTTCGTGATGATGATACTAGTCTTGAGATGGGCGTGTAACCTGTAGTTATTGCTACTGGTGTTCTGTTAGCGGAATGTGACGATGGACTTATTATGTCGGCTAGAATCATAGCTGCTTGCGCTCACAGTGTTGTGGAATTATAAGAATGATATCGTTCAGTCATGTTATATTTTGGTGGAGTCTCAGATGGGGCACATGATGTAGGTGCGTACGCCTTAATTGGGCTGGTTCAACCTGGAGTTACCGGTTGTGGAACTTCAGTGTTGTGTACCGTTGTGGAAGCTCCAGTGGATAGGACTGGTGTGGTTGGTATATGAGTATGAGACCTTCCAACATAACTAGTGGCAAAAGCATGTTGTGTAAGTTATAGCCAGGCTGGATTAAGACCGTTTAAATGTCCTAGACTTTGGTATTAACCTATGTGCAATCTCTCCTCGTTCCAAGCTAAAGCATTCGGTTGCGGCGAGGCACTATAGCGGCCTGGAGTTTTAGCATCTGGGGGTGGAGGAGGTGCACCATAGTACTCCGACGTGGTCGAGGATATTATAGGCAAATCGGGATGTTAGTTTGTGTGAGAATTTCGCCGTGTATTGTTGTATGATATCTTATCTCAATAACACTTGTGTCTAGATGGGCAAAGTTGTTGTCGCTAAAGGACAAGATTTTAAGGCACTCCGGTTCCCTTTTATTAGCCACTTAGATCTAAGCTTCTAAGTGTGATCATAGTCTCATCGACGTCTACATATCATCAAACGACGAGGACTACAAACAGACAGTGATTGAGTATTACTATCTCGTTCATCCTCGGTTGCAAATCACTTTGCCAGATACTCCAGAAATAAGATCTTGTTGTCGTCAAGAGATTTGTCTTACATGTTTTGATCCGGTATGTGGAGGATGGTTTGGTGACTTGTCAAGACGACATACTGGGGCTACGCTCCATAGGGTGCCCTTGATAACAGGAAATACGCACTTCCCATTAGTACATGTCTAGTCACAACGATTTTGTTAACGGAAGTTGCTATTGATACAACTTTAATTTAAGCGATGGAACCGAGATCAGCAGTGAGCTGGCTAAACCTGGAAGTGGTATCTACCCGATCCTAAACACATCTCAAACAGAAATAAATCAAATATCATGGCGAGGCCAATATTCCAGCCTCGTCCAAAATCCCGCGACGCCATTTCCATATTCGCCAAGCAATGCTAGGTTAGGCTAGGTTAGGAAGTACCATTCCAATTAACGTTCCCAAGTCCTCCCATAATGTCGTGACCCCCATAGTTAAAGCCATTCAGATACGTGTCGATGTCAGTCATGCCCTCATTCTCCAAAACACCCATCAACTCAATTTGTTGAGATTGGCTCAAACTTCCTTGTCGCTCCGGAGGTAATCCAGGAAAGGTATTGCCGTTCATTCCCATCATATTGAAACCGCTATTCCCGGCATCGTTCCATATGTTTCCATTTGCATTGCCGAACGCATAGGGAGAGATGAATGGCGGTGGTGGACTAAACCAATCTGTGACAGTCGTTGCTGGCGGTAACGGCCGCTGTCCCATAAAATGGTGTTGCTGCTGTTGCTGTTGTTGCGGTAATTGTGGAATTGTGAAGGCGGGTTGCGGTGTCCGCTGTTGCTGATGTATCTGCTGTGGAGGCATTTGTTGGGGCATCATATTGGGCATGCTTATAGGATGTCCTTGTTTCATGATCGGCGTAGACGTGGCTGTTGTCGACATGAGTGGAGTGCTTAGCAAAGGCGTGGCAGCAGAGCCATTTCCGACCGAGTCTGGTGGCGTTGGCAAGTGATCTGGAGGAGAGAGCACCGGCGGAGGCGGGGAAACTGTCGCCTCTGTTCCTGGAGGAGTTGACTCTTCCAAGAGCAAATTTTCCGTTGACTGTGTGAAATCGGGTGGGAAATAGCTGAACCGCCGTCCAGTAGTTGGTTCATTTGAAGCAGGGTTGAGGAAAATGGAGTTTGAGCGGAACGCGGGCTGACTAGGGAACGAACTATCAAACGTTACTTGTTCAGGCTGCGTATCAAAAACATAGCCAAACTGTGGAGGGTTGAATGCAGTGGCAGCTGCCCCATTTTGCGACATCGTGGTGGCGTTCATGATCTCAGACGACGGCGAGTTCGTGTCAGCTTGTGAAGATGGCGTACCAAACATACTCGAATTTGAGTGCATAGGCGTGCCCCTCGCTTCATAACTTCTGAGGCATGCTTCTGAAAATTTGGCATACAACTTGGAAGCCGCTGAGGTACCCGGCCACCGTTCTGCACAAGAGTCGATGATATCAAGGCAAACATTGATGAGCTCCTGTACCTCTTCGCGCGAATGTGCTGATCGCACTTCTGGATAGCTGGCAACCGTCCACAATATGGTATTAACAGACATGTAGAGAGTGAGCAAGAATACCCATGTGATGTCAATCGCTGACGCCATGACCTGCTTGCTTGAGATGTTAATCACAAACGCAGCAGATTCGAAGCACTTGGTGGCGGAATTTGGAGATGGCTTCGGCACCTGCGGTGATGGCCTGTGAAGTGCTACCACCATGGTGTGGTAACGGCCAGTGAACCTATTACATGGCTATCAGTGTTGTCGAGAGAGCGAGATAGATACGAGGCTTGACTTACCACGGTTTACACCAAGGGGGATTTTCCGGCGTTGAGTTAATCCACTGGTCCATTCTGGACTCAATCGAGACAAACCACGGGTCACGATCATTTCGTGGTGTTGATTGCTTCTTTTCGTACAGTACTCCCCGGACCTCATTTTGGAGCAACCTCATCTTACAGAAATGGATTGCCACTAACTTGCGGGGATCTACCGCACCAGGTAATATGCCGTTTGCGGTTATGCTTCTATCTTCAATGGTGGAGAAAAATGTAACATCCACAAAGTCGTTGCTTTTCGCGAACCCGTTAGGTCGTCCCATGCTATACGCGAGACCAAATTCGTTTGTCATCACGATCCAACTGAGCCGTCGTCGTAGGTCTAGAGTTAAGGTGTCATCGATACCAAGGCCAATGGTCTTTTCGTCAGCGAGGCCCATCTGCTGACATATCCTGGTCGCGAGCCCAACAATATAGTAGACAGCGGTTCGCGTAGGTGTTAAGAGCGAATACTGAGCCAGCAGAATGAGACATTGGAGCGTCTTCAGATCCTTTGGCCGAACCACATCCTCGAAATACTGCATAGCGGACAGATAGTAGCTATCCGCCAGTCCAGCATATGTAGTGTCGAGCTTCTGCATACTAATGGCCATGACCAATCGCACAACGAATTGCTGGTATGCATCCCGGCTTCCGCTATATACATCTCGTATGGCTTCCTCGAGCTTCCTTTCATGGAGCACAGGCGTGAACACCTGGGCTACGATGTGTTAGGGACGCCACATGTCAAGAGTTCTTGTTGTCAACACTCACCTCGTTGTTGATAGACCTCTAGCAGCCGGTCAACAATGGCTCTACTTGGCAGATTGGCAGCAGGAACGCCGCTCAGCATGGGGTAACTTTTCTTTCTTGCCGACATGGGAGGTGGTATGCTGAAAGACATAGACCTCATAGCAACGGAGCCTAGCCCGTCCTGTGCTGCATGTCGCCTATCACGAACCGACGGCACGATCTCGGATATGCGGTTGGAGTCTGTATACCGTTTTGCTTCCTCCATTACCATGCGGGTCATGGCAATACCACTCGATGGGCCCAGGTAGCGTGGTGTCTCATCCGACTCGTTGAGTCGCACGAGGCCGCCGGGACGTAGGAGTTCCTCATTGTCTTTGGGGAACGCCTCGTCATCTGTGTAGTGACCGAGTTCAGCTTCGAGGGCCCGCACTTTCTCCTGGAGCTTGACGACATAGTATCGGCTTATCTTCTTTCCCTTGGTGGTGTCGAAGTACTCGCATGTTGAACCCGATCGTTCACATGGTAGACAGCGGGGTAGCGTTGGATCGCATCGCGTTTTCCTCTTTGCACGACGGGTCTCAGTCACAGTTCACGGCACCCACAAAACCGATAGAGCCTTGATGCAGGCATCCCCGGAGTGGAGTCTGTAGATGCGGTTTGCTTACCTGGCGACAACGGCAACATGCCGTTAGTGTGTGCGCAATGCGATGCGAGGCCTCGCCTTCACCATCGCCATTTGATGGCTCTCGAGGAAGTTGGGCGGGCCTGTTTTGATTATACCGCTGAGGCGGTCTCGGGTGTTGATATGGCCCGAAGCCCTCGGCGTGTCGGAAGACGTCTGAGGCGTCCATGGGCGCAACAGCAGAGGCAAGGGTGTTGTGTTGGTGGCTCTGTCTTCTGGAGTTGTCTTTTCTAATGCGGCTCTGGGCTTTGGAACTACAGGGTGTCTTCGATAACGCGGGGAGCTACGGCTTTCCTGCACGATTCCCGACGGCAGAAGACAGACTACTAAGTTAATGTCGACCGTGCTCCACAAGTACACGTATGTAGATAGTAGTGTCAGCTGTGTGTACTGTGCTATAGGATAGGTCCTGAGCTGAGGCTGAGGCTGAGGCTCTTGCTGTCGCAGAGCTCATAATCCTCTATGGTTGGAGACGGAACGACTGCTTCGTTTGGCGATGGGTGATACAGTGCTGCATGTCCCTGCTACCGAAGCCTTGCAGATCACTCACTAACCTAACCTGAGTACTCACTCACTCTACTGGCACCAACGGAGCATTTGCAGGGGGAGCGAACGGCATTCCGTGCGGAGAACTGATTGGTTATTCTGGATCATTGCCCGACGAAAACCTACCTCTGCTCGCCCGAAGTTTCACGCGGCACTATTTTCTCCTTCCATATTGCCTTCTAGATTTGTTCCTTTTCGCTTGGGCGTTTCGTTTCAGGTCCCACACCCTGTCCTACGCTCGATGGCGTAATCAACCACTGTTCTGACTATTGCATAGCGGGCTGGGGTGTCATGATGGCAAGCATTCTTTCGCCGTGTTGACTCGTTTTGAGTCAGGGCTTCGCTCCATCCACGCCGCATTGTTTCTCATTTGGTCAACTATCGGGTATGACGCCGTCTCCATTGAAGCGCTACTTAGCTTTGGCACTCAGCGGGCCAGCACAGATTGCGCACGAAGCTAGTCTAAAGCAGAGTCGACCCACCGGGCGTTTTGACATGTGCCCTGAAGAGCCTCGTCATGATGAATGTTGGATGTCTACTTTCTACACACGTTGCCTCATTCGGTTGCTCGCACTTTCTCGAGACTTTTAAATTTGAATCCTGAAGCAGCCCAGGGCAGGCGTCTGAACATGAATATCTTGGTCTCGCTGTTCAACGGGTCAAACTGGAATATCGGCACCATGCCCCCCATGCCAGCTGTGATGTTTGCTTCACTTAGCGTCACTCCCTTCAGCTCTATCGTCGCCGAATTCATGTACGTTGGACATGCATTATCATCCTCTTGCGTGTGGAGGTGCCTCGCTTGTAGATTTACTAATAGCCCAGGCCAGAACAAGGGCAAAAGGTACATCGCAGCCCCTGGGGTCCTGGTCGCCCGTGGTGGGGACGGCGCTTATATGTATACAGTTGCTGCCATAAAAGGTACCTGACACCCACTCCGAGCTGGAAGTTGCTTGTTCGGTATCGAAATTGTCGCACCGAAAACTGATCACACTTGCTCCTCCTCTAATGTTCTTGTGCTACTTTGAGTTTTATGTATCCAGGAACACTGCTTGCGCTATGTTTAGAAAGCGATCCTGGTTCCGAGGATCTAGAACCAGATGAATGCAGGGGCTTCAACTCAATAGTCGACCCCTGCTTGCTTGTATACTTGAGCAGTTGAAACCAAAAACTCGACCGTGCAGATCGACAACCTTGGTGAGCTGTTTATTCATGGAAGATGGTGGAAGCAGGACGGAAGCTTCAACAATTCGACCACTGGCTGTTAGCTTGCTTGGATGCTATCTGGTTCTGCTGGTTGTTCTAACACCAGGTCTTTGGATTGCTCGGCATCTAGAAGTAGCCCAATTCTCTCTGCTGGTACTGTATGGTTACAGCGCTGTCTGATTAGAACCCTGTTCGCGCTACTGCATTCCTGACGGCGCGGGAATGTGGGAGTCGCCTCAGTCATAACGAATCAGGAGCGACCGAGGTCTCAAGTGCCCAGAGCCTCGTCGGCGGCGGCCAGATGAGAATGAGAGTTATAACCACGTTTGAGATGACTCGAGTATCTACTGTACTGCACACAGACTGGCCCCAAATAGACTGGCAGGATGGGTATTGTCGCAAAGATCGATAGCGCATTTTGCGGGAAGCAACACGAGTTGGCCTCATCAAACACCCCACGGACGGACTCTTCCTCGGCTGGTCACGTTACAAAACTCCCCGACATCACACCTGACGGCCAATTTAAGTTTTACCCCACCTTGAAACTCTCCCAATCTGTCTGAGGTCCCTTCCGTCAACCACCGCGCAGTTGCATCAGCAATATTCCGTTGGTTGCGACCCGCCCGGCCTAAGAGACGATAGCGCCAGGCCATCTAACATCTGTGCGACTACTCCATGCCCTCATTAGCTGCCAGCGTCACGGAATGAGGCTCTGCTCAACAACAAACGTAGCTTGACAGACTGTATCGATTCCCGCTCTTCCACGGCGGCGCTCTTCTTTTTCTCCCTCTGACTGATTTGACTTTCTGGGAAAGCTTTATGCGTTTGTTGTGCTATCTATCTATCCCCCAAGTTCTGGCAGCATCGTCGTGTATCTCGGCGACCTTCTCCCGGTAGGCCTTCGAACTAGGCCACCCCACCCCCATGCTCATAGCCAGCTTGTCAACTGCACTACTCTCCTTCGAAAATTCAGATCAACTATTGACCTGGAACTCCTGCTTCCGGAAAGAGGAGAGATATGCCTCGCTCTAGCTTCTCAGAGAATCCTCTACTACGGGTTTCACGTCCTGTATCTGCTTGCTCGCGATGTGAGTGACTTCCTTTGGAAGATCGTCTTGTCCACACCCATGTTCGACCCACTGACTTCCTGAAGGTCGAGCTGCCAAAGTTAAGGTGATTTTACATCCACGGGGTTAGCTAAAGAGTCACTGTACTGATTGCCAATTCAAGTGTGATGGCAAGTTGCCGGCTTGTACGGCCTGCGAGAAAGCGGGCCGGGAGAATGAGTGCTCCAGCGCCAACGACCAGTTCGCTCGTGGAAAAGAGCGCAGGTACGAACCGACGATGCTGCCACACTATGAGAGCTATTGTTGACATGCATATCCAGTTATGTCGCAGCCTTGGAACTCCGTATTGAGAAACTGGAAAGACGCCTGAATTATGCAAAGTCTAGGAAAGCGTCCGTCGCTCAGCATGAAATGGAACCACCGCCACCACCTTTCCAGGAATCGAATAGGAAAGATTCTTTGGCAACAATCAGGGCAGCCATCCACAGAAAGGCTGAGCGGAAACGAGAGAACTCGGACGTCAACTCTCTCATGTCCGATTTTGGATTTTTGTGCGTTGGCTCAAAATGGCATCCAGGTTCATCCACCAGCTAACAATGGCAACTAGATCGATCAATGCGACGACTCGAGATTTTGAACCGTCCATGAGCAATATGACATTTGCAAGGCTTGTGCTAGCAGCTTCGTCGAACAACCGCCTTCCTAACACTCAGAGCTGGAACGCGCCTTCCAGGCAAGACTGTCACGATATCGTGCAGTATTATATGAACAACATTTACTCACTTTATCCAGCTTTCTCGGAGACGATCTTCTATACCTTGATAGAACAAGTGTATAGTCAGCCGGATAGGTCATTCAAGGATTCCGAGTACTGGCTCGTGTACATGGTACTGGCGGTCGGATCTATGGCTCAGAGTCGGACAAAGAATGACCTCCATTATATGAATGGCATATACTTTGTTTCAAAGGCTGTCAGATATGCTGATAAAGCTCTCACGCCTGGTTATGTCACACAGATCCAGTCGCTCATACTGCTTACCCAATACTCTATGCTGGACCCGACGCATTTTGACAGTTGGCACTTGATTGGCTTTGCATGTCGTTCGGTAATAGACCTAGGGTTTCATCAAGATCCGCCGTCTGAGCAAATGCCCGACAAAGCGCAATTGGACATGCGGCGCAAGCTCTTCTACTGTGCCTATTCTCTTGACAGGTTTGTACAAGTAACCAAGTCCAGTTTAAAAGATGTAGCTTACGTGGCTTCAGGTCCATCAGCATGGTACAGGCACGTGCCTTCTCTTTTACAGATGCATCATCAAACGTGGCTTGGCCAAGACAGCAATCGTTTAGCCGTCGTGCCTCCATTACTGGTCAGATGTTAGCTGGTTCTGAACCAGCATTTCTACTCTTCCAATTGCGATGGGCGCAATCACACTGGTATCAAATCCTATTCCAATCAGACAAAGCGCCATTACCTGACTCAGATTCATTCGTGTGGCAAATGTGTCAGGACATGCGAGAGTGGGCAGATACCCTCCCGCTGAATTTGCCTGTTTCAATGAGGGAGTTATTCGATCTCGAGCTTCGGTATAGCTATGTCTACTGTCTCATGGAGTCAGAGAGAACGCCAAACATGACAAATTATCGCCGCTTGCTCATATTTGAGCATACGATCGCGTATCTTGATCGTATATATGAAATCGCCCAGAACGGTCCGCCCAATGCGTTCTACACAAGCCATGACGCGCTTCGTGTCTTCTTCATGGCAACCAAGCTAGTAGCCGTATTAAACGAAGCCGAGGACCTTGTAGCAGCAGGTGTTACGGTTGCACCGCCTCCTAGCCAACCTGGCAGGTCGCCCCCACCGCCTCTTCCGCTTCGGCCTGGGGGGCCTACAATTGATAATCTGCAAAGAAGCTTAGACGCTCTTGAGAGAGCAAAGCAGACTCTGGGCAAATGGGGCCAGCGTTGGCAGGATTCTTCATCTCTCCAACAAGCTCTGGATCTCATGACGATAAACGTGATTGCGAGACTTCGGTTAAGGCAGTCGATGCGACAAAGGATGTCCCCGCCTCAACATTCTGTATCGCCCCCAGCGCCTCGTGAAATGAGATGGGTGGATGTTGACGTCGAAGCAATGGTGAGGGGTAATAGATAATGAGTTCATAATGGGCTTTCCTTGGAGAATATGAGCAACGAGTTTACGGCCGATTTAGAGGTTTGGGTTGCCCGTCAATGGGAAGTGAGTGAGCGAACGGTTAAATAATTCCACCAACAACGTCTCCCGTACCAAATTCAACGTACTCCAACTCAAATAGGTTCCCCGTACGGCGCCAATACAACAAGAAAACTTTTTAAAAAAAAAAATAAAAAAAAAGGAAAAAAGACGAAAGTGACCTGCATGTTCTAAGCTATTTGGCAATTTCATGCTAGTTGACTTCGTTAGAATTCTAGTAGAGCAGGTGTCCACTATTATGGAATTAAATGGTCCGTATTGATTAAAACCATGAAGTACTTCACACAATGAACGACTCGAGAAGAGCTGTGGATTGGATCTTTCTTTCCATGATTCGGAGATTGGAACAAAAGTTTAACACTTTTCAGCAGAGTGTTATGGGAGGCAAAACTACTCCGACACGGGGAATCGAACCCCGGGCATGACGGATCAATAATGAGAGCGTCATATGTTAGCCACTACACCATATCGGAAATCTTTGATTGGTTGATGAAAGAGGGGGCTAGTACTATAACTCATATTGCTTGACTTTGCCTGCTCCACTTTAATTGGGGAGGGAGGTGTCTCCACGAATTGTACACTGCTGGAAGCCATTCCGTAGTTCTCACACAAAGTAGTTAAGCATAAGGTGTGCTAAAGAATGCCTGCGTCGAGTCGTCGAATGTACTCCACTAGCTTTGCCATTCTTTCTTGAACTAATTGTGAGAAGAAGTCGGCACTGCCACGAGTCAAACCACCGTAATTTGGCAATCCCGGATAAATGAGCCGAAAGACTACGAACAAACACAAATACATATCTTTAACGACTGCAGCTCGCATTACCTGATATATATTTTTGAAAGATGCTTGTATGTACTAGTTTCGCTTCTTATGATTAGTTGACACCCACAATGGTTTAGCTGCAAGTTCTCGATGCCTTATTACCTTATACTTTAGCTCTAGCTAAACCCGGAACTTCAGAACGGCTCAACGGTGCATCACCAAAACCTGATGAATGCAAATCTGGGTTACAGGAAGCCGTGTTTGGTGGTCCTGTGTCCAATCGCCGCTCATTCTGGAGGGGATAGACTGTCCTCTTGCAGAACTAGATCTTGAACTATCACCATTTCTGGTCTGATGCAGAACCGATTGGAGTCTCTCCCCAGATCTCGCGCCGCTCCCCTCCGCCCGGCCAACAGGTAGCCCTTAACTAGGCGATAACTAGACCGCCGCAATGCATGAGGATGTCCGCTCCAGCATCCGCATCTCGCGATGTAGTTCCTGAGGCTAATTAACGCATTGGTTCGCCAGGTGCTGATGTATATATGCATCTGGCCCGATGACATGTAAGAGAAAGCCGGTTTGTGCTCCTTTATCGTGAGACCGTGTTCCAATTCTAGGCAACCATGTCAACAGTCGCTGCTGCACTTATTAATGCCCCAAGCGGCAAAACTGCTTCTGATGACATAACCAACAGCACCAACGGTGATATAGAGTTTGTTACCAAAGACGATCTCACCAACAGAAGATATATCCATTGGGACGAGAATGGTGTAGAGAGGATCCCGCCCGGCGAGGACGAATACATCAACGCTGTCGTCAAGCAGATAGACGAGATGCAGCGCTTTCAGTTTAACAAGGCGCGTCATTGCTATGGTGGTACTCACGCCCGGACCCAGGGCGTGGTACTAGGTAAATTTATTGTGGACGATGATCTGCCGAGCCATTTGAAACAGTCTGAGCTGTTTGAGAAAGGAGGTGAGTATCCTGTGGCGTGCCGGTACTCATCCGAGCCTGGCGACCCTGGTCTTGATGTAAGTCTGGAGGATTATTGCCAGAAAGAAAACAAGTGCTGATCAGTACCTGTAGGATCGCATTCCTCAACCACGGGGGTTTGGCATGAAGGTCTTCAATGTCCGCGGCGACATGTTCGAAGCCGGCAAGGACTTCCCCACGCATGATATTGAGTTCAACAGCACGCCGTCCCTGGACTTGGCAGACGCGAAGACGACCAAGGAGATCATCGATCTCAGAATCAAATACGGCCACGACAAGGAGGAGCTGTATAGACACCTCGGGAAGCGCTCCGATATGGATCTGCAGACCGTCCGCGACAGAGTACGCAACACCCACCTCGAGTCTACGCGGTACTACTCCCAGACCGCATACCGCTTCGGCGACTACGTAATCAAGTACTGTCTGGTTCCGTCGACCGGCACTCAGCGCCGACTGGCTGGAGAGGTCACCAAACCCGAACATGGGTCCGACATCATGCAGCGCTGGCTGCAAGACTTCCATATGCACCATGACGCCGAGTATCTCTTCCAGGTACAGCTATGCGAGAATCTCGAGGACCAGCCTGTCGAGGATGCAGGCAAGGTCTGGGACCCTGCCAAGTACCCCTGGCAGTCGGTCGCAAAGCTCGTCCTGCCGAAGCAGGACAGCTGGAATCCAGAGCGCAAGATGTTCTGGGAAGATCATATGAGAGTTGATCCATGGCATGGCTTAATCAAGCTTCAGCCCCTAGGGGGGTCGAACCGGTTGAGACGAAAGGGTGAGTAATATTAGTATTTCATCCCACGGTCTTGATAGTAGCGCTAACACCGCACAGTATACCCTGCCAGTAGTGCTTTGAGACGAAAGATGAATGGTAGGAAGGAGATCCACGTTAAAAGTATTGACGAAATACCAGTCTGAGCAAACGTTCCATGAATCTAGTTCTCTCGCCTGGTTGGGACTGCGATATTGCGAAAATTTCAACGCTCTTGCATGTCTTGAGCCCTCCACATATTAGTTTTAACAAATTACATTTCTGTATCAACATGCCAATTTATGCAATAAAAGTATCCCACCATGAACATGTACATGCCATGTCATTAAAGTTTCTTTAATATCTGGGCGGTTGGTCGAATCTGCCCCGGGATAAATATTCAAGACTCAGAGTCTGCGCTGATTGTAGATGAACACTGTTCGAAAGAATTCTTTTACATAGGGGAACGCTTCGTGTTTCGAACAGAACCAACATGGTAACCATCATACGACCATATAGTAACAATTCATCATGAACCGAAGAAAATATTTTGTAGATCTAAGAGATCAATTGGGCTAACATGGTAATAAATAATCACAGTTAAAGCCGGGTAATTTCACGATGATACTTGACGAAAAGGACGTGTGCGATTGCTTTGATTGTCATTGACTCTGTGGGCATTTGATTTTGTTCCAAGATTCCACAGCCTTGGCACTGTTCATACTCACAAATATGCACTCCATACCCACATCTTTCTAGTCAAGTCCCCAATCTAATCATTGGTTTCCTCTTCCTCCTCCTCCCACTCCTCCTGCACAATGGTACCCAGCGAACTGCCCGAGGCACACGGCGACGACAGGATACCTCCAACTTCACCACTCATGCGCGCCCATACCTGCCGCTTTTTCTTGTCGGCCTTGTTAGCCCTGGCCCTGGCTTTCCCGATTACATTACCAGGCAGGCCCCTCCCGTTCTCGGCCCAGTCCGTAACACGGAGGACGACGCGCCCACTGGGGCCATACTCGATCATCGGCTCCTCGGGAGGCGGCGGGCACGAGAACAGCTCCCAGCCCATGCGCTCATTGACGTCCCGCAGGGCCGCGGCGTGCTTGGCCCTGTAGTCCTCGTAGATGCGCTTGTGCCTCTCCTCCTGTTGCTCGCGGGCCAGCGCGGCCCTGCAGACGAAGCAACCCTTGTCGTGGAAGATATACCAGGCGTCGTAGCTGAGCCAGTGGAAGACGCAGAGCTTCCCGAGAAGCGCCTTCTTTTCGCCCCGGGTCTGGGGCCGGTAGTTAGGGAAATCCCAAGCCTCGGGTAGACTCTGGAGCCCGAGCTCCCTGCGGCGCTCCGCATGGAGGGCCTTGTCCTCCCTCTGGCAGCGCTTGCGGTGGACGAAGAGATCCACCTTGTAAGCACGGGCTAGATAGAGGTGCGCAGCTTCGAGCTCCTTTTGGTAATATTCCTTGGGCGGGTTGATCGGATGCCTGAGGCAGTTATATCTCTCCACGTCCCAGAGGCTGCAGCATTTCTCAGGGACGTCGAACAAGGTGTGAAACTCCTTGTTGATGTATTTGTATCCCCGTGGGCGTGGTGACGAGGCGTTCCTGGCTGGCCTGGCTCCTTGCATCCTTTCCAGAGAAAGCCCTCTCCTTACTTCCCTGGAGCTTGCCGTGACCGGTTGACGCTGATCGTGGGCTTTGCATGTATGGCGTTTCCTCCGAGCGAGGTCCTGAATATTCGTGTTTTCCTTGGACGATTTATTGGTATAGGAAGTGAGATGCATGATTAAACTAAGCATTATGAATGCCAAACCTTGGTGTGACCCGTCGTTGGTGAGAGCGTAAGACTGGAGTCCTTAATTCAACGACGATCTGTTGGTATAGGGGATGATCAATTCATATGAGTACAACCTCAAGTAATTAGAACCGGGGCTCAAACAAGAGGGGATAGAACCGGGGTTGTCCTATCGCAAGGGGGAATTAGGTCGGTTAGAAGGACCCAAACAAGTTTACAGCAATGAAAATGTTATATCATTGATGCAAACGGCTTGGGATATGCTCAGAAAGCTATCACGGACTGGAGGCAAATTGCTTTAATGGTTGATTTCAGATTTGAAACCATGCTGGATAAGACTCAACAAAGAAATGAGGGAGGGGTGGGCGGTTCATATAAAGACAGCTCTTCGGAACTAGGTCACAAAATCTTCTCGTCGAGCGCGTCAATGAGCAAATTTCAAAAGCCATATCCGGGTATCCTGGGACATGTTTTCTTCGAATATAAAAAGCATCCGAGCAAGTTTTTAGACTGGTAGACAGCATGGATGGTCATGAGACAGTTCGGATTTCGAGTCTGGCACAACCTAATCATGACGGAAGGGACATTGTATCTCACGGACAGACAAAACGACAATGCTTGTAAAGAGTTGAACCTTGAATACCAGGAGGTTTCCACATATAGCATGACATATATAAGACTCTACATTATGATTCGTGTGTTTTATTATGTCATGTGCCCTACAATGCTGATAATAGGCTGCAATATGTATTTCGATCCGGACAAATATCAACTTATGAGACCTACATTCGCCGAAATACATACATAGTGATGCAGCAGCATCTGCATAATGTAAAATAAGCATCGCTTGCACGCGCCTGTTATGTCGCAACTCGACGTTCGTCATCGCCTCTACACTACATCCCATATTTTGTAGTTGTTCTCAACATGTGATAGACACAAACGACGCCGAGTAAAAATTTTCGCGTGCACCATGCGAAACCATCTTCTTGTATAAACCACTAGGGGTATCTATTCATGACACATGCGCAAACACTCCTTCCTATGCTTTGCTTGCTTTTCTCCCTACAAGCTCACGATATTCCATGACATTGCGCATTGCCACCGTACAACTGGGCGGAACTCCCCCAGAATTACCTGTGTGCAGGTCTTCAGTCAACTGTCCTTCAAATTGTATGATATTTCTTGCGTCTTTTCTTCCTTTCTCTCTTTTTTGTAAATATGACCATCTCTTTCTTTTATAACAGTATCGGCCACGGCCATCAAGCTTATTGACCAACCTTGCTCAGCCTCGATCCCTTCACCGGGGCAGGCAGAACAGCGCATAACTTATCTCTTTCTGTCATCAAATCAGTAAGTCGTGGCGATGCTGCATTCAAAATTGGTCAACTCACCTGCTTCATCTTCGAACACGATACTGATATCATCGTGCTCGCCTGCGTAATCCGGCATATCAAGACAGAGAAATTTGGTCTCATCTCCCTTTGGCCCCGCCACTCCTTTCTCACCTGCATCACCACCCTTAGATCCACCTTTGGGCAATGGGAATTTGGCCTCTACGAATTTGATGGCAGCTTTGCCCATCTTCCCAGAAGCCTCGTATGTGTCTGTGCCCTTGAGTACGAAGCCCATGCAGTGCCCATGACTCCAATCTTCGAAGAAAGCAAGAAGCTGAAGCGTTCCATCTGAAGCGTGCTGAACCACTTGAATTCGCGCAGTACCCGAGTCCCATTTCTTGTGGACGGGTACAACCATGCGTCGGCGCGTGATGTTAAGGGAGAGCGCTACGCCGTCAAATACAACATCATAGCCTGTCAAGCCGGATTGGAACGCGTGCAGATCCTTGAATGAGTTAAATCGATACGTCCGTACCGTTTGTGATTGAACGAGTGAGTTCTGCAGCGCAGAAAATTCACGTGGTGCATCTGAGAGACCTGGCCGATCTAACACCGAGACAGTCATGTCGAACTGCGCATTTCGGAATACAAAAAGTGTCAGGATGTCTTTGGTGCCCAATCTGAACTTGAACTCGCCAGGTGCCATGTTAATCCTGTCGATAATGGTACTAACCGACGCTGATTTTGCATCTAACGAGTTGATTTCAAGTCTCAGTTTCTCGGCCAAGACGGTTGGTGGTGTGTCACCTGCATATTTGTCGTTCACTATCCTTGCAAGCTGCCATGGTAGCTTTTGCAGAGCCTTGAAGCCGCCCTTTGCATCTTGCATGTTTTCTGCCATGCTGAATCCTTGAATCGCGACTTCGGCGACCAACTCTTCGTCGCTGTGTACATAGCTACCTTTCATCAGCGTGATGAACTTTTCACGCTCGGTGTCATCATTGAAGATCAAAACCATCCGGCATTTACCTTTGCCGTCGGTATACGCTAGCTGGATCATCGGTTCACGCTGTTCGCCACGCAAGTATGCATATTGAATTGGCAGCTGAGGCGAATAGAAATGCGTAACACCGCTCAACGTTCTTGTCTTCGGGCCAGTGACGATAGCGAGACGGAACCCTTTGTGGAAAGTCCTCGGTCCTGTTGGGCTTCCCTCCTTCAGTAGTTTTTCATACAGGCCCAACTCGCACTGACCGACTGCCTCCTTCGGGAAGGTCCGCCCGTTGGGATCCGCGTCGAAATAATGGAAACCCTTGAGCTTTGTTCGGAATGCGACAAGCTCGTCCTTCTTCGGATATAGATAGCTTTGCACTTTGGCGTTGAAGTCGAAGATGTTCCACAGCATGCGGAAATCGGTTTGCGAGCACTGTACCGCTACCATGAAGCCACGAGGCATCTTCAGTTCCAATAAGCATTTATCGGTGCGCCATCTGACGTTTTCCCAGCTAGGGCCGGCATTTTTGTCCGACTGTATACACAGTGTCACTGTGCCGTTCTGACTTGCGATGGTAAACATGAGTGTCGAGTCCTTCTGGTCTCGGTTGATCGAGAGCATGCAGGGGAAATAAGTGTGCATGGATTCCAGTCCTTGTTCCATCAGGTAAACCTCGGCACTTACCCGCCCGTAGTTGAACAAGGTTGGCGAATCTCCGAGAGGAAGCGCTTCTACTGCGGGTATCTTCTTTGTTTGCGAAGTTTGAGCTAGCAGAGACCCCCAATTTCCGTTCAGCAGCGATATGATATCCTGACTTATTAATGGATATTCAATCCATATCGATTTGTCCATCATCTGAGGCATGAACGGCTCGTCGGGCGGAAGTAAACCATTTCTCTTCATTGACCCGGCCAGCTTCTTCAAATTCGTCGCCAAAATCTGCCTCACGTCGCCAATTTCGCCTTCGTCCAGGCTATACTTGCCCTCTGAGATTTCTGGAAGCGCACGTTCCGTGAGCCAGTATCCCTTAGTCAGGTCGGTATATGCTTGGTATCTGTTCATGAGGCTCTTAGTCTCGTCAACATCTGCGCCCCGGCTTCGTATGGCGGTTTCGAGAGCTATTCTGCCTTTCAAGAACCACCATAACGCAGCTCGGATCATGTCTTCTGGTTTGCTGCTTCCAAGAGGCTTGAACTGCTCTGCGTGCAAGCGGAATAGCTCATAGAGGTGTTTTGTGCGAACAACGAACTCGTCATAGGCATCATCATTTTCCGGAGGTTGAGACGACAATTTCCTCAACACTGGTGGCTTCTCTGGTGACGCTGTTGTCGCACTCCAACCCCTATCCCGTGAGTTCTCTGGCGACGCTGTCGACGTCGCACTCCAGCCTCTGTCTCGCGGATTTTGGGTGACAGGAGTAGCCTTGTGAGATAAATCAGACGTAGAATAAACAGAGCCAGAATAGGAAGACGAGGCTGGGCTGTCCGAGCCTATTTTTGTGTTCAGCTGCAGTTCATCAACATCTCTCGACTGTGCCGACATTGTGTTGTTATTAACAGCTGGTGGTGTTTCTTCACCTGTCTCAAGTGGTGGGAGTGGAAACCTTTGCGCTGGTGATACGACCTGCGACACAGGGCTTGACTCTTTTGAGGGAAAGTGGTTGGGAGATCTTCTCGCTGGGTTTCGGGGTGGAGGTGCTTGAGGTAGTTGTTGCGGCTGCGTGGGGTCTGCTATCAACGGTGGAATATTGGTCCTCGTGGACTGAGCACGCATAGGCGGTCTATCATCGTACCGTAGCGATTGAGGCATCGGCTTTCTGGTCGATTGTGCTCTGAACGGCGACGCGGTCGAGTCAGGGTCGCTGAAAGAGGCTGAGAAGGCGGGAATCTTTGGCGCCTCGCTCATAATGACCGCCGGAATATCCATTCTGATCGGCTTCTGCGGTGATGCTCGTACGGGCTCAGGAGATGAGCTACCGTGGTCCCATCCCTGTGCTTCGACACTGGCAGACCGCATTGCCTCAGCGAAGGCCATTCCCTCTGCCTGCCGCTGCTCATGCTGGTGTATTTCGATGAAAGAGCGTCTCGCCTCGTCCTTTCGAGTTGACGTGTCCAAAAAGCGAGTTCTGCCTGGCTCGCCTGCTGGCACCGCCTTTGGCTGCGGCGGTGATGCCTGAGATGATGGGGGCGCATGTTCCGATCTGGGCTCGTCTAGCCTTGGATCCGAAGGGGAAACATAGCCGGTTTGCGTTCGCCGTAGAGGCCCTGGCATGAACCCGTTGTCGTCGTTTCGTGGTTTGGCTTCTTGGAAAGCGCCAACCTGTCGTGCATACTCGTGGCCCTGCTTCGTGGGCGGTATCGGTGCCGCAATTGGTGCAGACTTGGACCTCTTCCTCTGGCCTATCTCCTGGGTGGCTGCTTCGCACTCGTCGCCGCCCTCACCAATGACCTCGGGGTAGCTGTCGGCGAAGCGCACAACCAGACCTTTGTTCTTCCGGACCCTCGGTGGGCTGTGTGATCTCGATCTGTAGCCGGATTGCTGCTGGCGAGGGTCGTCCGCATCGAGGGCACCGGGATAGCGCATCGCTCGGCTCGTATCAAGGGCTAGCTGAGGCTGCCTGGCCTCGAATTCGCGGTGGCCGTGGGCAGGCGGGGGCGGAGGCGGATGTACGACCTGAAGCTTGTCCGCGTTGCCGCCGCCCAAGAAAGCCGAGAGATCATTGGCACTCTGCTCCGTCTTGTATTGACGATCGCGCTCCTTTCCGGCGGCCCTTTCGTTCAGCTTACCGAACATCTTGCCCATGAATTTGGCGCGTCGACCGCCCTCGGTCGGTGTGTCGGTCTCCATGTCGGGCAATCGAGGGCTCGAAAGGAGGTGCCGGTTTCGACGATGCTCGCGATCCCTTGAGGTGGTACACTACCAAATGCCTCCGGTGGGGCTTACCATGGGACCTCCGCTTGTACGGCGGGCAAGGCGTGGCGTGAGGGCTGCGGCTTTGTCCCCAAGGCGCCCTTTATGAACGGCGGGGTGTGCGTGTGCGTGTGCGTGGGCGACGGTTTGGAGGTTGAGGTGTGGGACGAGGGATGAGGGACGAGGGATCAAAGTGCCCAATGCCTGTAGGTATGCTACTCTATGTACAAAGCAAATCAATTGAAGCCCAAGCAGCCGGTCTCACATAGGTCTTGTTGCGTATTCTCTCTCGTGCAGACCAGCAGCAGTGTGTAGGACGAATGATGGGCAGACTAAAGTCGAACGAAATGAAACATCGGGCAGGTGTTCATGTGCTATTGTTTGACAATTGCAACTAAAGCGGGAAAGTGTCGTGTTGCAGTCGTCCCAAATGTCCAACAATGGAGGTACGAATGGGTGTGGGCATGGGGGTATGAATATGGCATGGGTATGGGTATGGGTATGAGACTTTGAGTATGACTATGGGTATGGGTATGGGTATGGGTAGTCGGGTAGCACCACACCGAGTTTGTGGCCTGCACTGCCAGAAAGGTCGTCTGCAGCCAGGAGGGATCAGAAGTCGGTCCTGGCAGGGTGGTTTGTTGCTGTTTCCCCTGGAGGGCCCTGAGAGGAATTGTCGTTCGGATGTCGACGTCCAACGAATGATGGGTGGTGGCCTCACACCCAAGTGACAGAAGGTGAGCGTTGATTGTGGAATGCGGCTAGTGATGCACCAGCAACAACAATAATAGAACTTGAGACCTCGGCGATAAGACCATCGGCATATCTTAATCATATCACGTTTGTGAGGGCATGCGACAGTGAGTTAACCTAGATAGAAGGTGTCGGAGACTTGCACTTAAAAATTGGTCCTCAACAATAGCCTTGCGAATGTATGTAGACAGACATCGATAATTGAGTTTCTCCCACGACAACGGTGTGTCTTTACCGAATGCCCGTGACATCTTTCTCCATGATTTGATTTCCTGGGTTGTGCCTTGTGCTCGTGCCTGTGCCTGATGTCGGGCAGGTAAGACAAATCATCCAGTCAAGAGTTTCAGGGTGCAAAGAACGGCCCGCTATTCACTTGGGCCGTATTGACTAACCGTAGCCAAGTTAGAGCGAATTGATCTCAAGCTTAAGGGACCAGCCTAGTGGGACTGTATCCATCCCCTCCCAGCTCCATCTCCACACGCACGCACGCGTCGGAGGAGTGAGCACTAATAGTAGACGGACGTCCCAGCATCCATCCTTGAACATTGATTCGGATGACGAAGCAATCTTCGGTTGCAAGAGAAAGGGGAACGTCAGACGAGGCACGATGATACTAATAAATTTCAAAAAAATAAAATAAATTTTTTTTTTCAAGTCCCATGACAACATCCGTCCATGTTTCCTCTCTATTGGGGATGACTGCAAACTTGCGCCAATTGCAAAGTCAATTATGTGCAGTACACTTCTCAAACCCTATGCTGGCTACGTCTTTACGAGCTTCCAAAGTGGCTGGCCCTAGTAAACCGACAGTTAGTGTATGCTAATGTTAGCCAACACGAAGCAGGGCCCCCGACTCCCGGCACGGCGCGTTCGTCTAATCACGGCTCGACTTCCCGACACACAAGGTCAACACGCAATCTATTCATATATTCATCGTCTCCTGAGGCGTAGTGAGATATTCTAGATTAATCTCTCGCCATCATTGTACCAAAAAATACATAAGAAAAATAAAATACCTCGGTCCAAGTGCAACCCGAGTTCAATCATCAAATGAAGCAGACACAATGTGCAAGTTGTGGACACAAGACATCGTGACATTAAACTAAAATTGCGGGAACTTTTGTGATGGCCACCTTGGCAGAATATGAAAAAAGTAGGTACCCAAAACGAGAGCCCTAGCAACCCAGGCAGCCAGGCAAAGATGAAGTGATAAAAGTAAAGAGCTAGCTACATTCTGGTCCTGGTTCAGTCGCTTGTAAACCTCAGCGATAACCTGGCAAATGATAATCATAATTGTCACAGAAAACGATAAGCTATCACATGACCCACTGACTGTCGTTGCTCGTGCGATGTTCAAATGAACAACACATTGCAGGTGTCTCTGCGCCGAAATTGTCTTCTATGGAACGTGATTAGACATAAAGTACAATAGACGAATGGGGAACGGAAAGAACTTGGAGGAGATTTAATATTATTCTTAAAAATTGGGTGCACTTATCTAACCTTAGAATTACGCTTGATGTCACCATCCCATTATTTTCATTGTGCGTTACACGCGCGAGCTCGAGCTTAAGCTCTATCTCTACCGGCTATGCACACGATCACTCTTTGACTTCCTTCCGCATGAGTCCTCGCTGTTTCTTGAGTATTCTTACCCGGGGTTCCATCCTTGGCCCAACCCACCATCCTCCCGTCAGGCCCCTCACAGTGTCGCGAACCTTCTTTACCATAGCGCCACGGCCCAGCACCCGGACTCGACCGGTCTCCAGGTCATCCTCCGCAGTCATGCCGGGCCTCAGGATCTCCACACCGGCAAACCCCTCGACAACACCAACCGTGTGCCATGGGCCGATAGCCTTGGTTGGATCTTCCAGTAGTAAGTAATCAAACTTGCCCCAGAATGCCGGGCTCTCCAGGATTGACGGCTTCTCACTCTTGTCAAAGACGAAGGAGACGGCATCAACATTTGGTTTGGGGCTATTGGGTGGGTATGAGTGCTGACCAAAGAGCGTGACGCCAGTCATACACGAGAGCACGTCTGTATGGACCATGACCGTCTGGACATCCGGAGTTGAAGCCGTAGAAGTGACCAACCACTTTAGCTCGGAAAGTGCCTCTCCTCCCGGATAGTTCAAGGACGAAAGAAGTAGCATCCCGGTGCTGATCGCAAACGAGCCGATCACGGACACGACGAGTGCGAGGGAAGCAATATAATAGAGGCTCGACTTGGCGCGTCGGGTGAAGATGTAGTTCGCTCCCATAGCAGCTGCCGCTGTCAGTGGTGGGACAACATAGAATATGAAGCGCGCCTCCTTGTGCGGCTGTATCGAATAGATGGCCACATATAGGATCGTTGGCAAGATAAGTGTACGGGCTGGCCCTTTGGTGGCTGGCGCATAAAGCGAGTGTGGGACCAAAGCTGCCAATGCGAGTGGATTGCCGATGATCTTTGGGAGGGCGTTGGTGAAGTAGTAGTGCCACGGCGAGACGCCCCAAGCCGACGATTCGGCAAGGACGACATTGAAATAAAATCCAAAGAGCTCCGGCCAACACGCCTTCTGCCAGAAGTATGTGTCAATAGGGATCGACGCAAGCAACGAGAATACAAACGAGAAAAGGCCCGATTCGAGTATATGTAAGGCTGGTAGGCCGCTTTCCAGGAACAAGTAAGCAGTCGTTGTGCAGAGCAGTATAGCCAGCTCAGATCTGAAGATGGCGGTCGCAGACACGAGAAGCGCGATTGCCAACTTTTGCCGTCCCACACGAAGTCTCTTGGGTTCTCCGACCAACTGAGCGTACGCGAGTGTCGTTAGGCCAAATGCGAACATGTTCGGCAACGTTCGCGATGCGTAGAACATGACATGAAACTGGCTCGCCTGCAATATTGCAAACCACCGAGCAGTTGGCCGCCCGAGCTCCCTCTCCACTTTCCACTTGAACACCAGCAGAGCGAATGCATTAAAAAGACCTAGCACTGCCCTCACGATGAATTGCGCATGCTCGAAGCCGACGAGCGCAACGATTGGCTGCGAAACTCCAGCCAGTAGGACTGGACCCAGGAAAGTCCGTGGCACTGCACCTGGGAAGTCGAAGTGATCATATTGAGATATGAGTTTGGCATTGACATCCTTGGTAGGTATACCATAAACCAAGATGTCATGTGCGGCCTGTATGTTAAATGACTCTTCGACTTTGGTGTGAGGTGCGACAATCAGGTGAGTTATGACCAACGCCGGAATAGCCAGGGACAAGAGAGTGTCTTTCTTGACTAGGTTAGCTCATGTGCATTCGTGTTGAACGCTTCTCGTAGCTCACCTATGGCACCCATCTTTTCAGATCTGAGTACTAAACACTATGCCTTCTACTTCTCCGGGATTGTTTCAATTGACACCCAAAATGCCGGGCATTACTCCTCAAAAACGGACACGAAATCCAACCGAGCTTCTATCTCGAGTGCTTCGTCGGCGCTCTTGATTAATGATGACGTGGGAACTTTTTGGAGCTTCAGCGGGAGCTTTTGAGGCTCTAGCGCCAAATGTGCCCCCTAAACCGAACGCAAGCAAACCCAATGGCCGCAAATAAATCCGTGGCCGGACAGCTGGCAACATTGGATTCAATTACCTACGATAGCACTAAAAAAGGCCAGGCATACAGCGATCCTTGCACTTTGTTGAACTTGAACTCGACACGTAACTATACTAGCCGCACCTGCTTGGACAGCATCCAACCAAGCGTAGTTCCAACTCGTACACCGCACACGCAGACGGTCTACGATCAGCAACTTCCTCGACTCTTCACGTCGCCGCGCCCCCAAGCCCGAGAGACGAGAGGCTCGTCCAGTAGCACCCAAAACCTAAGATGGCCTTGATCCCCTCGTTCGGCCTGGGCTCCATCCTCCAGGTCAGCGTCCTGATGCTGAACGCCATCGCCATCCTGTCGGAAGACCGCTTCCTCGCACGCATCGGCATGTCGTCCACGACGCACGACCCGGCATTCGGCGCCGGACCGGGCGGCGACCAGAGCTTCAAGTACAAGCTCATGAACATGATCGCCAGCGTGCGCATGGTCACGAGGAGTGCGTTCCCATACAATTCCCATATCTGCGACCGAGCGCGTAAACACAAAATGAAACGGTTCGTCTGTGCTAACATGGATCTCTCAAACCCGCAGTTCCGCTCATACTTGTAAATACGTTGATAATAATCTACGAGCTCGTGTTGGGTTGAAGATACGCGGCGACGATGAAGATGAAGACGACGACAACGACGTTGACGACCCTACCAACTTGCGTAAGCAGCTGGAAGCGTGGGCTTGACGGGACATACACAACGATTGAGAAACAATGCATTTACACTAGCTAGGCGTTAAAGGAATTTCCAGGTGCGGTTTTAACCTGGACGAGGTTGAGCTGCCTCAAATGCCGCTGGGAGTTATTGCAAACATGGCCGCCATATTGGTTGTGTGTAGGAGGGGATTCGCCCAACAGCAAGTACTTCTGGGGTTCATGCCATGATAATTGCAGCAAGCAAACAGCCAGTCGCACAGTCACAGTTTGTGCGAAGACCAAAAACTTTTGTTACAGCCCAGTACCTTCCAGTTCCATTTTTTTCGACGTTAGTCCAGATAATCTGAACTTGATGCTGCGACGAGGCGCATAGGCACTATGTTACAAGTGAATCCTCACAAATTTCATCCAGGCATATCAATGTCATATATACTGATCTTCCGATTATCCTTCGATGCTATCCAAGTCGAAAGCTGCTCTGCGGTGATTCTTTGGGTATATAGGGTAAAGCCAAAGCTTCGGAATGAAATATCTTGGTGTTATCGAGAGCAAGCCATGTCAAGGCAGGGGAGGAATATCTACTCCGAGTCTAGATCCGAACATGCGGACAAGTTTCATGACAAGATTGTGCTCTTCTTTCGCCCAAGGCTAAAGCTGAACCGTTCCTTGACCTTGGATGGTGTGCTCGGCTGTCCGTTTGACCCGTTGCCAAACTCGCCGTTTGTCGCTTGAGTAGGAGTGCTGGGTACTGGCACATCCACGCTGTCACGCCTGGCCTTGTCCTTACCCAGGAAGGCAAAGCTCCTTCTTGACATGGACTTGCTGCCCCTATGGGATCTGCTCAAACTACCAGCTGCAGCGGGTTCCGAGTCGGTCATCTTCTTGCTTTCCTCCAACGCTTTCTTCAACTCGTCAGCTTCGTTCTTGCGAGCCTCTCTGAGCTGCGTCTCTTTCTCTTTACGTTGTTTCTCCTTGGTTTTAATTTCTTCTTTTTCTGCTGCCTTGCGTGCCTTTTCGGCGGCCTTGGCTTCCTTCTTCTCAGCTTTTTTATCCACCTTGGTATCAGGTCGGGGAAAGCCGGCAGAGGCACGGGGGACAGCCGTGTCGTAATGGGTTATTGGCACTTCCTGTTGTGGGCTCGTGGGCACCTCAGGAGCAGTCGCTGCATGGTCCAGGTTTGCGAGAGCATGCTCCTCCGTTGGTGAGATGGGCTGGGTGTTTAGCTTTGACAGGCTTGCTTGGATGTGACCGTTCGGCTTGCCGTTCTCCTCCGAGGCGATATTGGCCTTTTCGCTAGCTATCCGGACCTCTTCTAGACCTTCAGCCTCTTGCTCGGCCCGCACCTTTTCGAACGTGGTTTCCCGGTAAAAAAGAACGTATGCGCACGCCATGCCAGGTTTGTCGCCAAAGAAGTTCCGCACGTAATGTTTGTCGACGGGCTCAACCATCTCATCATCAAATAACAACCAGCCCCTGTCTTCTGTCTTGATGACGGATACATAATGGCCATGGTAGGCGTTACCACCAATGTGGATGATTACCGCGTACAGTTCGTACAGTCTGTCGGGGTCCTCTGCATCGTCGGTTGTGTTGAACATGCGCAGGTGGTACGGATACACGATGCGATGGAACAACTTCTGCAGGCGACTGTAATCCTCGGTGTATTTGAAGCGTTTCAAGTGCAGCGCTAACACTTTCGGTAACCTCTTGATCTTCATCCGCTTCTCTGCCTCTTGCAAGCCGCCGCAATGGTCGCAGTGAAACTTGTTTCTCTCGCAAAGCATTTCTTCTGCCGAAAACTTCTGCAAGCATGACGTTACCGAGGAATGCTCCTCCAAATCGATTGACAGATCCAGGAAAGTCTCATCTCGTTGTGATGTCGTCTCACATGTCAGGCATTTTGTCTCGGATGTTAGTACGCCCTCGAATATGTCGTGAACCCAACCGGTACCTGGCGAGTTGACACCGTTCGATGCGCGCGCGACAGACGCTCCCAATGCCGACTCAACCGACTTCACTAAACCATCTTGTGCGCGCATCGCCTCCAGCTCGTACATCTTGCGCGCATTGGCCTCGACGTTGGCAATGACGTCGTTGATGACCAATCCATAAAACTCATGGGCATCCTGATGCATCGAGTTGCGGAACATCTCGTTGTCGCGTTTGAAAATCTCGAGAAAGCGCTGAGGGCTGAGGACGCCCGTCCTGCTGTTGGTTTCAACCAAAGTCATGAAAATGTCGCGCAAGCCCGTAAAAGAGCATTCATCCATGCCGTAAGCACCTGGGTTGTCTTGGGATAACTCTAATATCGGGCCCTTGAGCATTGCCTGTTTCTTCTTGTATTCCGGAGTGTCTGGCTTGTCCTCTGGCCTGACGCCTTGCGGTGGAGGGGCCTGTCCCGAATTGATTTGTTTCCTCTTTGCCAAAGCTTCTGCCGTCGTCAGAGGCTTTTGGCCGTTTGGTCCCGTCGCGCCGACATTCTCAGCAAGCGTCCGCACTACGATATTGACCTTTGGCTTGTATCCGTCGCCGGGTGTGTCGGAAGGTGTGAGCGGGGGGTATGACAGGACGTGTTCTCGGAAGGGCGTGGTATAATAGAGGGCTTGGACTATCGAGTTGCAATAACTGTACACTCGTCAGCAGGTAGTTGTCATCTTCCCATGGCCGGGAGGCGTACCACGTATTTCCAAACTATATATCGCAAGTTAGCAAAAAGGCCTGAAGAAGAGAAGCAGCGCAATCGAGGCCCAGTAGATGGAAAGACTCGACTCGACTCACGTTTTCCAGCCCAAAATACTTGTCACTTCCGTCTGTCCTCAGCGGACCTGCATATTCGAGCATCTTCTCCAAAGGTGTCGGTTCCGGCGCTGGCTCCTCTTTCTTCTTTTGCACATCTTTGCTTCCGTTGGCCAAAGAGCCCTATGGTATTGTCAGCCGACCATGTTGCGAATTGCTTCCCTATTGTCTCACGGCCCAGGAAATCGGGTGCAGGTCAGAGGGGAAATACTTACGGCCACTCCTGGCTTCCACTTATTCAAAAAGCTCATGATCAATGCAACTCAGCCGCGTCCCTTTCAAGTGGCGGAGATAGAGGAGTTAAACCACTTAAGATGCCCGCAGCCGACGAGACGCTGCACCCGTAAAGCGACTATGAGCGGAATTGGTCGTGCTCGTCATGCAAGGTTTGACTTGGAGTCTGTTGACTTTGCAAAGGGAACTTGATGGGTTGCGAATGATGCATTAGCCGCCTCGAATATTGTCGAGTGCGATCTCTTCGGACTTGGTGTTAAGAAAGAGGTGCAATGCAATGTCACGGCGCTGTTTAGAACGAAGTCCCTCATCAATGTAGGAACGCTCCGGAGCCCGGTCAATTGGTCTAAAGGCGCAAAGGCGGCGGCGACAAAGTGGGAGTGGAGCAAGAAATTGAACTACTTAATACTGGGGAGGGGGGGAGCCTATCTCGTGCGTTCATACAGTACAGTAGATTGGGTGAGGGATTCTGGGGAAGAGGTCCAGTCTGCTGGGAACAGAGAGAAAAAGACAGAAATTACAGATGCAGATGCAGACGCAGACGCAGACGCAGACGCAGATGCAGCAGCTCGGCACAAGCAAGTCAAAGGTCGTGGACGGCTGAGAAATCACTTGAGTCGTGCCTGGTCAGAACATGCTAACTAGTCCACGGATTAATTGCAAGAGCGATGCCTGTGGGATGCGGACCGTTTCTCTGCTTTCACGCGCGGGTTGAACGCTCGTCAGTTATTACACACAGTAGTTACATACAGCAAGTGGCTACATATTCGTGGTGGAATTCGGGATCTCGTTTCCTTCCTTCGGGCGACTGAAGTGTGACCGGGTTGAGGACTGCGACTGCGACTGGGACAGGGAGCGGTCGGGGCACACTAAATCAAGATGGGGTAATACCCAGTTCGGTTCGATCCAGCCTCCACAACACCTACAAGTACGAACTACTTACCTGAATTAAAGTACCCGACCCTACCGTTCCCCTCCCAAACAAAACAAAAAACAAAAACGTACATATCCAACCTAGTCTAGTGCCAGCAGCCGCCATTGACTGATTAACAGCTTCTCCGTCGGATTGATACGGGCTATAGCCAACAGGTCTCTCGGGATATCCGTACCATCGATCTTTTTCAGACGTAGCCAATGACTACTGGGAACTTCGAACCTGCAGTCTTACATTTTGGCTGAATTCGAAGGAATTCAAACCAAAACTTGAGCCATAAGAGTGCTTCTTCCACGAAAAATGTGCACAGGCGAATCAACAGCTCGCTTACTGGGGAGAGCTGACAACCTTGCCTTGCCCTTTCTGGTGCCCTGGAGTGTCATCCACAAGTTCCATTCGCTGCTCCCAAGATTCGATATTATTTCATCGTAGTTTTTTGACGTGGTTTGGAGTCTATGACTCGTGGAGAAACACTGACGAGCTCTGTCTCGACTGAACCCAGCTCGTACTGTCTTTGTACGGGAGGTACTGGGTAGTAAGCTCGACTTTTCCGGCGAGGGTCTGAATCCTTCCTGGCGGGGATCAACACAAAACCGTTTGAGGGGGGGTTGCAAAACCTAAGACATGGAACAAAAGCAGTCAAGATGTGTCGAGGCAAGAAAGATGACTTGTTGCGACAGTCAGGTGCCTCACAAAGCAATTCGGACCCACCACAAAATCCCAATAAATCAATTCCAGTCCAAAAAGTCCCCAGGTTCCTGACCTACAGAAAGGGTGCATTCTGGGCGCTTCTAGACTGGTTACAGCAGGTGAACAGCGGATGTGGGATGTGTACCCAGACCCCCGGGACCGATGCATTGTCAAATTCCAACCTTATTCTTCTGTCGTTTCAGTCCTTGCATCACAGCTGTACTACGACACTGCCATCAGTGCACGTAAATGATTAGAGTCAATCATTTCCTTCTGACAGCTTATTGCCGTGTTACACCAGAACTCGACTAGAGCATGACTGGCGTCATCGCAACGTGGCTGGTGGAACATAAACGGACCACGCCTGCTGCAAGTTACACTGGGAACCAGTTTACTCGCTCGCTTCCGACTTCTCACCTGAGCAGTGAGATAGGCGCCAGACCCTGTCCCCGACAGTTCGTCGAGCCCCAAATGGTTTGTGGGGTTTGGCGCCAACTCAACTAAGCCGTTCTCACAAGGGTGGTCATGCGATAGAATGCAATTTCAAGCGGATGGTTTGTATGGCCTTGTTTACAAAGCGACATGATCAATTGGAGGCGTCTCGGCTGATGAATGACCTTTTGACCAGTGGGTTAGTAATGTCATTCATTACTAACTCACTATTGCTATGGCTCGAATGATCTACCGAACCCATACACAAGTCAAATTCCTCGTGGTGGGAGGCGCACTTGGCACCTTTGCTTGATACCCTCCATCAACCCATAGCCCGCTCATCCGCATCGAGTCAGACATACAAGCAGAGACGCCATACCATGTTCGATCATTGCTTAGCAGCCACATGGAGACTATTCGTATCAAGCCACTCAACTCACCATTACCTAACCTAGTGCGATCGTTGTTGAGGCGCAAGCGGAGTCGGAAAAAACCGCCCTTTAGAATCTCATTGCTGCTGCTCAGCTTGTCCTGCAAAAACGGCTGCAATCAGTTGAACCATAGAGGGCTGGGTCAAGATGACGGCATTAAAGTGAGGGGTGACAAACCGTTCATGAAAACCCCCAGTAAGCCGGCGTATTAAACAAATATCTGTCGACCAATGATTACAGGCTGCAGTAGCGATGTCAGGTCATGTCTCTCGGGTAGGCGATGCTACATGACGCGGCGATTCCTATGCTGATCGTTGCTACGCAACTCCCATCGCTGTCAGCTTCGCTTGATGTACTTACACATCTCCCATGTCTTATATCACGAGCCCGCGGGAGGTTCATGCAGAAATGACAACTGTCAATAATTCTATAGAAAGAAAGCATTAAATGGCCGCAACTAGGAATAACTCTCGGCTACGTACTTATTCGGCAGCTTATGGATTCACCAATTCTGAACACCAAGTTCTCAGCACTTTGCTAGCATAACGCAATGGTGCCGGCCTGTGATAAAGCATCATCGTATTTCGATTGAACCGGCGACAGTTAAACATCGTGGCCCCCGGCAAGGTTTAATTTGCGATGTACTACAAAATATAGTTAACACTCTCAAATCTTAGACATAGATCACAGAGCGATCACTTACCGTTAGTCAACAATGTCGTACTGGCCGCTTTCTCCTTTTCTTGCTGAATTGCAGAATCGTGCCAAATCTTCAGGTACTATATGGCGACCAACACGTCTAGCTCTTCTCTTCTGACCTCTCGCAGCACTTCCAACTTGAGCTTGCCATCCACAACCTTGTCGATGGCAGTCTCAACACCTGCACTATTCTTCCACACATATGCATTTGTCCCTTTACTCGGCTCAAGCCAAAAAATGACAGGGCTTTCATCCCCTTTTTTATCCTCGAGATAGATAGGGTCCCCGTAAACTCCCATACCACACTCTCTCCTGACCTTCTAAGCTTTGAAGTCTACTTTTCTGCTGAAAATTTTGGTGTCAATTCTCAGGCCAACATCGCCCACAGTCGTCCGGGACACATTTTTGCACCAAAATGGCGGAACATCTTTGAACATGGAAGCGTCGTGGCCCCGTAAGTGCGTCTGTTTCAAGGCATATTTTGCAAACAAGGATCCCTTCGTATGCTCCATGTCGTAAAGACGTCGCTTGCGTTCTCTCACCCGAGGGTCGCCCGCGGCGGTCTCCCGGACGGCATGGTCCAACCGCGAAAAGGTCACAGTGGTCGTAGAGTTGGATAACGTGGCCATGCCACGGTTGAGCTCGTAGAGGGGCTGCAAGCCGTGGTCGCTGGCAGACACCGCAACGACGTGGTGATTTGAGAACACCAAGTCGATCGGCCCGATCTTTTGGTCTTCGACGTCGTCGGGCTTCTCTTCATACCCAGGCAGTTGGTCGCCGCCAAGATGGCCGAGCTGTGGGGATCGCGGATGATCGCTAGCATCCAGCATTGATGACTTCATGGGAAGGGTTTCAGAGTCCAACGTCATTATCTTTCCTTACAAACGTCTCAGAGCAGACACGGTAGGCAGTAGTCAGATAGTGTAATTAGTGGTGATGCTGATCAAAGAACAGTAAATCTTTGGGAAGTGACAAAAGGCTTATTCTCGGCTCGTAAGAGCTATTCAATATTGCCGCCAAGAATTAACGGAGGCGATGCTATGTACGCCCAGCTTACAGCCTGACTTGGCATGTGATTCCAGGCCTCAATGAACTGTTTTAAGACTCGTTGCTGTGATCATGAGATCCACTTTTAGGCATATATTCGCCATGATTTCAAGGGTACATATTGACGTATGCGCGGCGTTCAGCTACTATAACAGACAGCATCGAAAAAGAAAAGAAAATAGCTGAAAGTTATAACTAATTAGTGAAGTACACTTCTGCTGATACAAGACCTAGATCTAACGCATTGCTCCAGCGTCTCTGTACCGTCTCTAAAACCACTCTGTCTATACAGCCCATACTCCAATATGGGTATCAATACAGTGATAGCGGCCCCTAACGCAGCATGCCGTACTTGTCAAACTGCAGGTTCGACCCAGCTGAAACGATAAAACTGCTGATTTTAGCTTGTTAGATCTATACCAGGGAGAGGAAGGTTCTTACGTGGTTCTATGATCCGTGTCACGATCGAATCCAAGGGGGTGCAATCCCTCCATTGTCTCTCTGTGCTTGGACTTCTGCTTGCCCTGCGTGATTCTCAGCTTCTCAAAGTAAACATAGGCAGCGTAGAAGACCGTGCTCTTGGCACCAGTCCGCGGTCCATGCTGGCTCCTGAAGTCGGCGAGCTGCTTCGATGCAATCTGCTTGCACTTTGGTGCCTGGAGCTGGGCGTAAAGATCACGACAGAATTGTGCTTGAGTCAAACCGGGAATCTTCAAATGCAAATTGATCTTCCTTCGGATTTCATCGCACGTGTCGTAAACCGGCACTTCGTCGGTTTCCTCGCCGTATAGGTAGATTTGCCTGAGATCTGGCAACGTACTGCTGGAGCTCGTTTTTGCTTTCTTCGCGGCTGGCGTAGTGACAGATAGGGCCGCGGCTTCGGCAGCCTTCTGGTCATCCTGTTGCTGACGCTTCTTGACGTTGGGCGTCTTGATCTTGAGGACATCTCGCTGCTTGAACCACGCATGCGCACTGTGGCAAACAGAACTTCCAGTCCCAGGCTTTGTCATGAAATCGCTGACATTCTTGGGACTGAGATGAAGTGCACGGGCAAAGTCTGCTTTAGTCATGATCCCGGAGTCAAGACTCCTCTGCATCCTATTTTTGATGGCAGCAGGTGACGCAGCAGGCTCGTCCTCGAAACAATAGAAAGGATCGAGAACATCGTCGAGATCTGCTTTGTAAAGCTCAAGTTCTTGCTCAAACGTCAAGTCTGCCTTGCGCTTTCTGCCTGTTGCGCCCAAGTTTCTGACAATGGAAGCTGTGATACTTGGATTTGATTCTACAGGCTTCTGTAACTCCTCTTCGTATTTCTCCGTGAGCAAGTCCAGAACCTTGATCTTTGTATAGATTGCGAGGCCGTCAAGTTTCAGGTTCGCTTCGAGGTTTAGAACAGCATTATCTAGAGCGGGCTCAACATTCTGTCCAGTCTTGCCGTCCGGTTGAGCAGCAGCAGGAGCCTGGTTTGCTCGACTGCTTGCATCACCCAGAGGCTTGCGCCGCTACCCATGATTAGCATCAGGATGGAAATAGTACGAAGCGCTATCGCTTCCAGTAGCGGCGCCTCTTACACTAGAACCTGACCACCCACTCGAAGTTGCGTTTAAATTCATGCTTGCCAGTTTTGGCCTCATACGTAAAATCTCTACGAAGCAGAGCTCGGATGTCCGATATTACGTCGTCGAAGGCTTTTTGTCTTGGGAACAGGATCAATACCGAGTATTCAATGTTTACCTCCACACGTCGCGAGGTCTTTGTTTTTGTTTTAGTACACATAGAGAAACGACCAGGGACTGCGTCATTAGCCTGTTTGCCCCCCATACACCATATCAGCACTGATCCCTTGGTGGCACTGACGATCTCTAGCGTGAACTAGACGCGCTGAATCCACGACGTCATATGTTCTGACGAATATCTGCAAGGGTTTAATACTGCTATACGGAATACAGGTCGGGTTTGAACGAATATTTTGAGAGAAACCCCATTGTTCGATAAGCTAAACTAGTATAGACTTGGCGGGTATTATTTCTAAGTTTAGTTTGCGCCGTTACAATCCTCTAAATAAGCGGCTTATTGCAGAGAGCATTTTAAAGGCTGCCAGCGTGCTTTCAATCACATACCTTGTTGAACCAACGGCCCCTTGTAAAAGAAAGTATTTCACGTTGTCCAGTCACAACCCTCAGGAAGGATTCGATTAGCATAGAGAACAGAGTCGTGCTCCATGAATGAATGAATGCAGGCTTTTCCGAGTATCTCTGTGAGACCGGTAATTGTGCCAGACTCGCTGGTGTGGTTAAATCCTTTGAGGAATGTTGATCGGGAGATTTTGGCGTATTGCAAAGTCCCCAGTGCCGCCGCTTGTGTGCCCAAAGTTGCTGGATGTTGATTGAGCAACTGGCGCCTCCGTGAGAATAACACTATCTTGACATTGAGTGGCTGACTCGCCTTATTCAAGATCCACGAAGAAATGTTGGATTAAACATACCCATATGGACAGCAAGTAACACATACGTGCATTAAACCGGTACCGTTTCAGTCGTGTAGAACGTAGCACTACATCATCCGGAGTCAGTAAATATTACTTCCAAGCAGAATTATGAGGTCCACGGGAGTATCGAAATGGTGAACAAAGGCTTGATTGTTTCAGGAAGGTAATACACGCGTCACAGACTTCCTAGAAAGGGCATAAAATGTTCAAAAATATTACTTACCATATCTAGCCGTCACTGGCTTGACAAAAGCGCGCTTGTCCATTGGTGTCGATGAAGAAAGGCGGAGAGATAGTCCCTTCGGATATCACCCGAAATGGTATCCAAGCGTTGCCAACACTCGCGCCCACGTGCTAACCAGCAGCTAGTTACTCACCTGTTCTCAAAGTAAAGACTGTTGCGTTGACACAAGAGCAATGGTTGTTCATGTAACCGTGACTGATGCATTTGCCAGGACTGTCACGTCGCCGCGGCCTGGCATTGTATTGTCCAGTCATAGAGTTATATGCACTATCCAGAGGCATGACTTTCAAATTGACAGGGTCCGGTATGCAGGTGAAGCGGGAGCAGCTGAGGAGGCTCAATTAAAGATGTGCTGCTGATGTCGTGATTTGACGATGAAGCCAACGAATCCATTGATGTATTATAGATGTTGAGCGTTGTGTATGTGCTTTTACTAATTGCCCTTGTATTTTCAATGGACGTTACGAGTACGGATCGGCGAATCACTAGGATAGTCTCGGGTTGAATGCTGTGGAATATTTCCAGTGCCACTATCATTGCTGGGTAAACCCACAAGCGAAGAGGGAGAACTAGAAAGTGGAACATGAAGGCGAGTGTGCTGGTCCGCTGAAGGCAGAACTCATACAGTAGTGCGCTTAACCGTTGCAAAAACATCTAGACAGGAATTCGCCGTGTTGCCATCGAAGCCTATGGAAGTTAACTGCTCTGTAGAGCTGTTTCTTGCTTTTGTCGAGTAATTTCCAACAGAACTATCTGTAGAAAAGCGGTATCTGGTATTAGGGATTGCACTCGTCGACTGGTCCCCGACAGAAGAGGGCAGAATGACTACTAAGTGACCAAGCTTAGTGGGCGACACTGTACTTGAGTACACTCTTTATCATTATTAATAATAGAGTATCTGGTCTCTCTTTGCTTGTGGGGGCTCCATTAGTTAGGACGAGAATGGCAGTGTCATTCGGTCGCATGGCGAATATGATTTCGAAATAGGTCTCTGCGGCGCGTTGATCATACCGGTGCTTCCGACCAGGTGCTCCACCACCACATCGTTGATTTGCATCACCAGGATATGTCTCAGTCGCATAATTATAGTCGATAAAAAAGCTTTGAGCAATTTGGAACCAATTGTCATTATTTTGAGATCCTTCTGAGCTCCATCCGAATAAGTTAGGTCGCACCATTTCTAAGTTGCAGCGTTGACAGTATCATCATATGATCTTGCTTGTAAAACGAAATCAATACCGCGATTCAAGGAACCAATGTTGATGTTGCTAGTACCCAGGACAATCGCTAGATAAAATGAAGAATAACCGAGTGCCTACCTGGTGTCGTAAGAAAATGTAAATCAATGGGATCCCACACATTGGGTAATTCACCACACATGCCTGACTTGTGGGGTGGCAGGATTTCCAATTTGCGCCGTCCGATGGCAGATTGGGTACCCAGGAATTCATATGAAGTGGCCAAATTTTCTGTTCGGTAATTATAAGATTCTTCTCAGGTTCAAAAGATGGATCAACAAATATTCGGGCGTGTCCGTCACCTGATGGCTCACCACAATATTCAGGCCTACCTCCACCGGATGGATTAAGGTCTGGAGTTTTATAGCAGATAGTCTGATCGGTACGCATTTTGGTCAAGATTGACCCCAGCACGGTCCTGCAGTGGCATAATCGATCAAAGAGAGAAGTATATTTGAAGCTTATGTGCTTTACAGGCTCGCAGCTTGAAGCCGAGCCTCTGCGTATGAATGGCCCTGCTACAATGCGTTTCTCATCGTCCGTGATGAGTGTTATTATGGTGGCATTTTGCATCAATCTCTCTGCACGTCATACTAATTTCTTGGGTGCCATGTGGCTCGCAACGAGGTGCGTACGGATATCGATCATACGTTATAGATGATGCTGTCTATACTCTAAGTGCGAGCTACTTTATCCTTGACAACCCCAAAGTACACCCGCGGGTTTGTCAATTGGCGGTCCGTGCAGCAAGCCCCAAACAGTCATTACTGTGGTGATTTCAGGGCAATACACGACCTCTCAACTCACTTCAACCGAAGATGGTTTCTTAGTTAAATAACATCTCGAGACGCCAGTGGTTGTCGTGACGTTGGCCAAGGAAGTGGGTTAAGCGGAGCAGAAAAGTTATGACATTGATTGAGCGTCGCCCCTATTTGCCTCAAAATCATATCTCCTTCACGAAGCCAACCTCAACAACGCGATCCATCGACAAGCGGAGATTCGCAATCTTGGCCCTAGTATTTTCTCTTATCCATAAGAAAGTTGCGAGAAGTATTCGTCTAAAGATGCGGGTCGACGTCTTGATGCGCATCTGCTCCTTGCCAATCACATACATGACCTTACTAGCAAAAGCACGGTCGAGATGCGCGAGCTCCTCTTTGACAACATCGTCTCGGAGCTCGGCGGGTTCGTGGCGTCTCCCTTTCTCTTTTTCGCCCGTGTCGCCTTTGCTATTAGAGGCCGATTTGATAGCATGACTGTCGACTTGTTCGATGCTAGTAGAGGTAGCAGAGTCTTCTTGAATCTCGGTCTCTTCAGGAAGAACTTCACCAGCAGCTTGGCGCATAATGAACTTGCGAACTTGTTCATAGACCAGGAGAGCCAAATCTGGCGAGATCACTTCGTCCATGTATCCGTGACTTACTACAAGTCTGTAACACCCGGGGATTGATCCAAGTCGAGACACAGAGTAGCGCTCATTATCAGGCACAGTGGGTGCTTCGACTGGGTGAAGATGAAAGAAGATGATTGCATCCGGGAGTGCACCAAACTTGGAAACAAACTGGGTGAAAACGGTAGGTGTTAAAACACCCGTCTTATCGAAGTAGATCCCCATGCCCTTGATTCTGCTGAGAACCCCGCCGCCCCAGCGATCAGTCAAAGACAGAATGCCATTCTCGTCTTTAGTTACCAGTGTTGAAGGTCTGAACCTATCTTCGGCCTCGGCATGCCACTGGCTCTCCTTTCCAAACCGCCATAGTAGAAACATGCCGGCTAGGATGCTGGCGATAAGAAGAGTGAACCAAGCGCCGTCTGGCACCTTGACTAGAGCAGAGGAAATGTAAAGGCCGTCGAAAGTCGCGAAGAAGAGCCAGGGCAGAAAAACCACGTATCCAGAATACTTCCACACGATAAGAGCAACAAGTGTGACCATGCAGGTGTCAAAGAAAGTCACAAACATGACACACACACTAAATATGAGATTAGCTGGATTTGAGATGAATTTACAGTCTTCTTGAATAGACGTACCCGTATGCATTACCTAACCGCGTGGTATTGGAATAGACACCAGTGACAAGAATTGTCAAGGCCATCAGAATCCAGTTCAGAAAGGGGACGTAAAGCTGGCCATGAAATGTTTTCGAAGTGTGGACTATCTTGACTTGCGGACAATAAGACAGCTTCATGATTTGAGATGTGAGCTGGAAAGTCGCCGTAATGATTGCTTGCGATGCCACAATCGCTGCAAGTATGGCGAGGACGAGGCTAGGGTAAAGCATGCCTGGTGGTACCGAGTTGTAGAATGGATTGGAATAGGCCTCTGGATGAACACTGAGGTATGCGGCTTGTCCAATATACGCAAGAAGAAGAGCCGGATAGCAGTAGCACAACCAACTGAGCTGGATAGCGCGAAGAGAGAAAGCTCCTAGGTCTGCGAAAAGTGCTTCGACACCAGTAAACGCAAGCAGAACACCGCCTAGCATTCTCCATCCTTCAGTTCCTTTCTCTCTAAAGAATTCAATTGCGAAATATGGTGAGAATGCCTTCAAGACGGAATGATCAAACATGATGAGGTTGTAGATACCAAAACCGGCATTGAAACCAAGCCACAAGATAACAATAGGGGCAAAGCAATTAGCCAGTTTGGAAGTCCCAAGAGGCTGAAGGAGGAATAGAAGGACGAGGATACCGCAAGTTGTACCGACAACAGTCGACTGGGAGATATCCGGGCTGACGACATTAAGGCCTTGCACCGCGCCTAGAACAGACTGAGCTGGAGTGAGGACTCCGTCGGCCATGACCATAGAAACAGCCAGGACACCAATGACTTTCAGTAAGTTTCGGACAAACTTGCTCTTTTCCATTCCCGATCGGATCTTTTTACTCGAATGATGAAGGTCTTGTGTCTTGACTCGCTCCATTCTTACAAGTAGTGCTTCTCGAGGATCGCGTTGAGTGATGTTGGCCTAACATTATTAGCAATGGGCCAAAATTCTAAAGACCATGAATGCACATACATATCTAGTCAGCAACGAGTAACAACTGAACGTCCCTCCCTCACCATCATTGTCCGCATGTAGTACGATAACTACATATTTCAGAGTGACCATAATCGTCAATGACCATATGATCAGTGACAGTACTTGGAGCACATCATTATACGTCGGAACATCGAGGAATGTGGACGAATAGACGTAGAGGGGACTGAGTGTTCAGCGCGTCAGTTTTATTGCATTGCAATGTGTGAGTATGGATTCGGAAGCACGTACCTGGTTCCAATGTCGCCATAGATGACACCGGTGGACTGGTAAGCCAACCTTAAGATATATCAGTAACAAGTTCTGTGATATGACGGCCTATGTACAAAGAAGGAGAGGGGGAAAACAAAGGGAAAAAAAAAGAGAAAAAAAAAGGGGAAAAAACAAGAGCAAAATAAGAAAAAGAAACGAAACAGAAAAAAAAGGGAAGAGTCGACCTACCAAAGTAAGGTTGTTCCCTTGAAGATTTGCTTCTCACGACCAACAGTATCTGGCTGCCATTCGCCATCCTCTACATCCCCGGCGTGTTCACTGCGTCTATCGGTTGAGTGACGAGACGAGCTACGTCTACCGGGGGCTGTGCCCACCCTTGGGAGGCTTCGCACATCGTAAATGCCGCCAGCCCTGGCAGATGTTTCGGGTTTGACTGGCTCGTTAACATCGTCCGCAATGCGGATCGTTGTTGGTTGAGCCACCATTGCGGCTCTGTGTAAGGATTGACGGAAATGCAACAACGGCAGATGAGTTTCGCGTAAATTCGTCTCGCTTCACCAACTGCGGCGCGGTTGTACGTAAAAGAAAAGATGAGCACGCAGGGACGGAAAGCATGTGAGTGCACTCGGGAACCCTTAAGACATGCGAGGCCTCCCTAGATGACCGCTTCGAAAAGACATGGAGATTGCCGTTGACACCCCCATCCTACTGAACGCCATCATGCAAGAAGGTATTGCAAGCCTGAAGCATGTGGGATCGACCTTTGACAGGGCTGCTTCTGCGTACATAACTTGGCCGCCGCATGCATCTAGCCGCAAAATAATGTACCAAGAACGGCAGTCCCAGAGTTTACAATGCACTTCACGACGCAGAGTCCAATGGGGTGCCCTGTCGCAATATCAAGGTGTCTACCCATCTCCACCAGGGAACAGTCTGGGCCAAGGCCCAGGAAAAAGAAACTGCGGAAAACAAATCTGACGTAGACCCTATCAAGCTTCGGGCTAACCTAGAGCCCTGCCATTGCTCACCTTTCAATCGAGCTCGACAACTAGCGAGGAGGAGCTCTTTAGGTTTGAACCAGGGTAGCTTTGTATGAAGCCTTTGTGTATGCACCAACGTGTACAGCTGATTGGTCAGGACAGCCTGATCAGTCAATAAAGTCCTCAGCGCCTTCTCAACAAGACCAATGCCAGTTTGTACTGTATAATGCTCTCAAGCTCACTTTTGGTACCTGTTTTTCTGGGCATCAATTCTCCCCGTCATGACGTCTTTTGGACTACCTGGGTTTGTTCCCATATACATCCCATTCAGCTGTAGTACATTGCAGGCTGCGTTGACTGAGCACTTCAGACTAGTCTGGCGGTGTGATTTATGAGATTGCCTCGACCTTTCGTCCCATCAGTTCATAACCCAGACCCTTGTCACCAGCATCTAGTTTGACTGCCTGGGTCGGCATACGCGATTTAGGAAAGCTTAAAAGCTGCGGCCCACAAATAGTTCCTAGGCACAACTTAAGCATTTGTTAAGACTTTTAAGAGCCGTCCAATGGCTTCTACAGACATCGAGAAGGACATAAAAGCAACAAAAAGGTCTGGAATTGAGATTCATCGAATTGTCCTCTTTCCCCATCAATTTTGAGCATCGCAAGCTGCACATCCTGCCTGTACCACTACACACTGCATTGCTATGTACGTGATAAAACAGCCAGGATTGGATTTGGATAGCTCGGGAGCTAGCTGTGGACGACCTCAGGAGGCCTCCCTCCCAAAATCGCGCAGCTATCTTTCTGGATCGCCAACTGGTTATTCGCTCAAGGAGACCCGTTCCTCACAAATCTTGACCATACCGACCCAGTGGCCGAAAGGTCTCGAATTGTAGATTTGCTCGTTATACACGCTTATGAGGAACTACGAGTGACCTAGACCCACATTTCCTATTGTACTACTATAGCTGTTTCTTGCTTGGCTCTGTGAGATTGACTATACTCTGCAGGAGCTCAGATCGGCTAGGCAGCTGTGAGAACTGACAATCATCTCGTGCTCCCAACTCGTTTATGAAACTACCCTCTAAGAACTAATTTGCTTTGACAAGGACTTTGTTGAGGTCTATGGTCCATCAAACACGAAGCAATTTGACATCGGTTATTTCTGTTCGTAAACCATTCTGCCACGACTGGCTTCGCAAACCCTGCACGAGTGTTAGTGCATTGACCGATTTTGGTGAGGCCGAGAGAGGCACGCCGAATCTGATGATCGGGCGCCAAATCGCTGGCATCTCTTTCCGACGATACTAGATCCGGCAAAAATGGTGACCACGAAGAGCAATCGGCTCGAAATATGTTGCGAGAATTTTACAAGTGGCCAGCTAGACTCGGTCATGTGAAGGCACCCGTCAATATCGCTGTCTTATGCGAATGAGTAATTGTTGCGCCACCAGGGACGAAGCTTCAAGGCGGGTCTGTTATACAAAAAACCTGATGATGATGATGATGATGAGAGGTGCTGCTCACGATCTCAGCACTTCAGGAGCTCTCAGTAATTATTTTTGGTTTCAATATTTTTTAAGGGTGTATATACTGTGAACATGTGTAATTTCCAATGGCTTCTGAAATTGATTCGAGCCTGTGATTGGGAAGCGCTGATGGAACCAAACACGGTTGTGTTCTGACCTTTTCGGGCCGGTTATTCGCCTTATGATTGGCCGCAACAATGAGTTGAAGGTTTTCATCAGTCCCAGGGCTTAGAACGCGGTGTTTCTGGCATGGTGACCCATTAATCCATCTGGTCCACAGTCTGTCCGTTTCCCTGGGTTGATTTTGAGGCGCCCTCAGCCTTCTGGCCATCTGCCTCACTGATAGGAGCACACCAGTTGAACTCATCTTCCACCTTTCCGAGCTGGATGCCCTTAAGCTGGCCAAGCAGCTTCAAGCAGATATCACCGGCTTCTTCTTGGCTATCTTGAATGTAGGTGACCTTCTCCAACTTACCCTCCGTGGATAAGCGCGGGTGCTGCTTGACCGCCGAACTGATAGATTCGGGTAGGGAAGGGTCAAAACGGCGGGAAATGGACCGAATAGGCACCAAAGCCGCAGCGGTTCCGGCAGCCATGACTTCTGAGAACTGAGGAAGCTCAGTGTATTTGATCTGCCTCATGTCAGTGTCAATGTCGTTGGTAACGCATTGAGGGATTACTTACTGATCGTTTTTCCACCTTCCAGCCGAAGCTCTCACCAATTGAAGTGATGCTGTCGGCCGTCACACTTTTAATGACGTTTTTGGAGTCGGGCACGACAAGTGTAACATTCTCACCGTCGGTCAGAGCACCAATGAAACCACTCGTGCTGAACTCATCGACCTCAGAATGTGTGGCGCTGTCCAGGTGAAGCGTAATACCGAAACCATCGTTCCTGGCGCGATCACTCCAGCGCAACACTGGCGCATAGTTGCCGCCGACCTTGGCGCTTCCGGTGCCGTTCGGAGCGGCGCGATCGAACTCGTCCAGGATCAGACCGTTGACAGGGTGGGTGCCATGGTAGACACCGGTGGGCAGGACGTAGACACAGAACATGTACTCCTCGGGCGGGCTGAGGCCTAGCTGAGCGCTGGAGCCAAAGATCTGAGGACGGATGTACATGGCGGCGCCGGTCTCGTGAGGAGGAACATACTCGGCGTTGAGGGCGACGGCGGCTTTGACAGAGTCAATGAAGAGCTCAGTGGGCACCGGGGGGCAGCTGATGTATTCGGCCGAGTGCTGCATGCGCAGAGCATTGCGGTCGGGGCGGAAGATCTGGATGTCGCCGGAGGGTGTGCGGAAGGCCTTGAGACCCTCATAGGCCTGCTGTCCGTAGTTGAGGGCCGGAGCCATGCCATGGATGCGGATGAAAGGATCCGTGACGAACTGAGGGGCAGTCCATTTCCCGGTCTTGACGGAGTAGTGGGATTCGATATGGCCGTTGACTATGAATGATCAGCAGGTTCTTATGTCTTGTCTTGTGTGTTTTCCACTTCTTGTGGGATTTTTCGAGTCAACGCGCATCGGGTTCACTCACCCTCACGCACACGAAACCCGACATTGGACCAGTCGATGGTGTTCACTGGTGGGGGAGGGAAAGGCGCCATGACTGCGGATATTCAGCTGAGGGGAGACTGTATGCAAACAATGCGATATCCAGACCAAGAATTTGAAGAGATGCACCCCAATTGACTTGATGAAGGATTCTAGTAAAGCTCTACTCAGCACTTGGGATCTGTAGCTTTGAAGACTCGGCGTCACGTATCGTATGTCACTCTTTTGGTCTGGTTGGTTAGTCAGTTAATGGAAGAGGTAGGACCGTCATCCTTGGAATCCCACTTCAATTTTGGAATTTCGTGTCAACGGCCGATTTGCGGAGTAGCGGGGTTGTTCTTTGCTTGTGAGTACAGAGTACATGTACATAAAAACACCCATACTGCTGATGGCGGGGAGTCTTGTGCATGTGCATGCACCCACGTCCGCAGGCTACCATTACCGCACATATTTGTGCACCTTCTCATCGTCACGGTCGTGCGTGCGCAGTGCAATACATGTGCAATGTAGAGTTACCATAGTCATATTCAAAATGCGCTCATTTATTACTGCACCAAGAAATTCCTTGACTCCCTCTACCAGGAAAACAGAACCGCCCCCTTTGAAAAGCATCCCAGAATTGTGCATACCAAAAATTACGCCATGTCCCTAAACACACAACAAATGGAAGTATCGCATCGCACAACGTGTCCGTACATCCATCCCTAGCTCAAAGTGCGAATAACTTCAGCACAAGTCATATTGCCATCGTGGCCCATTGTGCTCAGCACACTACTCAGGCAATCCAGCGCCCGCTGCGCATCCTCTTCCTCGACCACCGAATCCCAGTAAGACAGCGTGAGGTCCAGTGTACTGTCGCCTATCTCAGAAACCGCAACCACAATGTCATACTGCAAAGTAATATTAGCATACCGGAACAATTGCATGTCAGGGAACACGGGTACTTACAGCCATGGGATCCGGGGACGGTAATGCTCTGAATGTGAGGCCATCCTCATCACCTGCGCTGCCGTTCTCGTCGGCATCGAGAGCCGCCATGGTGTCGTCATCAAACTTGCGGACATTGATCAAGGAACTGACACTCACACCAAGCTCTGATGGCGTGACGTGAGAATGTGGCAGTGCGCTCAGCACCGTATCATGGGTATGTCGGAGCAATGCTGCTATTGGCAAGTTGACATCCTGTAAACCGCGATGGAGCACCGTGTTGACGAGGAAGCCCAATGTCTCGGATGGGATTATCGTTCTCGCACTCGTGAGGTAGGCGAAAACAACGTCTTCATCTTCGCCGCCACAGAGGGCTCGCAGAACCAAACTCCACGCTGCATAAACTAGGGAGGGCATTGTCGACTCATTCGCCAAGCAGAAGTTGGAGAATTTAGTGTTTCGGACCTGCGTATGCAGTTCACGCACGTTTCTTCTGACCACCTTGCCCACCGTTGTCTTTTGCGGGAACTGATAGATGTTGATGGCATCGTTTAGCATGTTTTTCCAGTATGAAAACGCGGCTTTCCGGTCCAGCGCCTCTAATTGTGTCATGTAAGACTGCATAGAAGGACCGGGCCCAGCTGGTAGTGCACCATTATAAGCCCGTGCGAGCTCCTCGAAAATTGTCATCAAGGAGTAGCCATCGGTGAGGGCGTGGTGCATGTCCAGACGGCTGATCACTCCACCCATTGATGTCTTCGCCACTGTGAGCCGGTGCAAGGGGATAAGCTTGTCTAGAGGCAGCGGAAGACTGTGGCTTGTCAAATCTTCTGAGCTCTGGAGCTCCAGGTACGTGACTTCGGCTTTATGTGTCTTGAAGACAACTTGTCCCAGTGTATCGTGGAAAGCAGTCCGGAGGATAGGGTGTCGATTCACAACCTGCTGCCAAGCATCATGGAATTGCTGTGCATTTACCGATCCGGATCCTTTGCGCCGCGGGAGCACCTCGAAGACTTGCGATATATGGTAGTACCCAGACTCGGGGCTGGCCTTCGATGCTTGCAGCAGATCCCTCTGCGAATTTATGCATGGGTAAATGGTCTCAACCTCGCTAGGATCAACATCCAGGCGTGCGGGGGTACCGCCATGGGTGGAAATCTTCTCGTGTTCTTCACTTCCGTTTCCAGACGAACTCGTGACACTCTGGGTGGCGTAAGCCTCATCCACCTGCCTCTCAGCCAGAGCTGCAAGTTTAGATATTGTCTTCTGCGTCATAATGTCCAGTACGGAAACCTGAACGCCACCCTTCGTTGAAGCCGCCGCAAGCCGCATAGCTGCAATTGAATCACCACCCAGTCGGAAAAAGCTCTCGTCAACACCGATATCTGTTTCCTTGACGTGGAGAACCTTGGACCAGATGGATCGTAGACGCTTCTCAATAGATGTAGAAGGCTCCCGCTTGCCGATGGAATCGTCCGCAAGGGAGAAGGTGCGGAGCTGGTCATCGGAGAGCGCGGCAGCAAATTGTCGCAAAGCACGACGGTCTCGTTTACCGGCTGTACTCAGTGGAAGCTCACGGAGAGGGATAAACAGCGAAGGTACCATGTAACCTGGAAGTGACGCTGTCAAAGAGGCTTGCAAATTGCGAAGCACAGTTCCCAGGTCCTTAGGAAGTGCTGTGTCTGTGCAGACATCGATCTGAGAGCCAATAGCGACAAAAGCGGCCAGAATAAGTCCAACTCGTCCTGGTATCGTGACTGCCTCGACCGCGATCTGACCATGGATGGAGGAGTGAAGGATGGCATGATGTTCGATCTCGCCAATTTCGACACGCTGGCCACGAATTTTGACTTGAGTATCTTTGCGGCCGAGATACTCAAGGCTGCCGTTTTGTGTATACCGCACCAAATCACCTGTCTTATACAAACGCCTGGGTTCAGTGAAGCCGGGCCATGTGACATCGCAAATGAACGCCTCTGCCGTCTTCTCCGGAAGTTTGAGGTAGCCCTGAGCCAAAATCGGGCCTTCGAGCACCAACTCACCAACAGTTCCTAGAGGAGCGAGCTTATAAGGGTTATCAGCCTCCACGACCCATGTCAAAGCTCCGCAACCAACACCAATGTCAGATGCTTGATCCGTGTGTGCGAGATTCGATCGACCAACGCATGCAACGGAACATTCGGAAGGGCCGTAATAGTTGTGCAGGGCTACTTTATCAGCCCAGGCTGAAAGATTATCCTGCTTGACGGCTTCACCACCAAGACAAATTGTCTTCAGTCCGGGAACTGCCTCTGGTTGGAGCATCGCCTCTAGGACAGAGGGCGTCAAATCAGCCGTATTGACATCAAGACGGTTAATGAACCCGGAGAGATCGTTGTGCTTTTCATATTCTGTGGGCACGCAAACAGCGCCCCCACGCATAAGCGAGAAGAATATGTCACTTAGACTGAGATCAAAAGTATAAGATGAGAACTGTACAACCCGGGAGCCAGGGCCATAACCCATTGCGGCACCATAGAACGAACTGCTTGTACAGATAGCTTGATGTTGTAGGAGTATGCCTTTTGGCTTGCCAGTACTGCCAGAGGTGAAATTGACAAACGCAACATCTTCACTGTGCGTCTCGGGGAGCGCCTTTGTCTTCTGTCGAAGGGTGGTGCTCAAGCGCTTTAGCTCATCAGGACCAAGTGCCATTACAGCTGCCACAGGCAGGAATTTTGACGCGTGGTGGGGAGCAGCAATGACAATGTCAGCATCGACATCTTCAAGTATACCGTGCAGACGATCTAGTGGGTGTTTAGGATCCAACGCCACGCATGCTCCACCAGCTTTGAGAATGGCAAGCATGACGACAATGGCCCACGGTGAAGCATCGTAACAGTATGGGATTTTCGATCCAGGACGGACTCCAAGGATCGCTAGACGATGGGCTAATCGATTGGCAAATTCGTTGAGTTCGCTGTAAGTCCAGTTGGTGTCAGTAGAGCAAACAGCGAGTGCCTCGGGGTCGGCGTTAACCTGGTCCTCGATCATGTGGTGCACGCATCGCGAAACGGTCTTGGGGTAATTCGCATTCCACCTCTTGATGTTCTCGATATCGCGGTCCCCCAATACGGGAATGTGCCGGGCAGGAGTTTGGGGGGGAGAACCAGCGAGGCCATCAATGGCCTTTTCAAAGCTTGTGGCGATACCGTTTGCCTGGAAGTCTGAGACGATATCCGTGTAGTAACTGAGGGTGGCATGAATCGACGTATCAGCTACCGCGACGCTAATGCTCAGCGCATACTCTGTAGGATCATGGGCGTTGATTTGTTCGAACTCGAGACCAGTCTGGACGTCGTTGTTTTCTGATATAGTCTGATAGGACATAATACTATTGAAAAGTGTATGCCCAGCCATCTTCTGCATATCAGCTAAGGAGCAGTTCTGGTAGTCCAATGCGTTGACATAGTCGGTCTGGACGTTTTTCATGAGGCTGTGCGCGTCAAGATCCTCAGTGAAGTCAACCCGGCTGACGAGCATGCTGATGAAAAGTCCGATTGCATCACGAATCCCTTCAACTGGGGCATCACGGCCTGCATTCAGATAGCCGAAGCATACTTGGTCAGTATTGGCGAAGTTCCGAAGTACCATAGCCCAAGCGGCTTGGAACAGATTGGCGAGAGTAACGGAATTAGAAGCCGAGAAGGCCCGTAATTTTGCAGGGTTGGGAATTGTGAATTCCAAATCGTGGAGTTCTTTCTTCTCGCTGGTTGGCAACCCATTATTGACCATGCATGGTTCGAGACCAACCAAATATTTGCCCCAGTATTCCAGACTGGCTTGCTTGTCACTGCTGAGAAGATGAGAGACAAAACTGCTGTATAGCGGACCACTTTCAGTGGGAAGGAGGCCCTGATACGCAAGACCAAGATCTCGGACGAGAATACCGCTAGATGCGCCGTCCGTGACAGCATGATTGACATCGATCTTGCAGTAAACGTTACCGGTGGAAATGACATGGCATATTGTCAGCTGGCAAGGACCAGCAATCTCCCATGTAGCGCCTGGTGCGAACGCGTTCGGTCTTTCTAGCGTTCGGATTGCATCAGAATCGGTGTCGCTGGCAATTTTGACTGTCGTCTGCGGTAGTGTCTTAAGGACGACTTGAGTAAGCGCACTTCGCTCTGATACAGTGTCAACGAATACAGTACGCAGAGTCTGGTGCCGGTCCATGACCGCTCCCCACGCAGCTTGTAGCCGATCTAGATTCACCGGTCGACCATCCGGCTCGGAAACCCTGTAAACGACGCGCACTGCGTACAAATCAGAGTCGATGCTTCGAGACATCATCAAAGCTTCCTGCAGAGCCGTAGCGGGGTACATGTCTTCCACGACCCGCATATCCGTAATTCTCTGCTTCGGTAAAGAGTCATGGACAAAGCTTTCGAACTCATCATCTGTAAGAGACAGTAATGGGAAGTCGCTGACGGTGAACTCCCTGACTAAGCCTTGCAGTCTGTTGATTGCGGCGGTCAATGACTGTTTGGTGTTATCGGACCACTGTTGCATCTGGTCCAGTCGTCTCATGGTATTTGGGGACATGAACGTGACCTTCAAGCAGCCGTTACTGATACCGGATGAGATCTCTATGATTGAAGAGCGTTGCATGTCTGGACTAATATCGCAGGTTTCGGCACCATAATCGTCACGCGGTACGAGCTGGAAGAGTGCATCCGATCGTTCCAATTGCTGGTACTGCCCAGCGAAATTGAGGATGACTTCAACAGGACCATCGCGCGCGAAGTGTCGCTTCCCCTGGTCAGTCAAGAAACGGCTGACAAAGTACTGCCAGCCGTTCATGGGAACCTGTCTGCGACGGTCTTTCACTTTTCTGATAAAACGAGTGACATGCTCGTCCATATCTGCATTGATGTGGACTGGATACATGGTTGTAAACCACCCGACCGTGGAGGACACATCAATGGAATCATCCCAGGACTCGCGGCCATGGCCCTCGGTGAATATATTCGGGAGATTGCGGTCCTGGAACGTTTGTGCGAAAGCATGAATCAAAGAGCCCATCAGGATGTCGACAGTGTCCGTACCAAGTGCTGTGCTGCATTCATTGAGCAGGGACGCGGTGCTTTGAGCATCTAGTTCAAACTCGTTTTCAACGATATTTCCGAACGTGTTGGAGTCGTTCGGCACATTCCAGTAGGTTAAGTCTGCTTTTGGTAAGTCGAAGGGCAGCGCCGTCTCTGGCTGTATCTTCTGGGCCTTTGCAAGCTGTAATGATAGCCATGTCTGGAAAGGCAATGGCCGTTCCTGAGACACCGCGGCTGTACTTGTGAGGTATTCCTCTAGGTCATTCAATATAATGCGCCATGATACGAGGTCAACAGCCATATGGTGGGCCGCCAAGAACAATACTTGTGACCCGTCTTCATTAATGCATAAGTCAGCAGCAAACACAGGGCCATCGATGATATCGAGATTGTTCTGGCTTTCAGCCATCACCCGTGAAAGATCATCGTTGTGGTGAATAGAAAATCGGCAAGACTCTGCTGTTACGGGCAAAATGCGCTGAGTCCAATGACCATCGGGACTTTGCGTGTAGCGAGCACGCAGCATTGAATGCCGTTCAGTAACATAGCCGAAGGCTGAAGCCAATCTTTCTTCGCTTATGAAGCGAGTGATTTGAAGCAGGAAACTCTGATTGAATCGTCTCGATCGTGACGACGTCGGACAGATCGTGTCTATAAACATCTTCTGAATAGGGGATAGTTCGAACGCGGTTTCAATGGTTTCCTGAATCATCTCAACCTTCTGAGTTCTGATCTGAGCAGATGCAGCCAGCTCTCTGATGGTTTTGCTTTCTAAAAGCTGACGAACACTAAGCACGACATTACATGCCTGAAGTCTTGAGACAAGCTGCATGCCAGTGATTGAGTCACCACCGAGGGCCATGAACGATCTATTGAAAGGGATGCTCTTAGGCGACATGTTGAGAACCCTACCAAGAGCCTTCTGAAGTGTACTCTCAGTATCAGTGGCGGGTTCAGTATCCGTGACGTCGTGCTTCAACTGCAAGCTCTGAGCTCTTGCGGTGTCTGGAGCCAGCTCCTCAAGCCACCGCTGGATCGTCTTTCTGTCGATCTTGCCGGAGGAATTGAGCGGAAGCTTGTTGACAGCGATCCAGTGGCGAGGAATCATGTACCTTGGAATACGTAAGGGCAAAGCATCTCGTACTTCTGCGACTGTTTGAGTAATATTGTCTCGCAAAGTTCCTTCTTTGATAAACTCGAGGTTTCCGGAGGCTGAGATGTCAGACGCCACGATAGCCGTAAGGGAGGACTTGAATGAACCAGAGCCTGGAAGAAAAACTGCCAACTGATTCTCTGGTAGCACCGAGAATAAATGATTTTCTATCTCAGCGAGTTCCACTCTTTGGCCATTCAGTTTAACTTGGGCATCCTTACGACCAATGAACAAGAAAGATCCATCGTCAGCGTAACGAACAAGGTCGCCGGTCTTGTAGAATCTCCTCTGCTGACCGCGACACCAGGCTGGGTCGGTGATGAAAGCACTTGCCGTTTTGACATCATCGTTCAAATAACCCGAGGCAAGGATCGGTCCCTCAATGAGCATCTCTCCAGCAAGACCCACGGGCATAAGTACATCGTGGTTGTCCGGATCAACTATCCATAAACGAGCCCTTGAGGGATGACCGACGTTGTTAGGGGCGCTATCCGGTTTAATCTCTCTCCATGTAACAAAGACTGACGCCTCAGCTGGTCCATAGCCTTGAATCAATTGAACTTTAGCGGCCCAACGGTCTACGTCCTCTTGAAAGACTGCATCACCACCAAGCTTCATAGTTCTCAATGTGGGAACGTCTTCCGGGTTGAAAAGGCGGATGAGCGTTGCTGTCATTACAGACCATGTGACCTGCATGTCTCGCATCGAACGTGCAAGATTAGGTCCTAGTCTGTCTTCATCCGATGGTACACATAATGTTGCTCCAGCTGACAATGCACCGAAGATGTTGAAGATAGCCGCATCGAAGACATACGAAGGGAATTGGAACACCCTAGAAGTCTTGTCAATTCCAACAGCAGCCAAATCGAGCATTGGTGCGCTAGAACATATAGACTGATGAGGTGCCATGACGCCCTTTGGACGGCCTGTGCTTCCAGATGTGAAAATGACATATGCCGTTGCGGTTGGATCTTTGGGTGGCAATGGGTGTCCGGTCGCGGGACGGAAACCAGCAATGGTGGCAGCAGATATCACCAAGGTTTTATCGACTTGGAGGCTAGGAGCAGAGGCGGAAGCTAACAGCAAGTTGGCTCCTGTCTGCGAAATGATATCGTTCAAGCGAGTTTGCGGGTGCTCGGGGTCCAACGGCACAAATGCAGCCCCGACTTTCAATATTGCCAGCATTGATACAATCGCCCAGACAGACTTCTCGAAGCAAAATGGTATCATCGCCCTTGGAACCACACCTTCTGAGATGAGCTGATATGCCAAACGCGTCGATAAGTTATCGAGCTCTTGATATGTGATCGAAGCATCCCAAGAGCAGATGGCCTGCTTATCTGCAAAATCCAAAGCATTCTGTTCGACACGGTCTTGGAGACATGCCTTCACGATCGGTGGTAGAACGGTACTCCACTGCTTGAATACGAGCTCATGATCCTCTGGGGTGAAGTATTCGATGTCTGAAAGTTTCATTCTAGGTGAGGCCTCAGATAACTGCTGAACAGTATACTCAAATTGCCCTAGTATGCGTTCTACCTGGAATGATGAAAGTAGATGTGAATCGAAATGCGCGATGAAGCCAACTTGACCTCCGCTACCAATGGTACACTCGATAGTGAGTGGTAGAGTGTCGAAACCTTCTAGGCCATTGTCTATGGGTGTGATCCACTTAAATTGGGTTGAATTAGTTTGGCTGTGAGTCTGAATGACAAGCAAATTGCGGAAGTCGCAGGCGTCCTCTGGCCCACGACCAAGAGACTTGATCCGTTGAAGACCGGTTTGCTCGTACGAAATCATATTGGCACTTTGGACGTGTGCGCTGTGTAAATAATGGCCAACGTGCTGCGAATGATCAATCTTGACCCGCACTGGCACCGTTGCGATGGTAGGGCCTTGAACTCGGTGTATATCAGAAACTGGTGCATTTCGGCCACTCTGCGTCGATCCAAAGACGACGTCAGTGCTTCCTGTTTGTTTTGAGACGACTAATGCCCACGCAGCTTTTAACAATGAAGCCAACGTCACTTCTGAGCTTCTCGAGCCCAAAGTAAGCTCGGTAGTTCTTTCTACCACCCGATCACTGTTAACTTGGTACGTCGGAGAGGGTAAAGCTGGAAAGTCCACCCGTTCATAGTCTTGTAACTGATTTTGCCAGTACCTCGAATTTTCGTCTTGGTCGAGACCATTCAGGTATTGAATGAAATTCGTGTATGGTGCTAATGGCTTAATGGGCTTGCCTTCGTAGGCTTCGCGAACCATCTCAAACAACAGACCAGTAGACCAGCCATCATAGACAGCATGGTGAGCTGTCAAAATGAAATAGTGTGCAGAATAATCATGGACAAGGCCGAATCTGGCGAGTAATTGGCCTTCGCTAATGTGATTCAGTACATCAATATCCAGATAATGGTGCAGGTCACCGTGAGTTTCTGTCCACGACATGTCAGTCATGTAAACCACTTGACAGGTCCCACAACTCTCTGTGTTGATAATAGCAGTTCGAAGAATTGGAGTTAGGGAATACACTGATTTCCAAGCAGCTTTGAAGCGATCAAGGTCAATGTCTTCGGGTAGCTTGAAGACCATACGATTGACGTATGCACTGGGGTTATTGAGAGTCAGAGCAAAAAGCGCTTGTTGAAGAGGTGTGGCTGGATAAGCATCCTCAACAATTCCTGATGGTGCTTTGACGCATGCACGGGCTGCTTGCAACACTGACTGCTTGTTGTCTACCAGTTCAAAGGGCAAGGCCACCTGCGCAGGATCGGCATCACTGGTGCTTGCGCTCTTCTCTAGAAGAACGGCAACGTCGCATAGTATGGGATGCGTGAAAATTTCGGGGACTGAAAGAGAAACACCTTGAGCTCGCAGCTGTGATGCGACCTTCATGGCCGTCAGAGAGTCACCACCCAGCTTAAAGAAGTGGTCATCGGCACCAATGGAGTCATCTGAGATGCCGAGAACCGATGCCCAAACTGTCTGAATAGTTCGCTCAGCTTTAGTGGATACTTGCCGTTTGACCGCATCCTTCAAAGAATATACGTCGAGCTGTTCTTTGCTAAGCGATTGGGCGATTTGCACCATGGCGTTCCTGTCCGCTTTCCCGGCAGCCGACTTAGGTAAAAGATCCAAGGGTATGTAAAGAGAGGGAACCATGTAAGCTGAGATCTTGTTCAATAGTGCTGTCTGCAGGCCAGACAGGAGAGCACTGAGGCTAGGTGTCAGTGAGAGCGGGCCAGTATCACCAGTTTCAGAATTGAAGCCTGGGATGCACATGAAAGCAATTAGTCGCAGTGCCGACGAGGCTCCATTGTGCTTGAGTACGGCTACAACAGCCTCTGAGAGCGGCGGCAAACAGCCCAGAATTTGTTGCTCAATCTCTCCCAACTCAACACGTTGACCCCGAATTTTGACCTGGCTGTCCTTGCGGCCAACATACATGATTCCGCCATCATCTCGGTAATATACCAAGTCGCCGGTCTTGTACACTCGACTGATAGCGCGTGATCGTGCCCATGTAGGAGTCGACACAAAAACCTCGGCAGTTTTGGTTTGGTTATGTAGATATTCGCGCGCCAAGGTTGGCCCGCTAAGTACTAGCTCACCTATAGAACCGATGGGAGCTAGTAAGTTATGATCCTCAGGATCGACAATCCAAGTTACTGTGCCGGCAGCTTTTCCGATGAAGCCGCTGTCTTCATGCGGAGTTAAATGACCGATAGAGGCAAAAACTGCGGTTTCTGTTGGGCCATATCCCACAAGCAGATTGAGCTTTTCGGACCACTTGTTTATGAGCGTCTTTGGCACAGCTTCTCCCACGAGGGCGAGTGTTTCCAGAGTGGGCAAGTTATCAGGTGAGAGGAGTTGGACTACCGATGGCGTCAGCATAGCGAAAGTGACCCCCAGCCGTCGCATCGCGCTTTCTACATCGGTGGTTCTCTCTTCATCTGAAGGCACACAGACGCAACCACCGCTGACCAATGTTGCTAGTATTTCTGTGATAGATGCGTCGAAAGTATAAGATGCGAACTGAAGAACGCGCGAGGCAGGATTAAATCCCAGACCTGGTGCGTGTTCGGCGATGTTGCTGGAAAGAGCGCGATGTTCAATAACGACACCTTTCGGCTTACCCGTGCTACCAGAAGTGAAGAGGACGTAAGCAGGGTCGCTTGGCCTACTGTTTGGTGACAACTGAGTAAGTTCAGGTAAGTCTGTAATTGAGGAACCCGAAACAATCAGGGTCTCGATAAATGATTCTAGCTTTTTAGCTTGATCAGGGGAGGCCAGCACGAAAGTTGCCCGCGCCTCATCAATCAACGAGCGAATGCGCTCTTGTGGGTCATTTTTGTTTAATGGCAGAAATGCGGCTCCTGACTTCAGGATAGCAAGGATAGAAACAATGGCCCAAACAGATTTTTGAAAACAGAAAGGCACCATGACTCCCGAGCGAGCACCACGTTGTATAAGGTGTTGTGCGAGGCGAGTGGAATATTCGTCCAACTGTCTGTATGAGAGCTCGCCATCCCAACCATTAACAGCTGGAGCTCCAGGCTGATCGATTGCGCGTAATTGAATTGTGTCATGCACACATGCATTTATGAGCGCTGGGACATGAGTGTTCCATTCCTCTACAACGCTTTGGTCCTGAGTGCTGAACAAGTTCGTCTTGTTGACTGGTTCTTCGGGCGACTCAAGGATGGCTCTTAGCGCCATGTTGAACGAGTACGCAATACTCTTTGCGCGAGCGTTGGTAACTCCGTTTTGCGGTGAGAATCGAAGAACGGCGCCAAGCCGACCTGCTGAATATGCAGCATTCAAGGTGACAGAGAACTGTTTGATTTAGTATTTATTACTCAAGAAACCAGATAGACGACTTACCTCATTCGGATCATTGCTATGAACTATATCCATATGCACTCCAGACGAAGAGGTCATCGACGCCTCATCGTAACGCTGGATCGAGACCACGGTGTCAAACAAAGGACGACCACTGAGTTTGAGGTCATGTTGAATCTCAGCAAGCGAGACCTGTTGGAATGGTGCACTATTGAAGAAGTCTTGCTGAACTCGCGAGGCCAAGTCCAATGTGCTCAGTGCAACATTGGTCATGTCCAACCTACACGGAAGGACATTGATAAAAGGGCCAACAATTTTATCAATGCCCTCGACAGGGATGTCCCGGCCAACAACCGCATATCCGAAAGTAATGTCATTAGACTGTGTGTAACAGCGAAGGACCATCGCCCATGCAGCTTGAATGACAGATGCTGGCGTGATCCCCTGTGCTTCAGCGAAGGCACTGAGTGATCGCCCTAGACTATCAGAGACTGGGACGGCGACAGAAGGCGATTCGACCAAGTCGCCAGAACCACTCAAGGGCTTGATGGCGGGTATATGACAGGGGTCGGCGCCATGAAGATATTGCATCCAGTAACTCAAGGCATCGTCCGAAGTCTTTCCTTGGAGGTACTTGACATAATTGCTGAATGGTGGGCTGGGTTCCTCGGGAAGCTTATCTTCAATAGCTGCAACAAGATCACCACAAATCAAGTTCATAGAAGCGCCGTCCATCAAGGCATGGCTTATTTCTAATTTGCACAATACTCCGTCGTGCGTCTGGCAGACAGTCAAAGTATGTGGAGACCCATTCGACCACTGAGAAGGTGATCGCTCAATCAATGTTTCAAGCGCAGTAGCTCTATCGAAGTCGACTACCTGCACCTGGGGCGTGAGTGTCTTGAAGACAACCTGATCAAATGCTCCCTCAGACGACTGAGCGGCGACAAAAACGGTTCTGAGGGACGAGTGGTGTTCGACGACTTTACTCCATGCCTGACCCAATTTGTCGGCGGTCAGTTCTGAAGGGCTGGTCACCTTGAAGATAGCACACGTGCGGTAATGCTCTGGATTCGCAGCACTACTGAGCAACATAGCGGTCTGCAACGGCGTACAGGGGAAAATGTCCTCAACACTTGTCCAAGAAGCTGCGCTGAAACGTTTGCAAACATCTGCCAAAAGGGTATCCAACTTATGATGTGTTGTTCGTAACAGCGGGAAGTCGCTCAAAGTTGGAATTGTGAACAAGTCCTTGTTGCACAGGCTTTCAAGGATTGATTTCAATGTGTTAGGTATGGAGCTGATCCACTGCTCGAGGCGATCCATGTGGTGCATGTGTTTGTTCAGAATGAAGGACATTTGCAGCTCCCCATTTTTGATAAGTGAGGATACCTCAATGAGCGCAAGACGAGTCGTGTCTTGGCCGACTTCCGATGCATCTCCCGTGAGCTCGTGCTCGCAATCAACGAACAGGCCTCCATTGTTTTCAAACTGTTGGAATTGGCCAGCAAAATTGAAAAGAATTTCAGCTATGCTATCATCGTGAAAGGCTTCGCGCCCAGCAGGATTGAGGAATCTCGATGCGAAATAAGCCCATCCGTTCTTCGGAATAGATCGACGTATGTCTTTTATCTGACGGATCGTCTGAAACTGCTCGTCGTGCGCGCGAATCCGAGTAGATACAGGGCTCACTGTCGTGAACCAGCCAACTGTAGACCCGATATCAATGGCTTCATCCCAAGGCTCCCGGCCATGGCCTTCAACAAAGACAGTTGGGGTATTGCGATCGCGGAACATATCACTAAAGGCAGTCAAAATAGATGCCAGTAAAATATCCACAATATCCGTCCGCAGCACTTTGTGGCACTGGTTTGTTAACAAGGTCGTGTTAACCTTATCGAGGGTGAACGTCTGTGTAGTTGTCATGCCGTATGTATTATACGAAGGGGCAGTGACTCCCCAAAATAAGTCATCGTTAGGATGAAGCTCGATCGGCAAAGCAGACCGAGGGTTTAAACTTGCTTCGCTGTAGGATGATTGTAACCCTGCCCACGTCTGGAAACTGATACTGTCGGGGGGTGAAAGCGGCTTTGAGCTAATCAACTGCTCCAACTCATCTAGGACAACACGCCAAGATACCAGATCAATCGCCAAGTGGTGTGCGGTCATGAAGAGGAGTTGACCCTGGCTTTCTATATTGTTCCGGAAGAAAACCGCCCTAAACACTGGTCCGTCCCTGGTGTCGAGATGATTGGAAGACGCAACGGCTGAAAGGACTTGGTCGAATGTATGGGCATCATTTACCAGGACAACTTCAGGTGCAATGGTGCCGGTCGCGGTTCTCTGCTCCCATACACCGCTATCATTCTTAGAAAAGGTCGCACTGAGCATTGAGTGACGCTGTACAATCTGTCGCAGGGCATCAATCAGGATCGATGACTCCACAGCCCGTTTCAGACGTAAGAAAAAGCTTTGGTGAAAGCGGCGACGTCCTGTGAACTCTTTACCAGGTTCAGTTCCTGGGAAATTCATTTGTACATTGATGTAATGTTGCTGAATTGGTGTAAGTGCAAAGGCTTTCCCAAGGTCAGCTGAAGCGACCATGGGAATGACTGCTGGCTTCGTATTCTCAATTGAGCTTAGAGCGAGCTGGGAAATACTGGCTCGACTCAGAATCCTGTTAAGACTGATCAAAAACCCTTCAGTGCGGCACTTAGCCACCAGTCGCATTGCGCTGATAGAGTCGCCTCCAAGACTCATGAAAGATTGGTTGACTCCTGCTTGTTCAGGTACCAGATTAAGCACACCACAAACGATGGCATGTAATCGCTTCTCCTCCTCTGTCGTGGGCATTTCTCTCCTGCTTTCTGGTGTTATCAGATAATCAATCTGGCGCTGAAGCTCTTCGTTGATTGACTCGACCCATTGGCGGATTGCTTTGCGATCCGTCTTGCCTGAGATAGACAGTGGAGTGGCAGTCACCAAAATCCATATCTCAGGAATCATATAGACAGGTAGAAACTCTGACAATGTCTCACGCATTTCGACCACTCTCAAAGTGCCGACTCCGTTATGTTTTCTGTCGATGAGTTGCAGAGGTACAGCCGCCGCAGCCGCCACGAACTCCTCAAGAACAACGACTCCGACCAGCTTATTGGCGTATGGACCAGATTTCGGAAGAACGATACAGGAATGGTCAACAATAGATTGTCCGTCAATTTTCTCCTCTATTTCCCCCGGCTCAATTCTCTGTCCCCGAACCTTCACTTGGTTATCTTTGCGGCCTAGGCAGTGAATGGAACCATCCACATTATAGCGCACTAGATCTCCGGTCTTGTAGAAGCGCCCTTTTGGGGACCATTTAAGACCTTCAATAAAAGCGGAAGCCGTAGTCTCGGGCTGGTCAAGGTATCCACGAGCAAGAATCGGCCCTTCCATCAGAAGCTCCCCGGGGCACCCGACTGGCATCAGAATATTAGGATCATTAGGGTCGACGACCCATGTCAACCCTCCACTACCATAACCAGTGTTGCTAGCGTCTGTCTCGGTCCTTAGATTGGGGTTGATGACACAAAGAATCGAACATTCGGTCGGCCCATAACCATTTTGTAGCCTCAAGTTCCCAGCCCAGGTTTTCAGGTCTTCCGAACTGAGTGGCTCACCAACAAGGGCTAGCGTCTTGAGAGTAGGAACATCTACCGGGTTCATGAGCCTAGCTACGGAAGGAGTCAAAGAGGCCCAGTTAGACTCGGTCTCCTGAATCATAGAAGCGATGCCGGCTTCAAATGCCTCTTCACTTGCAATGCAGATACAGCCACCTACAGTAAGCACAGCAAGTGACTCCATTATACTAACATCGAAAGCGAAAGAAGAGAATTGAAGTACTCGACTATTCCGATCCATCAATAGCGACCTTGTGTAGCTGGCAGTGCTGCTCAAGAATGCGGAATGCTCAATCAGACATCCCTTCGGAACACCAGTGCTTCCGGATGTGTAGATGGCGTACAGCAAGCTGTCAGGGCTGTTGCAGACGGTCGGTGCCTTACTTGAAGGCAGGTTCTGGGAAACTGTCCGGCTCACTTCAATGACGCACCACTGGGAGCCATTCCATAGGAACTGGTTCTTCTCTGAGCTGAGAATGAAATTTGACTTTGAGGAATTGATAATGAATTCTTGGCGCTTGAACGGCATCTTAGTGTCGAGGAAGACAAATGCGCCACCAGCCCTGACGACAGCTAACATGGCTACAACCGCCCAAATAGACTTCTCGAATGATAGAGGGATTAGGTCACCAGACTTCACGTCCATTTCCGTTTGCAAATAAGAGGCAAAACGGGACGAGATATGATCAAGCTCCTGGTACGTCATTTGAGCATCCCAGGATGAAATCGCCGTGGCAGACGAGAACTCCCGAAGCCGATCTCCAATGACATCTTGGACACATTCGTTCAGTTTGGCAGGCATCTCAGAATTCCAAGCAAAGACATCCCGAGTATCATCAGAACATAAGAGGTTGATATTGCTCAACTCTTGGTCTATGTCGCAGTATAGTCGTTGTATCAAGTGTTCAAGCTGAGCAAGCATTCTGTCAACCTCACGAGAAGTGAGAATATTCTCGTCAAAGCTTGCACAGAGCTTCAAATGTTCCTTGTCCATATAACATTCGACCACTAAAGGTTGTGTGAAGAAGCCTGTGGCTTCAGTAGGCATAATAGTGACGCCTGAGACACCTGTAAAGCCAACGTCATCGAGACTACCAGGTTGGACCACGAACAAGCTGCGCAAGTCGCATGCTACGTTACAATCATCGCTGATATGCCTGATATTCTGCAGACCAAGATACTCGTAACTAGTTGAGGAGAGTGAACGCTCATGGACAGCGTCGACAATGTCGCGAACCTTGCGGGTTCGATCCAAACGGATGCGCACTGGTATTGTTGTGATGGTCGGCCCAACCATTTCGGCAAGTCCATCTAATGGTAAATTTCTCCCGGCATTTGTAGTCGCAAAGACGATATCATCTGAGCCAGAGTATAATCCGAGGAGGAGAGCCCAGGCAGTCTTAGCAACGGCGGCGAGTGGAATATTGTTGTCTTGTTGCCCAAGGGACATGATACGCTCTGTTGTTTTACCAGCAGATGCCTGATATGATGAGCTGGGCAATCGGGGAAAGTCGCAGGTGGAGGCACCCGAGAGCTCAAAGAGCCAAAAGGCCTCAGCAGCACTACGATCTTGGCCTTCAAGATACCGCACATACTCCGCGAATGGAGGTGGTTTGGCCAAGGGTTTCCATTGGCATGCCTGGGATACTTGGTCCATAATCAGAGACATGGACCAACCGTCGTAGATTGCATGATGTAACGTGCAGACGAAGTACTGTTGCTCGTCCTCTTCACCGATCAAGGCAAAACGTGCGAGGGCATCTCCATAGCCCATTGGTTTCTTCCTATCCGTATCAAGATAATGCTGCAGCGAATCAACATTCTTGATCACCATTCTATCATTGTAAACAACTTGATAGCGCTTCTCCCCGGTGTTTATGATTCGTGTGCGAAAAATCTCGTTGTTCCGACGGACTGCTTTCCACGCGTCCAGATAACCTTCAAGATCTGCGTCCTCAGATATAGCTGTTACAAGTTGCATCATGTAAGAGCCCGGACTGTTCAGAGATAGCGCCAACATCGTGTCTTGAAGCTCGGTGCAAGGGTACACATCTTGAATTTGGCCCGGCTTCATCTTGTGTTCTTCTGAAGCAACTCTGACTGCCTCTGTTCGAATCTTCTCGGCTTCAATGGCCACAATCTCGTCTTCCTTAGTTGACTGATTCGCAGCATTGGGGTCGATATATCTGGCGACATTGGCCAATGCTGTGATTGTAGGGTTATTGAAGATATCTACAACAGTGAAACTGACATTGGATTGTCTCGCAGCTGAAACGAGCTTGATAGCTTTCATTGAGTCACCACCACGTTGAAAGAAGCCGTCAATCACAGAAAGTGAGGAGGGTGGAATAGCCAGAACTTCTGCAAACAGTAAATGCAGAGCGGTCTCGAGTGGTGTACTAGGCTGTCGAACCTCTGCTAAGGCTGTAAGAGAATAGCGTGCCAAGTCATTAAAGGGAATTTGACGGGCTATCTCGGCAAGTGCCTTCCGGTCGATCTTTGTAGTTGAACCCAGAGGAATACGACTGACAGGTACAAACATCGAAGGTACCATGAAAGATGGAAGGTGTTCCGCCATAGTGCTTACCAAAGTCTTGAGCGCCTTGAAGAGTTCGTCGGAAATTGGTAAGGCCTGTGGCTCGCTAGACAATTGGCCTGAAGCGTTGACGGTTCCTGAGAAAGTGACGAAAGCGACTAGCTGCTTGTGCTCTGCCTGACCTGACCGCGAGATAACAGCAGCCGCGACCTGTTTGGCGGACGGCATGTTGCTCATTATACACTGCTCGACCTCACCAAGCTCCATGCGTTGCCCACGAAGCTTGACTTGATCCTCGTCCTTTCGGCCAATGAAACCGACTGTGCCATCAGTGTTAAGTCTTACAAGATCGCCAGTACGGTAGAACTTAGGCGTGAAGCCGCTCTCGGCCAGGATGGGAGTGTTGGTGAACCACTCGGGGTTTATCACAAAAGCCTCGGCCGTCTTGATCGGCTCATTGATGTAGCCCCGACCAATAGGGGGACCACCAAGAACTAATTCTCCCGGAGCGCCCACCGGCGCCAGTTTATGAAAGTTTGTCGGATCAACGACCCACAATGTTTGTCCTAGACGCTGGCTCAGATTGTGTTCGCTGCGAGCCAAGGAAATATCTGGATGCATAAGGGCAATGATCGAAGCCTCGCATGGTCCATAGGCATTCTTCAAAACAACGGATTTTGTCCAGGTGGCTTTGTCATCTGCTGACATGGCTTCGCCGCCAAGGAGTAAAGTGCGCAGGGTAGGCACGTCTGACGGAGTAAGAAGCCTGGCAAATGATGGCGTAAACAGGGCCCATGTGACATCGGCGCGCCTCATGAACTCAGCGATATCATGAGATCTCTCGTGATCACTTGCGACACATGTACAACCTCCAGACAAGAGAGGCATAATTGTCTCGCAATAGAAAGCGTCCCAGGCGTAAGAAGAGAACTGTAATGCACGTGTGAAATTGGTGATGTCCGATGTCTTTGCCAGTGGTTCCACATTGCTGACTATTGCTTTGTGCTCAATTACTACGCCCTTCGGCTTACCCGTGGTCCCTGATGTGAAGTTTATATAAGCAGCGTTCTCAGGCTTCACGATCGAGCTTCGAGGTAGGTCGTCTAGCATCGACTCCAGGCTATCACTGTCAACAATGATAGGGCGGACTTCGTTGCCCAAACTGCTACGACATTTCTCAAGCGTTTGAGGCGACATAAGGATGAGCGTTGCTGATATGTCGTCTAGAATACCACGAAGACGAGATTCTGGGTGCGACGGGTCCAGGGCCACAAGGCAGCCGCCAGCCTTCCAGACTGCGAACATGGACACAATAGCCCAAGCAGACTTCTCGAAGCACATGGGAACCTTGACCTCAGGTCCGACTCCCATATCTGCCAGATAATTTCCCAGCCTGTTGGAAAGGAGATCTAGAACACCAAAAGTGAGACACATCTCAGTGGAAAAGACGGCAGGTGCCGACGGTGTTGCTGCAGCATGTTGACGAAAGATCTCGTGCAGGCATTCCATCCTGGCAACAGGAGCAGGTGTGTTAATCTTGACAAATCGATCAAGCGAAAGTTGGCCAGCAAGGTTAACCTCACTGATCTTCTGCTGCGGCTTTTCGAGAATACTTCGAAGAGCCAACGTCAGTGCCTCACCGATATGCTGTGCGTATTCGGGGGCCACTGCAGACGTCCAGTACGCCACATACCCGGATAAAGCCCGTTGGTTGAGTTCGAAATGAACAGTAAGATTGAACTCGGTAGGGTCATGGGCATCAAGAAGATTGATTGAAATTAGGGAAGACGAATCTATACTGTCGTCAGTGCGCTGAAAGTCCAGCACAGTATTGAACAAGGGCTGTCCGCCAAGCTCAAGAGTGTGCTGAATCTCACTTAGCGGACAGTACTGATGAGTGAGATTCTCTGTAAGCATTTGCTGCATTAACGCGATAACCTCCAATATCGTTGCTTCATGCGAGAGTTTTGAATGTGAGACAAGCATGTTAACAAGAGCTCCAGCAACATCCTCGATACCATCGATTGGAGCATTGCGTCCAGAGGATAAGTAGCCGAATGAGACACAATCCATGAATGTGTAGGTCTTGAGAACCATGGCCCAAGCGGCCTGCAAGATCGCAAACGGTGTAACGCCGTGGGTCTTGCAAAAGGACTGGATGATATCTGGAGAAATATCTAGCTGGAGAGGGTGAATTCCCACTTTGTGCTCCTCCGAACCTTCGGAAAGGTCAGGAATGCAGCAAGGTTCAGCCCCTGTAAGCTTCGTCTTCCAATACTCGGCATCTCCAGATTCATCTCGCTCTTGGATGTGCTGTAGTACTTGGCTAAATCTTGGTATGCTCTGCTCCTCATCCAAGCTGCCGGCATATGCAAGTGCCATGTCCCTCAAAAGAATCTGTACAGACTGCGCATCAAGAATACTATGGCTGAACTCAAATTTGAAAAGTACATGGCCGTCAATTGTTCCACAGATACTCATATGATGAGGCAGCCTTGACGTTGCATAGCTACTTGCAGGTGTTTGCTTCCATGCCGCGATGGCAGCATCCATGGATTGACAGCTGAGCACGTCAACCGCAGGGATGACATGTGCTAAAACTACCTGTGCATGATAACCGGTGTTGGTCGGGTGGTCCACAAATACCGTCCGTAATATTGGGTGACGTTGAACCACCTGAATCCAAGCATCCCGGAGTCGGCCTGCGTCTACAGGTTCGTCTGTTGAAGTCGTAACTTCAGCAATCTCGTGAACGGCGTAATTGCTTGCACGTTTTCCCTGAGCTAATAGAAGACCTTCTTGTGTACCAGTACACTGATAAGCTTCTTCGATAATGAAGGGATGGTGTTGTGGGCGCAAATGGGAAAGCCGACTTTCAAGATCGGCAGTGAAACCTTCGAGGCCTTGGTAATCAAGTCCCAGCAAGGGAAAGTCCGACAGACAATACTGCCGTGGTAACGACGGGAATTGAGTTGCCATATCGTTTAATGTTGCCTCTGTCTTCTTAACCCATGACACAATGCGATCTTGGTGGCTTGACTTGACATTGAAGGTGAAATCAAATTCCACTTTCCCTTCTTTGACAACAACAGCGATGTCAAAGATTGCCAAACGTTTCACTGTGTCACCAAAGTCCGGAGTTGGAATGGGAAGCATCTTGAACAAGCCATCTTCCTGTTCTAGCTGTTGGTAGTGTCCTTCGTAATTGAAGAGAATTTCCATTGTCAGGTCACCTCGAAAACCCAGAGTCAAAATATGATCTAGGTAGTACTGCGCAGATGTCCGGGCACTTTTCATTGTGTCCTTCGTAGCTCTCAACGTATGTACTATGTTTAATATGCTGTTTGTTGAAACGTTGATGTTGAAGGGAGAAATGGTAGTAAACCATCCAACCGTGCTAGAGACATCCATGTCTTTCAGAAGTTCGTGATCTCTGCCATGTCCCTCCACAAAAATGGTGGGCATATTTCGGTCCCGGAATATTTCAGCAAATGCGCAGGTTATGGCTGCTAGAAATAGGTTCGTGGGTTCAGTTCTCAACACTTCATTACAGCTGCCAAGAATCAGCCTGGAGGTTTCCAAGTTGAGCGTGAAACCAGTATGGCGGATATTAGATTCAATGTTCTCGGCGTTCGACAGCTTCCAGTATCTCATATCGACTGCTGACAGGCGTGAGTCATTCTCGATCGGGGAGCTTTTTAAGGTGTTATGTCGTGTATTCGCAATTTGAAGATATGATAGGCCCGGGTCCGTTTTGGGGGATCCCAACAGCAAAATTTCCTCGAGGTCCTGGAGCAAAATTCTCCATGATACGAGATCAATCACAAGATGGTGGGCAACAAGGTATAGGTATTGCTCTTGTTGTGATGTGAGGAATAAAACGGCGGAGAAGACGGGACCGTGTTGGATATCCAGCTTGGTCTGCGCAGCAGCAGCGGACTTTCGAAGGTGTTCCTCGTCCACAACATTGACGTGCTGGAAGTTATAGAAATCGGACATACTCCGCGACTTTGTTTTCGGAATCTCCTGCAGCCACAGCCCGCTGGCTTCTGATTTGTGAAAATGAGCCCGTAGTAGCGGATGACGGGTAACAATAGTATCAAGGGCGGTACGCATCTTCTCCTCGGAAACAGCCCGACGAAGCCCCAGCAAGAAGCTCTGGTTGTAGTGGTTCGGCGCATCATCCAGAGCATTAAAGAACAAGCTTTGTATCGAAGTCAGCGGCACAGAAGCATCATAGATCTCTTCAAGTTCCTCATTTGGTGTCAGTGGCCCAGTAGACTTGACACATTTGGCAAGACTCGCAAGGGTCTGGTTGCGTAGTACATCTTGCACTGTGATAACAAGCTTTTCGGCCCTGCAAAGTGACATAACACGCATCGCCGTGACAGAGTCTCCACCCAATGCGAGGAATGTGCTCGATCGCGTGATGCTGACCGCGGGCAAATTCAGGACTCGCGACCATATCTGTCGCAATCGCTGCTCAATGTCTGACATTCTTTTCCCTGCCTGGCCTGAAGTAGTATCCGATCTCTCCACTGAGGAAGAAAATTGCGAGACCTCGATAAAAAGATCTTGGCTCATATCGTCAACCCAATTTTGCATTGATTTGAGGTAGATCTTGCCAGAGGTTGTCATTGGGAGTTCAGTCAGCACGACCCACGTCGTTGGTGTCATGTACGTGGGCAAGCTGGCGCTGAGTATGTTTCGAAGTTCCGCAATGACCTGAATGGCACGAGGCTTCATTTTATCAGAAATAAGCTCCATGCTTTCAGTTACGGTCGTTGGTGATTCCTTTAGTGAGACTATGCCCACCAGACGCTCCTTGCAAAAACCGCGAGTGCCTTTGAGAACAACACCCTGTTTGACTTGCTCGTGCTCTGAAATATGGTACTCAATCTCCCCAAGTTCTAAGCGCTGACCTCTAAGCTTGACTTGACTATCTTTGCGGCCAAGGCACTCAATTGATCCGTCAGAGTTCAAGCGGGCCAAATCTCCAGTTCTGTAGACCCTCCGGTAAGTATCGTTAGACTGATCAAGCCATCTTGGCGAGTCAAAGAATGATCGTGAGGTTTTTTCTGGCGAATTGAGATACCCACGAGATACACCAGGGCCTTGAACTGTGATCTCTCCAATACATCCGATAGGTACAAGTTTACTGAAGTCAGAAGGATCGGTCAGCCATACAGGGCCGGTGATTGCCTTACCAATACATGAAGGCTGAGATCCCCGTACCAAGCTGCCAGAACAGGCTGACATTATGGCAGCTTCTGCAGGGCCGTAGGCATTATGCACGTCAGCAAATGGAGCCCACATGTCAAGCACTTGACGGGAAAGTGGCTCTCCTCCTAGCACAAGAACCTTTAAGCTTGGAACCTGCTCCGGTGTCATCATACTCATGACTGTAGATGTTGCCAGGATCCAGTCGCAGTTATGACGATTGATGAAACCAGGCAAGTCATTCATTCTCTCGTATTCGGAAGGAATGCATACACAGCCGCCAAGTAAAAGAGCTGCACACATGTCAAAGATGCTAGCATCAAAGGTGTATGTAGCAAATTGCAGCACACGAGACATTTCGTTGATCCGTAATGCTCTCCCATAAGCTTGAACATTCGTTGCCATGGAATGGTGTTCAATGACAACACCTTTGGGGATTCCTGTACTTCCAGAGGTGAAAATGACGAAAGCAGCGTTGTTAGGCTGTACCTCAGCGCATGGCTCCACGCCTGACGTTGGGAGACTCTGCAGAAAAGCATCTTCCAACGAGACAAGAGCTACTTCCCTATGCTGAAACAATGCAAAATGCTCTGGTGATGTCACCACAATCGTCGCACCAGAATCGTTGAGTATGGTATCGAGCCGTGCTTGAGGGTGGTTAGGGTCGAGCGGAACACCGGCACCACCGGCTTTCAAGATCGAGAGCACTGCCACGGGTGCCCAAATAGATTTGGAAAAGCAGTAAGGTACAAGACTTTCCGGTTTCACACCCAATGTGACCAGGTGATTAGCCAGTTTTGTTGTGATACCATCAAGCTCACTGTACGTAAGCTGGCCATCATGCGCAACGATAGCCGTCGCCTCTGGACGTAGGTATACTTGCTCTTGAAAGATGGTGTGAACACATGATTCCGTATTGATAAATTCTTCTGATACTTTTGTGCTCTCAGTGTTCCAACTCGTCATTTTTTGACGCTGAGAAAGTGGAACAAGATCAAGAGTGCCGACTTTGGATTCGGGATTCGCGATGATAGTGGAAATTGCTTGAGACAAGGTAGAGCTAAGATTCATTGCCTGGTCTACTGACAACTTGTCTGTCCAGTAGTTCAACTGCACGCATGGTATTTTGCCAGCTGTCTCGACTATTACAGCGATATCATACTGTATATTGAGTTGTTAATTAAGAGGCGTATTCAAGTCATTTATGAATGTGTAGACGTACCTCTGTTGGGTCATACGTGATGAGTTCATTGATCTTCAAGATATTCTGCTCGCCGTCTCCCTCTGGGATATTTACTGTCTGAAATCCAATGACGGTATTGAATAATGAGTTTCCCGATAAACTTAGTGTGCGCTGCATATCTGCAAGCGACATATGCTGGTAGTCCAGACTTGCAGTATTTCGATCTCTGATGTCGCGGAGCAATTTTGCAACATCCATCGAGTCGTCAAGGCAAATGCGACAAATTAATGTACTCATAAAGGCCCCGATAGCCGACTGGATCGACTCCACAGGAGCATCACGTCCTGAAGTTACATAACCAAAACATACATCACTTTGGTTCAGATACGATCGCAAAACTATCGCCCAAGCCGCCTGGAAGATGTGGAAAAGAGTAACCTCATACTTCTTGGAAAAGGTCATGATAGAGTCTGCCGAAGGCGATAGGTCCACCTTTACGGAACTTAACCTTCTTTCAGATGCTTGGTTACCATCAAGAAGACATGGAAACTGGCTTGGCTCGGCACCTCGGAGGAAGCCATTCCAGAAGTTCAAGCCAGGTACTGTAGGCTGACCAAAGATGTTGTTGAGAAAGTTCCTGTAGGAGGGACCTGGCGTTGATTGTAGCTTTCCACCGTAGCTTAATGCTAACTCATTCATCATGAGAGGAAGTGACCCGCCATCTGTAATAGCATGACTTATCTCCAAGCGAATGTAGCACTTTCCAGAAGGGTTGGTGAAAGCGGTCATGTGGTGAGGCAGTCGGCCAAACTCGGCCAGTGCCTTTTCGAAGCTGACGAGGCCTACCAAATCTTTTGCTTGAAGGTCGTCTGCAACATCATGGTGGTGGAATGCCGCTTGCACGTTGCGTAGAACAAGTTGCTCTACTGGTCTTTCAGCCGTGTTGCCTTCAACGAAGATGGTTCTCAAAGTTGGATGACGGTTGACCACCATTTGCCACGCGCGCTGCAGACACCTGACGTCGACAACGGCATCAGTCGTACAAGGAGAGACTTCTGCGAGGTAACTGATGGCGTAAGCGCCTCCTGTCTTCCCTTGAGAAATTAGGATGCCTTGTTGTGTTGGAGAACACGGATACGCGTCTTCAATTTGAACTTCTTCTCCATCAGAAGAGACATTCTGTGCAAGCTGATCACGGAACAAAAACTCGAACTCTCTCTTCATTTCTGACACAAAAGGTGCAATTGCTTGAGAATTTGCGTCATCCAGCTTTGTTGATGCTTGCGTGGCGATAAATGCGAGTTGTCGGACTGTCCTTGTAGCCATTAAATCCTTGACCAGCAGTCGTATCCCTCTTCGACTGGCCAAAGAGGCAGCCTTAATTGCCGCGATTGAGTCGCCGCCCAAGCTGACAAATGACTGGTTCATCCCAATTTGGTCCGCTGGCAGACAAAGAGCCTGCGACCAAATCGCTTGGACTTCTTGTTCCTCCAGGCTCTGAGCCATTGGAGTCTCATTCCATTGTGTGGACGACATGATTAGCGCTATCAAATGTCTGTATAACTTACCTGTATGTTTGTAAATAGAAAAGTTCCGCAATCAAGTCCTATTATGCTATTATAATCAATGAACCAGCAGCGAAGACGTACAACTAAGCGTGTATAGTTGTCGAAATTTCAAGGCCGTCCAAATACTGTTGCGACGATTGGATTAGACCACAGTACGCGTTTTTCTTGTGTGCTATCAGGGCTCAGCGGAGTTATCACGCTTTTGACACACAATAGTTCGGTTTGCTGTCGTAGGAGTGCTTTGTCTTCACTGGTAGGATGAAGTCCGTCCACTTCTATTAGATTGGTAGAGTGGGTAAATTACAGACTTTCAAACAAAAGTGCAAGAAATTGTGACTGTATTTGAGCACGAGTAGTGAATATTCGTAATATTCGTCCAGTGTATGAAGAGAAGACGTGAAGTTCTTGGGTGCAGCAATTCAAGACGATCTTTTCCCAAGGAAGTCGGGGGTATATAGGCCCGTGGATCCTAGTCCCTGTTTCACGCACTTGTATACACTACTCTCCAGAAAGCTGGTAATTACCAATGTGGCGGGCCATGCTTAGCCGATCATGATCAGGGCAATACGTTGCACTTTGCCTCTTCCATCGGATGACATTGGTGGCCGTCAAATGCACAAGAGGCTGGCCACCTTCTAATGCGGAAGTGAAGACGTCATATCAATCGTTCTTTGCATCTAGGGGGTCCAAATAGTGATATTTATGTCACTAGTTTGGCCAGACTCATTTGTCAGGAGTATGCCTAGGCGTGCCTGCCGCATAGTAACACAGTCCAGGACTCCACCAACCATCGAGCTGATTATCCATCATATTGTTAATTGAAGAGCCGGATCTTGCGCTTGAACAATCAGTACGTTGACGCAGGTGGCTCATGAGACTGCCTCAATATCTCGGTGCAACCAAGCAACAATCTGCATGCCGGCACCGGGTATACTCAGTTGAGCTGATCGTTGGTTGGCATGTTGCTATTCTTGCACGTATGTGGCGTGTGGAGATGATGCATTGTACCGCCCATGTCCAATTTGAGAGACTCGATCCTGTTTGTGCCCTCGATTGAGCTGTCTGTGTGGCAACGGGGCATTGTTCGAGTGGTTTGGCATATGCAAAGTAACCAGACGTCGTGGTGATCCTCTTGGGTGTAATTTGCAACGTCAAGCACAACATCGCCTTTCTATTGGCACCCGCAGTATCGGGAGCTGATCTTGAGGCTGAAGCGTGCCAATCAGCATCTCCGGCCGAGATCCATAATCTAACCCTCTCGTACATAATGCCTGACGCTTGAGCAATGCATAGCTGAGATTAAAAGTCCCAGTGAATGGAGCTACCTAAAGCAAGCCGAAGTCCAGTAGACTAGGATATTATATCCATACCTTAGCAAGAATGTACATATTCGCCCCACTACACCACAGCTGGTGGAGGTTTACCGAGGTACCTCACGATCTTTCACAAATCACCAAGCTGTTGACTAGTCCAATCAGTTGCCTCACCTTGCTAATTCTAGGTCTATTCATGTGCACCCGTCCCCATTTTTCACGACGTTCCTAGGTAGTGCGTAACGAACTCATGCAAAGCTTCAGAGCTTGAGAACTCGACCCAAGTGGTGCCGTCTTGGCAGCAGTGAAAGTTGAAAGCCCTCGATATAGCTGAGGCCCTTATTTGCACCCCACAGCATCTGCAGTCATACAAAGCAGGTACCATAAAAGGAATTTTATGAGCACTCACGCGGACATTTTACTTCCACTTACAGCCTCTTTCTAGTTTTCTTGACGCTTGATGACGTCGATCGTTACCACTCTAGGCTATGATATTCTCACACCAGAGGTGGCCATCAGTCTTTAATGCTGTGTAATAATACCGAGGCTTGTTCACTTGACGAAAACATGTTCGGTGACTCGACGCTTGGTTCAACACAGGAATCTCATAAACCAAAGGTGAAGCATCGATAACAAATGTTGGTCTCGTTGAGCAAACAGCACTGAGTTATCATGAATGACAGTGTAGGTACTGTTGCGGCATCGCCAGATTGCTCATCGTTTGTCGACAACACTTTTGGGCCTGTGGTGAATACATGTGCTCGCCAATTTGATTTCACGCTTCATTTTGAGGAAACAATATTGTGTATCCTGCCTTCGGCGATATTCCTGGCCCTAGCATTTTCACGTATCACAGTGTTGGTTGGCAGGCAGCGGCTAGTTGCAACTTCTTATTTGAGAACAATCAAAACTGTAAGTCATCACCGCAATACTCCGTATTGGCTCTGCCGGTACCAGACGTCCTGGTCTAATTTGAATGTGAAGATCATCTTTGGAGTACTTCTAATATCATGTACTACACTTGTAGCACTTTGGTCTTCAGCACAATCAGCTTCACAACGCACACGGACTTCGATCCCAGCCGCCATTCTCAGCATGGTTGAGTGTCTCGTATTTATAGCACTCTCGTTTCTGGAACACACAAAGTCTGTGGGTTCCCCCCTCCTACTGAATTGTTACCTCGTCATCTCCATCTTGTTTGATGCCGTGCGTTTAAGAACTCTGTGGCTATATCACGTGCGCCTAGCGATTCCGATCTTTTTCAGCATTTGCGTGACAATCAAAATTGGCATCCTCGTGCTTGAAGAGTTTAGTAAGCGTCGATGGCTTCTTTCAAGCCAGCAAGCATGGAGCCACGAGGTGACAGGCGGCATTTTTAATCGAACACTTTTCACGTGGCTCGACCGAATGATGTGGAAAGGCTATTCAGGAGCTTTAGGAGTCGTGTCTTTGCCGGATATAGACGCAAAGCTTCTTTCCGAGCAACTTTGGGAGCGCATAGGTCCTCAACTGGAGAAAAGTAAGTGTATGCTGGTTTGATGCCATTTACTATTGATTAATTTCAATTACAGGTGAAAATGAAGGTCACTCGTTTCTTTTGACGGTGTTCTGGGCGCTGAAGGCGCCTCTTCTGGCGCCTATTTTCCCGTACCTGATCTTGATTGCCTCACAACTCGCCCAACCATTCCTCATCAGCACGATCCTCAATTATGTAGGATCTGACTACGATGGTTCCAATGAACAGAGAAATACTGGATATGGACTTATTGGGGCTTATGGGCTTGTTTATCTGTCCATCGCTGTAAGTACTGCCCGACACAAACCTTTTGATACTCGGGTCGCCTAGCTGACTAAACTACAAGATTGCGACTGCATGGGGACAGCACTTATCCTATAGATTTGTCGTCATGCTGCGGGGGATCTTAGTAACCTGTATTTATCGAAAAACCATGGCCAAGAGCATAACGATTGTTGGAGATGCATCGGCTGTGACACTTATGAGTGTGGACGTTGAGAGAATTGTCCTTGGAATGGTGAAACTGCACGATGTCTGGTCTACATTGATTCAGGTTGCTTGCGCCATGTACATTCTTTACAGGCAGGTCGGGGTGGTGTTCATAGCCCCAATAATTTTGTCGATTGGTAAGTGCGCCATCATTATGCATTTATCTGTGCCATCGCTGATCTTAAGAAGTTTGTACATTTGGGTCTGTGGGCCTTTCAGGGTTTGCAGGTTCTTTTCAGATCACATGGATGACCGCACTCGAGAAGAGAATAGGTAAGATCCAGATTCTTCTTGGCTGCTCTGCTTCATATAACACGATGACCTATCAAATACTAAAAACATCATAAAGCCATCACGTCTTCACTGCTTGGTTCAATCAAAGGTGTAAAAATGCTCGGCTGGTCGCGAAAAGCATCCGAACTTATTCAACAATTACGCCTTGCCGAGATTGCCTCAGCACGCAGGTTCCGGCTAATGCTTCTTGCTGTTGTTACTACTTGTGAGTTGCTAGATGTTACACAGTTGTGGGATAACTCCATAGAATGCTAATCAAATTTTCAAGCGTTCATTCCCGTAACCCTGGCGCCCGTTGCTACCTTTGGCATTTTTGCAGCCAGGTCTCAGACTGGGGTCGACTCGGCCCTTGGCTCAACTCGTATTTTTACAACACTCTCTCTTCTCTCACTCATTACGCAACCGCTTGACCTTCTCTTTGCTTACATACCTGAGATACTTGCAGCTGTGGCATGCTTCTCACGCATCCAGAACTACCTCTACCAGGATAAGCTACTCAACACCAGTGGCCATCACAAGTCATCTGCGATAAAGCCATCGTCCTCCGGTGTAAAATCTACTGGCTCATCTACTGTATCAGAATCCGATGAGAGAGACGAGAAAACCATCGCCCCCAAAGTGGCTATCAAGCTGGAAGGAGCCACGTTTGGTTGGGGTCAACAAGCGGATTCGGTCCTGCAATCTGTCAATCTCACATTCGGCACCGGCAAACTGACGATGATTACCGGTCCAATTGCTTCTGGCAAGTCAACATTGTTGAAGGGCATATTAAGAGAAACCCCAATCTGCGAAGGTGTGGTCCAATTATCATCTCACAGCATTGCGTTTTGCGACCAGAACCCCTGGCTCGCGAATGAGACTTTGCGGAATAACATCCTTGGGACTGGTCACTTTAACGCTTCCTGGTACGGTCAAGTTATTAGAGCTTGCGCTCTTGAGGAAGATATCGCTAGATTCTCTGAGGGCGACCAGATTATTGTTGGAAGCAATGGGTTAAGTCTCAGTGGAGGCCAAAAACAACGGGTGGTAAGTTTCACTCACGGCTCATTGATGCTTGACATTTCGAGCTCACTAGACATGTTTGTTAGGCTATTGCTAGGGCAGTCTACTCTAAGCGTAGCATTGCCTTGTTTGATGACGTGTTTAGTGGTTTAGACATGGAGACACAGGCACATATCATACGTGATGTTTTTGGCACCGAAGGTTTACTGAAAGCCATGAACACAACAGTCGTCTTTGTGACCCATGCTGGTAAGCGCGACATGAAAATATTCTCGAATTAGTCACTAACAGTCGAGCAGCACATCTTCTGGATTACGCTGACTATATCGTTGTTCTTGACGTAAAGGGACAAGTCGTAAAGGAAGGCCCGCCCGAGAAGGTTAGTAATGAGGACATGGTTCTTTCTGAGATCGAGGATGCTAGTGCTGCAGATGGGCAAGATTCCATGGAGTCAGCAGGCAAGGAGCACTCAAGCTCTGAGCCAGCGAATCCAGAACCATCTACATCACAAAACTCGGTGGACGTTGAGACTCAAAGGCTTGGGGACAGGGCTGTCTACAAGTACTACTTCTCAACCTTTGGCTGGCCGAAAACCATAGTCTTCTTCGCGCTCCAGATAGTTCTGGTTTTCTGTCTCAAATTTCCAGGTGAATTTGCTCGGTACATCTGCCAGGCATGAATTTCGCTAATCATAGTTGCAGAAATCATTCTCTCGTGGTGGGGCGAATCGAATGACAAGGATCCTCAGGTGGAGAACAGCAAATGGCTGGGCATATTTGCTGCATTGGAAGCTGGCGCGCTTATCGCCTTGGTCTTGGTGTGCTGGTGAGTCAAAAGAAACCATGAAGAGCTGTGACAACTATGCTGACCTCCGGGCTGCAGGCACGTTCTATTGAACCTTGCGGTTATTTCCGGTTCTAAGCTGCATCACACGCTTCTCAAATGTACATTGAGGTAGGATTGTCCATGCTCCAATTTTGGCGGCTGAACCTGCCTGATCTGACTTGTTGCAGGGCACCCTTATCCTTTTTCGGTGTGACTGATATTGGCTCCATCACCAACCGGTAAGCCCACCAGTGCGTTTTGATCCACAACCTGCATAAGCCTGACTTCTATACAGATTCAGCCAGGACATGAATCTGGTTGACGCAGAACTGCCATTCTCACTCATAAACTTTGTGACTAGTACGTGGCGAACATTCCCACCGCTTGCTTCATGATCTATGAACGGTAAACTCATTATTTCACAGATGGATTGACTTGTCTTGCACAAGCCTTTATGATCATTCCAGCGTCAGCATGGCTTCTTATTGGCTATCCTGTCTTGTTTGGAGTGCTTTGGCTTCTGCAACGATTCTACCTAAGAACCTCGAGACAACTTCGTTTCTTAGACCTTGATGCGAAGAGCCCCATCTAGTAGGTTTCTATCGCCGTTGCTATGTTCTCTGACCGCTGATACGACCTCTAGTGCCCAATTCCTGGAGACCTTGAGTGGTCTCGCAACAATCAGGGCTTTCGGATGGCAGGAAGACTTCACCCTCAAGGCCGACAAACGCCTAGATTACTCACAAAAGCCGTTCTATCTTCTTTATAGTATTCAGCGATGGCTTAACTTGGTACTTGATCTGATTGTCGCATGTCTGGCCGTCATTTTGATAGCCATCGCCGTGGCCCTTAGGAATTCCACGAGCGTTGGGTTTGCTGGTGTTGCATTATTCAACATCATGAACCTCAGCGCCGCGCTAAAATCGGCAATCACCAGTTGGACTACTCTCGAAACTTCGATCGGAGCCGTCGCGCGCGTGAAGCGATACGAGGAGTCGACGCCGGACGAAAATCTAATTGATGAGGATCAAGAACCGCCGCAGATGTGGCCCACTTCCGGGACAATCATCTTCGACAATGTCACAGCGTCGTACAAGGATGACAGTGACCGAAATGCGATCACGAATATGTCAATTCAGATTAAAGACGGTGAAAAAATAGGCATTTGTGGCCGTAGTGGAAGGTAAGACGCTCTGCAGTCACGCAGTGGTGGTATTTGGCTGACCATTAGTTTGTAGTGGCAAAAGCTCCACGCTTCTGGCTCTGCTTCATCTTATCAATCCCAATGGGGCCATAATAGTTGATGGTCTCGATATTTTGCGCATCCCACGCGAGACATTGCGAGAGAGATTGACAGCAGTACCCCAAGATCCAGTGTTCCTCGCAGGAACTGTTAGGTTGAACTGTGATCCGTACAGCAATTCGTCAGATGAAAGCATCACAGAAGCACTCCGCACGGTACATTTGTGGGACGTCGTCGAGGCGAGGGGTGGACTCGATACAGACCTCAACGATGACTTCTTCTCAAAAGGTCAACAACAGTTGTTCAGTCTCGCCAGAGCATTGTTGAACCACGGCAAGATAATAGTCATGGATGAAGCCTCTAGCAGGTAAGTAGCTACCGCCCACGAGCCAGCATACCATACCATGGAAATGCTAACAGTAGTAAAGCCTTGATGCAGAATCAGAGCGTCTCATGATGTCAATTGTCAAGAGCAAATTCAAAAATGCGACGGTGCTGTCTGTAGCTCATCGGCTGGATACGATCACCGATTTTGACCGTGTTATCGTGCTTGACAGCGGCAAGATTATCGAAGGGGGCCCCCCAAAGATTTGCTTGCACGTCCTTCGGTTTTCAGAGCCTTGTATGAGTCATCACTGCACGTATCGGAGAAAAAGGCTTGATGGGAGGGAAGGTAGCTATTGGATCAACAACGACGCTAAGGGCTGGGGACATGGAAAGCAGATAAAACATGACACTGTAATAGGGATTTCCTTATCGATAGACACGTATAAGGCTCTCTCGGAATTCATAATAGCATGTGATTCATGTGTACATTCATTCGTTCCGCTTGTTGCAATTGGCTGCCCGACAGCCCGGAACGGTGGAGCATCGTTTCGAGGGTATCCATGTGGGCAGGCTTTTTGCGCGCTGCGACCAGGATAGTCTGCGACATATTTCGCGTGAGCGGGAGTACCCGCGACGGAAACGGGAAGTAGAAAGTATGCATGATGCGAGCATGTCAAGATGCAGTAAGTTGAGGAGAATCAATCGGAAATTTGTTATCGATGGTCGTAAGGCTTCAAATCAGACGGACGACATCATATTTTAGTGACTCCTCAGATCATGCCACCATGGCCCGTACCGCTGGCGTAGATTTAGTCAGGCCATACCACCCGCTAAATTGTTAGCGTGAACCACCAACACGCCACCATCTTTACGTTTGCGGCTACAGAATATTTTCCGAGATGCGGCTAGACTCTCAACACAACATCACGAACTAAAGCTTATGCAAACCTCATCCCTTCGTCCGACTGGCATGCTTAGATGCACTTCCGAATCATCACATCCACCTTCACCACAGGCGTCTACACACATCTAGACCTCCATGATATGTGCTTCCAATGAACAGCATGATGCGAAGCAACTGGCGCGCATTTCGAGATCGTGCGGTTCTAGCTCTGTCCCCATAAACCTCGACCTCTTTCAAGTACGGATGCAAACTTTTCCGTTGAAAGAAATTTCAGGGGTGACGTCGAATCGTACGATAGTAATTCTAAATCACACTCACGCAGCGAATCACTCCGTAAGACGTTCTAGAACTGCGTGGTACAAGGATTTATTGGCGGTTGGCTATCACCTGGTCGCGCCTCGCTGCAACTAGTTCTGGAGAAATGTGTCATGGATTCCAGCTTCCATCCGAAATCTTGAGGGCACGACAAAGTTCGCAATACGATGTCGTCGACTCTGGCAAGGGATATCGACAGGGCATCAGATTCAACCTACGGTGAGGTAGGGAGAACCCACTGGATGCAGTTCCCCCCGTGGCTCAAAACTATCGGCTTCACATGATCGCGAGCAATAGTTTCCTTGCCAGATCAGCTATGAAGGACTCGGAAGCGATGAGTTGGCTCCTCCGCAGCCCCTGAAGCCCACAACTGGCTTTAAGCTCAGTGGATCCGGACATGTAAGCACCAGCAGTCTTGTGGTATCTTACGATACCATGATGCCTGTTGTAAATAACGTTGCACTTCTTCAGGTGTTAACTGACAGTCGGACTGCACAACATATCGTGTAGTGCCGATTAAAAGGTCTCGACCTTCGCGGTTGAAAAACTACCGGGGGCGCAGTCTGAGAGAAATGCTTTGATAGGATCATGCACATATTGTGCCAAAATTACGATTGACGAGAGTATCTTTATGGCGTATCGGTTACAGTAGCCTATCTTGGCGGCATGCTAAGGTATGCCACGGATTGGGTTCGAAAATGCATGGGGTTAGTTGGACAACTTGGGAATTGCCATCACTCAATCCCTGTGGCAGGCTCTTCAAAAAAGCAATCAAGTAAGGGAGCTGCTTTTAGAAGAGCATGTTTCCATTATCTATACGAACTGACTATCACGCAAAGAAGTAATGCTGTCTTCCATCCTGCGGGTCGGGTCTTTTTGGGCTCTACCATACCATGGTGATCAACAGTGCGTATCGCGGCTGGAAAAATTCCAACTTTTTTTCCTTTTTGCTTTTGGTGGTTGGCGATCCGCTTAGCCAGGAGTTTGGGTGCTCATCTCGAGCCTGCCAACCTGCCTACCATGGCCCAATCCATCGAAGATCAACAGCTGTGGACCCTCATGATATTTTGATAGATATTCGAAATCTCCGCCCGAGAACTGTCAAGACCTTGCGCGTGAGTATATATGGGTCGGTTCGACTGGAAAACAAAGCATACCTGTTGTCGGACTCAAAGATTTGCCAAGTATTGCATAATATGATGACGATTACCGGCTGGTCGAGTCCCTATTTAGAATGGTATATTGCTACGTGACCGGCTCTGCAGGCCAAGGAACTATGCATGACACTATTACGGAGATGCACGAAATCCCTGATCAAACGGGTCATTTGCCGGTCAGCCTTGCAGATTGACAAGCATATCCCCCGCTTTCATTCTTTTTTTACAGTCTCAAATGATACGCTACACGAAACGTCCGTTCCTAGAGTTCTCGGAATATGGTATTCCACCTATGCGTTTATGTTTGAGCTGGAGAATCTTGGTTTGGTTAGTGGCACAGCCTAGTTAGTACAATGTGGCTTGACCAGTATACTCCAATATATGCGCTATGACCTGATCACACAGGCGCCTTCCGCCACGTGTTTTCCTTGGACCAAGAAGAGTTAGAACTCGGAGACTTTGAGAAAACCTGAACAGGAACCTAGTCTAGCACAGTCGGGAAAATTGAACAGGCTGATGCGGGAGATGTAGCCCAAGCGGTTCAATGAAAAATGGCTATATTTCAGAAGCAAAGGTCCTATCCGTATTTGGTATCCACAACTCCAATATGCGCCTACATGAGGAAGAAAATCCGACAATCTTGGTCGGCGGATGCATACATATCCGGCCCTTCCTCATCCACTCAAATCTAATAACTAACGCCACCGCAATTACTCGAGTTTTCAAGTCATCGAGGCACACATGCATGGTATTCCCTTCCAAACCACAAGCCTACCAATGGTATTGAATGGCTCCGTATGGATCTGGGCTGCCGTATTCGCCGCTCTCGCTATTGCTGCTATTGCAGCTGCTGTTTCGCGTCATCTCATCCAACATCTTCTGCTTGCGGTGTGCATAACGCGACCTGAAGCGGCACTGCCATCCTTCGCTCCACTTGGGCATTGGTAAGCCCCTGTGGCACTCAAGTGTGTTCCAGAGCTCTGTGCCACGGTCTCTGAGCATGGCACCGGTAACGGGGCCGTTGCCTGCCACACATTCATGCCAGAATGCCCATTTGATGAGCTCCTCCTCCAGCGTTTCCCACTTCGGCGGGCGCTGCCGCTTGCGTGTGTCGATCTGGCAATATGCCGGGTCCGCAGAGATATCATCTAGCGGGTCGTACTTGTAGCTCAGGATCTCGCTTACGGTACTCGAGTTCAAGTAGTAACCGTACTTCTTCTCCCACCAAACCGAGGCGTCAGCGTGTGTTTTGGCACCCTCTTTAGTGGCAGGGTCGAAGAACCATTGTCGCAGTGCACGACGCTGTGTGTTGGTAATAGCCTTTCGACTCTTCATGTTGATACAATGATTACATGAGGTTGTGTCTCTTGTTTTCTTTCTTTCTTGTGTCAACTGAGTGAGCAAGTACCTCGCCTAAAAGGAGATTTGAGCACGAGAATGGAATATCAAAGTTGATAAAGCTCCACTTCCCGCTCATGCCACGGCGCTGGAACTGATCAACATCTTATATTCTCCAGTGCTGAATGTACGATGTCGTACAGTTGACAAGTACATCTTTGACATTCAAATCAGGCAGGCCAGAATTGAAATTACATACCCATTCTAGCATCCCTTACCATGATCGAGAACTGCTGATGCGTTAGTCGCGCCTTGCTCTTTCAACTGCTTGGGCCCCATATCCCGTCATCTGGACCCCTGAAGCTTCAGATACTTGGCTAAGATGCAATGTTGATCGTTGCCATAGACGTCATAGGCGGATAGCCTAGTCTCGGCAAGCCGCCCCGGACCAAATCCTGCTCCTTGCCGCTGTTTCCAATGTGGTTAATACGCACTTAGCAAGTCTATAAAAAAAAGAAAGAATACGACAGCTCTCTTTGACTGTTGGACCCTGAGATCCAGTGCCTGAATTGCCATGTCAGGAGTCTTCAGAAGTTTCCAGAGACCAGGCTCACTTGAATGAGACAATGTCGTGATGGATGGATTATCCAGTATCGGCATTTCTCATCCACTTCGTATTGCATACAAGTATGTTACGACCGGCAACACGGGCTCCATCTCCTTGCAGATCTAAAGCGAACACACAGTCTGTGAAATTCAGTTACAGACGACTTCTCCTGCATACCCCGAAATGCATGTGGATGGGGCATCCTGATCAAAAGAATTTGACAACCTTTAGCGGATGGCTCCGGGGTGCCAACATGCTTGCCGTAGATCTTGGCTTTTGTCCCTTTATGGAACTGATCAACAACACATAATCCACTTAAGGAGATAGACATCCAGTCGAGGACGGCTGAAACTTCCAGGCTGCAGGCAGGGAGAATCCAATTCAGGCCAAGCTGCAATAGCTCAACTGCCAGCTGAAAAAGTTCAATCAATAGGCCGCATCGTGGGTCTCACCCTGCTTTAGCGAAATGCGCTATGCGCTGCCAGCGAATTTCACGCTCCCCTTCCTAGGCTCGTCATAAGCAATAAAGTTGGATTGGTCTGCCACCTGCGTAAAGTCTTTTGATGATTCCATTCCGTATTCAGACCTGCAGCAGGTGACAGTTTTTCTACCAGTACGTGTTGTGGCGCTATAATTCTGCAGCAATAACGGTCCCTCGCGGATAGGGGCCGGCGATCTATCATAGATCCTCCTCGAGATGTGGGGGAATCTTTATGGACCAGGCTCGACCCCATGTCTTCTGTATTCGTGTCAGGGACAGTGCCGAAGTGTTCTGTTACGAATTTAAACTTGCCTGTCTCCCCACAGTAGTCTGCCGTTGGACCGTTCAGCCCTGGTAAGTATACTGTATGGATAACTCAGAACTGTGAGGAAGTTGTTCTTCTTCAACGGGTTAGAATAAAATAGTGAGCGTCATAACTCATAGTGTCGGCCCAGTGGCAAGCGTAAGCTGCATCGATGTGACCTTGCCCCAGCTCAGCGACTCACTGCAAGTTCCCGCCTCAGTGATAGCTTTCGTTGAGCTGCCTATCCATTCCTGGAGGTCGAGCAGCAATGCCACCGATACAAACCCTGTAGGCTTCAAGCACGTCAGCCTGTCGTGGAACTCTTTCTCCCTCATCGAGTAAACCGGAAGAAGGCCTGTCGGATTCAAATATAGCGAGGCAAGTAGCCTTGGCCGATTCAGAACCCTAGAAGTGCGTTGTCGTTCACACAAATTAGCCTCCACATCAGCACTAACGGGTTTTGGTGTCAGCACACCGACTCCAAAGTTTGAATCGAACTCCAAAAGAGTATCCTCAAGGGGCAGCGCCACACTCCGGGTGAGGCCAGTGATTATATGAGCACCCTGGGGAGTCGGTTTTGATAAGGGGTATGTAACAGTATGTGAACTGCAAGACGTAATCGTGCAGTGAGATGATGCAGTGGCAGTCATATGTGTCAGAAGTGCATCAGGGAAAGTCCTGAGATGGCCATAACACTATCAGTATCAATTGATATGATGAGGCAACATTGAGGCGGACATAAGGAGACAGACTATGCAGCACTGGATGACTCGGCAGTTGAGGCGAATATGGTTCCTATATGTTCTTGGCCGAGATTAGTATTCATGGATTGCTTGATGATGTAGTTGCTGTGAAAACATCTGCCAGCCTAAATCCTGACATGACATTATTGTTTTTGATAACCGTTAGCGTTTGAGAGTCCAAGGGTACTTGTAGATGTGGTACGGTTGCGGCGTTGGGACTCTGGAAAGAATTCGCAGTTTGAGGCGGAGTGGAATAGGCATTCAATCCATACTTCCAGACAACACTTACAGGATCTGATATAGGTATGACAAAATCATTGTCTAGATGCCCCATCCTAATTTGGCAGAAACCTTCTCTCTGCATCTGCGAATAGATATTGAATTCATTCGTCAATCGCGTCAATGAGCTTGTTAAGTGCAGTTGGGCACAGCATCTCCTATCCGGTACCCAGCATATTGACCTCTTTTTGTGGAGACCGGTTGCTTGTTGTTTGTCTCTCTCAGTCTTGACTGCTCATTTTCTCTCAGCCCTCATCATATGCTAAGAGCCTGCACTGACGACGTGCTTGTGGAGTGGTTAAATCAGTACAGCGCGCATTCTGGGGATGTAACATGTGCTAGAGTCTTGTTAGTATCGTGGGCGCGTTCTTGAGAGGTCGGTATCATTGCATCCCACCTTACAGACAGAACCTGAGACGAAGGTCGTCGTGTCAGCCTCTTGCTCGTCCCCCACGAATCTCCAACTACAGAGATTTTCAACTTGAATCTACTTTGACACTCTATACCCAACTTAGCGGTCTTTGAACTTGTATTATGAGTGCGTCATAACTCCCTAATGCTCGTCGTTTCACCTTCCTCTCGCTTCTAGCGACTTTCAATGGAGTTAGTCAATGGAATTAGTGGACGCTTGAAAAATATGAAAGAGCGATTAGAATATTGCTCAACCGGCGGGAAACCTGATTGCACCAAGATTGTTTCGTTCCATATCTGCGGGGCTGTTGAGGTCATTAGCAAAAATATACCCATTTTTTGCAAGGGAGATGGTCTGTCTGACATCTACGTTACGTCGCCTTTTCATATCAGACGAAGTGGCGCTAGCAATTCAACCTGCCTCGATGCGGACTGTGGAACTCTCTGTGTGTCGTGTCTGCGCTCGAGAATGTGGCAGATATGGAAATTTCGCGATCGGCATTACCCAGCCATAGGTGATGGCTGTTGCGCGACGTTTTTATATGTTTGAGGGATTAAATGTACCAAAGCCCAAACCCGACTCTTTGGGACTATGTATTTCTCTGAGACTCACTCAACTGCACCGTTGAGGCGTCCAGCACGCTCATTGGGGGGTTGAGCTTCATCGCAGCATCTCTTTGTGCACGTGTCAACAAAATTGGGCGACATCGCAAGCAGCGATGGGAGATCAGAGCGTTGTGAGACATGCGCCTCTAGCCTGGCACTAAGAACAGTAGTCAAGTGGCAGAACAACACGCTGAGACTTACAAACTTTCAATAGATCGTGTTGTAGATGGCTCATCGATGCACTTTTCTCCGAACTGGGGATGGTCTGTGGAGGTTCGAATCATTGTCAACGCCAATCAGCACCGCGTAGCGACATACTAATCAGCGGTATGATTGAAAGTCTCTCCTCTTGAGCTATTCTCACGTCGTCTGGGAACCTTCGCTTCACAATCCAAGGGGTTTGCTGCTATGACACGGGGCAAATTGTGTTTAAACGTGTGGTCGATGCTCTCATTACCCTGATGATTGAGTCTTGAGAAGTGTTCAAGGTCTGTGAGTCGTCATGGTAAAAGGAGGGTATTTCGGTCACGACAACGTGGCAAAGATTCAACTTGCATTCAGGATGTCGTGCATGCCCTCGAACTAGGCGCTTGTTATAGGGGTCTTCGCATTCTGATGACACTTAAGGCACATTTAGTTGAGCCTGCACAACGTGGTCAGTGATCACCAGAGAGAGATTGGGGCGTGATGGTTGGAATTTCGCCTTTAACCGAACCTTCGCATTGCGAATGTACTCGAATTCGTATCGAGGCTTCTGGCGAAATTCGTTGCACATCCTGTTGCTGAGTCCGAACATCGACCATCACCCATCACCAAAGTACTGCTTGCTTACACCAGACTTGCTAGTGATTAACCATAGCTTCGGTATCCACGGCTTTGAGCGCAAATAATTGTTGGACATCAAATCGATGCCGATTGTGTCTTGTTGTTTACGACTACGACGATTGTCCGGAATATCGCCGTAGTGGCCAGTCACCTGGGGCGGTTTCACACCAGACAATCTGCGAGCGGTTACTCATCAGTCTGGGTGACGAAATCGGTGATAATAATGTACAGAAACGACATAAATGCTGTGAAAGAAGTCACAGATAAAATTTCACACTTGAGGGCGTAGCGCATGAGTAGTAATACTCGGCACCACGCGACGCAAGCGCCAGCCTCCGGGAATCCATCGGCGTCCTCACCATCAACTGATATATGGAGCTGAAAAGAGTGCAGATCAGCGGTATGACACTGCAGGTGGTGGGATAATGATGCGGCCCAACTCCGAATAAATATTTCAATAGGTGCAGCACGATAATCGTGACTTGTAAGGAAGTGGATGATCGCGATGTGTGTTTGCGTCTAGGTTCCACGATACGGAGTGTACGGCAAAGCAACATCCAAGTACTATACCCCAAAGCATATCTGCGTTTGCCCATATCGCTGGCCCGAACACTGTTCTTTCTGGAGAAAAGAAATCAATAAACAGTCTGAGTTTGCCAGGGGCGATTCCGGAGGGCTGTACTAGCTGGTGTCCAAGAGGTCTGACATGAAGTCAACTTGGTGTCGGCAGTTGTGCAGATCGGCGGAGAAGCTTTCAGACAAAAGTAGCCGGAAAGGGAAGTCCATCGACATGTATATTCAGTGCCTGTCACGTAGCTGAAAGGAGGCGAGCAAAACGTCATGTAAGCATCAAACCAATGAAATAACAGTCAGTACCCGGAATGATGAGGCCCACTAGTCTCCAAACGACCTGACGTGCAGGAGTGTTTCGAAAAGACACCTTCAGGTGGAGAGATAGAATTATAGTATGTAGTGGCTGATCGTGTATATGGAATATAATATGATGACAAGCAGATTTTCGTCCTTCTTTTATCAAATTATGGTTTCCTATCATGGAAGCCTTGGGAACTGGTGATCCCAGATCTTGGGATGGTACATGATAACTTCAGGTGTGATACTCCCAGAGCGCCAAAGGAAGTGTTTCAATGACTAAGTTTTAGTAGCAAAAGCCACTACATGCGTGAGATTGTATACAACAGGAAAACTCACGTCGTCTCAAAGTATGATTGCGAGTAATTCCGCTATACTGGGGTTCACGGCTATGCAGTACATATTGTTGTGTAATTCGACCGGCATGAACACAGTTCCACCGGAGGGATCAATCTCACTGCGTAAGGCAGAGTCCCATCGGCATGAATTACGAGTGGCTTCAACTCCGAGAAGCTTAATTAGAGTAGATTGGTTTCAAGTAAATGAAACTAGGCTTGACGTATTCCCAGTAAGAATAATGTATCCACCATAACATGAATTTGCGACGTCGGAAATCGGCAGCTTGGCGTGTCTCAGCATCATTTTGTCGGGCCGTGGACCTGGCTGTAATTTACACGTACTACGCCATAATCATCACGCCGCTGACGAGTTTATTATGGACTGTGAGGCTGCGTGATGACTATTAAGGCAGAGCGCGCAAAGTTTTTGAGTACGTGTTAAGTTGAGTGAAGATCCTCAACATAACGAAACTGACGATAATTGGAAATCGCGACTGGTACTCTTACAAATATTGCATAGATCTGCATAGTTTAGCCTCGTGCTTCTTGGAAGCACTCGGATGCCAATGTCCCACGTGTTTGGGCTTTGAAATCCATTTTTAAAAGGCTCAGAAAGTAAAACCTTACCATGAAATGTACTTTTGTCATCATTTGCATTTGCTTCAAATCAGCTGAGGGCACGATCAGGTTGTTAGCTTCTGGATCTGGGGGCAATGGCGGCAATAACCTGCAGGGATGCAAACACTATCTATGTCTTGGTCCACCGCCAATGGTGAAGCATAGCGACGTTGAATTTTCGTTTGAAATGCAGGCCTGGGCTGTTATGCTATCAAAATGTGGCCATACGTTCGTATGGAATATGGCTACATGACGGCCAAGGAGTAGCTAGTTCCACCACACTAGATTGCAGACGAGTTACTAATTCTTAACTCACGACATAGTTATATTTTACTTGCAAAAAGAAAAAAAGAAAAAAAAAACAAGTGATGCATTGTTTTGACAGGACTAAACTCTCTACTTGCGTGACATATTTACAAACCGCCATGAGAAAACTACGCAGGTAGTTTCAGCCGCTCGAAACCGTTATGTCCGTTTTGTCCCACGTGACACAGAAACTGATCCTTTGAATACACCACGTATCGTAGTCGGAGTTACATTCGGAATTCGAAGGATCGTCGTAAAACATGGTGGGCCGCAGCACTTCCGCTGCATCTTCATATTTTGCGTAACCCCCTGCTGGTGCCGATGAGCGGGGTTGTTGTGTGCAGCTTGAAGTGCCGGGAACGGCGAAGATCGGCATCACGCCTCAGCCGCTGTCAGAGTTTCATGCCATCGCCGTGGCAGGCACACCCTTCGTTATAGCTGAGAGATCTGGGATATACGCTGTCGGAGCAACGGTCCGCGATTAAGTACAGTGGGTAAATATTCATCATCCATTTTATATAGCCGGTGAACTTAATATAACTTCAGGTGCTATTGCGGATCCACTACGGGTGGCATTGACACTAGTCGCAGAGACCGATCGGTTCTCGTAGAAAAGTCTTAGGTTGATTGATGGTTCCGTGGCGGCGATATCATCTTTTACGCCTGTTTTGACCTGTTGAGGTCAAAAGACAGCACCGGTTCCACTAGGCCAAGCTGGTGATCTCCCGAAAACCGATAACCGGGGTTTGTGATTCTTCGGACCGGCATTTGTATAACGAACTCGGATAGTCCCGCCGCCAGGGTTAGGGGACAAAGTGACCTTCCACTACTACCATATGGCATCATCTGAGAGATGGCGCTCATGTAGTCCGTAGTGTAGGTTTGATGCGGTGACTGGCTATGCGCTATTTGAGTTCATCTCATCGATAGGACGGGGTCGTCGGTAGTTTAGACGCTGCACAATAAAAGTGCAAAATATTAATCTGTTAGGAGAACAATACTGCTACTCCAGACCTCCTAGCTAAATTTGTCACTAATATATACATGATGCAGTGCATTGGTGTCTTGGTTCTCTTCATCCCCTTCTGGTTGCGGACCGTATAGTAAGTGGTCGAACAAATTTGAACCTTCAAGCCCTATTTCACCCTAGTCGTGAATCACGGTGCTCTTGACACACCAGATTGCGGGAGGGTCCGTTGTGATATGCAACGAATTCGCATGCCAAAAGTTCGGTGTGCTCTGCGATTGATAAAAGTGTCCTATACCACTAGGCAATGGGAGTTGGGGTATACTGGTGTCTGGCCCGACCTTGGAGCAAATAAGATCCCATGATTTTAAAGCATACTCAAGTAACGTCAGCTTCAAAAATGGTATATTTACTACAAAATTCTAATAGAAAAGAAAGAAAGAAAAAGGAAAGGGAAAGAAAAGCGGTTTCAACGAGCGGATAATACAGATTTGATTCGAATATTAAAACCAAGTTTTACTCACTCTCTCCCGTAGATGCTCTGCATCTAAGACGAAACGGCTAGCAACGATCCCAGACCCACCACAATCCTGACAGCAGTCCGCTCTCGGAGCTAACACTTCAAGTTCTGTAGGGAACTGACTGGTGCTAATGACAGGAATACATGCAGTTGCGAAGCATACCATGGCACCCACGGTAGACCCATTCAGATGCTACGCTGAGGAACTGCGCCTCAGCATACCCCGACGGATCACATTCTGTGCCAAGCGCCTGGCATTCAAGAAGAACGAAAATAGTTTTGACGTGACTATGAACCTATATGATGATAATAACTAGCCGCAGGTGGAATGAATATTGAGCTGGACGTTTAAACTTATACAAGCCGCGATGAGGGCTATGGCTTTGGCCAATGTCAGAACTATCAGGAAGGAGTATTTTCCACCAGACATGGGGAAGTGTCTGAATCCATCGTACCTGACGTAAAGATCGTTATATGAGCATGTAGTGCAATACCAGCCACGAAGATGGTCCATCGAAATGAGCACTGAACTCAACTTCAAAACGGCTGCGCTTCTTGCATAGTGGGCCAGTTTACACCAGTCGGACCAGTCTCCAAACCAAGTCGTCAGTTTGTTAAGAAAATGACAGTCGTTAGTGTGGAGAGAAGTAGCAATGGTATCATAACGCTATAGAATATTTGGGGCACTTGTACGGCAGTCTTACTTATCATCAATCCGCCTGTTTCTCTATCATAATATCGTTTAATTTTGAGAGTAACCAGCCGGCCTGCTTGGGAAAGGATCAATGCGTCGTGGACCGGCAGGCTTTCGAAACTAGATAGAATATTGTAAGACTATTAGGAAAACATCGAAACTCGAACAACGACCTTGAAGGATGGGCAACTGGAAAGCTGCATAGTACCCGGTTTTCCAAAACTGTGCGTAATCTCCAGCAATATTGCGTTTACAAGGGAGTAGAACCGAACTTTCGGTGGCAATAAAATCCAGACCTACGTTAGTCTGGAGGCACTGGTGTTTGCCCACTTGGTCAACTATAAGCTATAACTGGCAAAACCTACAAGACATGCTGAGGTTCCAGTTCGAGAATATTATTACTCAAAAAAGTTTAACAGTTGATATAGGCGTATCATGAACAATGCGATGTCATGAGCTCTCGGTTATCAAATACTTATGGAAGATTTCACCAGATAATTACAGTCTTCAAATGCGCGACTTCGGATCCGAAGATATGTGCTGTCCTAGTTGTCAATGACACCAAAACCTTCCCTACGTTGCGAATTACTGCAATATGGTCAACTGGCTTGGTAAATCATCACAACGACTGCACATTGATGGGTTACTAATGACGAAGGGATTCAGAACATGATCTGGTTCGTTTAATTCAAATCTCTTAACAATCATTAGAAGTCACAAGAGATATGGCAAGAAAACGTTTGCGAGCGTTTCCACAAGGTGTGCTTATTCAGAGCTTGCTCATTCTGAAAATTTCTTATCGATATTGACCCATATCTGGAATGACACCGAAGCTATACCCAACTATATAGGCCGATGGATATCCTGTTTACCTCAATCGCAATACTAAGTCTCTTAGTGTGCCTTCATTGACGTACTCAACTTATATTAGGTACTTTACCGGGGGAAATTGCTCCAAACTTCCTCCGGACATGATCATATATTAGGACGCAGCGATAGCAGCTCGATATCTTGTTGATTTCCAACGAACATCTGAGATTGTTTGTTACTTAGGTCGATTTGATTAACACGATGCGATCATATGCGATCATGCTGACAGTTGAATTAGTTGGAATTATTGAGCAGTCAACTCTCATGTGGGCCAAGAATGCCACAATAAAGGGATGCTAGTTTGATAGCAATATTGTGAATCTTCTAATTTCACTTATATTTACATCAGCCATCTTGAATACTTACATTACCTCTTACAACAAGCTCAATTGCATTTACAGAGCCGAGCTCTTCCAACTCGTCGATACATGCGAAGCCAGTCGTTCGGAATATTTCATGAGTAATCTGGAGTCCATAATACAATAACAACAACAACAACAACGCATGGATTATACCTATGGAAACTCTGATTTCTTGTCAGAATTCGTACATCAATATAGTACACTAAGTCACGCACAAGTCTTCTATCACCTCCATAGATAACTTGCTGAGTATTACAAATCGTTATCAAGCTTTCCTTGTAACACACAACATCCAGGCCGGCGAAGCCATCTCACTATCATTCATGCACTTTCTATTGGTGGTTACTGCACACTACAGATTTATTCCATTCGCGTAGCAACTCTTTCTTCCCCAGAGCCGATCTATACACTCAACTCAAGAAGTCTTCTTAGAGTCGGCACTGTACTCAGGATAAGATGCTTCATATCTGAGGACCAGCGTTAATAGGTGTACCAAAGATAGATAATTTGACCTACCCGAGAAGGCTGGCCCCTATCCAGTAGGCAAAAACATGGTGTAAAACGATCAAGAATGATAGGGGCAGCCAGAACGGCGGTGTTAAGATGATATCGCTGTGGTAAAGGAACAACAAAATCTGAAAGATGGACGGAGCAATCTTGTGCTTCTCACAGTCCCTGAGATAGCTACTGAAGTTACGCATGAAGCTCTCGTCAAAACCGTGGTCCGCATCCTGTGGTTCGACCCAGACTTTGAAAATAAGGTCTTCCTTGCCTGAGCCATGTGCCCAAAATGTGTGCCTAGATCACAAGTCAAGCAAAGATCGCACAAGCGGAACACTTCGGGACTTGACTCACCTAACACCAGGCTCAACAGATACAGGTCCATCGTCTCTGGTCAGCGCATACTCCTTGCCGTTCTTGACAACACCTAATACCCCTTGCTGAACTTGGAAAGTCTCCTTCTGCTTCAAGTGAATATGGCTGTATCATTCAATTAGTACCGATGCAATCACAGGAGGCTTAAATACGACGCTCACAGTGGTGGCCCGGAAAGGCCGTCTCTTACTTCTTTCTTGTGAAAATAGTGCGTTTCTTTCACGGTTCGGCGGCCATCGTCCTCTTTGAAGAACTCGTACAGAATGGTGTCGCCCGCCGCGAGGGCCGTTTCTTGTGTTGCTGTTTCAGTACGCCGAGTCGGTCGCGGCGACAGCCATAGTTGCCACGATGCAACCATATTCCCAAATGTCTCACAGCGAAGTGTGCACGTTCGGACTGAGATTTGTGTAACAGCCTGCCATTAATTAGCCAGCATATATAGGTATTTGAGTTCGGCTAGCTTTCAATTTTGTTCTACTTCAGTGGCAATGCTTGCTAGCACTAGCACTGAAGTCATTGCTAGTCTAGTGCTGACTTAGGTTGGACGTTTCAACCTCTGATTAACCTAGGTTAGGTTAGTGGATGCTCACTGCACCAGAGGCCCTACTGTAAAATCCTTAGTCTAGTTGGCATTTTCACTCCCAGATTGGACGATGCGGTTATTTCTCCCTGTGCCACCATCCTATTTCCAAGCAAAATGCGACAGTGGCTTGAAAAGACCGGGAGTGTGTCTGTCATAATTTCAGCTCTGTCACATCTAGTAAAAAATAACCACCAATCAAAGCCGGAGACGCACCGGGAGTAAATGGTGCGCCTAACATCAAATGACCTCCTTGACCAATTCATTGCAATTGGTGTTGACTAGCGACGACAAATCAAAAATCACATGCTGACGAGCCACAATGTCGCATTGCTAGAACTCGATGATCACCTCAAATTAACTTCGAACCGAGTCTGTAGATACGGGTCATGATTCCCGAAAGACGGCTCCTGGACATGAGCTACTGATGCAATATTTCCGATACAAGTGTAGGCCTTGTCAATTATACAGTAATTTGTTCACAGCTGCGGCCATTTTGGTCTATTCTTTGCAGCCAGTTTGCTTTCTTTATCGTTACGACCATGCGTGCTGTACACACAGATCAAATGCTTCATCATCTACAATGACTGGTTTTCTGTCCTCGTCTGGATTGCAGAAAATCTTTTCAAAAAACCCTGGAATGAGCGTGCCTTCTTCGACATTTTGCTTCTTGGCAGCGACGATCTCTTCCCAAACGCCTCTCAGCTCTCGGGCGTCTAGGTTGTTGTCACGCCATACCCAGGTTCGAAGTAGCGCCTCGACATCGGCCCAGTCCTGTAGACCCAAAGCATCGGCGACGAGTCTGATTTGACTACTCGTGACAGTCTTCCATTCGTTGATTTGTTGTTCTTCTGAAGTGCTGCAGTGTCGCACACTGGTAACCGCAACCCGTACCATCATGGCGGCCCAGAACCATGCATGACGAGGAAACCGGCCGGACAGCATTGATTTCTCACTCATCGAGAGCTCATCAATTAGAGCTTCGATGAACCAATTCAGAATAAAAAAATCCATGTTGCCGGCTCCCAGCATCGTTAGGATCCTTAAGCAGCACTGCAAGAAACGAGCCCGGCTTTCTGCTTCTGACCGGGGAAGCACGGAATCGGTTCTCTCGTGATACGAACTTGTCAATATGGTCTCTCCAAGTGTCGCGTCCCAGTTTAAGGGGTCTTCGGATAATGTCTGAATCCCTGGCTCGATGAATAGTGTGAGTGTAGTTGAGCAACCTTCGATAGACTGCGTGATTTCGAAGATCTGACGCATTGACATCTGAGATAGTCCTTGGGTTGTGCTTGAGTAGTGGTATTAGTCAAGTTGGTAGAATTGCTTCGAAACGCGTGGTATTCTCTCACCAAATAATCATGTTGTAGAATAAACTATTACTAGGGTAAAGGGTTAATGCATTTGTTCCTAAAACCTGAGATAAACCATGCATGTGCGCGCGTGCCGTGTCTGGTCGACCGAAGCCACTCTATTGGGTTGTCAACTTGTGCACTTAGGACTTTGGGGGTCGGACTTGCCGCCTACCTCTGCCATGGCCAACGCTGCGACACCAGCTATCGTGGTCTCGGTGGCCATCAATGCAAGATGCTGAAGGCGCTCATTTACGACTTTTATTGCCTCAAGCTTATGATGTAGGGCCGACTTCTGAATGTTTTCACTTGAGCCGGAGTACCATGTCCACCTCAGAGCTGATAGCAGTATTGCACCATGAAGTAATGCTGGACATGACAAAGCTCTCTCCACTCTGTAGCTAAGTTAGTCTGAGCCACTGAACGATACGACGAACCTACAAGAATGCGTGTGAATCGGGGCTTACGTCTCTATCTACCACGCTTCGATATCGTGAAACTAGTGGCTACGGTTAGAATTTCTAGTAGAGATTTAGATGGTGGGGCTCAAGTTCCTACACAAGTCAAAAAGTAAACCATAGTCGGATGATGCATCGCCCGGATAGCCATCCAATATGTTCTGAGGGGCCGGTGGACAGGCAAAGCCATCATCCCAAAACTCGAACTCTTCGGCTTTTGGTGTGATTGTACCATCGCTACTAGGTTGAGGGGAGTGAGAGTGCTTGTTTGTCCTGTCCACATATCCGCAGCTACCTCCGCTTGCTAGGCAACGTCCACTATTTGGAAGTTAGCAGATATTAAGGTGTATCATATCGTGATTAACTCTCTCGTCAAGTTAAACGCTGCGGTCTACTTGATAGGTGCTGCCTTGGGCCTTGGTGCAGCACGTGGCTGAAATAGGCAGACTTACCAAAGCGGCTTTTGTTCGTCGCAGCGCAAGTGTTTGGCCTTGCACGTTACACACCCATTGCGTGACCTAGTATGCACTCTTCGTTTGCGTTCCGTCTGTTTTCGAGGCATTTTAGACTAGGGGTCCGATTTCGCGGCAATCTTCTGGTTTGATCAAATTTTATAGTACACAACTGTCGAGTCTGGCATAGACGAGAGATATGCCAGTATTGTGAGGACTATAAGGGATCAAGCGTATTATTAAGTCCCATCACCCATCAGGCAACGATGAAAGGAGTCCGCGAGTGGCATCGTCATAACTTATGGTGGGAGATTCCTTCAAATTGCCGCGCCACTTAGTGTCAGAGTTACACAGGGTCGCACAGCGTTGCACAGCGTTGCACAAGACAGTTCATAGACGCGCTGGCATAGGGCAAGTCCAATGACAGGCTATTCCCGCGGCTTGTATCGTTACACAAACCAAGTGGGGGTAGTGCGAACCAATTGTGAGACAAGAAATGGAACTTTCGGGCTCCATGTAGGGCTGAGTGTGGTTAGCAAGACGTCTGCTTGTGAGATTAGATTCTGCTGACGAAATCGAGCCAAGACCTCAAGGCCATGGTCCCCCCATTAACCTGGTAAGGTTCTGATAGCTCTGATGGCACTCTATTGGCTTCGTACGATTCTTGTCCAACCCTCCTGGATCCATCTCACCGACTTTCCCCGCATCGCTATAGTAATTTTCAGTGCAAGATAACAGGCCAGAGTCGACCGACAAGCCCCGATTGGTACGTAAAGTCGGTACATAGCTGCCGTCTTTACATGCACCATGTATGAAGGCGCATACTTGCAACCATACATGCAGAAGTTACGGATGCAATATTCTTGCCGTGCTTCAGAAACGAACCCAGATACTACACACGTTCTGTAGCCGGCAACATTATGCGAACTAAACACTCTTGGGCCCCTCAAACGCACGAGTGGTGTGGCGGATGCGAGGTTTGTGCAACCAAGACAGTAAACTCATGCGGTCGCGCAGGTCTATGCAGTGGGGATCTATCGCACTGCAAGGTCCTTTGGAGCCAGGGGGTGGTCTGACTTTGTCCGCAAGCAAGACTCTGATGTATTTTCAGCCCTATAATAGCAAGCAGTAATTTTAACACTGATCAGAGTGGCGCACAAGGAACATGCCTCTATCCACATAGAGCTGTAAAATCCAGAAAATCGCCAGCTTCTTAAACGTCTGCCTAATGCTATGTTGTTGAAAATAAGGTTCGCTAATCGAGCTCAGCCCCTAAACAGGCAATTGCTTGGGGTCCCTAAATGAATTCCCAAAGCCATTTTCTCCACGTGGGTCCCGTCCCAAATATGCGAGGCCGGGGCACTGCAACCAAGAGATTCTTCGGCCCCGTACGATAAGCGATTGGCTCTCATTCATAGCAAAATACGAACGAACCTATCAGTGATTACAATTCAAGAACTTGTGCTTCATGACGGTGCCGGAGGATCAATAAAAAACCAAGGTGATGGGTCCCAAGCATGCGGTCCCAAACATGCGGTCCCAACGGTTCACATTGCCAGGGAACGACGACTAAACTCTGTCTTCTTTAGGCAAGGCCTTATACTTGGACTTATAAGCATAAATTTCTGGAGAAATCCACCTGGGCGAGTCTTGGCACAGGTTCAAATTCGAAGAGTGACTTACCAGTCCTGCCAGTGCCACCGGAGTTCTGTGGGCTACCTCGGTTCAAACAAAGGCCAAGTATACTCTAACTTCAAGAGTTCAAGGGGAACCGCTCCCATGTAGGTCCACTGTCCGTTAGAACTACCTAATATTTAGGTTGATGGATTCAGTGAGTTCCATGACATCAAATGAGGGTCGGGTGTACGGTGCCAGTGCCTGCGGAGAAGCATAGAGTGGTTAGTATGCATATCAAATCCAGTATCGTCCTTCGAGATTCCTACGGTATTTGCGGAGCTCCAGAATCGCTTCAAAAACTCATAATGCACTATTGGTCGTTTGAGTCGTTTGAGCGGCCGGCGCGGCTATTCGGCCAATGAACATACTGCCAAGAGCCTCATCGTTAGGAGATTGCCCGATTGAGAGGGCAGAGGATTACACGAAATGTGCTTCTTTGGGCTCTTACGGTGGAGCATGTGTCACACGAAGTCCCCCTGTCTACCAAGCCGGCAACCAGGATTGAACATCCTTTCCGTTGCCCACTTCGAGATGTTAGGGTATTACGCTAGACAAAGACAAATTGCTCTCATCAGCGCCAAAAGTGCCTCGCTAAAAGTGCCTCCCAAAATGGAGGTTAAATGCGACAAAGCTTACTGTAGACTGGATAAGACTCTGTATCAAGCAGGGACGTAAGAGAGCAGCCAAAAAAGCGTGACAGCTATCCATCATGCCCTTCAATCAGACGCTTGTCTCCTATAACACCAAATCAAGCGAATCGGCTGTTAGGTGTCCCATAATGTGTAGGGAAGCACTTAGCCACTGAAGACCTGTCGTAGCGGGAAGGTTCAATTGAAGCCTATGTGGGTGGTACTATGGGATCCATTATTATAAGCGAAGTGTCGTATCGATCTCTCAACCACGCCTCGGAGCAGCCCACAAGCACTGATTGTTTCCACCAGTCGGTTCCGCATCAACAGGACGAAAGAACGGACAATTGTAGTGAAAATTGGTTCGATGCAAATAGTCAGGTCCCGCCGGTCAAATCGCGACAGGATTTTCGCATGGCGTACGGTATATTTTGGTTGCCTCTATCTAGATCCTTCGCAGAGATCTGCGGCCAGGCAACTACAGTAACTTCCAATTGAAACTCCTGAACCTAATGCAAATCGCCATCCATAATGTAGACGATCGACGTGGGTCCAAACACAGGATGCTGAAAGGCATGCCTGGGTACAAATGGCATTTGACGTGAGGTTTCTGTCGGTATGAAGTGCCGACTGTCCTAGTTCATGCCCGCTTGCCCATTTCCTGGTGCTGCCGAATGGGCCATTCAAGTCTTGAAGATTGTTCCAAGAGTGTGTTCCTAAGGTGCATACAAGTGTATGTCAAATCGATGTGTGAGTTAAGCAGTGCAGCTAAGGTTCGTGCCACAGCCTGGAGCACAATCTTCGAAGGAGCTCACGACAAACATGCTATTTATGGCAATGGACACCAGGCAGCCATGGACACGCTCCCATCATGGACCATGCATCATATGGTACTTCGAAGGAGCTCTGATGGCATACAATTCCCCTGCCTTAGTTACACCAAATACGGACGGCCTTGTCTTTGCCTGTAATGCACTGATTAAACGTTGGTCGGCCGAGCGTGTGGGATTTTGAACTTACCGCCACTGCCTACACGCTTTCCGTCAGGGCTAAAATCTACGGCATATACTTCGTCTTGGTGCCCAGGAAGGTCAACTGCCAGCTTGCAGGTCTGCATGGACCACACTTTCAAAGTTGTGTCCTTGGATGTTACATTAGACATGATTACCAAAATCGAGATTTATGAAAGCTTACCTTGGATGCTGTGACCAAAAGGCGTGAATCTGCTGAAAAAGCACATTTGTAGACAGGAGCGACGTGACCTCGCAGTGTGTTGATAAACTTGCCATCACTAAACAAAAGTATCAGTATTTCGAGACACCTTGAAGTTTGTGCTGAATATCAAAAAGACTTACCGCGCACTCCATATCTTGGTGTGGTTGTCAAATGATGAGCTGGCAATCAACGATTGATCTGGGCTGAAGGCAACATGATTAATTTGCTTTTGATGGCCATGTAATCGAGCAATAGGCTTCGTGCTTTCTTCGGGGTCCCATAAGAACATTGTAAAACTAGGACAAGTCAGCGATACCACCCAATTCCATTCTAGGACGCGAGTCAGGGTAGACACACTCATCACTTGCAGAAACCAAACGTTCCACGATTTTGCCATTCTTGGTAGCTGCTTTCTCGAAACGTTCCTTGGCTTTAGCTCGTTTTGCATCATCCGACTGAGGGACATCTTTAGTGTGGTCGAAATAAGATGTTCTTAACACAAATTCGGTTGATAAGGCCAGATGATTGACCCAATGCGAATGTGCTGCTAATGTGTGTTTCAACGTTCCATCGGCCGCACACCACACTTTCACCGTCTTATCGTGCGAACTTGTATAAATCATCCCCTTGCCTCCCCAGACGACACAAGACACCGAGCTCTTGTGGCCCCTAAACCTTGTATTAATAAATGCTCCTGATAGGTGCATGAAATTGGTCTACTTACGACAAGACATGTTCAGTTCGCCCAGTATTGACGATCCATATTCTGACCGTAGCGTCTTTTGACGCGCTCGCCAACCTAGGTCTGGTTACGGAGATTCTCAGTTAGTGATTTCTCGACGATAGGCAGAATTCTTTGGAGTTATGTTTTGCTCAATACCACTGGCCACTCTTCTCCGGGCCTGCAGGCTTAGACGGAAGGTTACTTGACTAGTGTTGTCTTGACTGACAAGCTAACACCGAGAGCGCAGGTAGGGTTACTCACGTGTTGTCCGTCCATTCGTGGTACGGTTGCCAGGACATGTTTGTAATCCATTTTGCGTGGCCGGCAAAAGGCTTGCCGACTAACTTGCCAGTGTCTGAATCCCAAATCTTGACTGTTTTGTCCATACTACACCTATGATCAGCGAAGTCGAATACTCGGGGCATGCGAGAATCCAAATTACCTGCCGGTAGCCAACCTGGATCCATCCGGACTCCTGTGAGACAGTGTAAGGTCAGTGTTACTGTATTTGAACAGGGACAAAGTTGGTTTCATGCCGTCTCCCAAGACAGTGGGGAAATAGCTGGGAAGGGTAATGGGGGATTTTGAGAGCCGCATACCACGAAACCGAGAGAACCCAACCTGTATGGCTCAACGTATACTTCGGCGTTCCAGTATCGCAATCCCAAATGCGTGCTGTATTATCACCCTACCATTATGTTAGTAATGCCTTCATTGTCATTACCAGCACGTAGTGATCTTACCGATCCTGTCGCGAGCCTACTTGAACCTCGAGGAGAGAACTGGCAGGCCAGAATCGCTTCACCGTGGCCTGGTATCCGATGGGCCATGCGTGTAACTGCCTGCACTCTGAAAACAGCTTGCGGCTCTGCCGACAGAGTGAGAGTTGTCTCGAACGGGTTATTGATACCATGGCTACGCAACACAGCGAGGAACTCTTGCGGAGTAGGATATGTATCGATAACGATGTCTGAAGAGGGCACGTGTATGCGGAATCGGTAGGGGGTGAAGTCGTCCCTGTCGCGACCCAAGAGTGTATTCAGTAGCAGAGACACATTCTTCTCGCTAGCATCGGCAAGCGGGATTTCGACGACTTCCGCAAGCTGGTTGGAATCGCTATCGACGAAACGAGCTTTGAAAGATCCAGCCTCGATAGGTGCGGGTGTTACATCGGCTTGAACTTGTGTGCGCTCGAGGGCTTCGCGGCGCTGCCGTTTCGAAGGAGGCGGTGCTATCGTGGCCATGGCGGATGTGTGATCTTGAATCTGCCTCGTCGCTGCAGATTGCGGGGCCGGAAGCGTTTGTTACAGCTTGCAGGTCGCGCGCGGTGTCACTGTCGTATAAACGAAAAGCCTACTGGGCAGATCCAGTATTGATGAACAACCTTGGTGTATGCAAAGCTCTGACATGAGGCTGCTGAGTATGGCGGGGCACTTTGTTCTTGTTCTCAGATTCCAAAATTTTATGCGGGTCTCAATCTTATCTCGTCTTATCTCGTCTTATCGCATCTTATCTTATCAGTCGCCCACCTCAGGGGTCCCATCATAGCTCCCGCGCATACCTTGAGGTAGCTCTGCCTAGAACATGAGGTCACCTTGAAATTTTGTAGTGTATCCCACTATCCCACCAATTGTGCGTAGTGTCACTTGCAAGTCTTCCAGTCTTGAGAGGCTGTATCGACTGCATTGTCATGAACCTTGAAGATCACATCGGCCGGCAGGTTCAAGCTCAAGCTCTATATAAGCTCTCCATCACTGGGCTTGGAACAACACAGATGGTCGGGTTGTTCATATATTCAATTAGTTTGCGCTTCTGTTCAGCCCTCGGCTTCATAGCATGCCTTCTCTTTCCATCCCAGTGCCCCACCTGCAGTCACGGCATTCAACAAGGCAAAGCCACAGTGGTTCTACAGTAATGACACCGCAGCTAGCTCCTCCGTTTCTACCCTCGATGGCGTCGAGCCAGGGAGCCTTTCCTCGCTATGCCCCCCTCGTAGAACAGATACATCAGCGTCGACTGTTTTGAGCCCTACATCATCCGGCACCCCTTACCCAGGTGCTTCTCGTATCAGACCGCAGTCATCTGCTAGCCAGCGTGGATCGGAATCTCGTACTAGGTCTCAGTCCGTGGCGACCTCGTTCTTCCCATCTGCACAGCGTGGAAATGCCAGCACTGCTTCTGGTCGAAAATCCCGTACTACAACGTCTGTCTGGGGATCTGAAGGACATCAAGTTATTTGTGCCGTAAGTGAAGCCCGCGGCGTATCACCTTCAGTCGGGCTAGCCTTTGTCAACGTCACCACCAATGAAGCAATTCTCAGTCAGATTTGTGACTCTCAGTTCTACGTCAAGACACTGCATAAAATCCAGATGTACGATCCCAGCACCATACTAATTGTGAACACTTCTTTTCCACCTAATCCAAAATCCAATCTGCTAGCCGTCATCCAGGAAGAGTTTCAAGGGACGAGTATTGAAGGCCTTGATCGTAAGTATTGGTCTGAGACTGTTGGACTGGAGTTTATACACATGTTCGCCTTTAGAGAGGAGCTCGAATCCATAAAAGTGGCCTTACAAGGAAACTTCTACGCAACCTGTTCATTCGCTGCGGTACGTATCATCACGTCTCAGCTAAGTGGCGAAGGCGTGTAGTCTTACATTAGCCAGGCTATCAGATACATGGAGCTGGCCTGCCACCTGACTATTATGTCGAACTCGTTGCGAATCAGATATGAACCGTCTGAAAACTCTATGATGATAGACGTCTCGACCGTCCATTCTCTGGAGCTGATTCAGAATCTTCAGACCGCGAAGTCGAAGTACTGCCTCTTCGGGTTGTTAAATGAAACTTTGACCCCCATGGGAACTAGGATGCTTCGAAGCAATATTCTCCAGCCATCAACACAGATCGAACACACGCTGAACCCTCGGTTCGACGCATTGGACGAAATTACTCTCAAGGAGGATATGTTCTTTGAGATAAGGAAGGGCAAGAGCTACCATGATTACCTGATCAAACATAAGACTAATGCAACCCTAGCCCTTAAGGAGTTCACGGATGTTGAAAAGGTGCTCACAAAGGTAGGTGGTACATACACTTGCTACTGCGAGCACGTCGCTGACCCGCTGTAGCTCGTCATCGTACCGCAGAGGGTATCGATTTATGAGTCTGAACTAGCAATCAATCATGTCCTCATGATCAAGTCATTTATCGCCGCTATACCACCCTTACATCAGTCGCTTGGATCTGCCCGATCAGACTTACTCCAGAGAATCCGTGAAGTTTGTAGGCCCGAACTGATTCAGCCCATTCATGACTTGATTGAAACCACCATCAACGACGATGTGACGTACACCAACTCGCCAATTGACCTGCGTCATCAAAGAACTTATGCTGTAAAGGTATGGTCTCAAAAGTTTGGCACTCAGAAACATCTGCTGATCATTTTACTTGATAGACTGGTGTTCATGGGATGTTAGACGTCGCTCGACAAACATATAAGGAAGGTGTGGACGATGTCCATGAACACGTCGAAAGCATCAACGGTATAATATCGTGAAACTAAACTTGGGAACAAAGCTGACTAATTGATCATGCAGGCGAGTTCGAGATGACATTTGAGGTGAAGTACGACAGGAACCGAAAGTATTACATACGCCTCAGAGAATCTGAGCTCGAGGGTTGCGAAACACCCCATGTTCTCATTAACCAGGTGCGAAGGAGTGGATGGCTTGAATGCCAAACGCTCGGTCTTGTTCAGTTAAATAACCGAATCACAGACTCCCATAACGAGACAGTGATGCTGAGCGACAGAGTCATTAATAAACTCCTCGATGGTATCCGCGGCCACATTGCTAACCTCTTCCGCATCTGCGAAGGGATCGCGCTTGTTGATATGCTCACAGCGTTTGGTCACACAGTCACATCAAGAGACTACACCAGGCCTGAATTTGGAGACACAATGGCTCTCAAGGCTGCTCGCCACCCTATCTCAGAGCTGGTAAACAGGAATGTCAACGTTCCTAGCAAATCATTGAGCTGACAGTGTAACATTGTAGATGATGCAGGGACGGTTCGTTCCTAACGACATTTACGCGAATGAAGACCACCGCTTCCAAATTATCACTGGGTGCAATATGAGCGGCAAGAGCACTTATATCAGGATGGTCTCTCTGCTACAAGTTATGGCTCAGATTGGTTGCTTTGTCCCAGCTGAATACGCTGCATTCCCCATCATTCACCAAGTACTTGTGCGCATGTCAACAGATGATAGTATCGAAGCAAATCTTTCGACATTTTCAACTGAGATGAGAGATATGGCATTCATATTACGAAACATCAACGGGAGAAGTTTGGTGATGATTGATGAGCTTGGTCGTGGAACAAGTACAAGAGATGGACTTGCAATTGCCTTAGCCATCTCCGAGGCTTTAATTCAAAGCAATTCCTTGGTCTGGTTCGCAACTCACTTTCATCAGTTAGGTACATATCTCCTGGGATGTGTTATGAAATTCTTCTACATGCTCGATGCTGATAGTATAAACAGCTAAAGTCCTGGGTAGTCGGCCTGGCGTCCTCAATCTACATCTCGACACAGACATATCAAATGGCGACCAAGGAGAAACACCAAAGATGACTATGCTGTACAAGATCAGCTCTGGCCCGGTTGAAGCAGAGCACTATGGCATCAATCTTGCGAAAGTCATAGGATTCCCAGATGATATTTTGCAAATTGCTGAAAATGCATCTAAGGAATTGAAACGTCAAATTGAGCTGAAGAAACGAGATTCTCAGCATCAGATGTTGGGCCACCGGAGAGCACTTATACTGCATCTTTACGAAACGCTCAGGCAGATGGAAGGAGGCGATATGGATGACGTCGTTTTGGGAGTGTACCTAAAGAATTTGCAGGACGAATTTACAACAAGAATGGACGACATCGAGAGTGGTCGTGGTAGTCAAGAGACGCACGTGGAAATAAGTGGTAACGGATGTCGTTATTGATGTGACTGATGGCACGGAATCCACAACATCGGGAAGTTGAACAGTTGGTGAATCGTCGTTGTCCAACATTGCTTCAGCTCTAGCTTTGGCTCCAAAAGATGAGAGAAATTCATGGTATGATATCAGAAGCCAACCTTTGTCATCCAATTCAGATGTGTTGGTCAATCATGCCTCTGCTAAGAAAAATTGAAATCACGATGCTGGATTTGGCAACGCTCGTTATTCTCTTTTCTTCTTTTTCTTCTAGTTGACATACAAGAGTACAACGTAGTGAGGAATTAAACAAAACGCCTCAACGATTCAGTACATCATATCAAGTGGCAGAGTGTTTCTAAGAGCCTGTGTGATGCTAAGTCGTATTCAATGATCTGGTGTAAGCTGAACGAACAGGTTGATCTGGAGACATCCCGAACGGGCTTCAGCATTTTTGAACAGTCTCAGATTCGTCAATAATGTATTTACGCAGAATGTTGATTATGATTATCTATCTCAACTTGCTTTCGACGGAAGCCTATTCGAGTAATTACTAAGTCTACAATGCCTTAACCCAAATGCTCTCCGGAGCAGTGATCGTGGCCCGTGCCTAATCACGAGAGATCTGCCGATTGGAGAACAGCCATGGATTCACAAACATATAATTACGAACGATGCAGTAAGCTAGATTAGATTATATAGTCCTAGTATTATGCATGTGCGCGGTAAGGATAGGTCGCCATTCTATTCCCTAGAAATGTGAACTATGTAGTACGGAGATCAATTAGTTATGCTTTTAGGACCAGCGATCCGTGGGGAGGGACAAGGTGTATCGGTATGCTGATACCATGTTCCAAAGTGCATGAAGTTGTTCAACACGAATTCACATATCTTTCGGGAGGAGGCGTAGTCAGCATCAAACATCGTGGTTCCGTTGCCACCGAATCGGCCGACCATTGTGGAAAACATGAAGGGGCTATCTGGCCCACTGGTGGACCAGTTGTGCAAGGCTCAAGACCCTCGTCTAGCATGAAATCGAGCGGGATGTTGTTGCCCAAAGTTATGCACCAAGATACGACCTAGAAACTAGGCTGGCACCGGTCTGAGCGGCAAATGTAACAATTAGCAACATCCATTGGTTCACGTGGTTGTGGTCACCGGGAAGGGAGGCTTAGTTGCAATGGCAACATGCGGGCTAATGGGGGTGGGGGCTTTGCTTTCCGATTAACTTCAGCGACATCAGAGTTTATGCAGCCGGAAGAGGTAAGACGAAGGTATCACGAAGAACAACTATTGGAAACGTGTTAGTTGCAAGGACCCGACACGAAGCGTGTGGTGATCTCCCGGCCACACTTTGATGGTCATCTGTTGCCAGGAATAGGACATGGCCATATGTTTGAGAAATCCCGGAAGAGTTTCGGTCGTATCACAACCGTTGAGTGATCGTGGCACCACGTATGATCCTACTGCGTAATCAGATCGATGTTGCTTGGACATGGTGAAGCGATAGATCAGATTCGCCTGCATATGTACATGCAGTTCGGGACTACTGCAAGCACAGCCTGGGATTGGAGAAGCATGAGGTATTCGAGACCGTTCTGCGGTATTTCCAGGAATGGAAACACGTCTTTCATTGGCTGCATTTGGAAGAGGAAGATATGTTGACGAGATCCCATTGTCAGGAGTATTAGGATCACTAGCCGCCGTAATGCACTCCAGAAAGCGAATTGCAGGATCCACTATGGTATTATGTATGTAGACCTCTCTAGACAGTTCAAAAGCATTGTGGGGTGGTCAAACGGCCCGTTCCTACTGACGTTTTCGGGGCCATCTGGTTGAATCGGAGAAATGGCTGATAACTCTTAAGCTCCAATGATGTTGTGCCATCACCTCAGTGAGGCGAAGTTCCACTAGGATATTACCCGACGGATTCATGTATTCCTAGAGGATTCGTTGATGTCGATATCGACGTCACCGTATTCCCTTTGAAGATGTTGGGTCAAAGCAACTATCTATTTTGTTGGTGTTGAGATGTTGGTGGGATTTGCAACTTGATGGTTGCTGATATTCGGGACTTCTCGGGGCTTCGCCAGGAGATTGCCATGGGGGATTGCCAGCCGCCGAACCTGCAAGGTGCATGTGAATGTGATTGTGAGAAGAAAAAAATGTAACATTAACCATATGTCTACCATGTGCGCGATTTCTTGCAACACTATTACGGGTGGTGAGACATGAGATAGAGTTGCCGGCTTGCCTTATTACCGTTCGAATAGTACAACACGGGGTCGTGCCATCATTCATGACTGGCTGATTCACTCTGCCGTACCCTTGGGCATGCCCACAGGTTCGTGTAACCGATAATGGACCAGTCAGGTAGGAAACCCCACAAAGAATGAGATACTGGCGACGCTTCAACGACAAACAAGGCGCGCAGTGCAATGAAGTGCCTGAATACATGCATCCTAGTACAAGTAGACTTTTGCAGTCATGGCTAGGAGGTGTGGCTACGGAGCCGAGACCATTCAAGATCCAGTCGATTGGAGCCGCTTGGCGCGTTAGACTTCTGAATGACAGATGGTCTGAAAATTTAATCAAGGCACATTTGTACTGTGTACTGTAGTAGTCCGGTCTACTAAAAATGTTTCCTTCAAATCTTAGGGCCAAAGCTACCCCTCCCCCGCCATAAGCTCTTCTTTTGGCTGCCAGCAAATCTCGTCCATTGGAGGTGTCTTCGTCAGAAACCATTAGGCTGGTATGAGGTTTCATCTCCCCAATAGCATCAACAAGTTTTCGGAGGCCACAAGCTTGTATCATACCTTCCGCTTGAAATGGTCCGGAAGACGAGGGCGTGTCGTGCATTATCGGTTTGCTAAAATGTTGCACGAATGACGCGACTTCATGAGCAACAGGTGTCGGAATTGGGATAATTATAACCAGAACGCGCTGGCCCCAGTCAGCGCCTATATTACACAGGCCTCACGTCATCCATCTCTCGACCATCGGCCGCCCTGGGCGTTCCGGGGCTCACGCAGCTTACAGAAAACCATGATACCCAAGAAGTGCTGTGTCGCGAAATCCAATACGTAATAGTAAGACAACCACGACGGTCTCGAATGTAGTCTTGACAATAATTCCCCGATAAATGCAAAAGTAATGTACTAGACTTCCTACTGTAGTATTAGAGAGGCCGCCCGATCGATGCAAATGCTATCAACGCTCAATGGAACAAGTGTACCACGCTAATCAATAGTACCAAGTACCTTCTCCAAGTAGGTATGCAGAGGACGACGGTCTATGCCATTCACGCATTATAATTTGAAGCTAAACTTTATAGGGCTCACACGTGTACCATGGTGGAAACAATGAGAAGTATCGAGTAATCAACTTCTGCAAGATCACAGACTAGTCAGCTTGTGAGGTTACTTTGGCTTTGAAGTCAAAGCAAGAGGATGTTCCAATCCGAGCATGGCAGGTATAGTCGTGTTGTACCTGACGGTTGATCAACCACGAATCACTAATGACCCTCGGAATGGAGGGACTAGCCGACAGCTATGTGTGATAACGGCTTTGTCGAGCAGTCAGGCTCAACAAGCTTGCTGGTGGATATAGATCGGAAAAATCGAATGTTGACTCGGGCCAACGGCTCGTAGAAATGATGTGGAAAAGACTCGATGAAGCTCTGCAACCTGCGTGGCTTGGAGCTACCCATGCGATTATGTGAGTTGCAGCCAATGGTCACTGACGTGCCAGCGAGCTGGGAAAACAAGAAGGCCCGGGATCGCGCTTGGTTGGCCCGCAAGAGCGAAGTTGCCGTTAGATCCCTGTTTAGAAACGGGACACCACGCTCTGAGCTCTGACGGCTGCACAGGATGCGTTATGTGCAACACCAAGAAGTGCCCCTGTCAATCCGGTTGGATATTCTGTAGGGTTGCCCGGAAAGTTTCGAAGATGAGGCATCCATGCTCTCTTTCATTTGGCCTCGAGCCCCAAAGCTAGATCCCTTTTTGTGACAAAAGAGCACGGGATACATTACTACTTGAACATCCCCTACCTACTCCTTGGATGTTTAGATCTTGATCGAGTCGTGAGACAAAAAGGATTGTAGCTCTCCCCAAGCCACAGACAGGCCACCAGCTCCCATCTGCTACAGTAGCATCCATCAAACTCCTCATCTATTCCCTGCATTCTTCGACACATGAGAAGACCACAGAGATTAGGTAAGCTGCAGATTATTTCCTTACAATGTTATGACGACACTGTGTTTGTGCTTCATCCCCCCTCCCGGAACAAAACCTCCAGGGCTCCTGTGCCGTGCATATACACTGGAGTTGGGAGACATTTCTATCAGGCCCACAGTCCGATGACCTCGCAAAGTTAAGATATCGAGGACTATGCAGCGGTATCTGTGTTCAAGCTCGGCAGTTGACCCACACAGCCTTTAGCGGGTATAGTCACCAGCATAGAAATTTGGAGAAGATTCGCAATCATCAGCTCAGTTCGTTCAGCAGAGCATAAGTAACGGAGGCCAAGACAGGGAAGGAGGAGGGAGAGGGAGATGGAGAGACAAAGCTAATGTCTATTCCTGTATGGTTAGAAACACAGACCTCGTCGACTGGCCTCCGCCTACCACGCCTTGAAGATCCTTTTTCAGCTCAAGCCCTGGCATCATCAGCGCTGGTTGTGGCTTGCGATTGCTGATCTGCCATTCCCTCGTCGAAAAAGCACGGCGGCGCACGCTAGAGTCCAGAGCCAAAATTAGAGCGTTTTACGTGGGACAGGGCTGACTTCTAAGTTCTCACCAAGTGAGTAATAACTAAGGTACGTAACCTACAGTACTTAGCAAACACGCGCATGCCGTGTCGTTGCTCAGGGCCCTTGCTGTCCTTGCCTGCCTACGTCACATCTCCATACTCTAGTTTTTTGCAAGTTGCCTATTCTGTGGAACTCGACGGCATATCATTCGACGAAGCGCCTCGATTTCTACTTTGTCTGTCCGAATGTGGATCTTTCAAGCCTTTTTTTTTTCTTGCAGGCTTTCGTTATTTTGACATCAGAAACATTACCCTAGACAAGCAAAGCTTCAACGGCAGGAGCTAACCCAATATTCTATCCTCTACAGAGTCACAGTCGTCTGCACATAACTTTTGGCACCACACTCGCAACTCCGTTCTTGCACACACAACCCATTTGGAGTCCATTTACTTGCATTCCAGTCGCATACGTTATCCCGCAGGCCCAGTTACTTGAACAGAGTCTGTTATTTGCGACATAGCTTTCCCATATTCAGAAGAAAGGGAACAGAAGAAAAGAAAGAAAAGGCATAACCCCCCGATTGAGATCAAACCCCGCCCATTTTCGAACAAGTGGTGGTTCGTCACCCAACTGCACTACACTGCTCTGCACAGCTGCCAGCACCCAAGAGACCCGGACAGATGATTCGTAGTTGTTAGCATACAACTGCATTCACAACTCTTCCGCATACATATTGTGGTCTCTTCTTGTCGATCCCCTGTTCTCGAAAAACGCTTGACAAGAGGTTCCTCTCCAGAGACTGCCCGCCATGACGGTCTTCCTTGCTTCGCTGTAAGTGGATAATGCAATGCGGTTTTTTATGGGCGTTCCTTGGGGGCCTTTCCAGGTATCGTACCGGGCTACCAGATACGGTGCAGGGCTCCCGATTAGAAGCAAGCGGAAGCACTAGAGTTCTAAGCCTTGGCTGCAACATGTTCGCTAACAGTTTGGTCCTCCACCATTAGCTTTCTACCGAAGACGGTTTATTTCAAGCTGCCCGATGCTCCAACGAAATCTTCGTCCAATGGCGGACGGCTTGCTCGACAACCTACCGCAAAAACATTGAACACCAAGGCCACCGCCAAACCAGGCAATGCGCGACCAGTTCTCGATACCCGGCCGAGTCTATTCGCGCCACACCCAGCCAACACTCCACCCCGCACGCCAACAGATGATGAAGCTGTCATTTCCGACGACGGGCTATTTGTGAACGAAGACGGTGTCCGTATCCATGTCTTGGACGATGAGAACAGCACAAACTTTGGCCCAACCGACAAGGAATCTCCTCAATGGGGTGCCCGCCAGAACCAGCCCAAGTCGAGAGCCAGCTCCCCTCCGCCAGCGTCGTTGCTCGAGCACTCCCGGACCCTGCAGAAGGCCAAGGAGCTTGGTCGTCAGGGTGTCGTCCAGCCGCGCGCACAGAGAAGCGATAGCCATGATAGAGTCTTCGCCAATGCTAACTGGCGTATCGTGACCTCGGATCAGGGAAATGGCGGTCTGCGCAATGCCGCCGACGCTGCCTATCGCGATGGTTATGATGCTGACTACACCTGGGTCGGCACGCTAGGCATGCCTGTGGATGCCCTGGAGGCGACGCAGCAAAAGGAGGACATCCACGACCGGTTGTTTGCCGAGTACAACATGTTGACTGTCTTCCCGTCCGACAAGGACTTTGATGGTCACTACACCCATTTCTGCAAGCAAATCCTCTGGCCAGTTTTCCACTATCAAATTCCCGACAACCCAAAAAGCAAGGCATATGAAGACCATTCCTGGAAATTCTATGTCAACCTCAACCAGGCCTTTGCTGATAAGATCATCAAGAACTGGAAGCGCGGCGATACCGTCTGGGTTCATGACTACCACTTGCTGTTGGTCCCAGGCATGGTCCGTCAGAAGATACCGGATGCTAAGATTGGTCTGTTCTTGCACGTTGCATTCCCGTCATCGGAGGTCTTTAGGTGCTTGGCTGTGCGCAAGGAGCTCCTTGAAGGCATGCTGGGCGCCAATCTCATTGGCTTCCAAATTCCCGAATACACTCGCCACTTCTTGCAGACGTGCAGCCGGCTCCTGAAGAACGTCGAGGCAACTCCACAAGGTATCCAGCTTGACGACCGCTTCGTCAATGTCATGAACCACGCTATTGGTATTGACCCAGTCAGTCTTAATCTGCATCGTCAAGAAGCCGAGGTTAAGAAGTGGATCGATGTCATGAAGGACCGCTACAAGGACAAGAAGCTTATAGTTGCTCGCGACAAGCTCGACCATGTTCGAGGCGTTCGCCAGAAGCTGTTGTCCTACGAACTCTTCCTCAACAAGAACCCGCAATGGAGAGACAAGGTTGTCCTCATTCAAGTTGCCCTCTCCACGAGTGAGAAAACCGACCTTGATGCAGCTGTCGGCGACATCGTCACTCGGGTCAATTCAGCTCATGCCAATCTGGCCTATCAGCCATTGGTCTATCTCAAGCAGGACATACCGTACTCCCAATACCTGGCTCTTCTGACCATCGCTGATGCGGTCATGATTACAAGCCAGCGTGAAGGCATGAACTTGACCTCGCACGAATTCCTGGTATGCCAAGACGGCAAGATTGATGAGAAGAAACATGGCTCTTTGATTTTATCGGAATTCACAGGCACCTCGTCGCTCTTCGGTGGGAACGAGCTTACAATCAACCCCTGGAGCTACCGACAATGCTCAGAAGCCATCCAGAAGGCCTTGGAGATGTCGGACGAAGAAAAGGCCACGCGATGGGGCAAGCTTTATAGTGCCGTGGAGCACCACACTGGTGGTCACTGGTTTACCGAGTTCCTCACGCAGCTCGATCGCGTCTATGACGACCAGAATGATCACGCCCAGACCTCTATTCCTCGTCTTAATTTGATAAAGCTCGATGCTGCTTTCACCCGCAGTCAGCGTCGCCTTTTCTTCCTGGATCTCGAAGGCACATTGATCCCTAACAACCCGATGAGTTCGATGATTCCCATGAATCCTCAGGTATGTCAACATACGTGACTCCTTACACCACCTCTATATAAACTGACCATCGCTTCAGCGCACACTCTCTGTGCTCAATGACTTGGTGGAAGACCCTCGTAACATGGTTTACGTCATGTCGGCGAAGCGACCACAGGAGATGGACCGCCTCTTCCGCCTGGTACCCAATCTTGGTCTCGTTGCTGAGAACGGCTGTTTCGTCAAGAATGCTGGTGCCAACTACTGGGCCGAGTTGGCCGATCGTAATGCGGTTGCCGCCTGGAAAGAATCCGTAAAATCCATTTTGAACTACTACTTGGAACGCACACCTGGCGCGGTGATCGAAGAACGGCACTGTTCACTCATCTTCCACTACAAGGATGCCGATGACTTTGCCATGGCAGAGCGCCAAGCCAGCGATTGGACTGGTCACATCAATGAGTCCTGCGACGAACAACGGGTTCATGCTACACAACTTGAAAACTCCGTGGTTGTTGAGTCCATTGACTGGGACAAGCACACTGCTGCGGTAGAGGTCTATAAAGAACACATTGAGAACGCGCCGTATGCCGACAAGGCTGGTCCTATTGACTTCCTAATGGTCATTGGTGATGGTCGCGAGGATGAAAAGGTTTTCAAGTGGGCCAACGAACTAGGCCAACAAAAGGCTGTGGAAAAGGTTGTCACGGTAGGCTTAAGCAGTCGCAACACCGAGGCAACTGCTACATTGACTCAAGGTGTTACTGGCGTCCTTGTCACTTTGCAGAAGCTGGCTAGTCATTCCTAGTCGACATGGTACCTAATGATATTATGCTGTTGAGCACATCTTGCATGCGCTCACTTGTCAAATGTGACAACGGATGTTACGATAAGGTTTTGTATCAGTATGGGAGGCTTCGGCCAGGCGTTAAGCGGTGGATGACGAGTCGCAATTCAAGAGTTATGATGGCATGGTTAAAGCATTCAGAGATATCACGCATGACTAGACCGAGAAGCAACTGGGTTCCTTTTTTTTTTTTTTCCTCTTTTTTTTCACTTTTTCTTCCGATCAAAGAACATTTCCGGCGGATTTCCTGACTATTAACTACGGGAAACTTTCAGCTTCCAAGAATATTAGATCACCTGTAGCAGGTCTGGAATGATACGTTCCTGTATAACACCGTGTGTCAACCTGTTTTCAACGACGCAGTAACTATCATTACATATTTTGGTCTTTTATTTTTTATTTTAAAGAGAATCTCATGTGAGGGATATGACGCACGTGACATCGTGCAAATGTGCTAAATTGGATGGTGAATCAATACATTTCTACTGCTTTACTACCTTGATGCATATGCCCGATGTGGTCTGTATTCACGAAATGGCAATTATGTACGGTAAGGAATGTGTCTTAATGAAAGAAGTGATTGAGACCATGACCATCATTAATTCTCGTGATTTCGCCCATTGAACGTAAGCAAAACATTGGTTAAAAATGACATCAAAGCAGATAAAATGTAATACGGCTTTCGAGTTCACCCTCGCCGGTACGTGTGACAAGCCGGCCGCGGATCGGTGGCCAGGAAGCGCGAAGCACCGACAAGGGTGGCTCCACTGTAGCAACCGGCTCTGATTGGTCCGAGGCGAAAGGCAGATTTACCAGCACTACCAACCGCCCTCGCAGTCAATCGCTGAAGATGCTCGCGATGCCGTGCTTATAGGGGGTCTGCTTTACGATGGACTAAACAAGGCGAGTCACGACAATCAAACGGTGACACGACAGCTTGGCTGAGCCGAGCTGAGTTTGTGCTGGCGTAATGCGAACTTTTCATAGGCAAATCGTAATAAGCCTCACAACATATAAAAGCAGACAGCCTTGGTGGAGGTCTGATGTTGGTTTGCTGTGACCATTCATTAACACGGACAAGAATCAATACAATCCCAACCACGAACTTAGTCGAAAATCGACTACGGACATCGATTTCATAATTATAATCACAACAACCAGTCTGGGATTCTTTTACATCACTACAGATCTCACAATGACGTCTGCCATGGACATCCCCGTTCTTATTGTTGGCGGAGGACCCACTGGTCAAGCGCTCGCTTTAGAGCTCTCAGCCCAGAAGATATCCTACAGGATCATCATGAAGGATGCGCAACGCTCTCCATACAGCCGAGCTCTCGTGGTCCAGCCCCGGACACAAGAGCTGCTTAATCGACATGGCGACGTGCGCGAGCTCCTCTCCACTGGGTTTCAGGCGCGCGGAACCACCATGGCGGTGAATGGAAAGCGGATTGCCGACATGGACGCAGACTTCAATGGCATCACAACCACCCGGTTTCCTGGGCCCATGGCTATCTCGCAAGCGCAGACGGAGAAATATATGGACGACCAGCTTAAAAAGTATGGCAAGGCTGTCGAGATGGGTATCGAGGCTACGAGCATCACGCCCGACGCGGATGGCGCAACAGTGATCCTTGTCTCCCAGGATGGAAATGAGGAGGTCATTCGTGCAAGGTACGTGGTCGGCGCTGATGGAGCCCATAGCGCCGTCCGACATGCCGCCAAGACCTTGACCTTTGAGGGAGACGCATATCCGCAGGAGTTTATTTTGGCGGACGTGAAGATCAAATCAGACCAGCCGGCCGACCGAGCTTATTTCTGCCTATCGACAGGTGTATGTGTCGTTCTACCGCAGCAAGACGGACTAGCACGTCTGATCGTGTCGCGCCCCGACCAACCACGTGAACAAGACCTGACCCTTGAGGACTTCCAACAATTCTTGGATAAAGTGTATCCAGGACATGCTGAGATCTACGATCCGGTCTGGATCACATCGTTCCATCTGCATCACCGCATAGTTAGCAACTACCGCGAGGGCCGCCTCCTACTTGCCGGCGACGCCGCCCATATCCACTCCCCTGCCGGTGGTCAGGGGATGAACACCGGAATCCAGGACGCCGTGAACCTGGGCTGGAAGCTGGCGGCGGTCCTGCGCGGCGAGAAGCCGGACTCATTCCTCGACACCTATGACGCCGAGCGCAGACGCGTGGGTCAGTACCTGCTGCAGAACAGCGACAGGCTTTTCAGCTTCATGACGTCCACAAACACGTGGTTCCTATGGCTTCGCAACCTCATCCTGCCCTGGGTCTTGCCATGGGCAGTCAGCAGTCCCCAGCGGGTCCTGAAGAACTTGACCTTCATGACCCAGTTTCGCATCCGCTACCGGAACAGCCCCATCGTCGGTACAGCGCCGGGCTTTGACGGGCCCGTCAAGGGTGGCTACCGTGCTGTCGAAGGCAGGCTCAGAGGCCCCGAGGGCCAGGAGAAGTACCTGCAGGACCTGCTGACACCTGAGAGTCATCACCTGGTGCTCTTCTCCGGCACGGGCCCTGGTGCTGCCAGCGAGGGCGATCTGCACCGCGCGGAAGGCGCCTTTCTGGAGTCAACCCACACGCGAACCAAGGTGCACACCATTGTTGGCGACGGGCAGCATGGCGGGCAATTGGGGTGGCGGGATGTTGATGGCGCTACTCATAGAGATTATGGGTTCCAGAGACCGGGTTACGCCCTGGTGAGGCCAGACAGCTACGTAGCTCATATTGGACCGCTGTCGTCGTTGAACGAGCTCATTGCTTGGTTAGGATGATTTTCTGGCCTGGACGGGGGGAGTCTAAGGTTTGGAGTTTGGCGTCATAATCTCTCATCTCAAAATATGTAACATGTATATGGCGATGTTTTATGAATGCATCAATCCGTTCTGAATATATTGGAAAAGTTTTATGTCCTTTGGTACCCTGACAGTCCTTCTGCAATGCACTGCTCTGTCTTGGCTGCTTCTCGCTTAGGCAGGCCACATCCTAAGACACAACGTCGGACCACGGTTGGCCGCAAGTGACCAAATTCGAACAATACCAGACAACGGCATTTGACCTCGACACAAACGTTGAATCACGGTTGGCTTCCTTGGAAAGAAATTACCTAATTTTTGTTCTTCGTGGATAAATAACATCATGGCCAGGATTTAGTGTCGGGCTTCCAGTTCCGTAAACCCCAAACCGGCAGGGTTACGCGTCACCAGTCGAGTGTTTTTTCGGAGGAGAATCAATCATCGTTTAGGAACTCAGCATGCATGTTGCGGAGAACTGACCAAACTCAGACGTATCATATGGCCTGGCGCTGGGATCCAGAGGCTTTGATTTCAACTATTGCAGCGATGTCGTTCTCGGCGCACCCTGTTGTCGTACCATGAGCATTTGCAACAATCACCCAGCAGCACTTCCACGAATTCCTGGGGTATGTCAGGAGAAACAATCATGGGCGTATCCTGTATGATACTCCAAAAGCTTAGGCGTAGCGACAGGCATAACTTATAATGGCCATTTTGCTGAAGAAAAGAAGAAAGAAAAAGTAAACAGAGCAAAGTTATTTGCACCGCAATAGTCCCTCTCCTCTTCTACTCCACCAGTGGCACTAGTATTATGGCGCTAAATTGTATGCCCATATGGACACTCAAACAGCGTATATTTCTCTTCCTGATTATCGGACTTCTTCTCGTTCTAAGCTCTCATTACGCCAGTAAGGTACCATCATCTCTCCTAACGTTGTCATCTCCAACCATCATAACCCAACCGGCGCATCAAATCTCCCTGCAGACAATAGACCTTTCATCACCCTCCTCGCCCTTCATCGCCTGGCCGCTCGCCCGCGTCTGTGCTGAGGCGACGTTCGTGCCGGGCCTGGTGTTCATATGCGACAACAACAGCGGTGGGCCGGGCAATATCCGGAACTACATCCTGACGTGCCTGCGGTATGCCATCGAGGCCGGGTCCACCTCCCTCGTCCTGCCCCGCATCCGCTCCCGGTCTGTAACGGACTTGTCCAACATCCACGTCGGGTACCAGGGCTTTGGGTACATGTTCGACGCGGCGCACTTCCGGCGGGGCCTCGCATCGGGCTGTCCTCAGATCGACGTATACGGCCGGGTCGAGGACGTGCCGCACGTGCTGGAAAAGGTGGAGCGGGAGGGTCTGTACGATGTCGAGAAGATGATCGAGCGGATCACGCCGAGGCAGGATTATGGAAATCGGGTGGGCTGTGACCAGAGAGACTTGAACAGGCATACGGATCGGTTCGGGGCGCGGTTTCGGGACTGGCTGAACTCATCGGTGCTAGAACGAGGGATGCCGGAGATTTCTGTGCAGAGTCCCAGGCTGATAAGATTGAATTGGGGCGTGCTGTTCGACTGGGAGGTTCTGAGGGATGGGCCAGAATTTGTGGCGACGTTTGGTGGGTTGTTGCGATTTAACGATGAACTGCTGCAGCTCGGACAAGCTGTCACCAGAGCTTTGAGAACTGAGGCGTCCTTTGTGGAAGGGTCACAGAGCGGACAAGAGAAAAATAGGTTCTTGGGAGTCCACTTGAGGACGGAAGCAGATGCGTTGAAACAATGGCCGAGTTTTGAAGTGCAAGTGGCCGGATACGTGAAGGAGTCTCAACGACTGGGTTTCCAGGGTGGCATTGCATATCTTGCATCTGGCAGTGAGGCAGAAGCCATCAAGTTCAAAGACTTTGCCCAGTCCGAGATGCAACTTCAAGTCCGAACGAAGCATGACCTACTCGAAGTTCGTGACCTCGAGAAGTTACAGAAACTCAGCTGGGATCAACAGGCTGTGGTCGATTTCCAAGTCTTGCTGGCGGCAAACTACTTCGTTGGCGTTAGTCCAAGTAGTTTTAGTGTCAATGTTGCGTTGAAACGGCATCTGCACACCACTAATTTACGTACCAGGCCTTGGAAAGTCGGCGGTAAAGGCGATGGACAAAGTTGGCTCGTGGGCACATATGACAATTATTGGGACGATTGGTTGTTCATGTACGATGGGATGTGGCCATGACAGCGGACCATTCACATGGAACGAATAGTAGATAGCAGATAAATACCAAGTCATTGCGCGTAGATTGTCGCAACTTTTATAGGATAACAGTGTTCGATAGTGACTTTTCTGTAAATTGTGCTGCATGGGTATCATCAATCTGCGTCCTTATTTCTTGCCACGTATGTACAGTTTCGTGGCACTCGCTATACGTTGTCGTCACCGTTGTCTCTCCAAATATGGGTATCTCCTAAACTAAAAGAACTTGAATTTGACTCACTTCGAGGAGGGCCAGGAAGACCAGCCCCGTTTTCGCCAGATGGTACCGAAGGGGTGGTATCTCCACTTTCTTCTTGATTGTCTGGATCGTCACTGTATGGGACCTGCATTGACTCTGTTACCGAAAGCGGCGGGGGTGGATCCTTATATATCCATGGCTGCTCAAGTGGAGCCACGAGGTTTGGGTTGACGAATAGCATCCCTTTCTCCTTGTCTTCGTCAACTGTGCTCATACGGCGCGTCAGACGCATCTGACTAGGCTGCTGTGCCTGATCCCGACCGGGGTTGCCTTCTGCACTGGGATCGACGTCCCGTTTGATGCTTCGCAGTGAGATGAAGAGAGTGAGAGGCGTATATCGTTGGCTGAAGTAGTAGGCAAACCATACAGTCAATATAAGAAGCGGAGCCACCAGGGCCGCGCCATAAAGAGCACCTTGTAACAACAGGATGCCGCCCATTACCACCTCGAAAATACACAACCCAAATATGAGCCGGTAGGAGATGATACGCCAAGCGCCACCAGTAGCATGCTGAGGCTGGTCCATGGAATAAAGGAGCTGATACTTATGGGCATAGTAGCCAAGCGTAAAATAGCAAAGACCGAGGAGCAGAACTAGTTGGCAATTCGGAAGAACGCTGTAGACAAGACACAAGATAAAGACGAGCAGAGACGTAGGCAAGTAGAAGCCATAGTTGAAGAGCGTGGGCTGGACGATTTCTGCGAAGTCTCGAGGTGTCTTGGCTCCCCACCTGTAGATTGGATAGAGCGAAACACTACCAAACTGCAGGAGCCTGAACGGAAACAAACCGATTCCCTGAAGCATAATGAAGTTGAGGTAGAAATTGCTCAGTCTCGTAATCGACCGTGCCAGGGTAACGGCAATGTATTGCGTGTCGTTGAACGATTCGCGCAGTACTGGCCAGATTTGAGATGTGGAGCCACCCACAGTAAACACCAGGAAAACATTGAAAAAGGTAAAGAAGAAGTTCTTAGATACCACGGAGAGCTCAACGTCGCCCTGTGATACCATACCCTGTTGATTGGCGAGATAATCGTAGAGATACGGCACCAGAACATTTAACAATGACACGACGCCTACAGGCAATGCAGTTTGTACGAGTGCCTTTGTGATCTCGTGTCGCAACAGAAATTCCTCCAGACTCGGAGACAGCTTCCTGATGGTGCAAACACTGACAAACCCAGCCACGGAAGCGACTGGAATAATCCATATGATGGAGAGCACTGTAATGAAAATCGTAACAGTCCATGCTTGCAACCTGCGCCTCCACATTGGAGCGTAGGTGTTCTTCCAGACCACGTCGGATGGCGCTGGCGCCGGCTTTGACAGAAATTGTCCGGGTCGAGGATCGATGACTGCTTGAATGGCCATCTGGCAAGCTGCGATGGAATCCATGGTGACAAAAGCAGTGGCTGCTGGGGTGTATTGTTTTCTTCTTGCCGCATGTACCTTCTCATCCAAACGATGCAGCTGTTCCTCGTAATAGTCGATTGCATCGGTCTGGCGACTCCGAAACTTGAAGAAGCCAAACCTAATGCGAGTCGTGGGTCGCGGTCGTCCTGGGGCCAGATTGCGAAGGCTATCTCCAGCCAAGAGAGAGTTGTTTTCATGCGCTTCGTGCTCATCGCTGTAAGTGCCCAGGCCAGAGTCCTCGCCGTTGTACCGCGAACGTGCCACGCCAATAGTTGGCTTTTTGTTCATATACACACTCCAGGCCTCTTCCAGTTTCCGCAAGACAGCATTCCTTTCGGCCATCAGACCATCGACTTCGGCCCAGTCGCGGCACAGTGTAACGGATTTGACTCTTCCAATCTCCAAATTCTCGACGAACTCTTTAATCTTGGCTTCAGACCTCAGATCTTTCGGGATACCTGTCAATCTGAACGTCCGGTCCGTAATCGTAGACTGGGTGCCCAAGTAGTCCTGGCGGACCTTGATGATCTTGTATGTCTCCTTATTCAGGTAGTACATGGTGAGAAGTGCGAAGAACCAGGTAAAAGCTAGGTATGACCAGAGGTATGGTTTATTCATGTGCAGCCAGCCATCATCGTTGTGATGGTCGGCGTGTTTTAGGTCGTACACGTCGAGGGGGTATGCCCGCGAAAGCGGCTTCGGGTAAAAGTCACGGTATGGAAACAAGTCGTGTTTATGCCCATTCGAACCGCCTTTGGACGGGGCAGGTGGTTCGACGAAGGCGTTGTTGATCGGCCAGAGTACAGTCGCAGCGAAAAAGAACATGATGACGAATAACCGCATGGCCATCTTGAAGAAGCTGAGAAAGACGTAGGCGTCCAAGCCAGCCGAGGCCAAGACCTGCGCTTCGGTCACTCTGTACAAGGCCGGTATCCATCCCAGGAAGCTGTCCGGTAGCGTCGGCAGATTTACCTGGGGGTCGCTGTGTCGCTTTCGGGCGGCGTACAGAGTGGGCCATCGCGGGCGGAGGAACTGTGCATCAAGAAGTCATGAGTACTACCGCTCGTACCGAAAGGGCGATGGGGGCACACGGAAGACGTACACAAAAGAGCACGAAAGCGCTGAGGCCAAGCGAGAAGGAGATGACCAGCTGGACATAGATGTCCTTCTCGCCGGGGCGGACGGCTTCATTCCCATCGCACTCGGTTTCGTTTCTTGCCCAAGCATCCATGATGAGTTCACAATCCTGGGGGCCGGCGACCGAGTACAAATGATCGAAATGCAAGTCGTGTCGTGGGCTGCGGCGGTCGTGCTATCGGGTTAGGTGGTCAAGCTTCATTCATGGTGCTGTATCCTTGAGACGCCCAGTGAGTCTAGTTGTAGCGTCATGGCTAACAATGATGTAATTCCGCATAAGAGCATACAGGCCCATCTCGCCTTCCCCTGGCAACCTTCTGGAGTGCCAGAAGAGCTCCGTGCATGCAGCAGAACAGCAGCAAGCGGCGCTGGGGCGCTAGCACGGTTGGCTCGCATCCGCATTAATCTAAGGGTTAGTCTGAGGTTAGTCTAGGACCGCATCGTCTTCCTTACGGTATGCATTAACTTAGGAGAAGCAGGACCTCTCTTAGTTGCATAAGTATGACACAATGCGGATATTAGCCTACATTGCGAAGGCACAGGCACCATTATACGTACTTGCTAGCATAGACCCCAACACCCTGTATTACTTGTGGTTTTGCAACCGCAATAGTACAATCGTCACATTATACTCGTATGTAGTACGAACAAGCTCCAGCCGAACAGGCCCTTTAATGCTCAGGGTGGGGAACATGGTAACGCATTACAAGCTGCTTTATCTGAAGGATTAGAAGACATTATACAAATGCTACTAAGCAACGCCGCTGACGTTAATGCCTAGGGCGGAAGATACGGTAACGCATTATAGGCAGCTTTGTATAAAGGACAGGTCGAGGTGGTCAAACTACTCCTCGAGAGGGGCGCTGACGTTAAGATCGTGGATACTAAAGGATATACTCCTCTACTTAGTGCTTTAGCTGGTCGCATGCGCCACGAGCTCTGGATCAATCTGTTGTGGAAACACGAAGCTCAACGACGGAGGAAAGCGCCACCGCCCGTGAAATGCGAGCGGCGATCGGAAAGCCTGCTGCTTGACGGAAGATATTGACGGCCGGAGATTACGGCACACCTCCTAATGGGCGTCTTTCCCTGGCGTCTAAGTGAAGAGCAACCCTGGGGATGAGTCTGGAAATTGTTGTTGGACAAGTTGGATTGACTTCTGTCTCTTCTCTCGTCGGCCGTGAACAGCACGCTCCAATATACTGTTAGCGAACCCGATGGGCCATATTGCTTGACTGCCGCACTTCTTCGCTGGACATGGTCGGTTTCCCTCAATTCATTCAATCATGTCATCAGTCGTCGGATTTTCTCTGCCTCGGTGGATCCCATAGGCAGATGAGTAAATTTTAGTGCAAAGTCTGCACTGTTCTACAAGATTGGACAATAGTCCCACCCGCTCCGGAGTTGATTATAGCCTGCGGGTCCGATTAGCGCCACGAACACGTACTCACTCGAGACAAGAAATCGAGGCGAGGCTTACCATTGCTGTATTCATCGATGATATGCTCATTCGAGGTTTGACAGTTTGAAGCTTTTGTATGGCACTGATTTGACGAATGCGATTTGGCGCCCAAGGTGATGTTCTGCTTTCCTTGGTCAGGTCTTTACATTTATCCCAGAACAACCCACATTCGAACTTTTTGATTAAGGGTCCCTTCGATTGCCACGAATACTTTGGTATGACGCATAAAGCGAGATGTTGATGGAAAGTCATCGAGTTTCGCAACCTGGGGATTGACTTTGATTTTGTAGACTCCCACTTGATTGGCGTAAATCGGGTTTCAAGCATGTATATCCAATCGTTAATGACTCAAATTTTTTTATTTTTTTGTATAGGTAGAGTCACAACTAGTATGGCGTACTGTTCCTCGGGATCTCTGCATCGAGGTTTGCTTTTTTCTTTTTGGCGACAGGGCGCCGGACGCTCGTGTATAGTCTATATTGGGCCTCCGCCGTTAGTATATGCTTTAGAACATCGTCCTTTGATCGCCAAGAAATGAAACGGAGGGGAGGAAGCCTATACTGCCATGGGAGAACAAGTAGAGTGGAATAAGGCTGCATGAAACATTCAACGAAGTTCACTAGCCCCCAAAGCAAGACCACACAATATTCCGCTGACCATCTCCCTTAATAAGTAACATGTCGTAACCGGATCGATGTTGTGTAGTTTTCAGTATACCTTGCGAATAATGGATGGTCATAAAGAACAGCATAATCATGAGTGGCAAAGAGTGACAAATTTACTTGCCCATAAATTTAGCCACACCTGATCTTGCTGTGTCTTATAGCAATTTTGAGAGTGTGATGCCACAAGAACTAACCTAGTGAACTAGGAACTGGTTCATTCCGGATGACGTGTATCGTTGTGCTGTAATGCATGTATATACCAATGAGCTCAAGCATATGTGTTCAGACCGAAAGTCCTTCGCATTACATTACAGGGTACAGATGTCTTTGTGCACCTTCGCCAGCCAGATCTGATAAGCAGTGTGACCAATAAGCTTATAAGTCGATACACCGCAGCCTTAGAGGGGAGTAGTACTCGAATGCGTTGTTGTCCTCGGTTCATGCATGTTGCTTTTCATTTACGTGCGGAGAGGTATGCAAAGTTCGTCCAATCAAAGGGATCACGATTGATAGTGTGTCTTCGAAGGCGCGCTCCCAGGTCATCACGAGAAAGACGCATACCCGGTATCCGCCCGCACTAAGCCTGTAACCTTTCGTTGGAGACATTCGGCAGCATGGAGTACATGGGTAACGAACAAGCTTATACATGTGAATATCTGACGGTGTCTTTGTGTAATGATTATACTATCGGGTTGATTAGCGTCTAGGTAATACAACAGTGCTGGGGACTATACTAGCAAGTATGCTATGCGAGATGGAAGACTATATAGGTACTGAGCAAAGATGATTCACAAGTGTAGTCGTTAAAGCTTGAGCCTCACCTATGGATTGGCCGGATCGGAAACGGCCAAGTTCGTGCCTAAACGAACTAGCCCCGGGTGTTCCCACTATCCACGTTAAAATTTTCCACTTCCCTCTCAATCATGAGATTGAGAAAAAGAAATCACATACAACACCGGGGATTCCCCAGTGGTCACCCACCTGAGTACTAATCCAGCGCTTCCCAGTTTATCTAGGGCAGAGCGGACGGGATGCCGAGTTTTCTAGGAGCTATGGTCGTATGTGGCAGTTTGTGTCCATGTTATTCATCATATATTTATGAAAAAAGCTAACAGTAGAACTATGTACGATAACAAATATACATAAGTCATATTTTACGACTTGGCAAAAATTAATAAAAGGCGATTTTTTACTACTTATAAAATAAAATCGAAATCAAGCTATAGCGGCCAAAGCTCAGAGCTAGTAAGAGCTCAACCACGTAATAAGGCAAAACTACACAACTACGTATCCTCACGTGGTTCACGATGAAATCCTTTTATTCTTTTAGCGTTCGTATCTTCACACTGAATAGAATAGATAGTAAGCCATGTCTTCGTGCTCTGACAACCGTGACAAAGGCTATATAAAGTTATACGTTAATCTTCTTCATAATACAACGAAAGGAGGAATCTCTTTACCCCTTACCGAGCAATACAAAAATGGACAAATCTTATACCTCATCGCAACCTAAAACAGACCTCAAAACCCAGGACAAGCTAATGTCTATTAATAATAAGCTGGTTGAGGCTTCCAAAAGAAAAACACCGGGGACGTGGCGGCGGGCAATGCCTCCAAGCGCGAACTTCTTTTACTATGTAGGTTGGAGTCGGAATACGAATTAACGGGGCAGTGATTCAGTGTTAACGCCGCTGAGCTATTAGTATGGCAGGACGAGGCAGAAAAAATATCCACAATGCAAAAGTACTAGATCACTATTTCCATTGCTGATGCAAAAACACTAAGGAGATACCAAGCATGGAGGCAATACAACGCCGCGCTACAAATGAGACAAATCAAACCAAGAGTCAAACCAATATCACATCGAACCGCTACCAATGTTTGGAAACATTCCGATTTCATGGAGATGGAAGGACTGAGACTTGGAGGGTGATGATCTGGGAGTAAACATGTGAGTACGAGCTTGTGGCCTGATGAAAATAAAGGCATGACTGTAAAAAAAACATAATAAAATAATGCCGGAATCCAACTTTGGTCTGCTTGAAGGTCGGCCTATCGATGTTGCCACATCAATTTGTATTGATGCAAATGACGACTTACCTGGGAGACAACATCAAGCTTGAGTTATGCACTCCATCTGTACGACTTTCCACTGCTACTAGCACTGCCGATGCTACTGGTGCTGACTTCGCTCGGTCTTCGACAAGAGCCAGAGCTGGGAATGGATATAGGTGGCTGAGTACCTTCTTCCATGTAGTGTTTCCTCTGATGTTCGTCGGTGTGGCCATCGTAACTTCGACTCTCGGGAAACGGGAACTCGACCAAGCGACCGCCGACGATCCAGCTGTGTCGAACGGAATGCCCTTCACCTTTACAGATGTAGACCCCAGGGTTGATGGTACGTTTTGTAGAATAGGCCGTAACGGAGGAAGGAGTAGGTGGCGGCAGGGTACCAGTGCGGTGTGAGACATCAGACGGACTCATAGCGCAAAGGAAGCGCGAGTTCCAACTCGAAGTAATACTTTCTGTACTGCGTTTATTATCGCGGTAGGTTGAAGTACCATGAGAAGAGCCTGGGACGGCTAAAGGTGCAAGACGGAATGCCTCTCTTTTAGGTCTGCTTGTTTTTGGGATGCTGTGAGCAGTGGAAGACGCAAAACCATAGGAAAGAGGCATGATGTTATAGTCGAAGACTACTGCTCAAGGGATGCACGAAACAGTTTCTGTGAATAATAGTGTCCCTAACTAGCTTCTTGGAATGCAATGCCGAATCGATGACTTATTCACGAAGCGTGTAACGCTTGGACAGCGGGTGTCGATCTACACTTAAGCACAAAGTGCCGAAGTTTCCTACACCGTTTGTAATATGCGCCTGAAATATCCATACTCGAGCATGGACACTGAAATTCTTTGAGCGCAACAAGCGACCAACTGACTACTATTCTCACTCCAATGGCCCACCCTAGAACTAGCATCTGCCCGTCACGCAACGGAAGATAGGTTCTTTCAATGCAGCTGTGGTGAAGCATGGGGTCGACAGAACTCAGTCACCGTGTACGACAAGGTCGTTTGACTGGAATCGGTGCATGTGCAAGCACAAAGCACTCGCTTGACCAGCACAAAAGCACTGGTATCATCCTCGAGCCGTCATCCACCGAGATCATCCACATCGGTCATGCTGGTTCAAATCTCTAATGCAGGTGTCCGAAGAAAGCATAATATGGTGTCAGGGTGAGAGGCGCAAGAGGAAGGTCGGCGATAGAGCAGGTTGCTGGGAAGGAGGCCTCACGCTATGTATGAATCAGGAAATAAAGATCAACGTCGTCTTCTGCTGCATGCTGCAAGCGCCATCGTCACTGTGGGGGGAGCGAAAGTAGCTGGAGGGGGGTTTTCAAGAGCCATGCAGACTACTGTGGGCTGCTCCGTAGTCATTGTAAATTGACCAACAGCAGGTTTCGTTGGAGTCGAGGATTGCCGCAAACGGCAACCCGGGATTCGACCGGGGCAGTTCCTCATTGACTCGCGCATACCGAGCCGAATCGCGGAGCTCTTGATTGGCTCCTCAATGGATACTGAGCAGAGCCTCCACCTCGAGTTCCGAATAAAGCTTACTTAGTAGCTTCAGGGCAGGAACAGATGCGTGAAATGAAACAAGACAGTATAGACGATTGTGGGAAATCATACTCCTTATCACTATTCAAGTGTCCGAAAACGTCGTGGGTGGGGATGTCAGAGGGTCATGCTAGCATGAGGCATTTCCCCAGGACTTCCACCGCCTGTTATGAAATGACTTCGTTTCCATTTAGTCAAAGAGCGATTTCAATCCCAGCAAGTAACGATTTGCTTGTATTCTTCATCTGACAAGCTCTCCAAATGTGCAATGAGGCATTTCTTGGCGCTGATCCAGGATACAGCTGTATCACTACAACCCAGTTCTCCTCAAAGGATACTCTGGAGCAGCCAGAGCAAGTACTTCCAAGTATCGAAAACATTACGTTACCAAGAACTGGCTTTATCCGCTACACTGTGTGACCTGCACGGTTCTCAGAAGAATGTAATGCCAGGCTCGGGTATCTTGGGTATCTGCAGAAGTCGACAGACCTCCCAGAAAAGCGCGAGAGGGGTTGGAGGCCTGACAGGAGAAGCAAGATGTCGCATGAGCACAAATGGAAATCGTAAAAATGTGTCTATAATTTTTTGGCCCTGCGTGATCTTGTTAGGCATTCATTTCTCTCCAACCCAAGTATGACATCGATTTTCTTTAAGTACACCGCAAGTTCAAGTCAGAACATAGAAACATTTGACAACTTGCCATAAATCATATTGTATCAATCAAACCCTGCGGGCGAGGCGAACCGCTATTCCTTGGTTCAGCAACTACGAGAATGCTAGTCACCATCTGCGTTTCGTTGATAATTTACGAAGTGGTTGTCAACGGTCAACTCAAACGACTGTACAAACAATGGAAATCGTTCGAGCAATCAATCTCGCACAACACAACCCACGTCTCTGAACGTGACATGAGAGATACTTCGCATCCCCCGTTGCAAAGAGAACAATCATCGCAGGAATTGTGGAACGCTCACTGGACACACTGAAAATCGATTCAAAATAGCGATCGAACATGGAGTCTTATGGCTTGCTGAAATGGGGTGATATGTTGTACTCAGGAGGCAATCCTATACACATATTCTCGTATATAGTATCTTACAAGATTCAACGAGATGACTTGTGGACCATCATCCTAGATAATGATATGCTACCCGGGTTTACATTTAATTTAAGGATGAGAGAATTACATGTCCAATCGGAATTGTATTTAATCATTGCTTTGGTTATGGCAATCAACTGAAGCAATAACATGCTGTACGTGTTTTCGTCAAATGAAATGATCTTGCAATCGCTTTCTTCAGAAATCAACTGTCATTCAAACTCATGATTCAAGTACCACTTTACTGTACCTGTTTGCGAATATATATGCAAGTCTACGATCAGCTCAATCCTGCTGCCGGCCGGGATGTCTGGCATATGTTATCGTAAGGGTCAAGGGTCACTACATACCTCCCGGTAGCCCTGTCGGCTGCCAGTGGAAACCCAACTTCAGCAGGTAATATATTGAAGTAGCACGTAATGTTTGTCGAGAGCATTCCCATCTGTTGTCACGTCCTGTACAGAGCAATGTGCAGGGTTCTTTCCGAACTGTAAGTCGAAGGCGGGGTTGGTAAAAATCATGTCATCTGAAAGCATCCGTTGGCGGCACCGATGGCCAAACTAGACCGTGCGGGTTTGGGTAATCAGACCAATAGAGGCTCTGGTGAGGATTTGGGCTCCTGGGCCTGATTGAGTCCGTTATGGCTGTCTATTGGGAGGAATATGAGAATGAAGACATTGTCTTTAGGATCTAAATAAGTCAAGTATATATAAGTCTTGCAAATAGTCTTGTTCTTTCTGGGAATGATGTGATTGACCTATCATTAATCTCAATGCAATGAGATTTGCGCATGATACATCTTGACGTTCATCGTTGGGTTTGAGATAGCACTGCCCGCTGAAGAGTAGAAGAGGTTGACAGCGGGGAGGTTCAAAGACATGATCCATTGAGCGCAGGTCAACTCATCTCGAGTGCACTCATTTAGTGAGAAATAGCGATACTTTCGCTTGAGCACTATGGCCTCGAACCGGTCTAGCAACAATCCTGAAGATGAGACTGAAAATTCGTTGATCCGAACCATATCACTGCCCCTCCACCGCCTTGTACATGTCAGCCTTTGCCAAATTGCATAAGCAATACTGCTACCAGTCTCCTGGTATGTACACAGCGCTCCGTCATCCTTGACAGCCCATGTAATGATATATAATGGGGCATCTACAGCTTGTTTTGCCTACTTCGTGGTGAAGGCCCCCCATATCTAGTGTCCCTGCCAGAAACGGGACATATGCATACGACGGATTACTGGAAACGTAAACAAAGTTGCGTGTCTTTAACGGCAGCTACACTACCTTTTGGGTTCAAGCAAACTGCTCTCTAGAATGGAATTCGTATGTTACTTCAGGCATTGAGGTGACTATGAATTAATGTAAGTTTTGCATCAAGTGAAAATTCAGAAGTGACTAACAAGTTAGTGGGCACTGGGCATTAAACCCCGTCAGTGATATGCGCCCGTGTGGTCTTGAAGACCTGACCTGTTGCAAAAAGTTAAACCAATAAGGCAAATCTGGAGACGTTGCAAATTGCCATAGAGTTTGTGGGCCGTCAACTTCGACCATGATTATAATATATGCAAGAGATCAGGTGGATGATTGCACTCCACCTTCGAACACTGATACCCGCAGTGTAGCTGAAGGATCATGTTGTAAAATTGCGAGATAGCTTAAGCCATGTTCTCTTGACTACAGCATCGATGTGACGGCGTCCACCTGCCAGGGTCTGTTCAAATTCATAAAGCTCTGTCCCTTGCATGGGCGGATGCGGCTCTCTTTACAGCCCTGGGTAGGTTAGCTGTATTATAATATAATTTCAAATGACGATTCTGACTAGGTTTACGTATAATTTTTCTACCGTTACATTCGCGCTAGGTACGGTTGGGAGACCCCTTTTCGCCGTGGTTCATTTATGATATGATCAAGTATCGAATAGATCTTGAAGAAATTATCTATAACTTTCTATATAACAATTTGCGTAAGACGCTAAACTGATAGCTTCCGCCTTTGTTCCAATGTTTGAGTATATTACCATAGATTCATTTCGATCATTGTCCAGCTAATACAAATCTATGACCAGTCGTGAGAGCATCGCAAGGATAGATTGCGTGAGCTTAGCAGTATAAATTACGTGTCGAGAAACATGCCCGATATAGTGTCACAGATTAGTTTGAAAGAAAGAAATAAAAAATAGTACCAAATGGACAGTTTGAACCCCCCACATAGAGCTTAAAAGTCCCTTCCGGCACTGCGTGATCCTAGTTCCTCGCTGCACGATCAGCAAGTGTGCCACAGAATATTCAACGAGTCTAAACCAAATGGATACACCTACAAGCATATGCAAGACAAAATTTATAAATATAATTAGAACAAGAAAACTTCCGATCGTTTCCTGAGGAAGTCATTCCTGATGTTCTTTCATGGCGCTTGAAGACCCGCAGTTTCGCGTGGATATCATTTGGAAAAACAGACTGCTAGCTATAACAGATAAGACCTTGTCAAACATGTCGAAAAAAAATTACATCAAGAATTTATGTAACGCCAACCCTATGCTGCCTCTGACTCGTGCAATTTTCGTATTGCTTAGCTACTTTAAGCTGGGAATTCATGCCGGCCCGGGGGTGGTGAACCAGGGTGACTGTGGTCTCCCACCAACTCCACTGGCGCGGGCTGCACTTCCTTCTGTGGTTCACTAAAAATCATGTCAGCACTTGATGCCGTCGAGATGTTTATATGATTCTTACGTTTTCGCGCCATGAGCATCTGACCAGGGACTGGCAAAACCAGGGCTTGGGTAGCCTGCATAGGAGTTATGCGGGCTGCCGGTTTGCGACCATTGTGCAGGGGATGTGCTCCTGTATGCTTCCGAGTGTTGCCCGTACGGAGAGTCCCTATAGGTAGGCGGAGGAGGGCTTGTTGGAGGTTGATGCCCGTAGTTGGCCTCGACCATTGCCGGTGCTGTTGGATTCCCCACCGTGCTTTTGCGGTATCCCTTCTCGATGCCTCCCTTGCGGCCACAGAACCAGATGAGAGCAATGGCAATTATCAAGACCGCCGCGGCTCCAATTGCGATTCCGGCGATCGCGCCACCGGAAAGATGCGTACCTCCAGATCCAGACTCATTTGAGCCTGTGGACGTTGAGCTAGATCCAGTCGATGTGGAAGTGGGACTGGAACCTGCCGAGGTGGACGGTGTATACTCGGCGGGGAACTCTTCTCCGGGGGAAAGTTGGAACTTCACATCCGCCAGGGCCGCCTTTTGCGCATCCAGTGTCATGGTATCGTTTGGGTTAATAACTCCAACCATGTGAGCATTGATACAGCTTCCTGGTGCCGAGCTTCACCTCTGTCAGCTTCGATATACCCGAGAAGATATCTTCATACTCACCAGTAAAAGAAATATGGTTCGGTATCGTTGATTGGCAGTAGCCATTCTGGTCGCTCAGCATCAATAGTAGACACCTTCGGGCCACTGAAGAAAGTGTCGCCATTTTCAATTACATAGTCGTAAGGAACTATTGTGCCTCACGTTAATACCCTGACTCAAGAACGAGGTGGTTGAACTTCCACGAAGAGGAAATTGGGTCACGCACTGCACGGGTCTAAATAATGTGCCCTAACCACGGAATGATTTGTTGGCCAGAACACGAATTCTACACGCGAGGTTATTCTTCTATTCCTTCTTTGCAGTTTCTTTTATCACTTACTGACAGTATCGCCCGGGAGTGCAGTTACCGTATCTGGGCTGTAGTCGTGGTTTCGGCCGACAGACACGGTGTACGTCGTAGGCGCATGTGTAGTTGAAGAACTCGACCCGGTCGCTACCGAAGTAATTGACGATTGGCCGTTTGTTGTCTCGGCCGTAGTGGTCTGGCCTAAAGATAAAGGTAGGCTGGCCGTGATGGCCGCCACAAGAAATGTTGACTTCATGATGGCGATACTTGTTACAATGGCGTCACAATCAATTGTTCACCATCCTCAATTACGAGGCATCAAAAGGACGGAAAGAAGCAAAGACAGCCAGACGGAACCATTTTCTGCGGCCAGCGGGATATCATGTTTGCTCAATGTGGCGTGCGCGTTGGAGGGAGGTCTGGCCTGCATGTACATGGACTTTCTGGATGGGGGCTATGCGTGTTGAACCCAGATGCTGCTAGATCAGCAGCAAGTACCCAAGCCTTGCTTGCTTAGCACCTAACCGAAGAGTTCGGATTGGGTAACTGCCTCGATGACCACGAATGAGCTTCGGGGAATCATATGCAAAGGGTAGATCATTGATTACCATCTCCCATGGGATCCTGGCCGTTCTCCAAGGTGCGGCTGAGGCCCGGTCCAGTGGTATCATTCGATAAAGTCTCGACGGACCAGTACCCGTAAAACTGAAAGAATTCTCAAGTTTGGGGACTGGGGTGTCGCGGGCACTTTGTTGGAACTAAATCGCTGTCCCCGGACCGACTACTAATAATAGCTCTAGGTCCCATGCGGGAGTTTGCTGGTTTCTTGGTTATCCATCAAGAGGTTTGCCGTTCAAGGGCAGAACCCTGGATAGCAGTTCAAATGCGACACTGGGAAATCAAGAGGCTGCTGCCCAGGGTGTGACCATTTGGAGATGATGCTCGCCAGCAACTTGCTCAAAATTGTCAAGGCCCATTCTGCGGTCAAAGGCCGAGGCGCATCCAGAGGTCACTACAATTCCTGTGGCGGAATAGTACCACAGTATTAGCCCATGAAATTTAGCGGGGTTAAGGATTATACGCGAGCTGACATGTGGGGATTGCTGACAGTTTGGCCGGCCGCTCGTGGATGAAGCTGCTCCTCGGCAACTGCGTCCGCCAGTATTGCTACCTCGAATCTAAAACAAACAGACTCATTCTATTCCGATACTGTGACAGTCTGAACTCTGTTTTCCGCCACGATGGCCGACTGCATTGGTTGTGGAGAAACCGCCGTTCAGAACCTTAACTCTATGTCGAAAATCCATATGCAAGCCTGGAAACGCTAAAAAGAAACCATGGATACCTAACCTGCTAACGTAGTACCCTGTACATACTAGCACACGCTACCAGCCCAGTTGACCCCGACAGTCAGCACTAGAAATAGCGCATAACCTAAGGTTAGACGAAGAGGTAATCTTTTGGTGTGTCAGGAAGGCTACCAGGCAAGGCAGGCTACCCATGGAGAGAGAATGTAGAGTTGGTTGGACGGACCAAAACAATTGCTCTATTACAACGAAATCTATATGTGTAAGCATCAAATCCGAAGACCCCGAAATAGAAGCGCCATGAATCAACCTTATAATCAAGACAAGCCCTACCAAAGGTACGCACTCAGCCGCGGGTTACACGCAGTACTAATCGTATGAACATCCACTCAATCAGCACATCGGCCTGAACACCCCGACCAGTGTTTTCCCTTCAGTAAATGAAGGAATCCTCCGCACCATTGAATGCGATAAGATTCGGACTTCCCTTAGCATCTTTCACTAGTCCACCAGTAGCCAGCTTCAGTATCCGCTTCTTGACCTCCGTAGGTCCAGCAAGTCCCTCTCGAGATATGAGATAAGTCGCAAGACCAGCAATATGTGGCGCAGCTGCGATGAGTAAGCGACACATACGATCGTTTAGGGGAACCTACCGTAAAGAGTAGCAAATAATAATAGAATTGTACTCACCCATGCTCGTGCCACTCTCGATCTTGTAATCAATATCGTTGTCGAGCCAAGCACTATGGACATCGACTCCAGGAGCAAATATCGCTACGCTGCCGCCATAGTTTGAGAATGGAGCCCGGGTATCTGTGCGGTCAATAGCAGCCACGGTGATTGCGCCTGGTGATCGCGCCGGTGAGTACTTGGAAGCATCGGCATTGTCGTTGGATGCTGCGACCACCATGGTCATCCCGGCTGCATTCGCCTTCGACACCACGTCCTCCATTGGTTGGAATGCCGGTCCGCCGATTGACATGTTGACCACGGAGCGAGTAATAGATCTGCGTGCTTGTGCATCACCGACAGCTGTTCGATTTGGGACAGTTAGAAAAGTCTTTTCAAGTCCGCAAACAGCTGAAGGGTATGTAACATACCCCAGTCTACAGCGGACATGACGTTGGACCATGTTCCTGCCGCGTTCTTGTCCAGACATTTGACTGCGATCGGCACCGTCGTGTTATCGACACCCACTGAGTTGCCAGCCGCGGTGGCGCAAGTATGGGTGCCATGGCCATTCTCATCTGAATCCTGTTGATGCGGTCAACGACCCATTATTTGTTGGTGTTGACCTTGCAACATTCCATAGCTCATGGCATCGATAAACGTACAGGTGACTTATCAACGAAATTCTTGCCCCAAATCGCACGCCCGCCAAATTCATTATGGGAGATTCGGACCCCGGTGTCGAGGCAATAGAGGTATGTACGCATGGGTTTCTCAGTGATGTAATCAGGACTGCTTGCATTTCGGTGTGAAGCCCGACCCAGGCCCCAGGGTTTGTTGACAACTTCACCTTCTCTCTGCTGTAACGCCATACTGCTGGGAAGGCCGCGCTGGGCATAGACATAGCCATCTTGATAGACGGAATCGACCTGATCATTACAACGCGTCAGCGATAAGGTTTAAAATGGCTCGATTGTCTGCAGCGTCAAAATCATAGTATACCAGAGGGTTGTTCCGGATGGACTCGAGTGTCTTGTCGTCGCATTCAATGTGAAACCCATTGTATGGCACATTGTTGAAGGTATTGGTGACTCCGAGATACCCACCAGCAGCAAGACTTTTTAAGCTGTTGGCATTGATGGACTTGTAGAAGGTCTTTATCTTGGAAGCGCTCAGTTGGGGCTTCAACGCCACTATGTAGCTATTGGGAACACCATCGGCATGGTCGCGAGTGTGGAGCGGCGCCGTGGCGGCAGTCGACGACATGATGGCTGCCACGCATAGTGACAAGTATTTCATGCCGGAGATCAATTCGAAAGAAGGGGAAATCTCGATTTAATAGAGATCTCTAAGCAATAAGCTTAAAAGTCGCCAGTCTGGAGGTTCACAAGTGAAAGGAGGCTGATCGTAACGAGATGGTATATGTGACTGTATTTTGTTTGACAGTTAGTGATTGATCGATAAGCCTACTTCGCGGATATATGGGATTATATGCAAATCCTGGCGTAGCACCACGCCCTATTGGGGATCTAGGATACTTACTGTGAGCTTGATTCAACATACCCAGGCAGACCGCTGTTTGCCCGTAGCACATGTCGACGCTCCTCGTCTCCGAATCACTTTCCAAGACACAATTAGGCCACCATAAATAAGTTCAAAATTTTGCTAGCTGATAAAAGAGAACTAATCCTATTGAGGTGATCCGGCCATCTGAGTTCATGTTGTACGGTAGCTGCCCCAGCCGGACGGACCGATAAACACAAGAAGACCTTCCTTTGCCACATAATACCTTGTCTCATCGGAATATATTGTTGGAAAGGGAATAACGCCGATTGTAGGGTGATAAACTTCACATAGATGTTCCTTTGCAGGTAGTCTAGATTGAACCAGGGTTTTGATTGTGCAGCATGTTTTGGTACACTGAATCACCACTCATGACAAAAATTAAATTTGGGAGGCCTTGTCAGTATTTACATGCTGCAATGGATATGTATGGTTGCTATGTCTCCATTATCTGTGCGAACTCCTTGGGAAGCTCTCTGGGTAACGAGATTGTTTCTCATCGGGATATATTGACCCTACCCGAACCAAATGAATAGTAGAAGGCCTCCAAGCAGCTTTTAAACGAATGGACCGGACAGCAATTGAGACGGTGGAATCATGGTTCGTACCGAAAAGGTTTCGATGGGCGGTCTGTGGCGTTGGTATTTCGATAGCATTTGGAAGTAGTGGCAGCTAATAATCAAGTCAAGGTGATTTATTAGCGGAGCCTGGTGAACAACGAAATTGAGATCGATCACTGTAATTAAGGATCACCCTTCAAAATTCATGTTCAATTAATTTTGCAGTTCCAATTAGGCACGCCTGTTTCCTGTGCTCGAATACGAACGCCCATGGTCTCCGGGGAGCTGTTCGCTGGGATTATTGACTGCTTCTAGAACGATCCCGCAGCCTAAGTACGACATATCCGTCAGGTTACGTAAGTATCACCGGATTATTGACCCCTGAAACACCCGAGCATGGAAAATGGTCACACGAAACCCCATGAGGCTGAGATATCGAGATCTGGTCGCACCCAGACAGCTGAGCCAACGAGTTGGGCCGCGTGCAGCACTGATCAGATCAAGTTAATTATACCTGACCAGATGTGTGTAGCCAAAATGGTAATCTAATCCTCAGACAAACTAAGCACTACGAAACAGTTCGTACCCTTGGCTTGAGAATCATGGCATCCTGGTACAAGCGAATCATGGTGTCAAAAGAACATGTCAAATGAACTTAATATGACTAGTCAAGTGTATTTTCAAGGAAACCCATAGCATGCTACTAGTGCTTGAGCTATAAACAGTCCCAATGCAACGTCAATATGAAGAAGATATTTAGTGGTCCAGGATGTAAGTCACACTCTAGACGAGTTCGACTTCTGGGCAGAACAGCCCCAGAGCACAATCCTGCTGGTTTGCTCACGGTCCTTGGACAGTGATCTTCGCACTGCCACTCGACTGGTAGCCCTCAGTTGCCACGATCTGGTAGTCGTGAGTACCGAGAGACAAGCCATACTGCTTCCAGGCGTTGAAGTGGTTCTGGACGGTGACGGTTCCGCCGACACGCTTGCTGGTGCGGACACTCCAGAATTGCTGGAAAGTGGCGGTTCCGATAATACTGGGCTGATTGACGCGGGTAGTCTGGTAGATGTCGTAGGTGCCACCGTCACTGGTGACCGAGCCCTTCTTCTGGGCGGCCGAGCCGGGGTTGTACGTGCCGTACGCCTCGACGATGTAGTACTCGATTAATGGGTTCTTCGTCCAGCCGTAAACGGAAAGGTACTGTGGCGGCGCAGGTCAGTCCGAGTACACTGAAGAAGTCCCCAACATGCAGAGAACTGTGTTATATGCCTCCAAACTGGCTCAAGCACATACGAGAATGCAGAGGATGCAAGCTGAGAAGCAAAACTACTTACGCTGTTCACATTGGCGCCACTCCAAGTGCCGTTGTAGGTAATGACTCGAGCAGAGCCTGGGTTCCAACCCTTGCCAGCCACAAAGTTGTTGACATTGGACCAGCTGACGTCGTAGGAACCAGCTGCACCATTGTTGTAGGTGACACTACCTCCTCCGTCGGTCCAGAACGAGTAGAAAAAGCCATTGCTTGTGCCGGTACCAGCTGGTGTTCTCTCTACGATCTTCTCGTGAAGACCGTCGAGAGGCTCGAGCTCGGCAAAGGGGGCCGCTAGAGCACCGACGATTGCTGTGCAAGCAACGAAGAAAGAGGAAGCAGAAACCATGATGTCGATATGTTGGCTATTGAGCTGTGTTGTCGTGGCAGTAGGCTTGATGATGCTCTGGAAGAGAGAAGACGCTGTGGTTATATACCTCTTTATATACCCATGCCACCTCTAGATGTTGCCTCCTTGTTGTCTGGATGCCATCGTGACTTCATTCCATGACCGTAGGGCACTACTGTAGAAGGCGTACCTGGTTCCAGAGCCGGAGTGCATATTCAGTGGCGCACTTGCATGCGAGGCTTGTGGAGAATATAGTGTTTTGTGGGGTAATACGTGCCAAGATTGGAAAAGCCGGCGATCTATAATGACGGGACGGCAGTCCATACGATTAACCGGCGGGTAAATAGATCTTGGCCGACCTTTTGGGGCCAGCCGCAAGCCCGCTACCTCCGAAGAGGGTATCATGAGTAGCCTCAACGACGACAACGACATGAGAAAGGAACGAGCTACTGCATTCCGGCTAATTGAGACGGGGATAACCGCTGGCTTGCGAATATTATCACGACAAGACATCATCCTCGGTGCGAGCATAGCTTTTGCCCCCTTTTGACGATGGTCACATGATGGGCTGTCCTCCCTAGTCTAGATGGCGCCGGTCAAGCGGAGTTTGCGTCTTCTCAAGGTGAGATAGGTTTCATCATTGGAATGAATGGCCCCTTGAAACACGGCAGAAACGACATTTGCTTTTTTTTTCTCGCGTAAGAAGTCATGAAGACCGTCCCAACCAAGTAGCATCGAATGTGTCTTACTACCCAAATTCCAGTTATATGGCGATAGCTCGAGGTAGTGGACAAAACTTCTGAGATAATTAATCATCAGCCAGGCATTGTTCCACGCGGGGAGTAATGCTGTGAGCCAGTGCCAGTATATGCTTGGTTGAAACGAAGCAATGGACCGATGCTGGCATGGCCATGATCTTGACGTGACACTGGGCCACGAACTGCTATGTATCCAATGATTGGACCATGTGGTTCAAAGTGCAGTCATAGTCTACGGACGTTTTGACATCGTAAGCTGGGGATGGACGGGAGAGATAAAAGTGGCCGACGGTCGTCGATAGAAATGAGGAAGGGAAGAAGAAATCTTGACAAGGAATTGAGTGTTTGGGCCCTGGGCGGTGTTTAATCAAGGCAGTCCAAGTCGTCGCACACTACGACATAATGTCACAATAGCCAATGATTGATTGGCAGTTTTATCAGATGCCTGCACGGCACGATATCTTACCCAGGCGATGCTGCCAATAGCTGAGGGAGGCCCAATCAGCACTTTGAGATACCCGAGACGAGGGCGCCGCGTGAGGGGGTGCAATTATCAAATTAGCGTCGTGGTCTGGTCTTGGTACCACTTTTTTCCTATTAACGCGTCGTCAGTGGAAGTGGACAGACAGACAGACAGACGCGTCGCGTGTCGGTTCTATCCATGTCTGAGTCCGTACCTTGAATTAAATACCTTGAATTAAATACCTTGAATTAAATACCTTGAATTGAATACCCGGCGTCAACCTTGGTTGACTGGCATCTCCAAAAAGTTGTGACGAAATGAGATAGCAACAGGAGATATCAGAACCCAACGAACCTCGAACTCGCGCCCTGCGCATGTTGCCCAGCAATCATGGCTGGTCCGCCAAAGGAGAAGAAGCAGCAGTCATTGACGAGCTTCTTCACACCGAAGAGTAGTGTGAATGGTCTCAATGCGCATCTTCAAAAGACCCTAAGTCAATCATCCCCAGCAAGAGGCAGTGGCAAGGACAAAGACCGTGACTCTCCTGAAAGCTCCAGGAAGCGTCCTCTGGAGGAAGATATCCACAATGGGAACGAGACGCCCCCGAAACGCACCAAGAGCGCTCATGTCGACGAGGACAGTAGCACCTTCTTTTCTAAGCAACCCCCCTTGAAATCTCCGACAGCAGAGACAACCACTCAAGCAAGCGACCGAACAAAGCGCTATGTCTACAACGCATCGACTCAGCCTGGGACTGCCGCAACACCCGACGTTGAAGTCGACGACGATGATGCTGCTGAAAAGCGTAGGAAGGCGAACCTACACCAAAAGTTCGTCAAGAAGCTGGGCCGGCCCGACAGCATGGCTCAGCTCAGACGACGAAACTTTCACATCGATGACGAGACGCCAGCGCCAGATGGCGAAGACGCCGATGAAGCTGAAGAAGACGAACCTCCGCCACCCCCCAAGGGCAAGAAGAAGGGCACCAAGACGGGAAAGCTGACACCAATGGAGATTCAGTTTCTGGATATCAAGAGGAAGAACCTGGACACATTGCTGGTCATGGAAGTGGGCTACAAGTTCAGATTCTTCGGCGAGGATGCCAGGGTAGCCGCAAAGGAGCTGAGCATAGTCTGCATACCCGGCAAGTTTCGCTACGATGAACACCCCTCCGAAGCACACCTCGATCGCTTCGCCTCCGCTAGCATACCTGTCCACAGATTACCAGTACACGTGAAGCGTCTCGTCGCTGCTGGCCACAAGGTCGGCGTCGTCAGACAACTGGAGACTGCTGCGCTCAAGAAGGCCGGCGACAACCGGAATGCGCCCTTTGTCAGAAAGCTTACCAATGTCTACACAAAGGGGACATATGTCGATGAGATCGGTGAGCTGGAGCAACAAGGCGACTCAGGCGCTCCCTCGGGAGGCTATCTGCTGTGCATCACCGAGTCGAAAGCCAAAGGCTGGGGCACGGATGAGAAGGTTGATGTTGGTGTACTCGCAGTACAACCAGCCACCGGCGACATCATATATGACCATTTCGAGGACGGCTTCATGAGAAATGAGATCGAGACAAGGCTACTCCACATTTCACCGTGCGAGTTTCTTATAGTAGGCGAGCTGACCAAGACAACCGACAAGCTGGTCCAGCATCTGGCTGGGAGCAGCACCAACGTGTTCGGCGATAGGAGTAGAGTGGAGAGGATACCCAAGTCCAAAACAATTGCGGCAGAAGCGTACTCGCATGTGACGCAGTTCTATGCTGGAAAGCTGAAGGAAAACGCCGAGGGAAATGATCAAGCAGCTGCCTTGCTGAATAAGGTTCTGAAGCTCCCCGAACCTGTCACGATATGTCTGTCCTCTATGATCAACCACTTGAAGGACTATGGGCTTGAGCACATCTTTGATCTCACAAAGTATTTCACGTCGTTTAGCGCTCGTTCGCATATGCTTATCAACGGCACCACCCTAGAGAGCCTTGAGATTTATCGAAACCAAACCGACCACGCTGAAAGGGGCAGTCTTTTCTGGGCACTCGACAGAACACAGACTCGCTTCGGGCAACGGTTGCTTCGAAAGTGGATAGGGCGCCCGCTTCTCGACCAGAGCCGTCTAGAGGAGCGCGTTGCTGCAGTTGAAGAGCTTCTCGAAAATAGCTCGACGCCCAAGGTTGACCAGCTCGGACTCCTACTCACAAACACGAAGACGGATCTCGAACGAAGCCTCATCAGGATATACTACGGCAAATGCACGCGGCCCGAGCTCTTGGCTGTCCTGCAGACACTGCAGAAGATCTCGACCGAGTTCTCCCGTATGAAAACCCCAGCAGACACCGGCTTCAAATCGCCTCCGATCAGTGACGCTATCATCTCCTTGCCAGAAATTTTACCTTTGGTGTTATCTTACCTCGAGCGAATCAACGCTGATGCCGCGCGGAAAGACGACAAGTACGCATTTTTCCGTGAAAATGAGGAAACCGACGCCATTACCGGCCACAAACTGGGCATCGCCTCGGTTGAGCAGGATCTCGACGAGCATCGCAAAGTCGCCGCGCAAAAGCTGAACAAAAAATCGCCAGTGACCTATGTCACCGTGGCCGGCATCGAGTACTTGATCGAGGTCTCAAACACGGATCTGAAACATGTCCCGGCATCGTGGGCAAAGATCTCTGGCACCAAGAAACTGAGCCGGTTCCATACGCCCGAAGTGGTTCAGCTTATAACTGAACGTGACCAGCACAAAGAGTCACTTGCTGCCGCCTGCGACTCTGCTTTCACCGAGCTCCTCTCATCCATTGCGTCAAACTATCAGCCCCTACGCGACGCCGTATCGTCGCTCGCGACCCTCGATTGTCTCTTGTCCATGTCCAAGGTTGCTGCGCTGCCCGGCTACACTAAACCGGCCTTCCTGCCGCCGGACTCGGCACCCACGGTCGGCATAACAGCCGGTCGTCATCCGATCGCCGAACGCACGCTCATGGCCTCCTACATCCCCTTCACGACCACCCTCTCGTCAGGCGGGTCCTCCTCCCTGGTATCATCGCAGGCCCAGCTGATAACGGGGCCCAACATGGGCGGCAAATCGTCCTATGTGCGCGCCGTGGCCTTGCTCGTCCTCCTGGCCCAGATCGGCTCCTTCGTCCCGGCTGAGGCAATGTCCCTCACGCCCTGCGACGGCATCTACACGCGCATGGGGGCTTCCGACAACATCTTCAGCCACGAGTCGACGTTCATGGTCGAGGTGAACGAGACAGCACAGATCCTGCGTTCTGCAACGCCGCGAAGCCTGGTCATCCTGGACGAGCTGGGCCGCGGGACGAGTACGCATGACGGGGCTGCCATTGCGCAGGCGGTGCTGCAGCACGTTGTGGAAGATGTTGGCTGTCTGACACTCTTCATTACGCACTACCAGAGCTTGAGCCGTGTCGCTGACGGCATCGAAGGCGGTAAAGTGCGAAACGTGCATATGAGATTCACGGCTACCAAACGAGGCGAAATTGCCGGGGATGATAATGAATGGGGTGGCGACGAGGAAATCACCTTTTTGTACGAAGTTGGAGAGGGGGTTGCGCATCGGTCTTATGGCCTGAACGTTGCTAGGTTGGCACGTATACCGTGGAAGGTACTTGATGTTGCTGCAAAGAAGTCTAGGGAGCTGGAGGAAGAGATCAGTATCCGTCGGCTAAACAGTGCAGCAAGATTGCTGACAGATGTGATGCAAACCGGAACTGAACAACTTGACCACCTCATTTCTAGCATTGAAGAGTTATAAATCACGATTAGATAGACCGCTTCAGGCCCAAGGATAGACAACGCAGTAAATATCAAAAGGACCCTAGGAAGTTTATGAATGCTATGTAGAGCTAAGCGCCATTGTGCCGGAAAAGGCGCGCACAAAAACCGTGACCCAATGCTCGAAATACACCATTACTATCTGTGAACCCCCAATGATATGGATTCTTCACTTATGCTCCCCCCCCCCCCCCCCCCCCCCCCCCCGGAAAAGATCGTAAATATGACCTTGGTAGTTTTAGAGCGTGGGCTTCCTTCACCATACGCTAGCATCGAAACTAGGTGACCATGAGTTCCACCTTCACGATTCGCTGTAAACGCTGTAAACGCTGTAAACGCTCTACCTCATGTCGTATGTGTTTGTTTGCATGGAACGCCCCTTCAGATTGTTGGCTCAAAACATTGACGCTTGATCCCAGTGTTGTTGCCGGGTGCATGCTATGTGCACTATAATGTTGCCAACGCTGAGAAATGCGAGGTCTGAATACTTGTCGTCATCTCAAGAGAAATGCACTAGGAATTAGTAGCAGTTTGTTTGAAAGTAATCGCATGCCACTGAGATATGGGCTCGATAGAAGCTCATTCGCCTTTCAATATGGCCCGGTTCCAGAGCTAGACGCAAGGAAAATGAGAAGAAGAAAAGAAAGAAAGAAAGAAAGAAAGAAAGGAAGAGAATAAAAAAGAAGAAAACCAGGATAACATGGTACAGATATCTATTGCTTTCAGAATTAGTCACATTTTATAGCACGATCACGGCAGCTGCCAGTCTGACTTACCAATAAGGGGTTGGTAATACACCCATACGTATTCATCATGTTGATTTTCGTCGAAAATTTGCCTGATCAACGCGATGAAAATAGTCTCCTGCAAATCATGGGACGAAACCTCTCGAAAATCAAATGTCGTAAGTTTCATTCAGACTGTGGGTCTAATGAGGCGAATAGTAGTTGTCGTTGTTATGAGAAGTAAGATGCAAAGAATTGAAACCCGGTTGAGTATTAATTGGCTGGAAACCCGCCGCGTGTAGCTTTGTGTCCTCTTTCCAGGTTGAGTAACCTTGAACATGAGCACTTTCCTGAGATTGTACGCAGAGTGGATTGAACGAGCTTTCATTAAGGGAATCCATGTTGCTCAGATATGGGTTTGAGGTTGTGGGTGGAGTCTGAAAGGAACTGCGGCTGTTCTCTTTGCTTGGGAAAAGACGACTTGGTGTGTGGCGTTTCAGCATAGGAGTTGGAGACAAAAGAGACAAATTGGTGTTTCCAGGACGCAGTGTCAAATCGGGAAGACCATCCTGCCTATACAACAGTTAGCTGCTAACACGGAAGATCACAATAACAAAGCGAGAAGAGCATACTGTCGCTGGATCGCAGGAAAGTCGGTCGCACCTATGAAGATGGGTTAGAAACAAAGTGTACTAGCCTTCTTGGCGAGAGTAGAGTGACCCTCACTTGGCATAGTATCCATATTGTCTCTGAACACATCAACCACGCGATTGCCTACACGGACATGGCCAGGAGCACCAAAATTCGAGATTGAGCTGAAGTTTGTTCGTGTGGAGCGATCCAATCTCAAAGTGGGCATGGTAGGCAGAGAAGATCCCTGGGTAGAAGACGGCCTCGGTGCTGTAGAATGAATGGAGGCTTGACGTGTGATCCTTGCTGCGCGACCCCTTCCACGACCACGAGTGGCAGGGGCAAAGCTTGAGTCTCGTGATGTGGCCCGTTCGACTTTGATAGCTCGAGGTCTACCAGGCCTTCCGCGAGTCTTCTTTGGAGATCGACGCCTTTTCTTGGGTGGCTTAGGCTCGTCATCATTCTGGGTCTGGTCAGCATTCGGTCTGTTCAATGACTTGACACTAAGCTCACTTCGCTTCCGGCAACGGAAGGTTCGTCGTATACATCACGCCAGCGGACATGATTGAAGTTCAAATCTGTCACCTGTTCGAGAGTTCGAACAGCCTTAGAACTAGCCTCCATATGGACTAGGACAGAAGGGTCCTTCTTCTGATTTCGCTTACGGCGTTGCTCCTCTGGAGCCGCATCAAACCCACCGACTCCCTCGAGTGAGGCAATATCTCCTTTCAGATACTTTCTGAAATGGAGACGCTCACGTTCCTCGATGTCTAAGATGTCCAATGCCGCTTGAACATCTGCGTCGTGCATCGTGGTGTTCATTGTGTCATCGGAGGGGATGATGCTTGTGCTCCCCAGTTCTTCGTCTTCATTATCGGATGGCTCATATTTGGACACAGTGTCAGCCTCCTCCTCCTCCTCATCATCATCATTCTCATCCGCATCCGCATCCGGCTGGTCAATGCCAAAGCCGAGCTCCTGCTGAAAACCAGAACCATAGTAAGCACCATTCCAAGAAGGTAGATCGGACCAAGATTGAGCGACATTGTTTTGACGCCAATGCTGCTGGGCATGTGCATGTGATGAAGGCTTGAAGTCTGAGATTAAGTCGATGTCATCCTCGGGTGTGCATTTGATAGAATCCGTACGGGTTGTCAACTTTGAGTCGTCACGAACTCGCTGCCCCGACGTCTTAAGTTAGACTACCCCACGGATTTACAATGAATGCTAAAATCAACCGCAAGGGACATGACTTACTCGCTTGCCTCGTGTCACAGCATCTCTAGTAGAATTACTTTGACTCACCAATGATGTCCGTCCGCCGCGGAGGCCAACGGTCGGGGTTCCACCGCGCGTGCTGCTGCCATTGCGGCTTCGACCAACACTGCCCTTCTGAATTCTATTCTCGCTTCTGCTCTGCAGGAGCTCACGAATGTTGAATTCATCGAACCATGCTTGGTATTCTTCCAACTTCTCTCGGGCACCTTGGTCGGTGTATCTGGCAATATCGAGCTTGAACATGTTGGACAGATGGCCTTTGGAGGAGATATGTGTGAGCAGATGGGAGACATCGGAGAAGTTGGTATTCTTGGGACAGATGCTGCAGATCAAGGGGACCGGGCGTGACGCCGCCGAATCCGAGGTAGAATCTCCTCTGGGTTTGCTGCTCAACAATTGCTCTGCTGTGATGGCTGCCATGGCTGAATAGCTTGCTCCAGCGCCGTGACCGAAATCAATTTCTGTGTTCCTGTGAAACTCGCGTATTTGTGGTTGACTGTTACCAAAAGCCTCCATCTCCTGTCAAAAGCTTTGTTAGCGACTTGTTTGAAGTTCGAGTGTCAGCAGCGCGATATTATTACGGGTATGTGCAGTACGCGCAACAAATGGCGTGGCCATGTTGTGGATTTTCCACCTAAAGGCCTCTTCAGATGGGTTCTTTGGGGAAAGTCAGATGGAATGGCCCATGACTTGAGACGGAAAATAACCAAAATTGACAATTGTAGGCAAGTCTTGAATATATTGACCAAAAGATCACAATCGATGCCTTTGTACACATTTGCAGCTGACTTGGTGAATTGTCCAACATGCCGCAAACATCTGATTTGAAGAGCTGAGTTGCACGCAATCAGAGGTTCATGAGCAATGTCTTTCATTTACATGAAGACGAGTTCGGGGTGGCTCATCAAGGGCTTAGTGTAAAGGGCAAGGACAAAGGGTCAAAGGATAGATTGATATCAAGGGTATCAACCATTGTCAAACTTACTGATATCGTGTAACACGGCGACTTCTGCAAGCAGTGATCCGGGTTCCCTATGAGGACTGCGGGATAGGTAGTGGCGGTCCAATCCTTGAGATGGTGAATGCTGACGCTATTTACGTGCAGCAGCCGGACGATCGGCTTGCGCTGAGTGTTGCTGCCCTTGCCGTTATGAATTGTTGCTGCCCGCACCGATAAAGGCCGAGAGAGCGGCAGAAAGATTGACTCTGAGTACCGGGTTGTTTTGGGAAGAGCACTGGAATTGGTGCGATGTGGTCCTGTCGCAGTTTAGTATTGGGAAGAAAAGGCAATGGTAACTGCCTAGTCAAGAATTTAACTGCTGGCTGACTAGGAATTTGGATGCACAACGCAGGAGATGAGAAACAATCGAGCAACATAGGCAGGAGCACTAAGCTTGTCTTGCAAGACAAGAGTTCCAAAGCCCAAGCAAGAAGCAAGTAGACCAGCAAATGTCCTCAAATACAGGGCAGATGCTCGAACAATCGTATCAGAGTATCACATCGATTGATGTGAATACATTTTACAATCGCAAGAAGGTGAGAGTAGACCGATGACGGACTGAAGGTTCGACCCGAGGAAGCAAAGCTCAATCACTTGGGCTTTTGAGGATATTTCATAGGAAGGGACGAAGGGATTTTGCTTACCTGTGTGCCCAGATACGATCTTATTTACCTTGATCAGCAATTGTGATCGCTCCTGCCGAAGGAGAACGCAAGCAGCTTGACACAATTGTGCCTGCTGATACAACGTGAAAAGAAGAAAAGCGCCGATTATTGCTGTGATTGTGTGAGACAGGTGCTGATGACAATAAGATTTTGAGAAATCATTCACTTCCAGGCAGATCTTTGAATTAGCTCCTGGACTTGTTGATGAGAAGTCGCGTTGCTTGAACGACGGGAAGTGTTGTTGTGAACAGATGGAGGGGGAGGCATGCAAGTAGAGTGTTAAGTGTTGCTGGGTAGAATAGAAGTGTTCTCGGTCTTTCCTTCTTCACATTTGAGACTACAAAAAAGGAAATAATGATAAAATATCAGTAACATAGGGTCGGGGAAGGCAAGACCACTAAATAACCAAGTAATATCTCAGCTGCTGGTGTTAGTACTGTGTGCGGCTGTAGCTCAGCGCGCCATGTAAGCTTTGTGCTGTCAAAGTGAACCTCAAATATGTCCAGGAGTGAATCACGGGGGAAGCTCGGTCACGGGTGGAGTTGATACGGCGCTTCATTATTCGGATATGTTATGAAAATGCTGTACGAATGTTCAGCCACCACTCGGGACTTTGACCCACATCCAATAGTGCGTCCATATACTTTTCTCTCCCAATGTGAAGTTGCGGCACCTGCAGCATTGTGAACGATCGCTCAGGAAGTAATACCGATTTCCTACAGCAGCCACAAGTTGTCTTTTTTGCCTTTTTGAGCATTCAGTCGTTTGAAGTCGGAAAATGTCAATCCTTTGAAGTTGCAAGCGGCGATACGTTGAAAGTGGCAATTAACCTCATCTTTCTTCGGCACCCATGCGACCCTCTCTAAGATGAGTCCTGTTCCATATATCATCGGGATTTGCATGGTCTGTGAGGACACACCAGAAAGTCTGCCAGCAACAGAAGAGTTTTGGTTTTTAGCATGTGAATCAGAAGATTCAATCCTGCTGGCCGTCAAAATAAGTAGGTATGCCTCTTTGTAGTCTTCCAGAGATGGCGAATGCGAGTCTGGGAAGACTTCAAAGTTGTTATAGGTGAGTGAGATGGTCGTGAGCCTCCCAATGACTTGCAAAGTAAACGTATCGGCGTCTGGGGTAACTTTATTTTGCTGTTGGGACTTCTCAGATTTCTCCCTCTTTGTAAGCGCTACAGATCTGAGTTTTCCTCTAATTGCCAAGGCGTTCGTTCTCAATTCTTGTTGTAGATCGTTGCCTCCATGTGGTACATCTTTCAACAAATTTTCTGGTACCTCCATCAGCTCGAAGGAGACTTCACCTCCTTCATGGTTGGTAACTCCCCAAAATTGGTTTGGATCGGTAAACCTATCTTGTAATTCAACTTCACCCATCAATGATGCCCAAGTCCAGGTAGGATACTGAGAAAGGTCCACTGGCCTGCTCGCCTTGCTTGGGTTCACAACCTTCCAAGCTAGCTGCTCGTATAAACGAGACGACCAGAGACCAGCCCCGTAATCTTCCCGCTTCTGGTATTGTCGACGCAATTCATCACGCACAAGTTTGGCCACGGACCACACGGCAGGCATACGATCTATGTTGCGGGTGAGATTACTTGCAGTATATGTCCGCACGGCGCGCTTCCAAAATGCCTCGAGAGAATCATCTGCAGCTCCGCTCAATGTCTTATTATCTTGAGATATCTGAAGTCGTTCCCTCCAATGGCGTTCGAAGGCAGCATCTACATCCAGAGGGGCGGGCAAACCATCCGGAAGCGTTTCGCAGGCGCTAATGCTAGCACAATCCCAGAAGACTTGTGTAGAGCCGAAATGCAAAATTCTTGGGGACAGCATCCTTTCTGTGAATTTTTGATCAGCAGCTAATCTCCAACGTCCCGCTGTCACCCACCTTGAAAGACCCATCCGCGCTTGTAAAGTGGCTGACTTAGCAGTTGATCATGCCATAGTGCTGAAGGAAGAATGACCCAAGAACGCTTCCCAAACTTAGAACTGGCCGAAGTCTCAAGTACGTTAGGAATCAACTCTCGGTTGTTCCTGTCTCGGAAGAGACCGCCTCGACTATCATCGCTAGATGCTGCAGCTAAGGTGCAGAGGGAGTTGCGGTAGACCAGATGCATCAACTGGCCCTCTTGATGGAATTCATCGTTGTCCTGAATAATACACAAAGCGTCTATCCAGATATACCGTACTTTGAGCTCACGCGCGATGGTTATAGAATCTTTGAAATTCTGAGGCAGTTCTGACCAATCTATCCCTAGTTCAGGATTCCCAAACGTGGCATTATCAACTACCGTCAGCCTTATGTTCAACGGGGAGACTTTGGGGTCACCCCAACAATGACTCAATGTCATGTATCCATCCACTGGATTAGATAGTGTAGCTGATTCTATGACAAGTATTCGATCCGTGCTTGTTGCGCCAATATCGATCAAACGCTTTGGTATCCAGGTTGGTCTTTTTGGGTGTGGGCACTGCGCATGCCCGGACCCTTTACATAGGTTCAGCCATGATTTCATTTGAGACACAGTAGTATCCGAGTCCGTTCTGTCAGCGAGCTTCGTTGCTATACGGACGGTGTCTTTGATGCAGTAAGTATTGCACAACGAAATTATTCTATGTGTTTGACCTACCTTGCTCAAGAAGATGAAAGGTCCTTTTTGGCACAGAGCGAAGCGCTAGGTAGCCCTCTGAATTTGGCGTAAAGATCAAGCTATAAGATTCGGGGCTTTCCCTTATGCGCGCTGGGCGACGGAGTTTCCACCAATATAGGGGAGCTTTGGACGCACTTTCATCAACTAGTTTTCGAACAGGCTCAACATCCGCTCTAAGTTGTGAACAAAAGACGCAGTCAGAATTGGATAAATCGTGGGAACCCCAGCTTTTATGGTTTCCGAAAATTGTTGTTTGGCATTGAGAACAAGCCATGGCTATCCACCGAGCTTAGTAGGGATTGAGGAGATTGAATGCATCAAACCTAAGAGGATTTACCAACCGACATTGCGCAGTTCTTATGTCTTACCGTAGGCACTAAGCCCCATCTTGCATCGGTAAAATTAGCGCTGCCGGGCCCCCACTGGGGGCCACGAGTACCTCACCAAACACCTGGATCTGGATCCCGTGATTAAGCTTAAACGCATGCAAGGTCGGTGGATATGTAGGGTAATAGGTGGTGATCAATTCTTTGTATGATCGAACAATGCTATATCCTACAAACACCACTGCGCAACGCATAAATTGGAATTGTGTGACTTTTTTAAGCGGTGAATAATTCAGACTCAAATATTGTCAAGTTTTTGCCCTCCTAGCCATCGAAGTTTTGAGCATAGTGCTCAGCAATATAATAATGAAAATTACTATGATAACAATCGAGAGATGGAATTTTACTCTCCTGTGGCACAAGGAACCCGTGTGAGGCGAGCAGAATCTCTTCCATTCCAAGCTCCGATTCCAGCAGAACTTCCAGTGCTTGAGTGTCACCTTGCCAGTTGGTCAAGAGACGTTCCTTCAAGCCCGTAAATGAGAGCCCGCCAGCAGACTCACCGACGGCTTTTATGGCTTGTAAACCGAGGTCGCGGTATATCCCCGCAGGCTTGCTTGCAATGCCCAGCATACCTGCATTGAAAAGTTCGACAATGGGTCTTGGGATTCGGTCTGCGATAGCTCTTGCTTTCTCCAGAGACTCTGCTTCACTAATATGTTCCAGGCGCAACAATGCCAGTCCTATATTGCCGTTCGCTTGTTTGGCTAGCTCTTTGACGAGATTTTCCGCTGAATGTTCGTTGACGGGACTGATCAGCTCTCGGCCCAGATTCGACAATGGCGGCAAAATGCCTTGCTGGACAGGCACCTTGAGATGGCTTCTGAGACCAAGTTCACCATGATCTTCTTCCAGGAAGTACTTCAAAAATCCCGGCAGCGGCAGATTGCCGATATCTAAATGAACTATTTGGGGTTGAAAGAACTCAATGGCTGTATGTGCACTACAGCAATCCACCAAGAGCAATGTCAGATCATGTTGAAAATGTCAACCAATGTGAGAGACTTACGGTTCATGGCAGCGTTCTCCAGCTTCTTTGCAGTTGTTACAGATATAGTAGTCTTTCACACCTGCGCAGGCAACGCATTCCCACCAATAGTCCAAAGGTTTACGACTCAGATCAACGTCGCACTCACCAAGATCTTCGTCGCCTTTGATTAGTACTCTTGAGGTAGTTAATATTTTCATGCCAAGCCCCTTAAGATATGTCAACTCTCTCTCAATTTCAAAGTAGCCATCCAGATTCGGCCAGATCACGTCGAGATCGTCTATAATGAGAAACGTTCTGTCAGATAGATTGATATGCGAAGCGATCGCACGATGCAAGTCGCCGCAATGAAGCGTTTCTGGGCATGAGAATCTTGGCGCCACAAGAGAACCCGCATTGAGACTTTTTCTGCTGCCACAGCCAATATTTAGGGCCAAACCCAACTGCCGCTCAACCTCACCAAGGAGTAGTTCGGTGAATGAGACTGCGTTGTCAACACTACAAGTAGTATGGGACGGCTGCAGGAAGACTGAGACTACAATAGTGTTGCTGTCTCTAAAATCGGTCTTGAGGTCTTGGACGACTTGCGACGAGAACGTAGTCTATTGTCATTAGAGGGAGTTTTGGGTCTGGGGCAATATGTGGATTCTGCCGGCGCACCTTACCTGATCCAGGCCCCCCGACACATCTTAGTTGCCATTTAATATCATCCCTTTTCCAGAGCCGGTACTGTTCTGATTGGAGGAGAACATCGAATACGTCTTCATATACGTGAGAAGATTTATGGGAACTGGCTATTCGAATAGCCATCTTGATATACCTATGGTTCCAGGCGGCAGCGGCGTTAGCAAATCCCTACGCTATGTACTCAAAAGTCAATTATGAAATCGCGGAGGCAGTGGCAGTATCGAAACACGATATAGTCAATAGTGCTCGCCGATCCAAAATACTACCTGCGGTACATTCACCTGCAGGGAAAATGAAAGAAATTAATCGGGAAAAGAAAACTCGTAGAGGCTATGTATTAAGGCCAATTACAGTCTCCAACGTTTCACTCAAAAAGCTTTCTGTTCAGTCGCTTTTTCCAATCATGAGGACGTTGGCCCCCAACCTCGACATTTTAACACCAATTTCTGACATAGACTAACTAGTTTGTTCTGACCCTCGCTTGGGCGTAACCAGTAATTTCCGCGTGTTAAGCTTTGCGCTAAATAGTGTATGAACCAGGATGCAGATCCTGCTGACAGGGCTGAGCACCACACACTATGTAGTCCTTCCAACTGAAGAACCCCTGAAGTCAAGCTCATTTTGTAGCACGCAACTTCATGCGAAACCAGAAGGATCGCAGCAGACTTGTGGCTGTACGAGTAACCTGGTACAAGCATTTCCGCAATCAGTATATCTTTCACAAATCTTCAAAGGACTGCCTTTTGACTGTAGGTTATGTTGCAATAATCGAAAATGATCTCGTCGGCGAGGCTGGTCGAGCATAGTCGCCGATTCTTTGACATCATACATGAGCATCTTTCGAGATGAGTGCAGATACTTGGTGTGTCCTTGATATTAAAAGTTTATGGCAAGGCTTCAGTCCCTCATTCGGAGTTTCATGGTGATAAGGATCACTGTTAATTTCCCCCTACTGCAGTACTGCGGCCCAACTCAGCTCAACGTCCACTTAAGGTCTAGGCCGTAAGCCAAGTGCTGAAATCATGCACCTATTTTTATAACGGTGCCCGGCTATGTGGGCTCCATCTTGACTCCCCGTCTTTCAGCCAAAAGTCCTTCAGCAGCCCCTGCTATTGCTTAGCTGGTATAGAATATCCACTATGGCATTGTGCGAAAAAAAAATTACCGGCTGAATAAGTAGTCGGGGGCGTCCGTAGTGGATTTCTCTAATTTGAATGAGGCTCTCAGTATACTCACACTTACTACTATGTTTGTACTGCAGATGTAGGCAGCTGATCGCCAACGTATACAAAATGTTGTTCGACTATCTGTCGGCCGTCAAGGCTATGGGCAATCTAATATCACTGGGCATGTTAGAGGACCCAATAAAGCAGTCCCAATCAACCACAACTGGTACCACAGCGAAGAGCGCAGTCAACACGCAGGAATCAACCATATGTGGCGATATCATAAATGAGTCCAATGAAGGTGAGTACAAGAGCTTGTTGGCCTCCGTAACAGAACTAACATTTTCATCCAAGGTGCATATCTTTTTTGGGCTAGCGATGTACATGATTGTCTGAGCAATGTTCCTTTCAGTATAGCCCCGGCTCTGCGCTATCTCGACTACCTCAACACGACAATGCAGTTCCAAAGCACGTTGGCGTTCCTCAAGACGCCACCACAAGGATATCAGCAGCCAGCCGTCGACGTGGAGGTTGTCATGGAACGCATTGCAAACAATGTCAAAGCTGCCTTCTACTTAAATCAGTATGATTTTGAAGCGGATGTGCAAGGACTAATATTTGCTATGCATGACGCACACGTCGATCTGCGTTCCGGAATCATGTCCCAGTTCTCTTTTGGTAGTCAGTGGCCGATCGCATCAGTTTCAATCGATGGAATAACAGAGCCAAAGATCTATTTGACCGGTAAGTGCATATGACAAGTGTTTGACTCGTTTCAACTGGACAGCGACTGATCAGTGGCAGATCACATCCTGCAAGCTCAGAATGATGGTTGGTCATGGACACCCTCAGCACTCTCCAAGATCAATGACGAAGACGTGATTGATTATGTCACAAAGTTTGCCGCTTCCAACTCTCTAGGGAGGCTCGAAAGCCATGCAGAGTGGAACGATCTAATGAGCCACCCCGCTCAGGATATCCTTGGTAACTTGAACATCTGGACTGGTGATGCCACGTTCTACCCAGGCGACGAGCTCAATTTCACTTTTGAGAACAAGTCGGAGCCACTGGAAACTTATTGGGTATCGTACTATAACTACAACGAAGACACAGGGCCCATAGCAAATGGCGGGGACTTTTACAACTTCTTCGTCCTAGGTCTTTACCCGGCAACAAACGAATCTGCCTCCTACCGCATTGGGGACAGCAATGTAGCCAAAAGATCTAAAAGCATGAGTACCCCACCAAACATATCCAAAAAATCGAAGATCGCAAGGGACGATAATGATGAAACATCTTCGGAAGATGTCACAACAGGTTGGAGCGGTGCTTACCCAGCAAAGGCAGATATATATCAATCAGACCTACTCGTCAATGGTAGCGGCGTCGTAACGGGCTATTTTCTTCGCGATATATCGACCGGTGTCCTAAGTATACCTACCTTCGAACAATACGGAGAAGAGTTATACGACTTCTCGGACACCGTTCAGACATTTATCGACAGCTCAGTGACGGAGAATATCAAGCACATCGTGATAGATCTTCAACAGAACGCGGGAGGAGATGTCGTCTTGGCTTTAGACACCTTCGCAAGGTTCTTCCCCCAGAAGCAGCCATTCGCCGGAAGCCGCCGGAGGAGTCACGAACTGGGTAGGGTCCTAGGAAACGCCACAACTACTTGGTGGACTAGTCTTGACCCATACTCTGATGACGCCGATGTCGTAGACAACTGGTACGAAGGCCTTGCTGACGAATGGGTTATCACCCCGAGACTAAACGCCGCAACCAAGAAAAACTTCCACGACTGGGAAGAGTACGCGGGCCCGAGACCGTATCTGGGCGACTGGTTTACCCTTGTGGAAGAGTACAACCTATCGGATGAAGATTTCAACTATGAATCGATGGACATGTCTCCATACGGCTGGGCTGATAATCCGAGTACCACTGAGCAGCGATGGGATCCAGAGGACATCGTTCTCCTCACAGATGGTCTTTGTTCTTCAACGTGTGCTTTATTCGTCGAGTTCATGACTCGAATTGGAGTCCGCACCATTGTGATGGGTGGGCGTCCTGAATCCGGGCCTATGCAGGCAGCTAGTGGTACTAGAGGCGCAAGAAGTTACTGGAGTGGTGACCTTGATAATGATCTTGCATGGGCAGGCTCTGTGGATGCGATCGCAAACCAAACTTTCCCGCCCATTCCACTCAACGGCTTCTACCGCGACTCGGGTATTTGGACCACGTACGTTGGGTTCAACCTCCGCGATCAAATTCGGGAGAGCGAACTAGATGATGACCAAGCTGTTCCACTTCAGTTCAGATATGAGGCTGCAGACTGTCGACTTTACTACACATTACATAATTTGTTCAATATGACACAACAGTGGCGGGATGTCGCAAATGCAGCTTGGGATAATTATCCATCGCTCTGTGTAGCTGGATCCACGGGGTATTCTACTACTGGGCAGAACAAGCCGAAGAGCAAGGCACCCTCCACATCGAAGACAATAGACTACGGTATTAATGCCGACGACTACTCGCCGCCTGCTGGTTCTGAGGTGCTGTCGCATCTAGAATTCACAGGCGGGAATCTCGTCGACGGGAAATACAAGCCACCGGAGTTTCTCGAACTGGATGAATGCCAACAAGACACCTTTGGCGATTACTACTGCCCCAGTAAGCGTGGTAGTAACAGTAAAGCAAAACCATGCGTGGAGGTAAATATTCAATGCAAGTCGGGCAAAAAGGACAAGAAAGGAAAACCGATAACGACTCCCATCCACGTTTGTTTGCCATCGTGCTCAGATGGCCCTTCTTGTGGGGATTACGACCCCGAATACGAAATGCATTGCAGTGCGTTCACGCAGGTGGAGCAGAAGGCCAGTGCGGCAGCGATGGGACAGGATGATACAAATACAGAACTTAGGACGTTCCGCAAGAATGTGGGATGGGCAAAGGTGTGTAAACCAAAGTATGGAACTAAAGATCTGGGAAGCTGTCCGGCAGCGAAGCCAGTTAAATCAGGCAGAATTTGACATATATACTACTATAGAGTGGCTAAAGTAATTTTCACGAGATTAAAGGGAAAAAAAATTGCAAATCTGATCGACAAGAATGCCTTTGACCCCCAGGACGTTCAATCTTGCATGGCGAGCAGCATGTGGAGGAATAACGGGGAGCGGTTATATTATCGTGTGTTGTTCTATACTGTTGATTGAGCAGTTGGAGTGGCAGCAGGAACGACATCCTCTTTAGTGCTCTGCGTAGAAATGTATGATAAGTTGGGTGGGACATGGCACTAACTAGCGAAACGGTTGAGCATTGTCAAAAGAGCCATGTGCCTGTATCTCATCGTCATACCTAATCGCAACCATGATAGGGTTAATAATCAAGCACCAATTCCGGCGTCACCTTTTAGAAAAGCCTGTCAAACAAAGATGGTTGTGGGTTCTCCGGATATTAAATGCGTAAGGATTCTTCAGTGGACATTACTTGAATTCTTTAGGGGCCAGTTGACTAACAAGCAATACGCACAACAATACAAGAAATTCTGAAGTTTTGGATACGTACCACGGTAATTGCTGGAGCGAAACCGCTTTGGAATTTCAAAAAAAGAAAAACCAACTTGTAGCTTTTAATTACCTTCGCATACCCATTCCAAAATACATCTAGTAAGTCTACAGTCTAGATTGCTTGTATGCTCTTAACTAACCGAGTATGTATCTTAGCATGAAACACCTGTCAGTGCTGTTGAACTATGTTACTTTCAGATTAATCAGCGGATATTCCTATGTTGTATTGCGTGACTCGATTATTATGGAGCCCACATTGCTCCAGTTATTTTCTTGAGGCCATACAGAAAAAACATGCTGGGGTATCCTCCCATATCATTACAAACTCTTGCATTACCGGCAAATCCCGCTGTGCTTCAGCACCCCTAGGGGCTTGTACCGTCTGAACCTCGGAGCGAAAGCTGACCTAACCTAGCAGGTGTCGCCTGGAGTGCAAGATCCAAAGGAAACCTCCTGTATTGCCGGCCAGCAAGATTCATGACTTGGTCTTGGTAAAGATTTTATGATACTGTTTGATCAAGAAGAGTTCGAAGAATACAGAAATCGCGTCAACAGAGTTTCTCGGCCGAGTTCTAGCCGCTACCGCTCATGTGGGCGGGTACGCACCTTAAGACTAAATGGAGCCACTGAAGGAAGTGGAACCCCGTTCACGTTACCATGGCTCCAAACGAGTCTCCTACCCTCGGAACCGCCTCGCTCTCTTGACTCAAATCACACCTTCGGCAGCTTTTTCCGGTTTTATCGAGTTGGGTGTGGTTGTTCCGTCATCTCTATCCGCAAGAGCTTAAGCCTCATCGTGGCGTTGCAATGTTGAGTTTGTCGGTTTTGGTGATGTCGCCATATCATTAACACGCGATAGAACGGCTCCCGACCGGAGGAGTTGTCTAACTCGGTAACTGTGTCATTCAAAAACCTTCGGCGCCGTGAAAGCAGAAGCATATCGTATTTCACCGCCGCGAATGGTGACACGGTAATATGGCGCACCAGTTGAATGGTATGGGTTCAACGCCAGAGACGGTTGAAAATACAGGCACCTCACCGAATGCTCCAGGGTCTTCTGAGACATCCTCAATCCATCAGCGCAGGCCGGCAAAACGGGATCGTGTAGCGCTGGCCTGTCAGCGATGTAAGACACGAAAACAAAAAGTATAATTCTCCGGCATATCTCTCTTTCGCTGATTGAAGACTTATACAATATGGTAGTGTGATGGTCAACGTTCGGCCTGTGCATCTTGCGCAAGATTGAACTTGAAATGTAGTAAGTTGCGCCATCGTTTTGTTGGCAAAGCGGTTCGACTGATCAGATCTCGTAGCATACATCGTTCCTCTTGTCCCTGCTGCAGGTGAAAAGAAGCTATATATTAAAGCTTTGGAGCAAAGGGTGGCTGAGCTCGAATCAATGCTCGCATCTTTAGGTCAAGCTAGAGCCAGCAATGACCATTTGAGAGGAATAGTGCCAGCCGTTTCATCGCCCATCTTACCAGAAGTAAATATATCAGGCACACGCCTTTCACGACACTCGCTTCAACAGTCTGACGATGATACTAATGATGTCCTTAATGCGGTGCGAGATCTGTCACTATCCGCGTCTGGTTGTTATGTTGGGGCATCGTCCAATATCACCATTGGACGCGTGCTAAGTTCCGTTCTTCGTAGCGAAAAGAGTCCCGTAGCGGGCCACGTTGAGCACTTCAATGCTCCTATCGAAGAAAACGACCCGGCCCCAAAATCTATTCTCTCAACTGGGTTTAGTGATATGACTGGTGAGCCTTTCCTGGCTCCGACTGTGGCCCACCGGCTACTCGAAGGGTGGTTTCAACATGTTGCTACACGATATCCAGTCCTATACACAGCCAACGTGATGGAACTTCATAACAGTCGAGAGACCTTGACAGAAGCATACGACAGAAGTATTTTACATCTAGTATATGCCGTGAGTGGACGATGGCTGGAATCTGCTGGTGAGACGGGTCACTTCTCTACTGATCATCACTACAATGCTGCATATCAGAATATGGATGCGATTCTTCAACTGCGGGATTATCGGACAGTGGACTACTTGCTGCTGATGGCACTCTACTGCACACGAGCGCCCCGTAATCCAGGAGCATGGACATATGTCGGAGCTGCTATGCGGCTATGCATAGAGCTTGGCCTTCACCGTCGGCAAAGACGAATACAGCCGGGCATAGAGTTGGAAATGAGCAAGCGACGATTCTGGACGACATACTTCCTGGATCGCGATATTTCTATCGCTATAGGCCGGCCACCGAGCCTCTCAGATCACGACATTGACGCAGAAATGCCTCTGGATATTGATGAAGACACAAGTAATGATGATATAATTCGGCAAGCGTCGATGCATCTTGCAAATATCCCGGCCAGCCCGGCCAACAGTTTGACATCATTCCTACACAGATTGAGACTGAAACGTGTTGAGTCGGAAATTCAACATGAAATATACCGGGTAGATCAGCCGAAGACAGTGTCGGATGATACGATAAATGATTTCCTAGATCGCCTGAAGTCGTGGAAAGACGCCATTCCATTCGAGGCAAAAGCATTTGCTCATCAGTCTAATGTGCCATATGAGGGCCTCGAGCTGTACACCATCCACTACCATCGTTGCGTACGGTATCTCCTATATCCTTCTTTGGCAGAAGTGCCTATTAATGGGCACTATCTTGAACTATGTGCCGAGGCATGTTCTGGTATTATCTCGGACTATCGACGGCTCCACCGTGTTTTCCCAGTTGGCTTCTCAGCTCTGAGTATCCAGTCTGTATTTCTCGCAGGTGAGATTATACAATATAGAATCAAAGATAGAACCTAACAGCAAGCAGGGTTGACTCTAATCTACTGCGCATGGCTGTCACCTCCAGGCTATATCAACGTTGACGGGTCGCTTACCGATTGTCAGCTACTGTTATATATCGTGGCTGAACGTTACCCTTCTGCACGGAGATACCGAGACATCTTTGAACGAATCAAAGTGGCAATTTTGGATATAATTGCCCAAGGAAAGCACGAGCCGCGACTTCCAGTTTGTTTGGATCCATCAGCACAAGAAAGCGTCGCGGGATTCCAAGGTCAGTGGGGACATGGTATGGCGGGAATGGGCAATGAGTACAACTTCATGATCAACAACATGATTGGAGCTCCGGTAACGACTCCACCATTTGAGCTTGAACTAGACCCAACAGCCACATGTCTGTTAGGCGAATACGCTCAACACACTGCAGATTTTGGCTTTCCAGTATGGCCCACTATGCCACAATTACGAGAAGGTTCAATGGCATGGATGCAGTGAGGGGCAACTTTCAGTGAATATCATTCTGTAGCGATCTTTTGATGAGCACTGTTATCCAGACATGTAACAAAAGGGGTAGAGAGGTCGTATTATGTCACACTCTATATAGTAAAGTCGTTGAAGACCCATTTATCCACTGTGATGCCTCATGAGTGGTAAGTCTGTTGGTATCTACCTTTTGACTCACTGGTGCTGATGCATATATTAATATGTTATCGAGGTGAAAGGTAACTGGCTGCACCAGAACTGTACACTGCTGTTTTGAGCACTTTACTACAGCGCTATGAAGATGGAAAAAAGCAAAACATGCTAGGCGCAGACTAGAAATGGGCTGATAAACCGTTTAAACCCCGTTAGGTCTTTGCCGACTGGTTGTTTGGACTAGGGTAGGATGGACTACAAGATCTCCGATTCTGAAATACCAGTTGTTCGAATCTGGCTACGGTACTATCAACAGCCTCATTCTCGACATGGTACAATTAACCGATGCAATTAACTGATACATGCACTACTAAATATATCCATTTCTCCTTCTTCTATTTCTCCACCAGTCCGCTGATCCCTTGGTGCGTAGTAATCGTGACGCTGCGCGTCTTTGTCGAGCATAGCCATGGAGAGAATATGTCTCGATTCTTCGATGCTAATACCCTAAATCGTATCTTCCCACACAACAAAAATCTCCGCATGGGGCCTATATTGTACGCCTTGCCAGCCGCTGCTGCTAATGAGATGATTTGTTTATCTGAAAGACGCTGTCTCTTTATGGGCATGGCCGTCGCGCAGAGGCCTTACTGTCCTCGAGCTTGTCACGCCCGTTGATATCGATTTTCTTGTCATGTTTGCGTACCTCTCAATCGCGGCACAGACGAGGATGCTGAGAACCGATTCTGCCAGCAGTTGATGCGTCTCGGGGCGAAATGGTTCAATGGCCTACTGAGGTATGAGATCGTTGCAGGCGTAACTGACGAAGACGAACGATGTACAGCCGCTCTCGAGGTAGGAGAGGTAGGGAGACCGAGTTTTATGGAGAGAATATGGTTTTCTGTAGGTATTCCTAGTAGTGATGGAGAAGGAGTTTGGGTTGCTGAATACGATACAATACTACCATTTATGAAAATAGCCACAATATTGTACCCGAGGATGCTGCCAAGGTGATACTGGCAAGAGCGATGAACGGAACGTGTGATATCCGAAAGGGCATCGGCGCCAAGTTCTATGAATATTCAGACCAATATGAAGGGGCAGCATGCCTAAAAGCATGGGAGGAAAGACCACAGTAGAGCACGGCCCACTTCTTTCGACTCGATATAATGTGTCGTCCGTATAAGTGGTCGAGAGAAGGTTTAAGACCAGACGCCTTCGCTGCTCCTTTCTCTCTATCCGCCCACAGCGAATACATCCACATAGATTCAATAACTAGCCCCGGACTTGGAAGAATATAGGATGAATTTTTTTCTTTCCATGAGAAGGTGCAACTAACTCATTCCTGGACACTGTTCCCACAGACGGCTTTTTCGAGCTGGCCGACCGATAATATCTTGACAACACATAGGCTGGTTTGATCTCCATATTTACAATGATTATTCGAGACTGTAAGGGATGAATCTGATGTTATGTTATAATACGATCTATTCATTTCGGATTTCAAAGCCTTTTCAGTGATCCGGTTGAACACGGGCAAGCCTTTTCTTGCAAGATTTCGTGCGAGCCTTCATGAAAGAGGCCTATAGCTCTTCTACTTGCTTGTTCAAAATTGCTAACTACCCTTTCATGGATTCACGTTTAATCGTTTCTGTAAATCAATCACGGTATCTCCATAAACAATGTTGTAACTGTAAGGCTCACTTAGTAGAGGTTGTCCATTTGCAGCGTCCGCTTGCCTTGTAAAAATCTCTTAGGTCGCTAGATTAGTACTCAGGTGGGTGGCCACTGGAAATCCCTGGTGTTTCATGCTTTTCTGTATTGATAAGCTAGCTTCTATGTGTTTTAATCATACAGAGCATGGAATCTATGTCCGCTGCGCGTTTCGGAGTCGTATGACAGGCAATTTTGTTGGTCGAACGGATGATTGTGTCTTTCTGGTACAGACCATGGCATGAACACCGGAATACACTGCACGCCTCTTACATGGGCTGTAAATCAATTTGGTAGATACTAATAATTTGATGTTTGGGAGGGTAACATCGCCTATTCTATCTATGTCACGCAGGCACGTAAGTGCTTGGTACTTTAGTCCAACTACTGATATAAAACCATCTGGCACAATTAAACCACCGATAGACATGTCACAACCATGGTAGGGTTCAATCCATCCATGGAATATTGAGGGCGTGAATAGCCAAATGTATTGATGTATCCGAACCTAAAAGACCTCATAGAGCACAGTTGACGAAGCTTTGGGTTGCTCCCCACACATGCAGTCTTGTGGATGTTAGAACTGGATGATCCGCTTGCCATGTCCCGGGTTATCGGAACGCTGACAAAATCGAACCACCGATCCCGTATTTATTGTGATACGTGAAACCAGAGATAGACAAGTCAGATATCTGAGGCCTAGTTCTCCAAACGCATATCTATTTTGAGACACCTGCACATACGAAAATCGTCAACAACATAGAAACCGATGACAAGCACATCGGCCTAGATGCACCAAATTGAAAGGTCAGAGGCCACAGAATTGTGGATCTATCCCCACAAACTGCGCCGCTGAGTATCAAGCGATAACATCATCAGTGTTGACTGAAGTCAGTTGGGACATGTTCGTGGCAATGTCTTAGCTAGTATGCAAAGGCTTCAATATTGGAAGATGAGTGGGATTCCAATCCAAACTCCTACTCTCACATTATCTAGACTTCAGTCTATAGCTATGTACTGCAGACCCGTCAGCTGCAGCAGTTAGTGTGCCTTGAGGCGAAACTCAATCGTGGGTGGATCAAGCTGCCGCCCTCCGGAGAGATGCATCTCCTTAACCTTGCCTATAGTGGAGCGATTAACTAGTGTTGCGGCGGTTTAGAGAGAAAGGCACTGCAGTCGTGATCACAACGATTCCATGCGACCGACGTTCGGACTCAAAGACCAGTAGTCCACCAACTCTCCTTAGTTCCATACTCGCACACAGTCTTAGCCTATACACGACCTTTTTGTGCGAGTAAAGGTAATAAAACCGGACTTGTCTTTGCGTTCGTAATTGGAAACCAGACTAGATTATTCTTTGGACACAAATTGATCATATGCGATGGCGCCACTTCATGTCAAACATTTCATCAATGGAGAGGTGTTTAGACCCTGCTCCAAAAGATTCCACGACCAATGCTGATGCCTGCTAGTTTGTCGACTCCGCCAACAGGAAGACCTTTGATCTCTTCTCGCCCTATTCAGGTGATCTGGTTGCTAAGGGTGATTAGTTTTGCTACTTCCGGAACATAGTGCAGGTACTAACAATTGTTTAGTCGCCGAAGCAACAACCGAAGATGTTGACAAAGCAGTCGCCGCAGCCAAAGCAGCGTTCCCTGCGTGGTCGTCTCTATCACCTCAACATCGAGGACGTCCGCTCGCAAGGCTCGCTGATCTCATAGCTGCGGCAGACGCAGAGCTCGCAAACGCCGATGCGCTCGCTCTTGGCCGGCCCATCAGCACATACTTTGATGGCCACTACGCCGCGTGCCACTTTCGCTACTTCTCCGAAGCGGCCTATCCCGTGGGCACTTCGTCATTGAACACGCCAGGCTTCTTGAACGTCTCATTGCGACAGCCCTACGGTGTCTGCGCTGCTATCATTCCTTGGAACTCACCGCTCATCTTTTACAGCAAGAAATTGGCACCGGCACTCGCGGCTGGAAATACCATCATCTTAAAGACTAGTGAGAAGGCACCGTTATCATCGAACAGGGTAAACCGTATGCTGAAAGAGGCCGGTTTCCCTCCAGGGGTGATTAATGTAGTGCATGGACACGGTGCCGTCTCCGGAAATGCTATCTCTAATCATATGCAGATCCGAGCTCTGTCATTTACCGGTTCTGTCCGCACAGGTCGCTTGATCCAGAAGGCCGCAGCAGATTCAAATTTCAAGCACTTGATCTTTGAGCTCGGTGGAAAGTCCCCTGCAATTGTCTTCGAAGATGCCGATCTAGAACGTGCGGCGAAGGAGACTCAGCACAGTATCATGTGGCATTCTGGCCAGACATGCATGGCGAACAGCCGTATTTACGTTCAAAAAGCTGTTGCGGAAAGTTTCATCAAGACGTTCAACTCCTTGGCTGCGGCAAGGAAGTTAGGCGATCCGACCTCAAAAGAGACCCAGTCCGGTCCGCAGGCGGACAAAGGCCAATTCGACACGGTACACCGCTACATAGAAGAAGGAAAGAAGACAGGCACACTTGTTGAGCCAGGAACGAAGCTCCCTGAGACAAATGACGATCTGTTTGTTTCTCCAGTAGTATTCTTGCAACAGCCTGAAGATTCAAAGATAATGAAAGAGGAGGTATTTGGCCCGGTGGTCTGCATCAACACTTTCGATACGGAGGAAGAAGCTCTTCGACTTGCAAACGACACGGAGTATGGGCTATATGCCGCAGTGTACACTAGTAACATTGACCGTGCGATGCGGTGTGCTAAAGCACTGGAATCTGGAATGGTAGGTGTAAATTGTACTTCCCCTACAAGTGCTTGGGACATGCCTTTCGGTGGCTACAAGCAAAGTGGCGTCGGTCGAGAGAGTTTTCTATCAAGTATGGATGACTGGTTAGAACACAAGGCCGTGTTTATTCGGGTGGGTAGCTAGGAGAACAATGGCGTTGGTCATAACCTTGATCGGTCGGAGGCTGAGTCATTCGAGTGCGCGGAACAGGTCGAAATGACGATACCGATTCACTATATTAGCCCTTGCCAGGTTCAAGTTGATGGCGATTAACTCCAACGGCCCCGATAATGTCCTCGTTTCTCAACTTCAAAGCATCCCATTGACGATGAACCACGCAAGGTTCTACTTAAAGGCAGGTACTGTTAAACTATAGCCAAGGCCCATAGATTATGCTTGATTAGTGTAATTAGAAGTATACATCATGGTTCGTATTGTAGGAGTATCGGGAACCACTAGTTTCTGTTAAACCCAAACCTCCGCCATATGCTCTTCTTCTCATCCTCCTCCTCGACTGCGTCGCTCTCCTTGACGACGCTCAAGAACACGCGCTCCATGGTGGCGGCGCCGATCGAGTAGCAATCCAAGCCCAACTCCTGCTTGTACTCCTCCAAGGTCTCGATGAGATACCGGACAAAGCTCTTCTCGCCTTGGTTTTCGTCTGCCTCGACAGGGGACACCAGGTCATCTCCGCTGGGATGGTGCTTGGGCGACTTTGTCGGCGCTGAACCTGGCACCATGGCGTCGGCAGGGACCCTGAATCTGACCTGTCCTCCAAGATTCTCGCCCTCGAACTGCACGTTGCTTCCCGTGCTCGAAAAGCGCTGTAGGACCCAGTCCGCGACGTTGCGCATCTCCTCCGGCGACGAAAGCGGCGCGCTTTTCAAAATGAGGTGCACATGGTATTCGTTGCTATGCCGCTTCCTCAACTCCTGCGTCGTGCCGATGGCCAAAAGTCTCCTCGCGATGATCGCAGCTCTGGTGGCCAGGGCATCTGCTTCTTCCATGCTGTGGGTGGTGATCAAGACACTTCTGCCCGGGGCGACGGCTTCGAGCGTCTTCCACAGCACACGCTTGGAAGCGGCATCCATGGCGGAGCTGGGCTCGTCGAGCAGGAGGACAGGTGGGTTGCCGAGGAGGGCGATGCCGAGAGACAGCTTACGTTTTTGCCCGCCGGACAACTTGGAGGCTAGTTTGTGCTGGTGGGCAGTGATGCCGACCTTCGACATAACGTACTCGACATCTTGCCTGATGTCTTGGACGCCCTTGCAGCGTGCATAGAAGGTCAGGTGCTCGCGAACGGTGAGCAGATCCAGCGCGTCAAACTGAGGGCAGACACCCAGGTGGGTCTGCGCGTGGCGCTTGTTCTTCTGCACGTCAATGCCCTCGAGCAGGATGGATCCAGAGGACGGTGCCATCTCTCCGCGGATCATGTTGATGCACGTGGTCTTACCAGCGCCATTAGGGCCTAGAAGGGCCAAGATTTCGCCCTCACGCAGGCCTAGAGACACGTCTTCGACAGCGTGTGTGCTGCCGAAACTCTTGGAAACATGCCCCATCTTCAGAAGGTCGGTCTGTGAGGCTTCCACGCGTGCAGTCTCAGTGTCAACATCAGAGCGCCCGGAGAACCGTGATGCGGACATCTCCGCGTCGCTCGACGAGAACTTGCGCCTTGAGAAGTTAAAAATCGTGCCGTCGAGCCAAAGCAACAGGGAAAAGAGTGCAGCGATCTGAATGATCAACAGGCAAATGGGACCGCCATATGCGAGGAATGAGCCGGGATTGTCTATGGTTGTATCTCCCCGACAGCGAACAATGTACTGGTTCATGCCGAGTGCCATAGCTCGGAGGAGATTCTGAATTGGAAAAATGAGGCCCAAGCCAAAAGTCGTGCCGTCAAGTGTCCTGGCGTTACCAGCCAGGCCATCACCTACAACAGCAAGGGTGATTATCGATAGGATGAACTCAACCATCATGATCAATATAGACCAGGCGATCGCGGCTGGTTGCGACGATGAAAATGTAGAAATGATGTATGCCATAAGCATCGCAGTAATACCATACAAGAATTGTACGAACCAGATGTGGCCAATGGCCCAGAAATTCGTATGAGTTGAGATAAGACTTGTGCATGCGATCGAAATGACCAACACGAATACCAGATCGAAGAGCATATATGATAGCCAAAGTGGCAGTGCTCGGATTCCATTGGAATATTGCAATGAGCGTACCTTTGATCGCCGCTCGTAGGTTGGATAAAGACAAAAGAAAGCAGGATACACAGCCATCAAGAGACAGAAAATAATGGAATATATCAGTGAGTTGCCTGGTAGTTGTGTTAGCGGCCCATCATTTTCGCTTCTACGAAGCCGCAATTTAGATAAAAACAAAAGAAAAAAGAATATTGGTAAGAGGAGAAGGTCCATGCAAGGAATATTTTACTCACCCATGCGATAAAACGATTGCGACCTCAGCGTCCCGGAGTTTATTGTTATGGGCATACCGAATCGCACCATATTGAATGCATTGATGAGTGATAGTTGTGAACCACCATATCGACCTGCTGGAATCGCGAGCAAAGGTGCTGTCATATTGTCCAAAAACCAGCCGCCAAAAGTGATATTCTCCGCGTGGTCGCTCAAATATTGAGTGAAATTATGCCGGTCATTAACAAAGGTTGGCGAGTTCCACTCGGGGTTGTAGTATCGATAGGCATTCGGGTTGGCTTCGTTCGTAACCCGTACCATGGTCTCGTTTGTGGAAACGGGCCCAACGAGGGTGCCGCTAGAAGGCCAATACCATACAGGATAAGGCTGTTGAACCTCGCCAATGAGATCCTCGCATTTAGGAGGATAAAAGTTGTCCGCTGGAAATCGGTCATTTCTCAAGAGCCCCCGAAGAAAGTAGGTTGCCACTATTGGAATAGCGAGAGCGAAAAGATAGGCCCACCATTGTGAGCGCAGGATAATAATTCGCTTCAGAATAAGAGCTTGAAGTTGCCTGAAGAAGATGGCGTGACGCGTTGGTGCCTGCTTAGGAACGGAACTTGGGTTAATGTCTTTCGCTTTTCCGTCGATACTCTTTCTCTCAGAGGCACTATCGCTATTCAGAACATGAGGCTCGTCAGAAACCTTCAAGAAAACGTCTTCAATGGTGGGACCAGTAATAAAATTCTCTGCATCATTCGAATCCTTGAGCGTCGATAGCAGCCGCGCTGCATCGGATGAGCTCGGCGTTGTACAAATGTAACGATCGCCGTGGTCAGCGACAGGGTAACTAATATCAGATATATTGGTTGTCTTTGGCAGGTGCACTCGATAGCCGCCTCCGTATTGATTCTTGAGTTCAGCCGGGGTACCTTGGCATTTCAGCTTGCCTAGAGACACAATGACAATATGATCAGACAGCACTTCACTTTCGTCGAGAAAGTGCGTAGTGAAAACCATTGTGCGACGAGATCGCTCAGCAAGCACTGCGTTCCAGATGACACGCCGGGAAATTGGATCAAGCCCCGATGTGACTTCATCCATTAGACAAACGGAGCTTCCACCGACCAGCATGCATGCTAGTTGCAGTTTACGTTTCATGCCTCCACTGAGATTCTTTGCGAGTGTGTTTCTCTTGTTTGTGAGATCGCAAGTTTTGATTAGATCTGCTAAGGTTGTAGTATCGTCGGTGCCACTCTTAACTGTATTCCAGAAAACGAGATGCTCCATGACAGTGAGGTCATCCCATTGGACGTTTCTCTGTGGGCATACGCCAATTTGAGATGGCAGTGCATTTATGTTGATAGATCCGCCCGTTGGTCGCTGAAATCCAGCAATCATATCTAGCGTAGTTGTCTTTCCGCTGCCGTTGGGACCGAGAAGACAAAGAATCTGGCGCTTTTGACTGGCTAGACTCAGACCATCTACGGCTTTGATGACCGGTTTTCGAGCGCCACAACAGCAGCAAAGCACTTTTCTCCATATCGAGGGCTCGTAGTGCTTCTCAAGGCCGGCTGTCTCGATAGCAACATGAGATCCTTCGGCATCGGGATCTCTGTTGAAACTACGGCGACGCCTGTTGTTCCCATGCATTGCATGTTCTACCAGAATGGCGAGAGCGGAGTACCCAATGATCTGAATAACCAGGAGAATCCAAAGAATATAGGGGCCGATATTATAAACCCATAACTGGTTCGCCAAAGGATTGTAGACATCATTAACTTTGGGTAATGGAGAACCTAGGTTCGTTGGTAGCCCTAGGAATTCACATCTGACCATGAATCCAAAGAAGAACACATAGTTCATGGATGGAAAAAGAAGGGCAAGGATGGACATCTCCCCCACTCCCGCAGGCTCCGTCGTCATGTTTTCTACAACGGACGTGATTACTGCCAGGACGAAAGAAATTGCAAAAACGACTGTGACGGCACCTGCGGCCTTTCGAAAGAAAGCTGTTCCGAACACAGTCGCACTTGTCGTCGCCCAACCAGCCAAAATTTGCCAACATATAGTTATGCCTGGGCTTGTCGTTGGGACAAGCATGTACCAGTATACTAGGCTTTGTTAGCGTTTCAGTCTCTAGTTCACAAAGATCAGTGAACTTACAACTGCCAAGGATGATCCACAGTGGGAAATAGAGTATATCAAAAAATAATATATAGCTGAGCACCCGAGATACTGCGGCGCCTCCACTCATGGCGTCAATAAGTTGCGACATGCCTGACTCCCTTTCGAAGGCCACCATGCTCGAGACGTGATGGACGACAGTTGACATAGAAAGGAAGAAGACAAACCCCAAGGTGAACAAAGCAAGACTCAAGAAAGATTGGCGGGCTTCCTTGTCGTGTTCCTCCTGGCTGCCGTATGCATAGGAGTACACCTCTGGCAAGGTTGATGAATTGGCAATAGCATTGTCAATGGCCACCTGAAGGGGCATCCAAAAGTTTTCATATATTGATTCGTGGTTCATAGGATCGAAGCTGTTTGATTGCCTGGTCGAGTCTACCTGAATCGTGTAGTTCCAAGTAGCATTTGGCCTGCCGCTACCAGGGGAGTCGTTCAAAGTTAGGATAGCATGACAGTTCGAGTTGCCATGATAGTCGACATCACAAGCATCCCAGACCTGGTCTGGACTGGCAAGTCGCAAAACTTTGGCGTCGTCCAACGGCTCTACAAGTCTGCTCAGTGCCTCCTGCGCATCGATGGCAAGCCCTGGCGACTGAACAATGGCGAGTTTCTTCGAACCATCTATGGTTTTTTCCAGGCTTTTGACTGTCTGTGGAGTTCCCACGCCATATTTGACGGTCGTTTTCGTGAAGTTCGGGATTTCGAGTAGCAGAACGACAATCAGGATTGGAAGAATATATGCACGAAAGAGTGTCCATCCCCATGACCGTACAATTACAATTGTAAAATTCTTCTTGGTAAGGGCCCATGTTTGACGCCTGACCGATTCAATGGCAGTTGCCATACCTGCAGGTTCCTGTGTTGGGCGGCGTATAGAAGAATTGAACAAGATTCTATAACGGAGATGCATTCATAGCGTGATCGACTGGGAACGCGCTTCGTAGGTTAACAATAAAAATAATCAGTCAACCATAATACCTGCGCTTGCTGCCGTTTTTGTTCTTTAATGCTCGTATGTCTGGAACCGCATCCACGGGGATGAATTTTCCACTTCTTTGTCGATTGTACCGGTGTCACACAGCCTGCGGGTATCTTCGAACCAGCACATAGCCGAATATAAATGGTTAGTCAGTCATATTCAAACGAAATCAGAAAAAAAAATGTACAAGCGAACGGGCCAGAAACGCCAACATTTCCGAGTACCTTTTCTCTTTGGTCGGAATAGACGAGCGGGACGGGCAATGGCTCAGCAGCAAGATCATCGATATCTTTTTCCAGGCAACAGAATAAACTATGCAGACAGTGGAAATACCGTTACGGGATTGGCTTAGCGATTTTAGCACCAACCTGGGCATGCTTGGCACGCTGTATATGATGGGCTTTTGAGTGTACAGTAGGTTAGTCTAATTCCCGTCTCCCAGCCAAGCGCAGCACATGCGAGATTCGCAAGTCGGTTCAGCGACTTCCTTAACGGAACGAGCAATGGGCCTACCGCCATTCTACATGCTAACCCCCATGATGCATAGAACACAAGTCGGGCACAGTAATTATGGGGCACAATTTAGTTCATGGGCCTGTGTCTCATCGGATGACCAGATTGGGGGTTTCATTGAACGCAAGAATACGGATCCTGCATTCAGGCAGCTAGATTATTTGGCCTGTAACAACACGAAAGGATTGCCAAGTGGCACCTTGAAATCTCGTGATCCTGATCCCTGGAAAGAAGTGCAGTTGCTCTGGAATGCAATGAAGAGTCTCCATCGTGGAGCTGTGCTGTCCGGACAGATGCGAGTTATAAGACCGACGATTGCTTTGCTTCATTTCAAGTTGTCCAAGAGGTATCGTTTTGGTCGAGCCAAGGGTCGCTACGCGCCGCAGTGCCAATGATACTGCCTAAGACATCACATACATCATGATGAGCGCGATTTAGCTGGAGAAAAACAAGCAATGTTCTTAATCAACCTGTACAAACCCGGCATTGCACCAATACTGTAATTGGGCGTGTGGCTTTGTGTATTGGACACTAATATGGCCCAAAGTTCTCTTCGTTGTGGTCGACTTAAAATTTTGGACCCGCCTGGTAAGAGTCAGGAGTAACTGCCGTCTCTAGGACACCATTTCTTCAAAATAAGCTTATTGAATATAGCTTCCGAATTGAGACAAGCTCTACTAAAACCTGCATTAGCGACTGGTCGGGAAATCAAATGGAGCATTCATGTCTGAATGGGACAGGTTAAACTGCATCAGTAGAACCCAATCTTTTACATCCACGTCGCCCAAGTATAGGCGGCTCAATTACAACCTAGCATCAATATTGAATGGGTCATGCAATGGAAGCTTGAGTGAGATATGCAATTTAAAACGTACCGTACACTATCGTACAGTATCGGGCAAGCCTGTCGCCCATGAACCGGGCGACGCAGACTGGGATACGGTCAATTTGATGCTATTGGATAATGGTGAAAACCTGGTGCAGGATCAGCACGATGTTGATTCATATTCAGGTGCCGTACTCACAACATCTCCATTCATGTCTATACGCCGGATGGGTTTGCAGAAGCAGTATCGTACAAAAGACAATTCAACACCGAGCGTGGCGCCTGAGCCTCAAAATCTGTCTTCAGGCTTCTTCCAACCAGCCGTCCGACTCACTTGTCCAATGCCGGAGAGCACATAGTCTACACCAACTTTCACAATGCTTTGACGCTTGTTCTTGACATCTGAGCCATGAGATGGCTGTTCCGTTCCTATTGTTGGAAGTACGTTGTCGCTGGCGGACAGGCTGACAAAGAGCGCGAAGGGGATCAGCCATACGCACAAACCGAAATATGATGCAATCTCGGCGAAAGAAGGGATGTCTGGTTGATCGTAAATGTTGCTAATACGGGAGTAGGATCGTGACTGCGCTGCGGAAAAGTAACGGAACCAGAAGTAGTGGTTGACAAGGACAAGCACTAAGGAAAGCATGATCAGCGCCTCCATTCCGGGTCAGCTGCATTGTATGATGGGTTGTACGTACCACAGGAAGCAACGAACAATGGATCAGTCAAGCGTACGAAGGGGAAGCGTCGCATATTGCCCAGGTAGATGACATGTGAGACTATGCTCATCATGGTCAAGGTGACGGGGAAGCCATCAACGAGCCATAGTATAGCCTGCAAGACAATAATAGCGTAGATGAGCTGTGTGAGGAATCGCTTCGCAAACACGGTATGCTCTTCGACGAGCTCGGAAAGATAGTAGAGGCCAGAGGCTGCACACAAGGTGATGGGATCCCGTCAGCGCTGCGCCTCTAAGAACCAATCCCTAGAGAAACTAAACACCACACAGAAGTAACATACCTATGGCTAATGTCAAGAAGCAGAAGCCTACGATAGAGCCAAGGTAGCCGACTAGGGGTAGAATCCACATGTTGACGATTGATGCAATCAAGGCATTCTAGTGAGCATAGGATGTGTGGTGACCAAGGTTGTTAATTAAAGTGATTGATCTACGACTGGCTGCTCGTCGCGGGTGTTACGGTTGCGGGCTGCGTGTCCACAGCAGCACGGCAGAGCACAGCAACATGCCTGACCCGACTTCGCGGCGACGATGAGGACACCGCGCACATACGTCAATCGTCGGCCTTCAACTGGAGCATGCGCTCTGCCAGGTGCCACCACAAGGGCATGCCAGATCTGCCACCTCCGCCAGGTACGGATCCGTTCAACGAAATGTTAACTATGTAAAGGAGGGGGGGGGGGGGGGACGGCAATCGGAGTTTAGATTAGCCTACTCCGGACCGACTTGATCCTTGGATAAGAAACAGCGAAAAAGCCCCACCAAAATTTTGGAGGGGTCAATCAGCATTCGGGGGCCGACAGCTTCGATTTTGCGACTTGACCGATTGAAAGCGGTGAAACTGCTGCAACTCCTACGCGACAGGACAGTACAGGACGGACAAATTACACACTGCGTCTTCAGCCCTTACATACATACAACGGTCGCCCAACATGTCGAGACCCGAGGACACGCTGACTGCCGACGTGCACTACGACGATACCGAAGCTCGAAAGTACACGACCTCCTCGAGAATCCAGAACATTCAGGCCTCCATGACACACCGTGCGCTGGAACTGCTGGACTTGCCTGGTCCGTCCTTCATCCTTGACATCGGCTGCGGAAGCGGTCTCTCTGGCGAGATTCTATCTTCGCTATCACCCGAAGAAGGCGGTCCCCACATGTGGATTGGCATGGACATTTCCGCCTCTATGCTGGATATCGCATTGCAGAGAGACGTGGAAGGCGACCTGATGCTCGCCGACATTGGACAGGGTGTGCCGTTCCGCGCAGGTGCTTTTGATGCGGCCATCAGTATCAGTGCCATCCAGTGGCTGTGCAACGCCGAGAACAGCGAAAGCTCACCGCAGCAGAGACTGTCGAGGTTTTTCAACGGCTTGTACGCTAGCCTGAAGAGAGGAGGAAGGGCCGTCTGTCAATTCTACCCGAAGAACAACGAACAGAAGAAGATGATCACCGGTGCCGCCGTCAAGGCTGGTTTCGGTGCTGGTCTACTCGAGGACGACCCGGAAACCAAGAACGTCAAGAACTATTTGGTGCTCACAGTCGGCCAAGCTGTGGTCAACGGGCAGGCCGGCGATATTACAGGAGTCGTCAAAGATATGGAGGGCGTTGATGTCATGGATTACAGGCACAAGGGTGTCAGCGGGAAGGGCGATATCAAGAAGGGCAGCAAGGCCTGGATCGTCAAGAAGAAGGAGCAAATGGAGCGGAAAGGCAAGGTCGTCAAGGCCACATCGAAATACACTGGACGAAAGAGAAGAATTGCCTTCTAAGCATGAGACGCGAGGGTTTGTCACTGCATTTTGGCGGCGGAGTTTGGAGTTTCCGGAAGGGTTCGGGTGCTACATTTGCACATTTCACTTGAGCGGCGTCTTCATGCCAAAATAGATTTTTGTTCCCTGCGTGTGAGCTTTTGACGTTGGATCCAGCTCTCGCATCTCAGGCCATTGGCCCGGGTCTGACATCTGTTACCGTAGCGCTTTAGACAAGCTTTGCAATGCACTACACCCTGCAGTAATGAATGTGGCTCAAGGATGCGACATTATCAGTCTCTTTCACCAACGTCAACCGTTTGCATATAGTTGCTTATAGCCCTTTCTATTGCGGCCCCTGAACCACGTTGGACGTCTTTAGAAGTATGCTGGTCAAAGAGTGTTCATTTGCCACTGGGTGTGACACTGATACATTTGTTCTAGTAATACGAACAGCCATAAGGTTGCGTATTCAAAAAGTTTGTCACAAGCTCTTCCGGTAACTTAGCTGAGAAAAATGGCCTTGGATGAACCAGACCAAAGACTGTGCGCATTCTAGTCCCATAGGTTCAGCCTATAGACACAGTGGTAAGCAACCAAACCAGCGATAATTAAGCTTCATTAGGCCATAATCGATTGTATTATCAAATCGATACTCCATGAGTAAGGAACAGAAGCACGGAGTAGCGTAATTCGGAAGAAATGCTGCGACTTACTTTAATTCCACGGCTCGATGTTATAAGATGATGGCTATTTTCACAACGCTGAACACAAGACCTTGGCTGATGGTACTTGACGCTCTTGGAATAGAAGATCCGCATCCTAAATTAGAAGTATTGTCAACCGCTGGACGACGAGGATCTAGTAGTATGAGGACTGGACATAGGAAATTATCTCTCAGGCATTGAAGACGTTTTGGGGCCAGTAGGACTCTTATCCATGGCCCTGTCCTTCTAAACTGAGGTCAGATCAATTTTGCCCCACATGGTACTGCAGTACTCCGTAACAGCAAGTTTTCACCTTGGTTCCAAGGGTTTTGAACCCCATTAGCCTCCCAAAGTTCAACAACAAATCGTGGTCCGCTGAGCAACAGCAGATTCATCCGAACACCAACCAAGTCGCTTTAGCTCACTTGGGAGAGCGCCAGACTGAAGCTCCAACTTCAGTTACGAAATCTGGAGGCACTGTGTTCGATCCACAGAAGCGACATATTGTCCTGTTTTTGACGTTTTGACATTGCCGGCTTCTTTTTTCTCTTCTTCATGTTGTTTGGAGGCAGTCGCCTGTTCCTAATCGTCGATAATGTATTATTTGATTCTTTGACCAAATAGCGGTGGGTCGCATGTTTTTTTAATGCACACATGTGGAAGATAGTGTTGCTTGGCGGCTTATATAAGCAGTGCCTACATACATACCGCATTATAACAAGAAAACTCACATGAGACCCAAAAAAAAAATTGGAATGCTCGTTCTGTAAGGCTCAATCCCATCCATTTAAAACTGACGAGATAGTATGGCACGTATCACGTTTGTTTAATGGTTATTCCCGAGACCATCTGGAACTTGTCATGATATTTGGATGTCACACTCCCCATGCAAGGCATCGATATTTCGTTGCCAGACGTGATTGAATTGCGCCAAATATCGTAATCAGATTCGGGGTAACGCTTGGCCTATATCTATCACTGTCCACTGTCTGAGGCCTAGCTCTTCTCTTTGAAGCGAATATCACAAACGGCTGCCGGTGTTACGGTCCCTGTCATACTCCTCAAGACATGAAATATAATATGATGTCACTAAATTGTCATTCGGAAATAGCAGCAGTACCAAGCCATTCATTCGTGTGTTCCCCTCCCCCCTCTTTTTTTTTCTTTTTCTTTTTTTCCTAATGTTTTAATTTTCTTATTTCTTTACTTCGGCACATCCAATAGTTATCAAATTATTTGTCAGGGCAAGATCAGGTACCGCTAATTTCACAGTAGTTTGAATCATCATCAGTACATACTTGCTCCGACTGTATAATAAAGAAGAAATGACCTGCCCAACATGGGCACAATGGGCACTATAAAGTGTTAGAAACACTCACACCAGCGGAAATAACATGCAAGGTATCTTTGTGTGAATCTTCAAATATTCATTCGCGATTTGACAGCATGCTCATCTACACATCAACAATGGCAATTGAATGACATTAACGAGCCGCACCACATCACGATAAGAGATTCATCTACGTCAAGTTGTAATCTCAAAGTGTAACCTCTGATGATTGTTTCACCACATTAGTGCTTTGAATACACAATCTAAATCAGGTGAGACTTATATCACTATTGTAACACATCGAATGTCACTTGCGTGGAATGATAAAGAATTGAGCAAAAATGTTAGTCCATGATCACAAGCAGCACGAGCTACCAATCTAACCCGCCATTCTGCGTCTAAATGGTCAATTCAACATTACATCATAGCCTATAGGCTTCTTACTTCTTCTAGTTCGCGATTGTCGGTGAGTCATGCTCCTGATGGGAGTATTGATATTCACCTATTTTACCCGGAGCTTTCACCACAACAAGCATGGTGTCCCAAGTCACAGTACATGGTTCTCATCAGTGGGCCAGAACACACATCAGTTGCCATTCTCTGCTTGTATTGCATGTTGCTTGGTACCCCACCTGCAAGTCCTTCATACGAAAAGCTGACAACTCTGTTTACTTCAGAAATCGACACTAGCCAATGACTCCTTAGGAACGTATCGCCATTTCCCCGAGAGGCAAGCCAATGCACACCGGACATGCCATTAGTCGGCGCAAGCGGATCGAGCAAACCCTTTTCCCCTGACAATGGGCAACCTCTGGTGCAGGGGTTGTCAATCGCCCATGCTATCCGATACATAGCCATCTTCCGTGGGCTGGGAGATGTTCTGTACTTCCATAATGGCAAAGAGCTCATGCTACGAATTCCTACATTTCGATCTAAAGGAAATAATGGTTACCCCGGGCTGGCTTCGTCTGGAGTGGGAAGCAACACGAGGATAGCATGCTTTGGGTGGGTACATTGGTCAAAGTTTCGATGCCACGCCTTAACGACTTGCACCCGATATGTAAAGGACTGGCTTCAAGCATCACAAACAACGAGCATTTGATGTCCTGTCAAGAGAGTCAAAGCTGTGGCCGAGGAACGAACCAAAATCTGCCTTGTGACCAACATGTCTCCTATTTTAGAGGAATAGACAACCTTTGGCACTGCCCCATCCAGAACGAACTTTCGACTGTTCTGCGGAGAAGCCTGTCATGACAGACGGTCACCTTCCAGACAGTTTAGATGACACGGCGATGGCTCACCACATGCCCGATGTCTCTGGCTATGCCAGACATGGGTCCAGGGATGAAGTGCTGGCTATATGGCAGAAGGCGGACTGGTCTTGATGAGTGCGGCAATACACCGCCTTTCACCTCTGGTGTTACATGTCATCCAGAATAACCCCCTCGCAGCTGATACTGAAAGTGCAGACTGTATACTGGTATAGAGTGCAGACTAGAATGCCGGTAGGTACGTAGCTGCCCTCAACAGGAGCTTTCGCATGCCGTCTCCTCTGCCGGCCTCCTTTTGAACCAACTTCTGGTCATTCTTTTGTCGATGGTCGTCATAATCCGGATGCGGTTCATCTGGAATGGACAGGGTCAATTGTATGCATTTGCTATCAAATCAAATCAGCTGCCCATAGACTGGAAAGGCGTACAGTAAAGGCGGCAGTGGTTGATCGCGTAAGCTGTAGCCTTTCATCACATCTCATGTACATGTGCATGTGCATGTGCACGTCGCAGCCGCAGGCCACTTAGCTTAGCGTCATAGAGAGCTACAGTACCGTCAAGACCAGGTAAGGTTAGGCAGGTAGGCTCGTAGGTCGAGTACCCCTGAAATTGACTTGTGGGGAAATGCGATGACCAGGCTCAATCAAGATGCTCAAGCTAGGTTAATAACTAGTCTAACTCAAAAAAAGACTGTCACTGTGTTACCCAACGAGTTTCCCGGTGGGTCATGGCTGTCGTATTCACATTGGATACATTTGCGTTCACGGTTACGTTTACATTGACCTACAGTACAACACCTCCAGCTTAAGGTGTCACGTCGCCATTTCGACCTCGCACAAGCCAATCTGTGGCATTCGAGCTGAGCTGCATTAGCTTGTAGCTCGCGCAAATACAACAAGCGTCGGCTCGAGCATCTGTGACGATGCTGTCCACGCTGGGATTACTGCTGGGCACATGCACGCTGTTCGCCAACCTGGCGACCGCAGCTACGTCGCATCCAGAGAGCGCCCTGCCGTCCTACCACTACGGTGCTCCCATTACTGTGGAATGCATGAGCCGGAGCATGTATGTACTCGCCGCCCCTCCTCTTGCTTGCCTTTGTGCGGACCAGCCCCCGGAGCTAACCGTGGAGAAATCGCCTACAGAGACACGGGCGAGCACATCCAGAACGAAAAGGACGAAATCCAATGGATACCCTTCCCAGTCTGCAGCGAGACTTCGAAGCCACTCGAGTTCCATTACGGCCTCGAGACGGAGCAGAACTGCACCATTGCCATGATCGACGACCCCTTCTTCCACCTGCTCGAGTTCTACATCCACAGTGATGCGCCTCTGGCCTGCAGGTTGCCCGCGAGACCAGCGCCGCACATCGAGGCCGTCGGCGAGGAGCCCTACAAGCAAGAATACATACCATTGGTTTTCGCCCTCGCAGGCACACTGCAGCTGAGCCATCTACACATCAGCACACACCTCAACGTCCTGCTGCACAGTACCCCAAAGCACCATATCCACCCCCACGACAGTGGCGTGCTGGATTCTGGAGCTGCCTACAGCACGAGTCCCTTGAGCCACATGGAGGGAAGCCAGACCAAGAGGCTTGTCATTGGCGACCCCCTGCCCTTGAGCTTCAGTGTGCGCTGGTTCCCCACCCCTGCGCTGCCCAAGACCGAGGGCAAGGTCGAATGGGCCGGTATGGGTGGGCACATCTACGCCAGTACCGTGTTTTACGGTCTGGTCTCCTTCATTGCAGGCGCTTTGGCGAGCACCATGTACTTCTTTGGTGTTATCATGCCGAGAAAGCTGAAAGGAAGAGGTCTTGGGGGTGCGACGCCGCTCGGATACGGCGTAAACGGGAAGGGCGTTGGCAATGGATGGGGCATTGCCAAACGCATTGATTAATGTCGGTACATATCTTGTAATGACTCCAGTCCGGGCTAGGCTTCGATACTTCTTGTACATTGTTTACGATGGGAGACACTCATGTTTAATACGATTTAATGGGTCATGCGGCACAACCCGGAGTTGATGTTTATTCTAGGATCTCGGGGAAAAGATACCCAATTTGAACGTGCGGCACATCATCGCGGATATCGTTGCCGAGAATTTTTAATGCCCTCAAAGTAGGGAAATCAACTCTTTAACAATATCATATCAAAGGGGCCTTAGTTGCCAAAACATCTCAATCTCAAAAACGACTAATGCTCAAAAGAAAGCCCTCAGCACAATCCCGCACGTCATTTCAAACTCGTGTATATGCGGGCTAGACGACTCAAAACTGATCAAGACCATCAAGGCCCTCATAATCTTGATTGCTTGCGCGTTGGGTTCAGACCCGTATGGCAGCTTCGGCTATCTGGTTATAATATTTTACATGAATGACATGGTCGGATCTTGGCCGGATCACAAGATACATGTTAAAATCGCCAAGAAAACTTAAATATAGACATATGTAGTGCCACATGAGGGAGATCAACGGTAAAGAGGACGTAGTTTTCCCGCGCCTCCCTCAGAGAGCAAGAGAGTTTACTGCACCTTCTTCCTCCCATCAATGCCATCAAATCTTTTGGAAATCCGCACGTACATGTCAACGCTCAGAATAGCAGCTGTTCGTCACAAATCAGCTTTTGTGTGAAGCAACCACGCAAAGACGGTGTTAAGAGGTGAGACATACCAAGTGCGAGATAGGCGCCGTAGAGGCCGCCTAGAAGCGTCGTCTTCTCGCTCAGGCTGACCAGCTTCTCGTCCCACTGCCACGCCTCCCACATGCATGTCGCGGTCGTCAGGACCGTCTCGACGCCGTAGACAAGAAGCAGGAGCTCGGCCTTCCCGTCCAGCCCGGGAGCGCTGGGCCAAAGCTTGCGCACCGCCCACACCGAGACGGGCAGGTGGATGACCAGCTCCAGGAGGGCGAAGAGCGGGAAGAAGGAGGGGACGGTTGCTGGTGGAGGGGCGAAGAATTGGTCCTTGTACGCCTGTTTGGGCCCGGTCAGTCAGCCATGCATGCCTCCGGCGGCCTTGTGTGGCTCTACGGATCGTGCAACGGAGTTCTAACCTCAAAGTAGTAAGCACGTATGTCGCCTAAGAAGGACAGAGGCGCGCTGGAGGTGGCCCATAGCGAGCGCGGATAAAAAGGCACGAGGTCGACGACTAAGTATGCGATGGTGAGCTTTAAGAGGTGGTCAAAATGCGTCGGCTCAGGAAATTAGAGCTTACGGAACAGGATGGGGATGTGTAAGGCAAAGTACACCAGGTACGCCTTTTCAAGCAAAGATCGCTGGGAAGTCATTTTCACAATACTGATACTTGGTCGTAGTGGACACCAAATATGGACGAATGTCCTATTGTTGCGCTGCGATTTGATGTCTCAAAACGACCAAGGCAGGACGTGCTCAGTGGAAGGTAAATTTGGGAATGTTGCTTGGTAGTGTGAAACACCTCTACACACTGTGCTTACGAACAGTGTTTCCAGTCGGCACACATGCCCGAATACTCAATGACTTTTTTCTTTTCCTTTCAGTGACATTCCCCTTACACAAATGAACCAGCGGTTAAGTATCAAACTGCTGCTGCATTTAACAATCTACTATATTCACAACCATCATTGATGCCTCTAGTGTTGTAGCTCTGCAGTCTGCACTGAAAAAGCTCTGCTCGTTCCCAAATCGAGAGCTCACAAACATGACCATCATTTTCTCCTTGCTTTGGCTGCTGCTACGCCGATAATAAACTCCACTGATCCGATTAAGATCGCAACCCGCTCGACCCAAATCGTTGCTCTCAAAGTCGACATTGCGAGGCTTCGAATTCTACTATGTTGCAGTACCCAATTAACAGGTGTACCTGGCATAATGTGCTGCGATCATTAGGGGGCTATCAAGTTGGGAGCTGGGCTGGGCAGCGATGAATCGTTTGTTCAAGTTCTGAAAGCGCTGTATTAGTTATCTTCTCACTCTATAGACGTAGAAATTCACAAAGGCACATTATCTTCCATGTGTGATCAACATCTTGTTAAGTATTGTACTACGCGATCCTCTATGAACCATTCATCAACTTAGTGGCCTTTAGTAACATTATTTCTTACATCGGTAGAAATGGTTGTAGTTTCCATGGACATTTTGTACGTGCCAACCCACGACGACGCCAAATGCCAGGGAAACTAGACGGTGACTATTAGCAAGCTTAGACATATAAACGGCGACCGACGACTCATGACGAAAGACTAGCGACCTAGCAGATACGGGACCCTTTTTCACCCGAGTAACTGTATGACCGTAGGCACTGGTCTGGCAATTTATAAATATATTCAAGATCTGATCAGCCAAGTCGTGTACCGGCGAATTGCTAGGACCGATACCAATAACATCCTACAACTTGCCTGAATGACGCTAGTAGATGGAGGATTTGTAAGTGCAGATATGTGCAGAAGGAACGCAAAAAACTAATCGTTTCAGCAGGTTAGAGTTCCGAAAAGCCGGATAACTTGACTTTCACGGAAACGCGCCATGGTCTTTCGATCGAAACTAACTATGACTTCTAGGCCTTCTCCATGGCCATTTTTTTTCGGTAGTCGTGGAAGTATGATGGGATATCTTTTGCCTCGCATCTTCGGTAGCCTCACGGCATCGCACATACCTATCGTCTCGCCCCAGTCCAGCTCGTAGACGCCCTCATCGGCCCACGAGACGAGTGAGATACCACCATGGCGGGGGCCCAGCTTGACGGACGTGATATCTGACTTTGAGCTGACGAAACCCAATGCGTCCTCGATTCGTGGTTGATCCACAACTATTAGCGATGCACGGATGGCAGATGAAACACGCGCCAGGGTCGATATGAATTCGCTGTCTAACGGCACATCCTCCGCGGGCTTCTTCTCTGAAAGGAAACAAAGATCCCTTTGTGCCACACAGGCTTTCGTCATAGCAAATGCCGCCCCGAGATAGTGTTTCGGCAGCGGTTCGTTGAGTCGCGGGCGAAAATTTACTGGAATCCCTGCCGTACATGTTATAGCAGCATCGGGTGCAGTTTCAGGATCGCCTGTCTGCTCTGCCCAAACGGTGGCACTCCAGAGCAGCGCTGCAATTATGTCGCCTTTCGAGACCCATCGAACGCCGTTGTCCAAACATGCCAGATGCTCAGTAACGGCAACCTTCAGTCGTTGCAAAGTTTGCCGAGGGAAGTAGAATATAGCAGTCTCGTAAGCCACGTCTCTTGGGGGTGTCCCCGTTGCTTTGCTTCGGGCACTGCGTTCGATAATATGAACAAGCTCTGGATTGGAGTCGAATGTTTTGCCTGCCCATGAAGCTGAAATCTCAAGTAGTGGACCTCGATCGCACCAAGAACGGTTGAACCCCAAATCAGTCGCGGGACTTGGCCAACAATGCGAAGACCAAAGTTTGAGCAACGCTCCAAGGCCCGTTATGTCCGTAGTACTGTGATGAATTGCAACATATAGTATTGCACCACCTTTGACCAACGACAATTTCGCTCGAAAAACTGGCACAGGGTTCAAGAATGGTGCCGTCGTATCTGGAGGTTGGATACTGGCATTGGTCAATGCAGTAGGCGGAAAATTGTTTGCTCTGAGGGTGGCATAGTCCAGCACATGAGATGAATCATAAAGCGTCATTAGCTCGTCTAATGTTTGGTAAGGCTCGGTCAGCCGAACTGAACCACGCGGATGTTCCTGGCCAACCACTCCGGACAGCAAATATGGGACATCCACAGTGAGTCTGCGAAGGCTACTTTTGAGTAGTTCGAAAACTTTATGATCGCCTCTTGGAAAGCAAAGGATTTGATTGATAAAGGTTCGCGGCATAAGCCAGTCCACCGAGGATAGCATCGTTTCCTGAGCCATAACTAGTACTCAAGCTCGTTTATGTGCTTCCAGATCAGTTTGCAAGTGACACCCAGCATGGTTCGACATATTGGTCCTTGTACACTCAGAGATAAGGATCTTGTTAAGTGTGTCGCGAATTAGTAAGCAATCCGTCACGATGAACGACCACTTCCGACGTCAGATCTCATTAAAGACATAACCGCGTTCACATATAAACATTATTTATTGAGTTTTGGATCAGTGTTACAGTTCGGTTTCTCGAAACGAGATGCGTTGGTCGCCGCCATGCCAGTCCAAGGGCTCCTACTTGCTAAGTACAAACATGAATGTACGTCATAACGCCGGTTTGATGCAATATTTACCTTTCAGCGCCCTTATCTCAACTGAGACGACAGGATGATTGAGTGCATAGAATAATGTGCTGGGCTGTCGCCGGGCCTGTCTTGACAATATACGCCTGAACCATTTGTGCAATCGATGTTGCCCTGGTGTATCAAATTCAAGCTCCGGATGGAGAGCCAGGGGTGGTTGACCCGCGAAATCGTCCTACCAATCTGCAGCCCAGCCATTCTCAGCCAGGAATTCTTCACAAGCTTGCTTCAGTGCCAAATTCGGCCGCAAGTCACTCGCTGACAGAGACTCGCGGGTCAGGGGATCTGTGGCCGATCTCCGGAGGTGCTCCAGTATCGAAGCACGTTCGTAGCTCTTACCCGTCTTGGTCTATCGTAGAAGTCAGCGTGGGGAACATACTTATGAGGAAGTGTGAGTGCTGCGCACAGTAACAGGATCAACGAAGATATTAAAACTGATCTCATCGATCATCCAATCCGGGACCTCCCTCTTTCGATCTACTGGATTTCGCGCGCTTTCAAACTTTCTTCGCAACCTTTCCACATCGGTTTCCCAGTCCCGCATAATGTCCTGCCTGTCACTTTCACCATCGCAATTCTGTAGCATTTCGTCTCGCTTCTGCTCGAGTAGGTCAAGTATCTGATTCTCGAAACCTTGATCTTCGCGCTTACGCCTTTTCTCTTGATGTTCCCACTTCTCTTTCTTACATCGCAGGACGAGCGCAGTGACCTGGGGTAAGGACTTGTCGTTCTGGCTGACACACAGGGAATGGGCTCGCAGTGCAGTGGGTAGGGCGTCCTCGTAGTTGCGCGTCTCAACCTGAGCCTGTGCCAGATAGTAGTTCGCTTTCATGGAGTCAGGGTTGAGTTTGAGGCAAGCTTGACAATCGGTGATGGCCGAGTCCCAGAGCTGTAGCTTCAGCCGTGCAAGAGCGCGGTTCGTATATAAGGCTGGGTTCGAATCGTCTGCAATTATGCTGTTTTGGCACGGTAAGCGTTAGCAATCGGTGAAAACGCCCCCGGCCCCGGAATGGGACCACCTCCTGGCAACACTTCGTGATGTACGCCGGAGATTTTCTTGTCTTGAGAAACATACGCTTTCGAGTAAAGGCCATCCGCACCCGTGTAGTCCCCGAGCTGAAACAATTTGTTGCCCTCATTCTTTAGGGAGGTTGCCCGGCTGGAGTCTTTGTCTCGCTGCATGACGATGGCTTAGGGAGCACACGAATACGGTCCTTGAGATGTTGAAGTGATATAGGATAGGCAAGCGCGGTTCGTCTGGCAGGTCAATGCGATAGGTAGATACGATATTTAGAAGACACTGTTCCAAGCAAGTATGCAATTCAGGATTCGATGAATGACGACAACGTGTGGGCGTATGTGAAATCAACCGGTGCACAGAAAGGCTACAATGAAAGAAAGAATCCACAGGGTATCAGTCAACATGAACTGTACCGAGACCAAGTTCCACTGGGGATGCGCAACAAAGAAGACCCAAGAGTCAATTGCGATGGTCGCATGTTTACGATTCTTGGATTCAGCTTCGCCCTCACCCTCGCCCTCGCCCATGTCAACTGGCGCGACATACGGGTATTACGGTATTGTTGGGGTCTCGCATCGGCGCACACATGCATGCATTTGTCAAAGGAAACTTCGAGAATACAGGGTCCAGACTAGGCTGGATAGCGGAAGTTTAGAGTGCTGCCACTTTTTGTGTCTCACTGGGAACCGGCCCATTCCCGGTGGATGACTGGTAAATAACTGCCGCAAGACAATTGCGGGGTTCAACAATAGAGTGCCCATGCTCAATTGCCAGTGCACTGCATACCTAATGTTAGGTTGGGTTAGGTTAGGTAAGTAAAGTAGAAATGCACACTGCAGGATGACTGGGTGGTTGCAGACTCTGAAAGCACTATTGACTAGATTATATATGTTGCACGGTAAAGTGCAAATCATGTCTTGCATTTCCCTTCTCAGTATTACATCATACAAGTAAACGTTTTCCCAGCACATTGGCTGCTCGAGGAGGTCGTGGCCGTTTGGTGCATGATCCGCAACAGAAGCATATAGAGAAGGAATACTACCGACCAACTGACCGTAAATGTTTTGATCAAGCCCGAGCCTTATGCCTAAAAATAGCAATTTATGTTCCTGCTGGGCTAATATTTGACATTGACATTGTCAAACATGGGGTGAAACCCATCATCGAGGAATGTGCAACTCAACAGCGGGCTTGATTATATTCTGGCACCTCTCGTGGATCTCATTCATGATTCCCAAAAAACCTCTGGGAGGTAGGTAGCCTTGGACCCTAGGCTGAGTTACTTACGCTTGCCCGCTTGTTCCTTTTGCTTTGTAGCAAATTGATCACGGCTTGATCAACTATGGCCCCGGACCGATGTCTACCAAATGCCGGACGGTTGTGAGCGATGCGCCGCACTGCGTTTTGCATTGATCACCACACCTTAGTCTTTGGGTCTTCAAGCGCGTTGATCGTTACCTTTCGGAGTATCGACGTCCCACGCATCACACATAGTACGCGTATTATGGCTCGATTTCACAGACTACCGGTGATCGCACTGTCTGACCCTCTGTCGTACTCTACTGTATGTAAGCCTTGTCCGAGGCTGGATACCCATCTATTGCAATGTACCTACTGTAGCGTATTGGCCTGCAAGGTTCTAAACCCACAAAAGGGTGAAACTTCCCCTTCAGCTCCAAGGCTTGCGGCACCAAGACCCAGTTTGGAGGCTGGCTGGGAAGGTCCAAGGGTCTATAGCAGCCCACTCATTGGAGTGCAATTTAATGAGGACAAGCTCTCGATCATGAACACTACTTACATGACAAGCACATGCTCATGCTCATGCACATAACGGCGCCGGAGAAGCCCCTCACTGCGTCGGCGTACGGTTCGCAGCATCTACACTGATCGCGCCAATGAGAATCTTGGCATCTGGACAGGGGTTCGAATAAATTGGAGCTAGTGACAGACGCCACGGGCGCGCGAGTCACATTATCACACTCGGCGATGAGGCTTAGCCGCACAACGACACCTCACTCAATCTCCAATCTCACAGTCCGGCGCAAAACTCCACGCTGACTTATCCGGTCTCGTTTCAATTCAAACACAACTTTTTGCTCTGGTGCTCATGTCTTACTACCGGCGGTGGGCCGAATAGGCTGAACTCGTCGAGGCTATGGCTGCTTCAGAGTACAAAACTATCAAGGTGGAACAGCAGGCTTCAGTCGTCCCTGTGTGGCCATCAATTGAGAAAGATGACGACGTCAAATCGCCCCAGTCAGACCTTGGGGGCCCCAAGGGTGAGTCTCCCAGGAGCGCACTCACCGAAAGTGTCAGTCCTACAAGAAGTGACGACACAGAACCCATTACCGGCTTGCCGCACGCCGTGACGTTGACGGCGCCGGCCAAGTTTCGTGGCCAGCACCCGCCCGGACTCTGGGAAACCCTCAAGCAGGAGATCAGGCATCTGTACATTGATGAAGAATTACCCCTCAAGGAAGTCCGAGAGATGATGATGAAAAAGGGCTTTGTCGCAACGTGAGTGAACCAAATGCGATTGACTTGACGTCGCATCACGCACTGACCAACGTACCAGCGAAAAGATGTACAAGGACAAATTTGCAAAATGGGGTTTCAATAAGAATAACCGCAAGAAAGACGTGGCAAAAATTGTCAGTCATCAAAAACAGCGTAAAGTAGCTGGCAAATCGACTGTTTATTACCGCAATGGTAAGGTCGTCAATATTGAATCATACATCAAAAGAGCGAAGCTATCGCCGGAAGACCTCATAGAGGCCGCCGAGGAAGAGACACTACCAAGCTATGTCAGGTCTCGGACGCCACCGCCAGATTCAAACCCCAAACCGGAATACTTTCAGCCGATGGGGTACTACAATGTGCGGGACCTATTATTTAAATGCTTCCGACATTTGGGCGCCAGAGCCGACACGGTCCTTGACCAAGATACCGCAGTATCAGCCTTCGCGGACTATCCAAGGACGGATTTCTACCGCACGGTTCGAAACCTAAGAGATGCGGCCTGGCTGTTCGAGGAGAACCGAACACGGGAAGGCGGCGTGCTCATGCGTCGAGCCTTTGACCACCTCCATGTACTGGTTGAAGATCCAAGCCCATGGGCTCTCTGCGATTTGCTTATGTATCAAATGGCTGTGACCCAGTACGGGCACCAGACCCTCATCTGGCAGTTCTTGTCTGAGTACTCGTCCACCGGAAAGGGGCCCTTGGATTGGCTGCGCAGCGTCTTTCAAGCACTACATGACTTTTTCCAGAGCTACCCACTCGAGACATGCCTGGACTTTCTTGCCGAACAGGTTGGGGTCATTTATCCGTTGATGATGGTTAAAGATACGCCGAGGAACGCAAAGTCATTCCTCCAAGGTGTAGTTAACAGCAAGTCGCGCCATCACTATCATATACAGCCAGTACGCCGCTTTACCCAGGCTATTGAGTCTCAGTCGTTCCCTAGATTGAAGGGTACACTAGAAGATGACGATCCTCTCTTTCGGTTCCATGAACTATTTACCATTGGTCTAGAGACGGGATGGAGAAATCAGCGCTGCCTAGAATTAGCGACAGAACTTTACAAATCCGAAACGGATCTCAACTCTCGACGCCTCTCCTTGAGAGCCCTTGCGTATTATCATATGGGTAATTGCAGGCCGGAGTCAACAGCAGCGGCAGCAAACAACCCGCGGTATGGATACGCAAAACAGTACATGCAACAGGCCCTGGATCTTGCGCCCCATGTCACATTTGGTGGATTAAGTGGTGGTGCTCTCAGAGAAATATGGGAAGATTCGAAACTACTCGAGCAGTGGCACTTGGAAGATGGGGATACAGTTGCGGCCGATGCGCTGGTCCAAAGTAGGTCGGATACACTCACACAATTTGTGGACTCTCTAGAAATCTCGCCATCGCCAATGGCTTCCCCAGTACCTTCACCGGTATTGCCGCGAAGGTAGGAATCTTCAGAGAAGGCTGTGGGAAGCGCACAGCCTTGCATTGCCAAGGAGTTTGTAGGTGTATGGATGTGGATATGGTCAGGTACTATTGGTGTTTCTTTGGTTTGGCATATTACGGAATGAACGATCAGGTGATAACCAAGTATTTCCTAGATACGCAATTATAGTATATCTGAATTGTTACTTCTTTTTTTTTTTTTTTTTTTTTTTTTTTATACATAAAACCTACTCTAGATTTTATGGCCGTTTCCCCGACGTGGTAGTCGACCATGCATAGACCCGTGGACAAGAGAGTTGTGAAAATGACAAGTAGTGCCTAACTTGTGAAAGCTGTAAAACGTGTTTCTCCCGCCTTGTCATACCAGAAGAAGAAGAAAACAGCACTGTCCTCTGAGCAAAGCCCACTCAATAAGCATTGGCGGTAATGGCACGATGGTAAACTGTACATATAAGAGTTGCACGCAGTCACATAACTCGAATATCTACTGGTCTGGCAGAAAGGTGGCCACCCTTATTATACCACCGACTTTGCATTCATGATAATTACTAAAGTCCTGGGCTTTTCGCAGTATTTTGTGTTATGTTGGTACAGGCCACTGGCAAATGATTGCAAATGATTGTGAGCCTGTGTCCACTACTTGGACGGTACCAATGCAGGAACAGAACATTGCAGTGCAGTGCAGTGCCATAAACAAGCATATAGCAAGGTATGACTCGAGGGCGTTCAGCCATCCCGATTGGTTCCCAACTGACTGGTTCAGCCACGGGGGCGGCGAAGCCGCATGCCGCACAAGCAAGCGACGGACTTCCTAATGTGCTAATAACCTTAAAAGTTTTCCTTGTTATGCTATATTGAATATCGCATTTATAAATATTCACACTCGATATGTTTTGTCTTTTGATATTCAGTGGGGGGGGCAAGGCGGGAAGGTATTTGACTCGGTTGCTATATAGCCAGGGTTGGTTCAAGGGAACGTCGCATTACTGAGACCTTGGCTGGCATCAATTCCGCGATCCGGCCGCCATACCTAGTCATCTTTTGGACAGGGCATTCTTTTCCCAAATCAAAAGCACTATTGTGGAAATACCAAGTCATTGGAAACGAAACAAGGTTCAACGGCTTGTCATTAAGAGGGGTATCGCTGCCGAGTTGTCTCTCTCTGGAACGACGCGCTCTGGCACCCGCATTCCCGAGAGGCAGCCGTCACGGTTTACGTTGACGTTTGAGATATGGTGCTAGAGGGCCCCATCATCAACCTTAGCATTGATCATGCTACTTACCGTCCTGCATCATTCCGCGGACTTGCACAGCCATCCGCCATGAAGTCGGCGCCATGGCGCCGCTAAGCCGATAGCACGACTGGGCAAACTGGGCTCTAGCTCTAATTATTCGTAATGCCTAGCGCAGAGGTGCGACCTAATTCGTCTCTATTGTACTAGAGAAGGGGAGGACCCTTTGGTACCAGAAAAAGACGGGTGGACGGAAAGAATGGCGCATTTATCATTTTACGATCAATGAAAACATTTCAGGTTCGTATGACCAGAGCTCCCCCTGGAGGGGTCTGTCTCGATTCCGTCATTAACGCTCCCGTGTTGATTTACCAGGATGAGAATGGCCTGGGGGAGATCCGCCCATCATCTTTGCTGTTACCGTACTTTCGCATCGATGTTCTTTCGCTTAACACACCCGTTTGAGAAAGCTGGCTGGCCTGAGAAATTCAAGAGTGCCAGAAATGGCTGTGCTTGGCAAATTGGGTCGTGATGCCCCAGCAAGAAAGGGGATTCCAAGACTCCATCGCATCATGCAGGATGTGAGTGGGGCGTGCTCGAGCTCTCTAGTGGAGTGTCACTAAGAGATTAGTGGGCATATCTTAGTAGCATTAGGTGAGGAAACTCTTAAAGCAGCGAAGAATGGAGCATCGAGCCCACACCTAACCACGCCTTCGCACACCCAGCACGCCCACGCCGTCATGTATTCTAGAATGTTTCGCCATTTGATTCCTGATTGCCTTGTAAGAGTCTCGTTGCGTGGATCCTCTCTCGTTTTCCATATTAGTAGCCGATGTCCCTCTTCATCCGAATGTAGATCTGCGTGACACTAGAAGGATTCACACACGCCTTCAGCAACTCACCTTACTACAATTCAACACACTCATTTGGTCCTCCCACAGTTGAACCTCTACCACTACTATTACTACTACTACTACTACTACTACTACTACTACTACTACCACTGAAACTACCACAAACACTAATTCAACATCTCTTCTGTTTCTATTTTTATCGTCTTTGTACAAATATCCAGCGCATCACTTTAATATAGTCGACTACAGATCTATATACACAAAATGAAGATCAATACTCTTGCACTCTCAGTACTATACGCATGCCTTGCATCGGCATTGCCAGTCTCGCCCATTTCTGTTGCACACAATGAGTTGAGCGTTGTCGTCGAAAGAACAAAGTCCAGCAACAAGGCCTGGGATTACGGCCATGTGGATGCACGCGCCAGCATCGAGGGTGACGGCGACGAGAGCTGGGACTACGGCAAGCGCGCAAGCATTGAAGATGACGGCGACAAGAGCTGGGATTATGGCAAACGTGCTAGCATCGAGGGCGATGGTGACGAAAGCTGGGACTACGGCAAGCGCAGCGACGACGAGGAAGTCAGCACGAAACAATCCTGGGACTATGGAAAGCGTGGTGATGATGAAGAGGTCAACACGAAACAGTCTTGGGATTACGGCAAGAACAAGGCTTAAGCAAAGCAACCAGGCGGCTGCGGATACAACGCTCAAGGCCAATTGCGTCATAACCGACGACGACGACGACGACGACGACGACGACTACACCTTGTCATTTCATAATGTACCACATTTGTGTGGCGTCAGAACTCAAAATTTCAAAACTCCAAAACTAGGATGTATCTTGGTTCTGGGCTGTGCCGCATCATCATCATCATCATCATCATTTTTAATATACCCCTTGCAAGCACCGAAGTAAAGCAACGAGTTGGGCCCAATGCTGGCGACCAACCATGGTATTTGCCACCATGACTAGTACGCTTGATGCTTGTCGAGCGTGTTAGAGTTGAATTACCAAACATTAGATTCGGTGGAAAGCAATTATACTGTACATATTGTACGTTGGGAAGAGGAGCATCATTGGACGGGGAGGCTAGCGACATGTTTGGGGCGTTCTGGATTCTGCTTATCTAGTCATCTGCTGCGCTTCTTAGGTCCCAGCGGGATTCTAGTTGTTTATAGTTGAAGACAGAAAACGGCATTTATTTGCGCACAGATTTTCATAACTCGGGCCGCTCCGGCGGCGCAGCGCATTGCAGTTTATACTTGGGTTTCACACTTAGATGGATTTTTGGGTGGTGAAAAGTACGTTTAGGCCCTGGGCAGCCAGTGTGACGTGCTGTCAACGTCCTCCCGACAGCTCCGTACCAAGCTTGACATTCCACATGTGCAGCCTTTTCATAACATAAATCATGAGAAGGCAAAGCTATTGCAGCTAATGATTCAACATGCGCTAGACATTTTAAACATCAACTATTTGATCAACCAACAATTAGTCTACGGCCAGAAGCGCTTGCAGAAAACACATCTCAGCAAATTGATGAATTGAAATTGTGGGGCAACGCCCGGCACTCAAACGGGATATTGAGTGCATGAGGGGGCATGGGCACGCTGGACGCACATGTGTGGCGTTGCTGAAGACAGCGCTTCTCACTGTACCATGTATTTCTTGGGGGCGGACTTTTCAGGGGACGCGTTTGCGTGCAACTAACTTAAATGCCGGGCTAACGAACGTGCCCAACCTGAACGCTCAATCGCGTTCCTTTTCGCTAAAAGCAGCAGGGGATTTGGGAAAGATCTGAGTTTGCTCATTGGCTGGGAGCCACGAGACCATTCGTCAAGTCCACCACCGCCCCCTCCTTCTCATGAGCCCCTAATACCAGATAGTCTTGACCTTAATCCCCAAGATGCAAAGAGTAAGAGCTAGAGAGGGGCGCACCGACTGGGCGGATACTTTGAGCGCGCGATGACGGGATGTCGGTTCTCAGCATTTGCGCACTGCGCATTGCACCACGTGTTGATAATCACGCGGCAAGGCACAGGGTAAAGTAAAGTTCGAGTTGGCACCGCTAGCTCAGTATCGGCTATACGGGTCTTTTGCCTCACATGAAGCCCCTCTCCCCAAAAGGTTCCGGAATCAAAAATCTCGAGAGAAAAGCAAGGGTCCGCATTTCCCAAAGGAACTTCTTTTTTTAAAATGAAGGAGGAATATGCGGCGGAACCCCAAATTGAGCTTGCATACGTCAAACTCCACACATCATGCAAGCGAATCCCCGATCCTGGTTGACATGAACCACAGAGTCGGGTTGCCCATTCATTATCGATTGCATCCTCACGGCTCTCAGAACACACTGCAGAAGGCAAGATCAGCACGTTTGTTATTACTAGTGGTTGATCGGTGATATGGCGGGACGGATCATATCCTGAACAAACTAATTCTCAAGGCGGGCCAGATAACCCCAACCCATGAAAGCCACCGAGGGGGAACGGATGGGGAGTTCGACGATCTTGCGGGAGCGAATTCACTCATCGCTGAGTTTTAAGAAAAGTCTCGACTGTACTATGGCGCCCCCCAAAGCGCGAAGCGAGCTCCTTGATTAACGGCTGACCTGTGATCCGTGAGTGTTGGCCCGCGGGATCCAAGCCAAGCAAGCCCTCTTTTCAGCTCGTGTTGCGCTTACGACGGCCAGAGCGGCCTTAGGCTCTCAACTCTGGAGTCGCCCAGGCCCCAAGTCAACATCGTTTGGTCTTGACACTTTCCCACTCATTTCCTGGAGCCTGAAACGCCCGCGATCAATAAAAAGGGCCTGGGAACTCCTTCAACCAGGCGCTCGCCAGTAATGCCAAGTATATCGGCCGGCGTCTGGGCTAGAATCCTTCCTGGGTTGGATATATCATAAGCCAGCCAAGGTCGTGTTGAGCAGATACTGTGGTACTCGTGACTCACGATAATGTGATACCTGCTGCCATGGAAGCACGATGGAGTATCATAAACGAATCATACCGTCATGGCGGAAGTAAGGCCGATGAGAAATATTCCGACACAAGGGTTGGACCCAATGTTCATGGCAGTGAGTTTCCAGAAATCCGGATGGCATGCAAATCTGCAGCGGAGACAGTCGGTTCTCGGTTGCCGAAAATCCAATTAGCAACTCTCATTACCCAGTCACAACAAAGGCTACAAGGTCATGGGTGGCTGATGGAAAGTGGTGCTTCTAGTTTTGCCGAGCACATGGCCCACGCGAGCCTCGCTCTGTGCCTGGTATTTCGCTGATATGGTGGCTTGTTGGACGGCCTCACAGTAGCTAAGTATCTGCCGCACGGCTAAGACCAGCTCTGTTAGCACTATTGAAATTGAACTCACTAAGTTGTCACTATAGGCTCGAATATTTATTGATCTGGCCGTGATAGCTCATCTTAGTCCGTATCATATGACATACTGGCTTTCCACTTAAAGCACCTACAACATGCGGTAGCTTCTTAGGTTATCCCATGTCATATCAGTGGAAGTCCAGTAGCTGTTAACTGAAACCTCCGTATGTGCCACTTGTATCGTGTTACTTGATTAGTTTGTGGTTGGGGGGTGGGACTTGTGGGACTTTGTACATGATCATGTGTGGTGTTGACTCTCTACCTCATTTTTCCCCCACCTCTTATGTGCCTCGAACTATTAGAAAGGCCTTCTATGTACCCATCAGACATTTATTAGCCTGCCTGTCCATCGACATCTATAAGTACATGCCGCCAAATGCTATGCAAAGCAAACCAGCCCATACAAAACGCAACAAACCAACACGACGCCTGCGATGCTGTGTGTTCATCATGGTCATATAGTACTAATACATCTGGTGTTACCCAGGTATCATTGGGTTCATCCCATCATCGAGATTCGACGTTTTCAAGACAAGGCTAGAAGTATGCTCCACTCCCTCCGGGGGGGTCTCTTCGTCCAGGAGTTGGTCTCGGCGGCGATCCTGTACTTGATTCACTTCTGCTGTCGTTAAATCTACTCCGCCTCGCTTCGTAGTCAGCTGCCTCCTGTGCCTCATCATCACTGCCACGTCTGGGCGGACTGGTCGTTATGTCTCGTCCATGTCGTGCGGCTCTCTTTTCTTCTAAGTAAACATCGGGGTCGTCGTCGTCGTAATAATCATCGTCGTACTGCGGTAATGCAGGCATAGAGTGTGAATCGCCTTTAACAAGTCCGAGTCTCTCCTCCTCCGTTGCATCCTTCACCTGCGGATTCGAGTAACCTCTGCTGCCAAGGCCTGCTCGTGAGGTCGGCTTCACGATCGAGGACGCTTGGCGCGCTTCTGGTTCCTGTGGTCCGTCAGCTTGATGCCGGCGGAACACATTTTGGAACGAGAATTGCCGACGCGCTGAATTACCGTCGCCCCTATGAGGAGGGGGTGTAGGCGGCGGTACAGCGAGCGAACTCGAGCTGGCGCCTATATTCGGCGGGTCATCGAACTGGATATGGCGGCTGTTACCAGCGGATCCGACACTTGCTGTAGATTTCGTAGCAGCCAAAGCGCCACCATATGAGGTATCTTGGCGTCGGAGGCTATCCGGCAAGCCATAGACGTGCTCGTGCGTAGCACCGTAGGGGGTTTCGTCGCTGCTAAGCTTATGGCTAGGGATGGCGATATCTGTAAGTTGCATGGGATGCATAGGACTTTGCGTCTTTGGATCCCTAGAGCCAGGCCGAAAATCGGGGTGGCCAGGAAGAATACCGCGTGCCCGGCTGCGGACGGTGCCTGCAATGCTGGACAACAGACCAGGAGATGCTTGACGGTTTCGCTCCTCCTCTAATTCTTCCTCGGACGGGAAGTTCGCCATGCCTAGTGGCGGATGCGGCGTTCTGGGGGGAGGAGTGAAAGGAACACCCTGGGGTACGGTGTGCGGGTGAGTGAAAGGGTTCGGCGAGGTCGTAGGTCGACTCCTCTGGCTCATCATAGTTGTTCGTCTTCTCCTTATACCATCCCATTCGAACTGTGAATGTCCGTCTTCACTAACAGTCTCCAAGCGCTGTGCCTCCTTTTCTTGGTGAAGACGTTCAAGCTCCTTTGCCTCCATCTTCATGCGCGATTTTGAGATTCTCCGCACAATAGCTGCGGCACCGCGAATAGCATCGGCTTTGGGTTCTGTCTCAGGCTGTTCTTGCTCCGCAATGGTATGTATCTGGTCCAAGTCTCCGCTGAACACGGCAGTATCGGGAACATCTTTAGCAGACTTGGACAACTGCAACAGTACGACTCCGGAGCAAATAACCAGAAACCCCATCACAACAGTGACGATGGATGATGCCGTACCCTTAAAACCTTGGAATAGCACGGCTGAGGTAATGATAGTTGTGCTAGTAAAGTAGACGTAATAGGTGGGTGTGACCATGGCCGCGTTGAAGAGATTCAACGCTTTCTGGTAGATTGTTAGCCCACCGCTGAACTTGACATGTTGATGCAACTTACGTTAAGAAAGATAATTTCTGTTAGAAGTGTTCCCACAACGAAAACAAGCAGGACGTATAAAAACCAATGCGTGAATTGGCCGCCTGACGTGCCTTGGATTTGTGCCACAATTGCAGCGCCCAAACCCTGTGTAGCCACCACACTCAATCCTCCGACCCAGCTGCATATCGAAATATAGACGAGCATGTTCTTGTTGCCCCATCGTGGTCCGGCGTAGAAGGCGGTAATTGCGGACCCAATGATAATGACGCCGGTGTAACTGAGGAAGCCGGGAGCAATGACGAACTTTTGCATTTCCTGAATGTTGGCCACGGAGGACTCCTCTGGTGCATTCATGACAATAACGACAGACCCTACTATGCAGAGAAAGCAAGCGACCTTGCCTACCATGCTCAATCTTTCTTTCAAGAAGATGGCCGAGAGAACTGTGGTAATAACAACAGAGAGAGCACCAAGCGGTGTGACCAGGATGGCGTCAGTGAAGGCGTATGCGACAAAGTTGCAAATCTCTCCCACGATCATCAGCGTCATGCCCGACCACCAGTATACGTTCTTGAGATAGCCATAGCCCTCTCCCGCGACCTCTTGGTATTTCTCGTTCGCCTTCAGCAACCCAACCTTTTTCAAGACAAATGACGTGCCAATAAATAAGCCGGAACCAATTGCTAAACAAATACCAATGACCTTATATACCGGCGGTCTTGTCTGCTCGGTCGCATCTGTCGATGTTTCGTTGGCCCTGGCGTATATATTGTGAGCGACCTCGAGGACTTGGCCTGCGTGGTCCATGATTGCGGCTTGTCGCTTGGGCGACGGCGAGTCGTCGCCGTCTAGCTTGGAATGCGAGTTTGACTTGGGTAGCCGTGTTGTCGTTCGTAGTTCTGGTCAAAAGGTTCCAGCTCTTTGACTGTGTAGAAATTCCTGTTGTTTACTTTTGTGTGTAATTGTAGCGGGTCGGTGGCATAAGGGAAATCTGGGAACAAGAACCACAAGGTTGGTTGTTGCCGGGGACGACCCTGGAAGAAACAGGGCGATCCGACCGACTTTAGATCGAGGCCGGGCTCGTGCGGCGGAGGGGATCGTATTGAAACTCGATCCAGGGCTCTGCAGCCTTTGTCCCTTCTCTATTGTTCGTGGAAAAGCGACGATATCTTGTAGAAAGCGCAACAGCCTTCACTCGTAACAAAAGGCCAAGGGGGCTTCTACTTGAAACAAGGTTTGCTGGAGTTGACGCTGCGGAGAGATGGTGTGGTTGACGTGCAGATCGGCTCAAACCCAGTGCATGTCACGTAACCCGAAGATTCATAAGAGGACGTGGCGGAGAGCAAGTGAGTTCTGTGCTATGAGATACCGAGGACGCTGAAAGCCAGACTGAAAACAGAGACAAAGCCGGTGAAGCAGGAAGCAAGATACAGATTCAGGCCGCCAACGCTGTGAGATCTATCTGTTGAGCCGAGTCGGGGTAGAGATCTTCAGATGCAAATCAACAAGAGCGAGATCCGCTAAGTCCTAAGTTAACTAGGTTAACCTACTGTAATCGCCCGTATACGCTGAAATTGTGGAGGCGGAGACACGCAAGATCAAGTTCTCTCGTTCTGGGCCCATCTGTTTGTTGCGTCGTCTGGGCAGCCACAACACCTAAGCGAATGTCATCAACGGCCGGGGGGTTCAAGTTAGTTTCTATCGTCAGCGACTCCCTATTAGATGCGGAACTGGAAAAACAATTTCATGTTCCAATCCCCTTCCACTTACATATACACGTCATCCATTTTCTGTTCCGCTGTTAACTCAATAAGCAATACCTATGCCACGCGACCAGGGTCTTAGTCTTTGTCGCATCCGTATTGAACCCGACCAATTTGGATTGGGTGGTTGGCAGTTTCCACAACCACCTATAATCGTTCAAGATTGGCGCCGCATTAGAGGTAGTTCCTGGTCGCAGCTAGCGCTCAAGCCATGCACATGATAGGCTCAGATGAACAGTTTCGCACGTCGGGCGCAGTGCAGCGGCCGTTCGAACCCCTCCAGCGAATCCTCAGGTTCCCTTTTGGTCAGTCTGTTCCTTTTGGAAACGTGCGCGTTACAGAGGTCGGGGTTGATCGACGTTTCACTGTCTGCCAATGTGCCATCAGAAACAACACAACGTACCACATCGTTCTCTGCATCCTTTTTGCAATGTTTTAGTGCTCTGGTTTGACTTGGCTTGCTCTTGAAGAGGGCGTCCTTCTGCTGTGATGTTCAGCGAGCGCGATCGAGTGACATGTCAAGCAGAATGACGATGCTTCAGGGTTAGACGAGGTCGATCATCGACGTTTACGGCAGCGGATGCGACCACAAAGGCTCTTTCGAGGTCCCTTGCATTCAGCACTGATGTCAGACCCACGGCGTATATCTCTAACAACGTCAAAGCATGTGTGACAGGTTTATCGTACTGGAAATATCGCCCCAAGCTTCGCGTCGAATCAGATACGCTTAAACGACACGCAATAGCGCTATGGGAGGCGACGACTGCATTGTGGCAGGACAAACAGACGTCGACTGTTCCTTCACACAAAGAGTGCTCATTGCGATCGGTGGCTAAGTCGCTCGTGGCGCAGACTGCAAGTCTAATTTCCATGCTGACAAAGCGCACCGGGTGGGCAATCATTGCCTCGTAACATTATCTACTGCTGCGCACCAATGATAGTAGACATGATTGCGTACACAGCTCCTATGCTGAGGCAAGCGAGGACGGCAAAGATCCAGGCAGCACGAATAGAGGTTGCCACATGCACCGTGACGCACTATTGTTTAAATGGTAGCAAAACGAATAGCTCACAAATTAACCACAGTATACCAAGGGATGACAAGACGATGTGGATGCATTTGACAGGACAAACTACAACAAGTAGATGTGAATAGGTGTTTCTATGCCGCCTTAGTGTTTTTGTCGCCTGTACCCTTACAGCGACCTGAGTGGTGGCAATCCTCGCTATCATCGTTTATGCTGCCAGAAACGGTAAGCGATACCCCACTTCAGAAACTCGGAGAAGGCACCAATAAATTCAATTGTTTTTTCCTTCTTCTTTCTCTCAGTTGGGACGTATTCCAGGAGAGGTGGTATTAGAAGGTCTATGTTAAAAGCTCGCCCCAATGCTACCACACAATCCGCGTGTTGGTAGCCAATGAGCCAGCGTTCCATTCGTACGGTAGCTGAAATCTGGAGGATCTCGTCATTTCCATACTAGTTACCAGTACTATCCTTCATGCAAAGATTTCAGAGAGCATGTTCTCCTCACGGCATGTGCGAGTCCAATCGAAGCCACGTGCATGGTGATCACCAAGTTTCCTTGTGGAATTGCGACATTTATACCATTGCTTTATGGCGTCGACTACGCCCATTAGTTGTGTATCGTGGCGCCCACGGCGGCTGTATTACGGATCAGTATACCAATGTGGAAAGCGTGGTTAGTGGTTAGCGCGTTGGTGATTCACGTGGGATTATGGTCTCGCCAGACCAAGAAGCGGCGGACCAACTACCGCGCTCTTTGCTGGCACGAGGTTACGATATCCTATAGAATAAGGCACCGTGTCGTCTTCCCCCAATCACACGGGATGCTCTGAGCCTTCGACCCAGCGCTGCCATTAGCGACTGCGCGGTGCATTTTACGCGTTAGTGCGCAAGCTATCGAACTACGCGATTTGTGATCTCTTTCTACCACGGTCATACCAGACCTAGTCAGGACGGTTTATCGACGCTCAAGTGCGGACGTTGTTCTGATCTGGAACTCAGCCATATGAGCTAGGAGAATGCCACATTATACAGCTGATGATGAAGGGGGTTTCAACCCGCTCGTTACGTTATAGCAACGCCAGACCATTAACTGTTGTCCAATGCTTGGTTGATTTAGTGGCTCTGAGAGATATAGTTTTGCAATGCATCCCTATATAAACCTTGCCAAAGGTGCCGGCCTTGGCATGAGGTATGCTGTTCCTGCATACCCCTCGAGCTAGGTGTGAGCTCTGTCGTTGACTATATAATGCGTCCCTTGACTATCTTGATCCCGATACTGGTGGCGTTACAGAGAATACATGGGCGTGTCACATCTTCACAACGAGCCGGTGCAGGCGTATTTGCAGCATCCGAATATTTGGAATCATCCCTGGTGAGACGAGATGTGATGGCCGGAGGCAGTTGTGGCGCAACAGGAGGTAACGCAGTGTGTGCTTCCGGCTTGTGCTGCTCGACTGCGGTAAGTCTACAAGCAGGCATTTCCACAACAACACTAATTAACAACATGACAGGGGATTTGCGGAGCAGGCACTTCTTTCTGCAGCGCGCCAGACTGTCAGCTCTATTTTGGTCCTGCTTGTGATGCCAATCAAATACCTACTGGACAGGACACGTCGAAAGTACCGCGACCGCTATTAGGAACTGTCCCTTATGGCGTCTCTATCAGCCATTGCACAGTAAATGGAAAGGTCGCACTGACTTTCGACGACGGGCCTTATATCTATACTTCCGAACTACTCGACACCCTAAAGAAGAATAGCGTGAAAGCAACATTCTTTATTGTTGGAAACAATGGCGGGAAAGGCCAAATCGAGCTGTCATCAACTGGGTACCCTGCCGTCATTCAACGGATGTATGCCGATGGTCACCAGATTGGCAGCCATTCGTGGAGTCATCAGAACATGGCTCTGCTCACATCTCAGCAACGCCATGACCAGATAGTTAGAAACGAGATTGCCTTGGTAGATATCCTAGGGTTTATCCCTACGTATTTCCGGCCGCCCTATACACAGTGTCCTACGGATTGTCTGAAAGAACTTGGCGATTTTGGATATCATGTCGTAAGCATATGCATGGACATCACTAGTAACACAGAACTTACAACAGTCAGGCAAATTATGATATCGACACCCGCGACTGGCAAGGGGACTATACATATGCGCAGAACACATATAGCAGCATCCTGACTCAACACAGCCCGGGCTCCTCGTCCTGGATCTCGCTGGCTCATGATATTCAGCCCAACACAGTCCACAGTTTTGCCCAGTACATGATCGACCAGGCTAAGAAACTTGGCTACGAGCTCGTCCCTTTGGGACAGTGCCTAGGCGATCCCGAGACGAACTGGTATCGCGACCCAACCACCGGACAAGTCTGGACGGGTAACGTACAATCACAGCATTCTTCCACAACAATTTTAACGGCCCCCATTTCGAGTACGGTCCAACTGGTAGCATTGCCAAGCTCAACTACCACGGTTATCAAGCAAAGCGCAGTATTACCATCGTCGTCGTCATCAACTTCGCCTACAGCATTAGCAGTCATGTCACCGACTACGTCACCATTCACATCTTCAACTGTAACACCCAGCACATCGTCAAGTGTAGTTATGATCTCCCCATCTTTTCCGGCTTCCTCGATGTCTACCACAACAAGCATAAGAATCTCGTCCATAGCAACATCGGCCATAATTACAAGTCTCACCCCATCTACTACCCCAACAGCCGTTTCAGGGGGCAACTTCGGTGCAGGTACCGGAAACCAGACTGGTTCACTACCAGCTAGTCTAAGCAGCAGTGTCGCGGTGAAGCCATCTGATAGCCGCGCTCAGAACCTGGGGTCATCGAAATTTGGATTGATGTTTGGAGGATTAATGCTTTTAGCTATGTATTGATCTGAACTTTTGTGCAATGTGACAATCTGGAAAGTGGTGGACTTGAAGGTTCTAATTGTTGCCGTGGATCGAATTAGCGAGGTTCCACTATATTCAAATGCATAGTCCCTACGGCCAAGCCATTCCATGCTGGTTTCTTTAGGTTCTGCAAGGGGAAGGTGAAGTTGCGGATGGTGACTAGCAATCGATTTTAACCGCACAGGTCAAATGGCAAAACGACAATATTATGACGATCATACGCACAAATCGTAAAGATAAGAGCCTAAATATTGGTCACTTGTGGAAGGGATTATTTATGACGGCCTGGGATCATATTCGTCCCTAGTTCAATGAAAGCCCTAAAGACTTTACCACTGCCACTACCTCTTTTGGTAGGCCGAGAAAGATGCACATTGGTGCTGCGTGATGAACAGACCAGTCATGCAAGAGTCAGTAATTTCGATGACTTGCACAGTAATATAATTCCTATGCGTAATATCAAATCTGGCAGCACCTTAACGATCTCATCGTTGAGCTTGGTCGCTCAATACTATCTCTACCACACCCCATCTTTAATGTCCAACTTCATAGACTGATTCACAGAAGACTACACAGACCGCGAACATATAATTATGTATTCAGTGATCAGTGATAAGCCGAAATTTGGTTCTATGGCCCGATGTAATATCAAATATTGAGGAACTGGTGAACGTAACGGGTCACCTATATGCACGAAACACAGACCCCATCTAATCTCACGGTGGTTAAAAGAGAAATCCGTCATGCCAGGCAATACGCCACAACCATAAATGTCTCAGTCCACCCGGCTTTACCAACATTGCCTACTTTAGTCTTGTATTTTGTGCCGAGACAATATCTACGTTTTATCAAGCTCATGTCGGGTTTCTCAATAGCGATTGCTTGCACTTGATCGGTATTCGAGTGCAACTAGAATTTCTTGGATGGAATAGATCTAAGGCTTTAGGTCAACAAAGGCAAGAATTCATTAGTTGCGAGGAAAGTAACTTAACAAAATGCGGTCACAGTCATAGTCGCGAAAAGAACCCCCCCCCCCCCCCCCCCCCCCCGAATTGTCATTAAGCTTTTTCGTAAACGGGTTATGATCAAACAAGGCTTCACTCAATATGCCTAGGACCGTCAATTTGGTGGAACGCGTCCCCAATAAGACGTTTATTACAAAGTCAAAAAGAGACCCTGCCACCTGCCGGAAACCTGCTGGAAACCTGCTCAAACGAGGCTTGAACTTAGGTGGCATGCTATTATGACGGCAGGAAACCCGAAGCGCGTGGCAATCACAACAAAAGCGTCCGAAAGCGACTGGTTTGAGCTTTTCCGTGTAAACTACACTGTCATCAACGGAACGGGACAGAAAGTGCAAACTTCGGCCCCTAGCATAACACTTATTGAAGTCATCATGGATTCGCAATATCTGGCGAAACTTTCGAGAAGGAGCAACACAGATGACGGCCCTTTGGATGCTTGCTACTTCCCGTGCAGTACGTTCGGATTTTGCCATATCGTTCTTGCGCAATGCTAATTGTCCTACTGATCAGATGCTGCATTTCTCAAGGGACAAGTCGACCGAAGCAGGGAGGACTATTGCGCGGCGGGAAGTGCATTCGAGACATACTGGAACGGATGTCGCTGTTGTATTCAGGGCAAGCTGGATAACGGTTACTCCTCTGAAAATTATCTGGCGAAGGACTTTACCGGCCAGCTTAATATCTGTCAACATGATGCGCCTCCGAACCCTGCGAATTTATGGGGGTCTGACCCGTGCGCCTTCCCAAATACACCTGTTGCGACGCCGATACCGACTCCTTTCCCGACGCAAACAAGTTGGAATGAACTGGCGCCCGAGGATCCCTTGAGTGTAGGATTCCCGGTCACCTACGCTCTCAATCAGTTGAGGCCGGACCACAATGAAAAACCAATCTCCGTAGGCCCCTCGTTGACAGCGACTGAACCAAAGACAACCTTGGTGACAGAGACTCTGAGTGAAACGGTCACCAACGCATCAGGTAGCGCAGTCGTATCATATATCACGAAGACATTTTTGACGACCGCCTCATATGCCACGTTAGGACCAACGCAGGATTCACTGGCCGTGGAGCCTACTCTCAGCCGCAACGTGACGATTGGTGTAATTGCTGGGGTGGTGGCATTAACAGCTTTAGGTGGTGGACTTGGTCTCTTCATGTGGAGACGCACTAAAAGGAAGAGCCGGCAAGTGTTTCAGGATTCGTATCCTGATAGCAAACCCTCCATAGAGGCACAAGTATCTCCTCCTACAGAGCTCGTTGGAGGGCGAATGCTTGCCCACGAAGCTGATGGTAAACCTATCATCGCAGAATTAGAAGACACCGAGGTTAAGTCACAACCAGTCGAGGATATCAAGTCAGAAGGAAAGGAGGCAGAAGGCGGCAATGATAGTGACAAATCTGCCACCTGAGAATTAGGCCTAATGTATAGGAAACCATGCTGGCATCTTTATTTTAGATTGTTAAACAACACGCTTATTTCGAAGCCGAAAGTCTTCGAAAATCCATCCCTCCGAGACTATTAAGCAGGACGATAGGTGTATGTACGAGGCTCCGAAATGAGCGAATGAATGTTTGTAATAACATTAGGCATAAATTCCGTTAGCACTTTAGTTAGGCGTGTCTATTTTTGGTTACGTAGACTTGTCTAGTCGGTCAACTTGTTCTCCAATGCCTAAGGATGTCAACTCTGTTCTTTTATCCTGACCTAGTGACCGACCTATTCCAAATAAAACAATACACATTGGGATCCTAATCTTCGTCACGGCGACATTCTCATTTCACCAAGGGACAGGCCTCTGAATCTGATCCTGAGCAGGGGCAGTGCTTCTCGGAGTCTCTTAAGGCTCTGTTTAATTGACAGATTTTCTTGCTCGTCGTTCTTTTCAAAAACCTCAATGAACAACGGAGGGCGAAAGTTTCAAGGTTTTGCAGTTTCGCTAGTCTCAGGGTATACTCCCGGGGAAATCAGTTTATCACAAACCCAATATGCCAGCCTGCAGCACCCATAGACACAAAAGCATCCTTTGCATGTGATCTGTGGTCGATAGAGTTTCATGCGTTTGATCGCATCCCGTTTCTCAAACCACCGAGCTTTGAGAAACCCCCCTTACGGTTGTTGTGAAGTAGCTGTCTTGTTCGCTGAGCCATGGGTAGGCCATCGCCGTCAACATTCCCGCCATAAACATTGCTATATCGATTCTAGGAGTCGCTCAACTCAGCATCGTGCATCTCGAAAATGTATTTGACATTGCGGAGTAAGGGTGTATAGTCTGTGGTCCGCTGCATTTTTATTAATTCTTTTATATCGAAACATTCGCCCAAATATGGCTGATTGCAATTACCCGCCGGGAATATCAAATGGTTCTTCCAAAATAACAATATGGTGGCTTCCTAGTGAACAATCTTACTAACACTTCGAATAAGTCCAAATGTGCCCACCTCATAACGCGTGGGTGGTAGAGGTTGTAGCGCGCAAAACTCAACCAACATTGACTCTCATGACCGGGTTTGGATGTGATACCATAGGGAAGAATGTAGTATTATGAACAAGTACTGTGAATGTCACTAAAACGCCTTTCTTTGTTTCAAAAGTCCTAGTAATCTCGCGAGTTGCGAAAAAGCCACCCATTACTAATTATCATGCCACGAAATATTTGCGCCATGTGTTGCAGCCCTTCAGCTCAGTCTCGTATATTTGCAACGATCGGGGCCCTGTTCGCAACATCAGAGCAGGTATCTGGCTACTATTCCGCGAAAAGCGTTTCAAGGCTTGTGTAGTGATGAAAGTCCGATCGACGTTTGTTTGCATCATTCTCTCCACAAGTTCTACATGTGACAAAACACGCGCGGTGTGTGACAGTGTTCATGAATGTCACCGTCACAGAATGCTTCTTGTGGTCAATAGTCACTTATCACTAAGTGCCATACCTTTTTCAATTTATTGTTGTTGTAAAGATACAGTATTGACCGACGATTCTATAAGATTCACCAGACAAGTACGGCATCCTATCAACGAACTTCACACTACTATGCTTTTTTTGAAACTCTTGTGTTTTGGCCGACAGAAACGGAGGAGACCCAGATCCCCCGAACCTCAAAGTCATGGAAGAACGTCGTCTGCCATACCTCCACAAATTCAGCTACCATCATTTAGCGAGACTCCACTAACTGTACCTACACCTGCGGGCTCCGAAAACACCCCACGGCATTCCATGGTTTTACGACTCCCAAAGCGCCCATTTGTGCAACTGCCTCTTGATGCGAACCTTGAAGAAGAGACGAATCCGGGATATAGACAAGATACCTGGTACAATGTGCGCATCGGCGAGATTATCAAGGATAGGTATCAATTATGTACGAAGATCGGCTGGGGAGACACCTCCACCGTATGGCTTGCCAATGACCTTCGGTAAGGACGTTTCTTCATCTACTTCAAAAGACACAGGACTAAACGAACGACAGAAATAATCGATATGTAAGTCTAAAATTCTGTGCTAATCTTTAGGACCAGCGCGTGCGAGAGCTTGATTTCCTACTACACATGAAGAAGCTCTCTTCTGATCACCCTGGAGCCCAAAACATCGTGACACTCTTGGATCATTTCCGCATCCACCGGAAAGGTTTAATATATATATGTCTCGTCACCGATGTCCTCGGACCTAATCTAGAACAACAAGTCCCTACGGGTCTTCGGCGACTCGATATCGACTGGATCAAGGAGCAGTTGCACCGCCTATTGCAAGCGGTCGATTACTTGCACACTGTGGCTCATGTAGGGCACGGCGATATCTGGCCCCCGAATGTCCTTTGCGCCCTTTCGGACAGGCAGGCGCTCCGAGAACTGGATGAGCTTGAGGCACAGCAGCCTAGTGACCGCAAGATTGATGGTGACCGCGTGATCTACGTCTCGCGCACCGTCAAACTGCAATCGTCGCACATGCCTGTCCTCATAGACTTTGGCAATTCTCGACTCAGTACATCGGCCGTAGAGATTGAGCATTTGCAAAGTTTATGTGAAAGTGTCCCTATGCAGCAGGACGAGCCATACAAACCACAGAGAGACTTCGAGTGGATCGGGGGGATGGTAAGCACGGCTGGCCGATTTTGCCCAGCTCTTCGTGATGAAGTTGAGCGTTTGCTGACATGTATTAGTTCATAGGAATTATAGAGGGCAAAACATTATTTAAGGTCGTATTGACGTTACCCTCGCGTCATCTTTCCAAAGCCATCGAGGTAGATGCAACAGAGGATGAAAAGCAGCGGTTGCTGAAACTACTCTGTAGAATGAAGAATAGCAGTAACAATGCAAGTGGAAGTGCCAGTGTAATTGGGACTACGGGTGTTAATGGAAGAGCTGTCCGCGAAGCAACTTCTGCAAGACCCTATCTTCAACGACCCGGATCACAGGTATCATCACACGTGGTAAGAGCATTATATTTGATAAATGATCATCGATAGATCCTTACTAGATACGATGAGTCATTTTTGTTGCGATGTACCTCTAAAGTTATGCGCAGAGACGTTGCTACTCATGTTACATCTTTACGTCAACTGTTTGACTATATAAACCATCTTAACTTATACTATACTGCTTTCCATATGCTGTACTTATCACTTGCTTGTGGGTTTTGAGGCAATACCATATTACAACGTTGATATTATACTAATAAATAGTCATGACATCTATGTACTTTGTGTCCATCACGTGCTTCCGTTTCAATAAATAAACATTATCAGATGAACTACCTTGGTCATTTAAAGTATACTAAATGCTCCAGAACACCCGTCGAAATCCGCTATGAATGTCATTACATATCACTCTATTCCGACTTCTCAAATACATCCCCGATAGAATAGGCGGTTCTAGAAACAAGAGCTGCGATACATCAAGGAGACATTTCATTATCATCATAGCTCTTCTGGCACACCAGAAACTATTTTATAGCGAAAAGTCAAGATCATCCAAGATATCATTGACTTGCTCGTCCGAGAGGTTCAACTCTGTATCCAGCGGCATGGGGTCAATCAATGCTGCAAGTGTGCTTTCGCCCGTAAGTATCGAAGAAGCCTTCTTTGTCGATGGGGGAGGCATTGTAGTTTTGGTAGCATCTGCAATCAATACTGTTGATTGAGATGACATTAATTGTTGCATGGCTGATCTGAATTTCTCGAGCAGTATCGGATCTTCGGCTGCAGTGTTCTGCATGCTCATGATCTGTTTTGCGCGTTCACGCAATTCATCGTCGCTTGGAATAATACCTGTCATGCTGACTTCGCGCTTGACATATTCTGTAAGCCCGTTTTCGAGCTCTCTTGAGCAGAAGACCTTAGCTGGGGCAGCATAGCGGTGGTTCAAGGACTGCAAGAAGCGATTGGCTACGGCAACATCAGGCTCGAATGGCTTCGCGTTGTCACGACAGAAAATCTTCGGATTCTCCTTGAGTGGCTCAATGGTGATCTGGGGACTCAAATGCACGTATGGCGGCGCAAAGCCCGTGCCTCCATCCGTATGGTTCCACGGTAACATGTCTGTTGTAAGACCAGGACCAGACTCTGGCTGCAGTATGCCGACATCACGCTTGAATCTCTGCAACCATTCTGCGTTGTCGGCAGCGGTCTGATTCCAAGGGTCATCACTATGCAGAGTCAGTGTTGAAGGACAATCATTCCGGAGGGGCGACGCCTTACTCATCATACACAATCCACCGTGCTTGGTGTTGAAGTTCCTCATCGGAAGGAACGTGGGAGTTGGGGTTGTTAGCAGACATGGTAGAAGCCACAAAACGACCAAGGTCTTTTGCCAGTCGCTGATAACAGTTTGCATCGTTCAGGAAGTATGGACCAGGCCTTAGTGGTCGTGGAGGAATGGCAAAGCTTGTCGGCATGACGGTCGGTCCATACGCACCAGTGCACGGATTGACCACGGTCAACACTTGCGGTCGATGGGTCTTGGGCGAAGTGCTCGATGTGGATGTAGTTATAGGGGTGTCGGAGGATTGATAGCGCTGTTTGAATGATTCCAGCCAAGCGGTATCATCGGCAGCAGTTTGGTTCCAATCATCGTCGTTGTCATAGATAATCAGCCGAGCTTGCCTTTGCAGAAGGGCATCAGTTGGCTCAATTCCCATGGACCTTTGAGTCTGTAGAAATTCTCCCAACTCACGATCCAGCCGACTATAATTGTGGATCGTCGAATCAATTAGTGTTGGATCTTTACACCTGACATCCGCGTCCACTATATCCTCAGTCCTCGGCAAATGGGCTCTTCTTCGGAAGTCAGTGAGCCAAGTCGTTGAGCAGTGAATAAGACGGACGACCCAGTTTGCGATATCTTCCGATGGATTAGCTGATTTTTCCTCCAAGCGCCCTATAATTTTACAAGCTTCGGTTTGAAGTTCGTGGTCCATTGCAGTTAGGCCAAGCAATTGACGGGCTTTGACAAAGTCCTGCAGTTGACTCTCGAACTCGCAACTCTCGAAAATGTTGTCTTTTCCGTTGATTCGAAGTGTGTGTAGGCGATTCTCGGCCTGCCTCCTAATTGGCTGATGCATTGCAGCTTGGGTGAGATCGGTTCTGCCCTTCATTATATCGCGAATCCACGACGGCGACAAATGGGCTGGATTCTGTGAAATGACTTCAGCCCCAAATATGATCCGGCATGCTTCTTGCTGCGTTTCGTCGTCCGTTGGGGAGCGTCCAGTGTCCTCGTATATGCTATGAGCCCAGTATTGTAGTTCAAACTTGAGTAATTCATAGGCGTTGGTCGGCGTCGATGGGTTGGCCACAGTCGCCATGTATGGCAACGGGGTCGTTCGTTCTTCATGAATCAGGTCTGCACAGGCGCATTAGAAAACTGAGGGGCGACATCAAGTTGCTTGGATCTCTCACAGGGTGGCATAGAATTTTCGACCATTTGAAGTACAGGAGTATCAAAACCCCAGTCACCCTTCCAATCAGCCATGGTATTACCAGATTTGAAATGTTCAGCCAGATGGTCAATACGAGCACTCCAGCTATCCATGACGGTCCCACAGAAACCGCATCGGGACCGAATCGCAGGGGAGTTGGCCTTCCACGTGTCCATTGCCCATGGCAAGAACTTGACATCATGTACTAAGTTGAGGTGTTGTCGGAGGTGATCCTTCCGGTAAAACGTCCTTTCCTCCATTGTGCGCTCTGTGCAACCAGAGAAGTTGTGAGACTCAATGTGGGTTTCATCAGGATTTGCCTCTCCACAGAAGACACAACTTATCAACCCATTTCCAGGATTCAGGGCTGTCGGACCATCAGGTGAGCAGACCCAACGTTCAAGGGAGAGATGTAAGGACTTCTCGTGACGTTGCCAATCGTGCTTCGTCCTAAAGGTTTCTGTACAGAAAGTGCATTGAAATGTCTTGAGTGGCTGTGTGAGACCCTCCTCCGCACGCTTTGGTGGTGCTCGCCTACGTCGTCGTCGGCCACGATTGCTCCTAATAAACGACGGAATAGATCCGAATGAGCCTCGAGATTGGTGAGAGAAAGACGAAGCAAATGATCCACCACTTGAACCATGAGAGTTCGTAAAGCTACTTGCCGATGACTGTTGGCAAATTGATCTGCTCGAGCCGTCGTCTGAATAGCCAGAGACGTATGGGCTGTTGCGTCCTGAGCTGGACGAAACAGCTGAACTAGATGCAGTAACAGCGCGCGCAATGGCCGTGACTGATGCAGGTTCGTTTTCGGGAGGCGAGCTAGCCCAACGCTGCAGGGGGTTCATGTGCTCCAGTAACCTTGGTGTGCCCCTTCGCTGTGGGATATCCATAGCCTGGGCATAGCCCGCTCCAACATGAGGACTTATCGAACGGGTTGGCTGAATTTTACCTCGCCGCCGTGCGTTTGCAAGCCAATTAGTGATTTGAGTCTTGTTGAGGCCGGTAATCTTCTGCAGACTCTCCTTCTCTTCCTCAGTTGGATATGGGTGACGACTGTGAGTTGAAACCCAATTTTTCAGGATCCTAACTGACTCTCGAGAGAAGCGAGCTCCAATTTTTGCTGCTGGCTTGCTGGAAGGGTATTGTGTTTCAGTCTCAGCCAATGATTCCAGGTGCGTGACATCGACAGTCCGGTTTGTAAGCGCTGCGAGCTCGTCCTCGTGCAGAATAGACGTCTCTGGACGATCACCCATGGTCGGCCACGGGTTTGCAGGAAAAGTCCCGTTAGCTACCGAGCCAGCGTGATTACCTATTGGACCAAAGCTACACTCGCATCTTAAAGCGATGCAACTGGTACAGTAACCCTTGAATTTACCCTCACGAATACGCTTGCATTCATATCCGCCCACCCGGCAGTGACCACAGGGCGCTTCAGGAAATTCCCACGTAAGTTGAGCAGGCGGCTCCATGTCAGCCAATGGTAGAGGCCCGAAAGTGTCATCGAGCGTTGTCATGGGGAGGTCTTGGGGGATCTGTGTCGAATCGAAGTGCTCCAAGGCCCAGAAGGAGAAGTTATCGCCGTCGACGTCACCTAGGACCATGTTCATATTGGCGGCCTCGTCCGTTGAGTCAAGCGCGCCTTCCGCAGGCGCTTGGAAATCAAAGCCGGTGTCAGCACCGGCTGCATCCCAATTAATGAAATCCATTTCGTCCCCTTCTTCAATGGTAGTCATTTAAGGGCGTGAATGACCGAGAGCCGAGTATCGGAAGGTGCGGTTCTTATATAATGACATGTAGCAACACTTGACCTCTATTCTGACTCAGGGTTGTCGGTTGAGGCAGATATATCACTGTATGTCGGTTGGTAGGTTGCCCAGGAATGAACTTGGGAACTATGAAGTACTCCAAGTTGATCGTTGACGAGCGGGTCCTCAACCCTATTAACCCGGCAAAATACTGAAAAGAGTCATACGACCAGTTCGTGTAAAGTGCGGGAAAATCAGAGCTGTGACACTCAGTAGCAGGCACCGATTCGATCTAGATGGAATACTTTCACCAATCTTTCGTCACAGCCGGTGAAGGTTCCATACTAAACCGTGGTTGCAAGAGATCGGTAAGTTCCAGAGGCCGGAACAGGCATGGGCTTTTGCGGGCAGTCTGCCTACATGGCCCCACGTTATGTCAAGTCTGCGCCCTTCGTGGACGAGCAAGGCGTCGCGCTTGTCGAGACTTGGAGAATCTACGCATAGCATGGTTTCCAGTGGGGCGCCAGAACAGGCTGGGATTGGACACCGTCAACCAAGTCGCAAACTACTACGACCGTACGGTAGAGCCGAGGACACTGTACGGCTCCGACCAACGGTCGTGAACTCATTCGCCAGCATGCTTTTGATTCGTCCTTATGTTTGAAGGTTGTCATGAGAAAATATCATGCCAAGCATGTAGATAGCGGACTTCCCATTCTTGGCAATCGTTCTCTTCCAGAAACCGGGGAGCTGTAATTTATAGCTACTCGCTACGGATCCGTACGTTGCGGACAGCTTGTGTACGGCTTGCCACGGTTGATTATTCTGTCGAAACAGCCTCTGCGTCAGTAACATCTGGACAGCCAGCCAACGTTCAAACCTGACTCGCATTCAAATGTTCGGCTTGTCCGAATATCGCACTAGATATACGCCAAAAAAATGTTTATCACCATGAATTAAAAGCAGAGCACCCCGGATAGGAGCTTACACATCTATGATATGGCCTCGTTGCAATCAAGGCACCATTACGAACACATGACAATCTTGGCGTGGGCCAAAGGGCTGCCATTGGCAAAAGGCGTTCGCGAATTCAACTAATGGCAGCATCCACTGTGAGCGTGCACACTGCTATGCTTGACAAAGGACAATCGGTATCGATACGACATTGCAAATAATGATTTACACTGGGCGTTCTCAAGCCATATTTTCGAATCTGTAACCAGTTCTGTATTTTGGTATCATCAAGCAAGAATGTTATCAGCGCCCGGCCATGCAACTATAGAGGTATACTGCTAGGGAAAAAAAAAAAGCAACGTTATGCGGAACACCGGGCTTCGATTTTGGCTCGGAGAAATGAAACAGGCCAACACCATCATGCCACGCCGACATCCCAAGCCCATAAGTAGACAAGTCCTACGAGGCCTCATTCATGATGGCCGCATGTGTTTCCGAGCCATTGTTCGGATCAGATAGGGCGGTCTCATTCTGAGGTCCTGGCTTCAAGTAGCAGTTGCCAGGTGCTGTGCCTTCTACCGCAAATGTTCGGTTTGTCCACGCCGGGATAAAACTGACGCCAGCGCACGTCTGGTTTGCTGCAGTGGCGTTGGAGAAGTCTGACGGGGTGTAATGGCTCCAAGAAGAACAAGCGTCCATACAATCGTCGAAATTGCCAACGAAGAGTGATTGCAACGGGGCATACGGTGTGTCCTGGTAGCAGTAGACGGTATAAGTCGCGAGATTGAAGACTGTTAGATGTTAGCAAGAAGGCTCATTTTGTCCCTCATAACCTCGTGGAAATCTCACAATCGGAGGAATATGTGGTTCCTGTCACTCCCTTGGAATTTGATGTACAATTCCTGTCCAGTGCACTGAAGTCCGACGTGGATGTAGCGGTGGGTGCAGTGACTGTGGTGGTCGCAGCAGCCCCTCCCGCTTTGATCGCTGCCAGACTCGCCTCTGCATCATTTGCGCGACTCGCCTCTACTCCTGTGCCTGCTGCCAGGCCAATAACGGCTGCCGACAACAACGCGATTATAGCCGACAGGACAAACACCAGCAGCGTGCACCCACATATAGTCCCGCTCTTCGACCGTCTCTCGGGCTCTGAATAAGCGGCTCCGTAGCCTTGATCATGGTTGAACGTTGTCGTAGTAGCGGTTGGCGGCGCATATCCTCCCGAGTGCAGAGAAGGGTCTTGTTGTTTTATCGGCGCGTGTACTTGTTGTGTCGGCTGGCCATAATGATGATTGACTTCAGGTACAGCTGATGGGTAATAGACTTCTGGCAAGATATGCGGCGCTACCTCAGGAGCTTCGTCGTACTTCGTATACTGGGTTAGCTGGCTGGCATTCCGCTTGGTAGTTTGTGATCGAACTACTCACTCTTGGAGCCATGATCGGTTCAAATGGTATATGCGATTGACTCGTGAAGCAGCCTTAAGGACAAGACCGCAACGAAGATCAATCAAGGCGCGCGCCGAACAACAAAAAGAACGGCGAGAATAGCGGGATTCTCAATTTGTGGAGTGTTGAAGGATTCCCGCAAGCTCACATCACTAACGTTAGACCCAGACCACTCCATGTCCCTGCCAGGCTCACCAATCCTAGTGTTAATCAGGTTTGGGCATGGTGTGTGCGATTGATGGCTTGAATAGGCGTGGGATAGGAAGTTGGAACCACTTTGCTGCATAACATTGAGGAGGGGACAAGGTGGGCCTTCGGTACCGGCGGGGGGACTTTGTTATTGCAGAGTCAAGAGTTAATTGAGTCCATCATCCATCTGTCTCTCCATACAGAAACAAGCTTGTCGATCAATGGTCCTTTGGGAATGCTCCTCATGATACTACCGCCGTATATTCACAGTCAAGAGTACCAATGTTTGATCGCGAAAACCTCAACAGAGAAAATAACTGAGGAGTGAGGCGGCATTAGCACCACCATCTACATACCTAGGTTAAAGTTATGGTCGGTTACTCGAGGCGCCAATCAAGCCCCCTTTGTGTGCGGCCTATGCCATACCCATGTATGCAGTACCGCCCTACAGTACAACCTCGTAGCTGCGACCTGCCGGCTGTTGTCCAAACCGCTGGGCCACCCAAACATTGGAAAGATCCTGTCGTGTTTCGTATGCACTTATATATCAAAATCTACTTGCCCTGGTTTCCAAACAATTTGAATGCTTCGGTACTCGGCTTCATCGTGTAAACTTGGCACGCCGACTCTCCTGCCTGTTTGTTTCAGCCCATGAAGAGCATTGCGTCTAAAGAAAACGCTTCAAGACATTGCATGCGACAGTGGCCATGACGAGTGGCTTGTAATCCGTACTTGGGCAGCAAACTCAATTGGTTCCCACACCAGCTATGGTTAGTCTGTTCATCGATCCTACTAAGGGAACCCCCCAAGTCATCGATGGCTGTGCTGGGAATATTGGCGCGTAAAATCGTCAAACCTCACTAACGTTAGCAGCCAACGCACCCTGTGTAAGCTGGTAGCGTGGCGTTGCAGGTGGCCCTGCTATCGCCGTCTTTATCTCGCAGTTCCAAAGGAATTACCGATTCGATTTCATGGCTTCGCAGCATAACACACGCAAGGGAACCTGGTTGCTGATTCTGCATCATGTCCACCATTTATTCAAATAGTAAATGCTTTCGACTATGCTTGGCCCTTTTGGTCGTGAAACAACTACCGAAGTTTTGAGCTTGAAAGCGGCCGCTAGACTAGGCTTCGTCCATCAAAGTTATCGGCGCTCGCGGCGTTGAATCGCAGATCCGTACCCACAGTTAAAAAAAAAAACCAAGAGATTAGATCCGAATATCAGCAATTGCACGGTACGTCGTGATCGTCTTACAGTTAAACCAACATCTATGCTGAGGAACTGTCGGAAAGGCTGAATGGTTTAAATGTCCTCTAGGAGATTCCTGGCCGTGTGAAGTCGCGCCGTGCCTGGATATATTGCAGTATTCCAGCTACTACAATGTGGAAATTGGGGGTTGTCAAGGTAAGCAAAGTGTTTTTTTCTGCACTAATAAACCGATAACCAAATCGCAAAAACAAATGGCTCTCCCTAAAACCTCGTATCACAGCCACCACGGTGCTCACGTCAGCGAATAATCAAATGCTTTAAACGATTCAAACCATCCACATGATCATTCAGATCTAGCAATGATTGACATCCTGGGCGTGTGATGGTAACCAATCATGATTATCAATGAGCATGATGCATACATTGCCAACATCATCAATGATGTTTATGGTTCCTTGGAAAGCTCAGGGCCAATCGCCGCCAACAGCACACGTCGTAGGTGGCTGAATACCATTTACACTTCATATGGAAACTCTTGAGACGGAGTGGCTCAATGAGAGTGGCCAGACGGCCGAGAGGTTGGGTTGCAAGCTGGATCTAAAAGTTTGTACGGGACTGAACCTAGCGCTCTTTCTGCAATGTTGTATATCGTCGTCAAACATATATAAATGGCGCAGTACCACCCGGTCATTCTCAAGTTAAGCTATTAGTTTTGAGTGAAGCCTGCAAATCTGACTACCGAGTTGACAGGCATGAATAACCATGATTATGCACTAATGGCCACCCAACTCTACATCGCTCTTGTTCGCCGTGATCCATGACGGACAGTGCAACGGGCGGTTAAACAGGCTCGCAATGCAGTCAATTTGATCGTATTGAGACTGCTGCCTGGTGGTGTGTTGTGACCAAGGATGACTAGGAGGGATAGTAACAAGAACTTTCTGCTTATTGCGCATGAAACATCCAGTAGGGCATGCATCTGTTTCTTGATAGAAAGCCAACACATTTCTCTGATTCTCAACTTTGTCTTATCTTTGTAACTGTCCTTCCAAAGTGCAGAAGCTTGTTGAGATCATTACTCTTCTGACTTCGACGACTAAGGTGGCTGTGAGTTTGTTTACTGCAAAGTGCAGACGTTTCGCTCGTAAAGTGGTTAAAATAGCATGTGGAACTCTTTCGGCGAGGATGCTGAAGCTTCATTGTCATTTGTAGATCTGGCATGGTCACGGTGCTTCAACTTAGTTTTACGCAGACCTGAGTCGAAGCTGCAAATTGTGCACCATCACAGTTCGGCTCAACGTCTCTACCACGCAGATTTCTTCAACTGATTTGTGCTATATGCTCGAGAGAGAGTATAGCTTGCATCTTGCAGACCAGAGACTTGATCTTATGGAAAAGACATAAAACATGTTCAAGCTACGAGGAAGAATTGGAAGAAGCATTAGCGTAAGCTGCCAACCGTATACCTACAGATGACCAAGAATACACTTAGCAATAAAATAATACACGAATAAAAAGGATTTCGCAAAGTGCAAGGAAGAACTACCAGCATTTCTGCAAAGATATAATTGGCTGTAAGGGCAGAAGATTTGCCATCAAGTTGAACGTACGACAATCAGAGTGTCCCAGGCTTGATATGGTAATGCAAAATATGTCTCTATATGCATCGGTTACTGAGTACGGACAGGATCACACCAAAATGCAAGAGAGTATGCAGAAACATACAACACCAGGGATTCCCCAGTTGTCACCCACCTGAGGACTAATCCAGCGCTTCTAGGACATACCTACCTGGCGTAAGGGGACTAGTTGCCCCAAAGGCGGATATAACCAGTACAGATGCCGCCTCCGCCGTTGGGGCAGTATCGTAGCTTGCCCACGGGTCCATGATATCGTTTTCTGAACCTCCCACTCCCAGGCGGTCAAGTTCCTGTATTCATTCTCCTCATTTGGCTTACTCACATCTCTCGTGCTTGCGTCGCGTTCTGGTCTGACCAGGAGAGCTAAGCTATACCGATCCGGAAAAGCGTTGGTCCCCGGGCTCATAACTGGCACGATGCGCATTATTTCGCAACAGGCCGCCAGTGCATTGGGCCATAGTATCGCCAAGGCTCACGATCTGGCAGCCGGGCTGTGGACGCACCCAGAGCCAGCCGCTTTTATCTTCCGGCGTTCGGTCAGGCGCAAGGATCTATAGCCGGCCGAGCATATTCGCAAGCTACGTGATGGTGCCGAGGTACGCATGATGGATCTGATGGGCGTCACTACTCTGTAGGATCATGATACTGATCAAATTTGTGTATATTGATCCTTAGTAGAGTGTTATTCAGTGGCGTGGTTCCTTAGCTATTCTAAGAAATCCTTGAAGGCTATCTATTGAGGGTGGACCGTGCACCTCAGGCATCTACCTAACTGGTGGCACTAGGCAACCATCAGGATCTGCTGGTCGGAGGTCTTCTGCCTCCTGGCTTGCAAATACCATGATGATCCGGACAACGGTGCCGGAAGGCTTGGTGGGCTGTTGAAATGATGTGAATGCATCTGTAGGTAGACCGAGGCGCGTGGTCAGGGTTAAGGTAATAGTTTCCAAGATACTCTGGCCATGATTGAGGCATGGATTGAACAGCGAAAAGTCATCATGCACGAGTGTTGGGGGCGACTGAAGTGCAGTAGTTCCGATCAAGCCGTCCAAACCAATGTTAGACCATTCGAAGCGATCTGGTTTGCTTGTCTCGATTTTGGAATGATGCGGCGTTTGAAGCTTAGGAATCATGAGCTAGAGGGAGTCTTCACACTTCGGCTAGGTTAGAGGCTTGAACGCTGTAAAGCCCCTTGGAGCGTTATATGGAGAGTGCTTTGTCACATTTTGGAGAAGACTCATGTGATTAATGCCTGTATTAAACACATGATCATCTCTTAGTATAGTATCTCTTATTTGTCTATATAGATCGAGTAAGAAAATGCCTAATTCTTAGCTGTTGACGAGGCACTTTTCATAATTGCTTAATCGCTTGAACGCCAACCGTCTAGTAAAATGGTATATAATAAAGCCGTTAAGAGATCGTCGAGTAATAATGTAATATTTTGAAAGAGTTCTTTTTAAAATAATTTTGAACAAAACGAGCGATAATAAAGATATTTAACGAAGATAAGAAAGTGTTGAAAAGCATTTAATACTATCGTAAGCATAATTAATTATTAACTTTTATTATTATTATTATTATATACGCCGTGGAATTCAAAATTCCTCGGTACTTCTACGAATACAGCCGTACGGCAAACCTTCCCTTAAGGCTGGACGAAACGCGGACGCTCCGAGTACTATACCCCCTTTCGGCGACCACGCTACGTTCACTATAATGCTACGTTAATTCTCACCTAACCAACGAAACTCCCACCGAAAAGACTAGCCACTCTCCTTGAACGATCATCTACCCGATCGTAATAACCACTTTGCTAGTAACCTTGCCTGGGCTGGGTCCTTCGTCACCTCCGCGAGGCCGCGGCGGGTATCTAGCCTAACCGGTCATTATAATTACTTTAGTTGTCATCATAATAAACATCATTAATTATCATAATAGTGTAAGAGTATGGGTGCGAGTAATGGATATTGTTAGAATTGACAGTATTGGTGGGAGACAATAAGCCTACAATGTCACGAACTGTAAAGTTGATGTGGGCTTGTAATATGTCTTGACTAGAAAACTATTTTAGGCAGAGATCGAGAGTTCTCTCTATATATCTGTCAAAACGCACAATACCCCTGTGGGTACTGTAACACTATTTTTGAAGGCTGCCACTGTGCCAGACTTGATCTTCCATCAATTAATACATCCCAAATTTTAAGTAGCAGATCCTTCATTATTGAAAGAATAATTTGGGCTTATTGAGTGTCGAACTAGATTTCTAGAACCAACTGCTTTGATAGAGAAACCTTAGAGTACTATAGATCTCGTCCATATCCTTCGCGTTACAGATGCTTCTCAGTCCGCATGTGGATGTAGCAGAAGAGAAACCCCAGCCACCAAACTTCAGCTCCCCAATGGGAAGTCCTGAGAATCCCATTGCCCACAAACCTCTGGAAACGATATATCCAAGAGTCGGATGAGAACCCGCCCTCTACAATGGAAGTACCCTGCTTACACATTGGAAAATGAAACGAACGAAGCAAACATCTTGTTCATCTATGTGATATCACAATTTCCACACCACAGACATGGTGGTAAATGGTCGATGACGTGGTTCATGGGTCAGGGCGGCGCTAGATTATGGGAGTGATTGGATATCGATGTCACATACTGGAAAATATGAAAACTTTAAAAGTTTGATGAGTCGTGTCAGGGGCAGCTGTCTGCCTTTGTACCAAGGCTCAGGTGCAAGGGGGGGAGATGGGTGGCTTGGGCGAAGGGGACATGAACATCCCACAAGGGTCTTTTGTATCAAGGGTCTCGCACGCGGAAATGATCAGAGCCTGTCATCCTGAAGATGGCCGCGTTGACGTGGCATAAGGGTGGACATGGTAACCCACGGTGAGGCTTTGCGAGCAAGAAAATTCAAATTTCGAGATATGATGAAACATCCATCCTTGTCTACGGCAGGCAGTTTCTTGTAATGCAAGGTATTTTGGAGTGTAATGCTACCCGACCATGACTCTTGAACCGAAGACGGCGTGACCGAAACAACGAAATTCTCTTTAAATTACTCTCTTGTTCGAAGTCGAAAAACAGGGCTGCCTAGGTCTCGACCGCCAGGGGCCAAATCAGACACACCAACCAATCACGTCACAGCTATGTATGCAGTTGGTTTGCGAATAAGCTGCCCGCATGAGGCACAGTTTCACTCGGCTAGCTGTGGCACCTCGGGATTTACATATAACAAATTTAAGCCTATATGGTACGGTATCAATCCCCTTAAAAATAATTCTCGGATCATTTCCGTGGCTTAACGCGATGGTGAGGCCGTTTTTTCGCGACTTGGATTCGCTTTGGGTTCGTCTAAATTACCACCGATAAACCCTCCATAGAGGTGTGTGTAACCAAGCCAAGGTGGAGATCTTTTTCGTCCGATAGCATCTTTTTGGAGACAAGGATACCATCCCATTGGTTACTTTTGCTCCATGTTGTGAGTTTGGTCGTATTAAAATAGCATGGCTTCGTTTGTTGGTACATAATATATCACAGCAAAAATTTGACACAACCCCTGCACACTTCGTAAATTCTGCTATCGCTTGTCTACAGAGTAAAGGGGAGGAGGAATAAGAAAGAAACAGAAAACTATGGCGAGGAAGAAAAGGACTAAAGCGAAAGAAAAGGAATCAAGTAAACACACATAACACTTATATAGTTGCAAAAGACTCTCCAAGCCCATTACATCGACTTGCCTCATTTATACATTAAAAGATCCTTGAGAAATAGCTCAGTTACTTATGCTGAACATGGAGAATGCCAATGAGACCATGCGGAAGTACGCTCTCGATACTTTGGCCAAAACCTCTTCCCACTTCAAATTGCAGATGGAAGTTCTGGCCAAAGAAATTCATGACCACATAGAATCTACAACCCACAAACTCGCTTCCTTCGACCAAGAGATCGCTGCCAGGAAAGGAGATCTTCGACTGTTCGCTCAAACTTGGCACTTGAGGCCCACAGATTTAGACCAAATCTTGAACGATATTCCCGCTATTCGACCGTCCTGGCCAGATGTTCTTTCACCTACACTAGGCCCAGCTATCTGCTTTCCGTCGTCAGTCACTGCATCGAAGCCTAGAAATTATGCGGAAGCATCATCGCAAACTGATAAAAACATCCTTGATTCCCTCCATGGTCCTGTCGCACTAGGATCAGACATGTTTCAGACAACATGTCATGGTCTAGAAGATACTTATGTCCAAGACCCAGCCGCTAAGTTACTCAACGTTCCAAAAGAAGGCGTTCCTCGTGACCCCAGAGGTTCTATCACTGTCAGTGGAACAGAATACTTCTCGAGAAGTTCGTCAACGTTGCATGGCCTTCCTGGCCCCGATCACCATGAAAGCACCACCAGGGACAGGACGCCGAGTGCCGAGAGACCGTTCAGCTTGATACATCAAGTAACCGGAAGGTCTATAGACAGCAACCGTCTCACAGCCAGAGAGTTCCCCTTTGTCGTTCATGAATTCCCGGGAATCATCTGTATTTTGCGATGTCCATGTCGTGAATTCTACTTTGAAAGCAACCCCTTCAAGTTTCACGAGGGCATCAAACATTTTTATCGTTTTCATCCTGAAATTTGCCAAGGTGAAATTCCTACAGCAATATTTCTTATCGAGAATTATGCTAGAAAAGGTAAGTCATCGTTGGTTTAATTCTCTCCATTTATGCTAACTATGTTTGTTCGAGTCAACGGAATGACCTCTGGCGCTCTCAACGTCCGAATAAGATGGTTAAAAAAAGGGTTGAACGGTTCCTGCAAAAGAAAGATGAACCACAAAACTCGTCTCTCTCTATGTAAGATGAAACAAATCACAGAGCGTTGCTTATAGGTGGACTGCTGACTTGATTCACGCCCAGTGACACCATATGATCCAACCAAAACTTCCCGCAGGCGTGCAAAGCCTCGCCGCCAGACATCCAACGCAGTACCGGGGATCCGCGGTAGTCTTATTACAGTAGTTAGTAGTGCCGATACCCCTTCCAAGTCACAAACCTAATACACATCACTGTCTGACAAAATGCATCAGCAGTCGCAAGCAACTCGCTTTGGTCGGCTCGATGATGAACGAGAAGATTCCGATGGTGGCGATGAAGACGATGACGACAACGAAGAAGAGGATAGCGAACAAGAAGACGATCTCGACGACGACATGGATATCGATAGCGAGTTCCTTCCTGATAATCTCTGCGACGCGCCCGAAATGGCACGAGAACCAGCTCCCTCGGCGGCAACTCATGCAAGAGCACCGCTCAATTACTCCGCGGGTACGTGTGTCTCACCCATCAAGTCACTCAGGCGTAACAGATCGACATCTCAGGACATTAAGAGATCGAAACTGATCGTCACATTGAGTACTCCGAGACTTGGAGAAGTGAAAACAAGCCATGACAGCTCGGCTGGAGTCAGTGAGCGATGCACTTCTCGTGACGAGGATAAGTATGGCAGGCCAAATGTTTAGGCAATAGCGTTCTGACACACTCACAGCCATGACAGAGATTATGATCCAATCCCGCGGCGGTTCGCAAGGTGTTAATGCTTGACTCCGAGAATTACTTCCAGTTTGAGCGTTGAGGGTGTCTATCAGGGCTATCGTAATCGGCAGTGATGAAATAGCTTGACTTGGCCGTTTCACATGTACTTCTCGTTTCTTTCCGATGTGTACAGAAGTAAGCGGGGAACTAGTCTTCTGCGCCATCGTATTAGATCCATCTGTATATTGAGTTCTGGGAAAGTTGTTTTTTTCTTCTAATAGTTCGGTACGTGTATGGCCGAGGGCTGGTTGACCATAAGCAAGTTTGTTTGGTTATGGCACCTATTTTTCTTCTTTTTCTTTTACGTCTTCTGCTCAGCAAATACAAGTTGTCCACTTCTCGTTCTGGATGCTTTCTTACATATATAGAAAAACGTTTCAAAGCTCTTTTATGCCCCAAATAACACAAGAGTCTCGGCAATTGCACTGACCCCTCATTCTTTGCCTGAAACAGGGTACATCATTGGGAGACGATTTCCCAATCCATGTTATTTATGGAGCGAAGCGCTTTTCATCAGCCCGGACCTGTTTTCTAGTGGTGCTAGGGCTGAGAACTAATCACAATGCTGAAAGTACAGTCGGTGGTTGTGTTTAATCCAGTACTAAAAGCGCTGTAGATTAACCTAAGGTTAGGTTAGCTGAAAATCCATGCTCTACATTAGCTGTCGCTAAAACAACATCGATTAACACACTGAACATCTGATTCTTCTTTTTGTCCTTTCTTTGATTTCGTTATACCTGATTAACGGCGCTCATATTCACGAGTGATACTTACTCTTGAGACAAGTCGCTGAAGTAACTGGGAATTTCCTAGTACTGAACAAATCACCCATTAACGACTGCGGGTTTGATCGTAACTAGTATAACATTAGACTATTTTGACTATCACTTGTGTTGGTCATCCAAATTTCCATCGAAACTATGCACAATTGATGCTCGTCTGTATCTATTACGCAGTCTAGCATAACCGTCAACTCACGGCTATGTTAGGCACGGTATCGCGCGCGCATTGGCGGACAGCTCGCCTTCTCAAACGCGTAAGTTCCCACCCACCACGGTCGCACGTTCTCGCGTACGCTACGCAGCACCATCGACGGATCTCCCAGCTGGATCGAGCAATACTCACGATTACATCGAACTTGACACTTTTCGCATGCCGAGTCAGAAGAAGTGCTTGTCTATTTTCCCTTATCAAGCTCGGTAGAATATTCTAGTCTGGAGAGTTACTGATCGTAACAGACAAATGGAAATGCCACATCCCTTATTTGTCCATATGTGAGTAGAATAATCACAAAGACAGGATGATTTGAATTTAGCTGCTCAGAGAGAAGTTTCTCCACCGCAAACTTGGCACATGCTCGACTCAACCATATTAGTATCCTAACTAACGATTAAGTTTGGGTGGGCAGGTCATGAACGCTACCACGAGTTTCTCTTCATCCTGAAATCCTCAGAAATTCGACTAGACCCACCTTTTACACGTAGCAGTGGACTGCAGAGTGGGTACATGACCTGATCAGGTCAGTAACCTAACCTTAGTGGTTTAAGTAAAGCGCAGATGTTCTATTTCTTCGGAGTTTTTCAGATAATTAACAATCGTCGTCATCGTCGAACAACAATGTCATTAATTATATACATATTTCATTACTGGCAATTATCTTCCTTTTGATTAAGCCGCGACTTAGCTAGCAAGCTTGTCATAATACTTATCAAGAGAATTCATCGCCTTAAATATCATACCGGTAATTATTGAAGTTTTGATTTTACTTATAAGTAAAATAAGTACTTAAAGTTCAAGCCATCGTCACTGCCACACTGCCATATTGCGTAGAAAAAGAGGATGCTCGCAATCGTTTACGATGCGAACGTGCATCGTGAGTTATACACCCTTATTCTAGAACAGAGCACTACAGTGGGTTTGTAGCCGTTCGTGACACTAATCCAGCGCTTCTCGGTTTATCTAGGCCAGAGCGGGCGGGATGCCGAGCTTTCTAAGAGCTATGATCGTATGTTATTGCTTTGAAGATAGTTGCCAAATTATTATAGATTTCTCTAAGCGGGCCACACCGATAATTCCATAACCACCACGCCCATAAGTATATCGTTAAACGCTCATAAGGGTGGAAAGAGAGATCGTTTAGCATTAAAAAAACCCCGCTTTCGAACGGTACCGACCTTGAAGGGCGCATAACTCTTATGAGTTAAGCTACCACATTTCCTTTATTATGATAGACACCCCGAATCGGCCGCAGCAACTTTTCCTATGCGATAGCTACGTACATACTACGTAGGAACAAACATGACTAGACAAGGATCAGAGTGTGATTGATCGCCTGGCAGTTGGTTGCATCTGCTCCCACGACTATCCCCAATGGTGTTTAGTGTCCCATGGCTTCTCTGCTTCTAGCTTCTTGACTTACTGCCACAATCTCGACTCAACAGCACCGTAGTTTTTCCAGCGGGAGTGTTCGACGAGCCGTGACATTATGGGACGGCTAAGTCGAGGCTGCATACGCTGTCGGGAAAGTACGTCCTCATGGCGAGACCCTATTTGGCCTTGCGCTGCCAAGACTGCACCCTCCGTACTTTACTCACACACAAGTGGATGCGGCCGTCGCTTGGCGCGAGTGGTCAACGCGCTGACATAAGTGTACAGGGCGCGTTAGATGCGACGAAGCTCGCCCGAGCTGCCAGTGCTGCATCAAGCGCAATGAAATCTGTGAAGGGTATCGCGATGAGTCTAGTCTCGTTTTTAGACATGAGACGAGAAGGTTAATTGAGCATGCGCGTGCTTCGGCGGCGTCCTCTACATCCAGCTCGACACCAAGTTGCCTTCGGAGAAGTCGTTCTGTAGAGGGATCTCCAAGCGCTGTCTACTCTTCATTGACTATTGATCACCCATCCGACCTCTCACAGGCCGAGGCAGATAGCCTAAGAGCACGGTTCTCTATGTCATGGCTTAAACAACAACCCACCCAGACACCAGCGTCAATTGAAGACCACGCGGTGGACCGATTCATGGAGAAGTTCGTTTTATACCCTTGCAACGAAACTTCAACTCCAGGTTTCCTCGAACATTTACCATCTCTATTTCAACGTGTCAATATTGAGGGTAGGTACGCTCTACGTTGGGCCGTAAGAGCTGCTGCGTACGCCGACTTATCGAAGGACGCCAGCGGCGAACCGCTGGCGCACAAAGCCTTGCATTGCTATGGCATGGCTCTTTCAGCTCTGGGACAGTCGCTTGCCGAGCCTGCCAAGACACCTGATGATTACGATCTAATGACAGTCGTCATATTGGACATTTTTGAGGTTTGGAGCTTTTTCACATTATGATAATTGCGTCTGATATATGGTAGACATTGTTCCTCTCCAACACGGCTAATAAAGGAGCACATGCTCAAGGTATGGCCCAAATTCTACGGCTACGAGGTTCAGACCAAGTTTACAATCCTCGTGGATGGAGTCTTTTCCGGCTGGCCCACCATAGAATCGTAAGCTATTTCACCTTTAGCTCCAAAAGCACCGCGTTGCTAACTCACCGCAAGCAAAAACAGCAATTGGCACTGGGCATGTCTCCAATGGTCGAGTCAAATGACTGGTTGGAACAGCTTAGCGACGATCTAAGCTATGTGCGGATTGAGAAGGATGCATTCAAAATCAAACAGACTTGCGTTAGAGCCCAAAGCCTGCTCGACCTCATGGTTTCACAACAGCTAGCACCTAGCCAATTACTTTCCTTTGCTCGAGATATGTTGGTGATTGATGAAGATGCGGCTAAATGGCGACAGAGTTCTAAATGGGCCTTCAAAACCTTGCGGACGATTGACTTGACCCTACGCAATGCCACTATTTGCTATACCCCAACTATTCAACTACATTCTGACATCTGGAATGCTTACGAATGGAACTATCACAGGACAGCGCGTATCATCTTCCATCAACAACTCCTGAAGTGTTTACAGGCTGCACTAGATTCGGATGATCTCGAAGTTACCTTTTCCTCCGATATTTGGGCAATAATCCAGCATTCCATTGCCACTGTTCACCAGCTCGCAGACGAGGTCCTGTCCACAGTGCCGCAAGCATTTGGCGATATTGATCCTCTCGGCCGCGAACGAGACGTAGCGAAAGGACCACCAAAATTCCGAGCCATCGGATCTTACCTTCTCTTATGGCCCATCAAGATCATCAAAGCCGAAGCTGCCTGGACAACGGAAGAACAGAAAAGGAATGCACAAACTGTTTTCGAACGAATACGTGATTACACGGGGATGAAGTCTCTCCTAGGAGATATGAGTTGTATTTGAAGGAGCACTTGGTACTATATCGATTCGCTTTCAGCTTCTAGAAGCCGAACACCCTATTTCGAGTCAACCACAGCCATTGGGCTTGCTTCCTTGCCCTCTAGATGAGCAGGCCCGTAGGTGGATTGGTATTACCTTATATCGACCAGGAATCAGGCGTTTCAATATTCATCTCTAGCTTGTAGAAGCCCACTACAGCCAGTATCAATAGAAATAGTAACACTTTGTCAACATCATTTCTCACAGTGTAAGGGCACATCCAAAGTTTCGACTACTCGTACATCTAGCTAAAATCGGTCAAGATTTGTGTCTTAGAGACTGTATTTGCGTTGCTTCTCACTGACGAGTCGTTCCAAACCACCGACCGACCGTGAAGTAGTATGCCCCTTTGTGTCCTTGAAAATTCTATGCACTGTTTGGCTTCTTGATAACAGTCTCTCCGAGCTCCTCCCCATCCGCTAACTTCACCTTTTCGGCGCCAACCATCACGCATGCAAAGCGGCAAACCTCGTCTGTACGATTGTGCCACCTATGGTTCACACCTCCCTGCACAATAAACTCGCCAGCCTTGAGGGTCTTCTCCTCCCCGCCATCCAGCTCGAGCACGATCTCGCCAGACATGATGATGCAGTAGTCCAAGCTCAAGGTACGATGCATGGGCACGCTGAAATGAGGAGGAATGTTGCTGATGGCGAAGAGGACCCCGTTGGGCGGACAGCGTGGAATGGACTTGGACATGTCCTGCCCCAGTTCCTGGTTTGAGACCGGAACTCCTGCACGCGCATCGAAGACAGAGAAGGAGCTCAGGGTGGGTCCGAAAGGAGCAAATGGCTCGAGGACATGATCAGAAGTAAATATTGAGGTGCCGTCTTCCTTGTGGCCTGTAGTGACCAGACGAGGCTTTGAGAGAGCGGTCATGTTTGCCATCTTATTGCAGCGCACTTTAAAGAGTTCTGGATAATCGTCGTTGTGGATTTTTGGGAATGGTAGGAAAAAAGTTGATGATGCTGGATCGATATAAGCCCGAGTGATTGTTAATACAGAAATCGAGATAATTTTCGTAAGACGGTCAGACGAGCTCATATTTATACAGCACCTTTTGATCCTCATCGTCTTGTAGGCACTGCCTATCTCCCATATAAGCCTGGATACTGGATCTCGCGCAACTAACCCCATTCAGCAAGCACCGCGACTCCTTCTCGCGCAAATCGCGGCGCGATTGGTTCGCGCATCTTGCGTTATCTCCACTCTCGCTTATTACAATCCTTTGACCTTGCGTGCTCCCAACGACTGTCTATGTAGGTAACAGAAATATCATACCAGTCAAGTCGCGCATATCAAAGTTCACGGATGGTAAGAACTAATCATGAGTGTTCTTTTACCAGTACAATGTGGATTAATTTCGAATATTACAAAAAATCTGGCATACGTTTCAAGTAGGATGATGCTAGAGCCTAGGAGTAGAACATGAAAATCAGCTGAATCATTACAATTGGACTATTAATTGTTCAAGTTCGGGTGAATTCGTAATTTTGGATGGGAAAAGCTTGCCAGTATCTCGGCATGATACGGCAACGTTCACCTAACCGTGTTATACATCTGTCCACTCGAACCTGTCTATCATTATTCGAAGACTTGCCTCTGCCATTCGGCATCTAAAAGCAGAAAAATACTCCAACCGTTACGTCCTGTCCATAGTGTATCACCAGGTAACCTTCCCTTTTGTACAGTCTTCAAAAGTGATTCGTCAATTAATTCTTCGCATGGGAGATCCTAACATAACACTTGGCCGGTTTCGTGGTGAGGCTGTCGATTGCATCGAAGGTGTTCAGCTCTTGAGGCAGCGAACCCAGTTCAAGATTCCATATCAGCAATGCCATCAGAATTCTGAACTCGAGATAGGCCAAACGTCGACCGAAGCAGCCTCTGACGCCGAGGCTAAAACTCAAAAGAGGACCAGCTTGGTGGTCGAAAGACTCAGAACCGTCTTCTGTCTTGAGCCAGCGCTCGGGAATGAAAGCCTGCGGGTCTTGATCGTCCCAGGAGCTACGAGTGTCTTTATGAGCTTGGGAGCCTTCGCTTCTTCTCGACTCTTCGATATGAAATGACGGTTGAGCGATGCTGGCACCCATGGTAGGCATGAAGACCTCCGTGCCCTTGGGAATGCGATGGCCGAGGATCACTGTGTCAACCTGCGCTTGGCGGCTGACCCCGAGGACAGGACCTGTTAGACGCAAAGTTTCTTCCATCACAGCTTCCAGATATGGCACTTGTATCTTGGTGATCTCGGTGACGGTCGGCTGACGTCCCTCGGCTGTGGCGTCAACGTACGCCGTACGTAGAGCCTGACGGGTCTTTTGCTGGATATCTCCGTGGACGGCCAAGTGTTTCAAAGCCCACTGGAAAGAAGTCGCAGTCGTCTCATGGCCGGCTCCAATGTAGCCGTAGAGTTCATCCTTCATGAATGGGGAGTTAAACACGGCTGGTCTCCCAGCCTTCTTTGCGGCGTTGGTCTCTCGCTTGACCATATAGTCCAAGGCAGACTTCACTTCCTCGCCGGCTTCAAGACGCTTTACGGCAAGATCAATCTGCTTCTCAAACATTCTGTCCTTGGAAGCGTACACTTCCTTCATGACGGCCTTGCGATTGTTGAACTTGTGGAACAGAGCGGGAGATGGGAACGTCACGGATGAAGCAACAGCTTCTTGCTGGACCTGGTGGGCGTGCAGGTCTTCGTCGGGAAGGTGTTCGGGAAATGTGAAGACGATATCCTTGCTATCCAGGCGCTGGCTATCAAAGTCGCTTTCGCGGACAATATCATGGTACAGCTCAGTCATGCTTTGAGAATCACCCTCGCCAAGTGCGACGATCTTGATAATGTCGAAAGTCACAACGTGGACATCCTGGTCAGCACGAAAAGGACGGCCGCTGGCTTTCTCAGCTTTAAGCTTCCATAGGTCGACGAACTTCAGTGTGTTTCGGTAAATTTCCGGGGCAGAAACCTTTGCCAATGTTAGTAACGCTACCCGAAAAACTTCCATGTCGACCTACCGTGTGTAAGAAGTGCGGTGTCATCAGGTCCTTAACCAACTCTCTGTTCGGCTTGAACTGCGGGTCTGATGTCTGCATACTGATGTGGTGATTTCCAAGCACACCACGCATAGCCATCATACCGCGGCCACCACGGTCAAACTCTTTCCCCCTTCTTAGGAGGATGTCCTGACTTTCCCGGTAGTCGGACAAAATCAACATTGGCTTCGACATTGGCATGAGAAACACTTGGACAAGCGGGCTGTTGTGCCTCCATGGCTGCTGGCCGAACCAAGCACGCGGTCGCCCGCCCTGCTCCTTCAACTTCTTAATTTCTGCGGCATCTCCGAGAATCGATTTTACGGCCTCTTTGTTATAAGGAATCCCTGGTATTGGCTTCGGCAGTACCCACTGATAAGTGAGGTACAGCAACGACACTGCGCATATAATGAAGAAGCTCGCCACAAAAGGCAGCTGCGCCAGAGGCGACACCGCTGTAGCATTCGACGACATGCCGGGCCGCGCTAGTATCTCGTCGCCGCGCTGACGAGTCTGGCGGGAAGATCTCAGGAAATGCGAATATGACTATCTTGAGGGTGCGAGGAGGTCTTATCCTTTGAGCTAAAAATGTTTGCCCGGAGGACCCGCTTATCCCCGATGTTGTGATAACGCCCCTTGTCCCTGAAAGCATCATGGGTTGGCGCGGAGCCTCAAATTGGATCTGCCATGTTGGGACAACGGGATGCGACAGGGATCAGATGGGATGGAGCGTTCGACTCCTGGTAATCAGAGGCACAAGCAGTAGCTACGCGGCATAGCATAACAGATCCCGAGTCCCGTGCTCTGCTTCCAAAGGACCCCCACGAACAAAAACCTTCTCTCTGCAAACATTTTGTCCGAGGACAAACGGACGGCGTTTGCTATCGAAACGGGTATTGACGAAGAAGTTGCCGCATGCAGCGAAGTGTCGATCTCAATGGTCTCCACTTGTTGGGAAATTACTCCCCGTGGGTTTTAATTGGTTCAATTCTATACTCTGCACTGGAAATCCCAGGTTCTCATGTGATCTTGGACGGATTGAACGAACCGGGTGGGCTGGCGTCAGCAAGCTTACAAGCGAGCTCGGCCAGCGGTATAGCGCTGCGGCTCTTTGCTTTCCGCTACCCGTTGCGCTGAATCATCTGTCAAAGGCATGCTTTTCAGCATAGGCTATTCCGAAACGAAGCTTCATGTGCCTGTGGATTATCCTGACTGGCCCTGGTAGACTTGTGAACTGATGCCGTAAAGTTAGGATAGGCATGTCAAAGTTCACACAGCTCTAAAACTTGAATATCTGCTTTAGTAATCACAGCTATCCATTTATTCCATAATACATCGTCAGCTTTAGACTCGTAATATATCAAATTCTAGTTAGTGGCTTTCCGGGCTATTTCGTACTATACCAGTAAGATTCACTTCTAGGCATTTGTAACTTGGTAAAACGGCATACTAGTTAGGGTCTGCAGGTGCTTAATGACGTTATAAAACTCAACAATTGAACAATTGGACATGCACGCCAAGCTACACCATGGATAAATAAGCTGCCGCTGCACCGCTGAATAACAGAACGACAAAATTACCGTCACGGTCTATGTTCTTCCCATTCTGAGTTGGTAAGCAATTGAGAAGTGGGCACAAGAGTCTACGCCATCAACCAAGCTCTCTACTACCGCCATCCAAGAAATGAACCTCAAGAGGCAACTCGACCTTCGATAAAATGCGTGTCTACTTGTGAGAATCGCGTAATATCCACCGGATCCAAGCGACGTCCTGGTGATACTGTAAATCAGATAGACAAAGCTTCGTTGGGTGATGAGTGTGGACAACGGCAGGACTTTTTTTTTATAACTTTTTAAAAAAAAGAAAAGAAAAAGTATTGTTGTGCGGAGGAGCTATATGGCTAAAACTTTCGGCCGTAAGCGATTAGTTAACTTGGCACAAGCAAAGAATACGAGGCTCTAGATAAGCACTGCTGTTGGATATACCTCTAGGTGCGAGGATGAGACGTGGTAGAACGAATGCATCTTGAATGTGAGATGACGAGCCCCTGATAAAATTCTCACGGCCAGGGTATGACGAGGTTGCTGAGTTGTGTCAGGGCAAAGATTCTGGAAGGCCGAGGTTCGAATACGACACTCTGGGATATGACTATAATCAATTTCATATTCGAGATGATGTTGACGTGTTTATATTGTTTATATTGTGTATAGTTCATGTAAATTGAAAACCAGGCTCTGTGCACATTAAGGCACTTCTCCGGCTATAAAACCAATCTGCCTCCTCGCGCTTGTACTACCGCCGTTTCCTCCTATATTCGCCGCAAGATGAGCTTGACTATCCACCAACTTCTTTTGCTCTTGTATCCGCTGTTTAAACCGATAGTCGGCTGCCTTGTCAAACTCTTCAGCCTGTTGCCGTTCCCCAATTCTGATGCTACTGAGTTGGTTTGCATTGCCTACCCTTTCATTACCCAGATCTCGTTCCCACTCCAACATTTTTTGCTGTTTCTGCGTCTCAAACGCTAATTCGGCGTCGCCGAGCTCCTGTACACGACGGCGCGACGCTTCAGTAAGGGCCTTTTGGTGCGAGACTTCGGCGTTCTGCTTGGCGCGTTGCTGTGCCAGAGCTCGCGCGAAGAGGTCATCTTCCAGACGTGCTTTTTCCTGTATCGCTGTTATGTCGGCGCCATGCGAACGCTTCTTTCGTGCGTCTTCGAGCTCGGCCTGATTCGCCCATATCTCTGCCTGTACCGCCGCCAATTCTTTCGACCTGTTTATGGCTAGTAGATGCTCATCATCTTGGCGGCGCTGGCGGTCAAGACGTGCTTTTCGATCTGCTTCTTGATCCTGGATGTGTGATGGCATCCCGACGGCGTCGTCTGGCTGGGGACCAGAGTTGGCATAGTAAATGTCGACACCGCGATTCGCTTTGAGCAATTTCAGCAGTTCGTGCGAAGTATCCTTTTGTGGCAGAACGCGGGAGACGTATTGGGTGGGCGAGTAAGTATATTGGCCATCTGTATATTGGTTGAAGGTCTTGTTGATGAACTTCCACATATCAGCTCGTAGCAGAACCTTGGTAATTGTCAAAGGGTCTGCCGATTCTAGAGCGAGTAGAAGCACAGACTTGCCCTCTGAGTGCAGAGTGATATCGGAGTCCTGCAAAAGAAGGTTTATGCATTTCTCCATGGCTTTTTCGCGGAGGGCAGTGATCTCGCCTGAGTCGGCGGCATGGAGACACAGCTCTCCGAGTGCGCTACGCCCACCATGTTGTGGGCTTGGGAAGTCGGGATCGTGCTTGTATTCTATCAAGATCTGCATTGCCTGCAAGTTGAGCTCTCTCGCAGCATTATGTAGGGAGCCGTCATTTCTCGAAGCCCCTGCTGCAAGAAGGTTTGACATCATGGTGATGGCCAGGTCTCCACCAATCCCTGAAGCAATAGACAGTGGGGACCTCCCAATAGCATCAGCGACATCGACTTCCGCACCACTAAGGAGAAGAGATTTGACAATGTCGGGTCTCCGTGTTTGGATCGCCAGCATCAACGGGGTTACTCTGGAAAGACGTGTCTCGTAGTTGACTTTCGCACCCCGATCAATGACCAAATTAATGACACCGCTGCTGATCTTCTTCTGAGGTTGTAGAAGTGCCCACGTGAGAAGGTTGACCTGTTCGTCTTCTTCCATTACAGGCATGACTCTAGCAGAAGTCATTTGATCATGATAGAAACCGATGTCCAGTAAAGCCTGTATTACCTTGATCGATCTTGGGAATTGTGATAGGGCCCGAAATATCACTGGCTGGGATCCAGCTTCGGTGAACATAGTATCCATTTGGTAACCGCCGTCATGATGGTCCACAAAGAGGTTGATTAATTCATGAACTTCGTCTTCCCCAGCACTTGTCTCGAAAATTCGGGGGAATGCAAGTGTCACAGCTTCGGCACTTGGCTTCTCTTGTAGAAGCCGGCGGAGCAGGTCAGGATTGCCCTGAGTGGCGGCAATTTGCACTGCCTCTCCTTGATTGTAATCAAGGTCGGCATCGTACTTCAGGAGCAGTTCGACAAAGCTGTCTGCCAGGTTTCCAGGGTTCTCTGCGTAAACTCCGAGCACTGCCACGAGCGCCGATCCTACAACATCCCCACGAGCACCCTTTCGCAGTAAGCAGCGCGCGATCTCAAAGCCTCTCTCGGACAGCCACGATCCAGCTCTATCAGGAACAAATACTTTGCTGAATGCTAACGATGCCTCTTCCGGTGTGACCTTCGATTCCAGCAGCTTGGCAAATTGAGATGCGGTCAGTGTCCTGGTAGCATCAATCAAGGTCTGGCAGCCATTTGCTGTCGGCGATGCCCTATTGGCTACAAGCAGCTGTATAACCCTTTCCTCGGGGTCTTCTTCGTTGACTGCCTGTGTTAAAGCCAAGTGAACAGCATTGGGAACAGGCTTGCCGGCTAGAAAAATCCATTCAAGTACGGCAAAGCGTGTATCCCTGCTAAGGCCCCAGCAGGCATCCAGGGCCTTGAGGAGCGTATGCGACGAAGGCTTCTTTTGTTTGCCGCCGACCTCCTTTATGCCCAGAAGCATCTCAAGATTACCGAGAAAGGCACATTTTGTGGCCTGGACTACTGCTTCACCGTCGTTATAATCTGGACTTGCCCCATAAACGAGCAGCAGGTGTACGAGTTCTAGCCCGGCATCGCCAAACCTCTCAGCAGACACTAATTGAGCATCGACAACTTCTCCTGTGGCGCCCTGCTGTAACAGTAGCTTGAAAATAGCAGCCCTTTTGGAAAGGTCGGATAACTCGGTTGCCGCTTGGAAGCCCTTTCGTAAAGTCTGCTGGCTGATATCCGAGACACCCGACAAGAGCATACCTAACACATCCGCAGCACCGGACCGGCAAGCCTCCACCACAGCCTGGCCCTCCTTATAGTCAATGCTACCACCGTTGCGTACGAGGATTGTGCCGAAATCGAGGTCGCCGTCCATGGCCGCTGCCAACAGCGCATCTGATACCACTTCCCCCGAGGCACCGGCTCTGAGCAGACTGCTGGCGGACATACTCCGTGTTCTCTGGTTCTTCGTTTTGGTGGCTTGAGAAAAACCGGCATTTAGAACATCGACCGAGAATTGTTTCTTATTCAATATAAGTTCTACAACGTCCTGATTTTCCAGCTTGATAGCTTCGATCAAAGCAAGACCGTCGTTTGTGTCAGCATGAGAAAGTAAAGAGTTGATAAGAGGAATATCGTCAGGATATGTTGTCACAGCAAAAACAAGAGCTCTGTTGACCTCGCTGGGCGGAATACCGCCTTGGAGAAACTTATGTGCAAACGCTAGACGGTCCATCGGATCTTTGACCCTCAAAACATACGGCATCGCAATTGAGAGTGAGAGGGGACTTGGTCGTCGCACCGAGAAAAGAAGGTCTACCACTGGGCCGTTAGCCGCACCTACTGCCCTGCATAATGCTTCTGCTTTGTGAGCATCAATTTCTGCGCCATTTACAAGCAGAGCCCGTAAAACAGAGAGCACACGCTGCGGAGGTGGCGTTTTGAGGACATTCTGGACTTCTTCAACCAGCAAACGGCTCAAAGGGTCTTTTGAAGCGACCCGCCTCATCAAGAAGTCTAGTTTGTCAACCTTTCCTGAACTTGAGGGCACTGAACCTAGGTTTCTCATGGCGTGATCTAGTGTGTCAGGACTTGGCTGGCTCATCTCCAGTACTATCTGAAGTACTGATGGGTCTGGATGCTGCACAGCATTTACGAGCGCGCTTCCAGCGTTCGCGTTGACATCCGCCTGCCCTCGTTGGAGCAGAATGCGTAGAAGATCCTTGTCCGCCGGGCTCGTCTGAAGGAGTGTGGCCAGTGCTGTTGATACTTCCTGCCCACCATGGGAGGCACCGGCATCCAGTAGCATGCTAACCATTTGAGCTCTCTTCCCTGGATCCTGTACTTCCATGGCTCGCGGGATCGCTTTAGCCGAGATCTGCGGGGTGGGATTGCTTTTCAACAATCTGTTCAGAAGACTCAGGTCTTTTTGTGCGATAGCCGCAGTAATGCTTGCTCCTTCATTGAAATTCACATCGGCGTTTGACCGCAATAATAATGCGATAAGTCGTTCGTCCCGATGAGGCGGGGTCTCATCAACGGCATTCTGCAACCCCGAGTGCACGCAGGGACCGGATAGTCCTGCTCCCAAAAATGCTTCTGTCATCTGATAACGCTCAAGCCGTGGTAAATTCCTCACACTAGGGAAGGCCTGCGCCATGTCGTCATTGGATGGTGGCTTCTCGGCCGCCAGGATCATTTTCGCAATAGGGACATTTCTGTTTTTTATCGCTATTTTCAGCGCCAACCCGCCCTTGTAATCTGTCGATGCGACGGCATGCTTCTCATAAACCATACTTTTAGGGCCCTTCCTCAAATCTTGGTTGCCTGCCATCTTGCCAGGAAACAAGGGAGTAAGGAGTAGCTTTGCCGCCTCCACGTCGCCCGCATCTGTGGCATCGACCAAAGCTTCGTCCAGAGGGGGACCATGGGCTCCTTTATGTAGTAATAAGTCCAGGAACGTAAATCTGTCCTCGAACCGTAGTTTCTTGGGAATAAGGCCTATGCATTCTGATGCATATTTTGCGTTTAACTGTGCCGGTCCATGTAGCATCACATCTGCAAGATCCAACCTAGCGGTGGAGATCGCTTTTCGTAAAGCCTGGGCATCTTGATATTCGATAGAGGCATCATACGAGACCAGGAGATGTACCATATCAATAAAGTACGTGGCGCTTGCTTGTACCAAAGCCCGCGCTGTCACATCGCCATCCGCGCCTGCACAAAGCAAAACCTCCGCCAAGGCGATCTTCTCATTGGGGTTGATATTCTGGTGATTCATGAGTTGATCGAAAGCCTCATTCAACCCCGGTTGGCTTGGTGGCTTGTTCCCTGTTATGATTGCCAATACAATATCTCGTCTTCCTAAGGCTACTGCCGCTTTCAAGGCTGCAGCACTATCGTAGTTTCCGTCGGCTGTAGAACGACTAAGTGCAAGCACAGTATCCAAACATCCGACTCGAGCGGCTTCCACCATGGACTGGGACACCCAGGACACTGGCGGTCGTCCTTCTGATGATAATATCATAGCGATCATGTCCGCCTGACCTCCACTGCCGCATGCTCGTCGAAACTCATCCTGGCCATCGGCGGTTTGCACAGCGCTTGCTCCATATCTGACCAGCATTTCAACAATGGCAAAGTCCGAATTGTGCATTGCGATGGGCAGTGATGTGTCTAGACTCAGAGCATCCGCAAAAGGCAACAACACCTCTACCATCTCTTTGTGCCTGTTTTCCACAGCTTTTTGAAGGACTTGGCTCCGCTGTGCTAGGTCAAGGCTTTTCCTCCTGGTTAGAAGACTGGTTCGGCTCTTCTGTGCCAAATTGACATTCCCTCCCACTTGATTCAGCATCGAAATAAACGCTTCTGCGACCCCTGGCGAACCTTGATTAGTGACATGAGTGACGAGAGCGCCGTATATCTCTTTGTACTCCCACGACTTTTTCTTTGTAGTGAAAGCCCTCGATAAGCCGCCCTTGGATTGTTGAGCCTGCTCTGTCGTCCGTTGGCGTTTAAGAAGCTCTTCAGCGTAGTACCCGTCATCTGGGGTCATGGTAGATGATACATGATCCGGCCGTATTAATGGCGATGGAAGTGGTGCTGAGTCGAGTCCCCATTCTCTTCCAAGATCCTGAAGTCGGCGCTGACGGCGATCTTGTAATGACATCTGCTCCATGTTGTGATCTATTAAACCCGGCATGTTGTCCACAGTGCGCAAGTGGCTTTTGGGTTGTAACTTCGCGGCTTCTCGAATTGGTAACAGCTCTGTCCAAGCTTCCACGACTGTGAGACGCCGGCTGTGCTCTGTAGATTGAGCCTAGCAGATAGAGACCAGAAGACTGGAGAGCAGTATATATCGACAGTCAGTTGTCGTATGATTAACGAGTGTGCATTGATTGACCCCTGTATCCAAAAGACAGTCACAAATTTACATCGTAGTTGATGTTGGCAGCACAACGTCGCCGGGCATCTCACAGCCTCATATAAAGACCAGCCGAGGTGTTCCGAGGGATGCCGCATTCAGGAGCTACTGCAGGACCATATGCGTGCAGCAAACACAATATGTATTAACCACAGCTGTGATTCACCTGTGATCCACCTGAAGTTGCTGCTGATTAGAATTTGCGCAATACCAAGACTTGAGAGAGGAAGCAATGAAAGCCAACATGAGATGAAAAAGGGTGACAAGCATCAATCGCGAACTGAAACTTGAAACTTGAATCGGGGCCTCGAGCTCGAGCCAGGGAACCGGGCAGGAATGCCTAGCGCGGCCAATTCGATACGGTGATCCGAATGGATCGCCCGTGCACCGCCTCAATAAGGTTGCGCAGAGACGGCGGGAGGATGCGCCTAGAGCTGCACTCTCTCCAGTCCCCGTACTCGCTAACGGAATTATGAGCGCATTGAGTACGCGGCCTTCAGCACAGCTCGAATTTCTCATTAATCAGCAATAGATGTCTAAAGAGTATCTCTCAGCTGAAGTCAATAGGTACGAATGAATGATTCGGATTTCTCTCGAGAAATAGTGATCCACACCATGCACCACATCCGGAAAAGGCTTAGACAGGAGAGGTTTTAGCGTCAAACACTGCGAGCACTCCACTATAATTGATTTCAAGGTTAATGGCCCGTCCAATTACGCAGCCAGAGACACATTCAAGAATCTATACGGATCCGTGTGGACTTTTGAGGAAAATCTTTACTAGTATAACACAGAATAACCTTAAAACTTAGCAAAATACTAATAATATAAACGGAAAGTCCAACGGCATAATACAAGATAAACCACGTTATTCTGGTGACCTTGGTTGAGACTCATATTTATACAACTCGTGCACTTTTTGCTTCACTAAGCAACTTACCGGTAATGAGCGGTCAAATCGGTGCGATTAGACACACTGTAACTATACGTCCGGTTATGGGAATCGAACTGCCGTGTGGGTATAATGGCTTTATCTATAAGGTGCTATGCACAATAAAACTGCAGTTTTGTCCTGGTCTTTTCCATCAAAGCTTCCACGCAAATTATGCCATGTACTGCAAACTTATGATGTCTTGGCCTTGACAGCAGACAGCAACTCTGCAGGCGGCTCCTGTCGATAACCCTTGGGGTTGTTGGACACCCAGCGCCACAAATCGTCACATGCTTGCTCCATAGTGAGCTCTGTCTTCCAGTTGAGCTCCTCGTTTGCGCGTTTGGGGTTGGCCGTCAGATCCAGGACATCACCCTGTCGGCGTGGCACAACCTCGTAAGGCAAATCCCGACCGACAACCTTGCTGAAAGCCTTGATGATCTCGAAAACTGTGCTTCCACGGCCAGAACCCAGGTTCCATGCCCTGATACCGGGTTTGTTCTGACGCAGGTAGTTCAGAGCGACCAAGTGACCTCTGGCAAGATCGACGACGTGGATATAGTCTCGGATGGCGGTACCATCTTTTGAGGCGTAATCTAGGTGACGTTAGTTTAAACGTGGCCGGCCGCTCGGTACTGCTCGACGCAGGAGCTTACCATCACCAAACACCAGGAGCTTGGGCCTGTCTCCGGTTGCAACCTTGCCCAGCAGGGGCAGCAAGTTGTAAGGCACACCCTGAGGGTCCTCGCCCATGATACCGGTAGGGTGAGCACCGCATGGGTTGAAGTATCGCAGGTTGGCACCGTTCCACTGCTCAAAGGGCTTGCCGGCCTTCTGGGCGTTCTGTCGCTGGGCTGTGATGAAGTCCTCGATGATCTGCTCGACAAAGCTCTTGGTTCGGCCGTAGGTGTTGGTAGGGCCGATTGGGCAGTGCTCGGGGATAGGGATCATGTTCTCGAAGCGGGTGGCATCACCGTATACAGTCGCAGACGACGAGAAGACAATATTTGTGACATTGTGCTTCTCCATGGAGCGAAGGAGGCTGACGGTGCCGCTGACATTGACGCGGTAGTACTCGAGAGGGATCTCGCTAGATTCACCCACAGCCTGCGGACCCAACCGTGAATTAGTCCCAGTTCCTCACCGTCGAAAAAGACCTCGGGCTTGAACGCAACGTGGAGAAAAGACTCACCTTGAGGGCAGCAAAGTGAATGACGCTGTCAATGGCGGGGTTCTGCGCGAAGACCTTGTCGAGCTCTACTTCATCCGTGAGGTCGGCCTTGTGGAACTTGGGTCGCTTGCCGCAGATGAGCTCAATGCGGTCAAGGGCGACTTCTGACGAGTTGTAGAGGTTATCTACAATGACGACTTCATAGCCATTCTGGAGCAGCGCAAGAGATGTGAAGGAACCGATGTAGCCGGTGCCACTGCACAGAACTTGTGTCAGAAACGAGTACAACTCAAAACATGATCGCAACGACACGCAACGAAGCGCAACACCAAGCAGCAGCTCGTGATGGCGGGGTCCCAATTGCGCCCAAAAGACCCCGCCTTGAAGCACCCCCAAATGAGGGTCTAGCAGCTAGAATGGTTCGATAGGAGCTCACTTACCCGGTGATCAAGACAGTACCAACAGTCATTATGGCCAGGTTTAAGGGAAAATCGAAGAATGACGATGGGGGGAGAGGTGGGAGAAAGTAGAACTGGATTGGAAGGAGGGGGGAGTCGTACAATAACAACACCACACGAAGCAAAGCAAAAGCGGTTGGTCTTTTTCGTCAATCGTCATTTAACAATTTAGATTGACTTTTGGCTGGTCGCACCCCGTGTAGAGGCGTGGTCCAGGCTCCCCCTCAAAGCCCCTCCATGAATGTGAATCAAGCAGCATGGTGGGGGGCTGGGGGGGCCAACTAGCTTCACTCAGTGCATTGAACATTCAATCTGAACCGTAGCGCACAACCCATCAGCCAGTCCGGTGGATCTAGCAGGGGGCACTACTTGCAATTGTACTGCATCACAAATTCCGCCAACTTTTAGCAAGGCCATGCGAATCTTCACCGTCTGTTTTGTTACAGCGGCTTCTGCTATGCTTGTGTGTATATGTCTGGTTCCTGAATCCCAACCTAGCGGGTAAATGTGTTGGCTACGCAATATCTTTGCTTTTACCTTGCCCTGCTTGCATGCTTTTGTTGTAGATCAACTATTTGTGATTGCATAGATTCTACGCAGATCCTCATTCTCGTTCCCATTCCCTATGTACCAGTGACCCACCCATCCCCGGAATGGCGCGGCTGTGGATGTGGTACGAGATCAAAATCTTGAGCAGTTGGATTCGTGTTTGTGTTTGTCAACGGAATGCATGTGGTACATCATGAACTAGATATTTAGTTCCGCTCCAACAACCAGTTCCAGTCTCTGGTCGATTCATTTCGTCGGCTAGAAAAAGGTTTCCGACCGAAATATTCACCCGCACCTGAACTTGAGGCATTGCTTGAACACTCACAGCACGAAAAAAGAAAAGAAAAAAACCGGTCTTCTTCCAATACCGCGAAGAAAAGGATAATTGACGCAAAGTATTTCCCAACCTTGAGCACCTGCTGGATGTGATTTCGTTTTGACTGTCTAGTTGGTGTTGCCACAATCACGTGACTTGGCAGCCAATTCGATTTTTGGCGCACGACGCGGTGTCGCGTCCTCGGACAGAACCGTTCCACTCCTCGATTGTAGTAACAAGTGGGCAATGCAGGACGCATTCGGTAATACTGAGGCCGGTAGAATGTCTCAGCAATTCCAAAGGCCTGCATACCAAGGATTCTTTTTTACAGCCCATTGACCTTTCCAAAAGCATTTCGAGACAATCGTGAGCTCGGTCAGATCCATGTCACATACCCGTCTGCGGAAGTCGCTACTGTAGTTAATGAGTCTCAATTCAGCCTCATTGAGGCTAGCAAGGCCCTGGGTACCCTACAACAATACCATTTCTACGCGACGGCTGAGTACCTAGTCCGGCAAACCTTGGTATTCATGGTTATGGACTGCCATTGTCCGATTGTTTCATTAATAGGCTGCTTTCGGGGATTCAAAGAACAATAGAAGACACTCTCAACCTGATTACCATTTTCGGACCAAGCTCGCGCGCCGCGGAGCCATTCATCTACCAACTACCACCAGTTCACTCAAGCCTTCCACAGCAGCCTTTCTCAAACTTTCTTTTACAAAAGATAAGGCCCAGGCATATGGATGAAATATCCCAATCATCCTTGAAATTCATCACCAGTAGCGCTTGGCATCATCCTAAGGTAAGGCGTCTCGTGTAGCCCAGTATCAGTTGATAGCTGGCCCGCAACCCCCGGTGTCTTCTGCAGCATACCTTGAATCAATTGCTGTCAATGGCTCTTATCTATGAATCTCACATTAACGTTGGCCACAGAGTATACTGGTGCGCCTTTCGGCAGCGTTTACGTAAAAGATGGCGCCTACCAACCGGCGCTCTACCCAGGTGAACCACCAGGACGGTGGCGGCGCACCTCTTCCTTCAGCTCAACAAGACCTTTATGGAGAGAACGATGTGCTTATGAGCTCCAAAGAGCACACAGTCGCTCTCGAAAATGATAATAACAGGAAGAACAAAGAGCTTTATAACCAGATATTCAGTCTCAGCAGAGGCCAGGAACGTGTGCCGCAATCCCAGCCAAAAGGAAACCCCATTAGGCAGGCATTTACCAACATACGTATGCCGGCTTCCAACCACAGAAAAGACGCTCATGGGCAGCTTCAGGGCAAACGCTCCATAACGGCTATTCCAGTTGGGACCCCCCGTCGTCCTATTGGACTAGGAAATCCACAAGCATTCGGCCGGTATAACGATGATAGTGATCCCTGGAACCTACGGGACGAGGTCGGCAACCGCAATTTATATCCAACTGGCTTACATGACCCGTATCAGACCCCTTATAATGGGAAGGGCAGGGGCAAGGGGCATCCTTCTGAGGCTCCGAACTCTCTGGCATCCAAATGGGGCATGGCTAGCGGGCGACCCTCTCCAGTCCCCTTATCGACGAGAAGTTTCATTCATGAAGATCAGCTGTACAATACCGCAGATATCCAGAGTCCTTTGATTCACCCACCGCCTCCGCGACAGAAGGAGCCAAAGCGAGCCCAGCCTAATCAAAGGCCCCGAGATAGCGGTCAGCCTCCTCCACCACCTGAAAGCAAAAGTCCTCCACCACCTCCTGAAACGGACTATCCTCTTTTACCTCCTGAAGCTGTCGAATATCCTTCTTTGCCCCCACAACCCAAGGTCATTGAAAACCTCTCACCTCAATCTTCTCAGAGCGAGCATATCCGCTCACCTCAATCTTCTCACAGCAAGAAAGTCCGCTCAACCCCGTCCAGGTCGCCATCCCCTCAAAGAACTCCACCGCCTGCCCAGAAACCTCTTCCCAGACGGTCTTCAACAAGTCCGCCTCCCAACAGATCTCCATCTCCAGTTACAAGCCCTTCAACCCCCAGAAATGGCCGCCGTCGACCTTTAATTCCGACTTTAAGTCCGAAATTCCCTCTTCAACCCCCGGTTCAACCCACAACTCAACCACCTGTCCTACCCTCAGCTCAGCCACCGGTTAACAAACCGGTTGAAGTCTTTGCTGCAGATCCACCTGACAAGGATGGGAATGATTCAGGGTTGAGTCCTCGGTCCTTGAAGAATATTAGGAACCGTATGCTTCCTATTAAGCCTCACACTGAACAAGTTTCGAAACCGTTCACAGGCAAAGATGATCTAAATGACGAACAAAAATTGGACGCAGAAAGGCTCCGAGAGCGTATGCGTCTTGAGGAAGGGCCTATTGGCAGAGCTCCCGAGTGGCAGAAACCGCAGCACCCCAACTACCCTGGGGTGGGACAGGGAACTGGCGCTGTAACTCCAGTTCCCGAGCTGAATCCTGGAAATCAAAGTCAATCTGATATAGGAAGCACCACACCGACTCAAACAGAAATTCCAAACAATGGAGGGGTCCGTCTAAACAGCCCGCCCATTGTGCATGATATCCCACGTGTTCCTGCGCCGCCCGTTGCCTCATCTTTGAAGAGCAGGCTTTCGGCTCTTGTTTGGGAACTTAGGAGGACTTGGGTGCGAAACCCCACAAAGAACTCTCGTGTATGGATCCTCATTGCAACAATTATGATGCTGCTCTTGGCTGTGGCCTTGCAACCTCAACATGGGGGGCAATCATTTGGCCATATCTTACCTGGTGGTACTTCGTTTTCTGGTATTTTTCGTAAATTCCAGCCGTCATTTGGGGGCGCTTGCTGTGACGATGTTTTTCGCAGACTTGATCTTATCGATATCGACTTAAGCAATATCCATCGAGACATTGATGCGCTCCGTCATGGTGTCAAGGCCCCTCAGGACGGCCGGCTTTTGTTCTGGGTGAACCAAAACAAAGATGGCAAACTAGTTATTCCCCATGAGTACTATGAGGCTATCAAACAACAAATCCTCAAGGACAAGCAATTACTGAGGGGTGTTTCGAATGAGACATGGGCTCCGGTAATCAACCGCCTTGTAACTGATGGATACCTGAAAAACAAGCCTCACGGTAGAAGCCACCTAGGCTATGAGGACATCACTACAGCTGATCTTCATGCAGGCTTTGACGAGTGGCTTCGGCGCAACGATGCAGCCATTGTCAAGGCCCTACGGGGCGCACTTGACTCTGTTACGGGCTTATCTGAAATGCAACTCAAAGATCTCTTAGCGAAGCATAACGTCGACCTAACTAATGGCAAAGTCATAACTCGAAAGGAATTCGAAGAACTGTACAGGAAAGAAATTACCGGCGGCTACACTGGTAATCTGCGTGAGCTTGCCGATCAGATTGACGTGTTCAAGAAGAATCTCGAGGAAAACCCACCCCAGGGCTTGGCGAAGGGGGACGTGGAAAAGGTCGTACAAGCAGCTGTGAGGAAATATGCTGATGCGCTCAAGGTCGAGGCAGCGGCCAAGGCCGGCAGCGATTCTGTTCTCAAACAGCTCAGCAACCAACTCAACTATTTTAGTGTCGGCGCTGGCGCGGTCGTTGATCCTCACAACACGTCGCCCAGATGGACTCCTCTAAAGCCAATCTCCGGGAGCAAGCGGTGGTATGACAAGGATGGCTACAAGCCCCAGCCGCCGGTCAGCGCTCTCATGTCATGGGAGGAGGACGGCCAATGTTTCTGTGCCGGCCCGAGCTTTAGCGGGCACGGTGTCGGAACCGCCAATCTCAGTGTTATGATCAGCCGTGATATCGTACCCCAGTTTGTCGTCCTAGAACATATACTTCCCGGCGCCACGCTTGATGCCGGCGCCCGTCCTAGAGATGTCGAAATCTGGGCGGCTTACGAGGACTATGACCTGCGCAAGACTGTCGGCGCCTGGTCTCAGGCCCTCTGGCCAGCAACGGCTGGGGAAAAACAGCTAGATGAAGGATACGTGAAGATCGGCGACTTTACCTATGAGGACCACAAAGTCGGTGATGGCGCGCAACTGTACAAGCTGAGCTCGGATCTTCTGGATATAAATGCTGCCACAAGCCGCTTCGTGGTAAGGGCGCTAAACAATTACGGAGCCGATCACACATGCTTCTATAGGATACGACTTTACGGAGATCAGAGAGACAGGGATATTGGCAACTAAGCAGCCGAGCAAACATAAGAAGGTAAAAAATACAGTGGACACGGAGGAGGCGCGGCTGGAAAGCTTTCTGAATTTATCGAAACTATAAGTCTAATTTCCTGCGTCATCATTAGGGGCAGAGGCTCACTTGGACGTTGGCAAACACGAATGCACAGGAACGCAGCGTCCCACTACCTCCGAGAGACAGGAGACGGAAAAGATGGAGAAGTTAGCACATGGATGATACGCACATTTGTCTGTACCTAGCTCGCGCATCGAATTGATCAAATGTTTCTTCTTCTTGTTCATGTCATATCTTCCGGGTATGCTATCAGGTGCCTCTGGCAACTATTTGAGGTTGCTTTATGTCGATGAGTGTGTCTATTAGCAATCAATTCTACCGCCCATGAACTATTGTGGCCCCGGTCTGATGTTTTGAAATAAAAGGTGGGTTGTTGTTCTTGTGACCTGCCTCGTTACTGTCAAACTCTCTCCCGTGTCGGCCCCAGCACCGATCACCAGTCTCTGCCCAGCCGCTCCTCGTGGTCATCCATTAGTTCGTAAGCGGGCCTGAAGTCGGTGGCGCTCTTCCCACTCTCGTCCGCCTTCAACACCGGGTTGGGGTGCGTGTCGTCGGTGCCGCCCAGAGACGTATATCCCTTGTCGTAAAGCGGGCAGTATGGGATGTCGAGAGCGCGTATGAACTAGATTAATTTCCGCGAGTCAGGTTTTGATTTCCTCCTTTAATTTGAGAGCGAAGAAGATAGATAGCAGACGGGGGGCCGGGGGGAGAAAGAAAGAAGAAAGAAAGAGGAAGAGAAAGAAAAGAAAAAAGGCACTTACCCCCCAGACCTCCCTATAATGCCAGTCGATGACGGGATGCACCCTCATGAACCTCGGCCAGTCGCCATCCGTCTCCTGGAAGTGCCGCAGGTCCCTGCCGTGGGGGTCGGTCCTCCTCGTGCCGACGAAGACGGCCTTGACGGCGAACATCTCCTGCAGGTACTCCCCCAGGGCCTGCTTCATGGGCCGGTCGCTCGTGGCCAGGTCCAGGTGGTACTGCTGCGACGTCTCCTCCACGAAGGTGTCGACCTCGGCGAAGGGCTTCTCGGGCCGGATGTAGATGGCCTGCAGCAGGACGGGGAAGGAGGGGGTGTCGCAGCTCGACAGCGGCGGGGGCGGGCTCGTGGGCGGTGGTGGGAAGTGCGCCGGGAGCGAGGCGAGGATTAGGATCAGCAGGACCAGGCAGTCCTTGCCGCCGTTGTAGGAGAGGGCTAGTTCGTCGGGTCTGCAATTGCGGAGGGAAAAACACAGGCACTGGTCAGCAGACGATCTTGCGGCAAACGGCTGCGTCGGCGCAGGAGAGGACATGGAGGGGGAGAAAACAGAGCAGCAGTAGCAGCAGCTTACCGGTACCGCTTGAGGGCATCGTCGATGACTCCCTTGGCCGCCCTGACCTGCCTCTGCACGCCTTGGAGTAGCTCGTCGCCCGTCTCCTTGTCGAGAAATGCGTCGACCTTGCTCTTGAGCCCGGCGCACAGCTGGCGCATCTCGCCCTCCATATCGCGCGGCTTCCAGTCGTCGCCTTGGCCGGCGCCGTTGGTCGTCGACATGGCGGGGGTTGTCACGGGCACTTGAACTGTCGCGACGGTCGTCTCCGCAGTCGCAAACAGGAGGGGTGGCTCTGGTTTCAGGATCGGCTCACAAGTCTCGAGGTCAACGGAAAACAGGATGTCAGGTAAGACGGGCCAACGGGAGGAGTTGCTATTGTACAGGTCCGCGCGCATGTAAGCTATTAACCTGCAGTAGACGGTCTATTCTATTCTAGAAACAATGGATACATGGAAGTAAGTATGTATGCAGGTCATACAATAGAGGGGTCTTCCCAAGTCCAAGCCAGGTCTACTTGGTACTTTACTTAGTCTAACGTTATCTTGGCGGTTTCCCCCGGCACGATTGGGCATTAATAATAAGGCTGATGCCGCGTAAGTAAGTCAACGTAGACTGAGGTTAGTACATAATAAGTGCAGTACAGTACATTGTAGCGCCACTGTCCGGGGGGGCCGTTTAGTGGGGGTTGGTGATAGTCACATAGTACCGGACAATTAATGGCATATAATCTACCGTACCTACATAACTTTAGTATTGCAGCACTTGGAAACGCTTGGAACATGAGCAGCTATGTTGGTTAGTAAATCGGCATGGCATCATGTCAATGGACTGAATAAAAAATAACAATAAAACAAGACGTCTACCTATCTCGGCATCTTCTGCATTGGGCAGGTCATATTAGCAGCACAAATGACTCCTTGACGGGATAAGCAGGCAGCACCGCCATGTGTGCACCACGAGAGGAGAACGCTAAAAAGGTTGTTTTGTTATGCCTTCCCGCATGCATCTTTCTTCGGCGCCTGACTGTACGTACAGTGGGTATAGTAGAGCAAATCTAATCCTCAAGTAGACCTGCCGCCAGAGCCTCATAATCTTCCAAAGTGTTGGGCTCGTCCGTGACCTCAATGACCTTGCCTCTGCCCTTGCGAGATTCCTTCTCGTTTTCATCCTCCGAATCATCTTGGAACCACTTCTTGGCCTTCTTCTTTGGTCGCTCGTCCTCGCCGTCACTCTCACCAGCGACAGGAAGTGATCGCAGCAAGTCCAAGGCCCGCTCTGCATCCTCCGAAGTGCCCAGCGTGGCCGGATCTCCGCCAGCAATGTCTTCTCCGGCAGCCTCCATGCGTTCCCTCTCCTTCCTCTTGATCTTCTTCTCTTGTCTTCTTTCCTTGGCCAATTGTTTGTCGTCCACGTCGGCCTCCCGCACACGCTTCGCTTCCTCCTCCACAAATTTCTGCCGCAGAGCATCCACCGGTCCTTCTTGCTTGAAGTCGTCCTCGCCCTGGAGCTCATACAATTGATGTGCTTCTCCGTCGTCGTCGAAGACCATCCTTGTACCTTTGCCCTTGTACTTGAGCATTTGCTTCTTGGACGTGAGCATCTTCTCTCGCCGCTTGGAGTCGACGACGAGTTCTGCTCCTCCGTAAACTGGAACGACCTTTCCTCTGGGATCCACGCCGTCCTTGGCCGCTGAGTCAAGCTCATCGCCCTTGAGCACGCGCTTCGTGTTGAAGAAATCATCGTCCTCGTCTTCGTCGTCGCGGAGGTCTGCGTAGTGTTTCGACAGGACGTCCTGGTTTTCACGCTGGAACATCTTGTCATATTTTGTGCGGACCTCGTCCTTCTTGCTGAGCTTCTTGACCTTCTCGCCCTCCGAGTCATACTCGGACCCACTTGAGAGGTCCAGTTCGGCCCGGGATCTGTTCTTAAGCTTCCTGATATCTTCTGGCCTTTGCTGCTTCACGTGCGGCATTTCAGGAAGACCCAAGCTAGCAGAGTAACCTTCCAGATCCAACGCCCGGAGGTCGAAGATGTTTTTTTCTTTTTGCAGACTGATGCTACGCGTGTAACTGATAAACGCCTTCTGTCCAAGATATTTCAGATCGGCATTGTGGAAGCACCTATATCACATGGGATCAGTAACTGTTTATCTGTGATAGCCCATCCCGACAAGTTTTCTGGGGAGGCTGTCATCTACCCCAGAGGCCTCATCACGCCAGGATGCAGTACACATCACCCCCTGTGCTTGCGGTATGAGGTAGATCAGGATGCTGCTTACAAATCTTGTATCTGTGAAGTGATCGCTTGCTTCTTCTTCTCTCGTACATTGACTCGCTGTATCGGAACCTTCTTGCGCTCTAGACTCTTGATCATCCCTTCTTCTTCTGACGGATCGAGGAAGAGGATAGCCTTGCCGTCGCTTCCATAACCTGAGATGTGTCAGCAAATACTCCTGGTATGTGTTTTCAAGTGGATCCTACGAGCTGTTCGTCCGACTCTATGAATATACGTGTCTGCATCCTCGGGAGCATCAACCTGGACCACCCAATCCACCTTTGGGAAATCCACTCCACGGGCCACAACGTCGGTCGCAAGGAGGCAGGAATATTGGGCCGAAGTGTATCTGCGGTTGATTTCTAGACGTCTGCATTACGAGAAAAACTCCAGTTAGTTTATTTTGTCATGACGATAGGGAGTGTTCTTTGGGCTCATGTCCTGTCCAAGACCACTGCTCTCGCTTCCCAAAAGACCTGCACACCAAGACAGGAGGCCATCGAATGATATTCGTCCGCGCGGAGAGGGGAGTTAGGGGTGTGGGTTGTTTTCTGTACGTACGCTACTTGTTTCTGGCGACCGTGCAAATGTAGGAGAGGGATACCCTACGCAAGAATCAAGTCAGCAATGGATTGTTCGAGATAGAGACACGGAGAATTCCACTCCGCTCTCTGAGAGGACATAGGTAACAGCCAAGCAGAGTGGTTGGGGGCACCTGAGAGCTACTTACCGGTTGTAATTTCTTGAAGCACTCGAAGACAAATCGAACTTGCTTTCCCGATGACAAAAAGACAATCATCTTGCTCTTTAGATTCGCCTTGATAAATGAATACAAGGTATCGAGCTTCTCGGGCAGCGGTGTTACCAGATAATGCTGGGCCAAAGTAGTCGGAGTTGCAGACTCGTCAGTCTCGTGGACATCGATGTACTCGGGTTCCTTCAAGGACAGACGCGCAAGATCCGAGACTCGGCGGCTTTGGGTGGCAGAGAAAAGTAGGGTTTGGCGATGCTTTGGCAGATGTTCGATTCTAGTTGTCAAGAGTTAGCCCTGCTTCCGATGGATGACGAACAGCATGTTTCCCTACAGGGCATCGACGGCACTTTGGAAGCCCATGTCGAGGACACGGTCGGCTTCGTCCATGACGAGTATCTGCAGATTGTCGACATCGAACCCGGCAGTCTGATCCAAATGCTGTAACATTCGGCCAGGAGTGCAAACCAGGATGTTCATTCGTCCCATACGGTCGGCCTCCTCCTTGAGATTTTTACCTCCGACGACCAAGCCAGCGGAGAAACTGTGGTACCGGCCGATCTTGCGGAGAACCTCGAATGTTTGCACGGCCAGCTCTCTCGTCGGGCTGACTATCAAGGCGCCGAGCCCGTCGTGCTCGGTCCATTGCTGACGAACCAACGCTTCGAGGGCGGGGATCAGAAAAGCCAGCGTCTTGCCACTTCCCGTCTTGGCGGCCCCGAGAATATCACGGCCCTTGAGGGCGAGTCCGATGGCCTTGGCTTGGATTGCTGTCGGGGTTTGAAAGTGCGACCGCTCAAGACCAGAGGCTGTCTTTTGGGAGAGCGGGAGGTCGGCAAATCGCTGTATGAGACAAGTTTTCGGGTCGAATTCGTCGAGTGCTTTCTTCAAGTGGGCGAGGTCGTCGACTGTACGTTTCCGTTTCATCGTTCTTGACTCCGCTGGCTTGGCCTTCTTCTTGCCGCCTTGCGACGGCGGCCCTGTTGTTCGGGTCGGCATTTTGGGCGATCAGCTTGCAAAGGGTGGCGCCACAGCACAGCACTGGACAGCACAGGAGAGGATTTTGGGCGATTCGGGGAGGTGTTCGGCGGTGAGTCGACCGTCACTGCTCATGCGACCCTCTTGATCAGGTTGGCAATGTAACCGTGGACTGTTTCAATGTAGATGTCACGATGGTGCTCACGATGGTGTTCGTCCACGATGGAGTGAGTAGTGGGGGCTCTCAACTTTTCGGTGGGCCCCTGCTATCTTTCTTATCGGAGCACGCTACAGGCTGGTCTGGGTCTTGTTTATATGCAGGTTAGTTCGATGCTAACTTATCCGTGACTATTATGCACATGCATAAATAATATGATGCTACATGTGTGCTCACAAATGATGCCACGCTAATCTACCTGTAGTCTGCTGTACCGCAACTGTCTCTTGACAGCCCAAGATAACTTCCTCTTCTAATGATTGGTTTCCCTCAGTCTACACTAGATTAAAATCATCTCCGTTCTTTACATAACTACTGAGGGAACCAGAATGAGCTCCGGAAGTGAGGAGCTGCAGATATGATGTACCGTTTAGTCCCAGGTAAGTTTCGCGTGTGAACTTTTGTAAGCACCGCTTACTTGCCTGTTTCATAAGTACGAGGAGCTTCTTGGAGCTTTACCGATCCTGATGCGAAATGCAGGTGAGAGGGGGACGATGAGGGTCAAGTTCTAGGTTAGGTTGCTTGTGATCAAACAGGAAGGTGGAAAGCTTGTCGTCATTGGAAACTCGGCTGACTTCCTAACCTTACCTATGGACTGACATAGGCAACCGCAAGACCCCTGTAGTCGTGATGCGACCAATACCCTGACTCCGAACGCCGTGATTTGGAGCTTTCGGCGAAGGCGCCATAATGCTGCCAGCTTGATTTCTTGCCAACTATACTGTCTAAATATCTTGAAAACGTAAATACAGTACACACATCCAGTCTGGTTATACCATCGCTTGCCGTAAGACAACATGCGCGAAATCCTTGGCTGTACGCAGGCCCCTTCGTTTCGGCTGCCTGATACCATAAGCCCCCGACACTACGCAATTGAGATTGAACCCGATCTGGAGACCGGCACGTTCGTAGGCCGAGTCACTATTCAGTTGCGTATCCTAAAGCCAACACAGTATATCGTTTTCCACGCACTTAGATTGCATATTACGCGAGCAGATATTGAGCCTGAAGGAGGCATCATCTCACACCCGGATATCTACTACAGCCCCGACCAGGAGGCAGCATATCTCAAACTAGAGAGCAAGCTTCATGCAGGTTCCGAGGCTATCTTGACTCTCAGATATGGCGGTCGGATCGCACCTCCAGGCGCCATGGGCGGCCTGTCCTCCACGCCATATCAGCAGCCAGATGGCCAGCTAAAGCTTGGCTTCGAGACCATGTTCGAACCGACATTGGCGCGATCAGTCTTCCCTTGTTTCGATGAACCTGACCTCAAGGCAGAATTCTTAATTTCCATGATCGTCTCTGCAGATTTAACATGTCTAAGCAACATGGAGATTGATTCTGTCCACCCCGTCGAGTCATCTGTGACAGCACCAAAAAAGCGAGTCACCTTCGATACCAGCCCTAAGATGTCTACATAGTACGTATAGCACAGAACAAATTGCGTTCTCATGTTCCATTTACCATATGATAAAGCACTAGTCCTTCTAATCCTGGAGGTCCTCCGAGAAGTGAATCTCAGAGTCTTACTCCAGCCAGAATGTCAAAGAGTATTCTGTCGTCATGGAAAAAGAAATTGACTAATTGGGATTTTTCGCAACGCAGTCTTGTGGTTATGGTCGCTGGCTATTTCAATGTTCTTGAGACAAATGACTTCCATGTTCCCATTCGTGTTTGGGCAGCATTGGACAAGGATATCGACAGTGCTGCCTATGCGCTTGAAATCGCGGTGAAAAGCATGAGGGCGCATGAGAAAAACTTCGGTCTAAAGTATCCTTTGCCTAAGCTCGACATGGTGGCTATTCCAGGGCATCAAGGGTATGTGAGCACGTGTTTTTTTAACTGTTCCGTTTCGCATCAAAACAAGGTTCATTTTCTTGTGGAGCTTGAGCAATTTATAATTCTCGTGTTGACATTGTATCAGTGGCATGGAGCATTGGGGTTGTGTCACATACGAGGAACGGGGCCTCGTTCTTCCCTCGAACCCGTCCGAGTATAACAAACTAGTTTCGGCTATAATCATTTCCCATGAGCTTGCTCATCAATGGTTTGGAAACATCGTGACAATGAAGTTCTGGGACTCGCTTTGGCTCAATGAAGCCTTTGCCGAATGGGCAGCATTCCTTGCTGTCTCAGAAATCCTCCCAAATTTTGATGCCTGGTCAAGCTTTATTGCAAGCAATCCAGACACTTCATTCCCAGGAGGATTGCAGGCTGCGCTGGAGCTGGACTCTAATTCTGGCAGTCACGCTATTCAAGCCCCTGGACTACCGGCTGGGGCGATGTTCGACAGTATTACATATCTGAAAGGATGTAGCATCATACGTATGTTGGCAGAGGAAATCGGCAAAAGTTTGTTTCTCGATGGTATTAAACTCTATCTCGAACGCTTCAAGTATGCCAATGCTACCACCGGACAACTATGGAGCACACTAAGTGAAGTAAGCGGACGTGATGTTGGGAAAATTATGGCAGCTTGGACGGAAAATGTTGGCTATCCGCTTTTGACAGTCAACGAAATTCGGCCAACGGGTGAAATAGTTGTCAGCCAATCCCGATTCCTACAGAACGGAAACATCGATTCTAAGGCAGGGCCGTACCCTGTCTCGATCAAGCTCAAAGGTCCTGATGGAGTTACGACGCATCCTTTGGTGAGCACTGAAACTAGAATTCGTACCAACTTGTTCAAGTACAAACTTAACGCTGATTTGGTCGGATTCTACCGTGTATCTTATCCAATTTCACGCATTCATAAGTTTGGGGTGCAGTTTGCTGGGGATTACCTCTCGACCAATGACAAAGTAGGCATTATTTCAGACCTAGCGGCTGTTGTGGCAACAGGTTCGACGTCTCGAAGTGCAAGGCTTCCCGATTTCCTGGACTTCCTATTCACCATCAAGAACCATGTGGAGAGCTTGTTCGTATGGCGTGAAATTCTCGGACAAATGCAGAAAATCCGAGCGGCCTTCCTTTTCGAGGGCGATGAAGTTCTGCGCATCTTGGAAAGGGTGAAACACCAATTACTAGCACATTTGATTGCGAAAGGGCTGCTAAAGTTCAAATCAAGCGATACGACCAAGGGAACATTCCTCAAATCACTTCTATATGGCCAGCTGCAAGAACACCCGATAGTGCAGAAGAATGCCCGGGAATCCTGGGATCGGCTACTAGACGGGGAGAAGGACGCACTGAACCCAAATATCAAGAGACACATATTTGACATAGTTGTCTCCATTGATGATACAGACGTAAGTCGTACAAATATCGTGCGGGCCATGTGATGACTAATAGTACTGTAGATGACATGGAACCAGCTAAAATCAATCGCATTTGACGGCGCTTACATCCATCCGGGTGATCCTGTAACTCCTGCTGAGGCTTTCGCCTCCCTCGGTAACTCGTCAAAACCTGACATCATTGCCCGCACTTTGCTTCTCATCACACCCTCAGAAGGTACACCGAGCACTCAATTAGCTGCAAAAAGAACATCGCCGTTTGTTGTGAACAATGGCGCTCGTCAGAGCTTACTGAGCACTCTGCAAAGACACCCAACTGGTGCAGAGACTTCCTGGAGATGGCTGCAAGATAACTGGGATGTACTGCAGAAGAGTACAGAGACGGGCGTCATCAACGGATATAGCTATATCAGCGGGGCGTTGGCCGGTCTTGCAACTTCGGCTCACTTGGTACAGGTCGAAGACTTCTTTGCGGGAAAAACTGGTGTTGTAAGTAACTTCGAAACTCACACGAGAGCCATCTAATATCATACAGTCGAACAAGTTGATACTCACACAAGCGATGGATATTATACGAGCAAGGTCTCGCCTTATTGACGCGGATCGAGGAGAGTTGTTGAAATGGGCTAAGAGAAATGGTCTGTAGAAGTGACCGTAGTCATGTTTGAATGAATTGATTCGAGCAAACTAGAAGGGCACATACCATGAGTGGGATTTCCGATTAGAATAAGCATTTCTCCTTTGACACGCAACCTGAACGATACCATCTCGTCAACAATTGAATTGAACATGCATTGACAAACACTACTCGCTGTATTTTACACATTGCGTTGAGGCTTCAGAAAGAAGATACTTCGCGTGTAGGCCTCCTGCCACTATTCAGAGCGTAGATGTTCCCTGAACCACGCGACAGCGGCATTCTTGCCCCGTATCATAGCCAGTCGCTCACCTTCCATCTTCTCGTTTCCGCGGACGAAACATGCGTGCTCGACACCAGGAAAGTGCTCATAGACGAACGGTACACCTAGCTTTGGCAGTGTCTGAAATGTGTGCAGCTTCAACTCCTCCGTATACTGGAGATCCTTCTCTGGCGCCAACATCTGCACGGGGATCTTTCCAACTTCGTTGATATCCTTCTTGACCAGGAGCGACGGATGCCCAACGGTTATGCAATCCACCAGAGGAGGTTGGTGCTCCGCCGCCGCAAGCCGGAAGCAAGCCCACCCTCCATAACAAAACCCAGCGGCCCCGATCTTTTTGTGCTTCTGGCGCAGGATCCGGGCGAACTCGAAGATCTCGGGCTCCCGAATCTCGCGGGAGTTTCTGGTGACGCAACCCTTGAGGTCGACCTCGTGCCAGCGGCCGTTCACCATGGGCTCAAAGGCCGGGACTTCGCCTCCGAGGAAGTCCGGCACGTATACGGTGACGTCGGCCTCCTTGGCGTAGTGGTCTGCAAGCAGCCGGACATTGGGGAAGGTCCAGCCAAAGAGGTCGTGCACGATCATGACGGCATTTTCCCGGTTGGAGCCTGTCACATAGGTGTCATTTTGGCCAATCTTGGTGGTTTGGCCGACTGGGGTGCCCTCCCAGGTGAAGCCGCGGGTGCAGCAGTCGTTTACGGACATGGTGAATGTATCGCTTGAATAGTGCCCTCAAAAGTTTTAGGTTTAAAAGCAGATAGTTGTATAAGCCATGCACAATTTCTTTTGCGACACAACAGAAGTAATATGGTAAGTGGGCGGAGATACCGGGTTTAATGTTGTCCGATGATCAACGTTTCATATCGTTGGCTTATCTTAGGGTTTTATACATTTGACCAATACTTGACGTAGGTAGCACAACTGCCTGTATGCAAGTTCAACATGTCCGGTCTTAGCCTTCGGTATCAACAGGGATTGGTGCGCCTACAGAGTGGATGCATTCTCCCAAGCTAAACACTCTGATTGGTTGGCGCGTAACTTGAAGCCACTATCTCCAAATTGCCAAGCGGTGCCCTCTTTGTCATTTCTAATTCGGAAATCCTATGATCCCTTTGTAGGCAGCACGACTGTCTTCAGGTATGCAGTTAGAGACAGTGAGTCATTCCGGACATGAGAAGGATGGGGCTGTATATTTCCAACAAGCTGAACGTTGGCTGACTTAATCTTTTGTGAACATGTTCGCCATCACGACCTCTTATTGGCTGTAGCGTAAGTTGAGGCTGCGCTCATGCAATTGCTGTATGCCTCATTTGTAATGTTCAAGTGAGGTGATAGTGTTTGTTCCGTTGGGGTGTTCATGCGAAAGTGGAGGTTGGCACGATGCGTTGTGCTAGGTCTATATAAGACTGCATATTCCCATGTTTGTATAACAGGACTCCTTTTCTCATGGCAGCTTGATCTTTTCAGTTTACGAATCTCTAAAGCTTTCGGAGTCCCTCGAAACAATTGTCCCCTGAGAAATATAATCGAATCCGCAAAATTCCTGCGACACCTGACCAGTATGGCTGATACCACCTCTGAGCATATTGCTGCTACCCGAGCGGAGCTGGAGGCTATGGAGCAAGTCTCCCTCAAGGAACTTGGCCCTTGCCCGCCAGACCTGGAAGAGTCAATACTGGAAATTCCTCTCAAAGACGGCTTCATCAGTCACACCATTCTCGTCAGGCCAGTCGCCAAATCGTTGCCATTGACGTCAGGCGCCAACGTGGTAGCTACGAGGTGTCCCCTTATCGTCTTGACGCATGGTGGCAGTTTCACGTATTGCAGTCCTAACAATGTGCTCTCTCCCGCCCGTGCGTGCGCATCACACTTCAATGCCATTGTCGCTTGCATAGAGTACAAGCTATCACCTGAGTACCGCTTTCCTGCAGCGCCTCAAAGCGCATGGGAAGTTATCGCTTGGCTTTCCGAACCCAGCAACCTCAATGAGGGAATCCTGAAACCTGAAGGCCTGGAGTTTGATCCCAGACTAGGTTTCGTACTTGGAGGCATGAGTGCCGGCGCAAACATCACTGCAGTTATAGCAGGCATTGACAGCGCCGCGAAGGCGGGAGGCCATGACGAGCTGGTACAAGGTCTCCCAGAGATAGCTTCCAGCATTACTGGACTGTTCATCACAGTACCCTACATGATGGAATCCGAGGCCATCCCCAACCAGTACTTGGATATGTTTCGGTCTCATGATGAGCACGCAGATGCACCATTCCTCAACGCTAAGAGCCTAGAAGACATATCGATGATCTACAAGCAGGACGTCCGCTCGCCCTGGTTCTCGCCCCTCAACTTGGACCTCGCCAAGATTCAGAAGCAACATCCTGGAAAGGTCTATGTTCAGTGTGGGCAGCTGGATATCTTACGTGACGATGCCGTGATCTACGAGCGCGTAATCAGAGACAGAGGCCTCGCGGAAACCAAAATGGACGTCCTCCAAGGGCACGACCATGCGTGCTGGTGTAACTTACCCCTGCCTCAGGCTCACACAACGGAAGTAAAGGAGAGAACAATGGACGGCATGTCGTGGCTGGTAGGCATGGATTGGGACAAGTCAAGACCACTTTCACACTAGAATAAGTGACCGGAAAGTACATCGATAGGTTAGGAATCTTTTTTTTTAATCCAAAAATTGCTCAAGGGTCCAATTCGGTTGTCAGTCCCTCGTCGTGCCAGGGGCGGTTATCATTACGGAATGTTGGTAGGGTAGCTTAAATGCAACCGCTTGTAAGGGCAAACCAAGAGCTCAGAGAAATGCTGTAAATTTGGCTGGTATATTTCTGTTGTGATGTCATCTTCTTTCATATTCCGATTGCTTGCTCATCTTCTTTCCGGAGCTTCCGGGGATCATCATGTTATAAATGCTAGGTATCATGCCGTTCTTCAATATCTGTCCAGTGAACCGTCAGGTGCCATTTAAACCAATGTCTTGTTCGGCAGTCATCCGCGTATTCGGTACGTAGATTTAATTGTCATCTGTATATCTATACGCAGACAGCCTGGGTTTGGCTGTTTACTATCTCCAGCCGTCTCAACGTGCGGAGAAACTTTCAAGGACGTTCGTCCGCGCCAGACATGCGATATATTTGGGAGAGAATCCCCAAGAATTTCTTTTTGTTATGAATGTCTCTTTTACAATTCCTCAAGACCCGTGTATATTTACATTAGCCTTGGGGCAACATAGAAGATATGACCGGTCGGTTGTCGGTTGCCGCGTGCTGCTTGACAAGGGTGTCCTCAGCGGTAATTATATTTCACCGTCTAATAGCCCATCAGATTCTGCCGAAATCTATCAACATATTGATACAAAGACTCAAGAAGTCGCATAAGTTTGATCATTCGCTGGTTTATCTGTAACAAACCGTCTTATTCTATAGTAGGATGTCAGCTCCCCAATTGAAACACTTGACATATCAAGTAACGTTCGAGGTTGTTCTAAGTTGTGATGCTAAAATATCTATTGCAAATTGATTTTAAAATCCGTGGGCTCTTTTAAGTGTCGTTTGGGCAGCCTGTACGGCTTTCTTGACTTTGTATTCAGGTTAGAATATCGGATAGTTGCCGATTCTATATCACTGGCCCTTGAACACAGTTTTTAGCCACGGATTTTGTAGTCAGTGGCAACTACTACGGAATAGTAACGAAATCTATAAGCAGAGTGTTAGTGAGAAAGCACAATATGTCGGGCTTGTATGGTAAGTAAAGTAAAATAATCAGCGACAGATCTGCTACGATAACTATGGAGGCGAAGCGCACCTGGCGCTTCCACATGTCGCTGAAAAGAAAACTAAAAAGAAGACTTGCTGAACCATTCGAGGATGATCACTACCGATACGATGTCAACTGCTTAGGACAACTCATGATGTAATGCAGATCTTAAGTAGGTTCACCTATCGGAATCTGGACAATATAGGCACATTAATTCCCAAGCACGCTAATAGTTAGTCGCAGTTCATATCCTGCCAGATGATTGTCTCTACCAAGGCAGCTATGAAAGGGATGCCAGCAGTTTAACATCACGCTGAGGACAAGTGCGATGTGGGGTTACCTCTAACGACATCTGTCTGGTCGTAGCGACTTCTACTTGCCGGCCACTCCGTGGTAAATGAAACTGTATGGCGACGATATACAGCTTCCTACTGGGAGTAATGTTGTGGGTCCCACCGTGATGTTGTCTTTGTCAGCGTTGACATAAATGCGGCCTGATATTAGGATCACATTCTCAGATTTGCCGAGTGCGGTTGTGAGGTGGTTGTCACTGGCGAGGTATTCTCCTATGCGGGCACCATCTTTTGCGTCACGACCATGAGGATGAAATCAATTCGTGGTATTGAGCGGGAGTATTGGGGCGATGAGTTGGTTGATATCTTTTCTGGTCTGAGAACGAGAGGCTTACTTCGGGATGGGATTCCCATCAAGAATTTCACGATAAAAGCTGAAGTGAATTTCCTCTGGGGGAATTATATGGTCAATTGGGAAATATATTCATTGCTGAAAGGAAGGCAGCGACGGATTTGCGGCCCTGGGTTGGGAGGTTGCCTGACGAAGCAGCCAAACAGCATAGAAACAACGATAAGAAGAGCATCTGTGTAATCTTTTTGGCAGTTTGCCAGCCACAGCATGGGGTACGAGCTTTAATCGTCGTACAGATTGCTCTATTAAACTGTCGTACATGCTATCATTTGGTGAGCTGTTTTCTTTCATCCGAGCCTAGGTCCGTTGGCAGTCCACATATGTATGTAAATAAATCCCGAGGTAATTTTGGCAACCTAACGTTAACGGTTGTCGATACTGGGAGGTATGTAAGTCTACATTTCCGATACCTTGAGTGATTAATGGACTTTTACTGTGTTACAATAGAATTTAGTTTTTGTATAACGGATAGAAGCGAAAAACGCCGATAGCAAGTCGTCATGACAATTTGATGCTGGGAGTTTCATCGCAATCTGGGACATCAGGATATGTAGAGGAGCATTCATGGGACATTTAGATAAACAGGCTGAATTGATTCATGATAATAGAAAATAGTGATGGGCATCATTACGGAACCCTGTTAGCTTTCTCAGATCTTGTATTCATCTGACTTTTGTAAGAGTCCAGCCCAGCCACTATGTTGGTGACTGTCCTCTTCCGGAATATGCACATGTCACAATATTATCGCCACATATTGATTTTGATAGCCACCTGAGTAAATTAGCTAGAGTATATTTCAAGGGCTGCGTGAGACATTTCTCGAAAAAGTTCTTATGGCTGGGAGAATTCTGGTAGAGAAAAACGCCACACGTAGTGACTTTAGGAGATTTCCCAAAATCAGACGTGATTGAGAATCTCGCTGGCAGTCATGCGTTTGATTTGATTGTAGATAAAGATTCTTTACACAAAACCTGTAAGTATTAAAAATTCTTCTAGTGATATCTTATAGGAGGTGTTTCTGGTTGTTCTGTCGCAAGCGGTGGCAGTGATAGGACTCTCTTTTGCCAACCAGGCTTCATTACAATTCGGATATTCGTGGTACATCAGCTCATCTCTACTCCACTCTTCCAATTCTGTAGGTACTTGTAATAGGTTGAAGAGGGGATCAAGTGTTTTGGATGTTTTTGCCCATCCTTTTGGTCTCGACTGGAAACGTTGGGGTTTTGACAAAACTGTCACATTTAATGTTTATAGTGAAGCCGTTCAAATACCCAAAAGGCAGTGGTTCAAGAAGCATTTCGAATCGTCTAACTAGCTGCTCTGTAGGGGTTGTTACCAAAATGTGTAGCATCGTGTACAGCAACAAAGGCGCATCCAAGAGGCAGATATTGCTGGCAAACCCAGGCGATCCAGCCCAAAATTGTCTTTGAGAAAATCTCGAATGACGAAGCTAGTCAGTTTCTCATACCAAGACATATAGATACCAGGTATCGGGAGACGCATGCCCGGTAATCTTCTCCTAAGCGTGTCTGGATATCCCAAGTTTCTATTTTACCGAAGAGATCTTGCATCTCTTTTTCATTGCAATGGTTGATATCTTGTGTCCTCACAAGCAGGTTGTCGGTTCTGACGTCGCCCTAGAAGATTCCGGTGCTGTGAGGTCACTGCGTACCCTCTGTTATCTGGCAACAGGCATTTTTGATTGTGTGGTGTTCTGCTGAGTGGCACCTCAACCAAACCGCGAGCGATGGACCCATGGCAGACAGGACAAGGCAAAGATGACGTCCATTCGGCCCTTCCAGCCAAAAATGATCGTCGATATGGAGGACATGATGCGAAGCAGCGTCTGTACTGGAGATATTTCTATTGAGGAAGAGGTTGATGAAACGGATTTCCGGGCTATACTCAGTGGAGTAAGTTGCAGAGTTAATCTTGGCGGCACACCATTGGATTTGTTAATTGTCTCAGCACAACCAGACCAAACCACCTTGATCTAGCTTTTGAGGCACCTCAAATCTCTCATCGAGCTTGTCTTCAAGATGGACTGGGTGAAAACCACCAGGTTTGTAGTGCCCTATGTTCTCCAAATTTAAATCCCGCCAAAACTCAGTGCTGTAGTTAGGGACTGGAGCTTCAGTAAAGGTGGATGTACTCCCAATGAAGAGCTACAATGTGCTGAAGGAAGAGGAACGCCCCGGCAACCAGGTAGCTGAAGAGAGGCAGAAATAAATAAAGGACAAATAAATAAGATGGACGCGGTCGTGATGGACATTTGACGCGGTTCGTCACAGGCTGCAGCTTGCCGTCTCTTTCATCTATGCTTGGCTCCATTAGTAGTGTGGTTGCGTTTGGTGGCCTCAAGATTAATTCGTACACTAGGTGTTGTATAACGGATACCCGGTATCTGGAGGAGTTCAAATTACCAACCTGTTGTTGCGTCGGTGAGGGCAACAAAGCCGGGTTACATAACCTCGTGGTTGTTGGGGACAAGCGAACGATACAAAAGTGTACGCGTCGCATAAACACGAACATATACTACTACTTGTAATATAATCAAAGTAATCTAATGTAGCTTACATTACATTAACGAACATCCTTTCGAATTGTTAACTGATTTAGCGACTTACCTTTGTATCCAAGTTGTGTCCTCGTCACGTTAGTGGCCGTCTATTGGAAAATGAAACATAGCCTCCCGGAATCTTCACGTGTCACTCACGGGATCAGGTTTTCAATAGTTGCAAGCGGAATTTCTATGAAGACCAGAATCTTGACTGCTGGAGCTTGTATTGATGCAGTGGTTGGCATTGCGATGCTGAATTCGCTCAATGCGCGATTCTTCGCTGGGACTATATCAAATTCTAGCGATAACCTATAACGCTTTCGAATATGGTTGGCAGTCAAGTCGATTGCGAAGTGGTAATAAAGCTTTCATCCTAGACTAAGTCACATGAGGCTGCGACATTGATTCCATACGCGAGCAGTCACAATTACTAGCTCTAAGCTCAGAAGGTGTGTAACTCCCATTCTGATGCTGATGATCAACATATTGCTGAACGTTATCGAGCATCTAGCGGTCTGTAACCGAATGAGAGACTCGACAAAAGGATGCCCTAGAAGCAAGCATACCTTGATCCAACGATCATTCTTCTGCATCACCATTGCCAATCATAGCGTGTTCGGCATGGCATTGAGCAACGTAAATGGGAAGTACAGTAGCACTTGATGAAAAAGGACGGGAGCTCTCTCAAGCAGCGCATCATTACATAGTTTCAAAAATGGACAGGTTGTTTAATTTGGCTCGAGGCAAGGATGAGATCAGAACTGCAGTCTGGATAGTGTAGATGAGGCGTGTTGCTAGATCAGTGGCGGTCGTGCAAGCATTTGAGTAGCCAGGTGCGTGTGCTTGTGCTTGTGATTGACTGTGCTCATCGAGATGTTGGTGACTAAGTAAAGGTACGGCCATGCTCATCTCCTCGATAATGCCAGGTTATATTCGATGCCGACCGAGGTCCAGACTGGCGTCGGCTACCGGATCTACGGGTTTTGGCGATACTAGTATTGCAGTATCCGCATCCCCGAATTCTACGACCTGGTATCTGATCTGCTTTACGCGCGCCAGGAAGAAAACTTCAAAACTCGGCTTGAGTGAGCCGGTGCCATTGCCATCAAGTAAGGCGGGAGGGAGTATGATAGATGTGGTGGCTTGTATTCGGCAGCGCTTACAGTGAAGTGATCCAAGGAGCTAGGCGGGCTTTAGGTTAGGTTAGATAAGTCTAGCGGACAAATTCTTCGACGGGGGTGATGGATGGCTTGGTGGAACCGGGAGGTGGCGGCGGCTGCAAAAAACACTGCAGTGGGATCCTGGACAACGGTAACGGAAGAAATCAACATTAAGCCAAGCCTGGAAGGCTGTCAATAGAAGAGGGAGGGAAGGGGAGGAAAAAAAGAAAATAATAAAAAAGAACTCATGTGTACAGTAGGTTAGCGAGTCTTAAGTCAATACTCTGTACATCACTTCACCTCACTCCATCGCCGTCATCTCAGCTCCAAGCTTTATCTAGCCCATGTCATTTTTGCCCAACATAATATCGCCCATCTGACCGTTTTGCCTTCAGCTGCCATTGCGACCGGACTGGACTGGACTTGACCTTAACTGGACAAACGACATTAGCACCGCAAAAAGTCCTAACCTGAGGATCCCTACTGCATGTCAGTTAGGTATTGTACTGACGAAATTACAAAATTACCTTGGCTCAAGTGCACTGTCCTTTGAAGTTTAACTTACCCCACCTCTCAATCCAATCTCCATCGTTCTTATTGCAGAGTGCTGAGGATAATCGCATCTTGCGGTCCTTCAGAACCCAATCAGACAGTGTCTTTTCCTTCGTCGAGAACACAACACGCACGCCTGCGACTGCGACACGACATTTTCGGGTCATATTCACACCCATCCTTACACCCACACCCAATCCCCACACATAGAGAGAGACAGAGGAAGAGAGAGAGAGAGAGAGAGAGACACACACACATACACCCACTCACGCAACAAGGCAGACCACGAAGACAACGCCCACATGGCAGACAAAGCACCAGCAACAGCAACAGCAGCGTCGGCATCGGCGTCAGCGTCAACAAACAGCCGACGAAGCCAATCACCGGTGGATCGTACGAAACCTTCGGCTGAAGATCCAGACACCGCCACCACCCGCAAGGAGTTCGACAACGCTAGGATATCAGAGAAGCCCGACCTGTCGGCCATGGCAACCTCACAACCCGACGCGGCTGCTGGTGTGGCCACTGTTGAGGTCTCAGAAAAGAAGGCTACCCCAGAGCTAGAGGTCCCCAGCGCCCAGAACGACAAGCTAAAAGATCATCTGTCTTCACCCAAGAAGAAGCGAGCACATGACCAACTAGAGCAGGGCAAGGATGCTGCCCAAGATCTAAACGGCGATGTCTCACCTATTGGCGCAAATGGCAATGCATCTTTTAGCAGAACGGACCGCTCCGAACCCGAGAAGAAGCGTCATCGTGACATCTCTAGTGAGGTCAAGGAAACCACCAATGAGACCCAGGTAATCATAAGCCCCCAACCCTCGTCAATATCGCGGCGCCTTCGTCCTAACCGTCACCAGGGTTCGATCGCCGATAGCTCAATAGGGGCGATAAAACCTGCCGACAAACCTAGCACCACCACATCCGAGTCTGCCTTCAAGAGCTCAGGTCTGTCAGGTTTCGCAGCAGCTGCCTCTCCCTTCATCAGTGCTGGTTCCAAACCTCTCACCTCGTTTGCCAGTGCCTCAGCATCGCCGTCGCCGTTCGGCGCCTCCGCCTCCTCCAGATCTGATACACCCTCTGTCTTTGGTAGCGCTGGCGCAGGGAATGGCTCTTCTCCTTTCGGCCAAATCGGTGGTGCCTCCAAACCATTCGGAGGCAGCGCCTTCGGAAGCGGATTCAGCAGCGCGTTAGGCGGTGGCAAGCTGACTTCCTTCGGCCAGCCGGGCGGGTCTCTTAAGAGCAGTAAGCCAGCTAAAGCTTTCGGAGCTCCCGACAGTGATCCTGAGTCCGACGGAGAGGCCGAGGCAGACGATGCTGCGAGCACTGCCGGTGACACCGACAAGGAGAAGGAGAAGGAGACCGATGCCGACAAGAAGAAGACGAAGCTACAACAAGGTAGGCCCTACCCCAACTGGTTGAAACCCGCCAGGTCCTTTCACTAACCGCACTTGTAGTTGCCATCGACAATGGCGAGGCGGGTGAGGCTACTATCCTCCAAGTCCGTGCCAAGATCTTCCATATCGACAAAGCTGAAAACGGTCCTGCATGGAAGGAACGTGGTGCTGGCAACCTCAAAATCAACGTCCCCGTACAGTGCGTCGATTTTGATGACAATGGTCAGGTAGTACCTGGAAGCTTCGATGTCTCCAGTCTTGAAGACGGTGATGTGAAGGTCGTGCGCCTCATCATGCGTCAGGACTCAACCCATCGTGTCATCCTCAATACCACTGTTATCCCTGCTATGAGCTTCCAGGAGAAGCCCATGAACAAGACGGTATGCGTACTGTTCACTGCCATTGAAGGAGCTGGCGAAGCCGTCAGTATTCAGATCAAGGTATGTACCTTTTCAGTAAATGTGTGGCCAAGTCGTATGTGCTAACATTTTCCACCAAGATGAATCCTGCAAATGCGAAAACCTTCATCAATGAGGTCGGAAAGATCCAGCGTGAGCTGCAGTCGAACTAGGTGCTTGACGGCGGTTCAGCTGAGAGATCCTGTGACCTGGCTAAGATATTGTCTCCGCGTCGAAGCTATGCGAAACGGCTTGTCCCTGATAGCGCGGACCTCCCGCCCACGGTTCCAGCGCAGGCCATGGAGGCTTGTCGCGAGAGTGATGTGAGTTATGCTGCTTCTGTGACGGAGGGTGCGTGCTCGGCAGCATTGGAAAAAGACTATGTCTGCAAAGGCGCCGTCCCCGTCGGTGAGGTCTCACAACCCGCACATGCGGATTACTTGTCCCTTGGTAGCCCCGATGACGAAGACTATTCAAGAGTCAAGGACCCAACAATCCCACTCGCTCCCATCTGGAATTCGGATGTGCAAGACATTGAAGCCGAATCTAAACCGTGTACCAGTCTCTAACTTAATACGTCCAGAATCTGGCTCATGAGTACGACGACCAATGCCTGGAGCCAGTCTGTGGACACGAGAAGGGGTCAGGTCGGTTTTACTACCTTAGGTGCGTTACTGGCATGGAGAAGGATGACTAAGGAGGGGACAGCAGCCACACAACCGCCCCCAAATCAACAACCGCATAAAAGGCATCAAGGGAGCTGCAGTCCTGAGTTGTATCTTGCATTTAAATACTGTTCGCGACGTATGAGTAGCATTGTCATACAGGGTGTTGGGCCCGGGATTAGGCACTGGCGCAGTATCAGTTCCTGTCCCCCCGAACTAGATACCCAGTTAGGAGTTGGGCTTGGCATTTGCATATTTAGGGGTATACCATTTGGGTCCACAGAGGACGACGAACTCTAGAGTGCTTCAGATGATAATTTTCAGACGAAATGACTCTTATCATCCTCAGAATTACTACTGTGAACTTCGTTATCTGCAGCCGCGTTTGAATAACCTCATACGACCATATCGTCAGTGCCTTGATGCATTGTAGATATATATAAGCCTGCTCCAAAGGACTAAGGTTAGGTTAGTCTAGTTTCGCTATGAAACCTTCAGTCACCTATATTCTTACCTCCAATTTAGGGGCTGCGGCGGCGTCAGCCAGCTGAACCCTACCCCGCCGGTTACAGCGGCATCTGGTGGTGGAGGCTGTGGTGCGTAAGCCGAAGCCTGGCATACTCTGTCGTTGCAAGCAAGTTTCGCATCCAAATCCGCGTTGCGCAAATAAAGAAACCTACGATACACCAAAATATACTGTCAACCAGTCAAGCGCACGCTGCCTCTGCGCGTCATATAGAAGCCGCAACCGGGCTCTACGCGCACGTCGCATCTTCATCAGCTCTTGAGCATACTTCCAACCCCACATCCTGACATCATGCCTGACCTAGCGTCAGCTTTTACAAAGCTAAACCCCTTCACATCCAAGGGCACACATGAGAATGAGGATGAAGATTTCGGAGAAGAGATTGATGACCATACCGTCGCGGGTGGTGGTCACAGCGCCCGCCGCACAGAAATCACAGAGCACGAGCTGCGGGTCAGCCGCGCGCTGAGATCGTTCTTGGTCGACCGAGGAGTCCTGCTTGACGATGGGGCCGATCTGGACTCAGAGCAGCCAGGTGCCGGGCTGAAAGCGTTGCTTGATCTTCCGCACATTGTCGTTCCTCCCGAGGTGACGGACAGGTCTTTCCCGCTGTCGGAGTACTTTATCAGCTCGAGCCACAACACGTACCTGTTGGCGCATCAGCTTACAGGCAAATCTGATGCCGAGGCGTACAGGACGGCGCTGAATACCGGCGCGCGCTGTGTGGAGATAGATGCGTGGGACGACGAGAGCAACAAGGAGGAGCCCAAGGTTACGCATGGCTACACGCTCGTATCGCATATCCCCTTCCGCGCTGTATGCGAAACCATTCGTGATGTTGTGGACAAGGAGGCTGCTGAGTCTCGGGATCAGCAAGGTTACCGCGCGGCGCCTATCATGTTGTCGCTTGAGAACCACTGCGGCGCATACGGCCAGACAAGACTAGTACAGATCATGCACGAAGTCTGGGGTAGCCGTTTGCTCAGCAAGGCTATTCGAGAGAAAGGACATGGAGAGCAAGAAGGTACCGACGCACCAGTCCGTCTAGAAGAGCTGGGATCAAAGATTGTGCTCATGATTGAGTACCATTTCCCCGAGGAGGTGGCATCTACTGATGACAGCTCAAGCTCGAGCTCCGAGGACGAGGAAGAGAGGCAAGCCCGCCACGAGTACAAGGAGAACAAGGCGGCGGCACCAAAGACTGTCATCGTTCCGGAGCTGGCAGACCTGGGTGTCTATGCACAATCAGTAAAGCCTGTCGATAACTCCTGGTTTGACGAGGCCCAGATGAAGAATGGACCTCATAATCATCTCATTAATATCTCTGAGCTCCAGCTGGCATCATATATGCCCGGCAACAGTGAAAAGATCGCGATCCACAACTCGAAAAACTTGATGAGGGTGTACCCCAAAGGAACACGCATCTCCTCTACCAATCTCAAGCCAGCGACGTTCTGGGCCATCGGAGCCCAAATATGCGCGCTCAATTGGCAGACCTTCGGCGCTAGTCTTCAGCTCAACGAGGCCCTCTTCAGCGGCACTGATGGTTACGTGCTCAAGCCGGCCGCTCTCCGAGCAGGCGGTAACGGCCATCTCAACAGCGGCAAGAAGATCAAGCTGCGCCTCCAAGTCGCCGGTGGCACGGACATCCCGCTCCCCAAGGGAAGGACCGCAGATGATATCAAACCTTACCTTACATGTACCCTAGTCCACCCTGACGATGTGGGTAACGAATCTGCAAAACGGAAGACGGCACATTACCGCCAACACAAGTTGGGCCTTGTGCACAAAGGCGAAAATCCTCCGAACATTGAGCCATTTTGGGACGAGACGCTCGAGTGGGAGTATGAGGACAACGAGCTGGTCTTCTTGCGAATGTTGATCAAAAGCGACGACGCCTTTTCGAGAAACCCAATATTCGCTGTATCTGCGGTGAGGCTTTCCTATGTCGAGAGGAGAGAATGGCGATTTGTGAGGATGTTGGATCTCCACGGTAAAGAGACGAAGTGTACGATCCTCGTAAAGTTCGATTTTGAGGAGGTGAACCGGAATACTCTGCTTGGAAGGTCCGAGTTCTGATCAAATTGAGACGCGTACATGATAAGAGGACCTGAACACTAGCGACGTCTTTGTTTAGTGTTTATCGTACCAAAAGCTTTAGGGAAAACATGGGTTCTGGGTTTGCTTTTCTTGTTGGCGATTTGGTTCCGAGCTATATCAATATCGATCACAGAGTTACTGAGACTTGTCCGTATTCATCTGACACAGCTCGCAGCGTCTTTCAATATGTCATATATCATGAATGAATAGATCCACAAATTACTGATTCCTGTGTGCAACTCATATAAAGCTGATAAAGTAAGCCAAAAGTCCGGGTCTGTTCTAACTGACGACTTCTTCCATCATTCATGAGGATTATTAGTGTAAACAGGGTCACATGAAAATGCAAAAACACACAACACCGGGGATTAGTTAGTAGTCATCTACCTGAGTGGTTATACAGTACTTTAAGGACATACCTACCCGGCGAGGAGGGATCACTTACTCCGCAGCTTGTGGCACAGAGACATGTGACCCCTAAACTATCTAACCTATAGCTAAGCAGCCCGGGCAAGCGTCTTTGAACAGGCGCGATGTTTTATCAATTAGCATCTCCGCCGTTTGTTTAAAGAGCCTCACCGTTTCCCTGCTTTCCTCTAACCTAGCAAACCAGAAAGCTTTACGAAGTCACGGTGCGTTAGTTCAGGACTTTGCAGACTAAAGCCCATTTAAGGACCATGGTACTCAAACGACAGAATACGTTTCGGTCGTTTTCTCAAGTCATTAATATCTTGGGTTAAATCTTGAAAGCTTGTTCTAAGCCGGTCTGCGACGAAGTGTCTATTCTAGGTGAATTGTTGATGACCCCTATCTAATGTAGTCGCTCAGGCGCGTTCGAAGTTCCAGGTCACATTTTCATCGGTAACCCAACTGTCTTACGTGACAAAGTGTCACGCAGGTTGCCGGTGCACCAATTTTTTCTCAGCAAGCATAGCTCCTCACCTGGTTAGTCTAAATACAGAGAGGCAGTGGTGGGCTGAGTGCCCGCGTTCTGCAGGTTGAGAGAGTCTGCTCGATCAAGGCAATGCCATGCGAAGTGTCTCTCATATTAACCCGCAGTTGCTTTCTGGTTGGCATCATCTGTCTTGAGCTCTAGGCTTCTTAGAACGTGGGCACGTCGCCAATGCTGTGATCAATTGACCCACTAAACAAGCTCATTGCAGGGTGCCCCAAAGCGGCATTGTCAGTTAAAGTTGCCTTCAAGTACAGCAGAGACTGCCACCCCGTGGGCACAGTGTTCTCTCACTGTGATGGTCTATTTAGTATAGGATTTGGTGTTCAGACACCAAACTAAATCCCCATATGGTTAGTAGAATGCGAGTTTCCTGAATCTGGCACTGTAAAATATCTTCAAGATGTGATCGTGCCGGCTTTGGATCGAATGGCGAATAATGGTCCATCTGTATCTGGTCGTGGCTCCAGCGAGACTCTAGTCGGGTTGTGCTGCATATTCCAGTGAGCCTCGCTTGACACGAGGTGTAGGAAGGCGTCGAGGTGACGCCCGGATCGTAAGGTACTGACACTAACACGCGACTGTCACCTTCGCGTTCCGGAGCGGGACCTCCCTGATCTTCAAACGCCTTACGAATCGCGACCATGAGTGTAAAATTTGTATTCAATGTCACCTTGCAATAAAGTTTGATATCACTCATAGTTATCATTTCGGTCCGCTAGGCGTTCATGTTATCTATGTGATGGGGGTTGGGTTAAATATAGGGTCTTGAGCCAACTCTAGGCTCAAGCCCTCGTTCAAGCCGGGTACAAAGCGAAGCTTTTCAATAATTTGATCCAGATAGGCGTCAGTATAATAATTTAAAGGAGAATCGAAACTGTCGAGAGAATGGTAACTTTGCTCTGGCGGAGGACCGGTACGATAATAACTTACCGGCCGTCCCGGAAGCTTTTAGCGTACTGATCGAAATCCATTGTGGAACGAACGCGTCCTACAAGCATTGATGTCAGCAATTTCAAACTACTGGTTCCTTTAGATTTGCGGGCAGAGTAATTCGAAATCGGGATAAGATTGTACCTCGGTGGTACTTACTATCGTCTATAAGGCATTATCCTCAACTTGATAAATTCCAGGGACGGACAAAAGCGGAATCGATACGAGTGGCACAGAACGAAGCAACTGTTTTATGGCCATATTAAGCAAGAGATATTGTTATCTTCTCCAAAGGCAGGTCAGGCCGTGGGATCGTTTCCGATGCAGGGGCCAGATGACTGGCTCCAAAAAAGGCTGGAATATTCTTCGGCGGTGACATAGTGCAAACATTGCCGCATAAGTGTCGGGACGAGCTAAGAGAGTAGACAGCCAGGACGCTCAAGAGATACCCATGCCGAGTTGGATGCTTAGGACTCTCTGTCTTGCCAAGTAATTCTCCATTCGGCGTTTGACGAGGGGCTGTAAAAGATAAATCCAGCCTTCCAACAGCTAAAGGAGAGAATAGCTTGACCGAGCGCCCTATCCGGTTACCCCCGGGTACTATAACCAAGAGTCTCTCAACCGTAAAGTAAGTTCATTCACAGATCGTCAATGTGTATAGCTAATTGGAAAAATGATACAGTTGTGGCCATGTCAAGTACCGCGGCATTGAACGTCACGTATTGCTTCACCGGTCCTACTTATGCTACAGTAAGACGGCCACTTTCTCGCTGGCTGAAGTCATTAAATCTTACATAATGTATGTCAGGCTGTCATACGCCCCTAAAAGAACAGTTTTACCTAGAATATATCAAAGCTCCGCAGATGGCCCGTCTTGTGAAGTCTTTACGGATCAGTGAACTATTGCGGCGCCCCCAGCCCGAATCCTCGGCTGTTAGGCCACTGCCTGGGCTGAATCATATAGTGAACTGCCCTGTTTTTGAAAGCACCACATTCTACACAAACCCCTTTTATTACGACGATCTTCCGAGGATATCTTATAGTACCGGCTAACTGCTAAACGGCACGCGACCACTAATTGGTTTTTTTTTAAAGAATCATTATATATATAACAGATCATGGATAAGAAGACCGTTTAAATTATGATTAAAGATTATTCTAAGCCATAGGGCCATTTTAACGCTTTGCCAGAGTCTAAATTGCTTTCATTTTAGCTAAAAAGACAGTCGTACACGTATTCCTTTATTGCGGACTATTAGAAGAGGCTCAAACACGCCTAAGGAGCTTTATAGCTCCGGTAAGACTGGATACACGCCGCGACCTCGCCGCGGCTACGTTGATTCCGAAAGTGTCGAAGGTTCTAGTTCAGTGGCTATTACAAACGGGGAGACTATCTTATATCGGGGATAGCCAGTCTTTTCAGGGGTAGTTACGTTGGTTAGGTGAAAACCAACGTCGCATTATAGACACTATAACGTAGACGCTATTAGAGCGTAGAGCACACGAAGCGTACGGGTTTTGTCCAGCCCTTAAGGCAAGGTTTACCGTACGGTTTAACTTGGAGAGGTACCGAGGGACTTAGAGTCCTACGGCGTATTTAATAATAATAATAGCTAAAAAGTGGTTATTTTGTATGTTTATAAATATGTTTTAGGATCGAAATGTTCAGGGCGCCCTTTCCGGCAGTCCCGGCTATGACCCATAGCCAGGTCCATGGTCACATCGTAGAATATGCCCTTATGTTAACTAATATATTATTTTGAATTATCATCTGACGAGTGACCATTTCCAGGGCTACGATAGAAATTACCTTGCACTACACCTTGAAATAAGTACATAAGAGCTCCTGCTTCGGCTAATGTAAGTACCCTCATGCCCACTCTGGGCTTGGTCGTCGTATATGGAAGTGCACACAATCTGCAGATGTCAGAGGTAGAAATCAAGATCATCGGCGAAGCGTTTGTTACTGATGAAATGACTGTGCGACCAGGAGGCTGGTAGGGGCGATTTATAAGGACACACTTTTCCATGGAAATTGTCTACCCAAAAGTCCTGCTGGCCAATGCTTGCTATAAGTGTTGCATACACGGCCGGCACGGATGCGAGTGTGGTTGGCAACGAGTTGGTTCTTGGTAACCTTGCGAATATGAATTGGGAAGGTGACAGAGAAAACTATACACTTCCCGTTCCCCTCCTTTTGCTCGCCCAATGAGGACATATTCGTTACCTCGTCTTCCCAACCCATTGAGAGAGTTTGGACCATCTTATCTTCCCAATCCTCGTGGAGCATCTCATCAGTCTCGGTACTAACTATCATCTTACTCTACGTAAGCTCAAACATGAGGGCGCTCATATGCTCTCTTGGCTCCAAAAGAAATAGAAAATCGTTTTGATATACAGGTGAAGTTGTATGATGATGGATGCTTCAATCATGTGAATCAGGCGACAAGTAAAGGCGACGAGGATGTCGTTGCTCCTCTCTAGCTTAATGATCGGACCACGAATGGGGCTACTACTGTAGACAGCGGCGGTAAGTAGCGCGGTGTGATCGCCACCTGCGTGGAATTCGGTAGTTGAGATTCGTCGACTTGCTCAAAATTTGTGGAAGGGTTTGCATTTGATATCATGTAACGGTTGAGTCTTTGTTACTCTGAAAAGGTCTATCAGATATACGTATGGTTCAACTTGGTTTCCCTATTGTCGGTTTAGACACCGGGAATACTATCCAGCTGCAAGCTGTGGAGGGACTTTGCCATAAATCTAATCTGTTAAAACTGGGGTTTGCGGCTGCAAACTGGTACTTCCTCTCTCCGAGATGTGGCTGGCTTGCTACCTCGAGCTGGCATCCAAGCTGATTTGGCCACTAACATTGAAGACGCCTTAGATTACGATTTGTTGTGTCGCAAACATAAATATCAAATTTGAGCGTACTTGAGATTTCGCGAGCGGGGGCGATCTTCTTTTTCAAATTCGCTGCTGTATTCTCCATCTTTATGACCCTGACCATTTCGCTTTCTCTGATCCAGCAGGTTCAGCCAGTCCTCCTTAACTCGAGGTATATCTTCCAATCCCGCGAGAACAATGCGAAGATTTACAGTTGGCAAGTGAACCCTAAGATCCCTTCATTACTCTTTTTGCCCATTTAGTGCCCTTATGGTATGATAAACCCTGATTGTCATTGTTTGAATTAGAAAATACCGACTTATAATGGTTGTCTAGGTTCGCTTGGATGACCGCAGCCATCGTCGTAGAGCAACCCTACGTTATCGTAGCGGGACGTATCTACTTCAACCATCAGAGGTGGCGGAAAGCCGATTATAGGATGTCCAGCTTCTCGTCTGGTTTTACAGTCTTATGTATTATACTTGTCGAGCTTCGTTGTGTGGCTTTTAGCCAAGCTATTGCGGTGGGTGCCAACGAGCTACTCGCCTCACTACTCGTACCTTTGCTCTTCCGCTTCCTCGTTTCGTTCTGTGGTGCTCTCGTGCCTGCCGCCTGGATCCCTACTTTCTGGCGCGAGTGGATGTACTGGATTACACCCTTGTATTACTTTCTTGAAGCGTTGCTGGGCGTTTCACTAGCATAATCGGCCAGTCAGATGCAAAACCGGCGAATTCGTGACGTTTTCCACACCGTCTGGTCTTACCTGCGACCCGTATGTGCAACTCTATGCTATACAAGCTGGATGATGCGTGCAGATTTCTCCCGATGGCATGTGCGAGTTCTGTCAGTAGGCAACAGTCGATGGGTTTGGTAGAGGATCTAGCGTGTACTGCACCGATATCAGGCGTGACTTGAGGATTTTGTGCGGGGTTATCATTTTCAACTTCGTTGTGGTTTATCTCGCTAGATTTAGATCCAGGGGAACGAATCCGTTGGAGGGGTAAAAGAAAAAAAAGAAAAAGAAAAAGAAAAACCTTCAAGAAGAAGAAGAGCCTTAAGGAGTATAGTTAATGTAACAGCATTTCGATCAGTATTAGACTAATAGAAACGCAATATAATTTCTAATAGTGTAGCAACAAACGAATTGCACACTGAGATATTACAACGAGGGCAGGCAAAAGCGACAATAAGAATGGTCGTATATAACACTCAAGACTGAGTTATCCCTTGTAGTAGCACCAGAAAGTTGTCCTCGGATCACGGCTAAAGGAAAGAAACCTTAATTTGATACGTATCCATTACCAGAGCATCTGCAGATTACCATTCGAGTTCTCAATACGCTCGTCGAGGCAGATCTCGGCCCAGCGCCAAGAACCATTGCACTGGCACAATTCAGCTTGAAGAAACCTGCCACCGTGAATAAGCCGAACGTTGCGGGCACTGGCAGCGAAATTGCCATCCCTCGCCCAGCGGAAGTGTCCGTCGTCGTTGGTGAGTAGGCGGTTGAGAGAAATGGACGACAATTTCCTGCTGCCATCACATGCACCGCACTCGGCGATCAAGTCATGATCGTTGTCAAGCGATATCCGAGCAGAGCTTTGAGTAAAGTTGCCCATGGTACCATGTACTACTGGCGGCGGAGGTGCATGCTGCTTCTGAGGTTTGTGGCCATGTTTATCGTCGTCCGAAGACGACGAGGATGAGCAAGATGAGCGACGCGACGAGGGCCGACTGTTTTTCTTATGGTCTTTATAAGCATCTTGAAGCTTGTGTCCAGCAAAAGCACCGCCCACGGCGCCAAGAAAGCCATGGTTCACCTTGTGACCTGCTCACTATTTAGTAGACGGCTCCGTAAATGAACTGTACAGTATACGCACCAGCGAAGCCACCAGCGGCTCCTCCAGCAAGCGCTCCCATGAGCCCTCGCTCTTCCTCTGTTTGAGGTACCTGGCCAGGGACAGGTGGCGAAGTGTATTCTTGTTTGATCTGGGGTAAGTATCCAGGCGAAGCATATTGCCGCTGCGGCGAGTGCTCATACTGCGGCGGGGGCGATTGCGCATACTGTGGCTGACTAGGCAGCTGGTGTGGTGAATGCTGCTGAGCTTGATAATACGACTGTTGTCCCTGGTGGCCATTGTATCCATAACCGGAAGGTGTATACTGCCCAGCCGGCGGGTTGCCAGAATACTGCGGTTGCGGGGGGTAGTATCCGGATCCGTGTACAGACGGAGGCGATTGGGGTGATCCGTGTGGTTGTCCATACGATTGTCCTGAAGGCGGTGGCGATGCATAGGGGGAATGATGCGGCACCTGGGACGAGTTTTGAGTAGGTGGGTAGCCATGCCACTCGGGAGCATTTGGATGTTGACTCGACTCTCCATAAGAGGAATTGGGACGCGGGCCTTGTGTATAATCTGCCATGTTGGCTCTGGGATCATATACTGGCTTGAGTACCATGATGAAAATTCGAGATCGACGACAGAAGAAGAAGTTATAGGTTTTATGAGTAGGGAAGGCTGTCCTAGATTGGACTTCTTTGGAAGTTTGCTGTATTGATGGTTCTCACCCATCTCCACCCAATCAAGTTGGGCGGCCGCCCAGGTGGAGGGATGGCGGTGCTGGAGCGGAGGGCTGTGCTGACTATGCTGCCTAATTCCTTCGTGAGGCCTCCACATTTTAGACGTCTCGGCATCAATTGCCGGTTTGACCCCGTAGACATTCAGTTCTGAAAAGCAGTCAAGTTAACCACACCACGCATTGTACGCGAAATTTCTAGGCACAATGACTATGTCCGCCTGCACATAGACACGTGAATGCATGCCTTCGGGGTTTTACGTCATGATTTGTCTTGCGAACTATTTTCATCCAGCAGCGAAAGTATCAGTGGACGGCTCTGAATGATTACAATCAACTGGAGCTTAGATAGATTGAACCTTAGGTTAGACATTGAGATATATTGGCTAACCTAGGCTAGTTAACATAGCGTACATTAGAAGGCGAAAGTGGATATAAGCACCGGTTATACGGAACTTGAAGTAACTTATATAAGCTATCGAATGATTACACTTTGCAAAATAGACCCTTCAAACTTGTTTTACGTCGTGTTAGTACACACCTATCTAAAATCCGATAAAGTCTCCAGAAGGCGAGGCAAGTATTGAGGCCCAAGAAGGTGTTGTGTATTCCTCTAGCGGCGTCTGTCCTAGAGAATTGAATGCTTCAATGATAAGACATTCCTTACAAAAACAATAAAGTAGGAGCGCGGCCGCACCAATGAAAGCACCAGTATAAAAGCCCATGCTTGACACACAATTTTTTCCATTTTGGTTCCGGAAACAATGGCAAAAACCCTATTCAATGGTGAATACAATTGACAAAGCCACTAGTGCCGTTTGTCTAATAGCTTCTCAGGGCGACGTGATAAACCTCGAGACTCGGGCGCAAACTTGTACAGCTGAGCAAGATCATAACGGAACCTCTGAGTACTGCAATATATGCAGCTGCAATGCGCTATAGAGTTTGTTCCGTTGAGGTTGAACACGGTCACTCCAGGCACTAGCGTGCACTCCTCCATCTGATTATCGAAAACCGTGTTAGCTTATCCTTTCCTTCGTCGAATGGAAGCTTTCTAACATCATAAAGAAGAAATTAACCCTTGTATCCTCCTGTGTATCCAGGACGGAGAGTAAGATCATCGCTTCTCATCACTTATATGCTAACGCGCAAATGCGAAATAACTCAATGGCGGGTAGCTTGGTAATAGAGCCATAATTGAATGCCCAGGTTGAGAAGTTCCCGATTGCAAGGTCAACAGTATCGAGCCCGTGAGTTCCAGCTCCAATTTTAAGGGTAATCGGGGTCGTGGGATACCGGTGGCCCGGTTTGGTGCATCCATCCTTCCAACAAATACCTCCCGCTGCTCTAACCCAAGACCTAAACCTTTCATCAACTCAAGGAACTTTGTCTGTAGGCGAAATATAAGTCCCCATCGCCGAATTAGGGTTCTCTCTGTGTTTTTGTCTTTGAAGTAAGTTACTTGCCGGAACAAACCCGCTCTCGACCGTTTTGTACGAAAGAGGTACATTTGATATCCGCGTGGTCGTTAGTATTATATCTAGATCGTTGATTTCTTCTTCTTTTTCATCCCTTTCTTTTTGTAAAAAAAAATTTCATCGCACCAGGCAGGATTGAGTCGGCTGCGTTATAATGTCTATAGAACCCCCCAAACCTTTGCCCCAGCACCCAGCTATTGACGCTATGATATCTCCATCCACTATATTTGGATACTGTATATCAAGCAGTTTCTGTTACCACAGATTGTATATGACAAAGGCACACACCGCATGAGCTAACGTGTTAAGCTCGAGATTTGTGAGCAGGAGCTCCGAAGCCCAACTGGTGATGATCTAAGCTATGAGCCATACAGCTTGAGCTATTACCAAAGGTTTGGCTAGTGAATCGGGTTTACTCTTGTCCTGTATGTATTCCTGCGATATATTAGGCAAAAGACTAAATTTTCCAAGAAGTCTAACAACATCATCACCAAATACCAGCCGAGAAGCACCGGAAATCTGGAGTATGTTCGATCCTTTAAAATAATTTTCTCTATCGATAACGCCGACAACACTTACAAGCGACCGCTCATCAAGAATAACATCCACTGCGAAGCAACGCGTAACTGCGTAGAAGCTGTACATCTCGGTCCCCATGTGCCTTCGCTTACGCAAAGGGTCCTTTTTTTTTCTTTTTTTTTTTTTTTTTTGCTATATGGTAAAATGATACTAGGTTTGTTTCTTGTATTACGATTGCTGACTGTGTGTGCACATTAACCTCTTACAAGTTCTGAGAAGTCAGTGCATCGAGTAACATTGCAAGGCCGTCACTCTCAATCACTACACCACCATGGACCTTTTCGTCATAATGCAGACAATTTGTTAGTTGACCTCCAGTTCATTTCGGGCGTGTCGCGTTTTGTCCTTTCTCCTGTCAAACGACAAGTGAACTCGTCTGCTTGTCATCACAGTTGATTTCACCGCGGAGCGTCGGCGTATTCTGTAGTCCATAGCGAGCGACAATAAAACGGGCTACATCCGCCATTCCAGCCAAATGAGGCAAGCTAATTTAGTCTTCTACGCCCATCCGTCGTACTGAGTGCACCGGACCGACAATCCTGACTGCAAAACGCTTTTTACGCGATTTCCAGCCGCCACTGTACATGCTTGCTGAACCTACAAGATTGATTGGCGTCCTGAAAACGTACCCTTCCCCAAAAGCTTCAGAACTTGTTGATTTGGTAAATACTGTACACTGGATGCCAGCAGTATAAAACAAAACAGGATGGTTCGTTATATCCGAGCTGATGATTAGTCAAGGCTATACGGTTGTACGAATCTCTACGTCGATAGCTTGTTCAATGCTTCTGGTGCTTGTTTGCTTACTTTAACGCTTTGAATTTCTCCTTGCGCCATTACTTTCTGCAGATTAATCCAAGTCCCATTCCGACTTGGTCATCACTTTTCCACCGCCAAAGTTCATATAGTTTGCGTCCTGAGTAGATAATACAAGTATAGTACAGTAGTATTTTATGTAAACACATCTATTTTGACCTTGAATGAAATAATGACCCGAGAACTAGCTGAAAGCCAAGCCTTCACCACCTGTATGAATTGGTTTAATGACTTCAATTAAGGCTTAGGTGTTTGCCGCACAATTTCGATGCCCTCATCTATTGATTTCTTGTGTATCTCTTTTTCGACCCATGTAGTAACGTTTGTAACTGCGTCGGTAGCGCTGTCAAGGTTTGACTGGAAGAACCCTTGTAGCTGAGACGGGGTGAAAGTGTCCTCGGGTATTCGACTTCCGAAATCGTCACCAAGCTTTTCTATGTCCTCAAGGCGCATGGGGCTTTCGGAGCTGTCCAGGTCGGGTGAGAACATACGGACAAACATTTGCTTCGCTGACTGTTGGTTGATATTTCCAAGGAATACCTTCATGTCGATGCGACCAGGTCTCACCAAAGCACTGTCCAATTGATCAGGCTTATTCGTGGTCATGATGACAATGCGGCCTTCGGCGGACCCCACACCATCTAGGACATTTAGCACACCAGAGAGAGTACAGCTGGAACGATTGCTGTGGATGCTGCTCTGATCGCTTTTATCGCCAGAGTCGCGTTCTATACCAACAGCATCAATGTCTTCTAAGAGCACAATACACTGAGGCGGGATCTCCTGGAACATTTGTTCGAGGTCGTGATCAGCAGGAACACTTGGGAGCTTGACTTCATACAAATCAAGTCCGAATTCTCCGGCTAGTGCAGTTGACAAGGAGCTTTTTCCTGTGCCAGGTGGTCCATAGAGCAGATAGCCGCGACGATAAGGCATACTTCGATTCCGGTATCGTTTTTGAGTCTTTGGATCTAGATATTTCCTGAGATCGGCGAGCAGTTCCTTTTTTACGACTTCATCAAAGTGAACAGTATCCAAATGTCGAATTGGCATTCGAGACTTTGGCTGCCAAGAAATGCCGTATCGGTCTCTCGAATATATTGTGACGAAGTACTGCGCCTGTCTGTCTGCGTACTCACGGCAACTCTCGACAAGCGCCTTGATGGGATCTGCTGAGCGCCCAATGCAGCTGATGGTAAGATCTTCACCCCCTATTCCGTCATAGCCAGCGTCCATCATGGATGCGTTAAAGCTGTCAAGTGACCTTGAGACAATGAAAAGATTCTTCTTATGCCAAAACCACGCTGTCTCCCAATGAGGTAAATATTGCGCGTGGCGTCGTGTCTTCTTTAGGGAAGCCCCATCATCGCGTCCCAGTTGCGACTCAGTGCGAGCAGTAAAGAAACGGATTGTTCGACCTTCAATTACATTGGCTAGTACCCAGCTTACAACATTCCGATTCAAAGGATCGCGGCCCGGGATTGTGACAGATGCAATGAAGAAACGCCGTATCCACCCAGAAACTTCGGTCCATATAGTCCTCGCAAAGCGCCATGCCGAAGGCGCAACGCCTGCAAGCGCTACAATTGAGCCCAGATGCGTGATATCAAGCTCAGACCAGCGTGTGACTAACGCCTTGAGAAGCGAAATCGGTTCTGAAAGATGTATAGCCGTCGCACCGCCTGCGTGGAAAGGTTGCGACATCTTAAAGACGCCTGTCTGTTACCATCGCCCTGGCGCGCTGTCCAGTGTGGGCCGAGGCGTCACTGGAACAAAGTAGAAAGCAAATAGTGTAACTTGGATCAGGAGAATATGGAGAAAGAATTATTAAACGAGCGATTGGAAATACTATACAAGAAATAAATCACATTTCAGCCAATGGCGATGAAGGAAGGCAGCCAATAGCAATAGTCTGGACAATATTGAACATTGAAGAAGAGCTCGTTGAGCTATCATCAAGATTTTTAAAAGACGCACGGCCCAGCCAAGACGCGATCTCCGCTAGTAATCTAAAGCCACCCCCTATCAATCAATAGGCCGCCGTACAGAGAACGCTCCTACATATGCACATGAAAATGAGCCTTGCGAATACTAGGATTTTTTTAATTCATTTTTAAACTTTTGCTGAGGGAGATGCGGCTATGAAGCGTCGGTAACGATGACCGCGGCACTGGTGCCCCAATCGCGGCTTACCTCCCTCGTTCACTTTGCACAGCCGTAAGAAGGAACCAATGACTGCTTTCAGTGTCATCCTGAGGTTGTCGTTGCAAGCGATTGCTAATCTCACCTGCTCCAGAGTCCTTCTGACCCAGCTCGGTCTTTGATAGTTTTTGTTCGTTTCACATTCTCTAGAACTTTGTTTTCAATTCGCTGCGCCAGTACCTTATACAATCCATACTCGCAAGTCAAATTTATCGAATCCCTGCGGCACAGCCAGGCACGGGCTTTAGTCAATCACACCCATGCGCTTAGCTGCCTGTCATCGCGTCTCACCAAAATTTCCTTGTATTCCTCTCCTCCAAAAAGTCTGCGATCTCTTTCCCCAAACACAAGAGAAAAAAGCAAAACCACTCCAGCATGCCTCCAATGCAAGTTTCCAAAGATGAGGTCTTTGTGGTCTCGTCTTTTATCTGGGTCGATGACGATCAGCTAGAGGGCCTCCAGCCGGTTGAGGTCTATACGACTCTGGCCGCTGCTAACGTTGCAGCCAGGGCTATTTTGGTGCGCCACGCTGAGAGGTGTGACTCTAAAGGCGATGCTGACCTGTACAAATACTCCCACAATGAAGATGGCAATGGGTTTTACTATGGGTCTGTTGGAGGTGGGGCTGGTATTCACAAGATTGCGACGGTCAGGGTTTCTAAGTCTCTCATCAGTAACGCGTCGAGCGCTGGACCGCCTGCTCGCGAGGCTGCCAAGGCCATCAAGACAGAGGTTGAAGAGGATGATGAAGTGAAGAACGAGAAGAAGAAGGAGGAGGTGGAAGACGACAGTGAAGTCAAGAAAGAGGTGGACGACGATGAAGAAAAGCCCAAGAGGCTGACTCGAAAAGCGCCACCCAAAACAGCTGTAAACATACAGACGCATCGTAAGAAGATACCTGAGGGCATGCCCGATTGCTTGGCGGGGCTAAAGCTCCTGTTCACCGGCACATTCGAGACCATGGACAGGAAGACATCGATTGCCACCGCGAACAAATATGGAGCCGAAGTTATAAGCAAGCTCGAAGACACGGATTACATCGTCATAGGAACACGAGCCGGTCCCGCCAAACTCAAGAAGATCAATGAACTGGAGCTGGAGACTATCAGCGAGGAGGAGTTCTTTCAGATTCTTGAGAATGGTCTGTCTGGAGAGAAGAGGACACGTATGATAAACCGTAGATTGGCAGACGAAGAAGAGGGCCCAGAGGAGGATGATGAGGAGGAGGAGGAGGAGGAGGAGGAGGAAAAGAAGCCGAGAAAAAGAGCTGCACCTCATGCGGGCCCAGCAAAGAAAAGAGCTCGGAGATAGAGGCTGGCAACATGAACAGAAACGCCCATATTAATTTTATCATACCAATAAGAGTTCTTCTCCACACATCTGGATCACCTATTGGATTCTAGCGGCTTACCGGGTTTAACTCCATATTTATAGTGAGTGCATAGCCGCTAGCTACATGTGCGTCAACTCTTTGTACTCACTGCTTGATAATCTTGGGTTGCATCAAAAGCAATCGGTGTGATTTTGGGTGCTTTCGCCACAGACATGCATTAGCGCAAAATTGGTTACCGCGAGATCCGAAAATCTTACGCCATATTCTTCTATGACGTTTTTCCGAAGACATACCGCACACATCACTCAGAGACACAATATAAAGCTGACCACTCATGGGCTAATGATTATAGAATGGGGCTAAAAAAGTGTCGCCCAGGTGCGAGGGGGTTACGAAAGGTGAAATCCGGGTGTCAGACCTGCAAGTATGCATCCCAGCGTGCTTGCCCCTATGAGCGAGTGATACCAACCATGACTTAGAACGAGGCACAAGAAGTGCGACGAAGCCAGACCTATCTGTTCACAATGCAAGAGCTCCGGATGGCGTTGTGATTTCACTGTTGGTGAGCTGGGAACAACTGCGGTCATATTCTACGCAGATAGTCCACGACTTCTCAAGGTTCCGGGAGCTCTGCTACCTGCAAATATGAGTGACTTGGACTTGAGTCTATTCAGCTATTTCCGGTTTGTAAGTGGAATGGAATTTGCGCTCTTCTTCGATGATCCGACATGGGAGCGTAGAGCGCTTCAAATAGCTCACAGTGAACCAACTATCCTTCACGCTGTTCTGGCTATCAGCGCCTTGAGCCGACATCAAAACTCCGGGGGCAAATTCTGGAACGATTCAAGCCAACCTTGCTCCGTCCTGGAATACTCCACGAAACAGTATAATCTGGCAATACAGTGTCTCACTTCCCGATTGGGTAAACCAGCCGAGCATACCAATATATTGATTATAGGAAGTCTCCTGTTCATTCATATCGAGTTCATGCGAGGATCGCAAGAGTCGGTGTTTCTCCACCTCCACGGTGCTTCGGCGCTCCTAAAAAGCCTTAAAGAGTACTCCTATGAGACGGAGTACCTCGAGGCCGCCTTAGCATACATTGAGGCACAGCTCCACGGACTTTTAAGTTATGAAGCAACCAAAACGTGCCAAAGTATGATTCGCCAGCCAGACCCGGCTGTATGTTGTACATGAAGTGGGCAATTGGAAGTTTACTGGATGGAATTCGACTGTGTTACATGAGACGATACGAGAGCGAGAAAGACCTACTTGTCCACACGTCGAAATCATCGGTTGACAGCCCTACAACTTGACAACGGACCAATTGTTGGGAGAGTTGTTGGGCTCCGTCGTTCATGTTCAGGTTACGTTGTCATAATTGGGACGTGGGCCACGAATCAGAATTGTGGGTAACTATCCATACTGATCTTACCTTCAGCGAAGCGTTTAGTATGACGGATCAAAAGAGTTGGGCAGCAGAGAGCCACAGATACTTTTTACTACGTTCGTTATTTTCACATCCAGATGTGAGCTGGCTCGGTCTAAAATTCGAAAGCTGAGAAGAGGTTCGCTCATATCTTATACACGCAGATAAGCAGCCCTAGATGAGGTCATGACCCGGTATCTGATGCCACACGGCTGCTTCTATGCTGTTACAACGAATTCAAGAACTTTGTATTACCATGATCGATGATAATAAGGACTTTGTCTCCAAGAATATATAGGTTTCTCTTCGAGCACGGAAACACACAATAAGCCAATTCTATAATCTCCACTCTAGTCATTCATATATCCTGCGTCGGTTGCTAAAGCTCTTGATCAGCAGGATCATTTCACTGTTATTGATGTACCGGATATCTTTCGCAGAGAAACATATAGTGAGTTCCGACTAGCGCGTTGGTACCATGTGAAGCCGACGTTGAGACTGACTCTGTTCAGGTCTGACCACCGACCGTGACATTGAGCTTGTACTCAGATGGTACAAAGCTGTGTCGAGGACGAACGCATAATGCTAGCATGCTGTTACAATGGTCTCTGTACAGAGCTGACATCCTCAAAAGCATCCTTGCGATCATTCCGAGTCACGTTGATCCCGCAACTGAAGAGATCCTGAAGTTGGCCAAGAAAGTTGACTCCGATGTGAATAGGACGGTGGGGGTCTTGACAAAACCCGACTTGAAAATTGAGAGCTATTTAGCAAATAGCCATTGATCAAATCACCGGATAAAGGATTGATCTGAACTTGGGCTACTACATCGTAAAAGGTCGTGGGCCCAACGACATCCACAAGTCCCTCGAACAAGGCTTCAACGATGAACGGTAATTCTTTGCAAGCGAACCATGGTCTGTTCTCAATCACACCAGTCGAGTTGGTTCCCAAGCTCTGAAGTCGGGAGTTCGAAAGTTGCTTGAGGACACCTTTAAGAAGGAGTTCCCTAATGTCAAATCTAATGTCACATACAGACTTTCTAGATTTCGATTCCTGCGCGACAGCCTTGGCTTATCACGAAGCAGCCCGCATGCCCAGAGAGCATACTTGGACAATGCTTGCAAAAGATTTGAAGACTTCTGCCGCGGTGCTCCCAATGCAGACTACACCAGAGAGGCCTAATTCTTCAGCAAACAGAATGTCAAGCTTATTACGCAGATCATTAGATATGGCGAAATAGTTCCTAGTGTTATGACCGAGCATGGCCACGCGTACGACTTTACCAGTGGCGGTGAGGTTCCCAATGATTTTGGTGGTGAAAATGGATTGCCATCAAGTGGTGCACGTAGCAAGCCAACTATAGAGTCTCAGAAGTCGTTGTCCATGCTTCTAAACGCATACAAGGGATCTCCTTATGTGGTCGAAATCAAGGACATCGTCGACATCGAATTTGATTCACCGCCATTCGAGGGTGATATTATGATTTACATCAGGATTCAATGCAATGAGAGTTGAGGGCTGGATCTTGGCACAGTGAGTTTAGTGTCGGTTGGAATTCCAGTTCATATAGTCACTCATGTCTATAGGTTGGAGGACCACTTCTTGGCACGCTATTCAAGCACCAGTCGCAGAAGTGGGAGATATTCACTTTGAGCTGTGTCAGCAGGGTCATACCGTATGTTCACAAATTTGTTGTCAAAGCATTTAGATTGGCATGTCCTGACGCGCATGTGCGTGAGTCACTTTGGGGAGACTGCTTGCTCAATGCTATGCGACTCTCATTTAAGCATGCCATGTACAATGCCAGGGCCCTCTTCAAAATGTAACGGAGCGGCCGCCCATTCACTTTGAACAACTACTTTAACGACAACCTGTAAAAAGCTCAAGGGAGATGTTTGGCCACTGCCGTTAAAGAAGTTTGCTCAGTCGAGAACGATAATACAACAATCACGCTCAACCCCCGAACAGCTGGACAGCCTTTCAACTAACAAAGCTAACTATGAGCATCTGTTGGGGTAAATCCGTGATATTCTCAGGTCACACTACAAGGGTTCTCTACAGCGGTTCGTGCATGTGGTTTTCATGCAAGCCGTTGAATATCACGTAGTTACTGGTGCGGGAAGCCCCCTTCATGCTCTGAACTCTAACCTAGACTAGTTATGCGTTTCAACAACGAACAGTCGGACGTGATCACTGGAGAGGACGAGTCGATGAGAGCTCAGCAAGCTAAAAATTAATAGAGAAATAGCAGATTTCGAGGAAGCAATGAAGATTTTGAGGGCTGGGAGTGAGCACTTCACCCTTACTAGACAGCCGACCTGTTGTTCATCAAAAGTCACCAAAGCAGTTCATTGGCGGTATGTATGGTAGCTTGTAAAGCCGGCGACTTACTGGAAGGGTTCGGTGGGCTAAAGGGTGCTGTGAAACGCCTGATTCGGTTTCGTATAGTGGATTCAGTTAGAAATACCGTAGTGAGCTAGTTAACACTTTGTGCATGAATAAGGTATGTAACATGGTATACTCCCACAGTCGTTCATTTGATGGTCTCGTACTGAGCTGTGTACTACTACCGAAGACAAGCTTGATCCTAACCAAACCGTACGAGTCGAAGGGATCCCCTGCACTTTCTAACCTAAGATATCTTTGAGGCTCTATAATCCTGTTGGCCGTGCCAGAAGGCTATTACAGATCGACTCAAAATATATGCAAGGTTAACTTGAATTGTAGAAGAATACATTGCAGTACTGCTCTCAAGCTCAGTGACCGAGATATTGCAAGTATTATAAACGACATTTGATAGATGATGGACCGGTAATAACCACTGGACTAGCAGTAGCTAATGGCCACATGAATAAAGCCTACGACATAGATTAGCTGCCGAACATGGGCTGCTTCGGAATTCACTGCTCAGGAAGCTTGACTTGGTAGCAACTTCCTCCCTGGTAGGTAAATTTGGTGATCAAGAATGACGACATTCACATGACTATGAGGCATCAGGAGTGTATTCAGTCGCGGCACATCTCATCGGTGTTTTCACAACGCCATTTCTCAGGCACATGACTGCAATTATGCAAAAGTCTACCGCCATCTTTGGTCATCCACAAATCCCAGCTCCCGGCTTTGACCGAGTTTTCTGGGTTAGTCAAGACGCGGAAATACTCGCCAATTGGAAGCAGCCATGGTCGGAGAGGTCTTTGGAAGACTTGTATCAAGATCATCCCGAGAAGCGACTCCGTGTAAGTACTCGAGCTGTCGTGCTGAGAAAGAGCGCTCTTAACCGTTTATCTTCTTCGCAAGCAGAGTATCGAGCCGAGCACCCTGGGGCTTGTGGCAAAGACAGCTCTGCAGATTGCAGATGAAGCAGCAAACAACTGGCTGACATCGTTTTGCCCTGGCACCAAGTGGTCTGACAGTATCATCAATGTAGACAACATCTACGCCTTTACCGCGTCCGAGCCCGACTACACCATCCTGGCCAAGGCCGTGTCTCTGCAAGGCGTGAAAGAGGCGATCGCATCGCTCTTGTTGAGCTCGAAGACAATGGTGCGCGATGCAAAGAGCATGACGCCGCTGATTCTGGCTCGCGTGATGGACCAATCTGTTGCGGTCTGCCAGGTCGCCAAGGACGACAAACGCCGCGTACTGCTCGAGACGACAAAGGCGAAGGTGGAGTGGTTACCCGTCGCACTGGATTGCAAGAGACTAGGCATACAACGCCGTGCCATCAAGAGTCTCGAGGAGTATCAGGCAAGGGTCCGGAACGAGCCAGCTCATGCGAACCCATCTAAGCAAGCTGGTCGTCGCGTCAAGGGAGAAACAATGGTGCTAGATCGCGCCCTGGCCGAGTTTCAAGAGTACCGTTTGGACTTTTTAGTCGAGATGTACAGAACACTCCGGCAATTGCTGGAGGCGACCGCTTGAGAGGATTATCAAATGCATCTAGGCAAACAGTTTCTTTCTGCTCGTCGAATTTTACAGGCAAATTCGTCGAAGGCTTTGCTCATGGCAGCATCGCAGTATATATTAATAATTCAGGAAGTTTTCAGAATCCTCATGTCCCCATTTGGACGGCCATCTCATCCATACTCCTCATCATAAGATCTTCTTCGTCGAGTCCTTTCCCTACCGGACCATTATTCACACTACTTAACCCTCTTTTTTTCAGTTCGCTGTCGATGTCTTTCCTTGTGATTACTCCTCTCCGTCCAAAACCTTCAACGTCACCTTCTGTTTTCCTCACCCAGCCTTCCACGCTTCGCATGCCCACCACCAGAAATCCAAGGTCTTCTCGATCCACATCGAACACCTCCCACCAGGCACACTCCGGCATCTTTGCACCAAGATCTTTTGCGGCGTTGTAGATGGCCGCCACTGCCAGCTGATTCGGTTGATGCGTCAAGTATAAACACTGAGGGCTAAACAGGGCTGTATTCAGGTACTCTACTGTCCTCGTTGAGATCTTGTTCCTGGGCTGTGCCATGAAGTCTAGTGCTTGCAGATATGTTATAGCCAGCGGGTGAGGTAGCGCTACGTGTGTGTCAAACGACAAGGCGGCTAGAATCCGTGACTCAACCGTTAAGATCTGGTCGTGGAAGCGGGTATAGGCCGTCTCGGAGAGATAGTATGAAGATGGCTCGTTCGGTGAATGTTTATCGGACGTGGCTTGTCGGAGTAATGGCGAGCTCGAAGACAGTAGGTAAGCGTACACGTTGCTCAGGTCTCGAGGTGGTACCGGATGTGCGCCAAGTTTTGCGACGAGGAACAGAGCGGCCGCGGATACGTGGCTTGGTTCGTAGGAGATCGAGGAAGATGTGTCAACTACCATGTAGCGCGCAGCAAGAACATTGGCATGTGCGGTAACAGATTGCGGCAGTCGGAGAAGAAGCCCAGCAGCTTGTGTCAGGAGCTGGACTTGGTAGAAGATGGTGTCCTGCAGATCTTGAGGCAGAGCTGACAATGATTTGTATTTGTACAGCTGGTCAACCGTCGCGAGGGAATTGGTCATGTGCGACATGTTTGCAATCTGGCCTGTCCTGCTCTATTCTGCTGCGTGGTGAAGCAGAAATACGAAGCTATTCAGGCGCAAGCTCGTAAATTCTTGGTGTTGACGTCGTTGGCACTGCACGCAGCTGGAACTGGAGCTGGAGCTGGAGCTGAAGCTGATAGTGACTGATAAGCTCTAAACCTACAGTACATACAGTAGGTACATAGACGACTGTGTTAGTTGGTTAGTACTACAGTAACTTAGTGCTAGACTAATCTAGATCCACTAAAAACTCACAACCGGACGGCACCTGCTATGTATACTCCATATGTGCTGTGTGCACATACGGGGTAACGAAGAGGTCCCGGCCATGTCGTGCATGGCTCTTGGCGGTTACTCGGCCTCCTGTGATCGTATACTAAAAGCAATATTGATTGCACAGCCTATACGGTTCCAGACCAACATGCGTGCAGCCTGGCTATAACGCACCAACAAAGTGGAAAGCGTTGTTCAGAACGGTGAAGCATACAGAGAGTCTACCTTTCCTGCCGATGTTGACCGCAAATATCGTCCTGTCACCACCATTCCTTCTCCTCTTCTCCTCGCTAAGAAGACTACCTACATCTCAAGCACTGTTGTCTGTGCTGCTGAGGTTGTCCTCGGAAACATTTCCGACCGCGACCCTTCCAAACCCCCAGCCAAAGCTTGGCACCCCTGCCAATCTTCATTGATACGGAAATAGAGACACAAGTCCCGATACTCAAAGACATGTACGTCTACAAGGATGACAATCGTTACATTTAAGGGATACAAGACTGCTGGCTGTGCCCCCCGCGGTCCAAAATGCCTCGCTTCCGCTTTCACCTCGCCTAATGTTTGCACCAAGTGACAGAGTAGATCGTCCCCCACGCGGGCGCTATGAGGGTAGGCGCTAGGCAATATGGGGGCCATGGAGACGTTCCCCCCGAGGTTGACAACCAAACTTGAAGATGTCGTATCAGGAGTCGCTAATCTTTGTCCATGCATGTACTGAAGGTGCCGTGCGCACTCATGTTGGCTTCACCGATACCTTCACCTCAAATCTGCGGGGCAAGATCCATACTTCGTCGATCCAGGAAATGTTGTGTCCATCTGGGCGGCCCGCCGGCAACGACTGCCCTCGTACGCGGCCAGGCGGCTTGGAATGAAAGCTCATCTCGCCCAAGACCTTGAGCCCATTGCCACCAATGGCAGGACCCCTCCATGGAAACACACGTCGATCCTCTTGATGGCCATGATGAACACCGCGTCAGAGCCCTCCTTATCCCGGACCACGACAGCAAACATTAGCCCACTTGCTAGGATACGGTCCACTCCGGGATGAAACGCAATTGATTACTCTGTGCAGGGTTCGAGTTTGCTCAAGATTAGGGATCGCTTCACAGTAGAGGTAGATGCATGCACGTAAGCATCATTGGTGTACTCCCCATCCTGGCAGCAGTATACGGCGGTGGTTCGAAGGTCGATATGATCATGATAGGAAGTGTCCGGATGATCCGAGTACCCACCAGTGAACTAAGTATGATCGACAGCAGTGCAAAGCTGGAAGATCTTCAAAGCCACCAGTTGGATGATGACGCAAGTCTAGTGGCTCCAGCTAGCATAGTGGCAATGATGGCTTGCGTCGACACTTTCGGGGTCAAACAATGCCCCAGGCAAATTCCGAGAAATCCTTTTCACCCGATGTCAGATAACACTTTGTCAGATAATCCTGACAAGGGAGCACGACAAACGTCACGATGCTTCATTGTCTGGAGACAATGACTGAGCTGCCGGATGGCAGTATGTCAAGGGCTATGTACTTGCCTCTGTCACTTTGTCTTCCAAGTGCCTATATGAAGACGATTAAACATCGACTGCGACACAGCGTGGAAGAAATGTTTGTTAAGGAGCTTTTGCGCTGGCGATTTGTTATCAGCTGTTTGGCGCTTTCCATTTCTTCCAAATCTTCTATATCGCGCACTTTCCAAGATCGCCGAACATGTGTCCTGGGTACCGAGTACGGATGACGCGATGCAAGCATTGGCTATTTCATTACGAAGCACTTTGTGATCGGGATTGCTCGCTGAAATGCAAGAAATGTCAGCTGTCCGAAAAACTAACCCGCCAGAAATGCAGGACTTGTCAAGGGGCGGAGAAGAGCAGCAGAGCAAAACAATGCGAGGAATGCAGGAAATATGGGGAGTGCAAAAAGATTGGAGCATGCGACCACTGCTCGGAAGCACTGGACTACGAGGGAAAATGGCAATGTGAAACACGCCAGAGAACCGGGAGATGCTGGGACAGATGCGAACAAGGTGAGAGAAACGAGCAGTGCGAAATCGGGCCTACCGGACCGGAGTATTACTTGGAAGACTATTGCTCCAAATGCGATCGACATGGGCAGCTTCAGAAAGTCTACCATGACTATCTACAGCAAAAAGAAAGGCTGGAGATGGAGCAAGTGCAAGGCGTGATAAACCCTGAAGTATCAGAGCTACTGCACAGAAACCTTGAGCTCGCGTACCCGGAGCAAATACAGTCGATCTGGGACGAGTTCGGGAGTCAGGAGCGAGTAGGAGATGTACCTTTTCTACCCTCTTGGGATGTGACGCAGCTAGACCAAGCTTGCGAGTGGACAGATCGTTACGATGACCTGGGCGTTGGCTGCTGCATCTGGGATGATCCGCCTGACCAGGGGAGGACTATCAGGAGAATACCAGGCTACTACCCTGAAGATGAATCAGAAAGCCAGGGCTCCACCGTGGAAGCTGATGATATCCCGCCAGACGACTCCCGGTCTGTGTTCTCCGGCGGGGAGGAAAGTCCAACGGAATCAGTGGACTGGCTAAGGTTCGCAGATCTCCAGTCCGACAGTGGTCCTCACCACAACCAGACCATTGGTCCTCTGATGATGTCATGTATGGACAGACTACAGTCTCTACTTCCACCCGAGATGGAGAACTATAGAAGTGCTGAAAGGCGAGCAGATGCTGTACAGGCCTCATCATCTCAAATGCTTCAGGCGTTTGACCCAAGAGCCGCCGCAGCCAAGCTACGTAAGCAGCTTACGGCCAATGACTCCGTCTTGCATTTTGAAGAGGTCAAAAAGTCCCTACTGCCTCGCCGATGAAGTTGCCGGTCGATGTTAACCAGTTCACCCTCTTTTATGTCTCCCTTTCTTTTCACAGTTTTGCAGCGTTCTAGTGAATCGAAACCCCGTGTCTTTTGACGTATAGTCCACAACGCTATGGATTATTAGTGCTTGACACTGACGTGATAGAGAGCACTCATATTAAATAAATGGTGCTTTCCTATAAACAGTCTGTATTTTAATAGTGAAAAAAGGTACACAACTGTAGCATATACTTCAGAGTATGTAGCGCGGATACAACAGGTTGGTTCATTTTATTAATCACTTGTGAGAACCTTTTTTCCTGCGCATATTTCATAACATGGTCCAAATTACAGATAATTCTCGCGTTGATAGTTCATACCCCTACTGGACTGTATATAGTATCCCGGACCATCTAATGAAACCCGTGTAAATCATCCATAAAGTGTTAATATAAACACCATGGTCTGAAATAAAGTCGTTGACTGACGCGATAAATATCTCAAATAATGCAATTGTTGATTGAAACTCGTTTCTAGTGTGGCTAGCCGTGTATATAAACCAGTCCCGTCACACACCTCATGTGGTCCGTATGTTGGAAAACGTCATTGCATGGAGGTTCCTCAGTCTTGTCTATTACGAATCTTCGCCTATCTCGTATGTAAGGAACTCGCGCTTGAGTATCTATTGATGGCTTAGGGTGGATACAAATGATTCCTCTCAAAGAAAAGGTAGAAGTCTCAGAAAGATACTCAAAGACTTTTCATCTCGAACCAAAGAATTCGGAACTTTGGGAGTAACGTGGTGCAGCGAAGTCACGTAACCTGAATGATTGCAACCCTTAAAAGCGCAATTAAGAGTCCTGCCGCAGATTTAGTGGCCCCATCATCTGCGCAATATCGAAAGGTCTCACGACAATTTCGTTCTTGTTGCCCTCGGCTCCATCACTTCGTGTCACGTCCTGAATTTCTCTCTTAGCTCTCTGATACTCTCTGATTCGAGTAGTCGCTTCCCTTCCGGGTCTTCTTCGATCATTTGCGCTTCGCTGCAGCGGCACTCCAATAATGGCAGTGAAAACCTCGATTACTTTCTCGACCGGTACATCCTGCCGCTTTGCCACATCTTCGAAAGGGAAAATTTCCTGGCATGTTTCAGCTATGTCCACAATCAGGTTACGGGCCGGCTTCCGATGCGTGGCATGAAGAGCTGGGTGCACCGGAGTAGCATTCTGAAGGCTCAACGGCTGCGGCGTAGGTGCCGGTGGACTTGTCTGCCTTGGCGTACCGGTCTTTGTGGTTGTAGTGGCTTGTTGTGCCGTAGACATCCATACTGGAGTTTTCTGCCACGGGGTAATTGGATGCTGCTGAATTGATATATTATTAGGCGGTGTTATCAATCCACCAAAGTTATGGGCATGCATGGGCATCATCATGGGATGGAACCCTGGTTTAAACCCCGGCATGGCCATAAACTGCGGGCGCGAGGGTGGATATGATTGCACGGGCGGACATGGCATCTGAGGCGTCGTATGAGTTGGTGTCCTCTGCATTTCCATCATAGGCACTGGCAAGCCTTGAGCTCTCGCCCTCACAACACTCTGAGCTGCGCAAGCTTGACAGGGAGGTTTGGGTCCAGTTAAACGGTTGGCAGCCAGATGATTTGAAAAGTGTTGACGTGGTATAGGAGGAAGAGGAGCGTGCGTCTGCTTTAATCTGTCAGGTGACTGTTCATATTGCTGCGTTGCTGAGATAAGTGAGGATTGTGGCATACTTGACATTGATTTCTCCATGCGAATAGTTTGCACCGGCGATGGGCTACTTGTTGGTGTTAACGGTCTAGTCATGACAGTCGCGGAATTAAGCCTCGTTGTAGATTGAGGCAATGTCTGATAGGTGTTGTGTGATGATTTCGGCGTCATTGGCTGGCTGCGACCTTGAGGTCCATCATTACTAAGGGGCGGTGCGTTGGGATGCATCATAGACATTGGAGGTAGCTGCTTTGGTGAAAGAGGCGGTGAACTCAAAGGCCGAACCCTGTCGTGGGGTTGATTAAGCACAAAGTTCTGCAGACTTGTGTAGATGGGCAAAGATACGCCTCTCATCATGTATGCAGAGTCGGTTTGGGGGAAACCAGAGGGTAAGCCCACCATTCCAGTGCTCACTCTCCTCTCCTGGGGCTGCGCCGTTGTTGTTTCTTTTTCATAATCATTGCCTTGTTCGGGAGGTGTCAATTGGATATTGGGAATCAGGATGGGCGAATATCGGGACACATGGTGATCCGGTAATGGGTGTTGTTGTTCTTGCAGGTCATGGTGATATTGTGGTGCTGAGGGGGTGATCTTGATCTGGAGTTTGGTGTGTGTAAGCTTCTGCTTCTTGACCGGCTGAGATGAGATGAACTGGATGTCATCGTCTGATCTCTTGGACGGCACAACGGGCGGTGTATTGGCCGTTGCACTAGAAGTTGCCGTCAATGCGTCGGCATTAGCATTATACATGTTGAGATTCCGTGTGCTATGGATTGGAGAAGCCGCAGATGTCGAACTCATGGTCTGTTTGATGGTAATATTTAGAACAACAGTCGCTGACGTAATGCCACGATAACGAGTACGGGTCGATGAAACGGCCAGATTGTGTCAATGAGCTGATTCCGGGATCATATTTGTACGAGACGAGAGTGTCGGAGATGAAGAGAGAAGAACAGAAGCGATGGAGGCTGAAACGGAAAACTGAAGAAATTAGAACGTAATGGGTCTTCTTCTCGGTCAAGTTAACGATCAATGAAGGCGCTCTCCTGCACAGGTATTGTCCTGCTCCAATAAGTGCGTGAAACGAAAGTCAAAGACTCCAAACTACCCCTGCATGGCACTGGACAGTAGAAAGCCGACTTTTGTGGTTGTTTGATCAAAGATTAACAGCAGGAATCCCGGGCGGCAAGGAACTTCATTGTGGTAGGATTAGGAAAGTGAATTCAAAGATTCAATGTCCAGCAAGCAGCAGCTTATCTTGGAGAAGTACCTGTGTAAGATGGGATTGACATGTGGCCAGGCATTGCAGGACGCCATGATCCAATATACTTGCTGCTGATGACTTGATCAGCGCTGTCGCAGGTGAGGATTTGTGGGTCTGTCTGGCAAGGTCCAGTTGTATCACGTTGCTCACCCCTTGCCATTTCCAGAAAATTGTGCCAACAGAGCTGCATGAATGGGGGAGCTCAAGAGAGATTTGAGGCAAGCACATTGGTAGTGAGTAGCGGTGCGTCGAAAGAAACAGAATAAATAAAAAAAAGACAGAGACAAGTATGATGCAGTGGCTGTACGAGCGAAAGTTCAAAGACTGAGCACAAAAACATTGAGACATTGAAATGAGGCTCTGCATCTGACCTCAAAGCCGCAATTCGAATGGGGTTGCACCGCCACAATCTCTTAGACTATGCACTACTCCATATACCCACCCACCGTGGAACAAGCTCAAGCTACCTTAATTAGAACTGACAGCAGAGCGGACACACCCACTGACATCCAGACTACATACCTAAACTCTTGGGGGGCCACAGTGCTATAGGTAGACCCCGCAAGCGACCTCCAGCTGCCTGGCAAGGCTGCACCTTTCCCCCTCCCCGTTGAAGTGCACCCCAGAGGAGTTCGTTAGGCATGCAATAGCAAGTAGCCTTGTGGTCGGTCAATCTGATCAAATCCAACAACAAACGCACCTTTTATTTTCAGATCACCGCTGGACAACATCAAGAGCCTATTTACTCGGAAGTCATTGCATGCTGCCCGAGTAGGCTAGTGAACAGCCATGGAGAATCAACTTCTCTCATCACAGAAGTCTTCGGATTCAGGACTCCAAGCTGTGCTTCACCCGCTAGTCCTCCTCACCATCTCCGATTACATCACCAGGCACACCCTCAGGGAGCAGACTGGTGTGATTGCAGGGGCTTTGCTAGGACAGCAGAACGGCCGAGAAGTCACCATTGAGCATGCTTTCGAGTGCGCCACAAAGGTTCAAGAGGGAAATGCCATCCTGGACCCAGCCTGGTTCTCACAGAGACTCGACCAGAGTAAGAACAGCATCCTCAAGTCACCAATGGCACAGCACTGACCAACATGTCGTAGTGCGGACAATACACAAATCGCCACAGCTTGACCTAGTCGGCTGGTACACACTGCTTCCCAAAAGCGGCCCGAATGCCTCCATCCTTCCCATTCACAACTTCATCCTCTCGGAACACAACGAATCCTCTTTGCTGCTGGCCTTCCACCCTGAGTCGGCCGTCAATCAGTCAGTTGGCAGCAGGCTGCCTTTGACCATATATGAGAGCAATTATGAGGTTGACGAACCTAGGACCGAACAAAGCGGCGAGGACAAGGAGATGAAGGACACTGATGCCCCACTCAAGCTCAAGTTCAGAGAGCTGCCGTATTCGGTCGAGACTGGCGAGGCAGAGATGATTAGCATGGACTTTGTCGCTCGCGGCGCCGGAAATGCGACCTTGGTCAAGCCAGCTGAGCCTAAGAAGCTCAAAGAAGTGCTTCAAGAGGTGGAGGGCAAGGGCAAAGGACGGGCTGCCGACGTCAAGAAGGAGCAACAGGATACCGCACAGGCATTCGACGAGCACATACTATCGAGAGAAGACGAGGAACTCATTGCGTCCCTCACGGCCAAAGCCAATGCCATCAAGATGCTGCAGGCTCGGATCAAGCTGCTTATCACATACCTTGAGCGGCTTCCGCCCTCTGCTCTATCTGTGGCCAACAACCCCACTATAGCAGACCGGGAATTAGACTCACACTCGACACCGTCGCATACTATTCTGCGATCCACGCAAGCTCTCGTCAATCGGTTGGCTCTCTTGGTGCCCTCTGCAACAACAGCGTTCGAGCAGCAAATGCTCAGCGAGGCCAACGATGTTCATCTGGTTTCTTTGTTGAATGAGGTCATGCAAAGCGCTATTGGCATCAGAGACATCGGTAAGAAACATCATGCTGTGGAGTCTTCCAGGAAGGATAAAAGAAACCCTTTGAGCAGCCTGAATCTTGATTCCTTCGGCACATCAGGAGCTGGAGTTCTTGACCTCTAGGGGGGGAAGGGACCTCCGGCGCAGCGCTTCCACCAGCGTTTGCATGAAGAAGGTACTTGGTAGTTGTAACAGAGACAGAAACATTTTGCATTGGCACGGCGAATCCGGCGTTAAATTCAGCGCAACGAGCAGCTGGATATTTGATAAGCACAAATACTTCTGCGGCAATACATAGAAGCGACCATAGACAGATGATAATGAGCATCATGAACGAATGAATTTGGAAAGAGCTATCTACGTCGATGTTGGTCATGAAACGCCTGCCTCTACCCTATCTGAAACTAGATTGCCTTCCAATCCGTACCATTACCCGATTGTAAGTGTGAAGTGTGAAGTCTGACAGCCATCTGCCTTCTATCTTCGATGGCCTGCCCTTGGCCGACCTGTCGTGTAACCAGTCTACCTGTCTATCCCGCTTTAACGAGACTTTCTAAGCCTCAATTACCACTTTAAGCACAAGGTTGCCGTCATCATCAACAGTCCTGCTAGCAAGCTCAAAGGCTCCCTTGGCCGCACCGAGTCCTTTGAACCGATGCGTTACCATCTCGTCGAGATTAGGTAAGCTATGACCGGCACCCGGCCGGCTTTGGCTACAGAGTAACCTAATACCTGTGGGATATGTGTTTGCATACCTGAAGATGCCCAGGATATCGATCTCCCTCAGGTGAGCGGCGGACATGGGCAACATCTGAATAGGAGTACCCATGCCGACCATGACCAACTTACCACCCGGACGTGTAGCATAGAGGCATATATGCATGCAAGTCTCCTTGCCGGTACATTCAAATGTGATGTCAACCCCATCGTCCTCGTCCTCGTCCTCCAGGCCGGGAGGCGGGACTGTGAGGGAGAGAATCTCGGCGGCCATGGCCTTGGCTCCGTCGAGCTGCCCATGTATCGAGTTGGAAATTATGCTTGCCGGAGTGATGCATCCTGTCTCTGGTGGTGTCGAAGCCCCTGAGTTGGTGTAGAAGGACGAGCAACTGGATGATGTATGAAAAGGCCGGGGAACCACATAACCGTGTGTTGCGAAGCCTTTCTTCACTGCATAGTCTACTCGGCCAGCATCAATGTCTGTGATGGTCACAGTTGTGCAACCGGACTGGCGTGCCATTGCGGCTGTCAAAAGTCCGACCGTGCCAGCACCCATTACGAGTGCCGTTGAACCTGGTGTAGGTGCGGCACGGTTGACTGCATGTATGGCAACTGAGAGAGGTTCGAGCAAGGCCGCGGCTTCAAAAGAGACATGATCTGGTAATCTAGAGGCTTCGTCAACAATAGGCCATATCAAACTTCGATGGTGGTCCTTACTTATGACACCAGATGGCAGGATGATTTATCCTTTCCTGAAGCGTCCCCTGGAAGTGAGGGACACTCTTTGCGCTACTCCTGAACCGCATCTTTTTGCAGAGATTGTACCGGCCTTTCCGGCAGATCGTACATTGTCCACATGGTAGTCCAACCTCTAGAGCGACTCTGTCACCGATTTTGAACCCATTCACTTGAGGTCCTATCGCCACGACAACACCTGATGACTCATGACCAAGGGATAGTGGTGCACATGCGCAGAGGTCGCCATTGGCAAAGTTCTTGTAATATGAGACATCCGATCCACATATGCCGGTAGACTTGACGGCAACCTGGAGCTCGCCCAGTCCAGGGTCCTCGATACTCCGGGCCTCCTATAAATAAACTGTTAGCTCCCTTCCCAAGCGAGATAGGCGAGTGCTGAGGCTGAGACTTGGCCCATTTCGTGTAACAGTGAGACCAAAGCAGAGCCTTAAATACCAACTCACCAATCGTAAGTCTCGTGGCCCATGCAAGACAGATGCACTGATCGTGGACCGTTTAGAGTGCACGGGTAGGTGCATAGGCGCAATCTCGTCGACCATAGCGGAGGGAGCCATTGTCAAATGACGACAAAGGCGTGGGATGTAGTGCGGGATGTGGTTGAGGGATCGTGGGTGGTGATAGGTCTCAACTAAAAATTGTGGGTTTTGGAATAATAGTTTGGTATAAGCCGCGACAATTGAGCTTCTAAATCAAGTTACAACAGATAATAAGCGGTGATGAGTTCTCTAATCACTTGACAAAGAGAAACGGATAGATACCAAAAAAAAACAGTTTGAGCAAGGAGAAGACCCTGAGAACACCAAGAGACCCCCACCCCTTTATGTAGGGGATCATGTAGGCGCCATCAGCGAGGTACGATGTCTTCTGTCACAATCGAGGTCAGACATCGGCCAGCAGGTATCAGTGACGGATCTGGGGCTAGGAACAGCGCCCTGGATCCCGGAGCCTTTGAGGTATCGATGGAAGTTGCCATATCCAGTCAAACAGCAACGAGTTATCTTTTGGAGGGCTAAGTTAAGTCGAGTTGAGCAGTACATAATCTCGGGAAATCTATGCAGGCAGTAGCGACGAGACGTGCCAGTCACAGGGCTTGACGGGCAGATCCCTGGGTGGTGTGGTCCTTGACCACCGTATTCGTCAAGGCCATGATGTATCCGTACACCCGCAATAGTGCCGGCGGGTGAGATAGCCCAGGTACTGGAGTCGGGTTGGTTCCTATGTTGCAACGATATATAGTTTGGGACCAGGGTCACACTTCTTCTGGGACCTTGCCTGGAGAGAGCATGCCGCTCATGCTTACCGCCAGTGGAGCTTCTGAAATGCATGGGAAACAAGTTGCTTGATAGCGACTATTGAATAAAATCAAAAAGTAAAAATATCGACCATGAAACCTTTCCTGGTAGACCGAGGGAGAACGCGATATGAAGAGAGCAATCTTGGCGCCCACTTTATCTTACCCGCAAGTGTATGGTGCTGTTACAACGGGCTCATTTCATACTTGATATTCATCAAACTCAGAGATGGTGCGAGAGCAAAGGCACTTGCAAAAGATTCCGAGGCATATTTTGATGAGGACTAGCTTGGCGTCGAACGGTAGCGCAGCCGGAGTCTTGGGCAGCTCCGGCTGCACTCGCAGAGCTAGTATCGTTGTACTATGCAAACGAAGCGATACCCAATTCTTGTCAGATCATCCACAGCAACGTTATTTCGAAACGTGAAACGAGTATCTGCTGATAGGCATAGCCCAGTAATTCGAAGATCCGAGTGATTTTTCCCATGAGATCGACATTGAGACGCGGTCGTCAAGGCGTGACGCACACTGATGACTTGACAATGACGCCGGTGGAAGCTTTCGCAAGTGCAGAAAATAGATGAAGGCACAAAGTGGCTTGAATAAAGGTGCTGAGCGGGTTACTCCACACTAAAAAAAATCCCCACACCCCAGGGTCCCCAAATTTGCCCCTCACTGGCGGAATTTGTGGCCATGGAACCAAGACAACTTCTCGAGATGTCATTATTATCCTGGTCCCTTTTAATATCGAAATAGGCCGGGCGTGTACTGCTGTTGACTCTTTCCATACATACACGCGTCCTCATAAGGTATACTAAACCAATTTCAGCGTCGCGTAAAATCGCCAAGCACGTCAAACACAACAAGTACACTACCTTGGTATTACTACAATATGGTAGCAGGCCGAAAAACCCGCAGTGGGGCAGGTATTTTCCCGGAGTGAGGTACATCTTTCTTGTGCATAGAAGCATCTTGGAAAGGAATTATGTAGTTCTTGCCCCGTTGCGGCTAATAACCCTCCAATTCCATAGTACACAATTCCTCCGCGGTAGCGGCCCTGAGATGATGGGGTGATAGAAACTGCACATGGCTGCAGGGTTTAAGAAAGTTGCTTTTCCCTTGCTTCATGCGCTGTCCCAACGATGCAATACACAGCAACGATAATGCACAGGGGTTGTTGACACCATTGCTCCTCATTCGGCTTATCATGGCCAATATGGCGTCAAACTCACACGCAAGGTTGAAGGATCCGACTACCGGAACGTCTAACGACTCCAAACGTTGAAGCTAGGCTCATGGCGATATATTGTATCAATCCAACGAAACTTCCGCACAAATATTCCTGAACAGAAGACATGTTCACATTTCCGACAGCTAGCGGTCTGATTGTTATTTCCAACGCCAACCACATACTCTCAGTCACTCTTCACATAGCAATTAAATTTAGACTTTCTACCTTGGCTCACGTTGGGATTCTTGAACCATTCTCGCGACTTCACCGCAATTAAGAGGAAATCAGCGGTCAGATATCAGAACCTGGCCCTCACGGACAGCTCGCCCATATCGTCCTCTCTTATTCGTCCAACTATCCAATCACTAGAGGTTTCCATTGTCGATAATGTTAAAACGGACCGCTTTATTTGGCATGGTTGCCATTTCTGCATTGCCTGCAAGAATGCATATGCAAGGACGGTTGGAATCTTTCACCCCCTACAGGCTCGGCTGTGCTATCTGGCAAAGCTGAACCTATTGGCCACAATTCATTGCTACCGCTATTGGTCGATATCGAGTGAGGTGCCATTGCTTCATACCTCCTCATGGCCCACAACTGGTTGTGTTCATTGATAAATGGGCATTGTACTGCCGTTCAAACTCCTGCAGCCTACGTGCGTGATACCTGCTCGCTTCCATGGAGGATATGCTCGTTCACCGTTGGGAATGTTCGACGCTGCAGCCTCCGTGGTAGAGGACCTAACCTAGCTCAGACTTTAGCACCACAGTATACTTCAACCCATGCATGCCACTCTTCAGGACAATCCACTAAACTAGCATGAACGTCGGCAAACTCAGACTGCAGACAATTGGAGAAATTGGAGACAACCGTTGCGAACGTCTAGACCCCCAGTTTTTGGCATGTGTCTTTGCCGCATGGTGGCATTTCGTTAGTATTTTCGGCCTGCAGAGTCCAGATCACAGCTTCATGTCAGGTAATAGTAGTAAACAATCAATAGCAGGCTACGCAACTCTTCAAGCCAAGACTCGAATTGCTTTGGCTACTATGTTACGGTCTCGATATCAGTCAGTTTACATTTGCAGATAACGTTAGTCTAATGCAATCTGCCTCGTCACCTACATTGGCATGAGTTCAATGAAACGATAAGGACTGAGCAGGGCTTTTCTGGCTGCTAGACTGACTACTAATCATTCGCTGGCCGCCCCCAAAGCCATTTCTCATGGAACAACTCGGGTCTGTACTGGCTGGGGCTGGCCTCGCTAATCATTCTTGCAACGCCGATCTGAATACAATATTCTCCTGTTCATCGCTTAGGCATATGGGTACAGAAATCCTACCAAGCCTGTATTGATACCTATTTTGAACCTTAAAACATTTAAGTCTATTGTCGCAGTACCAAGCAGCGGCTCTGAAGCTCGAACTGGATACCTGACCCGCTCTGCATAGAGCATTTCACCACAGGTTCTTGCTATTTGGCGGACCCCACAACATCGGGCCTTTAGGCCGCCTGTCTTTTCATCACAGCGATGACCATCACATTCAACGCGGAGCTTCTTCCGCTTCGTTTGAACAAGAAAACCATGGTGTGTCCGCCCTTCAACAAAGTCAGGGTTTGCTGCAAATCTACCTTATCGAATGGCCGGCCCTCGGGCCACGATCCTATTCAGTGGTTCCTAAGCTATTGGCGAAACACTTTTCCTGATATGGCAATCACGATATCGGCTAAAACGCCGGGGTATCTGGCAAGATTCAGCCGACGACCTATAACTCAGAGGACAGCAGATGATGCGACACCGTTCAAGTTACAAATTGGCTACCAAGGGCGGCAAAAACAACGCCACAGCTCAAGGATTCCTTGGGGTCATCTCCGTTGGTCGACCGTGATGCAGTGGTACGGAACATGGCCAGATAGCGGTAAATGATATGAGCTCAGAACTGCATGGCCATGCACGAGTGCAGGGAATCCAATGCCAGTAGACGAGAGGCATGCATGCGCGCGATGCTCTCGTTATGCAGCGCCAATCTTGCGAGTCAACATCCATGTTTTCTTTTGGGGCATTGTTTCAGTTTCATATCCGTCAATCGGCTGCTTCCACTGTGCCACGGTGCTATGCGACCTCCTCTGCAAGGCGGCACGGATATGCACGAACTGTTCGGATCCGGAGTGGCAACCGAATAGGTTTGATATATCGGTCGTTTAATGACCTCAAGTGTGGTGACATTTATCCAACTTCTAGGCCATTGACGGTCCGTCAGGGTCGTCTCATCTTCAACATCTGCCCATGGGGGTGCAATGCTGTGCACCTTGAGCACCGGCAAGTCGTTGGGGGTTAATCACAGACAAGAAAACAACCACAGCATGACATCCCGGCCCCCGCCAGCTGGAATATAAGAACTCGAATATCAGACCTTCATATACCCTCGGCAGGGTCACCTATCCTACGAATGCCTGAGTGCTATAGCAAATTAGTCGATCACGACCCATCTTGATGGTTTGCGTGCTTCGTGCTATGACGATCCACAACAGCGAGCAAGATCGGTATATTTCGTTCCGGACCGAATCGGCCGCGATCACCAATATCTCCATATCAGATCTACAGTACGCGCTCAAACCAAGAACGACGTCGCAGACCCCGACTCCTATGCAGAAACAGCTGCTTTGGATCCCGCAAATCAAAACATGACGATATCCGTCGTGTCTGGGACTGGATCAATACAAAGCTGCAAGGTGAGCTAGCCCTACAGAGTGTGTGTTCCCACACCGATCCATGCTCGGGGCCCTGCCAGGGTCACCGGTCAGGGTCCCGCTTACACACATCCTATGTGATATTCTGCAGCGCTCGCGAATGCACACACGGCGTGGGTCACAGCTTGCAGGCTCGCTTGCGTACCATCCGGGCTGCGGTGTGACGCTTAAAACCCATACATGTTCATATTACGCTAGACCGATCAAAGTAGAGAAATGACAGAGCCGCCTGTTTCACAAATGCTTGTTGGCATTGCAGCGGTCAAATACGCCATCAAGCGCGATAGTGATGACAACACACGATATTCAATGTAAGGCATTGAAAAATAGACAACTGGTAAGGTCACCAGAGTTTGCTACATCTGTTGATTTCGTCCACCTGCCATGCAACACCGTGCCGTTTCCGCCCCTCCATCTCCCTTTTTGACAGGCCGTCCATCACAGTCCGTCCACCTAGAACGTGCTAGTCGCCAATCGGCTGGCGGCGTTCCGAGCATCGACCCTGTCCTCGTCATCCTCGTCTACGCCACCTAGGCCTCTTCCGGCAGTGGCAGCCTTGTCTGCTTCAGCATCGTCTTCTTCAGGTAGACCGCCCATAAAGCTCCCGGATATGCTCCTGTGCAGATTCTCCGAGCGCCGGGGCACACCGCTCCAAGCATCGCCCTTGGGACCTTGACTAGCTGCCACACTCGTCCGGCGCACGGTTGGATGCGACTCACGCCCTAACCTGCTGAGACCGCCAGAGGCATCAATCGCCCGGACATCAGGGCGTACGCTTTCAAGTAGTGCTAGAGTTCGACGCTCGGCGTCGATTTCCCGAAGGACATATTCGCGAACGCTGAGGCGGAGATCAGCGGTTGTGCGGGCGAACCAGCGGCGACGCTCCTGAACCAGGTTTTGAGTAACGCGCTGTGTCTTCCTCATGAGCTCCAACTCGTTGTTACGAGCATCGTCCAGCGCTGTGATTGCCTCATCGACCTTGTCGCGGCGCACGTTTGAAGATGCCTTGAGACGGTCGGCGGCGTTGAGTTTGCTGCGCGTCGACTCCTGGGCCTGGAGGAACTCGCGAATAAGGAGCTGACGGTTGGTCAAGGTTTCCTTGACAATGAAGGCATCCTGCGAATGGTATTGGAAGGGGTCGCCAATGGTTGTGGCTTCCGCAGTTGCCTGCGCAGCATGGCAGTCGCCAACCGTCTGTACTACTTTGCCTAGCTTACGATAGGCGTTTGCGAGACCTTGGTGTGGCTCTTGAATGCTCATGGCGCCCAGCTTGACTCCGAAGTCGGATTCTGCGAGACCAAGTCCTGCCCAAGTTAGTGACGTGACATAGAGTGAGGCGGTTCTGCTCAAATCCTTTCGTACCTCTGCGTGCCTTGACCAGCTTATCCACCTTGTGACCCGCGTCCATTGATCCAAGATAGAACAGCTTGACTATAGGGCGAGCTTCGGACAGCTCGGGGGTATCGTCGGGGGGCGGCGCAAACTGCTTGAGAAGCTTCCGTCGGACACCGGTCGCGGGCTGCTTCATTTTGTACATGGGACTGTAGCCAAAATCGCTTTCCACGAATAAGACCATCTCTTCGTCCCTCATGAGGACTTCGTTGCTGCACACGTAGTTGAACCATCTTTGCAGGAGGGCCTTGACTCTTGTCTCGTCTTCGTCGGTTCCGGCGCCGGCAGATGTGATTGCGGGCGGCACTGCAGGCACAAAGGCATCCGGGTTAGCCGAAACGAGGTGATCTGCGAGCTTGACAAATTCCGAGTGCATGCGGCGGACATCGCGGAATTGTGTTGTTCTGAACCTCGGGATATTTGTCTAAAGCCAACCAGAGTGAGCATGACGGCTACCCGCAACTGATGGCCAGGATACCTACGTGAACATCGAATCTCAGGATAGGATCTTTGCGGCCAGTTCGTTCCAGCCCGGTGATTTTGGCCTGTAACTTGTATTGTGGCTGAGTTTGCCTACGAGGCTGTTGCCCTTGCGCTCCTGGATGCGGTTGGTCATGCGCATGTTGTTGTTGTTGTGGTGGTGGTGGTGGTGGCGGTGCTCCCTGTGTTTGCTGGGGAGGCTGCTGTTGTTGTGCCTGTTGGCGTTGCTGGGCCTGATCTTGCTGCCCGCCAAAGCCCGGTGCCTGTGACGCTTGGGAGGGTTGCGATTCGGCAAAGCTGGGCCCCGAGGCATTGCTACTCGCAGACTCGGGTCGCCTGAAAGTGCTGCCTGCGGCATGGTCTTGTCCCGTACCGTTGTTTGTATCTTGTGGGCCATAAGCGTAGGTGGCCTCGTTGCCGAGGGAGCTGTAGGCGCTCTGGTTGCGCCGGGGCGAGGCGGGAGGTGAGGCGCCCCAGGGCGCCTGCTCATCGTCTTGTATTCCAGAGCCGTAATCCATGGCGTGAGTTTCGTGTCTTGCGCTTGGGAGATTACCGATGACAAGACAGGCGTGAAGCTCGAATGCTTGGGCTGACGGCTGAGGCTATGACGTGGTATGAGAGCTGTGGATTGTTTCGGGGCCAATTAATTAATGCTCCCACGGCATTATACTCAATGCAATGCAAGGTAATGTAATGCAAAGAACAGGCGAAGCTAACTAACGAAGGGCGCGATTGGGAGTCGATTCGATCCGGGTATGGAGAGTTCTGCAGAACTCAGCAGTGGATGATGACGGGGGCTGCTCCAGCACGAAGTCGTAACTTGACTCAATGCATTCTGGAGAAGGAGCTGCGTCCTCACGGGGATCGATTGTCTTTGGCCTTTTGATCTTGCACTTAACCTAACCTAGTCTGCTTGCTGCCTTGCCTTCCAATCATGCCCTCAGCGAGCTTGACAGGCGGGGCCAGGCTAGACCCAGGACGGCCACACGATTAATTAGCCCGTGCTCCCCTCCAAACTTGCCATGCTGTGGGCTGTGGACCAGGCCTGAGTGCCTGAGTGCCTGAGTGCGAAGTGAAGTGGAATACAATACCTACATGCATGGATCCATAGTGAAAAGCTTCAGAGGCGAGCTAGCTGAATCCACCCGTTGACTGAAATCAGACCAAAAAAGAACGAAGAAGAGGAAGAAAAAGGAAGAAAAAGAGCTCGGGAGTTTCGACAGAAGCCGAAGCTGTTCTCATCCTGTTCGATGGCACCTTCAAAATTTTAGTTCACTTGTCCATGAACTGCAGAATGAGCTGCTTGGCAACATGGGCCAGGGCTCCCTTCCGCAATCCGCTCATGTTCAGGAGATGGCCGAGTCCTGCACCGTGGAAACATGTCCCAGCTGGCCTAAGGGGTCTGACTACACCGGCTGGGCAACAACACGATGCTGCCATTAGCAAGATTAGGAATATTGGCATCATTGCTCACGTCGATGCGGTATGTCTGTCTAGTCGTGATTTACTCGGCCATAGTTCTAACTGCATGCGTAGGGGAAAACAACAACCACAGAAGCCATGCTGTATAATAGTGGTGCCACCAGGCATCTCGGAAGTATGTTCCTTTCTATGGACTCATCAACCCTCCTTCTTGAACAATTCCACCCCTGCAAACCACTAACAATGCCCCAGATGTGGACCACGGAGACACTGTCACCGATTTCCTCCCCATGGAGATGCAGAGAGGCATCACAATCCAGTCCGCTGCAATCACTTTTAGATGGCCAACTCCGGAACGGGTCAAGCCAGATGGCCCTGAGCACATCGTTAACTTGATTGATACGCCTGGTCATCAAGACTTTAGGTTCGAGGTTGAACGATGCATTCCTGTCCTTGATGGCGCCGTGTGTGTCATCGATGGTGTTGAAGGAGTTGAGGCACATACTGAACGTGTATGGTCTTCAGCTCAGGAGTTCAAGGTCCCGCGAATAGTCCTGGTCAACAAGCTGGATCGGGATGGCGCTTCTTTCAAGAAGTCGGTCCAGGACATCGGCGTAAAGCTTGGTGGTATGCCTATAGTCTGCCAAATCCCTTGGTGGGAGAACGATACGATTAAAGGAGTCGTGGACGTCATCACGCGCTCCGTAGTCAGCTGGGGAGGTGGTGGTAAGGATGACCCTGATGAACTCGCCAAGAGGATACCTCCTTTCCAGGACGAGATTGACCGTGCTCGAGAGAACCTAATCGAAAAGCTCTGCGAGTACGACGATGATCTGTTGGAACTTTGGACAGAACAAGGCAAAGACTTACCCGCAGACGCGATAAGGAAGGCCATTCGGCGTGTCATTAGAGATGGCGAGGCAAAACTGATTCCTGTCTTCGCCGGGGCTAGCTTGAAAAATATTGGTGTCTCTCCCCTTTTGGACTCTGTCAATTATTACTTGCCAAGTCCACAGGACCGCCCAGGCCTGGATGTACGGGTAGGCGCTTCCATCATGCCTCTAGCACAGATTATCAGCGACTCCAAAAGTTCGAAGATACCCCCCAAGCAGCGGACTCCGATTGAGGCAGTTGCATCCGTCTTCAAGGTCGTCAATGATCCCAGGCGCGGGATGCTAGTCTTCGCGCGAGTCTATCATGGCGAGATTCGTAGAAATATTCCCATGTGGAATTCCAATCTCCAGGATTTTGAGCGACCGCTCAGCATCTCGCAGATTTCAGCGAAGAATCATATTGATATACCGACTCTATCATCTGGTCAAATTGGTGCCTTCACAGGTCTGAAGAGGGCACGCACTGGCGACACGTTATTAGTATACGGTGGCAACAAGGTTCCGATGGGTAATTTCGCCCATGTCAAGATTCGGCCACCAGATATCCCGCCTGCGGTGGCGTTCCTTGTTCTAGAGCCATTAACACTATCTGCGACAAAGGCCCTGGAGACTGCCCTGGACAACCTCTCGCGAGAGGACCCGAGCATTCGATGGTCTCTCAACGACAAGGCGGAGCAATATACCGTATCAGGCATGGGAAAGCTTCACCTTGAGGTAGCGAGGGATCGTCTCGAAAACCACTACAAACTCGAGGCCCACTGGGGTGGCATTGAAGTCGAATACAAAGAATGTGTGACGATGTCTACAGGCACACATAGAGCTATCTTTGATAGAGTGATCGCAGGCAGAACCGGCAAGGCAGCTTGCAGTGTTGAGATTGAGCCCCTGGATCCTAGCGAAATTGAAGATCTCGCTAAGATGTACACAGAAAGAGATGGAAACATTATCAAGGTCAATTTCTCCGACGAAATGCCAGTGGACCCTGAAGAGGTCAGGCCGCACTTGGTCAATGGTGCTATAGCGGCCTTGGCCAGAGGCCCTAGAAGGAGCTCGCCGTTGAATCAGTGTCTGGTGACCATTACCTTTGATGCTGCGACTGACTATTTTGGCCAAACTTCGCCAGGACATTTCGTCAGCGCGGCCAACCAGGCTATGAGAACAGCACTCAAAGAGGCTCACAAGAATGGCATCGTAGGCATTCTAGAACCTGTTATGAAGGTCTCGATCGCACTGCCAGAAACTGCCGCTGGTGCCATTCAACATGACTTGCACTCCGCTCGTGGAGGCCAAGTTCTCGAAGTAAGAGATCTTCAAGACACTGTTGCTCGTGACGGCGGTCAAATCGAGGCATCAGACATCTATGCCCCGCCCGATCCATACGAGTTCACGACGACGCTACGGGAAACGCGAAAGGGCAGTCTGCGTATGCTTGAGATCATTGCCCAAGTCCCTTTAGCAGAGATGCTGGATTACGACAGTCACTTACGCAGCAAGACTGCTGGGCGACATTCGATGACTATGCACTTGGACACTTTTGTGAAAGTCACCGGGTCGAGGGAAAAGTCCCTATAGACAAATCTGGAGAATGGACTCCGTGTGTAGAGAAGCATGGATTCCCGATTCCTCTGTAGCATCATGCCTGTATTATTAGCCATGTAATTTAGACAGACTTTGTACAACCACTGTTAGATGTAGAGTATGCGTAGAGCTTTTACGCCCCATTGAGTTGGTAATGGTGCAAGGATCCGGCAGCCACATTTGGTACTCCTTCACGAGGGCGCCTTAGAACTTTCGATATGGCGCCGATACGTTGCTTTTTCTTTTCAAAGCTCCATAGTGTACATCAGTATATTTCCTCACCACAGCAATCTAGAATTGACAACGCCACATGAGCGAGTTTTGCAGTGACTCCCGATCTCACCGCTGCTGCGATGTTTCTGTCATCGGACTCACTGCGTATACTAAAGGATAATTTCCCGTGACAGTAAACATCTCGTCAAGTACACCCTCTCCTGCAGCTCAGTTGGTTAAAACGGTGATCACTATTTCTCGAAGACCCTGGGCCCAAGTCCTAGCAGGGATAGCATATCTTTCCTTTTTCTATTTCTTTTTCTTCAATTCATATTTTCTTCTCTTCCTCCAAAATCACTGAAACTCACTTGTTGAGAACATCTCTCAAACATCGAGCGAGTGCTTTTTCTACTTCTTTTCTCTTCAGCTCAGCAAAGAGATGCAATGTACGTGAACCTTGACAGCCTATCTAACCCCATGCAATAAAGACGAGCAATGTGCCTTACTACTCCTGCATTTATGCACAGAATTCAGCGACGGACGCCGTAATAAAACATTAAACATTTTCTCGTGAAGCAATGAGATTAGACATATAAATCTGATAAAAGCAAGCTAACGTCATAAAAACTCACGGAGCAAGGTGAACTCGAACATCTACTACTTCCAACTTTGGCGGCCCATCCCGTTACATATTATATACTCTTTGCTTTCACTCCAATCACTCTTGATTATTATCCACGATCATCAAGGTTGTTCCATACCATATGAGTAAAAGCAAACTAGAACTCGGTTGCAATCTTTGCGAATTTTAGTATCATGAGAAGTTCCGGTTGATAATAGAGCGTTATAGTGCGGAGGATATCTTCTTTTTCTACGCCCGTGAACGAATCAAAGCCAGCAGCATAATATGTGAAAGAAGAACAAGCTTGAATGAGAATCGACCAAGTAAACCCGAGGGTCTGTCATTACAAATCTTTACAGTTCGCCCGGCTCTATAGCCGTAACAAGGACTTTTGCTATAATATCACACAAGAGCTTCGAATGTCCTGGCTTTCCTCAGAACACCTTTTCCCTTAGGATCGACCAAACTAGCTCTTCTGGCCCTCTCAGCTTTTTGCTCTTCCATTCTCCTAGTTCGGACGCGCTGCAAGCTCATGGGTAACTCATCAACGGCGTCTTCTTCTGAATCCGTGTCTACCGCCGCGTCTGCGCCCATGCGACCAGCGAACAATGTTCGTTTGACTGACATTGTACCCTGCGAGTCTGCGCGGCCGGATGAGTAGCCCCGTCTCCGGCGGATATTCGCGCTGGTATTGCTCTTGATTCTCTCAACAGTCTGCTCGGTCTCCGCCGCAGTTGCCGAGCGAAGCTCGCGAGCCTTGATCTTTGCAATGTACTCGTGGAATTTGGGACGCTCCAGCATACCTGTTCGGAACGCATTGACTCCTACGAGCAACTTTGCTAGATCAACAAGCTCTTCGAGGTATTCGATAATTTCAATCATCCCAGCGGAGCCAGCATTCCATGATAGAAACTTCTGCTTTGTGACAGACTTCAAGACGTTCTCTTCCGGAACCCTCGAACTTCTCTGCGAATCCGCCCCAGGGTGGATACTTGGTGCTCTGCTTGGGGCCGGTGTATTACGCTCGAACATGACCTCTCTAACCCGACTTACGTAACGCAGATGCGCCACGCGACTCGATGGTAAAAATTGCGGCAGAGGCAATCTCGTAGTCAAAGCTTCGTGAACCGCGAACAGGGTCAGTGTGATACTTGCCGCCATGTTGCGCCGGTAGGGTAGGACGAATTCGTTCAATTCTTCAAGAACACTGCTGCCGTAGACCTTTCTGATGTGCAGTACATGATCCATGCGATCAATGATCTGGTGTAAGACATATATCATCTCGTTATATATCATTGCTTGTCCCGTGAAACTGCCCTTCAAACGCGGCTCAGTGAGTGTGAAAGGCAAAAATGTTTGCGCTGCCGTAAGTGCTGCCTCAGCTTTCTCCTTTGCAGTGTGAAAGTTTGCGTTGAGAGTTTCTGATTGCAAGTCGATCGACTTGGGCGTCTCTATTCCAATTGCGACCGAAGCTTCCATATTCGAGATCTGCTGAATCGCTGATGCAAGGGATTCAACGAGCCGGTCACGAGCGCGGACCGGGAAAAGAACCAGCTCAACTATGAGTGCAATTGTGCCCCCTATAAGAAAGCATATCATTCTCTTGAGGAAAATCTCCCATGGATAGGCGTCGGGCGAAACGGTACTTGCTACATATCCTTAGCCAATAGCACGTTATGGTGAAGGGGACAAAGACTTACCCAATCCCACGACAGACATGCTCACAATCGAAATGATCCCAGTCTTGACATAAGGTGTTCCCAGATGAGTGTAAGCGGCTGGGAGAGACGCAATCACTAATACCACTACAACAACAACACGATTTCCTTGACCAATCCTGTAGGAAAGGAAACCGGCTACGCAGCCATAAATTACGCCGATAACCCTTAACAGGAAACCTTGAATTGAGGTGCCCACAGAAACCTCGAAAACAAGTATGAGTTGCAGGGTGGCCCACGACGCTCGCATAGAAACATACCAAGCATTAAGCGAGGGGACAAAGGCTGGCCAGGTTATTAACCACCCGGCCACACTCATCTTCAGAGCGAAAGCTAAGTCGTCAGAGTCGGCGACGAACTCTATGACATCGGCAGCAAGACCCCGAAGCCATAGAGCGGTACTAGCGTTAGGATTATGCAGTCCTTTCCTTTGTGGAATCCTCTCCTGAAAAGGAAATTTCACTTGCTGCTCATGCGGCGGCCGGCCAACTTCTTCTCCGGGCTGCTCGAAAGGCTTTTCGTTGCTTGTTGAAGAATCGGTTTCGCCGGACCGAGTACCTTGTTTGTCATCTCCACGGCCAGCCCTGGCCGCCTTGCGAGCATCATCTGGTACAGCATTGATGTCCTTTTCACCTCCGGTCTTTAACCATTTCATCCAGCTTATCTTAGGAAAATAAAGTCTCCGTTGATCGTTTCGAGCTTGCCTTCTCTTAACTAGATGTCGAGAGTGCTCTAATATATGATTGATCTGAGATGCTGCCTACTCGTCCCACACGGGTCAGCAATTTCTCACTAACAATGATTTAGGAGTATTTCGGACACTTCTCGTGACCTGAGCGCAAGAATGATCAAACAGGGCTGTCTTCAGCTCCCAAGACAGTCCAAACAGGAAATAATGAGCCCTGAATACTGACCTGCCTCAAGGTAATCAAGAATGAGCTAATTAGGAACGTCTCCATTCGCGGCATCACGTCGACCTTGGTATCATTAGTTGAGAAACAAAATGCAAAAAGAAACATGGTTGCCTATACCTGTGATCCTCTGTAGGCTATAGCCGCGGCATGCTCGAGTGCCTCAGCCGAGTTCTTGTCAAACATTATCAATGCTTCTGCAAAGATTTTGATACGCAGATCAATCTCCTCAAGAGTTATTCCACTTGGTGCCCGAGCACCAGATGGCAATTTTGCAACATCGTAGCAATAAGCTAGAGAACAAGTGATCAAGTCCACGGCTTCGTGCATGTGATGCTGAAGAATCTTTGAAGGACCACGAACTTGTGATACAATGTGGTCAAAAAGTTCGATGTCACCTGACTCTATCTCCCGGATAGGTTTCACAAGTTCTAGATTGCGAATATGCTTTGATTTGTGACGAACACTCTTTGAAGCTACTGAGGAGCTGCTTGACTCAATATCCGATGACTGGTCGCTATCATCCGAGCTAGCGCTTGAGTCACTATCTTCGGAATGACTGTCCGCGTCTGCAGTTTCAATACTATCGGTGTCTTGATCCTCTCCCAGCATGGCATACTTGCTTTCACAAGCATTGACGACACTGATAGTAGTTTGTACTAATCTTGACATTGAGGTCATGCTGATTGGTTTCAACGATTCAGGTGGTAGAACAGTATAGACAACCTCAAAGTTGCATTCTCCTTGAGCCTTCTTGGTACCAGCAAATTTTGCTCTCAATTTCGGTTTCCTATCCGTCAACGAAATGAGCCGCGTACGCAGAGTGATTTCCGGGCCTTTCTCGGTATCATCTTGCGCCGTTGGCTTGAGTTCCGGAGTCATTTCGTTACGTGCTGTAGCGAACCAATCTACTGCATCCTCAAGACATCTTGTTGTATCGTGCAGTGTCTCAATGACAGTGTTTCCTAAGAATCCACTGGAAGATTCGGGGAATACAGCCACATTGATCAGCAGAACGGCAGCTAGAGCCGTGAGAATGGGATAAGATATCTGGGTAGCAATTGTTGCTGAGACCACCGTAGCCGTTGTCGTCAAGACGGTCAGAGTTATAAGGAGGTAGAAGAAGACGAACAAGAACAATCTCGGGGTTGATGATCGGAGGATACCATGAAATATAACGGCCAGGGCGAAAAACACGGCTCGAATGGCATATGCCGCACTGATGTTGGTCCCATAAACCAGACTCGACAGATAGAGCCCAAGTATAGAATAAGCCAGTCCAAATGCCGTTCCCGTGAAGATCAGGAAGAGAGCTTCAGCCATTTGTCCAAATCGCTGGCCCGGGTACCCGAAGACCGTGACCATGGCTCCAAGGTAGGTTGAGGAGCCCAGTACTTGAATGACTGCGGGAATGAGCCCGAGAGCCCACATGATAGCAATGCATAGTGTGTTTTTTAAAATGCGCTGCCAGAGATGGCCTTTCTGGAGGTTCTCCGAGACAGATGACCACCACCGCCTGCACCTCTTTCTAGAGCTCTTGGCCAGTCTTGCCATGGCCGGTCTTGTCGATTTTCCGAGTTGTACTCGGGGACTGAGGAGCATCTCAAGCGAGTCATGGCCGGGTATCTTGATATCGGACAGACGCAAGCCCCATGCTCGGAAGCGGGCGTGTTTTCTTGATCGCACATTGTCACTGCCAAATTAAGTTCAGTTGTAGCTCAACGTTTATCCCTGTAGCGCCCGAAAGAAGCCCCAGTCCTGCCAGTTGCTCGGATGGAGCTCTTTCCTTTCAGCAACGGCAGTCGGCGGTGGGCAGTGCTAACTCATTAGCGGGTAAGCGGACACCCTTTCCATTCCATCATCCCATTAAGTTACACTAAGTTTACAGTACAGCACAACACAGCACGATATGTGTGATCTCACCTCTTCTCTCAATACTCGGTATGTCCTAGGTTTCGCGACACTTGCCCTGCCATGTCCCCTGTCGTCATTTATGATCACTATGGTAGTTCGGGTTTCCCGCGGCCATGCAGGAGATAACTGCCCCCGTATAAGTACTTGGTAGCTCAAGCATATGAGTACGTAATCCCGGCTCCCATGCAAGCAGCCGAGACTGCCCCGCGCATGACGCAGCCCTGGAGTCCTGCCAGGTCCTGTAACCGGTGCCAGTTCTGCCAGTGAAGCGGGAGTACTGGAGCCTTGGGCTGGGATCCCAGCTCATTTTTTGGTCTCCTTAGCGACACGACAGCTGCCTCCAGCTCCCAGCTCCAACGCGGGGCACTCTCCATTCGACGCATCGCGCATCGTAATCTTGACCTCAGTCTTTATGACGACGATTGTACAGGCGCTTTGTTTCTAGACGGCTACAAAACACTCAAAGATCTTCAGCATCGCACGCAGTCATGCCTCCTCAAGCGACCCTCTCGGTATGGTGTTCGTTTACTTACGCTACATGTTGTCTCAGGCAGGCTAATGCAAGCGCAGACCAAGATCAAGGTCCAGTTGAAGCTCTCCATCGCACGATTGCGCATGGTCCAGCAGCGCGATGAGGCTTTGTCTAAAACGCATAGAAGGGCCATGGCCCAGCTGTTAGAAGTAGGGAAGATCGATTCGGCCAAAATACGCGTTGAGAACATCATCCGATCCGACATTACCATCGAGCTATACGAGATTCTCGAACTATACTGCGAGTTGTTACTGGCCCGCGCCGGACTGTTGGATGCCTCGACGTGTGACCCGGGTCTAGAAGAAGCTGTCAAGAGCATTATATACGCTGCCCCCAAGACCGAAATCAAGGAGCTACAGCAAGTTCGTGCACTTCTGGCGGAGAAGTTCGGCAAGGAGTTTGCTCTAGCTGCCATCGAGAACTCGGATGGCAGAGTGTCTGAAAAGGTGGTCAAGAAATTGAGTGTCACACCACCGAAGGACGAGCTCGTACAGGGATACTTAGAAGAGATCGCCAGGGCATACGGGGTGGACTGGCCCAAGCGCTCCAAAGATTTGGGAGACCCTCCTGGATTCGTAGACGACGATGCCGACCACCCAAGTGGAGGACAAGCCCAGAAAATACTAGAGCCAGAACTTCCAGCAGACAGCAAGGCCGCTCAAGAAAGAGAAGACCTCAGCAGAGCGACGCCGCCACGAGATTTTGACAACACTTTGCATATTACACCGTCAAGCCCGTCGTCTGAGAATCCCAGACCAAAGGTAACACTCAATCATATGGATCTGAAACCCAATAAGAAAATGCAAGACGCTGGTATTGCAAGGAAGAGGGAAGATAAGAATGATGGGCCTGGGGGCAGTGTGCCGGATGTCAATGAGCTAGCAGCAAGATTCGCTGCTCTCAAACGCTTTTGACCAGAGGCAAGAGCTTGAAACTACATATTGAAGCATCTCTTAGCGCTCAAACCGTGTTTTTCTCTCTCCATGTCCGCTCTGTCCGCTCTAAGCCTAACTTCGTTCACGATTTTCTACGTGAACACATTCAAGGTCCCTACCATCACTATCGTCACCCATATACTACACACTCTCATTCTATCGGATAGGATGTGCACACGGTCATTGTTTTATTGTGCTGCTGATATTCCAGGGTCTGCCTCTGGCCAAGAAAAGCAACATTACTTCCGAGTATAAGCAAGGATTGTTGGCTTGGCTTCCTAGCATACTCGTGACGAGGGACTCTTCATGTACTCCACACATGTCTACATAAAATCGGATGTGGCCGGAGGAGCAAGAGTGCCAATTAGAAACAAATTTGAGACTGGCTTGGGGAGGAGTATTTTGTGCTTAGTGGAGTGAGACGGATATCTTAAAGAAAGCTTCAGAAATGTTCCTTTGAAGAAAAACGTTTGAACATTGAAGGGCATGGTTCATGATATCAAGGCGAGGTGAGTTTCGCGATCTGTATATCGGATCATGTTTCATTGCTATCAAGACACCATGCGATAGGATTCTGCGAATTTAATACCTGAACGGTTGTCAGGGAATGGTTATTACGAGATTTACAACCTCTTGGACACCTATCATTATTGAGATGTTAAGGGTCATACACTTATTCCTGTATAATACTTTCCATTCATGTGGATGATTTCAGGTCATCCACTAAGTATATACTATTTATGATAGGCAGTGCATGGCGTACGCGCTCCTGCGTGCACCACTAGAGTAACTATGGAATAAATGGAATAACTAATGATGTAACAGTGTATTGCACTTTCCATTGTTCCAAGCAAGACGCGTTTGCTTGGCCATCGCTAGTGCCTAGACCTGAATAACAGATCTGCACCTTGACCAAGCAAACGGATATCGAACAACATTCAAAGACATCAAACAAACGGAACTATAATCCCTTACTCCCTCTACAAGTCTAATTCTTGCATTTGATCGGCGACCATCACTCGATCGGCGATCATCAGTCGAGATGGACTTGTCTCGGAACTTGGAGATTCTTGCTATCAAGAATTTAGACAAGACTCATCTAGCAGATCTTGAGGCCAGAGTTGATGGCAGTATTATTGGCACGTCGTTCTCTGAGCAAGATGTCCTCAATACGTACTTGGGATGGCTAGGTGAGCAACTTGTTCAAGATGCCTTCTTCCAGCAAGATTCCCTTGTTGAGGCCTGGACCAAGTCTCTCTACCATCGCGGGTTTGACAAGAAACATATTCATCAATCGTTCAAACAATGGCAGCGACGCGAAGCATTGCGAGATCCCTCCACCCTCCGAAGATTATTAATGGCTGAGCAGGAACTATGTGATCTTCTGGACAATATGGTCTCAAGAGACAGTACTGGCTTTCTTGAGGCCCAAGATCGCCACACCTCATACCAGAAAGAAAACAAACCACCTCATCCGGAAAAGGGCAGAAGCAAGAGCAAGAAGCTAGCCACAAAGGAAAGAAGTCGTTCCGAGGATCGTCGGGTGGGCAAACAACGTACTGGTGCCAATGATATTCCAGTCACAACACGTCGCCAGCTAGGACCACCTGCAGCAAAGGAAGAGATCATCGAGATCGAGTTAGATAACACAAGTGAGACAGGTAACCGCTCCAATTCTGTCACACCGAACGTCCTCGGAACCCAAGGAGTGTCTGGCTTGCCTTGTAACTCGGAAGATCTTATGATCACGCGCAAGACGATTCTGATCGACACAGCTCCCAGGAAGGCCTCCCATGGCCTCTACTTGGGAGATACGCCGCGTGAACGGATCGACCATAGAGGCGATTACATCTCGACAGTGAGATATAGTGTCCTACAGAAGACCCCTCCGGGTATGGATTATATTTGCAAACGCTGTGGTCAGAAAGGCAAGAAAGAGTGTCTTTGATGTACTATCTCAGTAGTTGGCTAACAATAGCCCAGGCCATTGGGTGCATCTCTGCCCAACCAATTTGGATCCAAGTTTTGATGTGCCTCCCGCCAAGAATTATCGATGCATCTATTGTCAACGCCTTGGTGATCATTTTGCAACGCTGTGTCCCCACAACGAGCATGAGTGGTCTCTGACGCAGCAGCGAAAGCACGCCTCTCTTTCAACAACCCCCAAGCGGTCTCAGGATCGTGGTCGATCACCCCGAAGTGGTGGAGGCAGTAGCAACACATACCGACCGAAAGATGTGCCTCCTCGATCTTCGTACGAAGCGGCAGATAAGTTCCGCCCGCAATATCGGGATAATCGGTCTCGTTCTCCACCACATTCAGCATCTGATGAGACAATTCCACTCTCTCCATTACACGACAAGAAAAAATCAAAGCGCCCAAGCAAACGGACCAGAGCACGCCGCGCTGCTCGACGCCGTCTTGAGGAGACATTCAAGGGCAAAAAAGCACACACTCCTCATCCGGTGCATTATGCCCCGGCTGATTATGAGGGCAGACTGTTTTATGATGATTGTAATGAAGAAGACCCTTTCATCACCATCACTGACGCACCTGCTGTTGGCAACGTAAAAGTCCAAACACCGCACACAGCCGCCAATGAACCGCCCTTTTGGGAGCCCAGCCCTGAATGCAGTGTCAAAGCTGCAGCCGAAGCCAATGACTTTCTGCAGAATCTTCAGGAGCAGATCCGAGACGACATGGTCGAGGCAGCATGCTCTCGTGTATTGGACGAGATCGTGGACGAAGTATGCGGTGAGGAAGATGCTCTGCTTTTCAAAGATGGTAACAACGTCCTTTGCAAGAAGGTCACGAGCCCTCCCTTTTACGAAGAGGTGGTTCGCCTGTTTGCCAAGCGCCCAAACCCGGTTGTTTGTCCGCGCCCTAGGCGTGCTCTAGTGTTGGAATTTTGGGAGGACACTGTGAAGGAAGAATTCTAGGCAATAAGACCAAGCAAGGTGACCAGCACCACACCTTATGATGCTCTGGAATTCACGCACAATGTCAACTCGTTGCTCCGCGTGAACCTGCTTGAGACCAACAAGGCGGCAGCTTGTGCATTGTTGTGCACAAAATGCCTTTCTTTGGGCCAGATGATCGTGCTTGGGCACCCACCTTGGTTGAGAGGATGATTCCTGGGTAATCGAGGTTATGTTCATATCATGGCGGTTTGTAGCCCAGCATTATATGTCTCTCTTGTTGGAATGCTCAATGAGATATCGATGACTTTCTAGAGTGGTGTCCGTCTCGCATGTTTTTGAAACCTTTGTCGTCCAGCTGCATCATATAACGCCAAACGCCGTGCAAATGCCATTAATGTATCACAAATTCGTCTTGTGCCATTCTCCCCCGTCTATTCAAGCTTATCCAGATGCTCCAGCCTCGTCAGCACGACCTGTTTGCTCGTCTCCTCGATCTCGCCGGCCAAGAAGACCTCGTCGAGGATGGCGTAGACCTTGTAGAAGTTGAAGACCAGGTCCAGCTCGCAGACATTGCCGAAGAAGGAGTCGAGCACCTCGACGAAGAAGTGGATGGCCTCGAGATAGGCCAGCTCGTTGTCGTTTGTGTCGACGCACGCGCAGAAGAAGAGCCCTGCGTATCGCCGGTACACGATCTTGTTGTTCCGGAACTCGACGAAGTTGGACTGGTATTTCTGGTCGCGCGGCGCCACGAGTCGGTGCACCTGCGAAAGGAAACAAGCATGTTCAGTCAGCATTGAGACAGACGGGAGGATATGTATCTACGTAGCATGGCATGGCATGGCATGCATAGCATCACGCGCCACCATAAGCGGGTGGGCCGGCATTCCTTTTGAATGATGGATGGGTGGACAGGAGTAGTAGCCATACCTCGCCTTTAAGCTTGATCTTCTCGTCGTCGCTGTACGGCACATACCATTTCGCTAGTCTGGTCTTGCCTCTAAGTTTGTCCGAGTTAGCTGTCGCAATGGCAATGGCAATTGCTGCTTGTGTCTGGATGGGGCACTGACTGTCGGTTTTGGATCAATATGAACGACAACATCTTGCCTGAGGTGCTGCGATGCGATGCGATGCGCTTTTGCAGCAGGAGCTCAGGAGTTTGATATATTTATGGTACGAGTAGGTAGCTTGCGGTTGGGGATATCGCCATTCAAGCGTAGTCTAACCTAGGGGACCTTCGACGTTAGTGGAAAGGTGTTGGCGCTGACTTCCACTATGCATTCGTTGAGCTCCAATCTCCGGCTATCTCCGGAAAGGATGGCTCACAGCACATGAGCGCTGTTGCTTCCTGCAACATACAGCATCGTTCTAGCATATTTGAGACAGTGTTTCGATGATCAGTGAGGTCTTTATTTAATTCTTATGTGTACATTCTTGACTGAACTTGCTCTCCGAGGGGATATTAAAAGAAGGTCAAGCGATGTCTGAAATGTCAAATTTCTGACCAACGAGCTCTTCGCTCAGCACCCAGCATTTCTCTGCAAGTTCTGGGTCTGTCGCCCATTCCTTAACCAGTCTGGTATCCGTCGTAAGATTCGTGTCCTCCAGGTAGACACCATCTTGATTGACCAAGTCCGGATCCAGTGCCGCTCGAAGCGTCGTTGCACAACCCTGCTGGAGTGTCTTTAGAGGGCGCGTCTCTCTGTATTTCGCCATCGACATACCCAGAATGCGCCAGCAGCCATCGTCCCACATATGTGCAGTGGCAGCACTCGGTACCATATGTGCCTGCAGGTTTGTGCTGATGCTTCCTGGATTCAACGCATATGCTTTAATGCCGCGAGATGCGAGTCGCTGGTTCAGAGCAACAGCGAATAGGATCATGGCAGACTTGGATGATCCATAGGCACCGACCTCATGGTACGACCCAGGCGTATCGTAGTTGGGGTCAAAGAAACGGAAGGGGTTGAAGCGATGTCCATTGCTGCTAACAAACACTACTCGTGCTCCCGACCCCGCAGCCATGATCTTGGGCATAATCGTGTTGGTGAGGGCAAAGTGGCCTAGATGGTTGGCCGCCAACTGAAGCTCGAAGCCGTCTTCGGTCTTCTGATAAGGGCATGCCATCACGGCAGCGTTGTTGATGACGACGTCAATGTGGTCAATTTCTTCGTCGGCCAAAATCGTTTGTGCTGCTTTTCTTGTGCTTCGGAGGGAAGCGAGGTCTAGCTCGATGTACTTGACATTGACACTGCTATTGATTTGCTTGATTGAGTCGATGATGGGCTGGATCTTCTCGAGCGAACGCCCAAGCAGTATAATTATTGCTGGTCCGCCATGGGCCAACGAGATTGCTGTCTCAGCACCGATGCCTCCTTTACTAGGTCCCGTCAACAGAACTTCGACGATGTCAGCCTCATGAATCAATTCAGTTGCAATATATATGCTTACAGGTTTTGCCTCTGACATGATCAACATAGTCTTGCACGAGAGTCAGACCCTCTGTATATTGGTCGTACTTAGTAGTCATTGCTTTAGGAGAGTAATCACACATAAGTGATCTAAAAAGCCGTGAAAGGTTTCCAAACGACCGTTCTTATATATTCATTGGCTGCTTGTCATCGTCTGGGTGCTTACAAGTTCCCCGTCCCTAGCAACACATCGGTCGACCTTATGATAGTCCCGTAAAGGCCGAGTTCTTGCATCGTGAGCGGCAGAAACTCCGGACTAAGAGACACGTCCAGCGGACATTCGGCGAGACTATACAAGGTCTTACAACATCACATGCCTATCATCTCCATAAGTCTCCGGGATAAGTATCCGGGTTAAATCTGACAGAATGTGTATTGCTCCAATAGAGGGTGGCGTTGTCTTTCTTGCAGGTTCAGGTGCGCACGGTTTTAATCGGTCACCAAAGTCCGAGACGCACATTAGCGTGGCGGATGGTCATCCCGTTGGCCATCTTGTTTTGGAAAACAAATACAGTTGCAACAACGCCTCATATTTATGACCTTTAGAATCGAACCCAAGTGCTATGGATCCAAGACTGTTTTGGAATTGGGATCGACCAGTTTGGGGACGGGGGTGACACTGAACCGCAAAACCACAGTTGGGAGTTTTTACTTGTCCGTCTTTCTCGAATCAGTAAAAGCAGGTTCAGCTTCATCAGCATAAAGTCCCATTTTATCTAAAGATTCATTTCGAAATACCACAGATTCATTTATAAGCATGGGTCGCAGTCTATGACAAGACAAAAGAAAATGTAGGCGTTCGTATTGGATAGAGGCGATGTTTGATACGTGGCGCAGTGAGTACAGTACCATTTTAGCTGTGGCGCAAGCGCAGTGAGCACGACCCTTTCGCTCAAGCAGAACCATCGAGACAAATCAAACTTCATTCCAGACTCTTGTCAATTTACTCAAACGGCCAGATCTTCGTTTACTGCATTGATTTCAAATTCCTTGAGCATTTGGAGAATATATAAGTCAATAATTCCTCCGCCTTGCGCAGTCTCTCATCAACGAGTAATCGCGACAAATCTGCCATAATAGCGACGAGGTTGGGAGTGGCAGTATGATCATAAGCCCGAGGATCATAGGCATACAAGCATACTGTTCACTCGAGGCTCGGTAATTGCTTAAAGTGTGTGTTAAATCAGAGTATTTGCAGTCTATAAAAGGGCAGTATTGTGCAAATTCAAGGTACCGCGGTCAGGCAGCCCCACGACACCAAGACATTCCCAGCTGGTACGCGAAGGGGGTCAATTTAAAGGGGCACGGCGGCTTGACGCTGCGCATCAAGCAACGATTGCGAGCCTTACTGGTACCCTACACCATCTGAGCTGCAAAACAAAGAACTTCTCCTACCTGCTTTCAGAGAGTCCAACCACATACCATTCATTGTCGAGCGGCGAAGAGCACTTCGCACCAGCTGAAGCACTGGGACCCCGAGCGCTCTTACAGTCTTTTCAGTGAACAACATGAACACTGTCACTGCATCAGGTGGGCAGCCTAATGGCTCAAAGCTTGTGTTCGAAATTGCCCTAGACCCGTCTTGTAGTGATGGGAAGCAATGGGCGGAAGAGCAATGCAAGGGAGCGGAACGGCTCGATCCAGACGCCTCTGAGTTTGAGAAACGCAAGTATCAAGAGTATTTGCTCAAGCTTGGTAGCCTCCTACGGAACGAGTTCATGGTCCCGAAAGATCGAGCAGCACGAGGTAAAGCCAAGACAGGTGGATTATGAGTTTCAACTTTGAGCACTGTTAACCCACGATAGGTCGCAATTATATCCTGAAGCAACTACCACAGCACTATCATATTCGAAGAAAAGCCAGTGAGTCCAGTTATCAGTCAATTGATGGACCTCACTAATTCTCAATAGGGTCCAAGGTTGAGAAAGACAAGAAGGAGAAGTACGACTTCTATATCTATGGACATCCTACTAGCGATAGGAGCGGTAACCCTCGAAGTTACGCATCGCCCAACGAGTTTTTTCATCACCTTATATGGCTCATTGGTGGTTCTGGCGATACCGGCAATTGTGCTTGCAAGCTATGCAATAAGAGCGCCAAGCACGAGCCGGAATCACTAAAGGCTAGAATTACTGCTGCATCAGTGACCGTTCTGGCAAACACCCCTTCTGCTGCCCAGACTCCTCCGACTGCGGCGCCGTCCGGCACATCACCTGCCTTGCAGGCGACTTCAATGAGGAGGACTACATCCACCTCATCGGCAACGGCAAGACCGACTGCGGTTCAGAAACCATCAGTTCAGTCGCTCGGAGCTCCTACCGTCTCTCAGCCGCAAGCAGTCCAGTCGCTTGGAGCTCCTGCTGTCTCTCATACGCAAGCAGTTCAGTCGCTCGGAGCTCCTACTGTCCCTCATACGCAAGCAGTTCAGTCGCTTGGAGCTCCTGCCGTCCCTCATACGCAAGCAGTTCAGTCGCTCGGAGCTCCTGCCGTCCCTCATACGCAAGCAGTTCAGTCGCTCGGAGCTCCTGCCATTGCTCAGACACAAGCAGCAGCCGTAGCACCACATCCGGCGGCACTTGCAGCTGCTTTTCCGGCATCGTTCTCATCTACGGCTCCCAGTCAGACTCAAGCACCTGCATTGGTGGACGAGCCGGTCATATTTCGAGAAGGCGAGGTTGTGTGGTACAAACACAACAACGCCTGGAGGATTGGTGTCGTTCTCAAGCTCGTCACCTCTGATGATACTCCTCAGACTCAAGCAAAGTGCCTTGTCAAGCCGTTGGCACATGCAGCATTGCAAATTGAGTCTGTGCTGAAAGTTGAAACTGATTTGAGACCGTTTCTAGCATTCAGCGTTCCTCCAGGTATGTTCCGTCTCTCATGGGTCTCCGTTGCCAGTCTAGAGTTGTCCGGGCTATGAGCTAACTAAAACCTAGTCAATATGAAAGAACTTCAGAACGTTAGAATGAGCCAAGTAGATTGGGCAAGGATTCAAGCACAGTATGCCGGAGCAGACCGCCAGAAACAAGAGATAGTGGGTTTAGAGGCGTCTAAGAAAGCCGTTGTAGAAATTGACAAGTCGTATTCGACCTTCAACGCTTTCCCACTCAATCCCGCAGAGCCGACAAAGCAAAGAGTTGGCGGGATATTCCTTGGCGCTGAGCGAATTGCCATCAACGAAGCTGTCCGGATTCGATTGGCACCAGAGGAAATTGACGCCACGTGGATCAAGGGCTTACCCATTGTCATGGTCGCACGAGACATCTATATCACTTCGGACAGTCTACATTTCTCGGGAGATATATATCGTCTCGAAGAGACTGCCAACCAGCAATTGCCTTCCGAGCAAGGACAATTGCCAGCCGCAATGCTTCAAGAACAACAGTTCCGTAATGCAGTCAACAAGCGCCCTGGGTCTCACTTCCGCTGGGTTCTAGTGCAGCAGAACAAAGACAAGCCCGAAGCAGTCATCCGAGGCAGATTCTACGAAAGCTCGAAACTCATGCCGATCCTCGATCGGGAGCGTTTCCAGGCAGCCCTAAGCAGGGGTGTGGTAGAAGATGCTGGCACTTATCTGAACAATCGGCTGGATAGTGCTGGCAACTATATTGGTCGCTGCAAGAACCGCATAGAGGCGCTGTCGACATCGGTACCGGCAGGCTTCTCCTTGAGTCTTGGTCAAGGTATTGTGGAGGACTAGTCATGACACACGGGATGTGTTGTTCTGTTATGTTATGCGAGGAATCCATATGACTGTGCAAGCGAATAATGGAAGGATATGAACTAGGAGAGGAACTGTATGAGTGCATGCTAGACATTGCTCTGTCATGTGGATATAAGTAGTTCCTTGGCAATCTGAGGATAGAGTAGGCATTGACTTTTCTCTATGTCGCCCTTAGCCAAAACATCTGTACAATCGTCACTTCGATTCTTACATGGCTGTCTTTATTTATGGTTTCTATGAAAATCCTAAGTGATGTAAACATCGACTTCGTATAGTCGACTGGACTGGCCGCCTTCTCCTTGACTTCAAACTTCCCAACAGGCCCCAATGCTTACGAATAGCATCTTGGTTATGAGGAGGCTATTCTATACGATAAGGATACTTGTTTCTCTTGCACTTCTTCCTGGGTTTGGACTGCCACACACCAAAAATGACTGGTAGAGGCGGGAAATTTATATGCATCGTTCCCTTGACATAATATCATGGTAAGTGGACAATTGGCGGGCACAAAAGTTCACGATGGTTATAGCTGTCTACCGGGTGAACCTTACTGGTACAACACGGGGTAATTCAAAATATCTACCGGCTTTCGACGTTATTACAAGAGGAGGTTAGTATTACGATACGGGATACAGCTGGTAGCCATAGTCACCCACTGGTAGACGTTTGCGTTACATGGTTGCGTGAACTTTTGTATGCATAGCTTCGTGTGTTAGCGGTGAAGTAGTCATAAGATTAGCCCTTTCTCTGGTTTACAAGCCATCATGAATACATTAGCCTCACTGAGCTGCTGGGACGACCAAACGTCCCTGTAAGGTGTGCTGCCGTTTCTCAAATACGTACTTCGAGTCACCTTTCTGCTTGTCTGGGCTAGAAAAAAGCCTCTCATCTCCACGTTTGTATTCGTCTCTGCGAGTTTCCCAAGAGTTCCCGAAGATGCCCTCGGTTCACAAAGTTAGCAGGTTACTTATCCCGATAAATTGAGAAACTTGTGCCGAGAAGCATCATAAAAGCCTTTACAGTAGCTCTTGCATTGATTGACACAGCCGCTTGCCTTCCGTCAGGTACTCCCTGGTGCCAGACGGAGGCTGCAAACCCAATGTATACCGGTAATTCATGAAATCCGTGGCAAATGTATAAACGGATCTAACTCTTCCAGCACCTTTTGCGGTGCGTCACACGCTCAGCTGACTGTGTAGTCGCGTCCGTGTCGAAAATATGAAAAAAAAAAAAAAATTTTATGCCGACAACCGGATCGAACCAAATAAGGGCAAACTTTGATTACATTCAACCAAGTGGCATGATCGTGAGCATCTTATTTTGTGTTTCCACGTGTGCGCCGTATGTCAACACACCCCGGCAACCTAGCAACGTGGCACTCAATAATGCAACCCCATCATCAATGGGTCAGGTCAATGGTGAACCCCAATTTGAAGGCAGCTGCCAGGCGTTCTTCTAGCTTCAAAATAGTCTGAAATAGCTTGAGAGCTTAGTCCAGAACCCAGTTTGCTGCGATCCGGCCAGTATCGTGAACTTGTGTTACACGAGGTTTTCCCAATGCCAATCTCTTGCAGCAGTTGTTCATCATCGCTACTAGCACCGATTTACGGTGGGAAATACTAGGACGAAACGAGATCGCAAAATATCAGAGGTGAGCCTAATATATGGTGCAAGGTAGAATAGAGTTCAATCAACAAGACAACAGGGACAGCGGCGTGCTTTCAGCAAATATTCCAGGCTCCCGGGTTTCTGTAGAAACCGGTAAGCTGGCAGGCATGCAACAAGCCCAGTCGTGTGGAACCGTAAGCAAGCCGTCAACGTCAGCATCCAACAGGTTGGGCCCATCACGCGGAGAAGGCGGGAAGCTTAATGATTGGATGCTTGCCAGCGGCAATTGAAAAGGCGGGAATGCATGATGCTGGTGGCTTTCTTCAGTTTGGCTGACAGCGGAGAAGAAGAGGTGAGGCCCAGGTTGCTGTTCAAGATGGGGAATGGTTGAGGGCTGGTCGAGCTCAACCCTCCGTGTGCATAGAGCCCCGACGGGAACTACAGGACAATGAGTCTTTCGATGCATAAGCTGTATCACAACCCAATGCAGTATTCAGCTTTGGGGCTTGCGCAGCTGATTAATCGCACATGATCTGATAGATTAGAAGCGGTGAATATATCATGTTTCTGGTTCTCGAAGGAATCATGTTGCCAGAGGAGCTGAACACTAAACTGACATTTGATCTGCCCAGCGATGCCGAAAGTGCCGTGCAGCACCTTTCATAAGCTCGTTCGCACGTAAGAAAGCACCAAACCACCAGTGGCTGCTCCCAATAAACATAGCGTGAAGAACATTTCGTTCCTTGGCGGGTTTTCACAACAAGAATGGCTCATCCCTGGATTGTGGGAAGGAGTTTGTTAAGGCCGAAAGAACCTCGAACCCGTCTGCCACCAGTTGCGCCAACCCACTGGCACACTACTGTTGTGCTTATTTTTGCATACGGGGCTTCGATGCACAGGGATCAAGCGTTCCAGCGAGTTGGGCCCAATGGCTCAGTGGCTTGCCTCGAACCCAATTCGATTGGTTGGTGCTGTAGACCGCAAGTGGGACGGAAGCGCTTCCGTCTCACACATTGCCAGCGTCTGGATTTCATCAGGCTTCGAACGGCATGTTTCTTCCGACGATGTTTCAACGGAAGCATGCATATTGCCCTGGTGAGTTTTAATTCTTGACATGTGTTCTCATGGTGTTCTCGAACGCAACCTGACGGCCGTGCCCGTTACTGTACATACTGCCTATAACCCCAGAGTCGGAGTCTTTACATAGTGCCGTCCTTACCCATGCTCAACGGGTGAGTTTCAAAGAAACGTAACATTCAAAGTGGCTCTATCGAGAAACCCTGGTCGGCGGCAATTGTTGCTGCTGTCGAGATCTATGGATCAGCAGAGTATGACGAACTCGCGAGATGCGTTAAGAGCTGCGAAGTTGTTATGAGCAGATAGATGATTGCTTGGTTGGGTTTCCAGACGATGCCTGATATGCCCCCTTCCCGCGGCTGTCCGACAATGACAGATGCGTCACTCGTAACGAGGGATTTGGACCAATTCTGTGCAGAGCCTCACCTCAGTTCACGAACAATTTTTCAGATGCTGGTACAGGGGGGGGGGGGGGACAGGGATGAATGAATTCGGATATGCCAAATTTATTTTGCTTTTCCGCATACCTCGGCCGCCGCCAAATAGAGGCGTGCGTTACAGTTTATCAACAATCGTCCTGAGATTATTCAGCATCGAAGTTATGTATACGAGTATTGTACGATAGTACGGCATCCCCCTCAAGTTTTCCGTGGATGCACGAGCGTTCCTCGAAGAATCTACATACCGAGCTTTGTGCGTGCCAAGGTTAGATAAGTTTTCTTCTCAACTGTGATCCGTATCGTATCTTCAGATTGCAGAGGTCGTGATTTGTTTCGTCTGAAACGTACCGGTTACCTGGGACCGTAGATCTGATCCATCCCCGTTCCCTACAATGCACCCACGACGTGGCGCGGTCAAATTGTGGGATTATCTACATATGTAGCCGAGCTTTAATGGAGGTCAAAGGCGTACATAGCACTGCGTGTATGTGACCACCAATTCGAAGATATCCCTGAGTGTTGATGTCATTGGCCATGGCATTCGTTGATTGTGACATGTATGTATTATATATGTAGCAATCTCGGGATTTGCGACCGCGGGCAATTGTTGGCCATCTTGAATTGAAGCCTTTTGGTTCCAGGCCTATGGTTCGCCCGTGCTCTCGGCTCATGGATATTGGGGAATAAAAGGTTCGCGGGACACTTTTGAGACTTTCCACTTGAGTGGGGCAGGGGCAGGGGACAGCCGGATGAGTGTCCTAGGATGCTGTAAATCATCGTACGACTGGGAGACCGCAATGTTACTGCATGCATCATGACACAACACTCGCTGCATTTAATTTCCAGGGAAACAATGAAAGCGTTTCATCGCATCGCCATCGCCCTCTTGGGAGCGAGCGCGATTGCATGAGAGCTGCAGATCAGGTCGAGGTGCAGCTAGTGGTAGCAGTTGGCTCTGCATCTGCGAGTGAGTACAAGTATCTTATGCCGTTTTGGCAGGTCCGGCCGTTCGAGGAAATGACTGTCCGATGTCTGGATACGCCTGGGATTGAGCGATTGGCATTGGTCCCATCAGTCAAGAGACAATTCTGCATCAGTGCTTCGCAGCCCCGCTACATATGTTAGTCGAACCCAAGGGGCTGGCACCGGGATAGCAGCAAGGCCTCTTTTCTTTCCTCGTCTTTATTTTATTTTACATACGCATCAGGCGGGAAATAGACAATTCAATGCATGCAGGATGAAAGGCCCCCATTACTGTAATAACCTGCACCCAGCAATGACTTGACTACGGTGCGCTTAGCCTGGGCCTCGACTGACTCGCAGCGACTACTGCACGAGCACAAACAGCACAAGTGTGCCAGTGTCGTGTCGTCGCTAAGCCTACGGAGTCCTACTGCAGTTGGCTAGGGCCCCCTAAATCAAGGTACCCGACTGAATGTTCAGTACTTTCGCAAGCTCCATCATTCCCGTCCACCCGCCGCCCGGGGTCTTGGTTCGCATACCAATTCGTTCCCACCATCCTGGAGACTGGAGACTGGAAACTGGAGACTGGACTGGAGTTGGGGTTCGAAGGCCATGTATGTATGTATGTACTTTACTAACCGGTTAGGTTAGGTTAGGTTGATGTACTTACTATTGTACCCGCGGCAGGATGGCTCTGGCTCCCTAATAAAGAGAATTGCCTTCTCCCACATGAGGCCCCCGATCCCTGTAGTGTCACTACTTACTGCATTACCCCGTCCACCCACCCAGCCGGTCGGTTCTCTTTCCTCCCGTCTAGCTTTTCCAACAACTACAAACTTAATTCTCAAGACGCAAAACCTACACTCTTTAAGCTCCAAGTTGACGTTGGAACCTTCACATCGATCTAGGATAATGACCAGATACTGAGAACGCCGCATTCTGAGTCCAAGAGTCGGGCGATTTCCACTTCCAACTCGCAACAAGCACTCTCATCCGAACGAACATATCTTGGCATAGCGGATAATTACGAGCAGCGCCAGGTGTGAGATTGCGGTTTTAACTTTGGGCTTATGACTTCCGCATGCCTTCGTCACACAGCAATATTAAAGTGATAGCTTGCGCCCTATATCCTACAACATCTTCCGACTATCTAAGAGTTTCATATTTGTCCTGAAACTGGGGTCTAAATCGCGTGCAGAGTCAGCAATTGCGTGCAGAAGAAACACGTTAAGGACTTCGTTGCTTCCCTTCAAGACAAAATAGTATAAAACTCCCTCTTCCCGGTCCCGAATACCTCGGGAGAAAAGAAGAAGAAAGTCGGTGAAGATGAGCTCTTTCAGCAGGAGAAGGACCAGCGATGGAGAGGGGAAGGAAGGAAAGGATAGGAAAGGACTGCTCACTCGATGGAAGTCTATCTTGAAAAAGTCGGGCGAGCCCTCCTCAAAAAAGCAGTCTGTGATGTTCGAGACAGAAGCACCGGAAGTGGACGAGGCTATAGAATCCAGGTATGTCACTTTTGCATATATGCGTTGAGCATGATCTTGCCAGTTCATGATACTAACTATTGGCAGCTACGGGCTTCCCTCCGAGGTGCCTACCACTGATCATTCACAATATGAAAACGTAACAAGAGTATCGAGGGCACAAATATACGACGAACGCGCCAGGAGACTTGGTAGTAGCTACGGAGTAGAAATTGCGCCTAGCGAATGGCAATCTGTTGAGGGCGACGTCTACCGGGTCGAGAAGCCTGTGCGCGTTCGTGTTCACCGAAACTGCCATAGATGTCAGACTTCTTTCGGAACCAGCAATTCATGTCCCAATTGCGCCCACCACTTCTGTTCCAAGTGTGGACGCTCTCCGTCTAAACAGAGTGGGTCTCGGAAGAAGGAATCCAGCCACGGAGCCCAGGAAGAGGCATCCCAAAAACAAGACGAGTTTGCCGCCATCGTTCCGCACTATGGTATGGCGGAGCCAATTGTAGTGACGCGACCAAGCAAGACCGGAGGACAACCATTGGTACACAAACAGACTCGCATGAGGATTCGCAGGAATTGCCATCGGTGTAACACTACCTTTACTTCGAGTACTCGTGTATGCCAATCTTGTGGCCACAGGAGATGTGACGATTGCCCCAAGAACACGTAAGTGGACATCACAAACTCATTGTCCTGAGCATCAACTAAATTATCTCGGCAGACGGAAAACAAAGAAGTATCCTTATGGATACCCGGGTGACGTGCCCGGTGAAAGCTCACCAGCATTCTACGAGTGCCATGAATGTGAAGAGATATTTCCGCCAGATGCTGAGAATGGTGTTGCATGTGAGAACTGTGCTCATCAAAAGTGTTCTGGCTGCCCGAGGGCTCGGCGTAGAAGGGTAGAGCCCGGGGCCGATCCTGATGTGCTACGAAGCATATCCAGTCGTTTCGAACAGCTTGAGCTGAGCTGAGCTGAGCTGATTTGTCCTTTTTTTTCTCCCCTTTTTTCTTCCTTTTTTTTTTTTTTTTTTTTTTTGATGACCCGTTGGATTTTTGCATCGAGCGACGGACCTTTGTTTGAAAACGCATCATGTCATTTACATATGCATCTTATATCCTTTGATTTTGCCTTGAATACCCGGGCACTGGCCACAAAATGAGAATTTGATACTAGACAGCCCAACATTCCATTATAGAGTATCAGCACTGTAGGCGTGATGCTTCAATGGCTGCTATTATGTGAAACAATTTTCGAAAGTGCTGAATTGATGGTTTCCTTACACTTGGCATTGGCACCGCTCTGGGTGTTTATCATCCTTACAAACGCCAGAATATGAATGCTTATTAGTACGAGCTGAAGCGACCTGTGAAAAGCTTTCCACTCGGGCTATTTCTGCTGTTGGCCTCTTAGCTGCTCAATCTGTTTATGTAGCCATTAAATTCAATGTTAGACAGCACGCTGAATCTGGCGCCACCACGTTACATTGCATGCCCAAAGGCACTGTTTCCACCCGAGTGACTGGTTCCGGTGCATTGGTGATTGTGGAAATGGCCTACAGTGGAAGAAATATGCTCCTTTCGGAAGAGCCCTACACACTATCGACTGCATGGATACGTGACACGGCCGGCACTTCGGTTGCCTTGGATCTCTTTCAGTTGCTCTCATGACATGGATAACAATAACGGTAGTCGCTCAATTCAGCGCTTTGAACGATAATATTACCAAATCCGAGATCGCTTGAATGCATTCTTTCTCACGCCACATATCCGGGGATTAGGGACGTACAACATGTCTCAGATGTCTCAGATGCCGCGGCATGAGAAGCATGACATAACCTAAAGCATTGTTGAGACCCGAACGGTGCCAATTCTTCCTACTCTGTCATGATGCTGCTTCCTTTCCGTCACACGAGCATATGATAAACGTATTTGTATCGTCATGCAACGGCCAGTTGTTCTGTCCGTGAATTCCTGCCGCATGCACTCGGAGTGTTTGCTTTCTGGCCCTGGCAATCTCACCGCGACTGTTGTATGAACCACATCAAGGTGTAACGCTGCAGACTGCAATGTCAAGATTTTAGCCGTCCCCTGTCCACCACGAACTAACATGCCATTTCCTATGGGCTCAAGAGCGAGAATCTGGTGGCGGTATTGATATCATTTGTAAATGTGCAAGGCTTGCGTTTCACGGCATACTGAACATGCCATGCTTTGTCCATTTTATATATACCTTTGATTATATAGCTTAATTACCACTAGACTGTGTATTTGGCAGTCGATAGTCGTCTCTAGTCAATTTTACAATCCCGATAGAGGACACTCCCGACGGAACCCACCAAAGTCATTGGTGGCATGGCTTGATTTTGTACCTCGGCTCGAGTAGCTGGAAACTCTTTAGTTGATCGACAACTTTGATTAACCGACGTCTAGATACCGCGGGGTAACTATTACGAATCGCAGATAAGTGTATCCGCGTCAACCGCCATTACCACGTGGTGTAGATGCTACCGGCAGTTGAAGTGAAGATCATGATCTGCGCCGCTATTTTCCACCGTCAACGACCGGACCGTGTAGTTCGCGCAGACAAATGTAGGGCGGTCTTCTCAATAACGCTGGTACCAAGTTATTAATTTCATAGAGGCAAGTATCCTAGATATAGCTTTTCCACCAGACTTTTGTGTTTTGAAATTTTATGCATGACTTAATCTTCAAGGACGAGATTATACTAAGAATCGCAATGCCTTTGAAAGGAATTCCAGCCCTGCATTCAGCTGCTCGCCCTAAATACCAACAAGGCCCACAGCTGCCAACTTGGGCAGGAGGGCATGACTCGTGGCAGTACCGATGCCTTGGAATCGGAAAACAAGCCACCCCGTCCACTGGTTTTCCCTTGGCTAGATACCCAATGGTGGACCGCCCTCAGCGGCGTGGGCCCTCCGTCTTCTCTAGTACGATAGATTGATGCGGTCAAGCTGTTCGCTGAAATACGTGAATACGGACATGTTCTAGCCTAGCAAGCAGTCCAACGCTAGGATCCTGCACTGAGTCTTTGTCTTCGTAGGATTCAAGTCTTAAAGTATTACAGACTCTCATTTAGATATTAGATGGGCCCGAGCACGTACGAGGATAGTGGTGCGAGTCTCCTTGGGCCTGACAGCGCTGGCTTAGACTCGGGTTTTGACCAGCAACAAGTCGTTCTCAGACTATGTTTTCCAGTTCATGTCCATGAGCTCTCTTTGAGACCCAATTAGCTTCCAATGAAGTTATCGAGTTTGGTCAAAATCAAGAAGAGGTAGTCTGGTCGAGTCCAGAGAAATATGGTTAGCGATGCCCAGCATATGCAACAAGTCCTTCGAGTTATTCTTTCCAAGTGCCACAGAATACGAGTATGATTGAGCGCTCTCATCTCTCCTCGGTCTCTCCTATAGGTTAGCGCCTTTCTGCGCATATTGGCACATCCTGTGGGTGCGGCACATGTAACCGTAAACACTCATGCTCAGTTAATTTCTTCAAGAGCCGCTCCAAGAATTTTGGGTTTGGCTAGGCAGGCTATCGATACAGTCATTCACGAATGTCGCATAAATTTGGACATCAACTCGTCTAGGTTAAGTAAATTACTCCATTTTATCTGGTACCATAATATTGGAATTTTGTTTAAAGCACTTACCAACTCTAGTGGTTCAGGGGTTATTCCGTAATACATTAGTGGAAGCTCGCTGAAATTCATTGTAGGTCGGTGAAATTTAATGTGTGCTACTTACCGGAGTATATTGGCTGCACTGCCTGCATGGTATAGGCTCTCGAGAAGGCACGATATCCCAAAATTTGGGCTGTTCACTAGATATACGACACCGGCAGCCATAGTTCAGAGCAACATGGAGCGAGAATTTGTTACCGATACTCTAATCCATTGGGCCAAAGGAAGGACATGTCGAAAATTCAAGTAATACATATTCTGTTCCAAGCCAAGCGACTATAAGTTGATCCTAACGTGGAAATATCATTGATTCAGCTAGTAACCGGCAAGGCGATATCAAGGTAGAACGTTGCATTTTGGCAGGGAGTAGTCATGTCTACTTCGTTGCCCAATAGAGAGACCAATATCCTAACTGGATGTCGGGAAATTCCAGCCACGGTGCTTACAAATGCTTCTTTGATGCATTTTTATGAATTATGATTGTGGTCTAAACGCTCAAGTGTCTCCGTTGCGGATCAAAGGAGGAAGATGGATACGAGTGAAGCGAAGAAGACTCCAAAGCCTTCGCTTCGCGATGCCGGAAAGCAAAGCTATGACTACATAGTACAATTGGTTACAGTATAGTACTGCTTCTTCCGACGTATAATTTATGTTCAAATCGGGCCATTTCCAAATAAAAGGTTATGGCAATTTCGACGAATCAAGGGTAGGCACTAGCGGTTGTGATTTTCATCATTGATTGATCAACGTGTGTTGACTATTCGAGGTAGAGAGCGCATAGTATTGTGGGAAACGCCTCTTTATCGGACAGAAACTACACTCTCCCGACGTCAGGCAGTTCGAGAAAATCGATTCGCTAAAAATACAACAAGCTAGGTCAGGTCAGATCATCTCTAAATATGATTTTGGAGGTCACCTGTCTACCGGCCCGAGAAACTTTCTGAAAATGTCGGTCAGCCCGGTACCTATGAAGAGCCAAACCGAATCATTTTGAGGGAGGTCCGCGGATTCCTTCGGTGATTCCGACATATTGGTTGTATGATCCGACGATCTCCAGGAGGTTATCTACGAGATTGATGGTATTTCTATGAGTAATCCGGGTTCCTGTGGGGCCGGTCCCCGCAATCAGCCGATAAACGGTGGCCGCTGAATTCGTGGGTTCAACCACCTCTGCCTTGACTGCACCTCTCGATACAGCGGTGTTGATGCCATGTGACGTGGGTGGTTATTTGAATTGGTATATATACAGTCGGTATCTGACTTGTTGTCTCCTTCATTCGCACTCGAAGGCAAGTTTTATCAAAGTCCGCACAAGTCCTTTCTTCATGCCCCTTTGGCTGCAAGCCGACCGATTCACACAAATTCAACATAAACCTTTGTCACAATGCCAACAATAGTGGTCGTAGGGTGAGTCAACGCTTTCAGATATTTGAATCAACACAAGAATTGACATGTTCAAGCGCCGGGGTCTCTGGCTTAACCTCAGCCTACCTGTTGTCTCAGGATAAAGGCAACCAGGTCACTGTCGTAGCCAAGTTTATGCCAGGCGATTATGACATCGAGTATGCTTCGCCATACGCCGGGGCTAATGTACTACCGTATGTCAGCCCACACACAACCGCCAATCTTAGCGAGGATGCTCATATCTTTCAAGGATGTCGGTGAAGGCGAACAGTCGTTGGGAAACACGATCATGGCCTGTGCTGCGAAAGCTTGCAAGGGAAGTCCCCGAGGCAGGTATCCATGAGATGAGTAAGCTTTTTTTCTTTCTTCTTTTTTGATTATTTTATTTTTATTTTTTATAAATCGTCTTGAGCACGTTTGTACCAGCGTTGACAGGACATGCAGAGAGTCGCGTTTATCGTCGGGAGAAAGACCTTGAGAAGCTCAAGAGCGGGAAGTATGCTTTTGATGGTCTTTTTCAGGAAAATCCGTGGTACAAGGAGCTTTTTGATGACTTCCGGGAGCTCCCGATAGAAGAGCTTCCAAAGGGAGTTGCTTCGGGCTGCGAGTTCGGCTCGGTGTGCATCAACACTATGCTGTATCTACCATGGCTTGTGGGCGAATGTCGAAAGAATGGCGTCGTCTTCAAGCGCGCCACGGTCAAGCACATTTCGGAGGCTGCTAGCTTGAGTCATACTGGCAAGACGGCCGACATCGTTGTCAACAGCACAGGTCTCATGGCCAGCAGGCTTGGAGGCGTCATGGATGAAAAGGTGTTTCCCATACGCGGCCAGCTCGTGGTTGTCAGGAACGAGGCACCTTACATGGTGACCAAGTCTGGCACTGACGATGCTGAGGACGAATTATTCTACATCATGAGGCGAGCTGCTGGCGGCGGCACGATCCTTGGCGGAACTTACCAGAAGGGGCAGTGGGAGAGCCAGCCCGACCCTAACATAGCGACGAGGATCATGCGGCGCGCTGTCGAGATGATGCCAGAACTGACGAATGGACAAAGCGCCGATAAGCTTGATGTCATCAGACATGCTGTGGGACTTCGGCCTTTTAGAGAGGGTGGCGTGAGACTTGAAAAGGAGAAGATTGATGGCACTTGGGTGGTGCACAATTACGGTCATGCCGGCTGGGGGTATCAGGGTTCATATGGATGTGCTGAGCGAGTTGTTGAACTGGTTGATGAGATACACCCGCGGCCGAAGTTGTAAGCAAGAAAGCCAGACACATCCATGGGTTGTGGGTGTTGTTGTCATCATGTGCATTTGGAGATTACGGGTGCCATAAACATAGGGGAGATAACTCGAGAGCTGGGAGCTGAACCATCCGGAAGGAGAGTGCCAATTGTTTGTAGGTAGTCTAGAGGGTACTCACCCATACTAAACGCACAGCAAGTGTGCTGGTGGTTAATGAACTTTGCCTGGAGAGACTGGTTTGGGGCGTGGTCCAACGCTAAGCCCCGCCCTACCTGCCTAAACTACAAGATGCACAGTGCCTGGGGACCCCTGCGCTTGCTACTGTACCTGACTGCCTTTAGTCGGGCTCCAGTGTTCCAGGGTCCCACGCCGTAACGTGTGCGCATGCCTATGCACCGCCCCCCTGGCAGCTCAAAGCTCGGCTTAGGTACATTCTGCTTCTGGGGAAGGTCCAAAGTCCAAAGTCCAAAGTCCCAAGTGGCATCGACCGCGACCTGTCAACACGCAGCGCGACCGCAACAGCAACAGCGACAGCGACAGCGACAGTACCTGGCAGAATGGCGGACATACAGCAGCCCAACATCCTCGTCCAGGCCGTGACATTTGTCAAGGACGTCGCCTACAGACGCCATGCGTTGTCGGCAGCAGTTCCATTCGGTCTTTGGGCCATTGACGCTGTGCTCTGCGCCTTGATCATCTGGAAGGTGCCTTGTGAGTGGCTGCTGGCATCCCGACAAACACCCTCTTGGACCCCCCCTGCTGACTCTGGCTCATCGCAGACACCGAAATCGACTGGAAGGCATACATGGAGCAGATTGAGCAATACGTCTCCGGCGAACGGGACTATACGGTCATCAAAGGTGGCACCGGCCCTCTGGTATATCCAGCATCGCATGTGTATACATATACTGCCCTCTACCATCTCACGGACAAAGGAAAGGATATCTTTCGGGCACAACAGATCTTCGCTGTTCTATACATGATCACGCTGGCAGTTGTCATGTTATGCTACTGGCGCGCAAAGGTGAGCCTGAATCCAGACCGCGACGACAACCTTGGCATCAGTCGAATCGAACCGCTAAACAAGCCAGGTTCCTCCCTACGTCTTCCCCCTTCTGATCGCGTCCAAGAGACTCCACAGTATCTTTGTGTTGCGCTGCTTCAATGACTGTTTCGCAACCCTGTTTCTCTGGATAGCAATCTACTGCTTCCAGCAGAAAGCCTGGACCTTCGGCGCACTCGCTTATTCATGGGGACTGGGCACCAAAATGTCTCTGCTCCTAGTCCTGCCTGCAGTTGCTGTCGTCCTCTTTCAAGGCAGAGGTGTCTCTGGCAGTATCCGCTTGGCAATCATCATGCTGCAGCAGCAGGTCGCCACTGCCATGCCGTTTCTCACGGCTAATCCCACCGGCTATCTATCACGGGCTTTTGAACTATCACGACAATTCTTCTTCAAATGGACAGTCAATTGGCGATTTGTTGGCGAGGACATCTTCCTAAGTCGCCCGTTTGCAGCAACCCTGCTTGTCCTTCATATCCTTGTTCTCGGAGTCTTCCTGCTCAGGAAATGGCTGAAGCCTGCACTATCTCGAAAATCACTGCCAGAGCTGATCGTGCCAATACTCACGCACTTCGGTTCGCCCTTTGGCCCCAGAGACGAGGCCCTAGTCGCGACAGCTATCACACCCCAATACATCATGACCACAGTCCTCTCTGCCAATGTGATCGGCTTGTTATTTGCCCGATCACTCCATTACCAATTCTATGCCTATCTGGCCTGGTCCACGCCGTATCTCCTATGGCGAAGCGGAACTCATCCAATCGTTCAATATGGGCTCTGGGCTCTACAAGAATGGGCATGGAACGTTTTCCCCAGTACACCAGAAAGTTCTGCTGTCGTGATTGGCGTCCTGGCCGCTACTGTTACAGCATCGTGGCTTGCAGCTAGTAGGGAGCCCGTTCCTGCCGCTCCAGCCCAAGTTTCGTCAACCAAGAAAACAACATGAGCACTCTGTGAGTACTGCACTCGCTTCTACTCATCGTCCTCGGAATCAGACGGCGGCATTTTCCCAACGTTGGATTCTTCCTCCTCCTCGTCGGAATAGACTACTTGGGCGAACTCCTTGGGCCTGCGAGCATAAGTCAAAGAGAACCAAAGAAAAACGGGAATCAGTCGGCCTACCAGTATCTCTGCTTTCGCCATAGTTTCTCCTCTCGCACGACGTTGACAATTTCGCCGTCAACTCTTTCCTTCACATCATCGGTGGGACGGAGGTCGACAAGGACGTAACCGCCTCGTTTGACCCAGATGGTATTGCGAAAGCGGTCTGCGAGCTCCACAAGGACTGTGCGCTTATCTGGCAGAGAGCAGCTGTAGAGGTTATTACCTTCCGCTTTGACTACACACGCGAGCGACTGGGTGGCAGAAAGTTCATCCGGTGGTGTAGTCGACTCTGTGGCTGCCGCGAGCGCATTACGCTTTGGGCGACCCATGTTGATGAATACTGATATTGTCAATCCCTTTCTACGCAGCGATCATCGAACACTGTTGCGCGGATGGTGGATGTTGGTTCGTAGTTGGATTACGATGGACTGAATTTGGGCGGGAACGAGCGGAGTTTTCAGGGTGCGTTTTGCCGCAGTTTACCCTGAAGTATACCTCATAATAGAAGAATTCAAGGCGCAACATCCACATTCGATATTTCTCATGTTTAACTTGTTAAACAAACTCGGGTCCTTCGCACTGGTTTCGTCCTGACCTGCCTTGAACGCGTACCTAAATTTGGTGGTAACTGGGTATATGCACACAAAAACAGCATGTAGCATGTTGCACTGCAGTTGGCCTGTCCAACAATAAACTACATATTTCCTCCCATCCAGAACGAGCTGAAGTAGCACATCCGAACAGAGGCTGTCCTGCTCAAGGGCTCGGAGCGGCGGACAACTTTTCATACACAACTTATGGTTGTTAAAGTGCCGTCAACATAGACGCATAGGTAGTTGCCACAAAGGCGATTATCACACATAAGTGAACTTCTTGTTGTTCCCATACGTATAAATCGCCATCGCCGCCGTGCACGCCCACGACAGTGTTCAGGGTAGTTCCAACATATAAGCAGCTGGTTCATCGTGTGGGGGGGCGGCAGGACCCTGATGCGATGATGCGCCTAGAAGACTTTAAAACTCTGTGGCATCTATTGCCGACGAAGTACCTCTCGTTTTTAAATCAAAGAATGGACGAGTTGAATTAATATTGCAGACACAAGAAGATGCATGTAAACAAAAACAGAAGCCAGGACTCTCCAAATCTCCTTTATAGCCACCCACACCTAGCACACGACAACATGTCTGTTCGTCTGTCGTTCAACCAAAATCTAGCGCGCGCCTTACCACCTTCACGTCACAATTATCTCAAGTAGATATCAAGTCATAGGCTCATTCAGGTCTTGCGGCCCCACTCCATGTCATAAACATCGTAGGCTGGCATGTTCAAACTGCCCAAAGCCGTTGTGGTTATCCAGGTATCGTGTCTTTTTTTCTTTTTCCATATTTCTCTCCCCCCCCCCCCTCCTCTCTTTTTTTTTTTTTTTTTTTCACATAGCGATAAGACCCAAGAGCCCGGCGAGGGCAGTGCCGACCATGCCGATCGCAGCATTTCTGGTGCCGCCGGAGACCTCAACGACGCTCGAGGTCGGGGCGCTCGGGGCCACGTAGGTGCTGGGCGTGGCCGCACCGGGCGGGATGACAGGGGCTGGGGTTTCGGCTGGGGCGTTGTTGTTGACTGGCGGGACGACGATAGCCGGGGGAGCAACGGCCGGGGGCACCGGGGCGGGGGCGGGAGAGGCGCGCGGTGTGCCGGGGCAGATGGTCGAGGTCAGGGTTGGGGTGGCCTGTGATAATGTCGAGTATTAGTACAATTGCTCGGGTTTATGTCAGACCCGCCGGCCAAACGGGGCAGCTCAAGGGTTTTTGTGCTCTGGGGTTCTTTTCTTTCTTTCTTTCTTAGAACTTTCTAATACGAGAGGGATGGCTCTCGAAGAAATTCTTGAGATTTCCCTTCGTGGAAGGAAATAGGAGGGATATGGTCGGCAATAATCCTGCCCGTGAAGAAAAGATGCGCTCTTCCTTGCTTGGTTTCACGTCACTCCAATGTGAATTGAAGCCAGAAAACCGTCGACAGGCTCTTGCGTCGAAATGGAACAAGTGTGCGTAGGCGTTTTTGCTGGAAGACGTTTCGCGCAGATATGTTGCAGGAGGAAACGACAGGAGCGATCACAAGTCCTCAGGAGGGCTTACCGTAGTAATGGTGCAAGGGCAGTTAGTAACCGTGACAGTCTGGCCTTCGGTAGCTGGATACTCGACGCCATTAAAGTTGTAGGTCGTGGCAGCACCACAAACGGTAGTGAGCTCCGCAACAACCAAGATAGCAGTAACAGTCGTGTTGTAGTAAGTGTAGGCGATGCTGGAGGAAGACGGGCTGACGCTACCGTTGATCACGGCAGCGTCGACGGTGACAGACAGTGCAGGAGAGACAGTCGAAGTGGTACCAGGGCCCACGAGGACGGTGGCGACGTCGGTGCTACTGGCCGTACTCACGGTGCTGCTGTCAGACTGGGCCGAGGCGGCGGCGACAAAGCCGAAAGCGAAAGCAGCTTTAGAGTACATTTCCACCGAGAATGCTGTCTCCAAGCTTGATTATGTTGCTAATATTAAGAAACTCAGTTGTGTTGTAAAGAGAGATAAGCTGTAAAACGAGAGACTAGAGAAGAGAGTGAAAGACAAGGGATCAATATGACGGAGAGAAGCATACTTCTCAATCGGAGGATGAGCAGGCTTTAAACATTCAGTGATACTCTGGGCAGATGGTTAGATCGTGTTTTACTTTCACTGTAAGAATTTGCAATTAAACAGCGAATATCAAGTTTGATCCAGTGTAATCGATGGGGAGATTGGAGTTTCCAAACTGCGAGACGCTTCTACAAGTGGTTGGAATGAAAATAGGAGCGGGTGTCCATTCCAGTTAGGAAGAATATGGTCTTATCTTTCCAAGACATGCACGCTGGATCGCAACTCGAGCTTATCCCTTTCATACTCGGACACGAACGAAAAAGTTTAGCTAATTTTTTATTCTCATTCCGCCGAAAAGCCGCGGCAGGCCGATGCCCTTCTTCATATGCGTCTTGTATATACATGTAGTCAAGAGCTGTGTTTTGTCTATCCTTGATGATCATCCGCATTTCGAAACGACCAGCGGTGGGTTCATCCCTTTTCTAATCGTGCAGACTACAACTCCAACCCACGTCGAGACGATTGCAGTATTTCTTTCGCAGCACAGATCGCCCGTGGACACATTCCGGTCCCCACAGCAATTGTTGCTGTTCTCCGGTTGTTTTCAAAGCCTGACCTCAACTCAAGGGGCAGGCGCCTTGGAAGCACTTGAGCTGAGAAGGTAAGTTTGCGTATCATGAGCCATTGAATGGCTGTCCTCTCCCAGGGCTCAACCTCGCCCTCTTCGATAAAACAGAGAAAGAAAATTCCACGACACAGCTGGTTGATGTCTGCAGTCGAAATGGTGATGGATACTTCTATGCTGGTGTATTATCCTCCAACGCCATTATGTCCAGAAAACAATAAAAGCGATAGCTGGTGAAATGTGGCCGCCAAGGGATCGTATTAAGTTGAATGAAGTTGAGCGCGCTTGAAGAACAGTCGCGTTATATGCACAAAAAAGGCTGTTATGGCTGCCAAACAAGGTAGCCAGAGATATTCCATAGGGTTCGATTGCAAAGACTACTATCGTTGGGATTTAAATTCTTGTTAATGTAATCCGACTGTGCCGTCATGTTGAGGTATCAGCTGGGTTTCGAGATCATTTGGCAGTACGGTTCGACCGGCTCTGGCTTCTTTCCGGAATTCGGCCAGTGGCTGGCGTGACAGCATCAAAATCGTAGTTTTTGAGAGTGTTTTCGTACTTGGCGTTGCGCAAGAACTTTGGCACCGAGTCCTACATGGTGGATTAGCTGAAGTGGTATATTAAGTGCTAGAAGACGACGACTTACGCTTGCCATCAATTTGAACACGGCATTCTGGGCGTCCTCAAATAGCGCCGTTACTTCATGTAAGGTATCGATCATAGCCACGTCTTGTCCTACAGCTTTGGTCATACGAGTGGCCAAGTTGTTGCGGAGCTGATGGTCAATGTTCAGCTCACAAGGAGACCCAGGCGCTAAGAAAGCATTGTAGATGCCGTATGCCTGGGCCATAATCTCCTTGATCCCATCCATCGATGTGGCGTTGGGGTTCTTCTGGGCCGAGCGAATTGCCTGTCGACATCCTCGAACGAATTCATCAACGTCGAGATAGAAGGAAAGGTTTTCCTCGCAATGAGTCTCACGCAGGTTCTCGCGGAACAAAAGTCTCAAAGCCGCATCGTTGAGGATCTTGTCCAGGCGCTGCGTGTTGGAATCGCGGGCTATGCCTGGACGCGACGAGACGGTGCTTTCACTCTCCGAAGTACGGCCTCTACCGCCGGCGCCATTGAAAACCTCCCTGCCTCGAGCGGTCATGGTGTAGATGGCGTTCTTGGTTGGCTGGAACATGGCGCCAGACGGGGAGTTTGCCATCCAGCCTCGGTCTTGTTGCACCGACTCCATAAGACCATACTCTACGAATAGCGAGGCCATTTCGTATGTTTCTCGGCGGTCGACCGTCGTTGCACAATCCATCAGCCAGTCCGAGCACCCTTTGCCGGTAAAAGTCTCCTTATACGTCTTGCCAGTAATTTTCCGTTCCACAGCCATCTTGACGCCCGTCATGCCGTCTCGGTAATCGCTTAACGAGTCTGAGTCGGCAGAGCTGACACTGGATTTGAGGTTAAGGCCGTTAGCACCACAGAAACGTCTAAACACGACTTCCATAGTTCCGCGGTCCATGACAATCTTGTCGGATTGAGAATCTCTTTCCAGAATGACCAATTGGCTAACTCCTGTAGCAACCAAGTCTCCAATTTGTCGTTGCTGAATACCGTTACGTGAGCAGAAAGAGTCCAGAATAGCGACGCCTTTTGATGTTAGTTGCCACACAGAGCCCTTCATGGTATAAACCTGTTGCAGCTTGCCATCAGCAGACTCGATGAATCTTGCCTCCACAAAGCGCTGACATATTGACCTCGCCATATCCTTGGCCATAGAGAAAGTGGTTGTGGTGGTGGTTGTGACGATGCGCGAGGGGTCCTTGGGGTCCGGCATCCGATTGGACTGCGAAAACTTGAGCGAGCCAAGGTTGTTGATCGCATCTTCGGATAGGAAGGTATGTTCAACTCTTGTCAAGCGAACGCGATGTGCGCCGAGAGGTAGCAAACTGACAATCAGAGTGGAGAACAGATCCTTGAAGTCCTAGAGGTGAGGATGTTAGCAATGAGCATGGCTCTATAACAAGGCACCGAGGGGGCCAAGAGGTGGCTTCGATAGCAACATCCCCGCTTGTTCAGGGCAGAGGTGGAGTGGCGTGGTGAGTGACAGTGTGGTGTCGTGCGAGAGATGGGAAACAAAGAAAACAAAAAGAAAACAAAAAAAGGGAAAAGGAAGAGAAGAAAAGAAAACATAGGAGAAAAATACATACCCGAGTAAAAGGACGGTCATCGTCCGTCATACGGAGTAACCTCGACGATGTTTGATGCATCTTGTTCTTTGCTGCTGCAAGTCGAATAGGCTGTACGGTATTGGGGTCGGTTTGGCTGTACGGCCTGGAGATGGGATCTCCGACGAGCGACAGTTGACTTGAGCGCTTGCCGTCCGATCCAGTTGAGGGACTGAGAAGCACTGGAGTAGTGGCAGCTGAGGAGCTGGGAGTCGAAGCGGTGCGTGCGAAACGAGGGGACAAGTCGCCAGCACTGGAAGGGGAATCTAGCGAAATGGAGAGTCGGTTGACGTTAAGACTTGGGCGAGGTTCGAGAAAAGAGTTGCGAGGACGAAGTTTGGGCGGTTCGGTGGCCGAGGGGTGCTGTGGTGAGGACTGTGATGATGGTGACGATGTCGTTGGTGTATTATTCGAAGAGAAAGACCGAGCAAATGCAAAAATTCCGCCGGACTTCTGGGATCTGGGTGACAGGGACAAGGAGGATGAAACAGTGCTGGTGGATGCGGTCAATTGGTGCGAACGAAAGTTGTTCAGGGAAGCAATTGGGCCGTCGGGAGAAGCTTCGAAGAAGGATGATGGTGGTGATCCAAGGGCCGTGTGCGTGGGAGAAGTGGATGCTGAGGCTGGTGTTGGTGCTGGTGCTACAGATGCAGATGCAGATGCAGATGCAGATGATGAAGTGGGTTTGTTGCTGTTGCTTTTGCTTTTGGCCGGACTGCTCCCGCTATCGTTGCTATTGCTGCTGCTGCTGCTGCAGTTATGAACGTCGGTGCTAACAACACCACTCGTGATACCGGCGGCGGTAACGGCAGAAGAAGAAGCAAAGACAGGCGATGCAGCGGCAGAAGTAGTGAGGTTCGGATTAGAAGTCTTGGAAGCCGCTTGGACTTGTTTGGCTTCTAGTTCAAGGCCTGTTGCTGCTAAGCCCAAGCCCGCAGAGGAAGGCGGAGTACGGGTGGGAATGGGAGTGCAAGCAGCGGAGGGAGTGGATTTGAGTTTATGATTCGTGTCTACAGTGTTCAGGCTTGCGTCGAATGACAATGCGGAACCGGTAGTGGAAGTAGTACTGCTAGTCGGCTTTGGCGGGTTTGAGTAATAGTCCAGGTAGCTCTGGTTCTGGTTTTGGTTTTGGTTTCGTTTCTGGATCGGGTTTTGCAGAGCCTGACCATGAACCTGACCTTGAACCTGACCGCGACCTTGACCTTGACCTTGAGCAGCAACAGCAGTAGCCGTGGCAGCAGCCATCTACCATTAAGCACAGCACACAAGTACAGTACCGCCAGTAGCAGAATTAGGGCCCAGTGGTAATGTATTAGCCAGGAAAACGTGATAATTGAAACCAAGCCAGCGGCCCATAAGACTTGATTCAAATATGGAATTAAAAAGGAAAAGGCTTGCGGCAAGGAGTAAAATAAAAGAGGGGGGTTCTAGGTTTGATAGGTGCGGGTCGCCATGTGGTTAGGAAGGAGAACTGAACCCAAAAACCTGCCGGGGGGTCCCTGAACAACGAGGCACCGGGGTCTGGGAGTGATAGCGAGAACGATGTACTGGTACCCGCTTGAGACGGTGTAAGTACTCCTTGTTTATTCCAGTTTTTCTTTTTCTAGCACCTCCATCGCTTCGCTTCAGAGTGGAAATGTTTATCTGCATGTATAGGTTAGTCATCCCGACATGCGCGCATCCTCAATCCCACCAGCTTTTGCTTCTATCATATGGTTCCCCCTAGGTGGAATCGAGGCTCTCCTTCGAGTAGGAACCTTTGGGCTTGCGTCTTGCGGTGAATCTCATTGGAATACGCCATGTGGTAGGTACAGATCAGACGGGGATATCGGCCGGGTGGTGTGTAAGAGTGCCATGTGTCTCGAGAGGAGAAATCTGCATATGCAACGCTAGTATTTCCTCCATGCACTGCACCATGTCACTCAACCACTGGTCTGTCATTAAATAAAACAAAATAAAGGGAATTTTGCTGTCAATCAAGCCACACTGTGCTAGATTTTCAGCATTCCTCAACCTCCAGCGTTCGCGCAAATACAGCCAACGGTGATCGATCAACTGCGGCACTGTGTAAAAGCACAAAGGCAGTAACATCATTCTGTTGCAACATGAGTGCATAGCCGGTGTAAAATCCTAAAGTGGTATGCATCATGATTGCAGAAGCCAATGCAAGTCATTGCCGCAGCGTAGTGGTTTCCTATGCCCTTTCTGCATACTGCAAAATCTGCAGTGGTTGCAATGTAACTGTTGGTGATGTCGATAAACTAACTGTCCGAATGCATCGAGGCCACCAGCTTGAGCCAACTCTGATGAACTTCCTTGTGAGGAGTTAGCGTATGCCGGATTACATAAAACAAACAAATTCAATGTTGTGATGATTGCAATATCCGTTGAAAGTTTATGACACCGGAACCTCATCTGCTGAGAAGAGCATTAATGCTCAGGTCATTTTACAACAGCTGCAGAAGTAGGAGAGCCTATGACCACGATCACTGAGCCAGGAGCCAGCTGCACCTCATCTCACTAACACGGTGCATCGAGGTAAAACCGAGCCACATGGCAACAGTGAAACCACGTTCATGCAGGAAAACCCGCCAATATTTACAGCGGCTTGGCCAGTTCAACTGAAGCAGGTTACACGGTACGGTTACAGACACTTATACACTCACCACGTTCAGGTTCCATAAACGAAGCTATTTGCCCACGACTTCCAATCACAACCTTCGACACCAGCAGAGCTGCGACGGACATGGTATCTGCTTCATCACAATCCACAAAAATTTGCCGTCGAGTTGGACTGGCTAGTATTGGGATTAGCAAAGCTGAGTACCGTGCATTAAAGGAGATGTGATAAGGCAAGTTGGGACAACCAGGAAGATCGGCGATAGGCGTTCATGTATGAGAAAAAGATCGGTGTTATTACATAGGTTACCCAAAGACTGTGCGGAATGGCAGCAATGGGCAACGCAAGTCAAGCATGGCTTCCAAGCTCCCACGCATTGCTGCCGATGGTGCCAACGGCCACAGCATCCACTCAGATGTAACCGCAAGCATGGGTCGTACCACATTCTTTCAGCCTTTGTTATGCCAGGGAGATGCCCATGCTTACACACCGTCAGCACGATTCGCCAACCGTCAGATCTGCGCGTGGCCATCAGGGATCTTATCCACAAGCCCATATTGTTTCTGGCAAGGTCTTTTCCATCCGGCTCACTACCACTGGCCATGACTCCACACCTTTTCAACCCCACAAGAGTTCCATGGGCTTGATTAGACACCAGTACGCTTCTGAACAAGAGAGGCCCCAGCTACAAGACCCTTGCCACGGCGACACCGTAGCCTAGTAGATGCTGCTTGACGAGATTGCAGTGAGTGTCTCCTTGTTTTGGAATATAGTGATGTTCGTAGAAACGGATATGGCCATGCGTTCCAAAAGGAGCCTACCTAGAAGAGTACACGTAGGTGGGAGTCATGGGGGGGAAAAGAAGAATCATCCAAGACTACCCTGGTGGTGTGCCTGCAGAAGATGGTGCAGTAACACAGCATGTTGTTGAGCCCACTGGGTTTGTTTTGTACAGCAGGCAGATGGGTTATGAATGGCTCATCATGTGCTCGTGAGGTCCACTATGGAGACTTTTTTTTCTTCGTTGGTGCATGTTACACACATAAATACTAGCAGCTAAGCGGAGAACGTCAGGCCAATCGTGACATTATTCCGCAGAGAGCATGGCTATCACGCGCCGATCTTGTCTTGGCGGGCGGGGGCAGGCATTGCTGAACGCTGGAGCGGCAAAGCGAATCTGTCAAAACCAACGCTGGTCTGTAGGGTCGTTCCGAAGGAAGCCGATATACTTTTTTGAAGCTCTCCTGGCTCTGTGAATATGGGATGGTTAATCCTACACACTTGAGCCCTTTTGAACGTGGCTGGCGACTTCTTGGATATGCAAGTATTTTGACTAAAATTGCATCCTTACATTCCTGATTACAAATATGACATGCAACGCGATCCTTCTCGTGAGGCTGACATTGTACTAGCAAATACGTTGGCAAATTGTGGACTCACAATTGCAAGTACTCGATGGAATTCGTTCAACTCCGCTTGTTAGATACCACGTCAGAATCAGTTCATGGGCAAAGTCACTCGCGTGTACTGTAATATTTGCCAAACTTACCACCATTGAAGCGCCGGACATATTGGACCTCAAAATGTGCAAATGTCAGTTCTAGTAGCATCAAAGACCGAGAGACGCCTCCAAGCCACCTTGTAGATTTAACGTTGGACGGCAGTTGAATAGCTTGACGCCGGTGATTCAGTCTGCTGTGAGATCCTTGACCGCCTCGTGTGCCGGAATTGTTTCCAGGATATGACAGTCCATTTTGGACAACCCATGACAGCAATGAGCCCAGCCATAGAAAGAGGACTAATGAGACATTTGTGCAAGATCTGCATCGGCCAGCTTCCGAGGGCTTGTTCGTACGTTCCAGTTCTGCTACTGGTTGAGGAAGATTCCTTAGGTTTGCGGCGCTGGCAAGACGCAGGCATCTACCAGTGAAGAATTGTTTCGAATGGTTTTGGCGTTTTTAGGAGAGTTTGGCCGCTTCTTTTCCGGAGGCCCGGATAACACATAAGAGCATCACAAAGCAACAATTGGTTTTGGCATTGCTAATTGATTGAGCCAGTGTCAGGTCTCTGGGCGCCTGGAATGTGGCTTTCCCGGTCAGTAAGCCCAGGGCTTCAACAGTTTTGATGTGGGAGAGTCCAAAGTTAATTTTAGATCCGTCGGCGGCAGAGCGACAGCTAGGCTGCTTCTTGGTAAGTTAGGCTGAACGACATAGAATTGATCTTTTCATCAGGTCATGCTCACAACTATTAGCCTTGCCAATTTCAGCTCACTTCAAAAACAGCCAGATGACACAGAGTTCGTAATGGTCACATGTGCGATATACCTGCAACAAACTATCCTGCCTTCTAGTGTTTTTTGTTGTTCTTCCCCCTTCTAAATGCGTAACAGCCAGGAGAACGCCAGCCACTTACAATGTCATTTTTCGTTCTTCCGGCCCTTCTTGCAATTTTGCACCCAATTTACTAGTTGGTGGATGCCATAATGATTGTAACAATGATTTGGACCTTATTTTATCAATTCTTCTTTTCTCATTGC